TCCGAAAAAATAAAAACTAAAAAAAACCTTATAAATTAATAATATAAAACGGCAAAACGTACACCGTTTAAATTAATAATAAACCCGTTAAATTTAAAATAACTATTATAAAGCCTTATCACCGCGATAAAATTACGCATATCTCGATTAAATCCAAATCCGAAAATAAACCGAAAAATAAAAACGATTTAAACAAATACGTTTTAAAATAAACACCGGAATAAGATCTAAAACCACAAACACCTAAAAAAAAACGAAGACGTCCCCGTAATAACAAAAACAAACTAAAAAAAAATGCTACCAACATAACCTAAAAAAAAATCATTAATAAACAGCTATCGATATAATTACGTAACAAAGGCAAAATTACCACGCTGGAATAACCATTTAAAGCCTTTAATACTTAAGAAATTAAAAACTTAATTAGATAAAATATATTTTCATTTGAAAAATACGACCATATTAAACACGGTAATATCCAAATATTTAATTCATAAATCGTCCGTAAAATTAAAAGTAAAATAATAAATAACTTATATAAAAAATCAAGACTTATTATCCAAAAACATAATAACGTAAAAAAATAAGTAATATTAACCTAATCACCAATAATTTAACAAATAAGCTAATAAATTATTACGACTCTTACCCCTACATTATTATAAAAAGACATAATTATCTAATTATATAACGTTACGCAAATATATATATAATTTAATACGCCTTTTAATCGTAAGCTTTTAACATAATTACCTATTAAACTTATTCTAAAATACCTAGAAAATATTATTATAATAATTCTTAAACCGATTTATAAGATTACCGAAACTAGAACATATTAATAAGCTACTTATTTTAAACATTATTAAAAACGACTTAATATAAAAACCTTAACCTATAACCCTTATTTACTTGTCATAAAATCAAATAAACGTTTTAATTTAATCGATATATAAACCAATAACACCCTCGATATCTCCAACAAATAATTCGACCGCCTTAAAAATAAAAAATTAAAAAAAACCAAACTTTTAATTAAACTTAAAACTTACCTTACCGATAAAAAACCCTTAATCTTTAATAATTATATTCTATTTAAAAATATAAACGAATCACTATATTTACGTTAAAAAAAGCAGGGAAAAAAAATTACCCTTATTAAAAAATCTATTAACGATACTACCTAATAATATATCCAATAAAAAGCCTATAACGCTTATATCGCCACCATATATCAACCAAAAACAACTTATAATATATTTAAAATAATATAACATAAAAAACCTAAAAAAAACGAAATTACCTAATTAAACAATAAACTTTAATAATAACTTAAAAACCTAAATAAAAAACTTTAATATATTCCTTTTAACCTTTTAAATATTAAACTATTTTTATTTATAAATAAATCCTTCGTAAATAATAAAGACTTAAACTCGTAAATAAATTATATAATCGCTCTCGAAAATAAATTAATAAATAATAACGTAATAAATAATAAATTCTTTAAAATAAAAAACAACCTTATACATTAAAGCTTAATAAAATGTCGAAAAGTTATTAAAAATGTCCTCGTTAACAAGATATACGCAATGATCCATGGTGTTAATATAGGAATTACCCTTAATAAAACCCTTACAATAATCTTAAACCAATAAGACATCCCGCTAATAATTCCAATCGTAATTTATATTAACTCTTTCTCCCTATATAAATGCTTAATCAAACTAAATATTATTAAAAAAAAAAAGTTAATAATTAACATTATATCATTACACTAATTATATAAACGTTAGAAAATCGTAAAAATCTAATAAATCCAAAGAAAAAACAACCTAATTAATATTATAACTAAAATAAAAGTTAATAAAACATTAAAAACATTTATTAATATTAACTACCTCACGCTATAATTATAAAAATAAGTTAAAAAAAGTTAATACATTAAAATAAAAATAAAAATACATAAAATAATAAACTAAAATAATAAACTAAAACAATAAACACGAAAAAAGAAAAAATAACCAATAAAAATTATGGAAAATAGTCACATAACCCACATAATCCGTACCCATTTTTATAACTTACTTCAATTAAGAAAAAATCTTTAATCCTTTCCATCCTACTTAACAACTTCAACTACATTCATAATTCTAACCTTTTATTTACAACCCACCGTAATCATAAAACCACCTTATCTATTCCAACAATTCGTTAATAATAAAATACTTATTAAAATATCTTATACAATACTTAAACATTTTTAATTAAATATAACAATAAAGAAATACTTATTTTTAAATAATTTATTATATTAATATTAAAAAATATTAACTTATTAAGCTTCTTTTATAACAATATAATTTATGTTAAAAAAAAGCTTTACGTAAATTTATTTAAGTATATAAAAGAAAGTTAATTTAAAAGAGTAAAAGTTTATAAGTATTTTCTTTTTTATTAATATTTAAAAAAACGCTTAATTAAATTATTAAACTTAATAAAAACGACATAAATATTATATAATAATTTTATTACAATTATTATAAATTAAATAAAAGAATAAAAAAAAACGTATATTTTTTATTAAATATTATAAATAAAATTTAAAAAGTTAATAAATATAAATGGTATTATTTTATCGATTTAAAGGATAATTTTTAACATATTTTTATATATCCCCTCGATTAAAAGAAAATTACGTTCGTTATATTATTTAAACTATATAAATAAATAATAATATTCTTTAACTTATATAATGCTTTAATAATATTTTAATCGTTTATGAAAGAAATACTTTTATTATTAAAAGCATTTATATTTAAATTATTAAACGATATTTTAATTTAAGGCGATATAATTAAATAATTTAATAAACGTATTAATTTGCTTTTTTAACGTTTTAAAAAGTATGATATAATAATAAATTTGTAGAAATTATAAATATTTATTAATAAAAATATATTTCTCGGGTTTATAATTTTAGAAAAAGGTATTAAAATAAATTTTAATAAAATCGTTATAATTTAAAATAAATTAAAACTTAAGATTATAATAAACATATAAGGTTTTATTAATATAATAAGCTATTTTTATAACTTAATTAAAAATTATTCCTTAAAAAGTAGCGTTTTAATTAATTTATCAAACGGTTTAAAAAAGTTTAAAATTAAGTTAATTAAAGTAATTAAAATTATATAAAAAAGGATTTATAATTTTATAACCTTAACGTTAATCGTAAAATTTTTCGATTAAAAAAGATTATATGTTTTAAAAATTAATAATTTTAAAGCTTATATTAAAACGGCGTTATTATAATCATATTTATACGAAAAACGTTTAACGTTTTATTTAATTATATATTTCTTAAAAAAGTTAAACGTTATTTAAAAACGATACTTTACTTAAGAAAAAAAATTATTAACGGTTATATTATCGTTATAATATTAATGACATTAAGTTAAAAATAATAATGTAATTATTATAATTAATTATAAATTTTTAAAAATAATTAATAATAAAATAAAATAACTTATAAAAATATTACGTTTTTTTAATATTATTAAACATTATAATATAAGAATTTTATATTAGCTCGATAAAGTAAACGTTTTTATAAATTATTTATCAAAATTACTTAAAAAAAAAAAAACGAGTTTACTTAAAACTAAAATTTAAATCGTTAAATATTTATATAAATTATTTAGATATAACTTTTAAATCGTTTTTAAATATTTACATTATAACGTATTATTATTACTTGTAATTAATAAAAATTAATGTCGAAAATATTTTATTATTATAAATAACTTACTTATAAAAATTATTAAATATAAATAAATATTAAATAACGTTTTATACGAAAATAAAACAATAATTTTAATAAAAATAATTTAATAAATAATTAAATCGCATAAATTGTTAAAAAAATTATAAGAAATTTATAAATAATAAGGTTACGTATTAATCGACGTAATGCTTTAAAATATTAATAAAAAATGAGCAACACTAAATCCGCAGTAGGAGTACATGCATTTCGTCCGCAGTACTACCTGATCTCCCACACAAATTGGGTGCGCGCACAAGTACCTCTGCCACACCCAATTCAACGACACATCAAACCCACTCCAGCCCATCCAAACAATTTTTCAAAAATCACGAAAGACATCTATCTTTGTCGCCTCGACGAGACGGATTGATTGATATATGTTTCAGATCTCCAATAATTGTATTGATTGAGATATCGGTTGATCTTTGATTGATCTCTTCGGGCCCTACTGTGTCTTGTCCTCAATCAGGGTGGTAAGGGAGGTGGTCCATGCGCGGTACCGGTCGCAACTTCAACCTTGAATAACTCTTCCAATAGAGTAGCTACAAACGTGCAACCAGGCTCATTGTGGTCCTTGAGTCGGGCCCTTCAATTTGAGATCTTCAATTGAAAATTTGAAGATGGTTTGGACTGGTCGCAATTGATTGACAGCTTGGTGTGTACTGGAGCCGCCGGAGCTGCGCTACTAGCGCCATACTGCGGACAAAAAGCTAAGTACTCCTACTGCGGATTTAGTGTTGCTCTATTTTAAATCCTTTGAGACATTATTTTAATTTACTTTTAATAAATTATATTCTCAAATGTTATCGACTTATATGGATTTTATGATCTTAAGATACGAAACCCCAAATCCTAGCATAAAGAACTAAAGAAGCATATCACTGCCTCCCATATTACATATATAGATAGTACTATGCACATAATAGGTAGTACATACATGTAACATCAAGGGTTATATCGAACTTAAAGGTTAGGTAAGTTTAAATATTACCTACATAGTATCTTATTTGAATAGGTAGGTACAATACATACAGTACTTATTACTTAGGCTACTAGGTACAGCATTATACATGTAGTTGCAGTTGCTTGTTTCGGCTGACGACAGGGGTTTGTGTGGCAATCACGTTGAAACGACCCAATGACGTCGTCTGTGAGGCCTCTTGTAAATTCCAGCCTTGTACCAAGAAGCGCTTGTGTCTAACTTTAAGCGCCCAGAGTTCGTTGCTTCATCTACAATTAGCAACAATTTACCTAGTACTCACTCACTTAGTACCCAGGTTAGTAGTAGGTAATAAGGGAGGATATTTATGGATCATGTGTGATTCAATATTGTCCTAATCTTGCCATCTTTGCTATCTTGTTTATTTCGCATTCTTTATTCTTGTTGGTTACGTTCGATATCATTACATCGTTACCTAGTATATACCTTTTACCCTACATACCTCTATACCTATCTACCTACCTAGGTAGTATTGTTCATGCTGCTTCGACGTTAGAGATTGTAAATTCGAAGACAGAACCTTGACCTTCCTAATCTCTACCCCGCCCATCTGCTACGTCCTCCAAAGTCGAATTCCTTTGCGCCGTCTTACTCATAGCTTAAGCGCTAAGATGGCATCTGGACATCATGTAAGCTACTGTGATATTGCGCCCATCCGAGAAGAGGGAAAACGTGCGCGGAGCTCTTTGTGATTCCAAGATTTGCAACAACTGACATGACGGCTTCAATAGGACCCCAAGTTGCTATACGCCATACCAGGCGTTTTGGCCTACCACCTCGCCTACGGCAAGGAAGAATCACTTACGCCCGCTGGACCGCAGACGCTATCGCTGTTAATGGTCCCGACGTCTTCCCCCTTTGCCGATCCCGCCTTAGGCAATCAGGATGGAGAATCAGCCGAAGACTTCTACCTCCATCTACATCTACCACCCGAGCTAGACATTCCTCTACCCGCGACTACCCAGATTTATCACCAACCTCCCAGAAGCTACCTGATCCCTAGATGGGACCTTGGCCCCGATAGCGGTGCCTTTACGCGCATCGAATTTCCTCCAGTCGGTAGTCGAGAAGGCCTTCAAGAGGATGTTGATACCTTTGAGACCATTCTGGCGCAATGTACCGCTTTCCTCGAAAGGGCGCCACCACCGAAAACAGCGACAAAGGAGAAGGAGAAGTCATCCTCGTCGACGCCAAAGAGTTCTACTAGATCATCACCAACTACATCCAAATCTAAGCTTGCTGCATCAGAGCAGCTTCCAGCATACAATCCAGCCACTTACAAACCTGGAGAGGCTTATGCAAAGGGTAGTCGGAGTTCTCAGCCAAGCGGCCAGATCGTACTGGTAGATGAAGAGGATGGCAGTGTCATTGGGGAACTATCAGAAGGGTACCAGGTTGTCGAGTCCGGCGTGAAGCCGGGTTCTAAAGGTAACAAGCACCCACCCCCCTAAGTCTCACGCAGCAATGCTTATTAGTTCTAACTATAGATCCTGTCGAGATTACTCTGCCCAATGAAGGGTCGAATAAGCTTTCTGTAGTTCCTGCATCCGCGGAACTGCTGGAGATGGAACTACATCCAGCTTACCAAAAGTCGTTTCTCGTTTCCAAGGCTGCATATGCATCTCGATTGATCATAACAACCTCGGACCTTGTTTCTAACGCCATGCAAAGTGGGTCAGAAACCTTTGTTAAGAAAACGAAACCTCTAGAAAGGGCCGTTACCTTCACGCCGGCTACACATGAGCGAGTCCGCCGGATAGGTAAGTTCTCGGGTGGGGTGGCCGATCTATCGTCCAAGACGGTCGGGCAGGTGACCAAATTGGCTCAGAACGTAGGAGCTACAGTTGCAGGGCGTGGTGTTAAAGAAGGCAAGCGAGGATACGGTCCAGATGGGAAACCACTCGAAAGTTTCAAGCCTGGACTGCTGAACAAGAGCTTGATGGCTTTCACAACTGTTGCTGATGGGATTGATCATGCTACGCGCAATCTTCTGAATTCGGCATCAACGACAGCAACAACTATGGTCGCTCATAGATGGGGTGCGGAAGCGGGAGAAGTGTCAAAACATCTTGGCGGGAGCGTTAAGAATGTCGGCCTGGTCTATGTGGATGCCACTGGAGTTTCTCGAAAGGCAATTATCAAAGCCGTCGGGAAAGGTATGGTGGTTGGAAAGGTTAAGGGGGGAGGGGAAATCATCGTGGGAGACGACACTGGTAGCCCAGAACCGACGAAAGGGTCAACTGGCTCAAATGCTAATCTAGTTGCGGAATCGGCGAGCATCAGTGGTTCTTCAGAGAGCAGGACACCAAAGCGTTCCTAGATTACTTTGAATGAATGAATGTCTAGGTATGACTATCAATATGGTATGAAACAATGTCAAGAACGAATAAAGCAAAAAAGATTCAAAGCAGTGAGCGAGTCTGCAAGGGAAGCGAGGGCAGGGCCTTGATAGCTCATATTGTATAATATTAGAGTCGGAATACATTTAGTCCAATGTTTTATATATACCCCTACCTACATTATACATCCATGGATACACCATTGATCAACATTGAATACCTACCTATTCAATATTGAAGTTGTCAGCATTCAAATGTTTCTTGGAAGTTGGTGTAGGTACGGAAGTACCTAACTAGATACTACCTAGTACCTAGTACTGTGTAGGTACCTAGGTGTGCAATTATGAAAGAGTCACGTGCTTCACTCTATTATCGACGCGCTTTCTACCTATTACCATAGCACTGTTGAAGCAAGCAGGCGCGACAATCTTAATTACCAGGGTTATTGTACAATGCCTAGGGTGCATAGTAATAGTAACGACAACTCGGTATTTTCATGCTTTCAACAACAAGATGAATTACATCAGCAACTCTGAATTGATCAAAATAAAGTGAGAAAGAAAAAAGGGAAAAAGGACAAAATACGAATGCAGGGTGTATGTCATATCTACTAGGTTAGGTACCTACTTAATACCTAGCATCACCTAGCATCACCTTCATACTTGAACCGACTCGACATTCACAATACCTACCTATCACGGCGGATCGTGGCTTTACCTACTTGGATCCATGTGTCGTTACGAATGTCTCGGTTCCATAATTCTTCTAATCCAAGATATTAACGATAAGATCCGGTCTAAGAAGCCTCCACATGCATTACAAGGGTTGGACTCTCTTCCCTAGCAGCCCCTACAACGTACATGGGAGTTGAAAGAGTCTCTTCCATGGATATCACTTCTAACACCATCATAGTCCTTCTCCTCCACAATGCTCCATGAGATCCTGCTCTCCCTGTCGGGGCACCCCTCGCCTCTACTCAGACACGACTATACACATTCCGCAGCACAATCCATCTTGTCCCCGCCAGAGCGAGAGCTACTGAAGACGGCCGGACACCTAAGTGATCTTCACTGCAAGCTCATAAGCTATACAGCTCAGATAAGCGCTACTCATCCTTCTATCATTTGCCGCGCCGTATCAACCTCCATCAACTCAATCTATCTCGCTGCATTTCAGAGGAAGGTATTAGAAGTAGAAGATAGCATCCTTCGAAAAGATGCTTCTCTCGTAGGCGCTTACAACATTGTGCCCTTAACCGCCGTCATTGGTGAATTCTCCGGTTGGACCCGCCGGATGGAATGGTTGTGGGATCTGGTACAATTTATGCTCAAGGAAGACGGCGGCTCACCTTGCCAGGCCGCACAGCTCATCAATAAACTGCGCGATGAGCTTCAGACTGGCTACGCCGATGTTGGGGAGGCTGCGCTTAGTCTTATCAGAGTAGCAGAAACCGCCTGGTTGAAGCAGGTTTCGGCCTGGGTCCTCTATGGCCGGATTCCTACGTTAGGAAATGTGGATTTCTTTATTCGAAAGAACGAAGATGACGAACGGGTGAGACCCTTGATATTACTTGTACTTATTAGGATTCGTAGCACTGATAGGAATAGGGCTTCTCAATCGAGCAAGGTTTATTACCGACATTTGTGAGGCTATCGACGGCTAATTCGATGCTATTCATTGGAACCTCATTGCATCGGGTCAAAACTAGAAGCAGCATAGAACCAAGCAATAATGGACTCGACCACCTCTCATCCCAACTTCAAACTTTTGCCGATTTATCGTCACCCCTCAATAGCGCAGCTTTTTCCAGAGCCATCACGTCCATCCGGCTGACGTTGTCTCGGACGACCTTGCAGAAGCTGTTGCCGTTAGCTAGAGTTATTGAGATGCTGACTCTATTTCGAAATTTCTTTCTACTCGGCCGAGGCGAATTTGCGATGGCCCTTACACAGCAAGCCGATGAAGTAATCCGTAGTCGATGGCGGCGCGCTGACAATCTTGCTTATGAGAAACGGTACGGGCTCAGCAATGTGACAGTTAAAGAAGGTGAGGTTTCCGCGGTTCTCACCAAGACCTGGGCTTTATTAGGCTCTATGCAAGGCCAGCATGCCGAAGAAGACGAAGAGCTCGAAATAGCAAGAGACGTGCTGCGCCTGAATCTATCCAAAGCTAAAGCAACAACGCCGATGAAGGGAAAGTCTAGTACAAGTAGCTACAAACAACCCAGCGGCATCACTAGCACTCCATTCCGAAACCTCCTCTTCTCTGTCCCTGTAGTTCTCACATCGCAAATCCCACCACCACTAGACCTATTTTTGACTGCGTCTGACGTTCAAATCTACACGTCCATCAACTCATACTTACAATCGATTCGCCGCTCTCATCTTCATCTTACAGACTTATGGAAAATAACCTCCCTTCGCCGTCACCATCCACCACCTCCTCGGCCCCCATACAGCAACACAAAGGGGGGTATCGCAAGAACTCGTACCCTTCGTGAGCGATGGTCCGCTCGTTCTTCTACCATGCGAAGCGCGTGGAGCACAAGCAGCGCAGCAATATTTTTCTTGGCTGAAACCGAAGCATACCTCCAAGTTGAAGTCGTTGAGGGTCTCTGGGACGACTTCCACCAGTGGCTGGTGGCGGGACAACACGACACGACGCCCTCTTCATCCAGCGATCCTTCGACACATCATACCAATACCTTCGACAAGGAAGAGAACAGACATTCTGACCACAATGACCCGGCTAGTCCGTCCAATCTAAACGAAACCCCGACAAAACCCAACTCAGGAACACCACATCATGACCCAGAAACCCTCGCCACAGCCCACCGCCTTTATCTGCGCACTCTAACGCGACGCCTCCTTTTAACCCAACCCTCCTTCACAGACGCACTGTACGAGCTTCTCGTGCAAATCGACCACCTGGTCGCCCTCGTGCACCGGCTCCACGGCATCTGGACTTCAATGGATCTCGAGGCCGACGAGGGTGTCGTGGATGCCTTCTCCGACCTCGGCGCTGAGGAAGCTGACGTGCGTGTCAATATCCGCGACGTGGAGCGTAAGGTCAAACTCAATGTCGAGGGTGTCGTGAACACCCTCCGCACGCTGAGCATGGACTCGGCATTCATGGCTGAGCTCGAGGGAGACGATGACGAAGATGGGGGGCCGGACGGTGACGGCTCGGGCCTGGGACCCGGAGCGGGGCTTGGCGATGATGTAGGGGGAGTAGACGAGGGAACGGGGTACGCGCCAAGACGCACGGGGGGTATCGATAGATTGCTGATGAAGCTGGATTTCGGCGGGTGGTTCGATGCCGGAAAGACGCGTGGCAACGATGGGATGGTGGATTTTGACGAGTTTTGATGACGGGGGGGATGTGAGATCGTTTTACCTACCTAGTTCATATAGGTGCCTGCCTACCTACCTGCTTAGGTGGGTAGTAGATAATAGGCAGGTATGAATAGTATGTCTATGCTGCCTAGGAATTGGAACTTCTATTAATATCACCACCACTACTACTCCTACTACTAACTGCTACTGTCTACCTACTCCGTCATATCCGTTCTTCGTATGAGCTAGAGGAAGATCATCATCGTCGTCATCGTTGTTGCTATCAGTTCGTGGACGGATGGATGGATGTTTAGCTGTAGGCTTCCAGTTGGCTGGCCTAGATTAAGTACCTGGACTCAAGAAGATACCTCGAGATATCAACTTATACTTCAATGTCGATCACTCGGTACTAGGGATGGTATAACAAAGAACGACTGCATACATGCTATTTAGAGAACGTGTTCATCTACCTATCTGTTATGGTGGGTAGGTAGGTAGGTAGGTAGGTAGATATCTTGTATGTTAAAGCAGCGGTCCTGGTTCTCGTGTACCTGCGTACAAAACCAACCTTAACAAGTAAAAACGTTGACGTTTTAGATGAGTGAACTACATGTACATACCTATGTAGGTTAATATGTATTATGTGTAGGTATGTAGTGTCACGGAAGATTACCCGAAACTGATCAACCTCCATTACCACCTACCTACCTACCTACCTACTCTCGACGAATATATACCTACCTACTTCGCAAGTTTATATAGGTAGGTACGTATGTAGGTTAGAAACTTCTGGAACCCTACATACCTCCTACATACTATACGCCAAGTAATCCGGGCGCTCCGATGGATCAACATCATAGGGCCATCAAAACGATCGATCATCTCGCGGTTCCAAGAAAACACACAACACAACACAACACAACACAACAATTTGAGCACGGACTTAAGATAGTAGGTTAGGTAGGTAGTACCAATGATATAGTTAGACATAGATTGTATATCCTCGTAGCGATGACGACGATTGATGAATTTATTTTATGCACTTGAGCTTGAGGCCCTTTGGTAGGTAGCTTGGTAGGTAAAATAAACGATCAACATATACAAGTCGAAAAAAGTAGTTCTGTCTCTCTCTCTTTCCCGAAGGGATGAAGAAGATTGATGAAAAAAAAAAAGCATTTGCCCCATACACCAAACCGATGATGATGATGATGATGATGATGATGATGATTTCCCCTTATGCTCCGAAACCCCCCGAATGTCCCAATGCCCATTAATGAAGTTCCCCAAAGATAAAACAAATGGAAACGAAGTTTCGACCGAAGTTTGAAAACCAAAACCAAAAAAAAGGTGTGGAAGATTTATACACTGAAGTTCCAATTCTCCTGAGGTATGTATGTAACAAAAAGCCGACTTAAGTATGCATGCGTGTGTGTGTGACGCCTTTCGCTATATCGCCCGCCCAAAATATAAAATGCAAAAATGCAATGCATACTTATGATCTCATATAGATAGAGGTATATATATATAAACATTGAAAAAAGACCAATGAAAGAACAAAAGGTGACGCCGGACGCTCATTGCTGTGGTATTTCGTACGACTCAATATTTTGGTCGTTGATGTTGTTTGACTGGTATAACAAAGGGAATCGAGATCGGGTAGAAGATGGTGGGTATAATTGTGGTATCGTGTAGCGTTATTGTGTAGATATGGTGTGGGTGAATGAGATGGTTGGTCCGTGGATGAGAAGAAGAAAAAAAAAGACCGTAATACGTAAAACATAACTTTTTGGTAACATAAGACGTGGCGTTATTGCTATTGCTATCGTCAATCATCAATTCGTCGCTCGATATTTTTTGTGACCGGAGACGGTCGGTGTGCCTTTTCTAATTTTTGGTCTTTTCTACTCGCTCGTAAACTGGGGATACGGTGCCGCGTGTTGGGAAAAGAAGGTATATGCCCTCGACGGATATGTCGTCAAAGGTGTCGTGGTTGTAGATAGTAGAGTGAATGAAGGTTGAGTGAATGGAGTCGAGTGAACGGAAATAAGAAATGTGGCGGCCTGGTTCCGCATGTGTGAGTTGTAGTATAGGATGGCTCCTTCATAGTTAGGGTATGTATTTTCTATCGTTAACCGATTCTCAGCAAGCAGCTACAGCCTTTTGAAACCGTAATGGGCTTGGGTGATGATCCGAATTCCGGCGCGCAAACATCTGTTGTACAAATGCTTTCGGGCTAACGTCCAGAGACCTGGACATGAGTGGGAGTCCAATGCGGTGGACCTTCTTCGTCTGCCAACGTTCCTTGATGCAATCGTCGACAAGTGCCATTAGACCAGTTGCAACGACAATGCTAGCACCAACTGTTAGTAAAGATAAAAAAAAATTGAAAAAGAAAGAAAAGGATATAATCAACTTACTCGGCAACGTCAGTCTTGGCATCAATCAACTTCTCGTCGCTGATCCACATGTGACAAGGAGGTACCCAACCGCCGGCTTGCTCATCGGCATCAATTTGGGTTGGTGATCGGGTTTCGGGAACGATGTGTGCTACAGGCGTGTGGTTCTGACCATCTCGGAGGAGGTGGTATGAGACGGAATCCGTAAGCCTGTCCCACACTCGCTTCCAAGAGTACTTGTGACCCCACCATTCAAACTCATATCTCTTAGTGTTCTTGTTTCCACATCGTGAGATATCGACGCGAGCGTAGTTGGAGAATTCGAGTTTAATTGTGTTCGTAGCCATAGGGCGAACCTTTTGCTTCTTGTCGATGGGGATGGCACTAGTCATGCCATCCGTAGAGTCCGAGTCGGCGGAGGTAGCAGAATGGCTCGTTCCGGGTCGGGTCTTAGGTGAAAAGACCGAACCACCAGTGGGAGCCCGGGTAACCTGCGGCCTCCTTGCTAAAGATTTCATTGCATTCGACATCGACCGCTTTAATTTGGGACGAGCTGTGATGGTGGGCTCGATATATTTGCGTTTCGAGTTGCATACTTCGCGGCCAGAATCCCGGCAATACCGTCGGAGAGAGAACTCGCGCTTGCTCAGGTCATACATTCTTAAGTGAAACAATTGGATCGTCTTCTTCCGTCTTCCCAAAACGACAGTGTCCACCCGCAGGTTCATGTTGCCGTCAGTTGTGAAGTCGTCGTGACGAATAGTCAACCTGTTCATAGAAGGGAACAGTGCAGCGAAATCCTCGGGGTTGGAAGGTCTGACATTAATTTCCTCAATGTCATGGCGGTAGGCGGGCAACGGGGGAATGTCCGAGTACTCTAGGCTCTCCTCCGCGTCCGAGTCGTCCTCGAATTCAGCACTCGAGGCCCGCGATGAATATGTGTCGACCGATGAACGTGGGTACAAGCTCGTGGCCGGTGACAGATCCTCCTCGTAGCATGGCGCCTGGAACTTGGGACTTTGGGATCCTGACTCCTTTGTGGACGGTCTAGGGCTGTCATACAAGGAGGTAGGGGTAGTGCTGGTTGAATCAAACGATTCACTGCTGTGCCTCGTGTTTTGGGTACTTGCGGTATGACAAGAGAAGTCGGTATCTCGTCTTCGTGCCATGATGAAGGGAGAGTTTGAAGTCATGTGTGCTGTTGAGTGAGTTTAGGAATTGCGGAAGGGTAGAGAGCTAGGTAGAGGGATAGAGGGGTCTTATATCAAGCTGGCTGGAAATAATGCGCCTGGCGATCTCAGGGTCCTGGGGCGGCGCGCAGTCGCAAGCGGGACACTTGGGATTCACGCAGTGGTGATTTGACCAGTTGCCCCACTGAGGCCTGATATAATGATCTTCTGTAAACGGACGCAAGGGTTTGTTTGAGAAGCTGCTCGACATGCGCCCAAACCGGGGAATAGACTCAGGTCCCGGTAGGATGCGTAGATGGTCAAGACTCGGAAAATGTATGGGGCCTATGATGGAATATGTAGGGTGAAATAGGGAATATGTGGACGTGGAAGAGGACTATAAGGACTATGTATGAAAACTTTGGATAAGTACGTTAGATACTTTGGTAATGGAGCGGGAGTTTATGCAAGAGGACCGACGCTGGACGAGATCCGTTATAAGAAAGCGAAGATGACTGGAGCAACATGGCACAACAAAAAGGGACATAAGATAGAGTGGAACGACGGGGAGGGCTTGAGTTGATGATATTGGTCGAAACTGAGCTGACGAAAGACATACGCCGGCAGGCGGAGAGCAGAAAACCAGGAGACGAAAACTGGCGGCACTACTAACCCTGCCGAGTACCCTGATACCTACTTGGGTAACTTAGGTAATTGTCACGATGTTGGCTGCATGGCCTACTATGTAGATAATATCAGTAATATACATATGATGTATGTATATGTGACTATTTGTAGGTATTGTATTGCTTGTGAGTACATACATATGTACGTACATACAGTACAATACATACATACATACATACATACATACATACATACCTACATGCTACCTCCATACCATGACAGAACATTCCTGTTGGTGGGGGTTCAAAAAGAGAGGCGGGAACCTGGCCAAGCCCAGACTATTACCTAGTACTAGGCTACCCAGGAATCTTGCCAGTGGGGGGCTTCTTTTTCCTCTCAAGTGCGATAGGATAGCGAGTCGAAACGAGACGGAGAGAGGTGGCACTCGGCACAGCAAAAGCTACGTAGGCCCGGCATGTACCTACTATATCGGAGGAAGTTATGCTTTCTTAAAACGTTGCACAATACTGTAAGTATGCATACATACCTAAGTAACATTGAGGTTGATGTATGCATCTTAGACCTTTTCAGTATTCCGTTCCATCATTCCGTTGCACAACTTTTTTTTCGAACATTGAAAGTATAATATGTATGTATGTAGATACAATACGTTCAATGTTCCCGGGATGGTGGCGAGCTTTCGTCGCACCACCATCATGTTAGGCTTTGTAAGCTTCCGCGGCTGCGCAGATGCTAGAAAACAGAAGCCATCGCATTGGCTTCAGCCTTTAACACTTGTAGGATCCGAAGATACTATCAATGGTGCTAAGGTAATGATGATCCTGCCACGGGATCAAAATTATATCTCTCTTGCGAATCGGGGTGTTGACAAGTTGTAGAAGAATTGGATCATTTTCTAACCGTGATACAAAGGGAGTAAAGGGGGAGGGGAGGAGGAGAAGAAAAGATTTGATTGAAGAATGTGTTAACCTAATAATTTGTTTTCTTGATAAAAAGATCCACGCTACTACCTAGTACTACCGTATAATACCTAGTACCCAGTAGTAACTGTAGTATGTGCATCTATGTACCTAAGAAGGAGCTCTCCAGGGCTATGGATTCTCCGATAGACAGATTACATTGTAGATCTATAGCTAGGTACTAGCGTGTCAGATACCTTAAACTATCAAGTGGGTTCAATGTTGATAACATTGAAGGGAAAGTGCATAGGGAAAGAGGGTATGTACATAGTACCATGGATGTAGTAGGGAAAGGAAGAAGAATGGAAAGAGTCATGGAAGCTTTTGTCTTAGATTTCCCCGTTGTCTTACCGATTGCATTGAAGGGAAATTAAACCTTTTTTTTTTTTTTCCTATTCGACTTGTGCGTACAAAATAATTCTCTTTTCAATTCTTGGTCAATGGACCGCCGCCATTTCTTGATAATCAGTATAATTCACGCATTGCAGTTGGAGCTTATCAACTTTTCGGCACCTCGATCCTGTTACACAACAGCTCACTTGCCTATTTACTAGGTATGCGATAGGCTACTAACATAATAGAGAATATACCATATTAGTAGATAAAATAATATTACGCTCAAGCCCAGAATGGTAACCGTTTCCGAACATCATACACCTTTTTTAAAACAAAAACTGTACCACTTTCGCGGTCTCGGTCAGTTCTCGTCAAAGATAGTCGGGAAAAGACGAAGCTTCTAGATATGCCTGCAGCATTTCTCGATCACAGCCTCAATAGTCCCGAAATAGTCGTGGATTCCTGAGTAATACTTGACCAATTCAAGTTTGGGATTTGTCAATGTCCCATATATCCTATATATTCTATACTAGGTACATACTTATCCCATATGTGAAAGCCACGCCTGCCACGAAGTCGGTCTACCGAGCCTTGTGAGACCGACAACAAGCTATACAACTCGTCATGTGAGCGGGTCGCAACAGAAGATCGAAACGGAGATCCAAAACTGCTGATACATGGTGCTCCGTTATGACGTCTCGGTGATGGCCGTCTACTCCATATTAAACTCCATGGAAGTACATATGTAGGTACCCACGTCGTCCTTAACTTCGGGACTGTTAGGAGCTGCACTAACGTACTTACCTACCTACGACGTAGGTATGTATCCAGGATTCCAGGTATGTATGTAGGTAGTACATATGTAGGTAAATTCTACCCGTCGTCACTGTTTCCATCCTTCCGTTCCGGCAAGCCCTGGAAGGATTACTACTTACCTAAACACATGGTCATACTACATACATGGCAGCATGGGTAACCTACCTAGGTCCTATACAATACTAACTATTCTTAGGTATAGGGAGCACGAGATGTGACCATCTACGAAATCTCAAATTCTCGCCTACTACTTCAGGTCTCTTAGAAGGCCTCAAGAATCCGGGGTACGGATTTGCCCAACCAGAAAGCATCGCTTCTACGCGGCCACGACAACCGTGCCGACTATCTTCAGGGCTGCCATTTTTTGATTGGTACTGTACCTATCTAGGTAGTCTGCGTTGTCGACAGCATTCGTTTGCGCTCAATTGGTTTTAATTTTCAATTTCTAACTGCCACGCCTAGGTTCTAGATGCCGCAATATAGCTTCGAAGCACTACCTGAGGGTGCCATCGCACCCCCCAAATGCCTTCACACCGGCCAATGCTTCACCTGGAGTGCTTCGCCAGACACGGTATTGGTTTCTCGAGTTTACGAAAATCTTCATACTTGCATACTAGAGTAATTATTGGACCAACTTTCAAATCGACGGCAGCATCGATAGATTGCGATCTTGGGTAGGTATGTATGCCATCCCATCCGCTCCTCCAACCCGAGCATAGTTCTCTCTTGAGGGAGGAGGGTATGAAATTCGCCAATTTTTTAATGCCCCGTGGTTCGTTCCTCATTCAAAGGAGTCCTTTTCCGCAGTTGAAGCAAGATATGATTGATCATGCCTCATCCTGCTTAATCCAAAAACAAACATGAAAAAATCATTAAACAGAAAAAAAAAATTTGTACAACGCTGTGCTGCATCTCGGTGGTGGCCAGTTCACATGGGCGTCAATCACACGAAACATCTGTCGCCATTAATCCCCATCTCTAGCGCGCTTGTATCCGTGCGACAGCTGGTCAGCTACCATCGGCTGCTCTTAGCTTTACTACATACAAACTCTTTCCGGTTTGGCCTTAGTGAGTGCAGCTGTTCCTGCCATTTTTGCTGGTCTTCTGGTCCTCTGGTCCTCTGCAGGTCGTTAAATACGGGCACGGCTGTGTGTCAATCGTTCATTCGCTGGCTGATTTGGGCCCGACCTCAACATGAGATGCGAGCCCATGCGCACAGGGAGGCTCACGCACGTGCTTCTTAGCACCATGATGTTCCCTTTTCCCAGAGATAGGTTCATCATTGGTCATACACTGTCCTCTCTCTTCACAAGACGAAGCATTGCCGAGGAATACAGCGCAAGTGTGTCTCCTCTGGTTAGGTCACCCTGCATACATAGTACTTTCAAAGGTTAGGCCCTTGAGTTTCCGAGAATGGAAATTTGACTTTTCGGCTATTCTTTTCCATCTACAGATGACTACAGATGGGAAATGGGCCTAGTCAAGAAGTATTGGTGTCATCTAGGATGATGCTAGGCTATGCCACGATTACAGACACTAGCTACCCCTATGTAGATTCCTTGGATTTTGGTCTTACAAGCTGTTCGTTAGATATTGATGCCTTAGGGTCACATTTCGTTGCTGTCTCCTGCCCAGAGCCAGATTCACCAATACCCACGCGATCCAAGGGATATGAAGTGTGTTGCAGTTCATCGGAAATCGACAGCAATTCATTTCTTACCGTCGGCGATCTTCACGATGCCAACCACCCGATCACGAATTTCTTGATGAATAGTGTTGATCTTTGTCTTCAATCTTCGTCTCGTAAGCGGCTGCTTGTACCGCCTCCTACCCCACAGCATGCCCACAACATGCAAGATGCCGAAGTCGGCTCCCGGCTCGCTGGGTACCCTATTTGACCGGGTTGTGTTCCCCTTGACGCAATCGGCCTGCTCCATCAGAGATCATGGCTTTGCCCCTAGGCCCCTAGGCCCTTAGGTCTACACAGAGATCCTCATCAGAGCCTATTCCCATAAGACTCATAAGACTCATATAGGTGGTCCAGTACTGTGGAGCACGAGCTTATTATAACTTTTGGGTCAATCGGGGACATCCTGTGACGCTGAGGGGACCTGTGTGCATAGGCACATACAAGGTATGAATAGCTTCAGACCTTGTCCATATTAGGCCATATCAGGCCTTTATCTATCTTCCAAGACTATGGTCGGCGTAGCAACTTGCTCTTCCTTTGATGGCTTAGTTCATGACTCTTTAAGTAAAGCGCTTTGTAACGTCGCTATCCAGAATGTGCCTGTGTTTCATGGCGCGTCAGGCGGCAATTTAACATCACATTTCATAAATCCCACTCCAAAACATGCCTAGTCCCGCGAACTTGGACCATGGGCGAGAAAGACAGAAATCCCTAGTAACCAATTGGACCAAATTTATGGATTCGATTGTCAATGCCTCCACGTCTCCCTCGTCGGACTTCTGGGTCAGACACACAACAGCTTCCAATGGAAGTGGATAGTAGACAGATCTAGGGACTGAAAGGTCCAGCAAATAGAGCTCCCCCTGAGCTCTACTGGGTCACAACTCCAATTGACTCCAAAGATAAACACACGTTATCTGATCCCTTGCCATAGCTCCGACCAAGTATGCATTGGTTTTCTCCGATATGCCCATGATTGGGAAACGTGGGGAGCTTTGGGGTGGCAGCAGGTATTGGATGATTCATATATTCCGTAGTCAAGACTACGACCCTGCGATGCAAGCATATTTGCCCTATCGGACCCCCTCGGTAAAATCAACAGCCAGCTATGGGAAATAGATTTGGTCCGAATCTCCCTGGCGGCCGAAACTGGCCATGCTTTGATTAAATTTCCAAGGCTCGATTCTATTGGTCTTCGCCTCCCTAAAACATAGGTAGATACCTACTGGGTAGTCTATCGCGGCGAATTCTTAGTCCTAGGTGCCGGCCGGACCATCCTCACCATAGACTGCTCTTACTCCTATCCGGGTACACATAACATACCTACCTAGCAAATCTATTTATTGATATCAATATCTATTCACTTTGAGGCAAGTTAAATCGAATGGCGACGATAGCACCGAACGACCACCTGTTCACCCAAGACTTGGACTTATCTTCAACCTTTGTGTGTCTGAATACGTGGACTGCACTGACATTATCTTAGGCTAGAAAAAAATAATACAGCTCGAAGACTATTGGCTCTCTTCTATCCAAAGTGTCTACGATCGTCAACGTTGGCTGTTTTGGATTATTCTCCGATAGCTTATTGACTATCAGATATTAGATTGGTACTGTATGTGTGAGGCAAGGGGCTCTCACAGGCCATCCACCCCCTTTAGTAGCACTCGCCTAGAATAGAGCCAAGATGGATCAATCAAAACCCCAACGTCAAGCTCGGCTCCGCCTAAGAAGGTAAGCCTTGGGTTTTCTTGTTTAGCTTAGATTTTGTCTAGCCTGAAAATCGAGGCCTGAACGAAACACAGCCCGTTAATTCGGAACTGATATGGTAAGCAGGTAGCTCAGGCAGAAGAGTAAATTTAGTTATTTGTCGTATAGTTCGCCTAAGGAGCACAAACACATGACCAACCGTACTTCCGGATCAGCTTCTCACTGCATATGCTATTGCTGCAAAGTCCATTAGACTAGCTTGAAACAGAGCAGCAAGGCACACGAGACACCCACATACAAAAGAGGCAAGCAAGACAGCGCTCGTACTTGTATAACGTGTCCACGTTACCCTACAAGACAAATCTAGACCGGCAAATCCATCCAAGAAACAAGTGAGACGTCTCGGGTGTCCGCCTTCGCACCCTCCGGCCGTCGTTTCCGAAAGGCTACCGGGCACCGGAGCATGAAGCAAGCACAAGAAAGCATCTTTAAGGGGGAGAGAGCGGGGAGGGTGGATGAGAAAACCAAAGCGGAACGCAACGCAACGCAACGCAACACAATGCGGGATGGTAGTGGCTGTCTTTGTCATACTATAGATTCCACTCACTACCTACCTACTTGAGGTAGGTCCCTTTCTGGCAGATCTTACAATACGTCGGTGGCTTAGGTCATCATTGGGCAGTCTCGCATTTTATTCTGTCTTACGCCTTGGATTTTATTTCTCTTATCTCCGATCACTGGTAGGTAGGACATAGTAGGCTACACTATACATAAGCAACCTATCACTTTGGGCAGTCGGTCAATGACGTCGCATTGCCTCTCATTTTTTTTAAAAAAAAAAATCCTTTTCTCCTCATCGGTGTCGTACACCGAGAGGGCAAAACCCCCAACAGACGAACCGCACGGCACTGCTATATTCTCTTTGGTTACCGTACCTATTCTCTCTCTCTGTCTATCTGGTTCTACTGTGAGGAATGAGGCTCAAGAGTTGGAATGATGACGTTACCGTGTTACCATTTCTCTCTTTCTTGTTAATGCTGTGTCTTGATGTTTTTTGCCTTCTACCTACTCCTGCCCACCTACCCGGTAGGCAGTCTTCGTTACCAGTAGGTCCCCCCCTCTCGCCCCCTTTTTTGAGATAGAATCGCGGACGCGTATAGGACATTCCAGAGCAAGAGAATGTGTGGGACAGAGAGTAGCACAGCCTAGTTTGAAGACGTGGCTTTCGTAGGATAGGGAGGCACGGCTGTCACGGACTGAGATACTATACCGATGGTGATGGTATCCACGCGCGCAGAAGAAGAGGTTGCAACGAGTACCTAGGTAGGCAGACATAGGAGTCACTTGGTTACATACATAGACAGACACATTTCCATAATAGCATTATATTAACGTCGATCAGATAGTACCTGCACATCCATCTATCTATCAGATGATTTGGCTTATACTGTATCTCATGATATCGCCCCCCTATCTAGTCAATGTTATAACATCTACCACATGAGCAAACAAACAAGACCCAGACTTAAGTCCATCATCTTTATGCTGGGCCACACTAGGTACACCCGGACACACCGTGGCGACTCCTTTCTTACTCGCAATTGTATAGGGGCATGATATGTGGCTAATATACACTACCTCCTCTATACCACACGCCGCCTCAAAGTCATCTCTCGAATCGAGATACCAAGATTGGCCAGGTAAGTAAAAGCCACCCGCCTGACTCTTCAATGCCTAGATATGCATTTCATAACATAGCATAGCCTCAAACATGTCCGTGGGTAGCGTAACTGCCGAAAGGGGGGGGCTTAGCTACCCAAGAGCCCACAGAAAGGAACACGCAACTGCCGGGCTCCATAGATTCTCGAACTTGTCTATTTATACTTACACTTACCTAGGTGGACACTTACTAAGGTAGCCAAGTAGGTAGACGGGTAGACGTTTGGTTTTCATTAGAGAAAAGCGGCAGAATCTATTTCCGGTAGGTATTCGGCTAAGGCACTTGGGAATACCCACCTACGTGGTTGAGCGTTTGCGGGATGGCAGCGCCGGACCGTTTCATAGCCCAAGATAACCTACCTATACGAGTAGAAAAAAAAAGGGGGGGGGGGGGCGCTGGATAGCTGGCGATGGCTGAGTAGTATAGTAGTGTATAATGTTTACAGCCACCGCGACATCACTAGTTTTAGGACTGAGTTTCGTCGACAGGCTTTGCGTGAATATAGCCACATACCTAGCTTTCTATGTACTTACTTCCGGGCGATACTAGTAGGTAATCTGGAAGCCCGTCCCATCGGAAGGTAGGCTATGTCTAGGTAGGTACTTACCGAGGCACGGTCTATATCACAGCGCCGATCGACTCATAGCATCTTCACAGACGTGTGTTGAATATTTACCTATACTACCTAGGTACATTGGCTTCTTGTAACCCACGCATGAAGTCGTGTCATCGGCTGTATGCTCGTCACGGTAGGTAGCCATGAAGATACAAATAATCCTACGCAGGCCACTTCCAAGAAAACCAGCAGCTATCAACAACATACTAACTTACCAAACTATTACCTACTACTTCCTGCCCGTCTACACAGCCCGGGGAATTGATTAGTAACAATGTATATATTTGCTCCGTGCTCCGTACTCAATACCCCGACATAAGATTGGAATATACACCATAGGTATGATATATGGATGCCAGAAGTCAAACACCCCTCAGGCCCACAACGCCTGACCGGGACTGACAAGATGAGCCAACGGTGCAACGGGTGGCCAAGCAACTATGCCGGAAAAAAAAAAAGTGCGCTGGACACGATTTCACTCGGGGGAGACAACGAGAATAGTTAGAGCATCATCATGTATGCCTTCTAAGGGTTGCTACGTAGGTACGTACCTACCTAGGATACACCAGAACAGACATGTCCCTGTCCCTTATATGGGAGAGTAGGAATTTATGTATAGGTAGGTATGGTAGGTACTACCTAGAGTTGCTCTACGCGCCACATACCGCTAGGGAGGTTGCGAGGGCAGGTCCTTCCCCCTTGCTACGGCCTTTGAACATACCTACCTAGGCAACCAACGAACCAACCAACCAACGATCCATCCCCAGAGCGCGTTACTGCAAAGGATAGGTAGAACGTTGACACCAACAGAGTGATTGCCATCATAGTACTACAATAATAACGACGACGACGACGACGACGACGACAGTGATAGCAACAATAACTGCAGCAGCAGAAGTAAACATGCATAGAATAATTCCAAATGTAGGCCATCATGGGTTCGTACCGAGCAAGGAGGTTACGTTGAGTTGGTAAAACCATATCCAGAACCTCTGATGAACACGACAAAAGTTATTACCTACACTACTTATGTACTCTCTCCACGTAACTCTCTTACTATATATTGCTTGTCATACCCCTTTCCCATGGTACCTAGTAGGCACCCTTAGGTATTTCCATACCATACAGCCATATCAACTACCAACTCACTTCTACACCCCCCCTAGGTATGCATGAGCTACCCCTAATTATCACCACACCCACATCACCATAATCAGGCAAAGCAACACACCTCATCGTCATCGTCATCATCTTTGTTACTAACTACCTAATAACGGGAGTGGAAGAGGAGGAGGGGAAGAGTGAAAGGGTTGGTTGATTTAGTCTACCTGGGTAGCTTTAACATAAAACTTAGCTGTGTTGATGTTGTTGTTGAACCAAATCAACCTATTAACTGGTTACAGGGCAAAAACGGCATCGGCATTGGACTGTCCACGCTGACCCTGCCATCAGAGCCAACCCTAACTAGAATCGGCCAACGGTACTCGTACAAGGAAGGCCTGCGAGACCGCTAGTCCGAGCTCCAGCCGATCCAGCTCCGCGGCATCAACCGCCAGATCTTCACCTCACCACTTCGCAGGTCTTCCAACTTGAAACTCTCCTGCTTCACCTTTTTGCTCTCCCGGCCCTGTTCCCAAGCCCGCACCTTCTTTTTGGTACCGTCCCATTCCGACACGATGGCCACGTGATCCGGTTTGCCTACTTCCATAGAGTATTTCGCGTGCATGGGCCCGTGCTTGCCTTGGAATTTGGCGTTTCGAATGGAAACGATATCTCCCGGTCTGATCTCATCATTCTGCTGTGTAGAAGCATTGGCTAAATTGGCGTAAACCAGAGCGCCGTAAGCGCGCGTACCGACAGGAAGCAGAGCATCCTTGAGCGGCTTAAGAAGTTCCAATATCAGGGCTTGTGGAGTACCATCTCCAACCACGGTATCTTTCTTTGACGCAACTGCGCTGGCTACTGATCGGCCAAATCGCTCGTAAGCCTCTTCGAGCTCATCCTGCCGGAGGCTACGAGGAGGTGCTTCATGGCGCTGTTCAAAGACAGCTTCTGTAGGCGCTTGACTATCGAAACGAACGGTGATGACAGTTTGTGAATAATCCTGGAATAGTATGGAAACCTCCTTCGTCACTGAAGTCCCCGATGTGGATTCACCAACCTCGGTGTAAATATCTCGCCTGCCCTGGAATATGGGAGGTATCATAGTTGCCGAAAGCCACCATTGTGTATGGACAGCTAGGTCAATCTCGTTTGCCACGAAGCCAGTTTCCATTGATGGCCGAGTGGCATCCACTGATCTCCTTGCGTCCAACGATTTTCGAATAGGTAATCGATTGACTGGTGGTGCAGGAGGAGGCCCCCGACTACCTGGTGGAGGTAGAGTGGGAGAGTTGTAGGAAGAGGCCGACTGGGGTGGCTGCGTGGGCTGCTCCTGGGAAGTTACAGTCCGAGAGGTTGGGGCAGATGCGTTTGCCGCTGCGTTGTAGTTATATGGGTCATAATCTTCATCCTCAAAGGAGTAGGATACCTCTTTCGGTGGCGGCGGAGGGACGGCACGGGGCGCATCTACTGATTGTCTTGAGCCTGGTGCCGGGTGACTCGGAGGCGGCGGGGGAGCTCTCGTGGCAACAGCATTGAGGGCTGCAGGTGGCAAGGATGACGGAGCTTCGAGGACTGGTGAGCGCAGGGAGGTGCTATCATCGAAGCTTGAGTCTCGCGCATGCGATTTAAGCGCGTCCTTATGAGGAACTGAGGACGCGATGTCAGTATCATAATCGCCCTCATACTCGGTGACTTCTCCCTCTTCACCATTGTCTAAAGCTCCAGGTCTCATCGGGACTGCGGGCCGTTCGTCAGCTGTAGAAGAACGACTAGGGGGGCCAGGAGGAGGTGGGGGTGGCGGGCGACCTTGAGTGGGAGGTGCGGCTGCACTCGGGATGGGAGGCGGCGGACGGCTATTCCTCTTGCTTAGCTGTGAAGGAGGCGAGGATGGAGGGCCCTCCTCGCCCATGTAGGAAGGACGCCTGGCAGAACCTCGGGGCGAAGTCGGCATCACAGGGGACGTCAAAGGAATAGGGGGGACCCGGGCCGTGGGAGGCGGGTGCTCGCCTCGAGGGGTTTCGAGGGCCCTCTGAGGATTCTCCGACAACTCATCGTCAGACTCGGAACCTTGACTAGGAGAGGTTATACCGGTAGGCGGAAGCGGAGGAGGCCGGGCTAGAATACTGATTAACTTTTTTACTACAAACCAAGGAGAGAAAAAGGACTGACAATCTGTAGGCACTGGGGGAGGTGCAGGCCGTCCAGCAGGAACAGGGGGTGGGCCACCATGGGATTCTGATAGGGCTGTCCGTTTTGTTAATCGCCGCACAGTAGTCATTATAAGACTAAGCACATGCCGGGGTTCAAACTTACGCTCTGGGACCGATCCTGTTGGCTGGGCACTCACAACGGGAGTGATCTCTTGATTACTTGGCTCCTCATGATCTGACTCCACAACTTCTTCCTCTGGCTGCTTCTGCTTTGCCATGCCGGGTAGGGGCATCATAACTGGAATAGGGGGAGCGGCCATCCTTGGCGAAGAAGGCCTTTCTATATCATTTGAACGGCGCTCCGTTGGTGGTGGCGGCTTCGGTTTTTTGGCAAGTGCTGGGCCTCCGAGGGGCATCATACCCGCAGGATTGAATAGGCCAGGAAATCCCATACCACCGCTCATCTTCGCCATTCGAGCACGGAGCTCCTCTTTTCGTCTAACCTCAGGGTCGATCTCTTCTTCTTCCTCAATCTCTGTGCTCTCGGCTGCTGTCGGTTCAGAGGCTTCTCCGGTATGTGGACGAGACTTCTCATCACTGTCGTCCCTCTCAGTGAGATCCTCTTGCCCCTCAGTCGTATCTCCCGCACCCGACATATCTGCCTCGTTACCATCATTCTCGGCGCGTGCTGCAGAAGACTTCCTTCGGGCGGGCACACCCTGTCTTGGAGGTCGAGACTCGTCGAGAGATTTCTTGCTAGCAGTTTCGGCAGTGTCCTTTCTCTCGGGGACTGGAGGAGAATCCACCGCCTCACTTACTGCAGCGCCTTCCTCGCTTTCCATGCGCTTCTTCGGTGGACGCTTCGGCTTCTCCTTCTTTGCGGCAGCCTCGGCATGTCGCTGAGCCGCTTCAGCTTGCTGCTTCTGGAGCAGAGCAATACGTTCCTTCAGACTAGTAGGTTTTGGCTGGTCTTCATCTTGGCCTTCGATAGATGCCGCAGGAAGGAGACCGGCCCTCTCAGCATTTTCTTGAGATTCTGCCTGAGTAGCTTTGATCTCGGGATCTTCGTCACGTCGATAGATCTTTGTGGCAGGTATATCTCGAGGTGGAGCAACGTAAGCATTCCTGCTTGGCGGAGGAGCGATGAACGGCTTCTTGACAAACCCGGAGCTGCCGGCACTAAGGCCACTAGGCTTGAAAGGTGTGACAGGCGGGGCTGCCGGCTTGTTGAAGGCAGCTATGCGATCCTTGAAAGAACCGATGGCGGGTTTCTCGGACACCGGGGGAGGACCAGCGCGAGGTTTAGGTGGACCTGGAGCTGGGCCTTTAGGTGTCGCTCGAGTAGGAACTATAGGACTCGATGGATCAGGAAGCTTTGTTTCGACAGGTACAGGAGCCGAGATGGAAGCCGGCTCTGGTGGTTTGGCGACAGGAGCAACAGGAGTGGGAGGCGAATGAGGTACCGGAGGTGGAAACGTTGGTGAAGCAAGACGTGGATCTTGATGAGCGATCTCCAACGGGATCTCTGCAGATTCCTCCACTGCAGGCGGCGGCGAAGCCGGAGGGCCAGGAGGTGGAGAGGAAGAAGCGGTGGGCTCTAGCTCCTTCTTACGAGATCTCGTTGGGCGTGGCGGGGCGGTCGGCTCATATTTCTCCACGAAGTTTCTGGGGAAGATTCCCTCTTGCTTAACGCCTAGGCTATCAACATACTCACCAGCGTACCAATCAGCATCCTCTTCTTCGGTAACGGTTATGATCTGACCGACTCCAAAAGGTAGGTCATCCTCGTGACTCGAAGTATACTCGTAGACGGCCTTTACCCTAAATGGGACGGCCGCCATGTTGCGTCAGCGTCGTAGAGTTGTCTGGAATGGTTGAAACTTGGATGTCTTTGAAGATGGCTGTACAATTGGCGGGGTCGTTCGATGACGAGGGAAATGAATGCGACAATAAGATATGCGAACTGCTAAGTTTGATTCTGGCAGTCGGAGATGGAACGGGGCTTCAAATCTCAGGACGTTCGTTTAAAAGTCACAATACCTAACAGTTGAACAAATTAGGTAGAAGAAAGACGCATGAGGCTGAGCATTCGCAAGCAGCCTGTTACAGCTCGCGGCTGGAGTAGGTCGACGTCAGCGCATAAACTTGTACCCCTAGTATACTACTACTAGTAACCTAGGCACTACTACTAGTAGTAGGTAAATATGTATGTAAATGACCTAGGGTAGGTAATACTATATTTTTCTTTTTTTGTTTTTCTTTTTTTTCAATGGGATGGATGCTAGGATGGAGATGTAACCCACCATAAAGAGCCAAGCTTGACCTATTAATTGCCTACAGCAGTAATGGTAATGTGCGTACGTGCTTCAAGTTGGGCCGAATGCATAAGCTGTAGTGTTTTAAAGTCGTGTTTGTTTTGTATTGCACACACTGAGCTTTTAGAACGTATCTCGCTTTCCCAAGCTTCCAAAGGATTGGTTTTTTTCAAAAGTTCAACGTCGTTAATTTTTTAAAAAGGTAAAAACAAAAAAAAGGGTTCTTGGGGGTTTTTTTTAGTTCTTGGTTATGGTTGTCATGTAGTAACCTTGGAAGTATTTAAAGTATTGAACTAGCGACAATCAATAGGTAATCAAATAAAAGGCTATGTAGGCCACTATGTGACTATGGTTACTGATGGCCTGGGCAGGTACCGTAAAATAGTGGTACAAAGTTAAAGGCTGGGACTAATAAATCAATCAATTTATTAAATCGGCAATAGACAGACAAGACTGTAAAGTGCTAAGGTTAGGTGAAGTTGCGGGTTGAGATGCCTGGTCCTGGTGGAATCAAACATGAAGGGAAAGGGCATAATGCTGCTGCAGCAGGGTTTCATAAGCTTGGCCTTGGCTTTGAGTCTTAAAACTCATGGTCTGTTCCGAAGGTCCCTACATATTAGTAGTACCATAGTGCAAATAAAGAGGTAAAGGTGCACGGGCCAATGACGATAACATACATACATTGCATGCACCTGCTCGCTTCAGTTATCAGTTAGCCTCACATGAGATGCTGGGCCTTTGTGGTTAGTGCCATGTGGCGGGCGTCTTTTACTATCACGTGTTTGACGGGAAAGTGAGTATGTACATACATAGCGTATCCATTTAAAGTATCCAAATAACATTGAACGTTGAACATCATCGATCGCATCCGTTAAGTCAAGCCAAATCCTAATATTTACATTAACCTAGGTACTTTACATACATCCAAATTCAACCAACAACATTTCACAAAACAGCATTGCACCAAAAAAGAGCAAAGATGTCAGCCACCACATCCTCACCACCGAAAAAGCCAAAAGGCATCCTAAAGAAACCCTCTGCCACATCTTCAGCAGCAAAAGCCAAAGCTTCACCAACAGCAACACCAACCACCGTCCTCCCAATTCCCATCACCCCCTTCCCCGTCGAAGAAAGAGCCTCCTCTTCCTCTATTACTACTACGACAACCACCGCTGCTGCCACCACCGCAACCCCCAGCGCCCGCGAGCTCGCGATCCAACAAGCCCTCCTAATCCAATCGCAGCGAATCTACGAGGACCAAATCCAAGAAGCCACCATCCAACTCTCTCACCTGCCCCTCTCCCGCCCCTCCTCCCCCTCCTCCCCCTCCCCCACCGACCTCACCACCTTCCGCACCCTGATCCGCCTCTTCCAGCCCAGCGACTACGAAGACCTGATCGCCGAGCGCAACACCCTCAAAAACTGCGGCTACGTCCTGTGCCCCAACCCACGGCGCAAGCTGGCGGGGACGGGCGAGTACAAGCTGCTGAACTTCGGGCGGCGGGACTTCAACATCGTGCCCCGGAAGGAGCTCGAGCGCTGGTGCTCGCCCGAGTGCGCGCGCCGCGCCATGTACATCAAGGTGCAGCTGTGCGAGTGGGCCGCCGGCGCCGGCCCTGCTTCCTCGTCGAACCTTGAGATCGAGCTGCTGGATGAGCCGAGGGAGAACCAGCAGCATAGCAAAGGCGGCAGCGACGACACCGACGAGACAGCGAGGCAGCGACTAGCACGGGAATTGCGAAGCCTAGAGGCGGAAAAGGAGAAGAAGGCGACGCGCGACGCCATAGACCTAGCGCTCGAGCGAGGCGACAAGCCGACGCAGACGAAACCACCGGTCAAGGTGACGATCCGGGAGAAGGCTGCCACGGCAGCGGCGCAAGAGCCTTCCTTGGACAAGGACAACGACAACGAGGACCACCTGCTACTTGATGGCTACAAGCCCAAATGGGGCCAGGAGATTAAGAATAGTAGTAAAGATATCGTGGAGGCTGTTTCTAAACTTTCAATGACAGAATCATGAATAATGGCGTAAGGAAAAATTAAAAAGTCACTCTACTTGCATACTCATACTACGGCGTTTTAGTTAGGATCAAAAAGATACCCCTTGCAATAAGCAAGCAAGACGGAATAAGCAACTGGTTGAAGAATATGATAGCTCAATGAAAAATTTACAGTTGCTATCGGGAAACCTTCGTTGCTACTATGTTGTAAATTTGCAGCATCGTCGTAGGAGAAACCGTGGATGCAGTACCGAAAATACTGCGCCCAATGGTTCTATGAGGAAGACAATTCACGTATGCACGCATCAAGGTAGGAAGGGGAAAATGGCAATCAACCGTCATCTCCAGCTTTCGCTATCAAATCAGGGACACCTAGTGTGGGAAGATCTCGTCAATTGCGGATCTAGAATGAACCTACTATCGTCCGTAGTAGAGACGCCGTATAGTCATGAGACCGATGCCAATAGCCCTTAAAATCAACCCATAAACCATCCACCCTCATTCATAAATGCCGCGACGTCATCTCCCGTAGTACTTTTTTGATTTATCGCGGGGCACGGTCACCGAATCGTCGGGGTCGCTCGGCGGTCTGTTGTTGAGTAACAGGTACGACGTTGACAGGGACGTTCTCGAACTATAGTGTAGTCAAGTTAGTATAATCAATCCGCGCGTCAAAGCACCACGTATGCTTTAGAGGGAGGAGCTTACGCCAAGGTGCTTCAGTAGGTCCTTGGTCTCAACATCGATATCGAGCTGGCCAGACTCGGTGTTCAACGTGAAGTCAAGAGCAGAAACCTCGGGCACGTATTGATCCTTGCGTTCTCGCTCTTCTTCCTGGAGCTTGAAGGAGATACCGCGGACGGGTCCTCGTTGAATTCGTTTCATCAAGTGAGTAGTGTAGCCGGCAATCTATATTCAGAAATAAAGAGTTCATGTTAGCCAAGTTCTTCCGCGAATTCTTGATTTATGTGTCGCCTTGTATTCGCGTATATTTCAGAGGATAGAAGAGGTGCTGGCTGACCTTGTTGCGTAGGCGCTTAGAGGCGATGATAGCGATCTCATCACAAACTCGCTTGTTGGTCTCGAAGTCAAGAGTGAGCTTGGGGTAGTATCGCTCAATGATGACCTTGGCGGACTTCTTCACGGTCTTGGTACGAACGCGACCCATTTTGGCGGTATTGAGGACTGTGGGTTAATTGGGAGTTGAAAGGAGTCTGGTGGTTGAAGAAGTCCGAAAATTGGTTGTGCTCTGCTTGTTTGAGAAAGTCACGAAAAAGAATATTTGCGAGTGGGTGAATTCTGTGTGGGGGAAAATTCGGTAAAACTCCGGGTGGGTACTAGGGCAGGAAAGAGTTATTGCTACTAGCCTACTACTACTGTACCGCCGTAGTAGGGGGATTAGGTAATTAACAGCCCATGACAGTTGGCAACGGTTATTGTCGGTTCAAAGTTAAAAGAACATTGAAGCATTCAAGTATCCACATTGATATTCTCAAGGTACATGTACATACCTACCGTCGTACTCGAAGCTGTAATGCCAGTGGATACATACTATAGATTACATAGGTAGAGAAAAACATCAGTACCTATCATAGACACTTATTTAGATGGCATCGAGTAGGTATACACCATATAATACACAGCGCGTGCCCCTTTCCCCTGAATCCAGGTTATTTATTGGTGAGTGGCATCATCATTTAATATCTTCTGTCTGAAAAAATATTCCCTAAACCATAGCTGCTCGCGTTCCCTGGGATCCGGCTACCGGGCCGAGCGCTGTAGGTATTCTGGTTCGCCATTGGGTTACGCGGGATGGGAGGGGAATTCCGCATCCGCAGCTCTTCTTCGAAGACGGTGCCCTCTCCCACCAATTCCTTCTGGACGATTTCTGCCTGCATCTCAGTCTGTCCCTGGTTGTCCGTTATGCTAATCGTTGTCCTTCCGGAGGAGCTGACCGTGGCGAAGTTGAGGTGCGTGTATATCTTACTGCCGCCATACTTTTCCAGCTCGACGTTGCGGAGACTCCTGGACCGGGCAGTATTCGATTGTCTCGTTTCGTTAAACATGTTGTCTCCGCCCGAAATGCTACCGACAAATCCACCGACACCGATGCTAGGTCTATAAATGCCCGCCGTAGTGTTCGCCGGCCTCAAAACTCTAGACTTAATCGGAGGGTGGTGTTTCTGGGGCCCATAGATCGGGTGGTTTTCTTGGAACATTCGCGTACGGAGGTAAGAAAGGCCAGCAGAAGGGTGTGTAATTGGCGGCCCTTCCGCTGCGTACGGATTGCTACGTTCCAGAACCTTGGGTCTGTTTGGGGCCATGGTTCCGAGATAGCTAAGCTCAGTATGTTGGTCGACTGGTGCTAGGTCTAAGAAGGAGCTAACGAGGTTGAATAAGGTCATACGGTCTTGTCTCAGATCTCTAAGGTAGTCTGTGAGAAGAGCGTCGTCGATATCGTCGGCAGTAACTGCTGGTGGCTCTTCTGTCGTCTCCGCTGCCTCCCTAGCCTTTTGCGCGCGGTCTTTCGTCATCTCAGCCGCAAGGGTCTGCTTCATGACGGCACGAAATTCGGCACGCTTGCATCGCACCTTTTTCACAAGGTACCGTTTAAATTCGCCATCGGTCATACCGGCAAGCCATGGCCCCGTGAACTTCCACCTGACGTTTGCTAATTGACTCTTTTGCTCCGGGGTTAAGGCAGTCACATCGGTGTCCTCCTCAAACACCGAGCTCGGGAATATCCTTTGCACATAAGACTCTGATGATTTCGGGATAGGCACCGAGAGTGGTATGCTTAATTCCTGGAATTTCTTCAAGGTAATGGCATGGTCCGAGGCAGATTGGAAGTCCGTAACGTGTTCGGTGGAATCGACCTTCCTAACCCGCACCAATGGATAGGTGGTGTTTGTGGTGGTCTTTACTGGGAGTGGCCGTTTAAATCCCCAGTCACCAGTAGCTCTAGATGCTGAGGTGGTCGTCACAGTAAGATGTGTTGGGAAATGGATAGAGGAAGTCGGAGAGTAATGCTTGGTCGCCGCAGAATAGTCGCCAGGAGGAGGGGCGATTGGGGCTGGCATTGAGAACATACGAGATGATCTCAGCAGTGCTGCCCCAGGAGAAACACTCCGGCTGGCCATGGCGAGAATGGTTAAGCTCGCTGCGGAGCTCAATGGTAAGTTGGGTGGTGATGATAGCTTTACACTTGAGGATTTTTTTTTTTGGAACCTTGAAGCATCCAATGCGCACGATGCAATGTACCTAGGTACCTAAGTGGGAAATCGGCAAATCATCGGGGTCTGTTTATGCATCTTAAGTCCAACATTGAATGTTTGTAATCGATAATGTACTAGAAATGTGGGTACTACTTTACCCCACGTGTACATCCATAGGTAAATGGCGTTTCTTGCAGTCGGTTGAGGGGCTTAATAGGGGGCTTAATAGGGGCCGCACTGCCGCAGCCTTTAGGGGGGGTTTTACCTACATACATGTACCTAGCAGCAGCCTACCAGCACGTATCATATGTACATACTACATACTACATACTACTAGCTAGTGTCTATACTACTAGTAGTACATAAAGCTCTAAGCTCCGCAAGCCGAGTGTCCTCAGGCTGTTGTACATACAAAAACTTTGAATTCAAACTTTAGAGTTCGGACGGATCCAACGACATAAAAAAAAGGGGGTAGGATACCCTGGGCAGATTGAAACTCAATCATTTACTAACATTGGAAAGAGAAGGAGAAGAAGAAGAGTCAGTGCAAGTCAATTTCAGTCAAGTCACTGACTCAAGTTCTTACTTACCGGTACCCAAAAAAAAAGATTAAAAAGAAATAAAAAGAAAATAGAAAAATGGAATTACTAGATCCGGCCACCGGCCGAACTCTACCATCTGACGCCATTCAAAGAGTTCTCTTCGTAGCGAGCCCCGTGCACGTCTACAACATCCCGCCCATGGTCCCCGGAAAGGGCCATGTCGCCGCCGGCTGGACCGCCGAGGACAGCAACCGGCAAATCTTCACCGCGCGCCTGCGCGTCATCGAGACCGCCGTCCCGGTGGCCGGCATCAACAGCAACAGCAACAGCGGTGAGGAGGAGCAGGATGAGGAGGAGGAAAAGGTGAAGGCCGACATCGTGCTCGAGGACGCCTCCAACGGCCAGCTCTTCGCCGCCGCGCCGTACACCGCCTCGGCCGTCGTCGAGTCCGTCGCCGACAGCTCGCGCTTCTTCGCCCTGCGCGTCCAGGACGAGGCCGGCCGCAAGGCCACCCTCGGCATCGGCTTCGAGGAGCGCAGCGAGGCCTTCGACTTCGGCGTCTCCCTGCAGGAGGCCCAGAAGACCCTCGACTGGGCCGTCAGCCACCAGAACGCCGCTGGTGCTGGTCAGGTTGGCAAGAAGTCCACTCTCGAGCGCAAGGACAGCGCCGAGAAGCGCGATCTCAGCCTGAAGGAGGGCGAGACGATCACCATCAACCTGCCCGGCAGGTTCGGCAGAAGAAAGCCGGACCCGCCGCCCGCGTACGAGTCCAATGAGATCCTCTCCTCCTTCTCCCTACCCCCTCCCCCCGCTCCATCGTCATCGCCTCGCGGTGCCGGCATACTCCCTCCGCCGCCGAGTGCTCAGAGCGTCCGGCAAAAGCGACTGTCCGCACAGGAGTTGGGTTTCGACGATGGGAAGTTTGGGGAATTTGCTTGAAATGCATGCATGCACACGTGGTCTGGTCTTGAGTTCTGGTTTTTTGGTTGGTTTTTTTTTTTTTTTATGATTGTTAAGGTTGCTTTGCTTGCTTGTTCCTAGATTCTACTACAGCTTTGCGCACCACGGGGATTAGAAACTAGGTACCTACTATGAGAGAAGGGGGGCTTTTGCTGGTAAAATACAACCCGTCTTCCATTCCCGTAAAGGGAAAATGAACCAAAAAAAAAACACTGAAGAAGAAATCAAGTAAACTGGTGGTTTTTTTTTTTTTTTGGTTTACGCTGAGCCCTTTTAACCTACCTGACCTAGTCAAATATCAACCCAATGAACCAACGCACTCCCTAAATAGAACCGTACCACCCCAATCATTACCTGCTTACCCTTACATAAATGTCTAACCTAACGTACTAAGCAGATATCAACCCTACCAAGGTAGATATGCAACCCAGCCAATGCTTAGTCCTCACTATCCTCCCAGTCCCCTATTTCCCGCGTACAGCTCAGCGAAGGCATGCTCACGCGGTTCTTCGGTTTGGGTTCCTGTTCGATCTTCAGGTCGCCTAGTTGTCGGACGCAAGAAGAAATGCCATCTTGTGAAATACCCATGGCCGTGTCATCTAGTTCGAACAAACCGTGGTGGCGACGGGTGCCGCTTTCGGGTGTACTCTGGAAAGGAATATGTGCCGTGGCATATTGCGGCGTATCCCCCGATCCATCATACATGCCAGGCTTTGGAACGCATTGCGTATCCTCCCAGGGGGCGTTGTAGGGAATAGAGGGGTGATGCTGGTAATGATAGGGGTCAACAAGAACATTGGGATAATGATGCTGCGCTGATGGTGTTGAAAAAGGGGGCGGAGATGAGTGACCAAAAGACTCATAGGCGGGCATAGGTCGGGGCTGCTGCTGCTGCCGCTGCCGAGTATCTCTCATCTCCCTGTCCTTGTCGGCCTTGCACCATCGCTCCAGACATTGGATCTCGACGTACAGGTCGCTCAGGCGCGCAAGGATCCGCCGTTCCTCCTCGACGGTCTCCGAAATGCGATACCGCAGCCATCCGCTGTGCTTTTTTGTCTCCCGCAGCTCATCCGTGCTCCCGGTCCAGTAGTTGATCTGCTCCTCGACGGCGGGGACCCGCTGGGATAGCTCAGTGGCACTCTGGTCGTGCTGCTGCAGCATCTGGAGGAGGTGCAGACGCTCCTTGTGTAGTTCATCGAACGAGCGCGGGTGCAGCCCTAGTTGCAGTGCATTGGTCGATGGCCCGGGGCCGCTGGGGACTTTTGTCAAGGGCGCAGGCTCAGGCTTGCGGCCGTTGTGGTGGTTCGATTGTGGTTCACTTGTACGGTTCCCAGATGCCTGTCCCTGACGCAGCTGCTCATCTCTTGCAACTGGTGGTAGCGGCATTTTGATCAGGATTTGGTGTTTATGATATGAGTATCTTCCTAGTAGGTAGTACGGGTATCGTTACTGACTAGTTACCTCCCTAGGGCTATTACAGGAACTTGCAACCCAGATAGGTCTGTATCTGCACCAACCCATGTTTCTAAATGGGACAGGTAGGACAAAGATCTACCATGATGAAAATTCACTAGGCATGTATGTATCAAAGAGAAACAGGCTTCCAGGGTGTTCCAGTTTTACGAGAACCATGTACATGTCGGGTGGGTGTTTAAGATTAGGGGTAAATAGAGCTTCTAGAAGCCAGGCGCTGAAGACATCGGGCAAAGACCAATATGTCTCTTTCTCGACTTTCATTGGCTTGGCTAGGCGTGAATCTTGACGAGAGGTCTTAGCTATGTAGATTTATCATGCCTGGGGTTTATATTGATAGGATCTTCCCTTCTTATCTTAATGAAAGATTGTCTATACAGAACCGTCCAGCTATATACAAGATGCTTTTTATGGTTTTGTAATGCATCTCTGTAATGTTAGTTGCATACTTCGGAGGTCGATGACGGAGATTGGCCGGCTATTGGCTTCGAGCCGGCGGCTTGCGGGGGCTTTTGGGTAAGAGTACAACAAAAGCCGACTTGGCGCAAACCCCATTTACTTCAATGTTCCTATTGAAACTCATACCTACTTCCTCAATATTATTATTGTTTATATAAGATACTCGGAAAATAAGTAAGAGAATATAGCACTCCTCTTACACAGCTTATATACCAACTACTTAACCTAGTACTCAGAACTGAATCATTCACTTTACCGGGTCAAATCGGCAAAAATGGCACCTCAGATATTATGGATCGGCTTGGGGAACATGGGAAACGTAAGCCACCAACGTCAAGATATTTATATATTCCCTCGGCTCTCCTCCCTTTTCTAATTACATCTCACTAGGGAATGGTAAAGAATCTAGTGGAGAAGGGCAACCTAGACAAACCTCTCATACTCTATAACCGGACCAAGAAGCGTTCAGAGGAACTAGCGGCTAAGCTTCCCGCGGGCAAGACAGAGATAGTCGATTCTATCGAGGAGGGCCTGAAAAAGGCCGACGTCGTTTTCACTATTGTTTCCAACGACGCCGCGGTGACTGCTATTTTTGATACCTTCTTGAAAAATGACGTTACGGGCAAGTTGTTTGTTGAATGTTCCACCATCGCCCCGGAAACGGCGGAGCAGGTGGCCAAGTCGATCACCGAGAAAGGGGGTCAGTTTGTAGCAAGTCCCGTATTTGGTGCACCGGCAGCAGCTCAAGCAGGACAACTCATGTAAGTTGAAATCCCTTACCTTGTCAAGTATACCGATATGCCCATCTATGTATATCTGGGTATATCTATGTGTACAAGAGTCTCTTAAGAGAGCACATTTACGATTTCTAATACGGCACATACAAAATCACTAACATTGATGACAACGCCAGCTTTGTCCCTGCCGGACCAAAGTCCAGCATAGACAGACTACGCCCGTACACCAAGGGCGTGATGGGCAGAGCCGAGATCGCGTTCGACGACAAGCCGTACGGCAACGCGCTCAAGCTCAAGCTGCTGGGCAACAGCTTCATCCTGAACATGGTGACGGTGCTGGGCGAGGGCTACACTCTGGCAGATAAAAGCGGCCTCGGCAGCGATCCATTGAAGCAGTTCGTCGATCTGCTGTTTGGCGGCGTGTACAGCGTCTACTCGGAACGGATGATCAATGGCACGTACTGGAAGATGGAGGAGCCGCTCTTCTCGGCGAACAACGCACGCAAGGACGCGGGCCACGCCATGAACATGGCCAAGAAGGCGGGCGCGGAGCTGAAGCTGGTGGGGGTTGCGGATGAGTATCTGAAGGGGGTTGCAGAGCATGCAGGTGGTGATAAGGGGGATATCGCGGGTATGTATGGCAGTGCTAGAAAGAATGCTGGGTTGAAGTTTGAGAATGACGCTTGATGGATATATATTATTGATGATGGAATTGTTATATCAAATTAAATGAAATATGAAATTAAATAAAAGAGAAGCCAGGTTGATTAGGATGAGTATTGAGTATTGAGTGTTGAGTGTTGAGTGTTGAAAAGTTCAAAATCTCAAGAATGAACATTTAGTTATGTACATAAGACAGACTTCAATGTTGTAACTAAACCCTTGTATAAAATGACTAAGCAATATAGTCTTGGCATTCTTATATCCAGCATCCTTATAGCCAGCATCCAAGTCAACGCCGGGAAAGTATGTAGCATTGAAACCAAGCAGCCAACATTTGAAGCTTCCAATCCAATGATAATACACTGAACATCGAAGCTCTCAACCCATTCATCTACGGCCTTGTTCTCACCACTTACCAATCCTCGCTTGCACCATTTTTACAAACTAATACTGCTCAACTCTCAACATGGCACAGGGGTACGTACACTAACCATTCATTCATTCATTGATCCATTCACTCCCCCTTCGCCGCCGCTCAAAACAACAAGCATGCTAACAACTCCGCCCAACAAACAGGTACAGCGTCTTCGTCGGCCTCGCCATCGTAGTGGCCCTGTCCGTCGCCGCATGGTTCTTCTCTCCCAAGGGCGAGAACCAGACGTGAGTCTTTCTCTTCTTCCTTTTTTCCCCTTCCTTCCTCTCTCTCTCTCTCTCTCTCTCTCTCTCTCTCTCTCTCCTACTACTTGCATCCTAACCCATTTTCCTCACCAAAACCAAACTAATCCGAATCACCCAACCACACAGGACCTGGCGCTCCTCCCTCATCCTCGCCTTCATCAGCTGCTACCTCATGTGGTTCATCACCTTCATGGCCCAGCTGCACCCCCTGATCGAGCCGAGACGGTCCAATGTCCGCGAGGGATTCCAACACGAATAAGCTCGAGGCCCGCGTACTTGGTATGCGAGCGCTGTCCGCCCGCCCAACTCCTTACCTACCAAGCCATCGCGTTCTCCGACCAGGAAAAATACATATACGACGCGCAATTGCAGCTTCCGTTGGGGGTGAAGGTCAAGGGGGAGGGGGGGAAGAATGGGAAGGGTTATGGAACATTGTTACATGTGTAAGAGCTAGGAAGACAGGGAGTGGGAGTGGACGCGATAACACGGGATAGCCTTTTGGAGAAAGGCGAAAGATGGCATAATCCTACTGCTGCTGCTACTACTACTGCGATTGAAGGAGAGAGAGAGAGAGAGCTCGCCGGAGCCGGACAGCACGGGGCGGGACTCGACTGTACAAATATCTACTTACTTACCCCATTGTTCTAACATGGCTTCATTGGGCGTTCGGGAGAGACGGGAAATATACAATGCTGTTTTAAATAAGAAAAGCTGCGCGAATGTATGTATGTATGTATGTATAACGGGTGTGCAATGGACATTCAAACATCGAGAAAGTCACGTTGGGAGGCTCAATTTTATGGATGAATGCACTTTATATTGTTCTGTAAAGAAAAGACGTGACCAAGACCAGGCGTAAACAACCACATGTACAGTAACTATCACCCAACAGCCAACCTACCCGCCCACTCCCTCGCATAAACCAAACCCGCCCACAGCGCCCTCCCATCAGCCGCAACACCGCTCTCGCTAACCGAGTCCACGCCCTCGAGCCCCACCATCCACAGAATCGCGCGTCCCACAAGCCACCTCGCAACCGCGCCCGCGGCCGTCAGCGCGATCGCGACAGCGTAGCCGCAGTCGAGGAGGATGGCGAGGGCCTCTACATTGTTGGCGACGACGGCCCAGCCGAGGCTGCGGGCGGCGGCGGGGACGTCGTAGTCCCAAATGACCATGAGGATGGGGAAGAGCTTGGTGGAGGAGGAGACGAGGAGGGCGGTCGAGACGGAGTTGGGGCGCGGGTAGGTCGGTAGGAAGCCCAGGAAGGCTAAGGGGGAGAAGGGGGAGGAGGTCAGGAAGCGGATGCTCACGTGGAAGGCGAGGGTTGAGAAGGTGCAGAGGATTACTGTTGTTGGGGGGGGATGGGTTAGCTTTATTTATCGTTATATTGGATTTGGATGGAGGAGGAGGAGGAGGAGGAGAGGAAGCAAATACGTACGGAAGTATAGATATTGAAAGACAATGGGCTGCTGTGCCAGACTCCCCAGATTACTTCCTGTCGCGGAGGAGACCGAGTCGGGCGATGGTGTGGCTTGCTTCTCGATGCGCGCCCACGTCAAGTAGACGTCGAAGAGTAACAGGAGCGTGCCTAAGCGTATGATAGACGGCTATATATTCCAAATCGCTCTTCATTAGCACTCCATTATATGAATCTTCTTTTCCCACCCTATTCTATTCTGCCACTCTCCAACCCCTCTTCATACCATAGTACAGGACAGGCACAGACGTACATCAAACTGGTCGCGCTCGCGCATGAGCGTGTTGTGCAGCAGATGCCTATACACCTGGGGCTTGATGAGGACGAGGTCGATGAAGAGGACAACGAAGTCGTGCTCGACGTACTTGTCGCAGAAGCGACCGCAGTTCTTGCACACCGTCAGCCGGATGTTGTGCCCGCTCGACGGGTCACCGGCGCCCGAGTACTGCGTCCACAGCGTCTTCACCGGGTGCCGGCACTCGATGCAGATGGGCATGGCTTTCTTGCTCTCTGTCTGTGTCTTTTTGTTGGTTTGTTCGCTTTGCGCTTTTTCGGCTGCGGTTCGGGAATATAGTATTAGTTGATGGATTGGTATAAGTTCAGCTATAGTGAGTCGGTAGCTTGGTTTGGCTTCAATGTTGGCTTTAGCAGCTACTATGTATGTGTGTAAGTAACTGAAGGCGCATTCGCAAGGACGACGACACGGTTCGATGGTCGGGATTCTTCTCTCCGATGGAATGGATATCGTGGTATTAACATGACTTTGAATCGTTGTTATTTAGGTACGAAGGACAACCGCAATGGATACAACAAACTGGAGCTTGGATTAATGATTAACGTAGATATTCCTAACCTTCAATGTTAGTGTCAAGTAAGTATGTACATAAGTAAGTTATAAGGTTATGTAAAAGTGTGAACTTTTGCGACAACAAAGTTCAAGTACTTCGTACTTAAAAAAGGGATATTCGATTCTCGAGGCCAAGTATTCAATACAGGGGAATGACGTAATGAAGCAAGGGAGCTAAATAAGCAATTGAGCCGCAAACCTTAGAACGCCAGCTGGGCTATTTACTTATACGAACTCGATGTCTCTATAGCCGATAATCTACCTGACATCCCTAATTCTAGTTTATAGATTTGTAGGAAACAAGCCCACCTCGCAAGCAAAGCACCAACATTGAAGAAGTAAGTAATTGTATATATACCGTACTTACCTACATAGGTCCCTACAATGTGCCTACATATAGGTAGTTATCGATATTCCTACGTACAGTATACAAGCAATACCTGGAAGCAAGTCTTTCCTTCTTCCCTACCCCCTTTCCCCTTTCCTACACCCCCATCCTTTCCCACCTTCTTCCCTTCCCTCCAAAAGCTAAGCCAAGCCCGTGTAAACTATACCTACTACTGTAACAGACAAGAGAAGCACGACGACAACCAAAAAAAAAAAAAATACACGCTCATATGAAGAAGAATCTCCTTCTCTTCTGCTTCCCTCTCTTCCCTAGAACGCCTTCAACAATGCAGGCACCATGTCTTGAAATCTTTAAAAAAGTAAAGCTAAAAAAAGGAAGCCGGATAGGTAAGTAGGCAAGCGTTTGCGCCGTCGCTGTATACGTTGGAATCGTGGTAGTTAGAATTTTTTTTTTTCGTATTGATCTTCGCTTGAAATGAATCAAGCTGCCTGCTTGTAAAGTTGTCTATTACCATGGACCGACCGTCTTTCCATTCCCTCTGTATCTCACGGCACTTATATCCTTAATCCGCCTTCTTCCCCTTCCCTCCCCCCAATGTCGCAGCTGTAGGCGGAGCCGACCGTCCTCTAACCGTACCCTCGCCCTCACTTCGTCCCGTCGATGCTTGGAACCCCTGGTTCAGCAGACCAGCAGCATCCTGAGCTCTCGCAAACGCACCCTGTCTTCCGTCGTCACTATTAGCATCGGCGAGCTCGATAAGATCCAAGTCCTCCGGTGGGCTTTTATACGAGCTTAGCCTTGGAGTACCGGTCCGCTTCGCCCACGCGCCGCGCAACCATGATTCGACGGATGCAGCGGCTTGTTCGAGGCCGATCCCGTTGCGGGAAGGCGAAGTAGCTTCCCGGCCTTCTTCAAAGTGGCTTTCAACGATACCCGCCGTTTCTTCTGTAGCATTATCAAACCCAAAATGTGCTGTCTCGGATCCCATAACTGACATGGAAGGCATCGAGTCGATACCAAGTCCAGGTAGTCGTTTGTTTACCCATGTATTAAAGTAGTCCTTAGCTGGGCCGGGTGCTTTCACGCTCTTTCCCATAGACCCTACACCTCCCGGCCTTCTCATCCACGCTGGAACGTCGTCTCCCTCGCCCACACTAGCGACCCTGCTTCTAGCAGATGAGGTCCCCAGGCTCGTAGGGGTCGGTCGCGCACTAAGAGAACTTTGTCGTCTAGATGAAAGCCGTCCCGGACTATTAACAGCTTCGGATGTGTTTGTGATGGTTTTTGAAAGGTCAAGAGAGTGACGTGGGGTGGAGAAGGCGGAAGCTGTGTGAATGCTCTTCTTTCGCCTAGGAGGAAAATAACCCATCGATTTCCTCGAGACTCTTACGATCTCCACGGGCTCTATAACTGAATCTAATTTAACCCACCGCACATGAGTACATGGTAAATCCTCGTCTTCCTGCTTCGGTTGTCCCGCTGATGTGCCACTGATGGACTCAAAGTAACTATCATGAAGAGTCCGCGGTGGCTGTGGGGTGGAAGTAGGGCTTCCAAACTCGGAAGCCAAAGGTGTCGTAGCTAAATGATCAACTTTCTGTGAGTGTTGGGAGGGCGGATCGCATGGCCGTCCCTTGTTTTCGCATGCATCGACGGGTATCATCAGGAATTTGCGTATTTGGATATTGTCCCGAGACCATAGCCCATTCGTCTTCCTAAACGCCTGCTCCTGGCATCTATAACGGAGGACGATGCCTGCATATGTGTCTGTAGGTTGTACACGGTGTAAATAGACCAAGTGTTCTTCAACGTCAGGTTCGCTTCCGCCTCGAGGAGTCTCGTCCGAGTTCCTCCTTTTATACCTCCCAGCTACATCCAACCCTCCATTTACTCCCTCGTAGCTTTCCAGTACACTAGCTCGTTTCCTAGCTTTCAGTTGTGCTTCTCTCTCGGCAAGAGATCCTGCTGCAATATCTCGGGCTGCCGGCCGTGACTCCGGAGGTGCCGGTCCCCAAGTGGATGTCTTGCCAAGTTTTGCAGCGCCTGCCCCGAACCCATTCCATATAGACTTCGGTCGTGATTTACTCCCGCTGCTACTGTTGGGACGTGATGGTTCGCTATTGTAACCGCCTTCTAGTAGGGACGATGCAAAATCTTGGACGGATGCCCAGCTAGGTGTCCATGAACCCTCCAGCAGCCCGCGCGAAAAGGCAGCGTTGGAGGGACTCGACCTTCCGCTCGATAGGAGATTGCTATTGCCGAGGCGCGCAGCTGGCATGGGACTTGCGCCTCGGCTGGGAATGGGGCTCTGACCAGGTGTCAAGGAGGGGGATTTTATTGCATCCCGGTTTGCGGGAACCTTCCTACTCCGCGACCTCACAGCACTCGCATCATTGGTACCAGCAGCGACTAGACCAGTTGTGGACCTCGGGGTGGCAGAGCTTGACACCCTACCCGTATCGGCCATGTTCTTGGGCGATAGGAGCCTAAGGAGGCTATGGCTGGTGTCGACTAGTCGAAAACATTGATTTCATCGGAAGAACCGTCACGCGGGGGCAACTTTCGCTCTGATCGCAGAGAGTAACTGGAAATATTTGGTATGTTTCTTGAATTAAATTGGAAATTAACCGAACGATGGCATAAGTTGAACTAGTAGCAATACTGGGAAGTTGGAACTGAAAGTAAGTAAGCAGCACCGTGGGTCGAGTCCAAATTGTGTTGGATTCCAAAGAACCTCGGATGCTACTTTTTACTTGTTCTTTTTTCAGAAACAAATTCAAATCAAAAATAGACAAAACAATGCCAGTTCAGCGCTGGGGTAAAGGAACGAACGAGGGAGGGAGTTTGGTAAGTTTGGTAAGTTTGGTATTTTTGGGAATAGTGAGTATCAGAATGAATCGAGTCGGTTATCTTGGTGCCACCAGTCTCAGTTCTGTTTGTCAGAAGAGTTTAACATTAACCAGGAGTTCGTTGAATTGTACACGTACCATTGGACTCCCCTTTTAGAGAATACCTAGGGTACATGCTAAACATTGATTGAAAGATGAACCAGGGTTAATGTACATAACTACATGTACATACATGTATTAGTGAATTTAGTGTATGGCACGTCATATAATACCTAGTAGGTACCTAGTAGTGTATGTATGTACCTAATACATCAGCCAAGACGGCTAGAGCGGCCATAATGCGTGCGATTCGGTGCGAAAATGGCCCAAAGATAACCAAGTCACTTGTAGGTTACAGGGAACCTGAGATTTAATTCGGTGTCTGTGCATCTTGAAACCGACTGGTACTGTAATGTGAAATTACATATGTACCAACTAGTTACTCTGCTAAGTGCATAAAAGTCATTTCTTTACATGACTGAACCTGTTACATACCATCACATATCACCACATTCAATGTTATGTACTGTAGCATACCAAGTGCTTTATAAACATATCAATATATTGACATGTATTTATATTGTGTCAACACACATATATAGCTGATGTTAGGGCTGGCTAGGTACCAAATACCTACGATAGGTACATATGCAGGTAGGTGCTTTTACTTTTAAACAACGATCCCCAATCATATCAGCATGATTCCATTTATTCCCTTTGAATATACGCCCAAGATTAGATTTACACCCAAACTCCTCAGCAAGGCAGAATATTACAACCCATGCTGGCGTCATGCTGCTCCACGCCGCATCTGATATTTGGTATAATGTACCACTGGTATAAGGAACAATAGTATCGATTTGTCATGTATCATCCCGCTAGCTCATAGGCATATCAAGCCCTGAAAGATTTATATCATTTCCGTTGATACCAAAGAATTGGAACCTAGAATGGCGTGTCTATGTGAGCATTGTTTTCTCCGAATCATAATATGAGAGAATTCACTTACCAGTCTTCAACATTCAACGTAGCCGGGACTGGTTGGCCTTGTGCAGATCCGGTGCTCCAGCTATCGCTAGGACTTTGGCCGTCCGGCATACCCGCATTTACGTCATTTGGCCAAAGATTGTTAGTAGCCGTATTCGTTTGGGGCTGATAGTTTCCAAGTCCTGGTTGTAAGAAAGTGTTAGCTTGCTGAGGACTTGCGTTCGCCGCCTTGTTGGGCATCCGGGGCAAGAACTGGTTGGTGGGCCCATTCTGTTGTGGAGACATACCGGCCTGCATCGAAGAAACGAGGTTCGGATCCAAGGTTTGATGATTTTGCGAAGGCGACATCTGTGGCATTGGTAGATGCGAACTTTCAGGGAAAAGCTGGTCCGGCTGGAAGTTCTCCCAAATGGACTGGGAAAGGTTCGGTGAGTTGCGAGTCACGAGGTATAAGTCCGGTGGCGTAGCTGGGACAGAGAACGAAGGGTTGAACGGAGTCGCCGGTCGTGTGTGGGGCCTACTGTTAGTCCCTCCCATAAAGGCATCCCCGGACCGGGCATTTGGTGAGTGAAGAGGGGGTCCCATCTGAGGTTGGCCTTGTGCCTGCTCGTTCCTCGGTGTTTGCGGGCGTGAACGTTCGTACGATTCCTGATGTACCGGGGTATTTATACTAAAGTCAAGGGCCATCTCGTCATATTTCCGTTTGGCGGCCGCGGCCTCTTGTTGTCTTTGTTGATGTTGCTCTAGCTGAGCAAGTCCCTGCTGGACTTTCCTATGACGTTTTCCGGCTGCCTTTTGTAACCTTTCTTCCAGGACTTTGTTGCCTAGGATCGACTCAAATAGTGTGTAAACCATCTTACCCACGAGCCATACTTTAGAAACTTCCTTGAGCGCGTCCATGCAGGTCCTGATTCGTACCTGAGTGACTTGTTGGATAGTTGGGACGGGGGATCGCATCTGATATACATGCATGATGAGAGCCGAGAACAGGCTGTAAACGACAAAGGCTGGGCAATATCGTAGCTCGTCGTGCGCTGATAGATTCTCGATGATAGATGTGATCATGCCCGCAGCTTGAAAAGCGATATTACGCGAGGGGTAGGAGGAGTCGTCTGCTGCTAACCGACTCGCGCTACTGTGGCCAGGAGGCATATGTGCCCGATGCAAGAGACAAAGCGTAGTATAATAGTTGGAGTGCAGCAGCGCACTCCAGAAGTGGTGTCGTGGCATTTCCCAGTACACCAACTTGGGGCAGTTTTGTAGCCAGTCCGCCAGTGCCATATCACTATGGGTAAGATCGATAGCGTTTTGACGTCGGCCTTTGGATGCCACCGAATATTGTTGGGATAAGACAAGACCCATGATCTCACAAAGTTTGACATATTGTAAGAAAAATTGCACATGGATAGGGTCGGGCGAAAACCCGCTCGCATTGTCTGGCTCGTCTTCGATAAAATCGTCCTCAGTAAGCATCTCCACGTCCGCATCGTCTAAATTGATATTGCATGGCCGTCCGAGTGCAACCGCAACAGATCGATCGCGAGTGAATAGGGTCCACCAGATGCGCTTCCACAGCCTCTTGTCAGCTTTGCTTAGCTGCGATGCTTCCACGCTTCTATGCATTCCCGAGCCCTGGGCAACAATGATGGCGACCCTGCTCCAGTAAAAGACGTTCTTCGTAACGTCTTCAGGGCCTTCCCAGTACCAGCCCATAAGTAGCAAAGCTTGGACGATAGTTACTCGATCATCTTCGTAGTTTGCGTCATAGAGAGCTTTTGCTCTCTTATAAAAGGTTAGTGCAGCTGGTGTGGAGGATCCGTTGGCATCCATGAGCTGCTGGTTGTTACAAACTCGCGAGCCAGCAAGCAGGACGGCCTGTAAAAGGAGGAGCGACGGCGGGTTCTTAGGATCTCGGTACTGTCTCATGAAGCGAGTCTTGTTTATTACAGGTACAATAGGGTGTACCCATTTGAAGTAAGAATCGATCAGCTCGTCGCAAAGTGACCTAGGCGGCAGTAGGAAAGCTCCACGTTGATGAAGGATATCAATCTCGATATTGTCTAATTCGGTTAAGCGGGCCCTGGACCCGCGCACATTTTCAGGGAGGGGGTAATGCACAACATCTGAAGCCCCTTGGCGATCGTGAACTAAGAGCGTTAGATTCGAGGATTCACCCAGAAAGGCCACCCTGCCAGCTTCAGTAATAGGAGCTCTCGTGAACTTCGGCTTCATCACTAGATTGACAAATGTATCATTATCAGCCTCCTCTTTCCTAGCCTGCGCTTCGGTGAGGGTTGTCGCGGGCACACCCTCTGAGGAATGGTACACGGTAGGTCGCGCGGGGAAGGTGGTGGAGGAGCCAGCATTAGGCTGCGGAGACGGTTCTTCGACGACATCACCGCGGTCGCTCAAGACAACTAAGTTAATATTCATCATCTTCATTCATATCTCCAGAAGCACGAAGAATATGCACGCACCTATCTGAGTCTTTGGTTGTGGTTGACTGGGGTTTTTTCCTCTTGGGTTGTGGGATTTTGCACTCGATTTGGAAGGCGACGCAGTTCGTACAGGGAACGCCGAGGCTCGCGGCATCGCATCGCACCTGTTATAAGTACTCCATAAATATCATCTTCTCTGTAAATTGGCGTAGTGATAATCGTAGTCATTTGAATTGACGAATCGAATGGGTTTAATTCGTACCTTTCTAGCATGGCAAGTCTGTTGAAAGCCGAGTGGTCAGTTTAGTAATGCAGGGCAAGGGGATTATGGATCGCATTGCTCGAGATGCCTCGGCACGATTACAAGTAATCCCACCACAAGCCCCAGATTAGGTAGCTCGGGTTTATGTAGCTTAGAGACAAAAAGGAATATAAAAAGGCATTAATGACCACCAAACTCCTAAAAAGGAGTAAGCCCCTAAAGTTAAAGAAAAATTACGCACCTCACAAGCTCTCGAGGCTCGTTGTCTATTCAAAATACACAATCAGTCAACCAATTAGTCGCGTGCTCGTACGTGCTCGTAGGCGCATGCGTGCAAATATAGACTATGCTGCTACGACATAGTATATGGGGAAATCGTACGAACCTGCGGAAACTTAGTTGACCTTGCGCATTCTGCGTCGCTGTCATCGGCCCAGGTGAAGTACTTTGGTTATGAGGTGGTGTAGGCTGCGACGGCGAATTCGATTGCTGTGGTTGTGGTTGCGGTAGAGATTGCTGTTGTTGTCTTGCCAATTCACCATTGCTGGCATTCATTCCCAACTCCATGATTCGAATGTCGACTGATTATAACTTGGGAGTGATGTGAACATGTAACGGCGCAAGAGGCGGGGTTCGTGAAGATAATTAATCCTGTTGTCGATCCTAGGGATAGCCGTCTGCGAGAGAGCTTGGAATTGGAGTCAATTTCACCGTCGCACGTTGGCAGGAAACAAAGCGCTTGAGTGCTGAAAGTTATGTACTTGGGTAGGTAAGTACCTGGTTACTTGGTAAATAAGTGGTCAGGTCACTGGTCTGATCAATGGTTAAAAGGTAGAAAGGTACGAAGTAGGTAGGTGGTAAAAAAGAATTTCCCTTGCGCCCGCTAAAGAAAAAAAAATAAGAAGGAATAAAAGGGTCGAGTGGGAAAATATAGAGCTCGGGACCACAAATGAAGAGGGACTGAGGGAGGGATAGTGAGAGAGGCGAGGCGATGTGATGATGAGATATTGCGGTTGCGGGTGTTGGAATTAATGCGACAAGGGGACGGGATGTTTGAAGCGTTAAAGCGTTGAAGCTTTGAGCGGATTTCGAAAATTTAGTTCTCGAGCGCGGCTGTCCTTAGTGTCTCCTCCCAGCTGGCAGTTGCGACAAGTGCTAACTTCCCCAACTATCTAACCTACATATACATATATTAGCCCGATCTGTTGTTTCAACTTCAATGTTGTTTGTCAGGTACGAAGCAATCAGAATTATACATAATTCCGTAGTTGCCGATGTCTTGAAAACCACCTTCCACAGTACAAAGTATGTACTTAAACATTTTGAATCTTTCGTACCTTGCATGTCTACTGGGCTGTGTAATACATATCTCCATACATACATCATCTCATTATTCATTCATATCGGTAAAGTCTTAGCGCAGTTTATGCCTTTCAGGTCCTTATCGTTTTAGGGGATGATGGATTTCGTAACATTTGAACCCGTTTGAACCCATTCTCTTTTTTTTCTTTTTTTTTTTTCCACAATGAATGCTGTGCCGTACTATAAGGCTTTTTTTCTCAACATGCTTTACTCGTGAGTATATGAGACTCAGTACCTCATATTGGGTAGTCGAATGCTAGATGTATACTTTTGTTATACCCCCCCCTTTATTCACATGTGATAAGGCTGTGAAGTCATCGCTGTTTATACCAGATGGCAATATTACAATATAGGTAGTAGGTCCTGATAAATATCTTTCGGTAGTCCAAACCAATCGTCCAAAGTCCTCGTACTAGGATCTAGTTCGAAATCGGAATGTGACTCGACCTTGTCACACCGTTTGTTTGCCTCAAGCCCGAAAGTTTATGGTCAGACGACGAGTATGCAATGCAAGCCCGTACATAACGAACCAGGCCATTGGCTCCCTAAGGAAAGCCACCTCCCAAGCCTCAAGCTAAGTCATGTATATAGATATATATAAGTACGTACAACCATACCTAGAATCAATATTTGCGTATGAGGTAGGTAGGCAAGTAAGTTATTAAAGATTATATTATTGTGTGCGCCAGTGCAGTGCTGACATGTGAATGTGAACGAGCGTTGAAGAAATCATATCAGTTCTTTTAGTCAGGTCCCCCAATCCCTGCTGGTCTTTCATAGACAAGCGGGAAACGAACCGGTTTTGGTTTCGTTCGCCGTTACCAAGATTCGAAATCTGGGGCGTCAGTAAAGATTGCCATTCGACACGTGGAATGAATTCCTTCACGCTAGATAGGTTAGGTTGACTGCCGGCTAGGCACTACATACCTTACGTAGGTAATAGAAGGGGTTACTGCTTACCTGATAGGTAGTAGTCAATATTACTATACAGGTAGGTAGATATGTAAGATGATACTCAGCCTGAGGCTATGTTGGACACGGAGTATTGAGAATACTTATATTCCCCGGTCGAACCCAATTGATCACCACCTCACTACTGTAGGTATATGTAGGAGAAAACGATACCCAAATAATGGTACGTGTCGCATCAGAAGCAAACCACCTCTAAAGACAAAAACACGTTCAGGGGGTACTGTAGACACCACGTCAGTTTCTAGAAGCCAACAGGGGGGAGGGTCTTAGGTTAGCTTATTCCGGCCTGATCCTGGAACGGGTTAGTGATGGCGTTGTGACCTCGAAATTTGAGACAGCGCTACATGATAGGTACATACAAGTAAGTGAATCGATTCTTTGTCGACAAGAAAAAAAAAAAAAAAAAAAGAAAGAAAAAAAAAAGCTAACCGTGCCTTTTTCGTCAATGGCAGATCGCGGCAGTGAGCTGTCAACCTCAGCTATAGATCTTGGCGTTATTAAAATCCCAATTTTCCGAACTGTGAGGATTTGGGGGAAGGGGGCTTTGCAGCTTGAGGGATGACAAACACGTAACACTTGCCGAGGTTCGCAGTATAGTTATTGTATAGTACAGTACTAGTACGCTCTTTGCGTACTAGGTAGGCTCTGGTAGAGAGCCATTCATCTTACAGGATCATTTCAAGTGTATATCTGGACAAACATAGTATAATACGTAATGCATTCAGTTTTATTCTGCCTTTTGCCTTCTGCTGTCTACCTACTCGGCAAACAGGCTTCTATTTCTTCTCTGAAATAGGAGTCGAGGAGTCCACATGCTCAGTCTTTCCATTGGGCGTTTCTATTGGCGCTCCTGGCATCTTTCCATTACTTATAGCTGATTGTCCGTAGGAGCTGTTTACTTCGATGCCAGAAATGAAAAATGCGCTCACGCCCTCTAGAGCCGCGAGAAAAACGCATAGAAGACTAGCTATGGCGAAGTGACTGATCGTGGACCCGATCTCGAGCCACGAGCCCTCGTCCTTCACCACCCAAAAGAAGTAGAGGGTTAATAAGTCGCTTATGGCCATCGTGACCATGAAAAGCGCCGAGGGAGCTACCCCAATTCTCTTGTTGAGAATGCCTAGATTTGCCGATACGAGGGCAAATGGGATCATAAGTTTGAGCGTGAGGAGTGCCCCCTGAGATAAGGGGTCAAATATTGGTATGAGTCGGCACACGCTCTCTAAACTGAATGATGAGATTGACGCAATGTTGCCAGTGCTGAAAAATGCCGACTGAAGGAGGACAAAGAAAAATAATGCTACGCGAGCATCTGACAAACGTAGGGGTCGGAATTTCGATACGGCTGTCCCAGCCGTTACCTGGACGTTGCTTTCCGCTTTTCCTGCCGGCTGTAGGAACTCGTAGATATACTGTTCTAATCGGACCCATGTCACTAACATGAGGCTAAAAGCAAAGTAGAATAAGCCCTCGTATGATATCGTCAAAATCACGAAGGTTGGTGCAAAGGTTAGAAAAATAACCAGTAACCTATGAAGATAATGGTTGTTAGGTTGGAGCCGGTGGGCAAATGGCATCAAGAATGATACAACCAAGACAAGCCATCCTACAATTTGGCTTCCACGTGGTAGGCCCTCCTTTGCTTGTAATGACAGAACACTAGTTCGAGTTACGAACATAGCTAGTAGGACAAGCCCAATCTATTAAAGATTAATACAATTTTTTCTCCTTTGTTTTTGGGGGAGAGAAATGTAGGCCTTACCTGAATTCCGATTAGAGCTCTTGAAAGATCCTTGCCTTTTGGGGGACTCGCAAATCTCTTCGACTTCGAGTTGGCGGGTTTGGCTAACAGTTTATTGTCGAAAATCAGGTACAGGACGCCAACGACAACCATGAGCAGACCGCCAAGAAGACTGTAGCATGTAAGCTTAGTCTTGAATAATTAAGAGTTTGAATAATCTTACATAAGGGGCAAGCTTTCGACCTTCATTGCTGGAAGCAGGGTGAAGACGCTCATTACAAGACACGATATAAACCATTGTACCGAAAGAATGGCATGTTTCTGAAGGAAAGATACCCCCAAGGTCAATGGGTATAATGCACCAACAAGGAACAGAACTGTTAAGACTTCTCGGTGAATATATCCAATTGCCTGTATCATGTTAATAAACTAATTAATCGATAGGGGAGAAAAGGGGGAGGGCTATCAATTACCAGGGACTCGATAATGCCAACATAAGTAGCTGCGTTGAGCACAAGGGATAACACGTTCGCGCCGGTCTTAATGTGGCCAAACAAGGCCCTTCTTCCTTGGACCCAACTATCCTTACGCGCGTAAACTTCTTCCCAGAAGAATACAGGAAAGAAGGCATACGCATAGTATGTTAAGGGTGAATGAGATATGATGAAGGACGCATATAGAATGACGAGGAAAGAGGAGAAGACAGCTGTGCCTCCAAGGGTTCTCGACGGCTGTGTGGTTCCTTGTAGTACATGCAGGTCCAAGACAGTCGTTAGAGCATACGCCATCCACCCCAAGTAGCCAATGGTGATGAGAGCTCTTAAGAACAGCCAATCATAAGTCTGCAAATAGCGCATTCCCTCAAGTCCGATTTTCATCAGCGCCGCGGATTCTTCGATGGCTTCTTCGTACCTTCCATTATCGATCAATTCCTTGATATGCGATATTCGGTTGTCAGGGGTTGAGCCAGTTCCCTCACTAAGGGGTTTGTATGATTGATATCTCAACTCCTTTTCCTGTTTGCTGGCCTCCTTTACCTTGTACATTTCCAAAATCTCTTGAGCGTTTACTAAAGACGCTTCGGCTTTTTGCTTAATGTTTGCAGAGAGATAAGCCAATGGCAGTTCACCAACAGAATTGGCAGGAAATTCGACGCCAATCAAATAGGCCATTAAAGCTGCAACATCGGCCTGGTGCACGTCATTCCTCTTGACGTGATCCAAATTCCAATCCGAGGAATATTCATCGTGGCCAGGGGCGATGGTGCCTGGATATACAGATGGCTTCGCAATACCTGACCCCCAAGCGATCAACGGAGTCCTGGTGTTATCTGGGTGGCCATCTCCATGGCTTCCCCAATCGCTCATGCCATGATCAGCCGTAAAAACAAAGGCAGTACGGTCGTCGCCATAGAACTTCTGAAATAGCTCGGTAATTTCCTTGACTCCTTGGTCGACAACTTTAATGTTATGCAGATACTCATCCGAGTATGGTCGGTATGAATGGCCGGCAGTATCAAGTCCTAGGAGGTGGAGGAAGAAGACGATTTTGTCTTGCTTAATAGCATTACTTAGAGTCTTGTTCTTTTCCGCCGCAGCGAAAAGATCTTTCACTCCGTCGAACACGTATAGATCTAGCTCGACTGCACCCTTGGAGAAATCTTCAAATTCAGCGTCGTAGCAGTCTGCATCTATCCTGCCGGGAATTGCGCCATGCTGGAACATAGGAAGAATATCAGGGCTACCCCAACTCCACGTATGTGCGCTTCTATTGAAGACGCTATCGAAGTTTACAGGGTTGAGCTTCCAACCAGTCGCAACAGCCGAAACATCCTCATAGAGTCCTGCTATGAGTGCGACGTGACCGGGTCGTGATTCTGTAGGCACCCTCGTGTGAGATACGCCAAAGGTGCCATGTTCGAGAACGCGGGACCGCAAATACGGTGCAAGTGGTCGCGGAGTGCGGTCGGCCTGGGTCTTCGGAAAGGGATCAGGGTGCGATTGAAAAGCTTTGTCCGCGCGCAGTCCGTCGCCTAATAGGTATGCTGTCAGCGGGGGGTTCTAGACTTACACATGGATGTGCACTCTATAAGGTAAACGGTACTAGGTACACACCAACAAAAAGAACAAGCCGGTCCGCCGGTGCTTTTACTCCCGCGGGTCTTTCTAATTGGAACAATTGCATCCCACTAACGATTGGACTGACGAAGTAAATATCGAATATAGAGTATATATAAATTAGATGAAATACCACGGCTATAGCCAGGAATTTGAAGCGACTGGCGCCCGCCATAGCTGCAGGTCGAAAGAGGCAGGTCGCGTTACGAAGTGGAATAGATAGGTTAGGAAAGTAGAGGTTAAGTGAAGAAGTAAGTGCCTTGCCAAGATATAAAGGGTTTAGGCAAGGTGATTCGCTCGACTCGAATCCTTGGGTATTACTTATCTAAGGTCAGAGAAGAGAGATAGCCAATATATTAGCCATCTATTATGTCCAATGGAAGATTGTTGAAGTTGGGAATTGACAAAAAAAAAGAAGAAAAATGAAAATAAAATATAAAGATAGAAGGGGGGTGGAATAATTCAAAGCTTGAAAAGTTGAAGTTTGTACATAGTAGTTTGTTTAACAAACGGAAAGCTCAAGTCTCCCGAGCCGTCAAGGTGTCCATCTGAAAATCCGCGTTTCAATTTACAGGGATTATTACAGGGCTGATTACGTACTTATGTACCTTGCTGCATAAGCTTTGAAACAAGCGGGAGGTAAAACCGTAGGCTCCACCAATGCGACGGCGCCTACTGCCTACTAGTACCTAACCTAGTAAGAATTAGCCTCGGGGATTGCAGCAATAGGAGCCCATTGTGCACTCAATCACGCTTGCCATCGATTATGTACTAGTAGTACCTGGGTAAATAAGCTTATTTTTATTAACGTTCAACGTTGAACATTGAATGCTGATGATATCACGGCGGGTACTAAAGACCTAAGAGGACCTGACATTCAAAACAATCCCCGAAATAGATACTGAATAATCGAATATTATTCTAGTACCCAGCAAGATATATACAGTTCTTCCATTTCCCCCCTCAAAGAGATTGTCCAACATAACTATACCTCTCATCGCAATTTACTCCGGGCGTTCAGTCAAGGACTTCATAACTCTTGAGTAGAACCTCGCAGCATGCGATTGGGGAAAAGTGATCTCCTCTACGAGATAATCAGGTAGGATCTCCATTAACTCTTCATCTCGGCTCGGATCTAGTTGCGGCATGTATATGAACTGAGGCTCGTCAAGTTTCTGCGTCAACTCATCCCCACCAACAGCCAGTTTGAAATGGAGGGCTACAACGATGGTCAGCTTGGCGTTTTATCAATATAAAAGGGTCGGGTGGAAACTCACTTCCGTTTCTCCCAGTCTGAATGCAATCATATGTCTCTACACCCTGCTCCTGCTTGATGCCACGGACAATCAGCCCGGTTAAGTCTCCATACAGGTCTTCCTTCATCTGGGCCAAGTGGGCAGCGGCCTCGGCGCTGGCGAGCATTCGGTTGTTCGCGCTCGATCCCTTGATGGCGCTGCCTGGAACCTTTACAGCTATTGGATCAACCGATCGAGCCGCGGCCAGTTTTGTGGAAAGCGTCTTGAGTTCTGTCTTTGCTTCTGATAAAGATGCGTTTGTATCGGTGACCTTATTCTGCAGTTGCTCTGCTTTGGACTGGCTAGCTTCAAGTTGCTGTCTTAAAAGCTGTGCTTCTTTAGCGAGCTCGGTCTGAATGGTCAGCTGTGCCTTCAAGGTCTCGATGAGTTGATTGGCAGCTACAAAATGTTAATTTCGTTATCAGTATTCACGTATGATTTCTGCTACTTACTATTGGCCTTCTCCTCTGATTGCTTCTTGAGTCGGTCATAATTGCGTTCAGCCTCCTTAACACCAATCTCTCGCAAGTCGCGATATTTCGCTTCCAAGCTCTCATATTTCCGGTTTAACTCCCCCACTCGCCTTCTCATCGATGGCTCGTGTATCTCGGAATCCGACGCGGGGACTGTTCTTCGGCTTGCACCGAAGACACTATGTGATTGGTGCCGTTGGACAGACGAAGAGCCGGGACGCGGGTGAGGCGGCAGGTCTTCTACTTGGTCATACTCCTCAACGCTCAGTTCCGTTGTTTCGGGCGCCTGTGTTTCCGGGATCTCCTCCTCGACTGGTTGCGTTTCAGGAATTTCAAGTTCTGTGGGCGCAGCCTCGACTTTGGGCTTTGGTTTTCGCCCTCGTTTAGCGGCCGGTCGAGTTGCCGGCTCTGGTTTAGGTTCTGGTTCATCTGCAGTGGGAATATCTTCTTCGTTGGATAATTTTGGAACTTTCGTGGCCCTTGGGCGTCCCCTTCCAGCCTTGGGTTTCGCATCGGAAGCCATCGAGCTCTCGTCTTGCTCCTCTTCAACGGCTGGCGCAATGTCTTCCGTGGCAGGTCGCTTGTTTCCCTTGCCGCGCGTAGGTTTGTCTGATACATTTGCCGATTTGTCAGCAAGGACTTTTCGCGCTGCTGCGTTCGTTATGGTAGTCGTCCTACCATTAGTTTGACGCGTCGCATTCTGATTTGATTTGGTGACTCGGTTCGCAGCAGCTGCACGGGGTTTTCTCGCTGGTGCCATTTTCGTTGTTGTAATAGCTACTGAATCGTCGGCCAACACATCCACTTCCTCCTCGTCCGACTCAACCAACCCAAGAAGCGCAGCAACTCTCGTATTTGACATCGAACGCGTAACAGCAATTGGTGGCGCGTCTTTCGGTTCTGTAAATGATTGATCGGCGCCAATGGTATGCACTGCAATGATATTAAAATTCGATTGTATACGTAGGTACCTAGTAGGGAGGTAAGTAAAGAAGACTTGTAATTCCTTTGTGATATTTGTTATCACGGGACAATAAGGTGGAGATATATCGCCTATGCAGGCTACGTAGGTAAGTAAGAGTATACCAGGTAGGTAAGTAGATTGTAGATTGTGATTGTGATTGTGATGGGGTTCAAGGGGGTTGTGATAATGGTGGGATGAGTTTGTCGCCAATCAGGTCTTTTCAAGTTAGAAGCAAGTAAACAAAGCTAAGCAGGCTAATAATACTGGGGCTCCATAATACACAGTTCATGGTTAGTTAGGTACATACATAATAAAACAAACGCGCCTAGAAAGAAAAAAGGAAAAAAGAAAAAAGAAAAAAGCTTTGAACTTCAACGTCGGAAGCAGCTACGCCACATCTCGCCACATTATTTTTTAGTTAAGTGGCGTAACCATACCGTTTGATTTGGGCCCTTCAAGGTCACCCTTACATAGTACCCAAGATATCCTGGCAACTTTCAACAGTCCAATACCGATCTAGGGCCGTATACGTATTAATTACCTAGGTACGGATTATTTATCGTGGCGTGTCTCATACAAAACCTCAGACTGTCCATTTGTCTCTCCCAGCCAACGGGGAGACATCAAATTAACAAATGCTTCTCAGTTGGCTTAATCAGTCCGTCGCCATGGTTGACAGAAGACGAAATGGTGCCGACTATATCTGGGACTTGCTTTTGATCCTAGGCACGGTATGTCGCTCTCTCTATTATCGATGCAAATAAATGTGTTGGTGCTACATGCTACCTGGTTACAGTACAATATAAATCAATGCTAATTACCTATATTCATCCTTCAGGCTGGAACAGCATGGTATCTAACTAGAAATGTCATCTCAACCCTTCAAGGCACACTCGCCGACCCAGAAAAAGACAAGCGCGAACAAGCTCGACTCAAAGCGAAAGCGAACCTCCAGAGACTACAAAAATCGAGAGACTATGAAGAAAACAATGGTGAAGACGTCGCGAACGGAACTAGGAGAGGGCCTCGAATTGAGGATCTGGCCCTCAACGAGTATGAGAACCTTGTTGCATTAGAAGTCGTCGCACCTGAAGACATACCCGTTGGTTTTGATAGTAAGCAATGCGAATATGATACTTCTAGCCTCACAATGCTAATATAGACGGCAGACATTGGCGGACTGGAAGATATCATCGAAGAAGTGAAAGAATCCGTCATATATCCATTAACAATGCCACATCTCTACTCACACGCTGCACCGCTATTATCTGCGCCATCTGGTGTACTACTCTATGGACCCCCTGGTTGTGGCAAGACCATGCTTGCGAAAGCTGTCGCGCATGAAAGCGGCGCTTCCTTCATCAATCTTCACATCTCGACTCTGACTGAAAAGTGGTATGGAGACTCAAACAAACTTGTGCGGGCAGTCTTCTCCCTTGCTCGCAAACTCCAACCTGCCATTATCTTCATAGACGAGATAGATGCCGTGCTTGGTACTAGAAGGAGTGGTGAACACGAAGCAAGCGGAATGGTCAAAGCAGAGTAAGCCTTGTATCTATTCATTAACACATATTGCGATACTAATGGCTATCAGATTCATGACTCTATGGGATGGTTTAACTTCGGCAAATACCCAAGGGCTCCCTGCGAGGATTGTTGTACTTGGAGCAACCAACCGTATTCACGACATCGATGAAGCCATCCTTCGAAGGATGCCCAAGAAATTTCCTGTATCTTTACCCGACAAGAACCAACGATTACGAATACTCCAGCTCATCCTTAAGGATTCCAAAACCGACCCTACCTTCAACATTGAGTATATTGCTCGAGTAACGGCCGGTATGTCTGGTAGCGATATTAAGGAAGCCTGCCGTGATGCTGCTATGTCTCCCGTCCGAGAGTACATCCGTGAGCACCGAGCAAGTGGAAGCTCCATGTCCGCAATTGACCCTACGAAGGTTCGAGGGATTCGTACGGAGGATTTCTTCGGGCGAAAAGGCACGGGGCAAATTCTGATGAAGAACCATTCTCAAGCGAAATCTAAATCTTCAAGTAGTGAGTATGAGGATATTGACGATGATGCAGCTACGGTTGAAACTTCAACTGCTAGTCAAAAGACGACTGGAGCAGCGACTGAAGCAACTGAAGCTTCTGTGTAAAGACAACATTGGTATGAACCTAATATGAGCAAACTGGAGGGGTTGGAACAAAGGCGTTCACATGTGGATCTATGGGTGTTATCTGGGTACTAGGTATGCTTGGGATGAGGGATAGCCGTCACTACCAGGTAGGGTCTTGCTATCAGAAGGATCCCTATAGGCATGAGTTAAAGACACGTCACTCTGTATGATATCAATCATCTTTCTATTCTTGTGAAGCCTACACAACTTTTGAGGCTCAAGATATCTCTCTCTCAAAGCACACACAAATTATGTGTCTTACCTGTTTATGTACCTAACTTAGCTGAAGGTATTTACAGTAACTTACTAGATGTACACACCTATGCATGATGTAAGTATATAGCATATGTTATATGTGTTATATGTGTTATATGTTAGGTACTATCGTGCACTTGCAGTTCATCTCCTTACACGCATACACATATTGGCCTTAATATACTTTCAAGTAATGCATACTTATTACTTACATAAGACCTAATATGTACTATCCAGCAATTTGAACTTAAAAGTGCATAGTTACCAGCTCATAGTTCCATTACCTAGTAGGTAGGTACAAGTACATACATATGTATGCATATTTGGAGGCTAAGAAGCACTCGACGTCAGCCCTGTGGGCCTAATGGGTGCTTAATGGACGCTTTGTTAATGTTCAAAATCACGTCATTTGTAGCGATACCCGGTGCCTTCCCCAGGTTTTGCTCATCTTACCCGATAACCGGAAGCTGCAAGGGGCGGTGGACTCCACACCGCCCCCTCTAGTGAATCTTAACTGGTCACAATTTCTGTAAAAGTTGTCCCACCTCGGCGTACAATCACGGAATCTCTACTTTCTTCATTTTTTTTATGTATTTGTACCCCAGAAGAGTAAAACTTGATGCTTTTGCTCCAGAATTATTTTCAATTGACTCATCAAATTCATAAAATTACTTCGTCAAACTCCAGACATTTACAAAAGGCCTACCACTTAATCAATAGACATCGACTAATACCTTCAAATTTGAAATCCAGAGGTGTAGCTAAATCCAAGATCAAGTTCCCATATTCTCTTCAACTACCGATATTCGCCGGTGTCGCCGGTGTCGCAACCTCAGCTATGGACTCTAAACCTCTCAACAAAGCTTTTACCAAAATCGATCTCGATGGTCACAACCTACCGCCGTCACCCGCCCCCTCGAGTCCATCTAATGGTCGTCGACGTTATGCTCTAGCCACTGAGCTTGTTTATACCGAGACCAAAGACCAATACGGTGCATCAAGCATCCCAATATATCAATCCGCTACATTCAAGCAAACATCTTCCAGTGGCGGAAATGAATACGACTATACCCGGTCGGGTAATCCAACCCGGACGCATCTGGAGCGACACATGGCCAAGATTATGAATGCTAACCGAGCTCTTGCTGTTGGCTCTGGCATGGGTGCTTTAGATGTTATCACTAGATTGTTGCGCCCTGGAGATGAGGTGATCACAGGCGACGACCTCTATGGGGGTACCAACCGGCTACTTACATATCTATCGTCGAATCAAGGCATCGTTGTCCACCATGTGGATACCACAGACGTCGACAGGGTACGGGAGCTCGTCTCGGACAAAACAGCCATGGTACTCTTGGAGACACCAACCAACCCCTTGATCAAGATTGTCGATATCCCCAGCATCGCGAAAGCTGTTCACGACGCTAACACAAAGGCCCTCGTCATCGTGGACAACACCATGCTATCGCCTATGCTTTGCAATCCCCTTGAACTTGGTGCCGATATAGTGTACGAGTCAGGGACCAAGTACTTATCAGGCCACCATGATATAATGGCCGGCATAATTGCATGCAACGATACTGCCATCGGTGATAAGATGTATTTCACTATCAATGCAACCGGTTGCGGCCTAGCCCCAAATGACTCCTTTCTTCTTATGAGGGGCGTTAAGACCTTGGCAATTCGCATGGAGAAGCAACAAGCAAATGCACAGGCAATTGCAGAGTTCCTCGAGTCTCACGGATTTCGTGTACGGTACCCAGGCCTAAAATCTCATCCGCAGTACGATCTTCACTGGACTATGGCACGCGGCGCTGGGGGTGTCCTATCGTTCGAAACCGGTGACATCGCCTTATCTGAGAGAATTGTCGAGGCTGCAAAGTTGTTTGGGATAAGTGTCAGCTTTGGGTGCGTCAACAGTCTAATCAGTATGCCGTGTCGTATGAGCCATGCCAGTATCGATGCAAAGACTAGAAAGGAGCGGCAGTTGCCCGAGGACATCATTCGACTCTGCGTTGGCATTGAAGATGTCCATGATCTGATTGACGACCTCTCTCGTGCAGTAAGTGTTACAACATAGGTCGGTTTTAAAAACTTGGTCATACTAACGTCAAATAGCTCGTACAAGCTGGTGCTGTAACAATCACACTGGATGGGTTCCATGCCGTAGAACCTACTGCGCAAGTGGGAGGGACAAACTCGAGCAACGATACCCCGTCTGAGACTACTTCATCTTAAGATCCTGCGGGATATCCATGCTTCGGAGCGGAAGCACATGTTGCTGCGTGGCACTGCAGCGAAATCTTGTTCTAACAATATAGAAGAGATTCTATTATTCATCTGATGTTCTGCTTGGACATTACGTCGAGGAATTGTAACACGCCCACCCCCCTGATGCAAATGCTTGGTACCCTACTAGGTAACATATACAAGGACTCAGACCCTCACAGCGAATCAGACGAATCAGTGCCCTTTAGATAACCTGGGCTCACAAATCAGCACAGGATTGAAAATATGTCTATGGGGGACGGGCACATACTCAGCATCTGGTTGTTGAATCACCTCGGTAAACGGAAGGTCTTCACGCATAGTCTGGCTTGCCCAGCGCTGTAGCATCGTTGCTTGAGACGATCCCTTCTCCCGCTGGGTAGTTACTTGCGCGGAGCCACTTTGGACTCGAGGGTCGTGCCCGCTATGTACGTTGTTTTAGAATCATCTTGTACCAGTGAGGTTATTCTTCACGAACCTATGGGGCTTTTCATTAGCCTTATGAACACTGTGGGGCATTGCCGTTGAAATCGATGGAAGTCTTTCAAATAGAAAATGCCAGCCAATACACGTCCTACGAGAGAATCCAAGAAATGAGAAGATTGAGATTTATTCGTATGAAAATCAGAACACACTGAGCGAGCCTACACATACCTGATCATCCTAGCCCCCCAACTTGTCAAAGCCCAACCCTTATATAGCCATATTGGCTAGGACAGTCTCCAGCACCGAGTTGATCCTCTCTGGACCAGCATCTGATAATAATTCCGTAGAGTCGGACCTACAGATTCGTCAAGGCATCATGTCGACAGGGAATATTATTCGTTAGGCATCTAATCCACGATTTCGCCTAACACATAAACACAAACCTCGATTGGTCTTCACAGACAACATTACAACTAGATATCTATCCCGGGACACACCGCTACCAAGTGCTTCCAAGGTATGATGATGCTGTACATGATGTTGTCTAGCTCGAGCGATAATAGTCAACCTGCCCTATCCTATCATCCTCCATTAGCTTCGCTTCTATCTCCGTCACACTTATGTACATCGGCTCTGACTTATGAAATGAAATCCAGCCCCAAGTTTTCAAGCTTCCACTGGGACTGTGGCTTGCATATTTCCAATAGTACAAGACGCCTTATCTGCAAGATGTAACAGCTTTTGTGGTAAGGCTTAGCGAGCGTCCGGGGTCCTGAAGTAAATGCCTCCTTTGAGCGCCGCGCCTTTTGTCACTCACTCATCATGCCTACTTAGGATTACTATTCCGTAACGGTGGCACATCATTGGTCTCGATAAAATTCTACGCTGGACCAATACTTGCTTTAGCAACCCCCTTAGTTATTCTATTGGAGAGATAGTCAGCCAACAAGAAGTAATGATAGGAAGAATGAATGGGCATTTTTTGAACAGGAGCTGCGGGTTTTCTTTTTCTGGAAGACTACCTAGTCACCGGTGAGCGACAAGGCGGTCACAAAGCAAATTTGTAACAAGCTAGTAGTACGCCACTATAACTCGATCCATCGGTTTGAGTGAGCTCAGGTCGGTCGTCCGTCTCCCAATTTTAGAATGCCACGAGCGAGTGGTCAGGTGAGCAGCCACTTGCATAAGTATGCGGGTACCCGGCAGGATGCCATTCCTGGAGGAGGGCGACCGTTTTTCAAGGCCCGTTCAAGGCCTAGGGTGTGCGGCTGCCTACACGGGTCCGTGATAACCATCTTTCTTGTATGCACTGGAGGTGTTAAGGGTGATCAATCTTTCTTTCAAACTCCTGGCGGTCATGTTTTCCTTTTGGATTGAAAGCGGGGGGTGTTCTTTTTCTTGGGCCGACAACAAGGTTAGCTGCTGCCCTCCATGTCAGCCTCGCTCATAGCCCTTTGATGCCCCTCAGAACGCTTCACTTTAGAATCTTGTTGTTGTCGAATTGCAGTTTTGCGAAATATCTACTAACGATCCCTAACCCTATACATTTCATTCGGCAGCTTTGCTGATATCTTTGGTTCCCCTCCCCTCTCCACCATACCCCCCCATTTGCTTGTTTACGAGATTGAAATCCAAGCTTCGACCTCGAGGGGCCAAGGAAGGCATAGAAAAGGCAAGCGAAGGGGTGTAAAGCAGTGGTACATGAATAGGCGAGCGTCGCTACCTACATAGCCTAACTTTGGCAGTTTCTGCAGAATAGTTTGTTTCCGTTTCATTACAGCCTCACTTTTAGTGCCCTTTTTTCGGTTTTCTTTGCCTATCCCTTCACGACGCATTTTCGAGAAGCAAACATACATACATACACACTGGGATACAACCATACACGCAACGCCGGCAAAGTCGGAATACATTTTCTGGGGCAGAGATATTAGCAAGGGATAATAGAGAGAGATGCTGAGAGGATGCCGAAATGAAGGCTGCTGCTCTCCGGACTGGAATCGAACACATCGGGTGATCCTGCCGCTTCCCACCAGCAACGTCATAATCTTTTAGTCGCTCAAAACTTCGATCTGTTGTTGATATGTCATCTGCAACGTCAATAGTTATGTATCTTTATATCTTTCTATCTTTCTGCCCGTTTTCTCACGCGCGGATTCAAGATAAGGAATTCTATCATTTGGCAGAAAAGGGGGAGGGGGAGGGGGAGCGTGTCTCAAATTGTTGTTGCAGAAACTGACAGGTCACATTTCTGGTAGAGCTTGTCCTCACACTACTTTATCTTAAGCGTCTATATATATTGAAGCTGTCGTCGGCATGATGACTTTCTGTCGTGGACCCACGGCCGCAGTTGCTTGCTGTGATGTTCGAAACCTCCTTTTCACATGATTTTACCTGGTTACCTGTACAGGCGGTAAAGCAGTGACTATCTCGCGACAGATACCTGTGTACATATTGGGCTTGCTTACCTATAGGGTACCTACATGTTGTTTGCGTTCAGCTTTCCTTCTTTTGTTCCCAGCTTCGAACGTTGCTCTTTAAATATGTACCCACTTACATAAATAGGGGGGGGACACGCTGAGACATGATATCCTTTCCCCCGACGGTCTTATCGGGTAGGTGACACCTCTGAAGTGGCAAATACCCGAGTGTTACCGCCGATATAAATGCAATGCGGCTCTTTCGCTTGTACCACCCATCCACATCCACCGTAAACCCCCCAAGGACTTGTTTGTTTCTAAAAAGGAAAGAAAACTGCTGCCCAAAACACCAAACTTTCACATGCCTGCTTTGCTCCCTCTGTTACTGTTACCCATATATGCTTTCGGGGGTAGTCGTATCTCCGAGCTGGGCCAGCGCTGGTGTAGCCCCCCTATTTTTATACCTATACGTGGAAGTTGTTCCAAGGGGGGCACATGCTTTCGCTCTCCCTCTTGGCTTCCAAGGCCATCATGGTAATATGTAGCACTCTACTAGTGTGGAAAGGGGAGAGGGGCGGTCATCCCCAAGTCTTCCCATCGCTTAACCAGTACCACAAAACTTGCCCTTTATTTCCCCTTAACTTTCAATTACCTACCAAGGTGCACTGGGTAGGCTTACAAATGGTTTCGCTTTTCGATATCACCGCCTCTGCCATCTTGGTAGGTACCTACCTACTCGGAGAACACATCGCTACCCAGGTACTTTTAATTGCTGTTCATACACACTTCTATGACCCCGCCTCTCTTCCCTTGGAGTCGTAGGTTTTGGTCCACGAAGTGCAAGGTTCGTCGATTAAGTCGTCTAGGTGAAAGCCACATAGCCTCTACCTTTTTTCGTAAAAGGGGGAAAGAAAAGGTACTACTGAATGACCCCCTTATCGAGCGTGTGTGCTTGGCGAAGTTGGTTTTTTTTACTTGTGGGAAAGATTGAGAAATGGAGACAGGCAAACAAGAGTTATGGCCCTTCTACACATATGTCCCTCAGGCATGTATGTTCATTAGCTACAGCAACACGGTCCCAAGGGGATCGGTACATACTCTCGGCTCGATACGTTCATGGGGAATACCAACACACGTGGCATGGCTAGATCTTACTAAACTTACATGCATAATATCCATGGATATATTTAAGATGTGTACTGTAGGTACGTAGCTGGGTAGATAGATAGGCAGGCAGGAATGCATACACAAGGGGGGTCTAGAGAGGGAAAATTTAGGAGTGCATAATGTACAGTACCTCCGAGGTAGGTAGGCAGATAGGTGGGCGGAAGTAATAATGAAAAAAAAAATAAAAATAACAAATACCAAGTTGTAGACATAGGTGCTTATACATTTGGCGGTAAGGTTGGTATCATAAAACTAGGTAATGTAAGTGAAGGAAAGGCAGAAAACAAGTACTTATGCAAGACGCAGATGGGTGGAAAGCAGAATTAGAAAAATTACAAGTAGTAGTAGTAGTAGTAGTAGTAGTAGAGGGGGGGGGGGGGTGGTAAAAAAAAAGAAGAAAAAAAGAAAATTGGCAAAAAAGCTCGGTACCCCCCGGGGGCTCGAATCGAGTACCTACGAAAAACTCCTTTGAAACGGGTCGTACTGTCAAGTTAGCGTTTTAGTGAAGGGACGCCTCCAGCATATGACCCGCCGGTGGTAGTTTTCTCTAACCTCTTGTCCACCCAACACGTGGGGTCGGTTGCAAGATAGAATGCAATTATAATCTATAAGGTATACCTTGGTGGTCTACCTTGGTTTCGGGTAATCTGGGGAAATAGGAGGAGAGGGAGGAGGGGAGGCGGGAGGTTCGTTGATGCCTGGGGCTTCTATCGTAAACTCCCCCTGATGACACTGTGCGTTGGCGGCAGCAGTGGTGGTTAGGGTACCTAGGTATACTCCCTAATAGGAGATCCTCAGTGCAGCGAGGCCATGCGAGGAGACGACCACTTAGATAGATGAGAAATAAGGTATCTATATGAAGAGATGTAGTTCACGTAGCTATTCACAACGTCTCATGCTCCTAGCCCCCTGAATACGATACAGAGCATAACACTTTCTACCATGCTGTAAAATAAGACTACAACAGTCTCCGTCAACCACTATCAAGTGGGTTCACTCTTACTTGGATATCAGTACATGATACCACCAGTAGGTAGGTGCCTAGTTAATCACGCATCTTCCGAGTACTATTAGTAAGTACCTTGCAACACTAACATGCGAGAATCCAACCCCCTTTCGAGGTAACTGACCTTCAGCAATGTCTATGACCTAACCCTCTACACACTGTATCATACAAACACTTCATCGCTACCTAGGTAAATACCTAGGTAGGATGCCTAGCAACCAAGAGACCATATAAGGGGTATTTAGTCTTCCTTATCCTACGTACCCACACGATGAACCATGTAGGACTACATAGGTACGCTACAATATGAATATGTTTGAGCATTCTAACACTCGTATGCAATATGCAATATGCAAAATTCAAAAACAACGCCGCCTTCATCTCATCTCAATTACAAGGTATCCATTCGATCAATACAGCCGACAAAAGTAGTACAACACTATACACTAGCTACCTAGTACCTACCCAAGTAGGTGCCTAGGCAGGTAACAACAGAAAACAGACCCTCAAAAAGAGTCGAACCGGTCCGGTAGTATGATTGGCGCGATCAAAGTCCAGATGTACATGCTATAGCATATCCAAGCACTGACGATCTTGACCCAGGTAGCCCAGTACGTCCTTCCTACAGTTGCAAAGTCGCTGCCGGTCGGGAGGTCATCGAGACCTTGGACAGTACCTGTAAGTAGGGTACCAACCCAACAGGTAGCCAAAAAGAATATGAAGTGGAACACCGAGTAGTTGTATTGCGTATTGCCGCGCTCGTCATCGTGAGGTGATTTGCCGCTGTCCTCGTCGTCTTCGTCGTCGGATAAGAGTGCGTCAGCGGGTAAGCTACCTTCTTCTACCGCCCGGCGCAGGACTTCAGCTCGCATTTCACGACGTCCAGGCTGCTGTGTCACGAGACCGTGCTCATCATCGTCTGTAAGCTTGATAGCACCCTTGCTGTTGCCCAAACCAAGACTTTGGGTCGCGGCCCGCGTAGTAGTGTATGCAACAGTGAGCATTGTGACGATTGCGCCCATGACTACGGAGGTAGTTCGAGTGCCTTGACCACGAATTAAGGGGTTGCAGTGCTTATCGTCAGGTTCCATGGAAACAGCGGACATGGTGAGGTAAGAGCAGTACACTGCCACCATGGCGGCCTGCGCCAATCCGGCTTTGGAGTTGTACTCCTGGACCGTAGGATGTACCGAGATAAACGATATGGCAACCCAAAATACCAAGTTGATAATAATGGCGGCTTGGTTCATGGAGCAGCCACTGTGGGCGAAGAAGATAAACTGTACAATCGTCATGGCCAATGAGCCGAGGTACATGCCCAGAGTCGAACCGATAAGCACTCCTCTCCAGAATCTCGAATCGGTATTTTCAATCTGTTCGAGGCAGTATTCGGCCCAAGTGTGTGCAAGATCGACAAGAAGGATAAGACCGAGCATGAGGAAGAGCATGGCGCCAAAGAAGGCGATGTAGTTACCCCAGAACTGGAAGAAGGCATCGGGAATGAGGAAGGACATGACGATAAAGGCAAGCCAGACGATGACCTTGGGACCCCAGAAGCCATTTTGAAGGGATGCTCGGGGATTCTTGGTGGAAGCGACACCAAATAGCAGGCCGGCGAAGATGAGGTGGAAAAGGCCGAGAGCAAAATTAATTCGGTGGACGGCAAGCCAGCCGGAACATGAACCATTGGGACAGTTGATCTTAACATAGTCCAACATCAAATGCTGCAGCTTTTCGATAGCCCAAGGGGTGAGCATGATCCAGGAGAGTATAGAATTGACGAGGAGGAGGAGGGCGTAGGCGATACGGGTAGCAACACTTGGGTATCGATGTTAGTTGCTGCTTTGCGCGCCGAAGTATAGGATTGCAATGATAGAATCTTACCTGTTGCCACATTTACCACATGCACTACAAACCATGGAGCATGTTGCAGCACCACAGCAGCTAGCAGCGAAGGACATCAACTATGAAAATATTAGCCAACAAAAAGAGGCTCGATAAGTAACAAGGGTCGCAAGACGTACGGCGCCAGCGCTGGGCAAAGCCAGCATGGGGATAGATAGGAGGGCTCCCATCTTGAGTGGTTGATTGCAATCCCAGCTTGCGTAGTTTTGTGTATCCCTAGTCGAGTCGAGGTGAAATGTTGAAAATTAGTTGAAGTGAAAATAACTAGGCAGTTGGAAGAATGAGAATATTAGAAGGTTGGGTTGTTGGAGGCGGGCGTCGTCACGGTTTGGTGTTTAGTTTCCTTGCGGCGAACATTTGTGCACGGGCCATATTTTAAAGGCTTGGCACTTGCAATTACGTAGCAGGTCAGGTCATCCGGATCCTGCTAATAATGTACAATGTATAGTGTAACTAATAAAATGGGCTATAACATTAACTATTCTTTAAATATTGCTATATGCCGTATTACTGTCTAATACACTATTTACCTACATAATTTAGGTATTGACAATCACGATCCTAAGCCTACCAACTTAATAGCCTAATTCTCGTTCATGTAGTTATCTGCTTTATTCAACTATGTAAAACCCATATATCTGGATGGGCAAAGTGATACAGCTACAGTCGAAATGCCATGACAATAACTTGAAAACTTCATATACAGCCCCCCCACTCTCCGCCACCACGAAACTAACTACCCCTCTAACCAGTGAACAGAGCAGGACCGGGAATCTTATAGTCCTTAATCGTCGCGTATGGGTTGAAGTGGATACCAGGGTCGTTGCTAGTATACAGCGCCGTGCCCAGCGTCCCCTCCGGTTTCGCCGTCCCCGATCCCGAAATCGCAACGTTGAAGCACTGCGGGTAGTTCTGCGCGCCTCCAACCGTGTTGGCGCCGTGGGCGGCTATGATCTCGTGGCGCAGCACGTAGTTGCCCGGCGCAATCGACTTGGGGATCGTCGTTGTCCACGTGTTGTTGTTGGCGACGAGCTTCGCGCTCGCCCATTCCTGCGTGCCGTAGTCGATCCCGCTCTCCTGGATCTTGAACCACTTGAGCTTCGTCTTGTCGGCCTTGCTGCAGTCCCCGTCGCACGCGGCTAGGTAGTCGATGATGGGGCCGTAAGGATGCGGCCACGCGCCTCCCGCTGCCGTGCCCCATTGGAATACAACGGTGCCGCCCGCCTTGATCGGTACCGTGATCTCGCCCGGCTGCGAGTTCTTGTGGCAGTTTATGTCGGGAGTCTGGTAGGCGCCTGGAGCCACGAAGCCGCTGTCCGTGTTCTCTGCATACCAGGCCGCGATCTTCGGGCTGGGCATACCGTTCTTCTTGTTGTAGTAGTAGTCCAGCAGGAACCCTTGTTGCTGGACACCGTCTGTCACGAAGCCGGTGACGTAGCCATGTCCCAGTGTTGTGGTGACGAAAGCACCCAGTAGCGTAACTACGGAGGCGACAGAAACGGGCATGATGGATGAATTTCGGGGTAGTCTTCTAGATTCACTCTAAGAAACACTGACAGAAGACGATTAGTAGCAGTAGGAAAACATCGATGGCTAAATCAGAAGAAGGACCCCTTTATCTATCGCGGAGTTCTCAACACCAGGTAGAGAATTTCTAACTGCATGACGAATACAATGCAACCTTGCGAGCAGGGTCAAGACATTGAATATAAAGCATGCTTAGAATTTGATCCCATGCTACGGACGATGGGATCTCGCTCGCTCGTTAAAAATAAGAATGTTCGCGATTGTGCTGGGTAATAGATGACTGCTATTTGTCGCTTCATCTCACCAAATGGGCATTCGGAGCCCAAATCGCCGCGCGCGGAACAGGGCAACCCGAAGTCATATATCCATCGTAGATCGATTTGCAATGACTGTTAATTTTTCTACTCTTTAAAATACAGTCTCCGTTGTGTTGTACGTCTTATTTGCAATTTGGAAATCTGGTTTTATTCGAATGAGGTGGTAGACACATCAGCCATGATGGTTGGAGTGGTTACCACTTACTTACCTCTTAGGTAAGCAGACATACGAAGTATAAAACCGATTTAAGGAAGAAATATTGAGAATAGATGATCAACTCTCTACCTCACTACAAAGTCCTAGGACAACTCATCGTCAGCATTCACAAGGTTTCATAATGGTACGTAAACTTTGCATGCCAACTGAGGCTTCCAAGAACTCGGCCTTCAGGAGTTGGTAGACACTAGGCTTGGTACCTATTTGTAATGCCGATACATCTAGAGCCTCGAAGCCCAAGGGGTACCAACTCCTTTTCACCACACATGGCGAGCAACTCATCTAACATGGCCGTATGCAAGGCCTTGGCTCTGCGGCGAGTCTCATTACTGACTAACAGCAGAGACTTTATATTGTGCTGAAGAGGCACTGCAGTGTCAAGAATTAGGTAACAACAACGGCGTAGAAAAGATATTACTACTGGTATATCAACCATTGGTTGGAAAAGAATGGTAACGATCAGTATTACCTAGCAGTTAGGTAAGGTACCCTAGGTAGGACCTGGTAGGTACTGTGTGCACTTTAGACAGTACTATGTAAAGTGACAGAAAGTGGACTAATGTTGGTGCCGACATACCGGACCTGGGAATCACTTTCTATTCTAATCCCTTGTTGGGTTAGCTCAATTACCGGGATATTTCCCGAAGCAGACAGGGGTTACCTAGTAGGCTTAGGTTACTCAGGTACTGGTGGTAGTTAACTAGTGTAGTAGCAAAGATAAGGAGATTAAAGGGCGCTCCGTAAGTGGAAGCTGAAAGTACCCACACATCATTGATGCAGCACTGCAGCACTGGACAGTATCCACATGCAGTACCTAACTACATGGTACAATACTTACGACACCTAGCGACACCTCATCCATCCCTCCATCAACTTTACGAATACACCTATCAACTCCATAAACTTAGTTGACGACAACACCTTGATTACTTGCTCATCCACCATTCGTTCCACATTCCACTCGTTATTGTTCGGCATCAAAAGTCCGAATCTATAAGAGCACGAATCTCCTTTTTCCCCGACCTTGCATAGCCTTGTGCGCCGTATCGTGGCCTCCGATCTTCTGAATCGTTATCTCAAGTGCTAGTTATCAACTTGACTCCTTTAACCTACCATACCATACCTAGGTACGCCTAGTACATAGTAATTGTTAACCGCTCAGTAACTATTCGTCATCCATACTCACATATCTACTGCTACACTACAGTATCAACTACATACCATACCCTACTTACTGATCTTATCTTTTCCCTTTTCCCTCCCTTTTATCTTTACTTGGCCTTCATTATCAACTCCTAAAAAGATATACCCAAAAAAAGTAAAGATAAAATAAATAAAAAGAGCGTCATGATATTGGAGCTGACATAAAAAATCCGCCTTATTCTTTTTAATTTTTTCTTTTTTTTTTGGCTTGCCCAAGATGCTCCAAACGAACCGCGTCTACAATGCTCGAATTATATCGAGTGTTGCCGCCACCATCATCTCGCTGGCCTGCGGGACTAATGTAAGGTCCCGTGGAAATATTTAATATTTTTTGTACCGAATATCTAACGGCCGACGGCAGTATGTCTATTCAGCATGGGCGCCACAATTTGCGGACAAGTTATTATTGTCCGCAACCGAAAGCAATCTGATCGGCCTTGCAGGAAATCTTGGCATGTACTCCATGGGCGTTCCCGTGGGTATGTTTGTCGATAGCAAGGGATCCAGGCCCGCCGTCATGGTCGGTGCTGTTTTACTCGCTCTCGGCTACTTCCCACTACACCAAGCTTACGATGCCGGCCATGGATCCGTCGCTTGGTTGTGTTTTGTTTCGTACTTGACCGGTCTCGGTGGTTGTATGGCCTTCGCCGCCGCCGTAAAAACATCGGCATTAAACTGGCCGCATCATCGCGGCACTGCCACCGCTTTCCCTCTCGCCGCCTTTGGTCTAAGCGCCTTCTTCTTCTCCCTCATTGGCTCCGTATTCTTCCCCGGTAGCCCGAGCAGGTTCCTCATGCTACTTGCGTGTGGAACGTTTGGCTTGACCTTCATCGGCTTCTTCTTTCTGGGCGTCTACCCGCCCCACTCGCCCTACCATGCCGTGCCTGAAGCAGAGTCAGGTTTGACAGACTCCCGAGAGTTACGTCGTACAGCATCCGAGGAGTCCAAACACCGTGCTGGCCGTGGACACCCAACTGAACCTGGTATGTCGCCCAATACCATTGAAACCAACACCAACACCAACACCAACACCAACATGACCCAAGAAGCCTCGGGACAAGAGGATGAAGCGAGCAGCACTCCAGAATCCCCAAGCCCTACATATGTCAGACCAAGGGCCGACACCGAGGAAGCAGCGTCAGGCATCCAAGACGGTGCCGATGAGACGTCTTCGCTTCTATCACAGTCCACCGCATCCTCCTCCCTCCCAGGTGAAGTGTTAGTGCAGAGCAGTGTTGATATGGATCGTTCTCACCGTGTAGATATTCGTGGCATAAACCTTTTGAAGAGCGTCGAGTTCTGGCAGCTATTTACCATCATGGGCATACTCTCCGGTATCGGCCTCATGACCATCAAGTCAGTCTCCCCCCATCTCCAAGATTCATCCATCCTAACATGATCCTCAGCAATATCGGAAACGACGTCACAGCGCTCTGGAGACACTACGATGACTCGATTGACGATAAGACGCTTGTCCTCCGTCAGCAGCTCCACGTCTCGATCCTGTCGATCGGTAGCTTTGCAGGCCGGCTATTAAGCGGTGTCGGCTCCGACTTCCTCGTCAAGGTTGTCCATGCCAGCCGTGTATGGTGTCTAGTAGTAGCCTCAGGCATTTTCTCACTGGCGCAGATTTTCGCCCTTAGGGTGACGAACCCACACCTGCTGGGATTTGTATCTGGCTTTAGCGGCCTCGGTTACGGGTTCCTGTTTGGCGTGTTCCCGTCTATCGTGGCCGAGTCCTTCGGGATCCACGGGCTCAGCCAGAACTGGGGCTTCATGACCTTAGCCCCCGTTGTCTCGAGCAACGTTTTCAACCTGTTTTACGGCGCCGTCTTCGACGCACACTCCGTTGTCGATAGGGATGGTGTTAGCTCCTGCGCCGACGGTCTCGAGTGCTACTGGGCCGCGTACGTCGTCACCCTATGCGCCTGTGGCCTCGGGCTCGTCGTTACCCTCTGGGTTATCTGGCACCAGTGGACAACGAGACTTGCCGAGTCTACCGGAAAAGGCCGCGCGAGGGAGTGAGATGGATATACTTACCTGACATGCCATAAGGCCAATACTTAACTACCTACACGAATATGTGTAGACATTTTTCTTTCGTTGGGAAGAAAATGCTGTCTTACTCAAGAGATCATCCACAGTTGTAAACTAAGAAAGATTGCGATTGCGGCAGGCTCGCGAAGCGAACAGGGTACAATTTTGGAGTGGTTTGGGAAAGGAGTGAGAGAGAAAGGGGGAGACAGAGGGACGATGAGAGAAAGAAATGGAAGACAAAGGTTCCAATACTGGGCGAGCACACGTTTCATCTAACTCGATGTATCTACCTAGTAGATATCTGACCGGCGTTTTATTTTGGAGAGGAACGGAACTTACCTAACTAGCTAAATCAAGCTATCCGGTACTTAGTCCAAGATATGTAGGAGTTTATTTTTTCCCTTTTTTTTTTCCTTTTTAGAAGATTTCGGTACAGATATCATACTATAGATATACCTCTAGCTACCTACCTTAGCAGTAGGTAGGTAGGTAGGTACACTTGGGGTATAGGGGTAGCACTTGGGACCTGGGTACACACATAGATATAGGTACCTAGGAGTTGGCAGATACACATCATCACATCATCACATCACATATATAGATTGAGGCGGGAATAGACTCTTTTTCGGTTTTTTATTGATCAATATATCATCAATAGTACTCTAGATGCTACTACATATGTACTTAAGCAGGTACGTACCTACCTACCTACAAGGAGGTAAGTGCTTACGGAGTAATATGCACATAATCTCTATTGTAACACTTGAAGATCAAAGTTTGGCTCGAGCCATTGAGTTAGTTCGATATTGGTGGTATCGGTAACCTGCCTACCTACATATATAGGTTAGGGTAGTATGTATGACTATGTGCATGTACGTACTCATATACCTACTTACCTACATATAGGGGTATCTTGATGGTTGTACTGGAACGGCTGCAACGGGGATAGTAACACGTACATACCTCCTTGGGATACGTACCTAGGTACTGATGCGGCGCTTCTGAGCCGTTTCCACGACGACACGGGTGTGTGGGTAGGGTAGGTAGGTAGGTAGGTAGGTAGGTATGTACCTAGATCTACACGATTTGAGGGCCAGACGTCTTCACTAGAAACGGTTCGAAACGATGATTTGAAAGTATGCAACCTACCTACCTAGTTATGTAGGCAAGGCATGCTATGTAGGTATGTAAGTATGTATGGTTATGTGGGCAAAGTGCTTCCTATTTGCAGTCCGTGAATTTTCCCCATCCTAGGTACCTCGTAGCTGTGGCGAGGCAAAGAGATGCCAGGCCAAGCCATCTAGAAGTACGTAGATATTTAGCTAGCTATGTAGCTGGTTATCCAGTTGGTCCAAGTTATTCCTTTAATTGAAAAAGAAAAAGAAAAACCTGACCATTCTGTCTAGTTAGACCCTTCTTCCTCTTCTCCTCTAGGACGAAAGTCCGAACCTGGGTATTACTCCTGTCTCGTCGACCCTCTCTGTCCGTCAACGGCCTCTCTCCAACCGCCATCACTAGGTAACTACCTAGGTTGGCTCGCCTCCTCTCGGCGTGCCCTTTCTCCCCTCCTGCTCTTTCTAGATTATGATTAGGGTTTGCATCCGTGAGACGCGGTCAGATAAGTCTGGCTTTTGTGGTTTCCGAAACCGTGTTTATAACCTGCCCGTCCATTCCAGTGCCACGTTCTTGTATTACGAAATCTCCTGACTGACCTATCAACCAACCCCCTTTGATCGTTGCACTCGTGGAAGGAAGAGGCAAGCTAAGAAAAGAAATGCGAACCTCGAATCTAGGGAGGAGCAACGAGGAAACTTTTGTTGTACAAGAATTGAAAGCTACATTTGCGCGTTGAACGGATACCTAAACCATATTCCGCATCAAAACCGGCCATGTATGCTTGGATGTGATATTAGGCGTCCATTGCGACCAATCGGACCACTGTTGGGACCAAACTCCAATCCGTAATGTAATGCAATTATGAAATCGTCGTAGAAGTGGATATCAAGAAACGTTCATAATAAGAAATAATATCTGGGGCGCAAAGTATGGTAGCCCATACAGTATGGCTTCCCCTGGTGGTGGTCAGAGTGCCGAGAAAGGTCCGGTAAAAACTCCTGATTTCATCATAGGTAGGCATTAGGTACTCATCAGGGGCTGATGAGTGAGATGTATATACAAGGATCAAGGCTCTCTCTCAAGAGTTTAGTTACCAATTCGTCTTAATATCCAGTAATAGGATCTAAGATGTCGAGCTTCCACATTGGCATGTATCCAAATCTTTAAAGATAATCCTCGAAGCCCATCTGCGATCACGCAGTGAACAAATAGTGTTTATGTGATAGATAGGTACTCATGGGGTTTTGCCTTGTTTACGGTCTTCAGTCGGCTCAGAGTCGAACATAGAGCTAATTCCAGCAAGCGTCCAAGAGTCCGAAGTGGAGTGAATTGCGACAAGCCATGCCGCAACTATATTTACAAGATAATGTAGCATGTAAGCATGCGATACACCGTAGATGGCTGCATAGGTAGCTATGCCGAAGAGGGTGACATTTGTCACGTGTCGAAGCCGACTTGTTAATACTGGAACCATTTGACCAGTGGAAAGGGTCTCCACCAAGAGAATAAAAGGTAGGATGGATAATACATTGTGATGAGATGAGAACGGCGTGAACCAATGAACAGCCAAGTTTCGTACCCAGACAACCAACGTAGGTAAGTTGATAGGCAAAATCCATAGCATTAGGAGGAATACTGAATGGACATAGTTGCTAAAGTTTGCATTTGCTAGAGAGGAAGCCTCGCTCGCAAACCGATACGCTCGGACAGCCGTACTTAACTGTACGAGACAAGCAACTACGTATGCAAACTGGTAAGGAATAAACGTAGAAACCAGTAGTAGGAGAACACAGGCTGTTATGAGTCGTCTCCGTGGCGATGAAGGTGCAAAAGCTGGTGAAAAGGCTCGTTTCTTCTCATTTTGAACTACTGGCCGAGTGGAAAGCTTCCCATAGAGGATGCTAAGCAGCCATGTGAGGAACAATGCCATATAGTGTAGACCCATACACGCTCCGATGCAGATGACACCGATTATCGGGATCAGAAACCAGAAGAATGGGTCCGAAGTTCCTATTAGCATGTCGTTCTGGGTGAAATCGATGGCACCTGTGCTATTATGCCAGAACCAGAGACCTTTTGATCCGTTAGGGTTTGACTGGCCTGTTGAAAGAGATAAAAGGGTCATGGACAGGAAAAGCATTGGCAATGATCGTCTGAGACAGAAGTCCAAGCTCTCCGAAAAGGGTATGAAGACTCCGGTGCTGTCGTACACTCGAAATTGCTTTCGTAGTACAAGTGCAACTATTAGCAAAGGGAAAGACGCAAAAACGGTTCGATATCGCATATATAACTTTCCGAGACTGCCTATACTATCCACTGTGATGCGGATTGAAATGCTTGAATCGCAGGTCGGATCTGTCCAGAACTGAAGACCGAGACCATCATCAAATTGTCTGGATTTGATAGGGGGAGGCATGTAAGGAGAGACACCATGAAGACTGATCTCTACCTCTTGAGCATTGACGAAAAATTTCGACTCGTAGGGCGCAGAAATATACTGACGGATGAGGGGAGTGAATAACTGCTCTCGTTCGTTGCAAGCACCACCTTCTACCTTGAGGTTGAACGCTAACAGACTACTTTGAATAGACGGAAGCTTTACTTCAGTAACCATGGGTCGGGTCGCAGGAAGACGAAATGACAAGCCGAAGCTTAGAAGACGTCTGAGGCTAATATCCCGAGTAGAAAACGCGTCATCTATGCCGGTAAACTCGGCTACCAGCCACCCAGCTGTTGGAGACCCAGTCTTGTCAATAACTGCAACAAACCCATAATCTGAGATATCTTCAACGTTATACTCAAGATAAGAAAATGGAGGGATTTGCCATTCATCCGCTTTAAAGAAGGTGTTCTTTGTGAAACGAGAAGAAGCTGGCAAGGACACAACATCAGATGCAGCATTTTTACAGGCAAGCTTGGTGGACTCGTCACTTTCATCAGAGAGATCGATATTCATCGAGAAGGGTAGGTTAGACTGGCCAGCTTGGGCTGAGTAGTAGTTGCAGAACAGGACTTCAAGCTTCCCCTCCTCACCTGGTCGATCTAGTTGGTTGTCTGATAACAAAGTAAACCTTTTTCCCTCAGCAAATTTCTTTGACGGGATCGGGAGAAGGTGTGCCTTTAGCTTCCTATCCGAACCTAGGCTGCGAAGGACAAGGCGTTCGTCAAGATTGATGATGTTTGTCGAATGATCTTCTAGGGTGAGTAACGTCGATGGAGCTGCGTCTGGCAAGGTCTTTTCAACATAGCTCTCTAGTCCAGTCAAGAACCGTTTCTTGAAAGCTTTCATTCGTTCTGCTCGCGGTTTGGTCTGCGATCTTACCCGGTTGTCGGCAACATCGTAGAGCGCACGAACTATAACCTTGCGAAATTGATCACACCATGTAATTGCTTGATGATCCATACTCGTCCAGACGGTGGGAATCGTGGAAGTGAAAACGGTGAATCCATGGGATTCAGGTACGATAGATTCCAACCCTGCATAATCCGATGGGACGACTGTATCCAAACCTCCACCAGCAATGGACACTAAGGTAACCTGGGCTAGAGAATTCTCCGCTGACGACTTCTTTGAGTAGGAGCGTCTCCAGTAGTTGTTGATATCATTATAGATACTGACAATTTGCGGGTCGAACGTGACAGGTGGTCGAGCATGCGGAGCAGACATGGTAACAATAGTGTTGACCGAATTTTGCTGATAGTTTGGCATAATGAACATGGTTCGTGCCACAATTCCTCCCATAGAATGCCCCAGGATGATGACCGATGATGGATCTGGGAGGCTCGGGTCCCGTTCTGAGATCTTAGGATCCAAGTAGAGAGAAAGAATATATCTGATAGCTTCATTGAGATATTCGGCTTGATCAAGCATCGTTTGGCCGTGAAAGGCAGTGAAGTCTTCGTTAAAGTCGACGGTGAAAAAGTCCAAGTTTTTAGCACCCGCGTTCAAAGCTGCTGCATCATGTTGTAAGATGTCGTGGTAGTACCTCGCCGACTCAGCTGCTATGGATCGAACCTGCTTATAGCTTCCAGCATTACCTGGGATGAAAAGTACCGGTATCCCTTTAATCTGTATATTGTGTCAACACTAATATTGTAAAGGGCATATCATCTTGAGATTTTGGTACCTTTGGACCGTTGTCAAAACCCTGCTCTCTATACAGGTATAATGAATACTTGGTTGCAAAGCGAGTATGCTCGGTATCAAAGTCGCTAAATTTGGCATATGACGGGCTCATCCAGGACATACGACATCCTTTGGGATCACAGTGTAATACGGCAGATGAGTATAGAACGGCAAGCATAAGACCAATTCCCGCGACACTCGTCATAAGTGTTAAAAGCGATATAGCCCAGGGACTCCAAGGTCGAAGCTGTCGACATTTGCGTCTTGCAGACGCTATTTTGTCCGATTCCATACTTGGATAGTCAGGGGATAATGTTGCTGGCGCAAGATGGGAAGCTGTAGTATCCTTCTCGATAGACCCATCTCGACTGTGGGAAAGCCTCCAATTGACATTGCTACTCGGTCTCCGGCTTCTAGCAGATAAAGATCTCGTTCCAGTATTTTGTTGAGGGCGAGCTGATTGGCGGAGTTCGTGGGGATGCCGAACGGAAGAGTTGGCGTCGTTTAGTCTTGTTTGCCCATGAGGGCGCGAGGTCTTGACAGAAACATCGACGCTGTCTTCAGACGACCCCGAGGAGCGCCTCTGCATGAGGAAGAAGAGGCTCTCGTGAGAGACCTCTTTTAATATGAGGATTCGGCTCGGACTAGGTCAAAGTTTGTTCTCGGTGCTCGTCGCAGCTCGTTCGAGGTTTGTCATACGCTGTGAATTCTTTTCTCTTTTTTTTTTCTCTTTATAGTTTCGGCTGATAACTAGCTTTGGTAGGATTGGTCGAGCATCCAACTTGCGCAACCATGAGCTTTATAGCTTAGCTATTTTAAGCAGCAGTGACTCGGAGGAATTGTCGATCTTATTGAAGGAGAGATTTAATCCGTTACGCGTAAAACAGTTTGTTTCTTCTTATTATTTCCTCCTAAAAATTGCGAGATGCTAAAAAACGAATGTCGGTCCCGTCTAATTCACCAAGATCAAAGAAGTTCAGGTGATGGACGGGATATGAAATGGATGTGTAGTCTCGTGGGCGATTGCGAACTTTGTGTTGGACAACATTGAAGGGAGAAAGACGGAAGCGGGTGGGAATTGCAATTGCAATTAGTTAGTTACAAGTCGCAGAACTTTGAGAGTCTACCCACATGGCAGACTGGCAGTATACCAGTAACAAAATAACAATACCTAGTAGTTACCTACAACTTGTACCGAGAATAGCAGTTTGAGCCCTGGAAGAGATTACCATTTGGCAATTACCACTTGTTAACGTACTTGATTTTATGGCGTTATTTGGCGCTATTTGGCGTTGTTTAGCGCTTCAACAACTCAAGTTTAGGGGAGATACTTAGTTACCTACCTACATAATACATATGTACCCTAGTCTTCCTTATCGGACCTGAATCCTAGTGGATCTTTTAAACACGGGCCAAGATGTGGTCTTAGCCACTTTAAATGCAACCCTTGGACCATGAATGACGTTGGCCTGGGTTGCATGCTACTTCATTACCAAGCTTTAGCTACCGGCTTGCCGACTTAACTAAGCTAAAATATGCAACTCTAAACCGAATTCTGCTGCATGCGTCAAGTAAGGTAACATCGGGTTACTGCTTTAAACAGGAAGATAACGTTTTTGCGAACTTCAATGTTGGTTATAGTGCATTTTATATACCTAGGTAGGTTCCAAGATGCAGCAAATAGTTATATGTAACCTAGGCATGTACTGAGGTCAATTATTGATCTTTATATAGAATTACTTCCATGTGTGTACATACGTCGTATATTTGTATGTACAAATCAACTTGGATTAATAAGTAGCCGGGTAGAAATTATGATCTACTATACTCAATACTACATACATCTATCTATCCATGTCCTTTGATAATCAGAACATCCAAGTGCTGTCTTGACTCTTGTGTCTTCTTCTGTTCTGCTGTTCTGCGGGGAGGGGAATACATGATGAGGTACAGGACTTGGCGATCGGCGAACCGCACCACTACGCACCACAATTATCCCATCCAGATGATCCAGCTGTCTCACGTTGCGTTTTATGGACGATGGAGTCAAATACATTTGTACTAACCTGAGTATCAGAGTATGTAGTAAAAGTAAGCATCTTATAGGCACGCAATTGTAGAGAAAGCTCCTCGGCGTTCCCCGCTGTACCTTTCGATTTTCAGGACTGGTAACTACTAGACATGGATATTTTTTCTTGAACTCCCGGATTAGGCTGTTTGTTTGCTGTCTGTTGAATCTTGTGGCCACCTCAGTCGCCACGATCCCGATCTTGATTGTGTGGCAGCAAAATACGATAGTGGAGCTCGTGTTGATAGACCACTTGCTGTGGACGTCACTTGAAACGTGAGTGCGTATGTATGTATATGTATGTATATGTATGTAGGTCTGAGAAATGTGGCTAACTCCACTATGTTTCTTTGTGTCAGATATAGGTAGTAGAGCATGATGCTTTGGTTAGTATATATTAACAAATATCTCAAATAGTGTGGTGTGATTTTCAATGCCTTCTCCATTGATGCATTTGCGATTATTTCGCATAAGTCGTTTCAAGGGATCTTTCTTTCTTTCTTTCTTTCTTTCTCTTGGCATGCCCATGTAGAGCTGTAGTTATTGATACTGAAAGTCAGGTCGACATGCTTATGACCTTGGGCAGACTAGCAAGTAAGGACGTGGGCTTTGGGTTCCGAGGGCTCCGTTTTTGACGTCGTTCAGCAGCTTTCCTTTAGTTAACCGAATGGGCTGGCTTGCCAAGCATTGTTCGGGGCCTTGTTTCTGTGCCCATCTCGGAAATCATGGGTTGCTGTTTTCTTAATTCCGGGGGGATCCTGGACGAACGATACCGAGAATGACATCCCTCGTTGTTGATAATTCTGGGCAGTAGATCTACTACTAGTAGTATGTACTGTAATTCTCCCGCAGTATGTAGTATATGGCGCAAATGTATTTTAATGGATTTCAGATGGGGACAGAACGAGGTGGAGCTTGAAAGCTTGAAAGCTTGACTGACATGCGGGATTCTGGATCAAATTTGTTGCGGATTTCATTCCAACACAAAGAAAAAGATGTCAAAACTTTGATTGGTCTGCATTATGAATAACCCTTCATCTGTGGATAGGAATCATTCGGAAATTTCAAATCTCGGCAATCGTTGTAGCAGAACTGGAACAGAGAAGTTAAAAGCATGAAACTGTTCCACTTCTAGTTAATAGTTATACGGGTCCAGTAGTAGTACATGCTGGGTACGATATACATACATCTATTAAGTGCATATATGTGTGTATAGTGCATGGTACTATGTGTATAGAGAGTATATGCTTTTAGGTGAGATGGAGGAAGTTCTACTAGGCTACATATGTAGTACTAGCGGCGGCCACTACATACAGCTGACCCACATCATCGAGAACTACTATGTACGTACTTGTTTTAGTAGTACATAGACGCGTTCTCCATCAATCAATTTAACACCGCGACAAGGCTGAGCTCTTTAGTTGAGAAGCCTGAGCCTTTCGAAACTACCTTTTCGACGATAAAGTGTGGAAAATAACTTAGTCTGAAGTCATAAGTTTTATGTGTTAATTCATAAATTATATGACACATATGAGATGAAAATGAAGGGCATTTTTGAATAAATATTTCCGAATTGTGTCTTTCATGCACACACACAACTTCTTCTTCCGACCCTTGAGTAAATGGTCTTGGCCTTCTCTCACAGATGGCAACTATCAAGGCCATCGAGGCCCGAACTGTAAGCAACTCCCCCAAAACTAAGATTTGTAATCTTGTCTGTAAATGCTGAGTCTATCTCAAGATCCACCAAATCCAATCCGGCCAGGTCATCGTCGACCTATGTTCTGTAGTAAAGGAGTTAGTGGAAAACGGCTTGGACGCCGGAGCCACCAATATTGGTTGGTATTTTCTGTTATATCTTTTGTTATCCCTTCCGTTATGCCCTTCGTCTTGGTTCTCCTTTACACTTTCTTTCCAATCACTGCTAACATACCTAACAATAGAGGTTCGTTTCAAAAATCAGGGGTTAGATTCTATCGAGGTTCAGGATAATGGCTCTGGCATATCCAAGCAGAACTACGAGACTTTAGCCTTGAAGCACTATACGTCCAAGCTATCCACCTATGCGGATCTTTCCTCTCTTCAGACCTTTGGTTTTCGGGGAGAAGCTTTATCTTCCCTTTGTGCCTTATCCAAGTTCACCGTGACGACTTGCTTAGCATCAGACGCCCCAAAAGGCTCAAGACTAGAGTTCGAAACTTCAGGGAAGCTTCGTGCTACAAGTATTGTAGCCGCTCAGAAAGGAACTACTGTGGCAGTCGAAGGCCTTTTTCATAATTTACCTGTCCGCCGCCGCGAACTTGAACGGAATATCAAACGGGAATGGAATCGAGTCATCAGTGTTCTCAACCAGTATGCCTGTATCCAAACCGGGCTGAAATTTTCTGTGTCTCAGCAACCGACTAAAGGCAAACGAATAGTCCTGTTTTCAACCAGGGGTAACCAGACAACTCGCGAGAATATTGTCAATGTATTTGGCGCGAAGACCTTGGCTGTTCTTATACCCTTAGACTTGAAGCTTGAGTTAGATTCTACCAGTACGCCAGGTCAGAAATGGGCTACTCAGGGCGATGCAAATGCTCACCAAGTCCGTATTCGAGGACACGTGTCTCGCCCTGCTCATGGAGAAGGACGCCAGACTCCGGACAGGCAGATGTTTTTCGTTAATGGACGACCTTGCGGCTTACCGCAATTCGCTAAAGTGTTTAATGAGGTGTATAAATCATACAACTCTTCTCAGTCTCCATTCATCTTTGCCGATATCCAACTGGATACTCATCTATATGATGTGAACGTCAGCCCGGATAAGCGTACAATTCTCTTACACGACCAGACCCGAATGTTGGACAATCTTAGGGAGTCGTTGATTGCCTTGTTTGAAACCCAGGATTACGCCTTGCCGACATCACAGCTGTCAAACCCCAGACAGACACCATTCAAAAAGCCTTCCCTTAGTACACAAAGCACGCCCGTCTCATCTGGATATTTATCAAGACGTTCTGCCTCCCAAAACGAGGACCAGCCGAACCCGATAAACCCTAGGGATAGTACAGAACATAGCAATGACATTGAAGATGGCGAGTCTGCTGAACAGCCAATAACACATGATTCATTAGCGGCCAATCCTTCATCTGGTGATAATGAAGGCCACACTCTAGTTAGCCGATGGGCTGACCGAAAATCGGCGCCACGTGTTGACACATCTTCGATAGGTACCAAAGCCTCGGAGGATCACAATCAAGAGTCCTCGGAGTCTTTGGGGAATGTCTTTTCAAAATTTGCAAGAGATTATACTAAGGATGCCACTGATACTTCAGAGAATGGTGCTAATGAGCCGCCGTTGCCTGGTATATCCGCCGCAAAACCACATAGAGAAGCGACGGATTTCCGTGCACGCCTAGCAGAATTGGCTGAGCACAGAGCGAGTCAGCACAGCAGTAGCCCTCCTACGTCGCAGTCTCACGAACCTCCTATACCTGCCGTATCTACTTCATCTCGGGTCTCGGACATGAAGACTAGCAGAACTAGCAGCGCAATTTTGAAACGTTCAGCGCCTGAAGTTGCTACAATTACAGTTGGGAATCATACTGTTACTAGTATAATCGGCTCTCCGTCGAAGAAGCAAAGAATAGGAGACCATAAGGCCGCCGAGTCATCGAGGAGGCAACGTACCCCTAAGGACACAGTTACGATGCCTTCATTTAACGGACGCCTGACCCAGATGTTTGCGGCCTACTCCCAGTCGAAGCAGATAGATCCGGCCAGTATCAAGGCCACAAATTCTCGAGATTCGCCAGAGGATTCTGACTCTTCCGATGAAAAATTGTTTGTAGGAGACGATGATGATGATGATGAGAGATATGACGAGCAGGGCGACGAGAGTGAAAAGGGGGATGAAGCGGAAGAGGAAGAGGAAGGGGAAGGGGAAGAGGAAGAGGAAGAGGAAGAAGAAGAAGAAGAAGAAGAAGAAGCAGAGGAGGAACTCATGCAGCACGATTCGATTTTAGATGGTGTTGCGAAGAAAGGCCGTGCCTGCGAGAGCATGTCTTCAGAACCTGATAATACAGATGATCAACTTCAACGGGACGCGTTGCCATCTCCCATTCAGCTCCCTGATAACGAATATCCAGATGAACAGACGGAAGAAGTACAGGATGGGGGTAAACCAGGAGATAGCACTGGCTCTGCTCAAGGCTCAAACAGTGCTACGCTTCAAGAAACCCAGAAACGTACGCAAAGTTTCATAAAAGGGGGCACGAAGAAGAAGGACTCAACTATATCGTTGCTACAAACATTACGAGCTAGTGAGAAGCATATCCAGAAGGCTCTAACGATGCACCAAGACTATCTCAAAGAAGTCTCTTTAACAACGGGGTCGAAACTGGTCACAGATAGACTTGATGCAGAAGATGCCGAGGAAAAGCTATCTCTGACCATATCCAAATCCGACTTTGGAAAGATGAAGATTCTAGGTCAGTTTAATCTGGGCTTCATTTTGGCGCTCCGTCCCGCCAAGGCTAGCTCGGACGACGTAGATGAAAAGGAGGCGAGAGATGACGAGCTTTTTATCATTGACCAGCACGCCACCGACGAAAAGTACAACTTTGAGCGGCTACAAGCGAACACAGTCGTGCAATCGCAGAGATTGGTCCAGCCGAAAGCCCTGGAACTCACTGCTCTCGAAGAAGAGGTTATTAGAGAAAACCTAGAAGCTCTCGAGGCAAACGGCTTCATCGTCAGCATGGACGAAAGCGGCGACTCACCGGTCGGGTCTCGCTGCCAGCTACTCAGTCTACCGCTCAGTCGCGAGACGACGTTCTCGCTCACGGACCTCGAGGAGCTCATCTCGATGCTCACAGACCACCAGTCCGCCTCGGCGAGCACCATCCCCCGGCCGTCCAAAGTGCGCAAGATGTTCGCGATGCGGGCCTGCCGCAGCAGCGTCATGATCGGCAAGTCCCTCACCAACAAGCAGATGGAGAAGCTGGTGCGCCACATGGGCGAGCTCGACAAGCCGTGGAACTGCCCCCACGGCCGCCCGACTATGCGACACCTCTGCGGCCTCGGCGCGTGGAGCGAGATGGGCTGGAGGGAGGGTGACGGGTTTGCGGGGGAGAGGGCATCGCCTACGAACTGGGGTGCTTATGTTAGGGAGAAGAATGAGATAGAGTAGGTCGGTGGGTGAGAGGGAGGTCTAATAGGCGGTTTAAGTCATTGATTGCATTACCACGGCGTATGGTACCTAGGGTAGGCTTGCTTATATGTTCTTGACATGAGTGGCTTCGACAAGATTGTACATAAATCAAGTTTTCCAATCCATCATACCTGGATAAGTAATGGAAAGGACATACTACATACTTACCTACCTAGGTAGGTAGGTACTTGAGGTTGGTACATACATAATAAATAGATCAGCCAGTTAGTTACAGATCACTATTCACGTCACAGGTCTCTGAATATCATCGACGATTCTTGCTATAACTATGTAGGTATATATTATGACCCATTGAGAACCCAGAACCCAGAACCATAAACCAACCAGCTAGTTCCAGTTCCAGTTCCCGTGTCCCTTCCCGTTACCTACCTACCTATATATATAATATTACATTCCGTGAATAATCATTATCATCCCGGAGCCGCCGCTGTCGCTAACCACCTCACAAGCATCACCCATCCATCCTCCTCACCATCTCCAGGGGGGGAATAAAATAAAACCAACCAGCTAGCCATATTCATCCATCCATCCATCCATCACAACTAAGATCCTCTTTCACATTTTACAGTTATTACACCCAAACATCCATCCATTCCATCCATCACACATATATATATATATATATCCATAAACATCATCCATCTCAATCCTCATTCAAGATACTATACCGGGAATACTTATCCACCTTGGCGCTCACATTCCCCGGCGCAATCCCAATCCCATTCCCATTCCCAAACCTCAGCCCCGCCCTCCCCTCCTCCGCACCCTTGCCACTGACATTCCGCCTCCACGTCGCGCCAGCACCGCTACCCAGATCCGCGTAGTCATTGCCCGACGACACCTGTCTTGTTCCGCCCGCGTTTTTCTTCCCACCACCACCACCACCAGCAGCACCTTTCTTCCCGCCAACCATGATCGGCGGCGTCGCCGGCTTCAGCTCCCCGTACGGCTTCGCGTAGAAGTCGCTGTCGGCCTGTATCGACGAGTTGCGCATCCCCGCACCCGCATTCCCAGCACCGCCGCGACGCCAAAACGGCGCCATGGCAGGCGCGGAAGCGCGCTTCGCATCCGCGATGTCCCGGCTCCCGCTCGTGTCGCGGCGCGCGTTCTTGTTATGCGACACTTCGGCGAGCGCCGGTAGGGGGCGGGGGGTTTTCTGGCGGGTGGCGATGATGTCGCGGTCGGAAGGGGATGAAGATGAGGAGGATGAGGGGTTAGAAGGAGGAGGCGTGGGCTGCAGCGGCGCGGGGATGGGTATCGGGTTCAGTCGTAGCGGGTTCGGGTGCAGGTGCGCTGTGACGTTTATCGGGCTGCTCTGCACATTATCACCATCGTCGTCATAGTCGTCGTCCGAGTCACCGGGCCGTATCATGCGCCCGTTTTCCCTGTCTGACGCATCGTCGTCGTCTGAGTCGAAGTTGTACCGCTGGTTGAGGGCCTCGTATTTCCGCGGCGACGATGACTTCTGCTGGTACTGCGCGGCGGCGGTCTGCGGATACGACTGGCGCTGCGCGCGCTCGAGGGCGTTGAGGGCGCGCTGGCGCTCCTGCGTGCGGTTGATGAGGGACTCGGACGCGTACCAGGCCTCGGTGAAGCGGGCGACGCGGGTCGGCGACGCGTTGGTCGGCTGCTGGTCCTGGTCCAGGGGGCCTACGGTGATCGTCGTGCCGCTGCCGGGCCGCGACGCGGTGAGCGGGGGCGACGCGACGCCGATTTCGTGTAGCGGCACCTCGGTGTAGGTCGCGCGCTGCGGAAGGGATAGGCGCTTCAGCTCAGCGACGGAGCCCGCGAGGCTGTGGCGCGGCGAGTTGCCGGGGGTGATCTGGTACTGGCGGCTGGGCAGGTCGGTGCGCGAGTCGCGCGGTTTGGACGGGGGCGAGGCCGAGGAGGCGAAGGAGTCGCGTGAGTTGGCGCGCGTGTGCATGAAGGGGATGTTGGGTGGGCGCGATAGGTCCTCGTACGCGGCGCCCGAGCTGCGGTAGTTCTCGAGGGGCGTGGATAGCCGCTTCGAGTCCTCCGATACGCTGGTGTAGCTCGTGGCTACGGAGGACTTGTTGCGCTTGTGCTGCTTGGCGCGGGAGGTGAGGTTGGGTTCTAGTGGGTTCATGTCTGGCGGCATGTTCGCGATGCGCCGGAACATTAGACATAGATAGACGGAAATGCCGAGGGAGATGACGTGTAAGCCCCCGGCGCCGATGAGCGCATAGTACTCGCTCTTGACGAGGGCGTCAGTGATTTCTTGGCTAGCGTTTATGATCAGCTTCCACTCGGTGCCGTGGTTCACGGCAGAGATGACGCCGAAGGCGTATAGTGGAATAACAGCCAGGTCCATAACGCCGGCGAATAGTTGATAGGCCGCTGACGAAGCGGGTGGTCTGGCGTTGGCCGGTCTGATGAAATGCCAAATGGCGTAGACGCAGCTGATGGCCACCACGCCAGGCTATCAAATCAAGGTTGGATCAGAATGTAGTCATGGATAGGTTAGGAAGTAGGACAACGTACCGTGATTCGCATAACCCAAGAGGTGAGAGGGTCAACATTGCTAATTAGAATCATGAGGACGAGCAGTCCAACACCCCCGATCATCTCAATGCCGCGTAGGCATAATTGTATATATCTGGTGAACTTAATCCACCATTTCGTTGTGCCGCTCATGGGGTTAGCCCATATGGTTCTACCTGCAAGTACAGCTTGTGCGCTATAGTTTGTTGTTAGTTATAAGTTCCGTACAATTTCTAATAAGCCATTGGCAATGACAACGACACTACACATACTCGGGATGTCGGCCGAAAGATATCAAAGGCCCTTTTTGCTTTGGTTTCTTGGGTTTTGGCTCCCAGCTTGCTCTCGTGATAGCTTTGGGATCGAAGGGTTTCTCTGGTAGTCGCGAGTCGCGCCACTGAGGGTCATACAGATATGGCTGTTGGGCGCCCATGATTTCTTGCGAAGAGGCCTCGCTTCAAGTAAGGCTGCAAGACATTCACGGTACGAGAGGGGTACGGGAGTAGTGGAGGAGATCGACGAATGACTGGAATGACTGGAATGACTGGAACGTGCGGGTGTGGTCGGTCTTATGACAGTGGAAAGGCGGGCATGCCATGGTGGGGAAGGGAGAAGAGGTGGGATGGGTATGTAGGACGGCATGTGTATTGTGGACATGAAGGGGGAACACTGGTTTCCACGGCAACGACGACATGGGCATACTGCAGCTAGCCGACTTTATACGGGAAATACTGGGTATTACTGTAACATATAGTATGTACATTACCACTTTAATTTGGCCAGAATTGTTTCATCATTTGTAAATGCTCGTATATTTTGAATGTTATTGTTGTCTGTAGATGATTGTTGATAGTCATGATAGCCATTGGTTTTATGGGTTTTGAATGTGAATTCATGTAACCTACTGTACTACTAGTACTATTTACATAACTGGATAGTTACATGTAGGTATGCTACTAGGTACCCTGGTTCAAAATTCAACGTTCAAAGTTGCTAAAATGTCAACGGTTATAAACGGCGATGTCGGACTTAACATATGTACGTCATTTCGGGTTTTCATAGTACAGTATCTGCAATAATCTTTATTTGACTCTTCTATGAAATACATACACATGCGCATACTACTAGTATGCATGTCATCTCTTGAAATAAATACATTAAAATACATTATAAAAGTCAAGGTACCTGGGTAGACAAGGGATGGAATTATGACCTCCCTTACCAAGTCATGGCTCTGCGCGGCCTGCCGGCGCAAAACTGTCTTTTCTTCGCCTCTAGCTCATAAAATACTATCTCATTACTCGACGACAACGACAACGACAACGACAAGTCGGCATGGTAGACCTCTTCGCATGGCCGTAGTCGGCTCTGGCCCGGCTGGTTTCTATACCGCATATCGGGTTATGACAAAAGTCCCCAAGACGAAAGTCGACATGTTCGAGGCATTACCTGTGCCGTATGGCCTGGTGCGATTCGGCGTTGCGCCTGATCATCCCGAGGTCAAGGTAGGAATAAATGAATGAGCTATCTTGCCACGACTACTTAAATAATATATATTAGAACTGCCAAGACAAATTCGAAGAAGTTGCCAGCTCCCCTGACTTCACCTTCATCGGAAATGTGTCCATCGGGAATGCGGGTGGCCATTTTCAAGGTTGCACCATCCCCCTGGCATCTATGCTACACCATTACGATGCCGTTGTGTTTGCATACGGCGCGTCCCAGGATAAGCAGCTAGGTGTTCCCGGAGAATCTGAGTACAAGGGAATTTACTCGGCCCGTGAGTTTGTGGGTTGGTATAATGGTCTCCCCGAGTACGCAAACCTGGCCCCGGATCTCACTAGGGGCGACGAGGCCGTCATCGTTGGCCAGGGCAACGTTGCTCTTGACGTCGCCAGAATGCTTTTGGAGAATGTGGATGTACTGCGAAAGTCAGATATCACTGAAGCGGCTATCGAGACACTGTTGAAGAGCCGTATAAAGCGTGTTCATATCGTCGGGAGAAGAGGTCCTATGCAGGTACGTAAATCTGGGAAACTTTTTTTTAACGGTGGCTGTCCGAGACTCACTGTGATTCCAGGCCGCCTTCACGATCAAGGAAATCCGGGAACTAATGAAACTACATGGGGTTGGCTTTCACGACATTGACATGTCTCTCATCCCAGATGAGATCTCGAAACTGCCTCGAGCTCGAAGAAGGCTCATGGAGATCATGGTGAAAGGCTCTAGTGCTCGCGTCGACGAGGCCGCCAAATCTTGGTCTCTAGACTTTTGTCTATCGCCAACCGAATTTCTCGGGGGATCCGACGGATTCGTTGAGAAGACAGTTTTCGAGCGAACATCCCTCGAGTTACCTTTCGACCCATCTTCGAGGGTCGTGGGTACCGAGGAAACGTTGACGATACCCTCGTCTATAGTGTTCCGTTCGATCGGCTACAAGTCCGTCGCTCTGCCTGGGTTTAAAGAGGCGGGCATCTCGTTCGATACTAGAAAGGGGATCATTGACAATGACGGGCTGGGACGTGTGCTACGCACAAAGAGAGGCGAGAACGAACACCAGGACCAAGAAGCGTCGCATTTACCGGGCATTTACTGTGCAGGCTGGGTCAAGAGAGGACCGACAGGCGTCATTGCATCTACTATGGAAGACGCATTCTCGACCGGTGATGCCATTGCCTCAGACTGGAACTCTGAGGCACCGTTTTTAAAAGGAGACAGTAGCTCTGGCTGGGAGGCCTTGCGGTCAGGCGTAGAGCATGGGAAATGTAAAGTGATCCAGTGGGAGGACTGGCTTAAAATAGACAAATCAGAAAGAGAAAGGGGGCTACTGGTGGGGAAGGAAAGGGAAAAGTTTACAAGCACGGCGGAAATGCTAGCAGCTGCAAGCTGAACTGAAATCGAAGTGAAACAAAGATACCCTCGCGGGTGATTATATCACTTAGTAGTTTTATAAACTTTGATATGAGCCTATGAGCTCTTCAACTTCTCCGTCAACTCTGGTACTTGTTTAAAAAGGTCTCCGACCAACCCCACATCAGCTACCTGGAATATCGGTGCATCGGCATCTTTGTTGATAGCCGCAATCACCTTGCTGTCCTTCATACCCGCCAGATGTTGAATGGCGCCGGATATACCCACGGCCATATAGAGCTGAGGCGCAACCACCTTTCCAGTCTGGCCAACTTGCAAGCTGTTGTCGGCGTATCCGCTATCGACAGCAGCTCGAGAAGCGCCCACAGCAGCGCCAAGCGAGTCCGCAAGCGGGAGCATCAGCCTGTCAAAGTCCTTCTTGGACTTGAGACCTCTCCCTCCGGAAACAACTCTGCCGGCAGTCGCCAGGTCGGGTCGGTCAGACTTGGCCAGGTCTTCGGAAACCCATTCTATGGAGATCTCTACGTTGGGGTCGACACCGTCTTCCACAGCCGCTGAGCCGCCATGCGCTTCGGCGGCGGGGAAAGCGGTGCCACGGAGGGTGATGATTTTGATTTCATCGGTGGACTCGACGGTGGCGATGGCATTGCCGGCGTATATCGGACGTACAAAGGTGTTCTCGTCTTCAATGGCGGTGATGTCGGATATCTGTTGGGAATCGAGGAGCGCAGCAACCCGTGGCATTAAGCTCTTCCCAAAGGCCGTGTGCCCAGCGATGATGTGTGTGTAGCCGCCCTTTTTTATATTTTCGATGAGGAGCGGTGCATAGTTCTCTGGTAGGCCCTTTAAATAGAGTAATTGTTTTTGTTAGCATTGTAACCCCTGAGGCTCGACAATGTAGAAAAGTCAGGGGTCGATTCTGTCCCGCACCTTGTCATATGCCGCATTGTCCACCGCAATTATCTTCTCAACCCCCTCTACTTTTGCCGCTTCCTCTGCCACAGCCTTTATGTTACTCCCGGCGACAAAGCCATGTATCGAGCCTCCAAGTTTCTTAGCGGCGGTGATTGCGCTTAGTGAGCTGTGGTTGAGTTTGCCATCGCGTTGTTCTAGGACAGCCAATGACGACAGTAATCGGCGGAGAGCGGAGGGGTTATTGTGAAAGAGGCCTGGAGACAAGGAAGCAGAGCGTGGTAGGTTGTTGATGCTTCGAAGAGCTGTCCTTTTGGCTGTAGAGAAGAGCATTGTGGCAGCGAGTAAAGTTGGGGGCGACCAGCCTGCAATGGGTTGCAGTTTTTACTGTTCGTCAATTTCTCAAATGCTACAAAGTTATTAAAAATATTCGGCTGTTCACGGTCTTACACCGAGGCACATGCCTATACCTAGTGCATCTTAGTCGGAGCCGATTACGCTTCCCGATTTTAACATAATACTATGCGCCGTACAGCAGTTTGATGAATACCGTTATATCGAGGTTATATCCAAGACCATCTAACTGCTCAAACCACGTGACACGGATAGTCTACTAAGCAGCTTAGGTAGTTACTAGTACCAGTCAGTGGCAGTCACATCAACGACGCTCGGACCAGTGGCTTAGCTTATTTTTCGATAGGAACATTGCAGTGAGAAGGAAAGTGTAAAGTCGCGCCAACCAAATTATTTCTCCAAACACGCGGTCGATCCAAGCAATCAATCCATCGCATTGATGCATCGACATATCTAACAATATACTAACCTAACAACCTGAACCCGAGTAATTCAAAAAAATAAAATAGTAACTACTTGGTAGGTAATATACATTCATCACTTTAACATCGAAAGCATTCATAATCAACCTTTCACCGCTTCCTTTTTATTTATTTTATTTTAATTGCCTAACTATCTCTTTTTCTTGACTTATTCTACGACATCGTCGCAATTCAGAAATCCTATCTACCTACCTAATTGGCATTGCCAATCTATCACACTCTGGTCTTCAACCACATCTTCATCTTCTAATATCTTGCTTTCTTTAGCTATCTTCTAGGATCACGCTATTTTGCCTTCATCATGGAAGGCGACCACGCCAGCTATGGCTCACCAGCCAATGCTGCTACTCCTGGCAGCAACCCTATCCTAGCGCAACCACCTCTTCAACCTGAGGCATCCAGTGCGCCTCAAACATCTGAAGGTACGGTAGACTAGATTTAAGCTCTGAATTGATCTATTATAGCCTGCTATTAGTTGTTCTAACCTGCTAATGCGCCCATTAGATGTGCAAATGTCCGAGGTTCATTCCGCCGACCCTGTTATTAAGCAAGATAGCACTACTCCTGCTCCTGCTGGTACTTCAGATAACCCTCTTGATGCTCCCCCCGCGCCGCCTGCTGAAACTACCCTAGCTAAGGACGACGAAGAAATGGCCGAGGCTCAGCCCGAACCCCAGGATGGTCAATCCCGAGACAAGGATGGCGATGAACCAGTTGCTGGTCCCGAAGGCAGCGCCCAGGAAGTCAAGTCCAAGGAAAGCATCGAGAATGCTGCGCGCGAACACCTCATCTCCCAAACCCATGCCATTGTACTGCCGAGTTATAGTACCTGGTTCGACATGAATCACATCCATCAGATCGAGCGCAAAGCCCTTCCCGAGTTTTTCAACAGTCGAAACCGTAGCAAGACCTCTGCTGTTTATAAGGATTATCGCGACTTCATGATTAATACCTACCGATTGAATCCCGTCGAGTATCTAACTGTAACTGCCTGCAGAAGGAACTTGGCTGGTGATGTTTGCGCCATTATGCGCGTCCATGCTTTCTTAGAGCAATGGGGTTTGATCAACTATCAAGTGAGTTGAACTCGTCACTTATCTCTTGATCATTACGACGTATTCTAACATTCTATAGGTTGATGCCGATCAGCGCCCATCTCAAGTCGGTCCTCCATTTACGGGTCATTTTCAAGTCATTTGCGACACCCCTCGTGGACTTCAACCCTGGCAACCATCGGCAGACCCCATTGTGCTTGAGGGTAAAAAGAGTATTGATACTGACCAGAAGGCGACTGCAGCAACTGCAGCAGGCGAGCGGAACCTTGAAATTGGTCGCAATATCTATGAGGCTAATGCGAAAGGAACAAAGCTTACCAAGTCGGAAAGCAAGACTAATGGTGAAGCAACCACTACTAATGGCACAGCCTCGCCAGGAATTGACGAGAGTCTGACCAAACCCATCGTTAAAGTCCACTGCCACAACTGCGGTGTCGACTGTACTCGAGTGTACTACCACCTTCCCGAAGTTAACACTCCGAATAAGGCCAAGTACGATGTATGCCCGAGCTGCTACTTGGAAGGTCGCATACCTCATTTCCAGGTCAATACCCAATTCGTCAAGATGGAAAACAAGACATACTCGACCATTCTTGACCGTGATGCTCCGTGGACAGACGCCGAGATCCTTCGATTGCTGGAAGCCCTAGAAAGATATGATGATGACTGGGCTGAGATCGCCGAGCACGTAGGTACACGAACTAGAGAGGAATGTGTTCTCCAGTTCCTCCAACTAGACATTGAGGACAAGTATCTCGAGACAGAAGCACCAATTCATGCTCCTACGGGCCTTTCGTTGCTTGGAAAACATGGCGGACACCTCCCATTCAGCCAAGCAGATAACCCTGTGATGTCCGTTATTGGATTCCTTGCCAGCCTTGCGGATCCCAAGACTACTGCGGCAGCAGCGAAGAAATCTGTGGAGCAACTCCAACAAGGCCTACGAAACAAGCTCGGAGGTGGTAATGCGTCAAAGATTAACGGAAAGGGTAAAGAGAAGGAAGGTGACTCGATGGATATCGATACCAGCCAAGAGAGCTCGGGCACGACAACATCTAACTTGGCTAGCATACCACTTGCTGCCATGGGCGCGCGTGCCGGTGGCCTAGCTTCCCACGAGGAGCGTGAGATGACCCGTCTCCTGTCCGCAGCAGTGAACGTTACCCTGCAAAAGATGGAGTTGAAGTTGAAGTACTTTGACGAGATGGAGGGTATTTTACAGGCTGAGCGACGTGAACTCGAGAGAGGCAGACAACAACTCTTCCTCGACCGACTCGCCTTCAAGAAGAGAGTTAGGGAAACCCAAGCAGGCCTCAAGACTGCCGGTGTGAATGGTGCCGATATCAAGCTTGATGGTAGTGGCCTTACATTCACCTCGGCTCCGCCATTGAGCTCCGTTCAGCCCCTTGGTAGTGACGGTAATATCAAGAGCTACGAAGCCTAATCAATGATGACGGATCTCATGGCGACAAATAGTGCGACGAGAGTTGGAGGTTTCTATTCGTAGGCGAACCGGGCACTCTACAGGGAATTGTATGGTTTTTGCAATGTGTCCACTTAGGCGTCAAGGAATAATAGGGCTTTTCTCTCTCGATGTTTTTGAGAATGAATGGAGGGGGAAGGGGGGGTTTTCCCGTTTTTAATTGTTGCTCAGGAACCTTACCTTGCCTTACCCTAGGTAGGTAGGTTTGGTATCCTACCCTACCTATTACACACACCTAGGGCGTAGGTATGTCTCAAACTTCAAACCTTCAACACAGACAAAGTCGAAACGAGACGAGTTTAGGTGGTGGGGGCTACCGCTGTATCACCACAAATAGTTACGTTAGGTATGGATGAATAGGAGACCCCCAATATGAAGATAGGGTAAAAATGAAAAAAAAAATGAAAGAAGGGTTTGAAACTTGCTGTTGAGATATTGCATTAAGTGGGTATCGTATGCGTGTTTTCGTGGTTGTGAGTCTTCGTAGATGCTTTCCAGAGGGCAAAGTGCCATCCTACATGCCTCCGATATTATAGATACCTTACCCAGGTAGACTTTTCCAAGCATACGTCGATTATCGTAGCCTACCTACCTCCACGCCATAGTTGCGTTCCAAGGTTTCTAGGTTAGGTATAGGTACTTCTACGTCTACATACATCTCCACCCCCTTTTTACACAGCATGCTACATACATTAGATACCTCCAGGGCTGCCTAGGTAAGTATATACCAGGTAGGTAGGTACTATACAGATAGGTATCTACCTACCTACCTACCTCATACGTTGTAGATTCAACCACATCTATGCCCCTCCCCCGCCAACCTCCCACTCGCTATAAAACACCGTGTGGTCCCTCCACTCGCTATGCCACCTATCCAGCAGCCCCGGCTTCCTGTCCACCACTTGCTCCTTCTCCTTCTCCTTCTCTTCCTCCTCGTCACCATCCTGCTCCTGCCGGTGCTGGGCCCACGGCACCACCACCTGCACCGATGAAGAATTTCCCGATAGGGTTGTTGGGTCTTCGCTTCTGTTGTTGGTACCTCGCAGCAAACCCCACAGCCGCGCCTCTTCCTCGGCGCTGAGCTGGGCGTCGTGGGCCGCGGCGTCGGCTTCGAGGTGCTGCGCGGCGATGATGCGGGCGCGGAGGGCTTGGCGCGCGCGGTGGGTGCTGAGCGAGGTGTGCGGGAGGGAGGAGTACAGGAGGGCTTCGGTGAGGTCGGTGGCGAGGGAGGTGGGGTCGATTATGGGCGGGGTTGGGTCTCGGGGGGATTGAGGGGATGGGTTTGAGTCCGAGCCTGTGTTGTCTGAGGCTTCTGGTTCGGAGTAGTCTGAGGGTAGGGAGGTGTAGGAAGGTGATGGTGAGTGTGGGGATTCTGGGGGGTTGGGGTTGGGGAAGTCGAGGGCTGCCTCGACTTCGGCGTAGGATAGTATGCCGTATTCGGATGTATCATCTGCTATGCCTATACCTTCGCCTTCGTCCTGGGGATCGTGTTCCGTGGAAAGGTGTATATTTTGCTCTTCTGCTTCCATGCCATCATCTTTTAGTACGACATCATTAATTTCATTTTCCTGCTCCTCTTCCTCTTCCTCCTCCTCCTCTTCGTCTGATAAATCAATATCATCGTCTGTCATTGCTGAACCCCCTCTTCCCTCCCACTCTTTGCCATCATCATACACATCCAACCGCAACCTCCTCGCAGCCCGCGCCCAAAACTCGTGGCTATTCTCCTTCATCCCCACGGAAGCCGCCGCGGCTAGCACGTCCTTGATTTTAACGAGACCCTTTGTGGTGCGGGTTTTTCGGTCACCGCTCTGCTTCATGCGGATCCGCGACCCGGCCATGTACAGCGTGGCGGATACAAGTCGCCTCGTCACGCTCAGCGCCAACGCATGGAAGTCCGACAGCGCTGTAGCTCGGATTGAGGGCGGCTCCTCGGATATGCTGCGCCAATTACCATCCGCAAGTACTGACGAGTTCATGAATATGCGGTTCGAAAGCTTGAGCCAGTTGCTCAGAATGAAGAGCTCTGCGAAAGGCAGGGGGTCGTTCGTTTCGGGGTTGTCTATCCGCTCTTCCACTCCCGTCTCGTCCTGCTCTTGGTGATGATGGTGGTGTTGCTGCGGCAATTGACGCCGCCGCCGCTTTCCCTGGTGCTCTAGCACAGTCGCTAGTTGAGGCGTAATCAGCCACCGCCCCGCCCACCGCTTCTGCTCTAGCGTCGCCTCATACGTTTCCTGGCGCACCGCGATCCCATCCGCGGCCTCCTCGAACGCAAGACAAAGCTCCATGCTCAGCTCCGCTGCAGCGGGGATGTCCACAGGTCGGACCATGCGCCGCCGCTTCTCCTCGTCGGCGCACCGGGCGCGGTCCGCGGCGTCGAGCAGAGCGACGTACTGCCGCACCTCCAGATCGCTCTTCGTCGTGATCCGCGCCGCGATGCCGGACACGTCGTCCCGGCCCAGCCGCGACATCGCGGTGAAGAAGGCGTGTTTCTCGGCAGGACTCCAGAACACGGCGCCGATCTGGCCGGGCGGGAGAGGACGGAGCGAGTGCTCGTCGGAGAGCCCGGACGAGGCGACGCTGGTGATCTCTTCATTAAGGAGGCTGAGGTACCGGGGGTTGAACACGCCTTTTTGCCTCTTGGGGGGCGGGATGATGATAGATGAGGGGTCGGTGGTTCGGCGACGGCGCCGCTTCCGGGAGGTGGTGGTGGGGGGAGGAGGATCCTGGACTACAGGACTAGTGGGCTCGCTGTCTGATTTAGAGGATGAGTCCGGTTGGTAGTCAGAGTCGTTTTGTACGTCCATTTGTTATCCATTAAGACGTAGTGTTTTTGTGAAATACGGTTATGGATTGATGCGTGATCTTCTATAAAAGGGGGGGGATGGGAGTAGGGATATATGCAACTATCCGTAGCTGTGAAAAAGTTACATGTAGAAGATGATTGTTTCTATGTAAACCCAAGTTAGATAATTTTGATGGCTTCAAACACGTTTGGTGAGCATTTGTATTATTTGAAATAGTAGTAGAATTTAGGGGTTGGAAAAAGCAAGCAAGGTCTAATTCACGTTGAAACGTTTATATATTGAAGATTTCAATGTTCTAAAAGTTGTTGGAAGTTACTACCAAGTAAATAGTTAGTTAGTTAACCTAGGTAAGTTACTGTTTATTCAAGTAAAGTGTTAGATATTTCTTTATCCGGACTTCGGATAGAACTATATCCGACTCCACCCTAAGCGTTTTCAACTTTGAAGTTTCAAAGTCCAACATTGAAATTCACCCAAACGCTTTATTATTTTTATTTTTATTTTTATTTTTATTTACACATTCGGCTAGCACCACACCACACCACACCACCAAGAGCCTCACAAACCCTTTTCTTGACGTCTGTCTTACCCGTCCTTCGTTAGATATGCCATGCCTCCTCTATCTACCAGATGGTTACTTTCGTTAAGGCCCTCGATAAGGCCCCCGAGGCTATTCATAGGTCCATTATGTCCAGTATATCGTCAGAGAACTTTTACTACTTCATTCCCGGCCTATGCCAGCAATGCTCCAAATATCATCCAGGAATTTCGCCTTCGTGATTATCAGGAAGAATGTATTCAAGCTGTCATAAAATCTATAGAAAATGGCCATAAGCGATTAGGTATATCACTTGCCACTGGTGCCGGAAAGACTGTCATATTTACTCAACTTATCGACCGGATAAAGTCTGAGTCGCCTGGAACTGCTGATCAAACAATGATCTTGGCTCATAGACGAGAGCTTGTGGAACAAGCAGCTAGGCATTGCACAAATGCATATCCATCCAAGACGATAGAAGTAGAAATGGGCAACATGCATGCCTCGGGCACAGCAGACATCACCATCGCTAGTATACAGAGCATCACTTCTGGAGACCGCATTGATAAGTTCAATCCTGAACTATTTAAGCTCATACTCGTTGATGAAGCCCATCACATCGTTGCACCAATGTACATGAAGACCTTGGAACACTTTGGGCTGGACCAGAAGAATCCCAGCTCACCTATTCTCGTTGGTGTGTCCGCCACCTTCTCTCGGGCGGATGGGCTTCGTTTGGGTTCTGCAATCGACGAATTGGTATATCATAGGGATTATGTCGACATGATAGGAGACAAATGGTTGTCCGAGGTCATTTTCACTACGGTCGACTCAAAGGCTGATATCTCCAAGATTTCGAGCGGTAAAAACGGTGACTTTCAAACTCGCGAGTTGTCCGAGGCCGTAAACACCAGACAAGTGAACGAAGTTACCGTCCGCAGCTGGCTTGCGAAGGCTTCTGAGAGGAAATCAACTTTGGTATTCTGTGTCGACCTTTCCCACGTTTCCGGGCTGACTGAAACTTTCCGGAAACATGGCATTGATGCTCGGTTTATAACAGGAGAAACACCCAAGGTCGAGAGAGCGGAGTGTTTGGATGCTTTCAAGCGTAATGAATTTCCCGTGCTCATCAACTGTGGTGTATTCACGGAAGGGACTGATATTCCTAATATCGATTGCATTATTCTGGCGCGGCCAACTCGCTCCCGAAACTTGTTGGTACAAATGATAGGAAGAGGCATGCGACTTCATCCGAAAAAGAAAAACTGTCATATTATCGACATGGTGTCAAGTCTAGCTACTGGCATAGTGACAACGCCCACTTTGTTTGGGCTCGACCCATCCGAGTTGGTCGAGAAGGCATCCGTGAACGATATGAGTGAAATCAAGGAGAGAGCCGCTGTTCTAGAAGGGGCAGAGAGGAAGAACGTTACCTTTGTCGACTATGATTCTGTCTTCGATCTGATCGCGGATACATCCGGTGAGAGACACGTTTGGTCAATTAGTCAACATTCGTGGGTACAGATTTCGCCAGAAAAATGGATATTGTCAGGCCCTAATGGAACTTACATACGGCTAGAAAAAGGAATGGAGAGAGATGAGGGCAAATTCGTGGCCTGGGAGATCCGGGCACTTCCTAAGGGAGTATCTAAATCTCCTTTTGCTAAACCTCGACTTCTACTTGAAGCAACTACCTTTGCCGATGCTGTACATGGATGCGACAGTTACGCATCGGACACGTACCCACGTCTCCTTATCTTAAGGAGCCAGAGTTGGCGTCGCGGCCCGCCTACAGATGGCCAGTTGCAATTTCTCAACAAGATACGAGGGAATGACAGCAAACTTACAGCAGACGACATTACTAAAGGGAAAGCTGCAGATATGATAACAAAGTTACGACACGGTGCCCGCGGCCGGTTTGCTAGCATTGATGCCGATAGAAAGCGAAAAGAGCGGCGGGCGGAGTTGTTAGACGAAAAGAAGAATATGATAAAGCTCCGCGAAAAGGTTGCTGTTGGACCCCTATTAGGATGAGCATAGGATCGAATCAGAGACCATCATGAATGGAAATGACGAATAAAGGCAAACTTTACACGTATGACGTGCAAACAGAAAGCAGCACAGTGGTGACTCTAGCTTAGCTGTTAAGTTGGTGTTGGTGTTGTCGCTGAGCAACCTCCCTACTCCTAATACCTGATTCTGAGCTCAACACAGTATAGGTTGGCATGTGCTATCTGGTATTTTCTTCGAATCTACATTCATTTTTCAAATCATACTGGTCAATGGCCTGAGTACACAGTCACAGGTACGCAGTCACTTTCCTGTTACCTTTCGACACTCTTCGCCCACGAAAGGAGATGATATTTAATTTAATCGCCTTGGACGAAATATTCCTCCAAATCGTCACTGCAACTTATTTCCTCGCGAAGATCTCACACACTTGTACATCATACACTACTCTCTCTATATACATCTCTTCTACCTCCTCGAACCTTATTATTTCCTTCAACTATGGCGAATAAAGTCAGTCACTACTACGAGACGCAATCCTACCATCCCCAGGGTTCTCGCGACTCTACCCTTACATCCATCAAGCCAAACCCTAGCAACTCCCATAGTTCCATTTCACAATCCCTTCCCATTTCCCCCCATCGTGGGTCCCTGGGGCTTGAACCGAAGAAGAAACCTCGCAGTCAACTCGGCCAGGTCCAACATGTAAAACAAGGTCTAGACACCCTACTTACTAGGGACTATCTAGAGGGAGAAGGCAAGGGCTTCAACAACTCAGTCCATGAGAAGATGTTCAACCCCGAAGGCCGTGTCGAAGAATGGGGTTCATCTGCCTGGGCTACTTATCCGCCCAAGATGGCCCCGCAATTAGAAGTGATGGATTCTAAACCCCCGTACGAGAGCGGGCTAGGCGATCTAGAGGAATTGATTAGCCCTCACTTCGAGCAATCCGCTGCCCTGCGAAAGTGGATGGAAAAGGCAAACGAGCAGAGAAAATCGCTGCGCGACGTCGAAGAGATACACGACCACCTTGGTCTTCTACAGCTAAACCTACGAATAGCTGTTGAGTCGCCAGATACCTTTACCCAAACGTTTGCCAAAAACAAGGCTAAGGAGATTACGGATATGCTAGCACCCCAGCATAGGGATGTTGTTGAGACAGATCGAGTTCTTCTCCAGGAGATTGAAGAAACGTATTCGGCATTTACGGACGTCAAGAGCTATGAGGATCGTCTACATGCTCGCCGTCATGCCGAGGAACTCCTCAAGCGCAGCCAGCCACCACAAGATTCGGGTGTTACCCGCCTACTAGGTGCAGATGGGTCGGTGTCACCTACTAGCGGCCTCTCAGCAGACAGCTTCTTGTATTTCATCGGCTCGCCCCCAACGCTACAGAAGATACCTTTCAATGTTGCCGTATGTACTGGCCTAGAAAAACTCGGCAGTCCTGAAAAGCATCTGCCAATACCTTTGCAACACATGTCTCCTCCCATCAGCCTACCCGCAGCTAAGCTCCCTGATCCAGATATACCTGACTGGTTTCGGATCTTCGAAAACCGTCATGGAGAATGTCTTGAAGGCGAAGAGGCTCACACTCGGTTTCGATATCTTCTTAACTTCATCGGAAGCCTAGGGATTGAAATTAGAGAGTCTAAGGAGCAAGATACGACCAACGAAAAAAATATAAACATGTACCGCAATGCCATGGACGCCATCATGGAGGCGATGGGAGAGATAGCTTTGGAAGACAAGGCTACAGTAATGAAGGCCATGGAGAAGAGAGAGTAGCGCCCTAGGGGTCGACGGTAGTAGAAAGATCTAAGGGACATGGCCAGTTTCATGGCAGAGGTTGCTGTGAATGCTTGTCTACATTTTCTATCGAAGCGTTATAGATATGGTGTGGAGTTTGGCCAGAATAGCGTACAGAGGAGAAATTGAAGATATAATTAGTATATCTACATTGAATAAGGGGTTTTTTACGATAGGGTTATGGTAACTTGAACTGGTTCGAGAGAAACCTGCTGGATAGGAGTTGGGCATTGCACAAGAAGATACCCCTTTTCGCTTTTATAGTACAAGCTGTATACAATAAGTAGTATTATGTACATTATCGAAGCGTTATATTCGTATATGTATGAAATACATATGCACAAAGTGAAGATGTACTAAATGAAGATGACGGGTAACTAGGTACATTTACCAACAGCCCTGAGATGACAAATCACATGGGATGTAGCCCCACTATAGCGGGACACTAATTGCAATGATTGATGTTTTTTTCCCTCATAACCCCTGTTAGTTGTGGCTAATGTGGAAAGAGCTAGTTTTGCATAGAAGGTTTGGATTCTTTGGGAGGAGTGAGGGAGGCAATGATGTATTATGAAATCTCATTACTTACCTAAGATACTTACATAAGGTACCCTGTAACTATGGAATCTGACCGAGCTCAAGCCTCAACGCTCTCTTTTAGTACTTTTTCTACACAGTAAACACAGTACCTAGTACTAGGTAGTACAATAGTTACTCGGTAATATTCTCAAAATTGAATTACTAAGGCAACAATTGAAGCTGTCTAGACTTTTGGGGCAAGGCAATGGGTTTTTTCCCCTTAGATTAAGTTCTATCACTGTAATTTTGTATCCTAATCATCATCTTCCTAATTCTTTCTAATACGGTATTACAATAGTAAGGTTGGGGAGCTTTTTTCCTATCTGCAGTTTTCCGGTTCCGTCATCGTTATCGAGATATTCAATTTTCTGGTTCGGAAAGTTTTTTTTTTTAAAAAAAAAAAAGAATAATGTTGTGTCGACAACGCCTATCGCGGCAACTCGCTGTGAGGGCCCCTTCAAACTTCGCATCGAGGCTCAGACCCCGCTATACGTCACGCCATTATTCCTTAAACCTCACCGGCCGACCAACCGACACTGCCATAACGTATTCGAGAGTCACGATAGCTTCAAACCACCACAATGTCTTGCTGAACACAAGCTTCTCGACCTCGGCCACTAGGAGGAAAGAGAAAAAGAAAGACACTGAATTCTTCGACGAATCTGTTGAACCACTCTCGGAGGAAGAAACAAAAGCAAATCAGGACAAGAAGGCCGAAGAAGCTAAGGACGAAGTGAGCGAGGCGAAAACCTCCAACGCAGAGTCCCCGCCATCTTCCAAGGGCCAGGGTTCAGGTCAAGGCCAAGGCGAATCGCAAGACGGAAAAGCGAGCAGTGCGGCCGGAGGTGGTTCGTCTGGTTCAGGAAACGATGCGCCTGGAGATGGAGGTCGAAGAGGTCGAAAGTCAGCCACCGACAAAGCGCTGCAGAAACCCGTGGTGCCTGATGTATACCCCCAGGTTATGGCGATACCGATAGCGAAACGACCTCTGTTTCCTGGTTTTTATAAGGCGATCACCATCAAGGATCCCAATGTCTCTGCCGCGATACTGGATATGATGAAGAGAGGCCAGCCTTACGTTGGCGCATTCTTGTTCAAGGATGAGAATGCCGACGAGGATATCATTAGAGACCCGGCCGACGTCTACGATACTGGAGTTTTCGCACAGGTCACTAGCGCATTCCCTGTGCACGGAGAACAGAGCAGCCTCACAGCCATTCTATACCCCCATCGACGAATAAAGCTATCTACCCTTATACCACCCGCCACTGCCGAACCCAAAAAGACAGACGCCGAACCAGAGCCTATACCCGAGCCGATACCGAACAAGACAGAAGAACAGCCGCAGCAGGAGAAGAAGGGCGATGTTGTCGCAAGCTTCGAGGAGAGTGCGGTTTCGACAAAGGCTGATGCTACAACTGATAAGTACGAGCCGACATCGTTCTTGCGAAAATACCCAGTTAGTCTTGTCAACGTCGAGAACCTGTCCGAAGAACCGTTCGACCCCAAAAGCCCCGTTATTCGGGCCGTGACGAACGAGATCGTAAATGTGTTTAAGGAAGTCGCCTCTATGAACAGTTTATTCCGGGATCAGATTTCGACATTCTCCATGAGCCAATCAACAGGCAACGTCATGTCAGAGCCAGCGAAGTTGGCAGATTTCGCTGCAGCAGTATCTGCCGGGGAGCCCGCGGAACTGCAAGAAGTCTTGGGCAGCCTAAATATTGAAGAGCGAATGCAAAAGGCTCTGGTCGTACTAAAGAAGGAACTTATGAATGCGCAGCTTCAATCTAAGATTACCAAGGATGTGGAACAAAAGATCACTAAGCGGCAACGGGAGTACTGGCTTATGGAGCAAATGAAAGGCATTCGCCGTGAGTTAGGGGTCGAGTCCGACGGCAAAGACAAACTTGTCGAAAAGTTTAAGGAGAAGGCCGATAAACTGGCAATGCCTGAGGGGGTTCGAAAGGTATTCGACGACGAAGTCAACAAACTCGCCCATCTCGAATCCGCCGCGTCAGAATTCAACGTGACGAGAAACTACCTGGACTGGTTGACACAAATTCCTTGGGGTCAAAGAAGCGCAGAGAACTTCGGAATTCAAAACGCAATGAAGGTACTAGATGAGGACCATTACGGACTGAAAGATGTCAAAGACCGCATCTTAGAGTTCATCGCTGTTGGAAAACTACGTGGTACTGTTGAGGGTAAAATCTTGTGCTTTGTGGGACCTCCTGGCGTTGGCAAGACGAGTATAGGCAAGTCAATTGCAAGAGCTTTAAATCGGCAGTACTACAGGTTCAGTGTGGGTGGTCTTACGGATGTGGCCGAGATCAAAGGTCATCGACGAACCTACGTCGGTGCTCTTCCTGGACGAGTCATTCAAGCTTTGAAGAAGTGCCAAACCGAGAATCCACTCATTTTGATTGATGAAGTTGACAAGATTGGCCGGGGCTACCAAGGTGACCCTTCATCCGCTCTTCTAGAGTTGCTTGATCCAGAACAAAACAACTCTTTCCTAGATCATTACATGGATGTACCCGTCGACCTCTCCAAAGTATTGTTCGTCTGCACAGCGAATATGACCGACACTATCCCGAGACCTCTCTTGGACCGAATGGAAGTCATTAGGCTCTCCGGTTACGTTTCGGACGAGAAAAGAGCAATCGCCGACAAATATCTTGCCCCTGCTGCCAAAGAACTAGCTGGGCTGAAAACTGCAGACGTCGCTTTGACGGATGGTGCGATCGACGAGCTCATCAAGTCGTACTGCCGTGAGTCAGGTGTTCGTAATTTGAAGAAGCAAATCGAGAAGGTGTATCGGAAGTCGGCATTGAAAATCGTTCAAGATCTCGGAGAGGAGGTCTTACCTGAGTCCGCAGCTCTAACGGAAGATGGCAAGGCGGCCATGGAAGAATCCGAGAAGGAGAAGGAGAAGGAAAAGTCTGACCCAACATCTCCCGAGGCGACCGAAAAAGAAACTACGGAGACACCACGGGTAGCTTTAAAGGTACCGGATTCGGTTCACGTTGTGATAGATAAGGACAATCTCAAAGATTACGTCGGTCCTCCGATTTTCACTTCCGACCGACTATACGATGTGACTCCACCGGGTGTTGCGATGGGTCTTGCATGGACCCAATTGGGCGGTTCGGCCATGTACATAGAGTCCATTCTTCAATCTGCATTGCGACCCAGCAGTCGGCCAAGCCTAGAGATCACGGGCAACCTGAAAACAGTGATGAAGGAGTCCTCTACGATCGCTTATTCTTTTGCGAAGGCATACATGGCCAAAGAGTTCTCGGACAACCACTTCTTCGATAAGGCTAAGATCCACCTCCACGTGCCAGAGGGTGCAGTACAAAAGGACGGGCCATCGGCTGGCGTAACCATGGCGACATCTCTCTTATCATTGGCATTGGATGCACCGGTTGACCCCACAATTGCTATGACGGGAGAGCTTACCCTGACCGGCAAGGTTCTCAGGATAGGAGGTTTGCGGGAGAAGACGGTAGCGGCAAGACGTGCTGGCTGTAAGATGATTTTCTTCCCAGATGACAATATGTCCGACTGGTTAGAACTTCCAGAGGTGGGTTCCCCCTAGTCAGCAACGATAATCCAATGCGACGGTTAAGCTAACATTGACATGCAGAACATCAAAGAGGGTATTGAAGGGCGTCCAGCCAGTTGGTACAATGAGATCTTCCAGCTCGTCTTCCCCAACATAGACCGGGAACAGGCGAATCGATGCAAGATCTGCGAGTGGAAAAAGGAGCATGACACTAAGTCGGGCAGTGAAAAAGACGAATAGGAGATGAAGCGGAGAGTGGCGCAACGGATACATTCCCACAGCCCCATCATCCACTTGCATATTTGATAGACTTATAGCAATGCATCTGCGGGATTGGGCCATCAGACAGGCGTTCAGGCGGCAATACCATGACTCGATGAAACGACTTGGAGCAACCCAACCAAACAACACAATTGTAAAATTTACTCATTACTCCTCACTCCTCACCTGCTTTTGTTTTGTTTTTTGAAGCATTGCATCTTGTATCATACGATCTAACCTACCTTTACTTCTTTGTGCGTATAGCGGGAGCCGGGGACATGGTGGCGGAGCGTTGCTATACACGCCCCCTCTCTCCCTCCCCCTTTTGTTTCTTCCCTTACTAAGGTAGAGAATTACCTAGTATCTATCTACCTATTTTACCTACCTAACTTGTATTCAAGAAGAAAGGAAAAGGGAGATGTTGATGAGGAAGAGGGGAGGGGAAAAGGAAAAGGATAGGGGGAATTGAAGAAAAGAATTAAGACATGAAGTATTAAAAAAAAGTTTTTCGAGCAAAGCAACGTGTCAAGCTGCTAGTGATAGATGCCTACATATTTATTCACATGTGCCCTTGAGACGTACATGTAGGCTGAGACCAATTTCAGAGGGTAGATGGTGCCAAGTAAGTACGCCTATATGTAGGCATATGTAGGTACGGTGTAGCTGTTGCTGTCGCTGTTTACTGTCGGTTGAGGGGGGTTTTGGGCTGGGGGATAAGATAAGATGAGACAAGACAACGCAAGACTACCTAAGTTGTGGGTATAGAGACATACAGACAGACAGACATACAGACTGACTGATTGACAGGTAGGCAGGCAGGGAAAGGGAGAGAGAGAGAGAGAGAGATGCAGATATCTCCACCATGTTCCATGTGTTTTTGCGTATAGGGATTGGAGGGGATTAGGGGTCTACGGGACGCCATGTATGTACCTATGTATGCAAGGTGGGCTCTAGTCCCGTTTCTTCCGCTCCAGGCTTGCTTAGGTATACATACTATGTATATACAATACAATACAATACATGTGCAGTGTGTGCGCCCCACGGTGGGATTTAAACGCCGTTGCGATGGGCGAGAGATTCGTGGTGACTTGCTTGCCTAGGTAGCTAGTACTACGCCTAGGTATTCTAGCGTCTACTTACTAGGGAAGCACTTGCATGTGTAGGTGTCTATATAGATCTGCATTTACATCTACGTCTATATTATCTACCTACCTATATCTATGTTCATATGTATAAGTGCAATAACCAGACTCTCGGTGCTTACATGTGGGATGTAGGTAGAGGGAGGTCAGAAGTCAATTGTTCCGTCTGTCTCTTCTCTGAGCTAATACTACTGCGTCGAGAAAAGGGGAAGGGGGGAAGAGGGGGGGGGGAGAAGAAAGGTATCAAAGGAGGTCGGAATCTCGGGTCCCATCTCGTGATGTGCTGACCTGCCGAGTAGGTAGATATCTGAGTAAGATTCATGGATTACGTGCCTAAATTGCCCGACCCGAAGATATATGTAGATGCAAGTGGCTATGTGTAGGTTGTAGGTAGGCTATAGGACGGATAGGAGGGAGGTATAGTTCGCGAGGATGTGTATAGCTAGCTAGCTAGATAGGGAGAGAGGGTTTTGAGCGTATAAGATCTATATCTAGGTAGAGATACATATAGGTATGTGTACGTATGCTTTACCTACCTATCAGGGAGCTGCCTATCTACTCTATGTATAGGAGAACTACCACCTAATGCATGTATGTATGGTGACTTGGAGTAATTGATAATTGATATGGGAAGGGGAGTTCTTGGTTGGTGAAATGAAAAAGCGAACGGGGACGCCTCCGTGGGGAGGGTAAGGCGAGAGTTGTCAGCCACGGAAGCTAGGTAGGCAGTGATCTTTTTTTTTCTTTCTTCTTTCTCTTCTTTCTCTATTACTTGCACGGCATTTTCTAGACGAGAGGCCCGAGAAGAAGCAAAGGGATCGCGATATGGACGCACAATGGGTAGTTCGGAATGTGATACCTTTTTCCCTGGCTACATACATACATGGCAGACATTGAAACATAGCATACATATAGTACATGCAGGTGGCGTAGGATAGGCTGATCGCCGTATATCTATTGTGAAGGAGAGAGATATACATATATACATACATACATACATACATTACGCACACAGAGAGGGAGAGAAGGCATAGAATATGTATGGGGATTACCTGGGGAATATGAGAAGTGAGAGATTTCCGTTCCCAAAAGCCTAGCACACCTTGAGATGACGATGTGTGATGATGGGTTGGTGATAGTGGTAAGTGGTAGGTTAGGTAGTTATGGTTACATCTTTGGAGAAAGGGTAAGGACCCGGAGTGAATAAGCGGCTCGGTTGCCGGAGTGTGGGATGCGATTCGCGAATCAGCGGGGAGAAGGGGGGGGGAGGGGATTGACGGGAAGCGCTGGCGAAAGAAAGAAAGAAACTTGTAAAGGGTACCTATGTACGTTCGTCATGCAAGGGAAAAACAAAAGACAGGACCGTTGGATTGGAGTATGTATTGCATCGCTTGTCTCTATGAACGGGAAGGCCAGCTAGCATTGGTGATGGTGGCCCAGCCAGTTGTCTGGAGGAACAGCCTCGCTTTTTTGGACGGGGGGTAGCTGTTGTGTGTATGTGTGTGTCGTGTGTCTACGTCGTGTTGTTCCTCGAATTTACATACTTACATGTACATACTTGCATACATACATACTTGCCTACATACGCTACCTACCTTGCTTACCTTGATTACATCTCGGTAACATACATACTTACATGCCTACATAGCTAGCATAGCCTGGTTTCGATGTTGTATGTTATGTAGTGTAGGACTTGATTGTTCATGGATTGATGTATGTATCGCTGCCCAATTCCTATCAGCCCCCCCATACATACCTCATCCATCTCCCTTTCCCGAAGACGATAGTACGCGCCTTGGGTAGTTAATTAACCTTAGTTGGTTATGTTACTTGTCGTATTAAAGTCGCGTGGTGCCAGCGGCTCGTTAGACTAGTAACGTGGTCTTAGATTGGGTAGCAGCCTCTCCCCGAAGGAGGGAAGAGAGAAAAAGAGTAACACTAGGAAGTTTTGAGAACGGAATACTATGTAGTCAAGGGATATTGTAAGGTAGACAGACAGGTAAAGTATAGGTAAGTAGTAGGTATGGCATGGCATGGCATGGCATGGTATGGTATGGATGAATTGGCAAAGGCCAGCCCTAAAAAGCTAACCTGAGGGATCTAGCGTTGGCTTACGACATTACGACCCGGGACAACACATCATGAATGTCTCTTAAATCGGACAGGGGTACGTAGTTCGGTAATGAGATCAATGGAAGAAAATCAGAAGGTCGAGTCCCTTCGAAAATAAAAAAAATAAAAAAAATAAAAAAAATAAAAAAAATAAAAAAAATAAAAAAATATACGTCGGTCTAGCTTATAAGCTTATGTGACTTGTTGCATGTGTTCATGAACCAGTTCGTCCATCTATAGTGTATTTCACACGTCATCTTGCTCTTCCTTATTCGAACCATCTGGTACGACTCCGATGATGTAAGTAGTTTTTTTTGTTTTGTTTTCCTTTTTTTTTTCCCGCTAACCACTAACATATGTTAAGCCACGAGGGGAAAAGGGGGGAAGAGGAGTCTGTATGTACCTCCATACCTCTCCATCGATCCACATGACCACCTGGCGATGTCGACAAGCAGGTAGCATTCGCACTAGCTTCGGGCCGGGCTCGCGGTTAGGGCAATGGGTTTGATAGATAGCCCTGAGATGGGATACATAGTATGCTATTTCTAATTTTATGATCTGTCAACGGTTGGTTCAACCTGGAAGATCCTGGAAAGTCAATTGCCTAACTTGTAAACCTCGTCGTCCCTGAATGTCCCTGAACGTCCAAAGTAAATATAGTCGCTTACCAGATTCCGATTAGACGGCAACGGACCAGTCGTCGCATAAAGTCGGTGAACATAAGGGGATAGCGGTGTAGATAAAATCTTGCATGCAGTAGGTATGGGTTCGTCCCTCAAAGGCTCCACGTGTAAGTGAAGTCATACATACAAATCCTTAGCCGAACACTCGTCCAGCTCTTAATATATCGCCCTTTCCATGGATGCCAATGACTTGACTATGTACTACATACACTTGAACGTGGCATTCTTTTGAGAGACTGAGGTTCTTAAGATATCATGATTGAATACCTTTACCTGGTTCATTGAAGACTTTGGCAAACAAATTGACGATTGGGTAGACGGATAGACAGATGGCTTCTTTTGTTCTTCGTCTTCCTCGTCTTCCTCCTACTCCTCTCGTTCGTCTTCTTATAGTAGGTAGACGTTGCGAAATAGGTATCTTGAGAATTTGACCCAGACGCCCCTCATTTGGGGATCGACCACTGACATCTTTGTACAACACATCAATGAATCATCCTGATTTTCCCGACTTGGTTCGAACAGCTTACCTACCTAGTATAGGTAGCAAACCCCCACCATGCGGAAAAGGGACCATAACGGCATGGCCGAGTCTGGGGGGGGTGGTACCTAGTAGGTAAGGTAGGCCATGTAGTAATAATATGGTATACTAACCTTAGGTTAGATATGTATGTAGAGATGGGTTGATAGATAGTTAGATGTAGATGGTCACGGTTAGTGTAGAAACTGAAGGTGTTTGAAGTCGAACTGAACCTGAATTGGCAAAGAGCCCCCCTCCTCTTCCTCTCCAATTATATGACTCGATTTACTATACCTAGGTCACTTTTTATACATGTCACTTCGATTTTCAAGGTTCTGATAGGTATCAATTACCATTGGATAGTTCAAGGGTGTCAATCCACATATGATGAGAGCAAGATGGAAGAGACGAACTGGTGTGGATTGAAGAACGAAAATCGGGAAAATGGAAGAATTGAGTAAATTAAAAAGTGAAGAACATTGCAAATTATGTTCAAAGCTAATAGCTACATGGTACAAGGTAGTTAAGAAGCTTCAGGTAGCAAATCATAGCCCCGCGAGATCATCGAAGCGAAGCCAAACGGACCCCTAGCCCGATCACACCCCGGTCCATTGGCGCTAATTGGCGGAAGGGGATAGGTAGCATGACGCTAATACCATCTCGGTATAGCCAGATAAGGTACCCAGCAGCTGCCCAGGACCGGGGTCAGGTATGGATAGTAGCTAGAGACGCTTGTGCCTGTCTTTTACTCCTGGCGCTGTGTTGTCCGCCGCGGGAGACGAGCACTGAGGGACAACTGTACAACTGTACATGTATCTAGGTATGTACACCCGTACTGTTGACTTCACATTTGATCAAATCTTATTACAACATTGAAGTTACCGGAGGGTACTAGGTACATTGATGTACAGCACTGAGCAAGGATACATGTATGGGTAAGGTGGTAATGGTGGTTTGGAAGGTACAACGTCGATGGATATTCGCTCAATTTTCATTATTATTACGATTTTTTTGATTTTTTTTTGTATTTCTTCTTTTACATACATACCACACATGGCATACATATCCAACCTCCGCCAATTCCCTCGAGTCATTTCAAGTCTTGTCACTTCAAGCAGATGGCTACTGGGTATATCGTCCTGTGCCCCGAAAGCGGAGTTCTTTTGGATAACTTCTGCCTCTGCTTGCACATCTCCTGCACCCCGTCTACATAGAGGTCTACATAGACGGTCTACATAGACTATAGACTTGGCTCGGTAGTCATCAGATGCAAGTTTGCAGAGTCTGGTTGCAGAGGAATTATACCTGCCTGACCCTGACCTGACTCTAAAAAGTAAAAGCTCAGAGAAAGACACGCACACCCCATACAAACACACATATTGAGCCACCACCATCCCCCAATTGCCAATAAGGTCTCGACAGCCTCGCCGCTAAGCTTTCCTTCCGTCTCGTTACCCTCGACGTTGGGTCTGCTTGCATCAATGCGGTCATAACCGTCTCAGCTCCTCCAACATCACATATCTATTATATCTCGCATAGTTGCAACGTCGCCTACCTACTTCGTCAGAACCGCAGACGCCCTGCTTGCTCTCTTGTATCTGCTCCCCGCCCAAGAACGAACTTGCAGTCTTCCCAATACTTTATACACTTGGGACAAGAAATACACTTTCTGGTTACATGTAGTGTAGAGCCTCAACTGCAAGTTGTACCTACCTACATATCATAACATACAATAATATCACAATAACCTGGAACCTTCCCTTCTCTTGAGGCGCACGGTCCAGCCCTACCTTCCTTTACCCTGCCCTGCTGGCTCCAGTCGCGGAGCCTCCTCCACAGCGACTCCATCCCGCTTGAGGACCGTTCTTGCTTCCGTTCCCCAAAATAGCGATATTCCGTGGACACAGACCAAGTCCATGAAGTTGGCACGAGGTAGTGTACCATTTTAAATCCCGCCGCAATGGCTGCACAGGCAGACCTGCCGTCGCGTGAGCCCCCACCACCCTCAGATACCGGTAGACTAGCTAGCATATTGAAGAAATTTCTTGGGAAGGAAAACATGCTGACCTCTTCGACAACACATACTCAAGAGTCCAAAGAGTCCAAGACATCTTTGGAATCTTCGCATAGCTCAGGCATAATCAGAAGGGTCTCGAGGAAAGTTTTTGTCCCTACTTTGCCCCGCGCTAAAACTTTCAAGAGACAGCAATCCGAAGGGAGGGAGAGGCTCGCGCCACAGGAGCCCACGCCAGCCGAGCGTAGGGCTGTTTCGGCCGATAGGCGGTTGCGAGGTAGTCAACGCAGTATCTCCCGCGTACACCAAACCATTCCGCGCTCAAGTGCGCCCGATTTTTCCCACGATACTCAAGCTTCCCTTAGCCCCCCTGCCGTGATATCACAGCAGGTGACGCCGGCTGCTCAAACTCCCATCGATGAAAAACAATCATTAGGGCTTCAAGATGTGGGCAGGGCCAGTATAGAAGGGGACCAACATGTCGGATCTATACCGGTACCCAGCTATACAGAAACTCTCTCGCCTGTCTCACCCTTTGATGCTCAGTCCACTACGACATCTCAGTATGATACAATGATCAATGATGAGCTTGAACGAAAGTGGATTTTGAACCTGAGTATGCACTTTCGAGACAAGTCGAAGAGAGAGAAATTTTTCGTCACTTATCGAGAGGACGAAAACACCTGGAGACGGGTGACAATCTCTCTAGATTATCGAAATGCGCCAGACGATTCATTGGAGAAGGATCTCCTTCACATCAAATTTCAAAGGGAGAAGAGTGCCAAGATCTACGAGGCGATACGCGATAGTCTTCACGATATTGAATTCTACCCTACTGTCACTAATCTTAAGCTTCAGACGACGGAAGGGAGATTGCATGTTCACGTGGTAGAAGATGTCAACGTAGGTTGTTCTTTTTTTGAGATGTCGATTTATTGCTGATGATAGTACCTTGTTGTAGGAGATCATACAATATCCCACTGTTCGTCTAGTTCAACACTTGAAATGCCGTCGCATCAGGGAGAGAGATCTTTTTTTCGACTCGCATATGTCAGGATTTGTCTACAAGGTTCGCGTAGCTGGAAAAACACTCATCAAGAAAGAGATTCCAGGGCCGGACACGGTGGATGAATTTCTCTACGAAGTCAACGCTCTCAACTCTTTACGGTTTTCCCAAAACGTGATCGAATTCTACGGAGTGGTGGTTGACAATGAGGACGAATCTGTGAAAGGCTTGCTCATCAACTACGCCGAGAAGGGTGCGCTTATTGACGTGATCTACGATTCCCAAGAAGAAGATCGTCCCTTACCATGGCCCCTCCGAGAGAAGTGGGCGAGACAGATCGTTCAAGGTGTATCGGATGTTCACGAAGCCGGGTTTGTACAGGGTGATCTTACGCTCTCTAACATCGTCATTGACTACGAAGACAACGCGAAAATAATAGACATAAACAGACGTGGATGTCCGGTAGGCTGGGAGCCTCCAGAGGCGACTGCGCTTATTGACACGAATCAGCGAATTTCGATGTACATCGGTGTAAAATCCGATCTCTACCAACTAGGAATGGTTTTGTGGGCACTTGCGACGCTGGAGGATGAGCCGGAAGCACATGGACGTCCGCTTCGTTTGGCTTCCGAAATCGAAGTCCCGACGTGGTACCGCACGATGGTGGAGTATTGCTTGCACGAAGATCCACGTGTTCGACTTCAAGCTACCGAACTGCTTACGTTGTTTCCCGAGCCCGCGTCTCACGACGACGACTTCAGTGGGCAGGATTTGCCTTCCATTTCCGTCGATGATGGGGTTTCTCTCCGGGAATACATAGTGAGAGGAACTCAACCCAACGGTCATTCCCAAGTGAGACCAGTTCTGCCTCACAACGGCTGGTCATATGCTCAATTCGGTAATACACATGCTACGTTCAGTCATACACATGCTACATCGCCTGGCTACTCCGACGATCCGTACCACTATCCATCGAGGGGACGATCTCCGGCCAGATCACTGCCGAGTAACCACGACATGTATAGTCCGCCATACATGGATCGGCGCAACATGTGGTCCAATAGAACTATAGAACCTTCTGCCAGCCACGTGGATCTAGGAGAAGAGGGTGAGAGGGTCGACACACCGAGGGAAAATCACGCTCCGGGAGAAATAGCGGCGAAATTACAACGAGACTTGGATCAATTGGAGGCGGAGGAAACACAGAAAACGGGTGGCGAATCTCAGCCAAATGGCGCCACGCTGGCAACCGGTGCGAGCAGAGAGCCTGAGGTAGCCGACGAGGCCGTCAAAGATGCCTTACCTCTAGCTGACAATGGTACAGAAGCTGTCACACCTGTTTACAGGCCTACTACGAAGGCTACGTTCGATAGGGAAACGAATCTGGAAGATTCGCAACATGAGACTAGGGACGAGATTCCGAGGCAATCCGAAATAATAGGAACCAGCGAAACGAGGGGCGTGGGGACGGACATCCTTGGAACGCCTATCCAAATCGACGATGCCGTTCAGCCGCCAGAAGAAGTTGATGGTGAAAGCGAATCACTAAACTATACACACGACAGAAGAGAGGACGTGCCAGCGCGATCAACAGAAGCGTCGCCGTCAAGAGCAGCCAGGTCTCCACCCAAAAACGTACCGGCTGAGCTGACAGGCATCGGGTCCGCATACGATAAACAGCACGAAGAAATTCGTAAACTAACATTCTCGGAAGAAGACCTAGGTCTAGCGCCAACAGCTACGAATAAATGCGACATCTCTAGCCTGAGAATATGACAGATGTGTTGCGCATTTTGACGAGCATTTACCAACCTACCTACCGATGTACATACATATAGCAACGGCGCGCGGAGTTTACTAATGGATAAGGTACGCAAAGTTTCAGGATGATATGATGATTTTTGAAAAATTCATTTGGATGTTGTTGATTTTATTCTTATTTCCCAGGAGGGATATCTATCTATTTACCTACCTACCATCTATTTCCTTTCTATGCAAAGCACGGTCACGGCGAAACTAGCGAAAGACAGAAAAGAGCGAAAAATGTTTTGGGATTTTTTTTGTATAATTAGAAGGAAAGCATTGCTAAACCATATTGTTATTGTTCATCTGATGATACGTAATGTATGGGTTTCTACTATTAACGAAGCGTTATGAGAAGATTATGAGGAGAGAGTGAAGATGGAAGGAGAGGGTCGAAGGAATAGGATGGGCTGAGTTGAGTTAGGGTAGCAGCTATGAGTGATGATAAAGAAATCAAGTCAAATGAGACAAGGAGTGAGTGAATGGGGTCTTGAAGCCGAATACATCACAGATGTTGCTTGAGCATGTGAACAAGGGGTCATGCTGTGTCAATGTACAAGTACCCTGTCTTCTGTTGATGCCTGCATGTGCTTGAATGTTGAATGCTTTGGCCCCGTGGACTGGAGAATCGAGTCTTGCTTGTGATCCATTCCCTGGGTGATATGTAAAACCGTGAGATCTGATGTTGCTCTAATATGCCATGCCATGACATGTGCTTCCTGAAGGCCTGACCTACTTATCTGACTTGTCATATTTTGAATGTCTATTCTGATGGCCGTTTCCACAAACATATACATTAGAATATAACCTTGAAATACCAATAGGCAAAGCCGTTGGTTTATATAGGATGCTATAAGCTTTGGGAGCGGCCAACTTTTGCGATTCACATGTTGTCCCTCGGGGGCTAGCTCATACGCACCACCAATACCGGTGCACTAGCTGCCAGTCTGCCATCGTATGTAGTGGCGTGAAGGTGCAAAAAATAAAAAAGAGGCTCAGCGAGATCTAAGGCAAGGCACACGCACGGGACGCATGTAGGTGTAGGCACACACAAGTACCAAGTAACTGCCGCGTTTAAGGTTGTTCTAGAAGGTTGTGGAGGTGGTGGAAATTTTTGGTGACGATGTTTAGCCGATCGTAGGGCGGTTTCAGGTTTTTTATTTTTTTTTTTTTCCTTTTCACGACGTCCTGGCGAACAATTCAATTCGAAACCCACATTTAAAGGCTTACCTGGAAAGGTACATAGAGCATGTACCGAGCTAGTGATAGGCAGTGGGATTTTCCCTTGCTGTCGTTTGTTGGGGGGGGTAAGGAGGTGGAACGCGCGGATCAATGGAGGGGAGATCTTAGTTACATACATAGGGTGATAAGAATGTGGGGAATACATTCCGAAAACGTTCATCGCTTTCTTTTCCTTTCTTGTTAGTTACATATGTCATCTGTCATCTGTATGTATAAGAGATTTCCATTATTATATCTGGGTATTTTGGGGAGCCTCGGCTTGCCCTTGATTTGCCAGCTACATTAAAAGTTACGGCGTCAAGGGAAAAAGTCCGAGGAAACTTAACTACCACTGCTGGCTATGTATGGCAGGATGGCAGTCCGGGTTGATTGGCTGGTTGGATTGCCCAGCCCTACAGGAAGGGGCTGAAAATAGTTACATACCTTACGTCGAGGGATTGTTCGTGTCACCAGGCAGCTGCGATATATATACTATTTAGCTGAAATACGTACTGTTCAGTGCTTACATGAATCAGCTTACATACCTACGTACTGATCTAAATATGTCTGATATTGTGAGTTTGCAACGTGTGGTAGTAGCAACGGTAGTTATCGACGTGTGTGTGTGTGTGTATGCCACTATGGGGTGTATCCGTCGCGAATTGAGAAATGTAGTTTCGATATTACATAATGCATAGTGATGAGAGGCGCTGAGGTGGCGGTTTTTCAAGATTGAAGACTTCTCGATACAAAGTTACATCTGCGTACCTGGCAGCCCTGGATACAGAATTGTGGCCCCGTTGATCTAATGAATGCCTGAAAGGGAAAGACCCTTGAACTTACGGAGCTTTTAATTGGACACTAGTCTTGCAGCTTCAAAACCGCCGCCACGGTCACTTCCCCAACAATTCAACAAATTTCAAAACAGCTTTTTTCTTTCAAAGGATGAACGGAAGGAAACACTGAAGCGCATGCGTTGCCATGCAAGGACCTAGGCTCTTAGTTGTAACTTTTACAGGGAATTGCATACGGAAGGTACTTGACAGGACATGGCACAAGACACAATTCAAAGACATTTTTACTTGTCCCCGCGCGGGCGCATGTCAACTCAATTCAAGTTGACTCCTTAGGGTACCTAGGTACCTATGTAAGTACTACATAGGTAGGGATGTACTCGGTAGGTACCTGCCTCCTGCCAACAAACCCCAGCATCTTTTCACGGACCTATCAGATCGGCCACATATGTAGGATTCAACGAAGAAGAAGTCGCAACCCGTAACTTGTTCGTCATAATCATCTGCCTCGGCTTTAGTTTGCCGGTGTCCACAGTCTTTTCGTTAATTTTTTTATCCGAATTCGTTGATGAGAAGATACGTGTTCTTGTGCACGGGAACAGTCAGGTTTTCTGAACAGTTGAGTAAGTAATAAGTCTATCAAGTATTAGCCGTCATTCTCTTTTTTCCCGTTACTTCCAGCAACGATTTAATGTCTACTTCTTAAACCCCGATCTCACCGCTTAAAACTGGGGGCAAAGGTTGTTTTCCTTAGTTACAGTGTTCCAAGTACATGTAAGTTACAAATTAAACTTACAATAGGTCCAGGTACCAATAGGTACTAGTATTACCAACATTGCAAACATAAGCACTGAACTTAGCTCATCTAGACTGGGCCTTTCAACCTTCAACCCTTGATAACCTCCAACATACCTGCCCAGTGCCCGCCACCCTCCCAGGGAGAACTAAATACCTACGACGTAGAATAAATACCTAGAATACCAATAGGTACTGTAAGGTACCGTAGGTTGCAGGGTTACTATTCGCAGGGTTTACTTGTCCCACCCTTTCATCTCCATAACGTCTCCATACCCACTTCCTTAACACTTCCTTAACACTTCCTACGCAGTACATACATTAGTTACATACCATAGCCCTGGAGTCCTTATTTTTCAACCACTTCTATTAGATTTATATACCACCTCAAGCTTCCCTACCTTTCCTTTCCCTCCCCTCTTCTTTTCTCTTCAACCCCGTCCATCGCCTACCCAAGAGCCTTTCACAGATCTTGAAGGCCTTGTTGGTTGAACTCATCTACAATCGTCTCTGCGTATATCGCAACCATGGCTTCCGCCTCGACGAACCCCTCGGCACCTGTCGCCGCCACGGTACCCTCTGATGGCACCAAGGACTACAAGCCGCTACGATCTTCCAAATATGATCTGAAGAAACCACACATCACCGAGTTCCCTATCACCTGGGGTAACTGGTATAAGCATGTTAACTGGCTTAACACGACCTTCATTATCTTCATTCCGTTGCTAGGCTTAGTTAGCACGTACTGGACGCCTCTGCAGTACAAGACGGCTCTTTTCTCCATCTTCTACTATTTCAATGCTGGTCTCGGTATTACAGCTGGTATGTACCAACTCGATTACGAATATTACACTCTCACAGAAACCTAAACACTAACTCTAAAAAGGATACCATCGACTCTGGGCTCACAGCTCATACAAGGCTTCGCTCCCTATCAAGATCTACCTGGCTGCTATGGGCGCTGCCGCTGTTGAAGGCTCTATCCGATGGTGGTCAAGGGACCACCGTGCTCACCACCGTTATACCGACACGGAGAAGGATCCCTACTCCGTCCGAAAGGGTCTCTTGTATTCTCACATTGGCTGGATGGTCATGAAGCAGAACCCTAAGCGAATTGGCCGAACCGATATCTCCGATTTGAACGATGACCCCGTCGTTGTCTGGCAACACACTCACTACATCAAGTCCGTGCTTACCATGGCCCTCATCTTCCCCACCGTTGTTTGTGGTCTAGGCTGGGGTGACTGGATGGGTGGATTTGTCTACGCTGGTATTCTCCGCATCTGCTTCGTCCAGCAGGCTACCTTCTGTGTCAACTCTCTTGCCCACTGGCTCGGCGACCAGCCCTTTGACGACCGCAACTCTCCCCGAGATCACGTCATCACTGCTCTCGTCACTCTTGGTGAGGGATACCACAACTTCCACCACGAGTTCCCTTCGGACTACCGCAACGCTATTGAGTGGTGGCAGTATGACCCTACCAAGTGGACTATCTGGACATGGAAGAAGCTCGGCCTCGCCTCTGACCTCAAGCAATTCCGACAGAACGAGATTGAGAAGGGCCGTCTCCAGCAGATCCAGAAGAAGCTCGACCAGAAGCGATCTAAGCTTGATTGGGGTGTACCTCTTGAGCAGCTCCCCGTTATTGACTGGGATGATTACGTTGCTGAGTCCAAGAATGGCAAGGGCCTCGTTGCTATTGCCGGTGTTATCCACGACGTGACCGACTTCATCAAGGACCACCCTGGTGGCAAGGCTCTCATCTCTTCGGCCATTGGCAAGGATGCTACTGCAATCTTCAACGGTGGTGTCTACGAGCACTCGAATGCCGCCCACAACCTGTTGTCTACTATGCGCGTTGGTGTCCTTCGTGGTGGCTGTGAGGTTGAGATCTGGAAGCGAGCACATATGGAGAACAACAAAGATGCTGCCTTCGTCACCGACTCATCCGGTCAACGAATTGTCCGTGCCGGCGACCAGGTTACGAGAATCGCACAGCCCCTCGCCAGTGCCAACGCGGCATAAGAAGGTTCTTCACATTTGCTTGGAAGGGCAGGAATGGAGTAATGTAATCCACGGGATGATAATGAAATAAAAACAAGAAGCCATGGCGTTTTGCAGCCTATAGCTCTAGAATGACGGGCTTGGGGAAAAGTTTCTATAATTAAAGGACCGCTCGTCATGACTACTACAGCAATGTCGAGGCAACTCGTCCTGCGGCGTTAAGAGGGGAATTGGTTGGATGGAGTATTACACAACTATGCAAATTCTACAGGCGTTGGTGTGGTCACCAACGGAAAGACTGCCGTCTCCCAGTCAAGTCTGGAATGACTAAGTACTAAGTACGGAGAACAAAAAAGAAAGATACAATTCAAGAAAGAAATTTGATAATTATGACCTACCTGATTCTTTGAGCTTTGTGATTGTGATGTGATATGTCTGGTAGTAGTCAATGTAGAGTTGTGATTGGCTACAGTGGAGATGTAGTCATGCATGACCAAGTACAACGTGACGATAAGTCTCAGCTCCCTTCCCTTGTACCTATGGATGGATCTACTTATTCAGGTCAGGTTTAAGAGAAGTCATCTTCACATGCTACAACAAGAGAGCCGGTGTTATTGTCATGCGGCCTCTTTTCTTTTCTTTTCTTTTCTCTTCTTGAGAGGGAAACACGAGGTTCTTGATGTAGGGTTGCTGGGTATATCCAAGACGAGGAAGATAGGGATACGGGACTTGAGACAGTTCGTTCCCAACAGGCGGGGAAAGCACTATATAATTAGGTATGTATGTAGGTGAGTTGGAGGTTGAGGTGGATTGTGGCAAGTTGAGCTACATATGTATGCCTACTAGGTAGGTAGGTATACTTGTCTGGTACTTACCTACCTATCTACCGCGGACTTTGTATGAAACTCGAAGCACGGCATACTTACTTGGGTATAACTATAGCAAGCACATAATATGTATGTATGTATGGACATAAGTCGGATGTTTTCGGTTGGGAGGTGTTGTGATTTGATATGGGAGTTACGTCACTATCACATGGGAGAGCGTTTCTTGAGGTACATGTACAGTAGATGTGAGGGTGAGGGTTTGTACCTTGCCTAGAGGTTACGGGTATGTATGTAGGTATCTTGGTGGTGAGATGTAGAAGATAGATAGATAGATAGATAGATAATAACTATGGTCAGGTAGAGCGACATGATTGATAGCTACGATGACAGCCGTCGAGTTTAGCGTCTCCTCTCTCCTCTCTTCTCCCCCTTTTTCTTCATCCCTCTTTCTATGGCAATAGGGCGTGGTCGCAATCCTTTTAGGGAATATTCCTCGGACTACGCACACCAGACAACAAGATCGACCATTCCCAACATCACGTCTTGGGACAGATCATTCCCGGCAGTTGCGGAGAGAAAAAGCGATAGACCTAAAGTCCTGAGTCCCCGAGTCCTGATATTGATTGAGCGCCACACTAGCAGTTACCTACTTGGGTACTTATTGCAAGTCTAAACCAGGTACTTGGTACAGAAGAAGAGCCTTGTGGTGTGATAGAAGGGAGTGAAGGGAGTGATGAAAATCCATAATATGAGACAGCAAGGCAGGCCGAGGGATGGATGATATGTCGTTAGTAGTACATACCTCGAATTTTGCCCGCCCTTAGAAGAACGACGTATAGAAATAGCTACTTAGTGGCACAGAAAAAAAAAGAAGGATGAACGGCTATGCACCAACTGGTCTAGGTAGTCTAATGATCTCGAGACTGTTACGAAAAGTAGGTCGGCACTTGTGCTAGATGAACTCATCGCCATGGTCTATCCATCTATCTATCTATCTGTCCGTTCACCCATCTATACATCTAGACCTCTTCTAAAGTTCTCCCCCTTCTAACGAAGATATGATTCTCTCCATCCCTACAACCGCCCCTCCTCCTCCCCCCCCTCAACCTCCGTACTCGTAAGCCCATACCCCCCCGCCGCCGCCCCTCCCCCCTCCCCCTCCTCCTCCCACAACCAACACTCCTCCGTCCCCACAAACCTCTCATCGAACCCAAAAACCCTCACCTCCGCATTCTTCCACGGGTACTCCCCGGGATTTCTCTCATCATCCGGGTGTCTCGTAATGCGCCTCAGAATATCGCCGTGCGCGACCAGCACGACATTCTTCTCGGGCCGGTCCCGCAGCAGCCTTCTCACGAACGCCGCGCGCTCCTCCAGCGCCTCCTCGCTCGCGGCGTAGAAGCCCTCCTTGCTGTTCCACTCGGGCGTCAGCGGCGCCAGGTCAAACCGCGCGAACTCCTCCTCGGCCTCGAGGGCGGAGCGCGCGGACCCGGTGTCGCAGGGCAGGTCGTTGCACTCCTGCGCGGCGGGGACGACGACGACGGCTTTGAGGCCGCCGAGGCGCGCGATGGCGGGCGCCCAGCCGAGGTAGGTCGTTTGCAGGGTGCGCTTCAGCGGGGACGAGAGGATCACGTCGGCGGAGGCTTGGAGGGTGGGGGTGAGGCGGGGGAGGGAGGCGGCTTGTTTTTTGCCGAGGGGGGTGAGGGGGGCGTCGGGGACTTTTCCGTACTGTTAGCTATACTTTCATTTTCAATGATGGGGAGGGGGCAGAGGGGGCTTACTGGTGTAGTCCAGGTCGACGTTGTGCTCGGCTTGAGCGTGGCGGGTGAGTATTAAGCGGGAGTTAGGCGCCATGGTTGATGAGGTAGGTAGGTATATGTATAATGGAGATAATAGAGTATCTAGCCTATCAGGTAGATGAGTCTAGTATGTATGATATTCGCTCTACTTTGGTGTATCTTGCGGTTATGTAGATACCTAACTTCCAAGTAAAATATGAATAGAGGTGTACGCAGGTGAGTATGTAGAAGGTAAAAAAGTAAGTTTTGCTGACATTTTCACAGAATATATAATAAGAAAGAGCCTTGAGGCAAGAAGCAAACATATTCCTAAATAGATGACGCGGTTTCCTCAACTAAAAAAGCCGTAGCGGACCTCTTCCGGTCCCCCCTTCCCCGCCGTCCTGACTATGACGGCCGATCCCGCCGCTGTCGGCGATGATTAGAAAACGGACCCGATGTGTGTAACCAAGTTGGATTTAGTTTTGCATGTATGATTTCTTGGCTCTATACTACAGTATTGCTACTACATATGTAGTAGTATATGTACCTATATACCTAGGTAGGTAAGTAGTAAAAATAGTAAAAACTCCCCTAAAATTGATGCCATTCTCCTCCTAAATTAAGCATAGATATTTTTGACTTTATTAGTAGAATGATGGCAAAAAATCAATGAATATTGGTTCGCTATTTAAAATGTAATATCCTACATTAAGGCTGGGCTTTAAATCCCGCCGACATGCGCGCTGTTCAAAAATACGCCGTAGTGTAAATGTAGCCTGATGTTGGTGACATCATTTAATCAAAGATCATACATAATAAACGCCGTCCTACTACCTGGGTAGGTAATGCCCTCCTTATCCGTGGTATTTCGCTGGAAATAAGAGATGTGTCTGTCGTCGCCGACGCCACTGAAGGGGATTTAAGCCAAGAGAGCAACATGATAGGCCCTCCTGACCCCCCAACTGGCCGTCTAGAATAATCTCAGGGTGGTTCGCTGCTGTAAATTGGTTCCGTTTAACATAGCTCTCGATTTCTTTGGACGAGCCTGAAGTCTTCGGAACGCTTCTTGAATGTGGCGGGACTCAACCGGAGTCTTTCCCTCACTGGGCGGATCGAATAGTCCCTGGGCAAGCTTGCGCTTCTTGCTTCCGGGGTTCTCGCCTCCGCTTCGTTCCCTCCATAGGTCCTCGTGTTCTTTGATCTTAAGCGCCTCTTCCGTAAGTGTTTGCACCATCTCGAACGTCAAGAAACCGAGGATGTCGACAATATCGTCCGAGGGTTTGCTGTCCGTTACAATGCCAAAGCCGGCCCATTCCCTGAATCGCTTACCCTTGCGATACGTAAACGATGCCTGCCGATATTCAGACCATGTCACGTACTCTTCTTTGGTCATAGCTTTGGTGCGCTCGTCGGCTTTGCGCAATCGTTGGAGTGTGATATAGTTCATCTCCTCCTCTTCCTCATCTTCCTCGTCGTCGCGCTCCGGAACTTCTTGGCTATAATACGAGGACGGTTCCCAAGGGAGCTTGACCTTTGCCTTCTTGTTCTTCTTGGCGGCCTCTTCCACTGCGGGACCACCAGGCATGACGGCGCCAGCTTGATCATCGCCGACTCCTATGTCGGCCTCTCCGCCTTTGTCGTCCGAGTCCTTGGCACTCTTGCGCACATCTTTCCAAGACAGAAATGTTCTTAGACGTGAGACCTTTGGCGCATCGTCGCGGATCAGAAATATCAGATCATTGATAGTGATTGATCGAGAACCACGTCGTGTAGCCAATTCGGTACAATTTCGCAGCATTTCAATAACCTGCTGGCGAACAATCTCTTCGATCATGGCGGTTGTCTCGACAGATGGCTCTCCAGTTTCACCAGAGACGTACATCATCTGCTGGATCTCTTGCCTGTACTTATGCTGCTTACTGTTGTCCGTCATTTTGACGACTGGTTAATGCGGTCCTAGTAACTATTGGCTTGATTTCTAGATGAATATGTGTAATAGGGTATAAATGGCGTATTAAATGATTAATACTTATTAGGTAAGTATGTAGACACGAAGACGAAGACGGAGATGAAGATGAAGATGGATGATTAATAAAGAAGTTCAATGTTTTGAATTAATTGACAGTTTTAGAGTTCATTGAAGCTCGAGGTGATTAAGCTTTCTTTGGACTGCGACCAGACCAACCTGGCGGGCCGGCAAACAGCGGGGTATAGGTACATTGTAGTACGAAGGTTATGGCCAAAAGTATAGACCGAGATATACCTCCGCCTCACAGTGCGCTATTCTTTTTTGGGCCTCTACTAATAATACATAGGTATACATTTAACGTTAAGTCCTTTACCATCCTTAAAAGTATAGCACCTTATAGCACATTTAAAGGCTATAATGTGCTATAAACTTAAAGCTTAAAAGTCTTAAATAACCTTGAAATATTTATACTAATTTAATAAGTATATTAGCAATGTTAGTAAGAATATTTCCCACAGTGGTAGAAAAGTGGAGGAACTGTGGGGCTGAGGTATATCTCGGTCCATACTTTTGGCCATAACCTTCGTACATGTCATTGTCAACTGGTATTTGGCGATTTCACGTTCAAACTTCCAAGGTTCAAACAACTTCAATGTTTGAAGAAAAACAGTGTAAGACATTATGGATGAATGGCTCTTGTAGATAGCATTGAGTCTCATTGATTGACTAGTCACTGCCTACGGCATAGTAGTAGTACTAATGCATACCTATGTAATAGCATCGAATGCTCTCATACAAGTACTAGGTAGTATTCATGTGCTCGGGGAGGTATCTTTTCGGACTACATCAACACCATTCAATGTTCAATGAGAAGAAATCCCGAAATCCCTGGCGGCAAGCCACGTTACCTATAAGAAGTATGTATGCAAGTGCTACACGTAAGGCATGTGCTCGAAAATTGTCGGTATCCTGTCCGCTCATTTCATCCTGATTCAATTTCCCAACCTCCGAATCCATCCCCTCTCCAACCCCAAACGACAACGTAGTGGTCTGCCAAAAGGTCCCATTCCTCGACCTCATCCAAGCCTTCCAAGTCATCGACCCTTTCTTTTTCTCCCTTTGCGACCCACTGCCGCCATATGTCTCCTATCGTCATACTCTTCACCCGGTCAAAACCTGCTTCCTTGAGCCGAGACTGTTGCTGCGCAGGGTCTTGATAAGCATCTAGCGTTGGCATACGTATCCGTCGCGCTGCTAGATTAGATACCATCTGCTTGCCAAATGCATCACCAGGATATATCGGTTCATAAATGACGACAGCGAGGTTTGGTATCTTCTCAGTAAAGTACTTGATTATTCCTTGTGCTTCCGAGGTCTCTAGATAGCACAGGCAACATTCTGAGACCAGGAGGGTCGGAATATCCGTGCGGACACCCCCAAGTGGTTTTGCGTCCTCTTTTAGTAGGTCTCTCAAATCTGACCCATGACACCAATATTGGCAACCGTTTGATAGGCTGGAACTACTCCAACTGTTGTTATCAGATACAGGGTTAGAAATGATGTTTCTGAGTTGAGGAACAGCATTCACAAGCTGCAACTTCTTGGTAGCGATGGCTGGAAAGTCAACCTCATGGTAGACGAGGCCAGCCTGGTTGGGCTGAGAAAAGAGTTTGAAACATCTCGTGTCTGTGCCAGCACCAAGTGAAATAATTTGTCGCTCCTCCGACCCCGTGTTAGACAAGAATGAGGAGATTAATCTATCCAACGCAGTAGTCCGAGTATAAGTCCCTACCTCTAGCCTTAGCACTCGCTAGGGCTGAAAGGGGCCCTTCGAACTTCTTACCTCGATTTATGATGGGCAGCCTTCTGACAAGGCCACCTGCAGCAGCATTCTGAACAAAGTATTGCGCGTAAGGGTCTTGCAAGTAGCCGAGATCCACGGCACTCATACGTGATACAGCTGCATCTGTATCTGTACCTTGGATCGTGGTATCGTGGCTGAGTGCTGCAGATTGCGGATGGCCCCCTCTCCCACGGCCCCGGCCACGGGAAGCTCCTCTTGAACCTCGAAGAGAAAAGAGATTCGGTATGGAAGGAGCAGACATTGGTGTTTTTGGAACTAAAATTGGATATATGGTGAGGGTGTTGGTAAGGCTGCGAAGATAAGCACTGGTGACTGGGCACTATTCACTATTGTGTTGGTGATGTAATATCTGTAGTGGTAGTAGCGCTATTGAGGGGCATAGGATCCCAGAAAACTCAAAGCAAAAAAAAGAAAACGACTTCGGGTATTGGCACCGATTTGGCACTTATCAGACCATAAGCGAGTTTATTATTGGCTGACACTAGTTTGTACTGGACTGCACTGGCCTGAACTGGCCTGCAATGGTTGCAATGGATAAAATCTACGGAAGGCGAATCAATCGCGCGATCTTTGTGACATGCGGAAAGCGCAAGTGAAGGCTAGGCAGGGATGATGTACTTTACCATTACAAAACATGTAGACAGGTACTTTCCGGGAATTGGGAATTAGGATTGAGGCAGTGCATCTACATAGTTTCAGCCGTTGATAGTACTTGGTACATGCATAGTGCTAGGAGTTATGCTACAATAGCACGATCGGGGCCGGCGGTTGCCTAGATTGCGAGTAACAGTACGTAAGTGAAGTACCTGGTATAACGCCACTGTCGTACCGACGGTCCGAGGATATGAAATGTTATGATTTGTATTAATCAACTAGGCAGTCGTCTAACAGTGACTAACACGGATCTATTACATTGAACAGTGCGGCGCAATAATATACTGTTCAACGGCAGCCTCATCTATCCGAGGACTTGGTCATCCCTCTTACTAGATATCCATCAAAGTTCTTAGAAAGACTTCAGCTTTGTTCCTGCCTCATACATTTTCATTTCCCCTCTATATTACCTTTTCTCAACCATTATCACCATTCCTTCTTTTACTTCATTTATCCATTCTATTTCCTTGTATTATTCTATCATCTTTTTATCATCTGTTGGAATATACAAGTTTCAAACTACTCAAAATGTATCGCGATATTGCCCACGCGGTGTATAAGCGGGGCGAGTCCTCCATGGGAGGCTACGAGATGCCCGGTTGGGGCTGGGGACTCATTGTGATGGATATTATACTTTTCATGCCTTTGGTCTTGTTGGTATGATACCTACTTAACGACTTGTCATCAGATAGGTCGACCAGCTTAGCTAACACGCTCCTTCAGGTAAACTACTCGCTTCAGCATGTGTTTCCCACGCTTGCCATCGTCGAGGACCCTTCGCCGCCGGCCTACGAACCCGTCTCGTTGAACGATGATGCTCAGTCCTTCGCCGAAGATAATGCCCCGCTTTCCGATGAAGCCGCGCGTGGTGGCTCGCAGGCACGTCTCATCACCTCATCTATCCGCTCTACCTACCGCACCCTGGCTGCCATCAGCGGCTGGCGCTCTATGTTCCGAGGTGTGGCTTGCTACTTCGCTCTTTCCGTCGCTACTACCTTCGTGTATGGCATTTTCGTCGGAACTTTCCTCCCATCTCTCATCGCCGGACCTCTTTCCGCGCTTGCTCTCGTGCAGCTCTACACGGCTTGGACCCACATTGTCATCTCGGCCCCGAGTTCCAAGACGTTCTGGCAACGTCTTCCTCCCTTCAAGAAGGCGTTCCAGGCCACCGCCCTTCCGATTGTTATGTACTTCTTCGCCGGCGAACTTTCTACGTTTGTCCCTAGAATGCTAGCATACGGAATGAAGATGAACATCCCTAACCCCAAGCAACCTGGAGTCATTCCCGAGGCTGACAAGAATGACATCTGGAAGGGAACTATTGTGCTTATCCTCACGCTGGTCATGCACATCTTCCTCGTCATTCCTACCCAGGTGATCCTTACCCGTGTCCAGGCTTCTCTCCTTCCCGAGGAAGATGACACGATTGTGCCTTTTGACCGCTCATTCTCGGGCAAGGTTGAGCCAGCTATTGTTGGTGGCAAGGGCTTCGTTACTATCAAGGACGCCTGGCAGTCCTTTTCTCGCGCTTCGTGGCTTCGTCTTGTCAAGTTGTATGTCAAGATCTTCGCTGCTGGGCTTGCGCTTGCTCTCCTTTGGATGGCGGTCATTATCCCCGAAGCGATCCTGATTATCAGCCGGAGCAAGAAGATCGAGTAAATGCAATCCACTTGTCAAGAAATATGGGAGCCACATCCTGGTAACTCAGTAAAACTGTACTACGTACAGATATGTGTATCTTGGTGAGAGGTGAGCCACTAGGCACATTGTGGGTCGAAGGGTCAAAAGGACAAGGGATATACTACCTACTACTTAGTAATTGGGGTTTAACCGTTTAGGAAGATCTGACAATTTGTATCTACTAGAGGTATCTACCAAGATGAACCTACTCAATGAGTTTCATTCTACATATTTAAGTAGACAGCTCAACTATGAAAGCATGAAAGCAAGGCTGGCCTTTTGGAGTCCAGCCGAACAACAACATAATATTTGGTATTTTCTCATTGTTACAGTGAAATGTCTTAGATTTGTGGAGGAGTTGTTTCAAATCCCAAGCCACCTATCAATAAATGCTGCGTGTGCTACTCAACTGTCACTCTCGTATGACGTATGAGCCTGAAAGAAGCTTCAAAGGGATTGATGAATCGTCTTCTATTCAGTATAGTTATCTGGTTGAACAACATTTGGGCAGGTGCCAACAAGTAACAGACTAACAGTGGATCCTGCGCAAACCAATTTAACTTTTGAAGCTTTGAATTCAATGTTTGCTGTTTGAAAGGAAGGAAACAACGTTGATCCCTTAGGCTGTTTTTTTCTGAGTCAGTGCCCCACTCCAGACCCACCCCCGAAATTGTATAAATACCTGTCCTCCCTCCCAACTTTTCAATTTTTTCTTCTTCTTTTCTTCTTCATACTTACCTTGTCCGAAGAGTCCTCGCTCATGAATGAGGACTCTTAAGAGGAAAGACCTGCATTGCACAGCGCGGAGTCGACCCTTTTCTATTATCCCTCGTGGATCGTAGTGGGCGGAATTTTTGGTCTCTTCACAAATCCTTTTGGGGGTTATTCTACTTTTTTCGTTGTGTTCAGTGCCGTGATGCATTGTCATGAGGAAGATGGCTTTTACTATGTTCTACTTGCACTATTGGTCTATCTCCGATGTGAAGTAGTAGTTGATGTATGATGGAACTTGTTGATGGATGCTATTGCGATTTCTTTTGCTTGCACAAATTCGACCATCCCAATCCATCTGTGTAGCTCTACAGCTCCCATTGGTAACCTCCCATATATGTTCCGTGGATACTAAACAATAAAGCAAATCCTTTTGTATCATTACATGCAAATGCTAACCCATAACTATCAAAGGTGTGCTTAGACACGCGATAGCGGTGGATCATACCAAGTCTCCAGCTGCTCAAACAGCACATCATCCCTCATCTTCGCCTCCCCATGCCACCGCTCCACCCTCTCGACCCTAAAGCTCAGCTCCACGATCAGCAGGCTGAACTCGTCGATGTCTGTCGGGCAGCTCCTGTAGAACAGGCTCTCCGTCTGCTTCGTCGCTAGGAACAGCGCGTCCCGCTCCCGACACGCCCGCAACCACGAGTACGACGACGCCGCGTCCCACAGGCCCGCGCGCATCGTGATGGCCACGCAGCCCGGACACTCGCTCCACCCGCGCTTCATGTACAGGTACGCACATCTGCTGCATGTAACTAGTTCACGACGAGCCACGTGCGCCGCGCGCTTCTCGACTAGGATCCAGGCTCGCCAGACGGCGCTGCTGGCGTTATCTACATTACTGCTACTACCGTTATTCGTTGTCGTTGCTGCTGTTGTTTTTTGCTATTGCGGCTACAATCCCCAAACCCATCCACCAGCGTCGGGATCTGCGCCCGCAATGCGCACGTCGCCGTCGAATAGTCGGATCGCCTGGCACGTCAGCAGCGCGTGCACGCGGCAGACGTGGTCGAAGAGGTTCATCGCACTACTACTACCACTACCACCGTCCGCCGCCTCCTGATCCTGCAACAGCTGCTTCACACGGTCATCCAGGACCCGCGACGCCATGGTCCGCGCACCGGCAGCTACGTACGTGGCAACAGCCGTGTACGCGTCCTCGACGCACCGCGGCATCCGAGCGCAGTACAGCTCCCGGTGGTGCAGCGGGCTGCGGCCCTCCGTCGCCCACTGCCGCAGCCAGCTCTGCACGCGGTCGACGAACCGCTGGATCACGCCGCACTGCGCGCCTTCGGGCTGGGAAGGTGGGACCGTGTAGTCTGCTACGCAGGATTCGGGGGACAGGAACCATGTATCGGGAGCGGTAGTGAATAAGGGGAGGGGGAAGGGCGGGCGGTACGGAGAGGTGGAGGTCGTGGTCGTCGATCGATGTCGCCACTACTACTGCCAACCCCGCCGCTACTCAGGTCCAGCGGCGTCGAGCGGGGAAGGTAGGAGCAGGAAGCCTACTAGGTTAGGTCTTGTATGCCCACATCGTTGACCGCATCGTTGCTGCTGTAGTTGCTACCTTGCGTCGCAGAGCACGTGCTTGTAGAAGAAAATCCCTCAGCGCGAGCGGAAGGTGTTACTTTAGGGGGTTTTCCCGCTTCTGTCACTCTAATCTATGTAGGTAGGTTACCGGATGTTCATCTATAACTTCTGCTCAAACAAAGAAAAGAAAAGGTAACCGTACGTTGGAGAGAGAACCTAAGAGCCACCAATCCATGCCTCGCCATAGATAGAAACACATCCCTGGTGAAGAGGAAGGACCGGGGGCAGCTTCATTTGTCAGCCGCAGGAGCGGACAACTGTGGAGATTTACAAGGGATCTGTAAGGTAAGGGACGGGGATCGAGGTCCGTTGTCCAATCGTCGTTGCGGGAAGGGGTCTCTCTGCGGATTTACCACGGCGGCATCCGCAGGTGAGTGACGGGTCATCTATCTATTAACGGAGCGGGGGATGGGGGTGGTTGTTCGTTAGAGGGGGGAGCTAGATGTGCGTTTTGATGTTTCGTGGTAAAGTGAGGTCTATAGAAGTCTCGGATGCCCCCCCCCCCCTTAATAAGGGGACATATGCATCACTAAAGGTAGATATATCGATAGGGGTATACAGCAACGCTGAACGAACCAGCTATACCTCATCAAGTACAGAAATATATTCAGTTAGCATACCTACCTAGATGCCACACATCCCACCATGGTCCCCTCGTAAAACTAACCCCAACCTTCCACACAACCCCCTACCCCTCCATCTCCCCCTCCCGCCCCCCTCTCTCTCTCCCAAGAAGGGAAAACCGTCCTCATCACCGAGCACGTCGAGAAGCTGGGGCTGACGAGGGAGATGTTGGCTCAGGAGGATGGTATGTTTTCTTTTTCTTTTTTTCTCCTCCCCTTTTTGCTATTTCTTTCTCTTAGCTCCTTTTGTTTAATAACCCCCGCTTTTTCTTCTTCCTGTACCTACCCCTCCCTTCCCTCTCTCTTATTAGACAAACTAGGTATACCTACAAGTCAAAGCATTCTAACCCCTTTAACAGAGGACCTCCCAGCCAACTTCGCCGTCGGGGTTAGGGGTTTGTAAGAGTGTGAGAGGGAGATGTGTATCATTCGTTAAGCTACATATGTATTGATATATGTGTGTGTATGTGTGTGTCAAGTCCTTCTATGCTATGAGGTTTTCGAAGTTCGCAACATTAACGAGGCACCAACCTAGGCCAGGTAAAATGCCCAGGCCGGCGATCAAGTGCCAAACTCGAGGGCCTTAATCGCATCCAATATCGTCACAAACCCCATATTCTACATTGTTATATCGTGTCATTTCATACCATATCCCAAACCTAACCTTCTATGCCGCCCTTGTATATTATGTCAAGTACATACACATCACCACCCATCCACCACGGTAGCATGAACATGCATGCCATTAAGCGGCCTTGCCGTGATGCCCCCCTTGATCTCGACATTCCTTTCATCCATCTCTTCTAGATTCTTGAGGGCAAACTCGAACCGGCCCAGCCACGACGCGAGCAGACACGCAAACTCGGCCTTGGCAAAAGCCAGCCCGATGCAGCTTCGGGGACCGTGCAAAAATGTCAGGAACGAGTAGTTGCTAGATGCGCCGCCGCTCGCGGCCCGCTTGTCGTCGGCACTCTTGGGCATCCAGCGGTCTGGGTTGAACTCGTGTGCGTCGGGGCCCCACTGCTCGCGGTCGAAGTTGGTCGCCCACGGGGAAATCGCAATAATGGTTCCTTTAGGTACCCGGATTCCCGAAATGCTGGTATCCACTGCGGCCTCGCGTAAGGTGAGGGGAACGGGTGCATAGTACCGCAAGACCTCGTTGCAGACGGCATTCAGATACGGCATTCGGTCGATGTCGAGACTTGTGACGTCACGGCCTGAGTCGTCGTCAATGGATGGCAGCTTTTCGCGAATCTCGTCCCGTAGGCGCTTCTGCATGGCTGGGTATCGTGATAGCATGTATACAGCCCACGTCATCGCAGTCGCGGTCGTCTCGTGGCCGGCAGCCAAGAACGTCATGAGCTGGTCAACCAGATTTTCTTCCGCAAACGCACCGGACTCGAGAGCCACGGAGAGGATATCGCGGCCCGCAACCTCCTTGCGCGCTATCGTCTCCTTCTTCTCCCTGATCAGATCGCGACATACAGTTCGGATGAACTTGGCCGCTTCACCAATTTCCTCGTTACGCTTTACTGGGAGTGCCGCGAGTATCCAGTTGGGAATGAATGACCCGAGGAAAGCTAGCCTTTGCCCTTGCTTTGAGGGGCTAAAAACACGCTGATACATTGCATTGAGCTCGGTATTCGGATTCTGGATCGCCCCAAAGTCCCGTCCTAGCCCCGAGGCTCCGATGATATCTAGCGTTGCCCGGGATGCCCAGCCACCAACATCTATCACAGCTGTCTTTTCTGCCTTCTCGGGATCTGGGGACGATGTTCCCTTGGCTGCTTTGGCGATAATGTCATTCGTCATGGCCTGGGCGGCTTCACGACCCTTGTTCCAAAAGCTCGGATAGAGATCTTTAATGTGACGGAAGGCGAAGGCGGGCAGGAGACTTCTGCGTTGAAATTTGTGTTCATCACCTTCCGCTAGGAGGACCCCTATGCCCAATAGACGGCCGAGACCGAAGCGAATAGCCCCTGGCTTCTTGAAGTCGTAACTCTTTGTTACGAGAACCTCTCCGAGGGCCTTTGGTCCACTTATGAGCAAACGCTCTTGGTTGAGGACACTTAGATATCGGATGATGCCATCGTTTGGAATCGTAGCAACCCTTGATTACTCCATTAGCGCATGATAACGTGGGTAGCTCATAATATATGGATGTACATACCACTCTCTCATAGGTATGCCAGTGGGATATTTTCTTATCGCCCCGAATTGCCCCATGAGCCAAGAACCGCCCTTGGGCTCTGGTAGGCCTATTAAAGGGGAAAATACTTTAGGATATAAGATGACACTCCATACACCGTAAAGAAATACTTGAAAAAACCAAACGGAGATAAATGTGCGAAACATATATGAATAGCTCCATTCTGGTTGGATAGACACGATGAGGTAGGATGAGATAAGAGATATGATAGAAGAGACTCCCCAAGGAAACGCCATGGCGAAGAGCGTTTATGCTGAGGTTTTCACTCAATGCTTGAATAATCGGCCTAACCTGCAGACGAATAAAGGGGGTATGAGTATATCAAAGCGATCAGACCTTGATCATGTGTCTTATGTGAAGCGAACAAACTAGGGAGGCGTATAGGGAGGTCAAAAAACCATGCATTAGTAAGGTTATGACTAAAGGTTCAAGCAATGGAGGGAAAAGAGTAATAATTAAGAAGGTAGATATTTAACAAAAAATAGAATGTATAATAAATAGCAAGCGGTGGTGGTGTGCCAAAGGCGAACGGGCAGATAGTAAAAGCGAATACCCAAGCACTTGTAACTTATAGGGTCTCGGAACGTCTATTCTCGCCGTTTGATACAAGAGTAACAGGCCAATTATGTAAGGGTGGTAGATTAGTTCGGATTAGTGCAGTAAGAGGTTTAACCCGTCGGCAAACTACTATTAAGTCAAGATGGCGTAGCGGGTTGATTTATAGTATGAGTTTTCGTCTAGTTGTCATTATGTCGTGTAAAGAGAAGAGTTAGAAGTCTCCGTAGAATATATATTGCCGAGTAGGTAGGCAGATAGGTAATATTATGTACCCATTACATGTCCTATGTAGGTAGGGTAGGGACTTTGAAAAAAAGCTTGATTACTGTAACGGTTAGACCCTCTATCGTAGAAACGGAAGGATATGAAACCGAAGATGATCGGCCCACTGACTGGTCCCTGATACAACGTGAGCCGCGGGCGAAGTTGCAGGGGCTCTTGATTCGACGATCCTAGGAGGGCAGACTGTGAAGGATAAGATGTCTTAACAATACATACACATGGTATCCTTTCAGCTGACATAGGGATTATGGGGACACGTAATAGGCCTTACCTTCTCAGACTTTTACTTTTGTATGCATGTATTTATATGTGACACTGACATACAGAATACTTGTTATTTGTGCAGAGCCGAATGGGTTTCCAGTATAGGAATGCGATACATCATGATTTGTATACTCTATCAGGCTAGACAGTGGTAGACGGGACATCTGGAGTAACGTTGAACTTTGCATACCTAACCAGTTGTAGTGTAGTATGTAATGGGGCTCAAATGTCAAATGTCAAATGTCAAGTGTCAAATGTGAACTTTGTCGGCGGAACAATTGATATTGGCCTGTGCCGAGACGGCGAGACTGATTGATCATTGCTGAGGTTTGAGACGAAGTCCATTCTCAATCGGGAATCAATTCGAGAAGTATTAATAAGAAGGTTGAAAAAAAAGTCTCCATGTGGCCTAGACTTTTTAAACGAGACACGGCCCACGGGGTTTGAAAGTTTATTCCTCGCATTCGGAAACGCTAACTGGCCAATCAAAGATGAACTATTACCTTCACCTACCCCTGCAAATCTCGCATTAAGAATCCCCAAGACGTCATACTAAATCATAAAAGTGCAAGTATGTATATTACAGAAGGCAGATAAGTAGTACATACAATAAATCCCTAACAGGAATCGTCTCGCGCCATTTGTTACAAGTATAGAGAAACACCAACTCCTCCAAGCCCATTCATTGGACAAGGGACGGGGTCGGACGAGAAAGTAAATCGCCGGCGTACATACATATACCTATATGTACTTATTCTCACGCACGAAGTTCGCTGCAACGCTTCAATCTTGGAAAGGTTACTCAAGTTTATCTTCCAGAATTCTGTGAATATAGCAAGGTACCTAGTACTATGATACTACTATCCACCTACCTCCCAGGTACATACCCAAGCATGACACTCGGTATGCTTGGAGCTCATGATTGAAGTGAAGTTACACATATGCAACTTACCAATAGCCAACGTTCATATATCAAGCCTCCATGTCTGTATGCCATGTTTGATAGTATCCTATCTGCCTATCCATGTATACCTAAGTATATCCATACTAGGTACATATACACATAGTTTTTATGTACAGCTTCTATGCTTCCTCTCCATGACCTCTTATTCTGTTTCCAATTGCCGCGCTGTGCCTGAGCTATGTTCCAAATGTACCATGTAAAAACGCCACACTCCGACCATGCTACACGAATCCTCCATCTCATGTTTTATTTGTGATGGGATTTTTGTCTAAATCCTGAAAATCATCTTTAATCGTTCGTAGGTGTAGAAACTTACTGCCGCCAGGGGCAACACCTTGACATAACCAATCGATAATCCAACGAAGAAGCCGGGGATCCCACGCTCCTTGAAGATCATGCCTGCTGTCTCTCCTATTCGGAGCCGGTGACCGTCTCCGACAGCACCGCTAACCTGCATCCGCCGCCTGATCACTTCCAGCGGATAAGATACAGTTTGCGACACGACGCCCGCGATTCCTCCGGCCGTAAGCTCAGCCCACGCACGGAGCGGTGCCGGTTTGTTCGCCGGCGCATTGGAAGGTTTGGGTAGGGTAGTGCGCTCCTGAATCGATGGTAGGCGGAAGAGATCGCTGACGGTGTCGTGGGTCAAAAAGGACACACCAGCATACGGTACCATACCCAAAAGTGTCATGGAAAATCCTCTATAAAAGTTGACCAGGCCGGAGCGAGGAACTACTGAATGGGCGGTCGAGGTGGCAGCCTCAGCGATATTCTTTGTGAGGCCGGACCCCGATTTGACAGTCGCGATAGGGGTCTTTGGTAGGGGCTGCTCGAAGTAAATCTTTTTGCAGATCTCGGCAAGTGAAAAGCGCTGGTGTCTCGTCTCGAAGGCTAGTCGTACACGAATGATTTCTAGGGGATATGTGAGGAATACGGATGATACACCCGCCATTGCACCGCTCGAGAAACGTCGTATCCAAGTTTCATTTTGCCGATTTGAACCGATGATCAAGGCGCGAAACTGCTCGTATGCGACAAACTTTATGGCGGCATAAGGATAAATCTTTAGGAGAGTAGCCGAGTGCCCGCGAAATAAACCGAGTATTCCATCGTGATGGTAGATGTCACGTATGGCTATCCCAAAGCCGGCCCATGAACCCTGATATTTAGTAAATTGTGGATTGCTAGTCTGGAAGAGGATCTTGACTCGATCGAGAGGTGCGACGGTGGTTTTGGCCTGGAAGCAACATGGCGTTATTGTTAGCACTAGGGAAATATGCGCATTGTGTTCCCAAGTGGGAGGGGATACATACGACACACCCGGCAAGACCACCAGCGATACCTGAACGCATTACATAGTCTATGCTATGCTTATCTGGCTGTTTCCCCTTCGCTGCTACCGGGGTGCTATCGCCGATCGCGTTTGGGTTTGTATTGGGGTTGGTAGCGTGGGTGACGACGTTGCTAGCTTTTCGGACGATATTGTCCATCTTGCCGGCGATAGCGCTCGTGTTTTCTTCTCGTTGAGATGGAAACTCGGACATCGAGGCATGGTTGGAGATTGCCGATGGCATTCCTGCACCACCGACCTGATCTATTATTCGAGTATGAAAAACAGCAGTACCAACACCTAAGTAATACTTTTCGTCTCGTCCCGTCCCGTCCCTTCTCTCGTGTCCGATGTTAAGGTTTTCTCGTATATCGCGTTGCGGCTGCGTGGAGAGGGATAAGGAAAATGAAACGAGAATAATGGTGCCGGAGTTTAGTAGCGAAGCCAATGACAATAGCCGTGAACGTCACTTCCAAGGTTTAACTACCTAATGTTCTTAATGTTCTGATTAATACAAACTCCACACCCCTGTAATTCCCCGAGCCCGAACCGAAGATTGCCGAGTCTTAGCCCCTTCTACCCGCCCAATGCCTCATTGTCAATTAACTACAGTTTACTAGGACTAGGTGCATACCGTGTATACTGTACCACATGTACTGTACATCGTAGACAGGTAGACTCGTGATAAGTAATAACATTTTCAAGTTGTGCTACCTCAACCCCCGGTCAAGCAAGGGATCATGTCCATGTCCATCCATTGATATGGACATGTTGGTGCGACCTGGAGCACATGCATAAACTAACAACCAACTGCATTCAATGTTCTTTCCATTAAGAAATCTTCTATAAAACCCCTTTGGGGCCGTACCAATCTATTCGTTCAATTCCCCTCTTTGTTTCGTTTCGGATCTGTTGGTTCAACGACAATACGAAATAAAAGCAGGCAATGGTCGACTTCAAAGCAACCCGATGCCTATCCTGCAAAATGCAAAATGGCCTTGACTTAATGAATTCAAAACATAAGCAGACGCTCTTATTAGTTTAGGGATTCCACCAATTCCGAGGCCACACGTCAATTCTGGCATTCAATAAGCCTATACTTCATAGACAAGGAATGAGGTATCATACTCTCTTCAACCCAGAAGAGCCTCGCCGAGAACAGTACATCCAAGTTCTACTCGGATGTAAGCCTGGCCTCGGTTTGGCCTCTCTCCTGTTGCTTGAGGTCTTCAATTTCCTCTTTGGTGGCGTTGTGTTTGACATGTAGGTTGTTGAGAGGATTCTCGGGGCTTTTCTTGAACTCAGTCTTGATCTGTGCCAGTTTCTGGCTCAGACGTAACCCCTTTCCGCTACCGTCTTCATTCATCTCTTCAAGTCTCCTCTCCTTAAACGCAGTATACGCAGCCTTGACTCTCCTCTCGGCATGCCTGTCGGCCTTCGTGACCGATGAATCTGCTAGCACTACATCTAGAGCATCTAGAGCATTCTCGATACCCGTGGCTCCAAGAGACGGAAGCTTGTTATTGTTATTGGCATTGAGGTCGAGATCTGTAAGTGCACTGTCGAGGCCCCCAACCCGGTTGGTTTTCTTAACAGCGGTCTTGGATTTCTTTGGTCCAGAACGACTCGGCAAGCTGTTCCCTTCCTCAACAAGGGCGGCGTCTCTTTCGGCCTTCCTTTTAGCCAGCTCTGCTTTCTTCGCAGCCTGTGCTTCTCTGGGCGGGAGGGGCAGTTAGTATGGGACTTGTCAAGTTCGTGCTTTGGCCCATGGAATTCGATTATTCCGTCTCATGTTAACCGCCAGGGGAATCTATTCGTGAAAACGACGGCATATCAAATGAAAAGGAGGCTCACTTCTTAGCGCTACTTTTAGCACCTTTATCCCACTCAACATCTTCTACTGCTGCTTTCTTTGCATCTTCCTCGGCGACTTTTTTGGCGGCCGTCTCGGCTTTTCGAGCCTGGCCAATGGCCTTCTTGCTTCCTTCTCCCCCCTTTTTTCCCGCCATAGTTTTTAAAGCTGATTTTAAGCGAGACGGACGTATAGTATACAGGCGGTTGATGTTGACTTTGTATCGCAATCTCTTTGCACTGGGGATAAGACGAAAGAGGCGAACATAAACTCCTCCGTTATCGTTGACATCGGTGTGGTGAGAAGGCGGGGCACCCTCCATCATCGTGGCGGGGTTGTGGATAGATGTCTGGCTAATAGAAGCAGTAGGCCGTGAGCTAGCCAAGTGAGATCTCCCGAGCTATGTATTTACTCTCTATATTTTGGTGCGTTTATACTTCGATAGTTGAGAAATGCAAATTCTGATGTAATTGATCCGAGCCCACATAGCTGCGACGTCACCTTGGCTAGTTATACTCGACATTGAAATGGCTGTAAAGGTAGTAGCATAAATACACCGCAGAAGACCTATCTAAAGTGCCAATTAAGACAAGGCACATATGCAGGTAATTTTCCTACCCAGGCACATAATTATATAGGTAGCCCTGGAGATATATAGTAAGATACCTAGGTTAGTATACTTACATGTAGGCAGGCATATTCGAAACTGAGCAATTGAGACTTTCCGTAGCTCGCCCCATCAAGGCCGCAGATGGCGGTCATACAGGGGGTTCATTGGTTGCTGACGATGCAACTGTCAACCAACATGCCGCTTAAGGTACCATTTTGACAACCCGATTTTGAACAATACGTGTAAATATGGGGTTTGGCTATACTATATAGCATCCCATGGCCTTCAGTAGGTCAGCAATGTGCTGCCTCATGGCTTAGCGGTGTAGCAATGTTAGTATATTTACTGAATCGAATTTTTGAATTGATATATCAAAAGTATACGTTCTTTGTAAAGCAGCCAGATCTTGGGGAACATGAAGAAGATGAGAAAAACGAAGACGAAGACGTCGAGGAACCGGATCGAGAGCCGGCGTACCCTTACCGTGAACTCGGGAACGACGAAGTCCGACTCCTTCGTATCCTGCCCGGAACTGGCACCATCCAATGTGTTCTTCACCAAATGCCGTTGTCCGGAGTGATGTGCTTCTTCGCCTTGTCCTACGTATGGGGCGATGCTTCTCCAAAGGAGACCATCATGCTGGAGGGCCACCCTTTTAAAATCACGAGGAACCTCTACGAAGCGCTGCACCAATTCAGACAGCGGCCCAATGACATGGGCCATCCAAAAGACTACTTCTGGATCGATGCTATCTGCATCAACCAAGAAGACGTGGACGAACGATCGCGCCAGGTAGAGCGCATGATGGACATATACCACGCCGGCCTGGTCCTCGTCTGGCTGGGGCCTGTCACGGAGCCAGACGACGGCTTTATCAATAACTTCATCCGACGACACCGCCTGTCGCGATATAGCAGGTCGCGGGATGCCTCGCTCAAGGTGTTATTCGAGAAGACCAATTCGATGTGGAAGGACTGGGACCCCATCGACGAAGACGACAACGTGGTTGTGCAGGAAGCGTTCGGGGATGAATACGGCGCCGTGGTGGGAGTCACCATGTGGTTATTGAGCCACGCGTGGTTTTCCAGAGTATGGACCCTCCAGGAATCCTGCATGGATGCCGTCCCGAGGTTTTTCGTGGGACCCCATAGTGTCCATTCGTCGGACTTCTACGACATGTTCGATATTCTGGTCACCCAGGACCGCACCTTATATCTTACCCCGGGCGGCAGGAGGATGGCGTCCCTCAAAAAGTTGCGTGATGTGGACCGGGCTCTAGACTCTGGCAGCGACGACGACATGCGAACAATGGAATTGGCGGATGTCTTCTGGCAGCTATTCAAGTTCTCCGGCAGAAAGCTGTCCACAGACCCTCGAGATCAGATTTATGGGATTCTGGGTCTGCTCAACTATATCAAGAACGAGGAGTTGCCGAAGGAGCTAGCACCGAACTACCGCCTGTCTTATGAACAGATATACTGGGACTACGCTGTCTTTCTGTTCCAGTCTCTCGGGAATCTAGAGCTTCTTGACTGCACCAACAGCGAGCTCCAAAACACACCGTCTTGGGTCCCCGATTTCCGCCACATGTCTACGGCGAGGACAATACATCGCGGAGAGAACGTACGGGTATCCTCTGACAAACGGGTTTTGCATGTCCAGGGCTGCGTGCTAGGGACGTTCCGCGACTTCCTCCCCGGCTGTCCCATGGCGCAGATATGGCCGAAAGGCAAGTCGATACCGGTCGAGCTGACAAAACGGCTCCAGGAGGTCGAGGACCGCATCCTCAAACTATCCGTAAAAATCACGGGGAGCACCCTCGAAGAAGGCTTCAACGAACTGATTCGCAACGTGACGCGTATCATCCCCGACGACGTGGATGAGACATTCCACCAGGTATATCGTCGCCTGAGTCTCCCGGTCGACAGCAAGACCCCGCCCTGGCCCCTGAAAAGAAGGAGGACGATGAATATCCAGAACAAAGAAGAAGCCGTCGCCGATCAGTTCAGCAACGCGTTCCTGCTCCTCCACGACGGCTCCATCATGCGCGTGAATAGGGCCCACGTGCAGGCCAAGCCCGGCGATGTGATATGCATCTTCAAGGGATCGCTCAAGCCGACCCTAGTGAGGGCTTCGGGAGAAAGCTACACGTTCCTAGGACAGTGTGACGTGAGGGGCGGTCCGCTTAATTCGCAAAACTTTGATGACGATTTCTGGGCTGACAGAGAAATACAAGATTTCAGTTTGATATAATCTAGCTGATACTGACGGGAGAGGGCCACTACTTCACCGTGTATTTGCTTAAAAGTATGATAGGATAACAAAAAGCTACAATACATTTATACATGAATATCATGCCTATCCGCCAGCCTCATGTAACATCTGTAAAGTGAATAGGTGCTAGACACCTAGATATATTTTCAAACGGGAAACAGCAGCTTTGATTGGAGCTTGATATTCCTCTCACACCTCCTAGGTTCCTAGGCATGAGTGTAAGATATCATGAGACATTTTAGTTTGTATCAAGTCATTCCCACTATGCTTGAAAGTCACCCTTGATCAAGGAAAGGGGAAAGCCCAGCTAACAATGATAACGTCGGCGATAACTGACTTTCTAACCAACCATGCTGCCTGTTTGAATGTAAGTGATTATGAGTGTAGGATACAGTAGGTTATATCTCAATTACCTACGCGGACCTAGCAACTTACTTGGCGGTTAGAGGACGTAGATTCATAACAATCAGAGTAGAGAGATTGTCAGATAATTTCATCTTACCTTCTAGGCATGATGCTTCTCAGGGGAAGACTTAAGCTCTCCGTTTGAACCAAGTACTTACGACAACCCAACAGTGCAACTACCAAGTTAGCTTTTTCACATACCAGAAATGCACACACACCATCAAGTCAACACAAATCAAGTCCCATGAACATGCAAAACCCACGACGCCACAACGTCACGGGTGTAGTGTATTTCTCCCTCTCCCCTCCCCTTTCTTCTCTCTCAAAAAGGATAAAACCCAAATACACAACTACACGACCACACAGACGAACATCATGATGGGTGGGATGAACGAACACGATCAAACAAACACAAGCCCACCACCTTCCATCCCCCTTTTGCTCTCCCCCTCAGTTTCCTTTCAGGAGCTGGAAAAAAAAAAAAGGGCAATTCTCCTCCAAAACGCAGTACAAGACAGCACCGCCCCATAACGCCAGAAACTCCTTTCCTTCATTTCCATCTCCTCTCATCCCCTCGTTTTCCCTTTCCCTTTCCCTTTCCTTCGAGTGGGATAGAACAGAACGTGAAGTTGGGAGGAAAAGGGTTTTCATAGCACCGGAATAAAATAATAGTAGAGAAAAGGAGGAGGAGGATAGAGGCAATTCGATGCATAAGACTTCAGGAACCTCCAAGCCAGGCCCTGTAAGTTCAGGCCCGGACCTAGTTCCAAGAGATATCGTCCTCGATGCCCAAGTTTCGTAGTCCATCTTTCACCCTTCGCCCCCCTCTTTTTTTTTCAATATTGGAAAGGAGGAAGAAGGGAAAATAAGAAGACAAGATAAGATATTACGTCACTCCCGCCTCTTTGCTCTTAGATGTGTAGGCACCTAGGTATGCATGCGTACCGTAGGCAGGTAGGTATGCAGAGGTGGCACACTCTCGTGTGCTTTGCTTTGAGAGAAGGGGAGAGGTTTTCTCATACATTACTGTAACTCCATACCATTACGTTCGCAAACCCAAAAAGAGAAAATACCTCCCAACCCCAAACCCCCCAAGAAGACAACACGCCAGCGCAGAAACCCGAACAAAGGCCCTAAGCATCCTAGACCTCCTCCCTAAAGATCGATCTGCGCTCCGACGTCGGGCTGTCGCGCGTGACCCCCTTCGGCTTGCCGACGGCTCGTCCGCCGCCCACGCTCGTGTCGATGGGCCGGGGGCTGACGCCGCGCAGGCTGATGTTGCTGGGCTCGGCCTCGTCGTCGAACGGGTTGCGGTGGCTGTTGTTGTTCGTCGCGGCTCCGTTTAAGCCGAGACCGACCCCACCACTACCACCGAAGCCTAGGTCCGAGTCGCGGTTCATGGTGCGGCCTCGTCGCTCGTCGAGCCCGAGATTTATGTTGCTGTAGCCGCCGCTGTAGCCTGTGTCGTTATTTTGAGCGGGCTGGCGCTGTGGCTGTTGTCCGCGTAGCCCGAGCTCCTGCTCCTCGTAGCCATAGCCATACCCATCGGCTTCGTGGCCGACGCGCGCGTCCCAGGCCTCGTCGGGGTCGAGGGGGCCGAAGCCCCGGCGGGACGGCCGCTCGTAGGCCCCCGCTGCAGATCGGCTACCGCCCCCGCCGCTGCTGCGCAGCGCGCGCATCTTGTCGTTGAACCATCCGCGAATGCCGCCGGGCGCTGGTTGCGGAGGTCCGTACGAGGGGGGCGCGGAGCGCGCGAAGGGTATGTACGAGGTAAAGGGTGGGGCGGGAAGCTATATTCGTTGGTGCTGCTTATCAGCCATGTTCCTTAAGTGGAAAGGGTTAAGGGAATAGGATGGGGAGGGGGGGATCAGGTGATAGGAAGAAAACGGATACGGTCATGTCCGCTAAAGTGAGACAGACATGATGCGGTGATAAGGGGTAGTGTAGAAGAAAATGGGCAGGTTGCTTGCTGATTGGGGTATGGTAGGAGGGTTAGGATGAAGGCAAGGCTAAGGGACTTACACCTAAACGGCGTGCGCGCAGCTGTGTGAAGACGATCCAGCCGATAGCACCGGCGATCACCAGCACGAACAGAACGATGAAGAAAGTTCCGACGGGGCTGACCATTTTCGGTCAATATTTCGCTCCCTAATGTGTAAGTGTTCAGGTAGGGATCAAATCAATAAATTGACAATTTAGCCCCGATCGGATCGGATCTGATGTATCTGGATGTATCTGATGGAGGGGAGGGGGGGATTCACTTGGACGAGGTGGGTTCAAGGTTGTCAAGAGGAGAAAGAGAGTGGCGAAGCTCGGCTATGGATAATACTATGGTAGGTAGATAGGACGTCAGGGAACGATGGATGGATGAACAAGTTGTGGGGTTAATTTTTGGTTGATGGGACGACGCTGGCGTATGGAGATGGAGGTGGTGGTATCTCGGTCGTCTGTATGTCTTAGTTTGCGAAGTTGGAGTTGAGGCTGATGACATGACATTCTTTGCGTTCGGCCTTTTTTTTTTCTTTCCTTTTTTTTTTCTTTCCTTCTTTTTTTCTTTTTTTGGTTTCTGTTTTTTCTCAGGTTACATACACGTACGTTTAAGGGAGGTATGTAACAAGTCAGGTACAATTGTACTAATGTAAGGTATCATTATCGGCTGTTGCGGGTCTTGGGTGCCCTGGAGCTTTTTGGGTCGTTTTGGTGGGGCTAGCATGCCTTGAGTCTAGCACCACTCACCAGTGCTCCAGCCTCCAGCCAGTCCAGCGACTCCAGCCCAGCCTACCCTGCTAGCAAGGTTATTCAGGCATGCGAGTTTCCGAATTTAGGTGTTGGCCCTTGCTTCTTTTAGTGGAACCAAGTGTGCCACTAAGAACGTCCCCACCAAAGAAAAAATGACGTTGAACTTGAGCCAACGGATGTGGCTTGTGGCACACCGGGGAATTGGAATCGTTTAAGTCACTGGTCTACATCTGTAGGCTACATATGTACTAACCTAACCTTAGTTGATTGTTACAGTACATACTTCAACGTCCGTTATCGTTACCTACATGTACACAGGTGGGAATTCCATGCCGACAAAGCCGCCCCCAAAAGCATCTAACCTTACTTTTGTCTCACTCCAAGAGTTTATTCAAACCTATCAGACTTGTTGATCACGTTACTGCACCTCAAGTGCTATTTCCCAGCCTTAGTTGTGTCTTACTTCTCTGACCATTTCTGCATCAATTTGTAAAATCTGCCTTACCTCCCCGGACTATCTAACCATCTTTTACATAATTCCCTTCTGTCTTCGGGCCGTATCAAGAAGATAGACGGCTATGCCGTTGATGATGGATATTATTAGCATATTATTGCGCTATTATATTGCAGAAAGGTAGACCGAGTAAAAGTCGATCCTTCGTACATCGTTGATGTCCTTTTAAGGGGTATGCAGTTGGTGTGCTTCAAGTAAAGTACTAATGTAGGTAGGTAGGTATGCTGCTATGATCCACATCGAATCTAATAACAAAGCTAATCGGAGACCTCAGTATGATATTGAGACGTAGTGTTCTAGCATTACGTATTACTCTAGGTATTGTAGCAGGTAGTCTATTGAACAAAAACGGCCAAGAGAGGCATCATGCAAAACACTCATCCCAGTGTCCACCGTTCCTAGCAAAGCTTTGACTCTCGACGAACTTGCTCAGAGTACAACGACCCAAATCATCGGCACCACAGCCCTGCAATGGTATGACCCTATCGTTGACCAGAATCCTCACGTACTCTTCTTCCTCTCCCCTGCAGCTCAGCTTCTCCACGTATAGTCTTGCAGCAAACGGAACAGCCCAACTAGCCGAGAACCCCTTAGCCTCCTGCGGACTGGTCCTTTCTGTTCCTGATAGGGGTTCGGTCAGGTTGTACAGGCCCAGTGCGGCATAGATCATCATCATGTCGTTGTCGTGACTGAAGTCTGCATACATGATCCGATCGAGGGGGAATGTGGAATTAGAGCTATCGAGTGTTGAGTTGGTGGTGGTGTGGTCGTCGACAGGCTGCCCCGTCAGTCTAGCCAGAAGTTCATTGACAAATCCGACCCCCTGAGTCGGCCCTAGCGGACTTCCATTACCGAAACTGTACCACTTGCCCAGGGACTGGTAGTAGTCGTAGTCGCGCCATTCATCTACCGTGAATAAATTGCAGAATTTGGACAGTTTTCCTTTATCGTCGGCTACTGTATTAAAGGGGCATAGATCCATCATGTAAATGGTTTCGTCGTCGGTTAGATTAGCACCCGGTAGATTTTCATTAAGTCTCTCGGCGAGAGGTGGCAAGAATAACTTTGTCCACGTGTCCTGTTCGTTGTGGCTCTCATGTCTGCTCTCCTCAAAGGCAGGACAAAGATTGGGACTCAGGGTGTTGTTGACCCCATCTTCCTCGGGGATGATCAGGATCTCGTACGGGTAAGGGTCCGGGGAGTGGGAATGCTTGTCTACCCGTCGAGCTTGATGGAACCCCTGAGTCCAATTAACTGCCGAGGCTATGACGCGTTCCTGACCAGAGGCGCGTATGAAGGGTAAGTTGGTGCTAGCCAGATGCTGATATCGCTCATAGAATTTGACCCCAGAGTTGACCATCTGCTGCTCGCCATAGTGCGTCAGCTGATCGGCGCCAAGGGTGTACTGGTAATCCTGGAGGAATTTGAGTTCTCCTTTATAGTCTGTCACGGAATCATGTATGCGATCAATGACGGCACCATACTCTGCGGATTTGTGCTCCGTTGGATCGCGGGCTCCATGCCTGGAGAGCAGCTGAGCAAAAGTGACCTCGCAGTGCCCAGGAATGGATGCCGGAATCTTGGAAGGGACAGAATATGAGGACGAATATTGGCCCCAAGAATGAGAAACCTCCTTTCTACAGTGGCGGTCATGTTTGTAGCCAGTACATTTCTGTGTAGAGATAGATCCCCTAAACCGGATTTGTGTGGTTAGTATTAAGTGAGCTATTTATTCTCGGGGGCCAAAAACACCAAACATACACGACATACATAAAACTCGTAGAGAATGCAATGAGTATGATGGAAAGAAGGGCACATAGTGTAAGCCTGACGCCACACACGTTGTAATCGACCCATCTTGATGTGCGTTTGTGCATATGGCCGCGAGCGGTATTCCCAGGGAGGAGGGTATATTCATGGTTGCCTCTAGCCACGAAGGACATTAAATGGCGTCTCAAGTCGGTGAAGCCCATTGTGAAAGTGGGTGAATAAACCGACTTTTCTTCATCGCAGTATGGCTAAAGGGATATAAAAGATGCTTCTAAAATGTGATTTGTGCTGAAATGAAATGGTATGTAAGTTGAACTAATTGACGCCTCAAATGCGCCAAAAAAGAATTGAAAAAAAGATGAGTGTAAGAATTGATGAATGAATTAGTTAATTTAGGTAGTTAGGTATCGTAAGAAATCAGTTGTAACCCCAGGGCCATGCCCAATACCCTACCTAGTAGGGAGTGATTAAGGATAAGTGGCAGTGATTGTGGGTATTGTGGGCAATAAGCCCCCATGGGCAGTGGACAGTGGGCAGTGCATATTATGCTCGGTGGTCTTGGTGGTCTTGGAATTTGGAAATATTCAACACCTCCAGGGCTTACTTACCCCTCTCTCTTTCTACTATGCATACCTTAGGTACCTAGGTAGGTAGGTAGCAGGTAAAGGAATCAAAGAAGAATGCAGAGGAATTAAAGATAGGTAATTACAAGGTAGGATAGATAACTACCTATAGGTAGATACTTGCGTAGATGAATATGTACCTACATATATCATAATATGTATCATATATCCATCATCTATCTATATGTAACTGACGATGAAATGTTTTATGATCCAATCATATGCAAAAATAAATCCAAAAAATGAATAAATAAATCATAATAACAAAAAATCCGAGCCAGCTTCGCTTTCATTATATATTGGGTATCATCTGTAAAAATGCCACCATCAAGATTTTAGACCCCACAGAGGTCCAGCAGCACACCAGCAAACCTCCTAGTTAGACTCCCTCCCTACCTATTAGTAGGTGAGTCTATCATTACCATAGCATCATGACCAGAGCCTGCTTTAGATGCTGTTTTCGTGCCCGAATCTATATGTCCAACCCCCAAAACCCATGTCGCACTTCAACACGGCGTAAGTCCATAAACAAAGACAGCCACTAAGGACCGCAGGGTATCATAGAATGCTATAATACAAGGAGAATAAGAATTAGACCGCAACTCCAACGCTTTGCCTTTGCGGTAGCACTATCGGGTACTGTAGCCCGGATGCGATCGCCTTGGGCGGTTCGAGTCTTGTTTTTGGAGATGCGATGCTGCTTGGTGATAAGCTCGTCGGTATTGTCTGCTCTTCTTCGACCGTCCAATCCGAGTTTGTGGAGAAGCTATCAACGCTGCACCTTCGTTCCGTCTCGCCATCGTCATCAACTACCGGCTTGGGAACATTGGTAACGGATTTAAAGCCAACACCTTGTGTGTACTCTTCTCCGGGAAAGAGCCACGTAGAAACTCGTGAAAATGATTTCTTTTTGCGCAATGGTGGCCGTAAGCGCAGTGGTAATGGAGGAGGAGGGATTCGACCCTCTACCTTGCGCGATGAGTTGGCCTTGTATGACATACGAATAGGAGTCTGGGATGGTGCAGTTTGCGGGCGGTCGCCGCTGAGACGCTCGCTAAATGAGGGGGCATTTGGAGGCAAAGCCGGAATGTCCGGCATGGGCTCCATTTCTTCAAGTCTGTTAGTGTGTGCTTGAATAAAGTAAGGTTGAGCCATAATACTAACCTGGCTCTCCGTATGCAGTTGATGGCCGGCTGCTAACATAAATGCTCTGCCTCTCGATAACGTCCTCGATCTGCTCTTGCAGTCTGTCGCGTTCCACCATAGCATTCGCAACTCTTTCCACCAAATCTTCCATCATAGGGCTTGCCTGATTTGGTGATGTGTAAGCCCGGACTCTGGCTGGCTGGGGTCGTTGCGGGGTGCTGTCATCCGACCGCGGAGACTCAAAGACAGATCCACCGTTGATGGGTCTTCGGGGTATGTGGAACGACATAGATGAATAGCTGCGTGAGTGTGCAATGTGCGGGCTATCTTCATCGTGACTTGAGAGAGTGAGTGCGCGCGGTGGTGGTGTGACCGGAGGAGTGGGATAGTCAAGGTGAGGAAGGATTGGTGAAAGCTGATTATGGGACATGTATATGCTGAGTTCGATGGGGCGGAAAGAAGCTGGCCTTGGTCTCACTTGCACCGAGTTGGGATCCGGGAAACGAAAGGACTCCGAATACAGGTGGCGGAAATTGGTAGGAGCCGATATTTGCGGCCTGCGCGATGATGAACTTGGGCGGGATAATAGCTTTCTCACAGAGAAGCTGCTCTGTCCGGAACCATGCCGCTTCCTCTTTGGAGCCCGCTCCCGATCACATGTCCTTGGGCTCGACTTGGAGCCAGGCGCAGTGGGAGGTGGAACGAATGAAGGTTCTTGATAAATTATATCGAATTGTTGTCGAGGGGCTGAAGGAGTTAGAGAATGAGAGGTTTGGATTGGGCGCATCTTCCAGCGCTTACTAGGTTGATGAGGCTTCTCATCAAAGTGAGAAGCCAACGAGGAACAACACTGAGAAACAGAAGAAGACCACGATGCATAAGCTTCCGCAAGCATCCCACCTAAGTTCTTCATGGTCACTTCATGTCGCGCTGAACAGAAAGAGAAACGACCGGCGGTTGACAGAAAAACAGAATAAAAAAAATTAAGAAAGCTAAACAGATTCAAGAGATCCAAGAGATCTAAAAGTATATTGAAAGCAGCTGACCATAAGAATCATAACCACCTTTATCAAATACGTGAAAAGGGAAATTACCTTGTGCACCTACTTACCTTTTAGGCTCAAGCAACTGAGCGGGCGGTGGCCTTATTTGGGCCTCACAAGCTCACAGGTTCTCACAGGCTCACATAAAGATGGGAAAGCGTTGATGGTTTGGATGCAGAGATACGTGACGTTGATAGGCTGTAGCGTAGATAATCGTGGTCCAGTCGGCGCTTAGGAACCGGGGTGCTGGAGAGGATTCGGATGGATGGCGGGCACACACCAAGATTGCAGGACCCCACCAGTTGTATTATGGACGGGTTCTGCACAGCCAGTCTTTTGTCTTAGAATTCCTTGCTTTATGATCCATCTAGAAGGACTTAGACTTGCAATGTCCCGCTATGCCCTCTAAAACATTGCCACAGAATTCCGAAAGGGGGGTCTCGTGGGCTTCGCAGATTGGCCTTAGTGTGTAGCAGCTAGGGCCTTAAGTTGGGAACCGTGTATGAGTATTGTCTCTCGTCATCCCCGACAAGGTGACTTTGAATGGATGACGAAGAACCGCTCTGCTTCGAGCTAAGCCGTGGGTTCGTTCGTCCGACTGAAAAAAAAGGTAACCGGAATCTCCATAGCAATTCTTGCGCAAACCGGATGTCTCCACTTGGTTACAGATACGGGAGACTACATTGCGATTTTACATATGTAGGTACGTTGCAAAGAGGATAATGAGTGTCAGGCTGTCAGCAATACATATGTAGAAAAAATAGAAACAAATAAAGAAAGTCATAGGGCCGACGGATATCCGCAGATATCTGAGAGCGGAGATGTTTTTTCCGGTTTCCTTTGTATGCAATTCTTACTCAAGGTTGTGTGCGGGCGGTTGCATACCTCCATACGGACCTACAGTAGGTCCTACATAGTTGGTTGCGAGTGCGTGTGTACGTCTGTCTGTCTGTCTGTCTGTCTGTCTGTGTTGTATTTGTTGTTTGATGTTTGATGTTTGTTCGTTGTTTCGCCTAAGATTCTATTAATACCTATGTATCTGGCGTATTGAAGCATTATCGGCACAGTAAGCATTGATCGTTTTCAAAGTGAATCATCCTCTAGGTAGGTATAGGTAGAGGATGACCAAGGAGGCTGGTGAGTGTCATTTGACGCTGAATCTGACATTTATAACATTTATAAATATGAGGGATTACCCATCACAGTCGCTCCAAGATTTGAATGACACATAGTTAACTATGGTTGCAAATAGAAAGTTGTGAAGCTTTTGAAGAATCAAGACAAGACTAGTTATGCCTGATCAGAATTGTAAAGTTCAAGGTTCATACACTTCACACTTCACCTTTGTGATTTGAAATTATGAAATTTATCACAATCAACCTTGTCAATCTTTATCAACCAATCGATTAAAAATATTGAAGGTTATGCTAAGTTGGTGCCTACAACGGTATGTACGGTATGTACCCACCAATCAACTCTAGTGGTCCGTGCATTTTATACATACCTAGGTTAGTACATAATACTTACCTATCGGATAATCCATGGAGTTTTCACCGTGTGCAATGTGGAAGTGGAAGTGAAAGTGGCGCTAAAATTTCCTTAAGGCTGAGAATGACAGGTTGTTCGATTGACGGCAGGTTCCAATAAAATTTCACCTGCAAAAGGGAACAATGGCCAGATCTCCATCCATCGTACCTTCCTAATTACCGTATACCGTAAATTCTATTTTCCTTTTCTTCCTTTTCCCTTTTCCCTTTTTGCTTTTCGCTTTCTTCTTTTTCTATTTTAATCCTCGTAATTAAACATCAACACATATTGATGTACATACATCCGAAACAACACCTGAACAAAAACGAACGAAAGAGTTCGTGATGGAAGGTAGACAGAATATCCCTCCGGGAGCGATCCCAATACCAATGGGACCAAATGGCCAGATGCCATCACCTCAGCAGATTGCTGCCATGCAACAGCAACTGGCCGCCGAAGCCCAGAAACATGGCATGACTGTCCCCCAGTTTGTCGAACACATCAAGGCTCAGCGTATAGCTCAGCTCCAGCAGGCTCAAAGATTACAACAGCAGCAACAACAACAAGGAGGCGCTCCAGGTCAACAGCAAGGAGGACAACAAGGTCAACAAGGACCTCAAGGACCCCAGCCACCGCCTCAAGCGGCACCACCTCAAGCTCAACCGCAGCCCCAGCCCATTCGCCCTGGCCCTCCCAATCCCGTCGCTATCGCTCTTGCCAATTTCCTACGAGGCCAAACCTTGAAGCCGCGTACTTGTATCATCAATGGAGAACGTAAAGACATGTTTAGGGGTATGCTTCCGCCTATTAATCAAACACGAAGTCGCGTCAAACTTACATATCCGCTTTAGTCAAACGAGCTCTCCGAGCACTCGAGTCTCCTGCCTACGCAAAGGCACGCTCGAAGAACCCCGCGCTTCCTGAAATTACGGATCGCGCCTCTCTCGAGAACACCTTTAAGCTGTTGCCAATGTCCATGCTCGCCCTGCGTGTTACCAAGGTCGATCCCCACGAGGGCCACGGCCATGCCCCGAAGAAGGGAAAGCGAATTAAGGGACTTTGGACGGTTAGGATTGAACAACAACAGGATGCCCAGGATGACATGTACTATGTTTGGCTGTACGAAGGCAGCCAGATAATGCGCAAAGTCTACGGTGCTCTTGCCTTACTCCTCATCTTTATTGTTGTCCTGTACCCCTTATGGCCACTTGTTTTGCGACAGGGTGTCTACTACCTGAGTTGGGGATTCCTGATGCTTCTTGGTCTCTTCTTCCTCATGGCCATCGTCCGTGTCATCATATTCTGCATTACCTACTTTACTTTGCCGCGTGGATTTTGGCTCTATCCCAACCTCTGGGAAGATGTTTCTTTCATGGATAGTTTCAGACCTGTTTGGGCTTGGCATGAGGTTAGTCTTACTCCAATTTTGCGCCGAAAATTTACATACTAACTAGTGGCCAGACTGCAAAGCCTAAGAAGAAGAAGAAGGCTAGCAAGTCAGTTAACGTCGAGTCAGCGGCTCATCTTGCGGGTCAGACGGGCCATCCTCCTCCGGCAACTGCTACTACAACCGCGACTGAGACCCAAATCCAGACGGCTCCGCAGCAAAGGGCATATGTGGCTCCCAAGGTCGAGGAGCTGGCAGACGATGAATAAGAATGTTCCTCAGGTTTTATTTGCAGCATAGGCGTTTGAGGCTTCTTTTGATCGGAAATAGCTGTATATTAAAAACCAAACACAAAACGTGTACTGCGACTGCATCATAATTGAGCCACGATATGGTCACATCCTCTTGACAATGACATATATAATTGTGACACCTTGTTTGTATTGTTACAGGAGAATTGTACCCACGGGAACCCTAGAAATTGTTATAAGGGGATGGTGAGAGATTTCATGTTTTTGAGCAAACCGAAACAGTGACTGCTCGAAAGTACGTCGAATCTATTATTTCGACATACAATAATAACAAGTACTATACAAGTTTTACAAATGGTCGAGTTGAGGGGTATCCAATATCTATCCTATCTTACCTACTTGCCAGCCAAAACCACCCCAATCTCGAATTCAGCAGCACCTTGCTTCTGTCCTAGTTAATCTGCCCGCCCCTTAAATACTAACCATCTAGGTTAGGTAGTTTCCTCACTGCCCAGCAACCTCCACGATAGCATCCACCACCGCCCTCGTGCTCTCCTCGCTCTCCAGGAACGGGAAATGCCCCGCCTCCACCTTCACGACCCTGCACCCCGTCGCCTGCGCCATCCCCTCCTGCAGCGCCGGCGGCAGCGACGCGTCCAACGTGCACACGATGTACGTCTTCGGGACCGTCACGTCCGCCGCCACGAACTCCACCGCTGCTTCGAGGCTCGCCCGGCTCTGGTGCGCGAGGCTGCCGGAGATGCTAGTCCGTACGGATTCGGGGATCAGAGATTCGCCGTCGCTCATGGCGAGAGGGGTGAGGATGTAGAAGGGGCCCTGGTGGTGGTGTTAGTTACCTAGGTAGGGGTAGGTAGGTAGGTAGGTAGGTAGGTAGGTAGGTAGGTTAGGGAGCTCGTGCCTACCTCAGCGTGATAAATCGGCGGCGGCGTCCCGCCCAGGATGCTCATCAGGCTCGCGCCCTTCGTCGGCAGCGCGAGCGCGGTCAGGTACACGACCGCCTTGATGCCGCCCTTCAGCCCCCTAGCAGCGCGGTCCGCCACCGTCTGCCCCTCCGTCACGGCGCTCGTCGCGAGCCCGCCTTGGCTGTGGCCCACGACGACGGCTTCCCGCCCGGCGTCGAGGAAGGGGCCCAGGTAGTCGAGCACGCGCCGCGCGTCGTCGGCGTAGGTTTTGCCTGTCACGCAGTCGGCGACGCCGGTCGTGGGCATGGGGGGTGCCAGCACGGTGTACCCCTGCGCGCGCAGCGGGTCGATGAGGGTGCGGTAGTGCACGGGGGCGAAGAAGGCGCCGTGGATGAGGACGATGACGGGGGAGGGGGAGGGCATGGTGGGTGGTGCTGGTGCTGGGTAGTAGGTACCTAGGTAGTAGCTAGATAAGATGGGATTCGTGGATTGGGTTGGTTGTGCTGAATGGTGTTCTAACTGTAGTGCTGTAGGAAGTAGGAAGCGTAATGTCTAGAGTGCCTATTTATATGGACTTAGCTAACCTAGGTACCTGCCTATATGGGTTTTCAAGTCGTTTAATGAGCTATATGGGATACAGATGCTAGGTAGGTATGTTTAGATGTATTCACTCACCGATTCACCCGGTCCGGTGTGTTTCCGGTGAGCATCTGTATCTGATAGATCATAATCCTCGAAAATAAAAAGGCTCATAGCTTTTTTGGATCGTCATAATAACCTTGGAAGCGACCCCTATTCCACGAGCTAAGGTACGACAGGAAGCTAGCAGTTAGCGAGCTTAATCGACACGCCACAACTTAATAAGCTTGTTAATTATCAAGTTATTTTGAATTCTCGTCTAGCATTGAACTCTCGTAATAGGAGTTGTGGTCACGGGTCTCCTGCTCGGGACTCTTCGGGACTGGGTCTGAGTCATGTTGGAGTTCTCTCATTCGGGTACGTTGATTCCACATCAGCCTTTCCTTGCCAAGCGTAGTGCTATTCATAGGAGCTTAGCGGTAAGCGGAATGAGCCGGAAGGCATGGTGCTTTATGTATGTATGCCCGTTCGTAGGGCTGACAGGCTGCTAGATGCAGTAGTGCTCAGGGGTTCGTAACCCTGCAAACGCTTTTGAGATGTCACGGTCGTTACTAATGCCCGAATAAGGCGCTTTCTGAGTTCTCGTCTAATTATACCTAGGTAGGCAAATAGAGAGGCAGACAATAATGGAAGATATCCTAGGTAGTCATTGTGTTTCGATGATGTCTGCGTACCTAGGTAAGTATGAATACCTACCTAGGACTTAAATATTTATGAAGCTTTTATATTAATGTTTGCAAGTCGTTTCATGGAGTATTTGAAGCCCCCTTTTGGCGTTTACTAACTGTGCCTTGTCACACGTACTCTTATTGACGAAGAGTAGAGATAGCACAGTCGAGATAGGCGATTTCTCATGTCTGGTCCGACGGGCTAGGAGATATTGGCTGAAATGCTGTTCCATATTGTGAGCTACTTCGCCTTAGGTAGTAAGAAGATAGGTGGCTTAAGCAGAACCTGTTCTGCTACTCTCCTTTCCTGGTTCAATATGATATATACCCCATCTGACTCTCCATACATGAACGAGGCCTAGAACCTCGCAATTGGGCAAGGACGCCATCGGTCGTGCTTGTCCTGTATTCATGGCCTTTCAACAGTACTACGAGGGGCAAATGCAACACCGAGTCACTTATAAAGATCTTCGGCTGCGCTTGGAATACTAACCTTGCTGTGGACGTTGATATCAGGAAGACGCACTGGCTAAATCGCTTCACCTTCCAGTTTCTTGATGGGCCTTACGGCCTCGATGTGGGCATCCGGGAGATGGAAAAGTGCCAGAGTCTTGTGGGTGAGTTGAGTACTGCGACGCCGCTGCGTGAGCGATATCACATCCTTCGAGGATTCAAGTAACAGTAAACAAGAGGAGGGAAGCTAGTCACCACTAGCAACGAGCTGGAATATTGAAGTGTAAGCATGGTGGAGGATGAGCCACCAACCTACGTATGTCTCGACCCTCCTTGGCCTAAACGTGGTAGATATCACCCAGACGGAACCTCGCCTAAAGATGGAGAAAGTTCTACTAAATGCTTCCTGCCATCCCATGAGATATTTTGCCTTCAATGAGTTAATTGAAGCCTCTCAGCGTTGACAGGCTCCGCTAGGCACCTGGCACACCCCTCAGACCTCATCTGAACTCGACGAGGCGAAGACTTCCCAATGCAGCAGGAATAGAGCATATTGAATAATTATCATCAAAAGTATTGGTTGTGAACTGAAGAGGGGGTTTGATATGTGTTGAACGGAGTGGTTTGGATAAAAGGGGTTTCAGGGGCTTGGATAGGGGAGAGGCCTGACCAATTCCTCTTCTAACCATCGCCCATATCTAGCTAGATGTCTTTGAAAGCCTCCTTATATCACCGCTTCGGCGAAGTGGCTACAGCACAGTTATAGTGCTGCTCCACCATGTTGGCCCCGAAGAAGTTGGTCGAAAAAGCGCTTTTGGCAGAGAAGGACGGTATGCGTAAACCAAACTAAACTGCTCTGTATTCTCACCATTCATGTCACGCGATACCTACTCAGGCATCATTTTGAAAGATTCTGTGAACTATTTTATATCTACAGATGCCCTTATCAAATAGAGACATCGGATACCTATATCGCTGCTTCTGATATCTTTTAGCTAAGAAATACACGGTTAGGGAGTGCTTTGAGCCTCGACAGTTACACGCCGCAAATATATAAGTTCAGCTTGAATGCGCTTGACTCCTACCTACTGATATCCACCCTTCCCGCATAACATCCCGAAATCAAAATGGGCTATTCATAAGTACCCCGCTCTTTCTCAATGGAGGCACTTAGGTATACAAAAGAAGCAGGACTAAAAAATTGCTTGAACCCTCACGAAGCGCTGCGCACACTTAAGACGTCTTACTCCTAACCGACCGACTGATCGGCGCGGTCCCTTGTCGCTGCGTGTAAAGCATGTATGCGAACACAGCAGCAGCCACGGTGCCAAGGATGAAGAAATTGTCTATCGTTAGTTGTTAGCCTCCGTATCTGCCTATGCATCTCATGTATACATCGATGATGTATGTAGGTAAGTACCTATGCACTTCCCAACAAGCCGATCATGTGAAGAAGAAAAAGGGGGGGAGCAAGACTTACGAATGGCGAAACCAAGAGTCCCCTCTACGAAGTGGACGAAGGATTGGAAGACGCCGATGATGGAGTTAATCACCCATTCGAATATGCTGACGATGGCTCCGAGGAACCCTTGGATCAGTTCGATGATCGATTCGAAGAAGTGGCCGACTCCTGATGCGATACCCATGGTGGATGTTGGTGGTTCTAGTGATGTGATGATGGTTATATTATTTATATTATTTAAAAATAGTAAGTAAACAGCACTGCGACTAAAAATATACAAGGCAAGACGGAAGATATTTACGTTGAGCTTTATATCTCGAACAATTATCACCTCGCAGCAACGCCACACGGACCAAACTACGTCACGATAAAATCTAGGTACATAAGGTTAAAGGGGTCAAGTACAAACAAAGGAGCTAACTTAGGTTTGTGAGATGTAAATCGCGATCTTGAAGGAACTTGTGACGCTCTTGTGTGCCAACTTCCACGTATGTACCTAGTACTATGTAGCGAGACCATAAGTCATGACGTCAGAGCTACCGCCACACTTACTGATTCGGGAAATACATTTGCAATTGTCGCTTCTTATTGGTCCAAATTTAGGGACTAATCAATTCTTCACTCACCTTCTTCTTCATGCCAATGTACCTACATAGGTCTAGGTTACTAGGTTAGGTACTTCCTTATTATTAGGCCTATGTATTCTGAAATTTAGCCATTAACATTGATGTAGCTTGGAATATTGGTATACTCTTACGTAAGCGTTTCTAAACTTCAAGTATCCAGGGGTAAGCATATTTGATCGGTATCATCGAAAGTCACATTCTCACTACCACTCATATTCTTACTTCATCATATTTATTTATCCTAGGTAAAACACCGCCTTGTGAAAGTGTCCTATTCTAATATGATATTGAATACTTGCACCGCTGAGCATTCAACTACTGCAACTCGATTGTGCCGGGCGGCTTGCTTGTGACATTGTACGTAACCAAGCTGATGCCTTCGACTTCGTTGACGATCCTGCGAGATAGCTCGCACAGGAATTCCATGCTGAAAGGGTAGGGCTCCGCAGTCATAAAGTCGGTGGTTACCACCGCGCGGAGGATGATTATGTATCCTTCATAACGCTTGTCGCCCTGGTTTATATTAGTACGAAGCTTTGTTAGAAGTAAATTAGATGAACGTACCATAACACCCACTGCTTTGTTCGTATCGAGTCCAGCATAGGCTTGGCTGATCTTGTTATACAGACCTGCTTCCCTGATCATACTTACGTATATCTATTCTAGTCAGTATATACATACGTCCTTAGGTAGGTATAATGATTTCAACTCACGTGATCAGCTTGTCTGGCGATTCTGACTCGCTCAGGGGTAACTTCACCGATAATTCGGATCGCGATACCAGGACCCGGGAAAGGGTGTCTGTGAACAAATTAGCTATGAAACTTTGCTCACTGTATAAATAACATACCGCATGATGAGATCCTCATGTATTCCAAGTTCTCGGCCAAGCGCCCTGACCTCGTCCTTGAATAGTTCGCGCAAGGGCTCGATAAGCTTCAAGCCCTGGCCATCAATCATTCGCTGCGGCAGTCCTCCCACGTTATGATGAGTCTTACGAAGTGTTAGTGAGGCAACTAGAAGTGAAATTTCAACGTTTTATAGAACGGATCAATTGCTAGACAATTAATTCTATCCAGAGAGATAAGTCTCACCTTGATGGTTGCTGAGGGTCCCTTGAAGGATATGCTCTCAATAACGTCGGGATATAGAGTGCCCTGGAGAAACTAGAATATGAAGGTCAGTCATGTCTCCTCCATGAAGCCAAGCTGATTAGCCAACGTAAACATTATACGTACCCATTCCACTTTACCGGCGTTTGGTGTGTTCTCGGCTTCCTTCTCTATTCTGATTGCCTCCTCTTCGAAGAGATCTATGAAGAGACCACCGATAATCTTTCGCTTCTTCTCTGAATCTTCAACACCCTTCAAAGCACCAAGGAATCGCTCAGACGCATCTACTACTGTGAGGGAAATACCGAGATGCTTGGCAAGCGTCTCCTTGACTTGTTGACACTCGTTATGACGCATGACACCATTGTCAATGAGCTATTCGTTTTTATCATCAGTTCGGATCAAATTCTAACCTAGGGTATTTCGGTGCACTTACCACTGCATGGAATCGATCTCCGATGGCGTTTTTGAGTAGTTTTGCGCCAACAGTTGAGTCAACGCCACCCTACTGTGGTTAGCATTGTCTATGCAGGCTGTTGGATGATATTTCCTCCATCAAGCAAGAGGCATACGTACAGAAACCGCTCCGATCACCTGTGCAGTGGGTCCAATAAGATTTCGAATGCGAGCGATCTCTTGGTCACAGAAGTTGGACATGGACCAGTTTTGCTTAGCTGGGATAGTTAGCACGGGAAAAACGAATGGAATCTTATCATTAGAACTTGCCTCCGCAGATCTTAACAGCAAAGTTTCGCAGCAGGTCTTTGCCCTTTGGCGTATGAGTTACCTCCGGGTGGAATTGAATGCCATATATATTCTTCTCTTTGTGTGCAATTCCAGCATATGGCGAGTTGGTGGTTGTTGCGATGGTGCAAAATCCTTCAGGGAGTTGGCTTAGACGATCACCATGAGACATGTACTAACGTGATGTTAGTTGTTTTATCAAAGTTTACGCAGCTTGCAAGTAGAGGTGGAAAATATAATGTCTAGAGCACTGAAGTACTCCCACACGAGAATAATAGGGGTAAAGGGACGGCATACTACTTGCATAGCGTCTTCTAGGCCATCGAAGAGCTTATCCACATGGCCTCCATGACGCTGGGCCGTTACGTCTGCCTGACCATATTCACGCTGATCAGAGAGATTAGTGACCGTGTTTACTTGTTACTTGTGGGAAGGAAATTCTTCATGAAGATACAAACCTCAGTGCCTGCAACGACATTTTCTGGCGACAGTCTCCAGGCAAGCTCCTGTAAGCCGTAGCACACGCCGAGAACTGGGGTGTTTGGGAGCTCGAAGAATGCAGGATCAACATCTATAATAGTGTTAACTTTTACACAAGCTCACAGCTAGAGACCGAGATGTGGTGTATATGGTCCAAGCAATAGATTCAGAATGGCAAACACTCACGTGGGGCGTCCTTCTCGTAAACCGAATAAGGGCCTAAAGCTATATGTCAACACAGTCATTTTGAATAACGTAAGATTGAGGTAAATAGCCTCAACCCCAATATATGAGGGTCGTGTGACTCATTTTTGAGGGTACTCGGGGAATAGGGGTACTGACCACCGGAGAGAATGATTCCCTTTGGCTTGAAAGGAAGGTCTGCTAATTTGGTAGTACAAGGGAGAAGTTCAGCCAGAACATTAATCTAAGTTTTGATTATTTGGTCAATTGGCTTGGTTGACATATTTGTTGAAGGCTTTTTAAGGGGGTTATTTACCTCTCGTAGGCGTCTCGTAATGAGATGGGTATACTGAGAGCCAAAGTCGAGGACTAGGATTGTCTAGGGCTTAAAATTAGTGATGCGTTGCCAGCTTAGGAATATAATTTAGATAAATGAGACTAACGTCGAAGTTCTTATGAGGGGCCTCGGGCTGCTCAACGTTGGAAGCCATCTTTGCTTTGAGATTTTGAAATGAAGGTAATCTTTGAGGAAGAAAGATTCAAAAGTTGACGCCAATCGAGTATACGATATGATATGGTGGGTCCAACGAAAAAAATGTAGATGCAGTGAGGAATTAATTTTTTTGGGTTCCGAGCACGGACCATATTCTTTATTTGCCCTTATCTTCGACTGACTCACCATGTTAGTCAGCCTAGAATACGGTAATTGGGGGAATTGGGGTAGTTATTGGAGAATTTGGAGATTTGGAGCACAGTAAATACAACTTGAACTTCAAGTGTTTGATCATCTTCAACACTACAAACTTACAAACTTCATCAATTTTTTAATCAGTTGAGATTACAAAATCTTCAATATTAGGTATGTACCTATATACGTAGGCACCTAGTTTACAATATAAGAAAACTGTCAGCCCTGCCCGTGAGAGTATTTAGGGACTCAGGACGAGATCGCACCAACATTGAAGATGTTATGAAGCCCCGCTTTCAAACCCCGCGATAGACTCCAACTGTTTAACAACCTCCTAGGTACCTAGTATACACCAACACCGCAAGAGATATTGAAGACAACTATCCGACGCGTACAGCATGTTAAGTAAGAAATGAATTTTAGAAATTGGAACTCGAACAACAATCCTGAACTCGTACCAATGATAAGCTTATTACCCAGAAAACACATCACACCCGGAGAGAACTGCGAGGAAAGCAAAATTACTTTCTCGTTGTTAGTTATAGGTGATCCAATGTTTTTCATCTTCCATGTGCTCACTGTACGGACACCAATCTGGGACAGGTTTGGTAGAAGGGTCTAACGGCTGGGCGCCAGAACGCCACTGCCCTGACAAAGTTATGGGCCATTTTGCTATGGGCTACGACTTGGTCCTCTTCCCAGACTCTAGTTTGAGCGTTCGACTTGTATATATGCCACAGGTATGCGCAGTTGTCGAACGACCCAGAAGCCAGGTAGGTACCGTCTGGAGAGAAGAAGAGTCCACGAACAGTCCCGTGGTGGTAGGTACCCTAAATCACAGATCTGGCAACCCCTAAGTGAATCCCATAAAGTGACGTGGCTCGTGTCGGAACCTGCTGCAATGTAGCCCTTGATAGGGGAAAATGCTACATCATAAATCCAAATCCGTTCCATTACGAGCGTGTGCTGGGTGCTACCCATTGCGACATCCCAAATACGCACTACCGTCATCGGAACCCGATGCCATCAGTCGATTATCAGCAGAAAAGGCCACAGAACGGACATAGTCAGTATCTACCAATAATAAGTTAGTGTCTTTATATCAATTGGGAAGTATCCGTAGAGAAGGAATCGTAAGGGGTAGCGGAGGTTAGCTGAAAATACAGCTTGTACCAAGTTATAAGACAAGTCTTGGATACGTACGGCCTTCTAATCGACTAAACCCACGATGCAATGCTTTATTTCCAAGTGGGAAGAACTCGATCTGGGGAATTGCATTGCGAAGGTGTATCTTCTTCAAGATACTATTTGCTGGACAAAATAGCATAGTATTGCTAGCCGAAACATGACTCGGGGACTTTGTCGACATATGGAGAAGCATCAGGGTATTTCAAGGACCTGGAGACAGTACTTTCCATTATCTCGCGGAAGGTGTGCCAGCTTGCTTCTCAAGTAGTTGTAAAGGGAATCCAGTCCATGCAAATCTTTGATTTCATCCAAGACCTTTTCGGCGTGCCAGTTGTCTTCCGCCTTCAGAGCCTCGCAAATGAAAATTCTAAGTAATTACTGGTTGACATCTCGCAGAGACTAGCGACGATGATATTTTTGAGCTCTTCCTCGTAACCTTTAGCTGAAGCCAGAGCTCCGACCCTCTCCTTTATGAAATCCTTGACGGCTTTGGGGCAGGTCAACGAACTTAGGTTGATGGTAGCATGGAATTCGTTGCTTCCTTAAAGCATAGATTGTAAATTATCGCAGTATTTGCTGGATATAATCCATCGGACTCTCTTTGATGATTGGATTGAACATTGGATGAGCTTCAGAAGGTCGGCGATGCCTGGCCACCCCACCTCATCGGAACACTCGTGGAGATTGCCAAGGATGAAGTATGTTTCCAGCAATTTGCCATCTTTAATCATACCATGAAATATTCTACACAATGCAAAGAAGTCATTTGGGTCGTCAAAGGTTGTTCTGCCTGTTGTGTTGCGCTTGTCTCCTAAATGCGTGGCAAGACTTGGTCGGCGGTCAATAACTCTCCACATGAAGGTTCTGAGAGCGGCGGCGGCATTGTTTGACGTATAACTGGTGTAGTCAAAGAAGAATGAATGGCATTGTGGTAGTGAGTCGTTACCTACCTGACCTTGATATCTCCTGGGCAACTGCCTTCATCAGCAGGGCTTTGCCTTGTCCCGGCCATCCACTAATCCAAAGCACCTGGTTATCTTTCTTCTCCCAGTCGAAAAAAAGCTCTCCACTCATCTCTCATGCGAAGTGTTTCATACAAGCCTCGTGCTTCTTGGTAATCTTTAGTGTCGGGAGTAGTAAGTCTTAGGCGATCCACATATAGATCACCTAACATCTCGTTAATAGTCACCTGTTCAAAATCATCCGCAGCGGTTGACCTCGCCATTTCCTCCTCGATAAGTGACAGTCGCTCTAGTAAGGGAAGGTGCACCGACTCCACGGCTCTGGATAGAATCTAGGCGAACACGCTACAGCAAGGCACAAGTGGGTAGACCTGAATAAGAAATGGCTACATAATACGATATCTACATACATGTAACCGCTCTCGTATTATAAGTTGGATGTTAGACGTTCTCAATTTTCGCAAATTCGTTATCTTGAATTCAGAAAATAACCCCTAAAACCAACCAACCAACCCTAACAGTCGTCATAAAGGATGACCGCACCTAGGTATGTACCAACCAACTAACTTAATCAACGAAGGAAGAATCGCCAACCCCAGAAACCTCTTGACCCGACCAGCACTACGAGAATTATTGGCTGAATTCAATTGACACATTCCAAATCCCACACACTGGCCCTTGTTACAATCCATGACTTCAAACATGATGCCTGCTGGCCCTTCCCGCTGGGGAAACAGCAGGACAGGGAGATTTATTTTGAAGGCAATAAAATTCATTTTAACAACAAGGATACCTATTTGGTGTCCGGCTTGCAAGGAGGAGAACTTAACCTAGCAAGAGGACAGACAAAGACTTGCTCGGTGAGCTTGATCGGCCGAGTAAGTGTCAGGCTATACCACTATACTAAAGGGTGAATGATATTTTATTAATCATCCTTAGCGTACGCCAGTACATCTGACAGTCAGTTGCTGGGAATCAATATTGCGACGAGTGACAGAGTGCTCGAGGGCTTGGACCCTTCTGATGGAACCAATGGAGTGGCCTTCCCAGAACTGCAAGAGACACAACGGTCATGAAGGCCAAAAGCGTGAGATCCCATAGTTACTTGGCGGCATGTCTCACTAGGCACCTGCCAGTGGCAAGTATAGACGATACCCTAGTTAGTTATATTACTATATCATATTATTGTATCACTCTTATATACCTAGGTGCCTAGGATAGGGTATGAATATGTGTGACCATCGACTCGAATTCAATGTATTTAGACGTCTGGATGAATTAGCCATACGCGTATAAAGATGTCAGTAATGTTGAATCCTCTTGAACTCAGATCTCATATCCCAACAAATTCAACTCGTCTGCCTAACCTAATGAACGAAAGCTGATCAGGATTCAGGATACCCTACCTAGATATTACCTAACTACAGTCTACTTGACCTCCGGACCTAGGTAGGTAACTAAGGTTACAATTAAATTGTACTAGACTTGGCACGTTAAGGGTTGCTCGGGATATCGCGCGACCATCTCATGGCGCTGGGGTAGATTACCATCAATCGCCCCACATCGTGATCAACTTCAGGGGTTGTCGTCGACTAGTGATACACATGCCAAGCTTCATCTTGACCCAAATCGTGATTGATTCGTAGTCTAGTAGCAACATCAGACGACGATGCTTCCTTTCTATGCGCCGCAACATGCGAAACAGACTAGCAAGCCTTTACTAAGGCTTTCATTTCCGCTTTGGATGTCCTTGAACATGAACGCATTATTTTTGGACTCAACCTTGAAGTCCACATAGAATATTCCACCAATTCGAACATTCGTTTCGCCTTGGCCCTCGTTCCACGCGATCTGCCCTAGGTTGCTAGTGCCCGACCCGATGCAATGGTGGATCGACATGATCTCCCGCATCCTTGAACGATCCAAAAGGAGCCGCTTATTATACTGGTAAACTGGTACCTACCTGCCAGCTGGTACCTGAGTAGTAGTCTCTATGTGAATTGATATAAGGAGGCCTACTTCCGTCGTTGCACTTGATTATGCCTCTTCTATTCAGATTCATCACAGGTCTTCATCCGTTCTAGTGACTGCCTTTTTTTGCATTCGTCATTCTTTTTCAACCAAATTTCCATTCTTTCCTGACTTGAAGTCAACAACACTCATTACCGCAAGCCGGCTTAACTTAAACGAACAATTTTATATCTGTATTACCTCGTGCCTACCATTTTACCTACGCACCAGTTATCAATCTATTCAAAATGCCTTCTACATTCACCTCAACTCTTTTGGCTGCCCTCGCTGGCGCCGTTTCTGTTGCCGCCCACGGCCATGTTACCAAAGTAACCATTGACGGCAAATCGTATGATGGATTTGACCCTACTTCCGCACCCTATGGCACCCAGCCAGACAGCGTCACCTGGAGCAATGGTGCCAAGGATAACGGCTTCGTCTTGTCCTCTGCTCTGCAAGACCCCGATATAATCTGCCACTTGGACGCTACCAACGCAGCTCTGTCTGCCCCTGTTGCGGCAGGTGGCGAGGTCTCGCTTACTTGTACGTAAACATTAGGAGTCATTTCATCCCTTTTACTGGGGTTTATGGGGGATGTTCTTTTCCCCTATAGACTACCTCGTGATTTGGGGACTTTTACCCTTGAATCATACACCACCTCCAATGACCCTTTTCACGTATACTTACTAATACCATTGCTACAGGGAACCAATGGGCCGACTCCCACAAAGGACCCGTCATCGACTATCTCGCGGACTGCGGCGGCGACTGCTCCACCGTAGACAAGACCACTCTCAAATGGTTCAAGATCGCCGAGATGGGCCAGCTCACGCTAGGTTCCGGCGGTGGCTCGGTTGGCAAGTTCGCCGACGACGTCCTCATCGAGGACGGGCTTACCTGGAAGGTGACGATTCCCTCCACCCTCAAGGCCGGAAACTACGTTCTCCGCCACGAGCTCATCGCGCTCCACGAGGGCGGCACCGAGGGCAAGACCCAGATGTACCCGCAGTGCATCAACCTCCAGGTCACCGGCAGCGGCACCGCGTCTCCCCCCGCTGGCGTCGTCGGCACCGCGCTTTATAAGTCCACCGACGCCGGCATCCTCCACAACATCTACAACGACGAGGCCCTCTCCTCCCCGTCCGACTACCAGATCCCGGGCCCTGCTCTGGTCGCTCTTGGTTCTTCCGCAGGCAACAGCAACAGCAATGGTAATGCTGCTGTCTCTTCCGCTTCTTCGACGACGGCTGCTGCTGCTGCTACTACCGCTTCCTCGGCGGTGTCTCAGGCGACTGCCACTACTGCTTCCACTGTTGTTGTCGCGACGTCTTCCGCTACTGCTAAGGCTACTGCTACTGCTACTACCAAGGCTACTGCTGCGGCTACCACTAGCAAAGCTAGCGCCGTGCAGACAGCCCAGCCAGCCTCCAACTCGCCTGCCACAACAAGGCCGAAGAAGACCTGTAACGGCAGACGTCGGCGCCACGCTCGCCAGATCAAGAATGTGATGTAATTCTTGCCAGAAATGAGCAATGAACTGCACGAGTAAAGAAACTTTGTTGAAGGAGGGGGGTTAAGGGGGTTAGTTCGCTGTATATTGTACATTTTTTGATACCATGAGACATATTATGAGATGTTTGATGGTATGTATTTATTTATTCTTAGCTTTGGATCGAATTAAATTCTACGCATTTTTGAATCGACGTCCGAGTTGTGTTTAATGTGAAGTATGTCGTGATAAAGGGTGAGGTTGCAAACCGTTAGTTGATTGGGGTCTGAGATCTTGCACCCGGTAATATAAGGTACCTATCTATCTTCTAGTAGACATGTAGAGCGCCAGGCTATATGAGAAGCCAGGGGTGATCGGAACGTAAACTTCGAGGATACCTATTCTTTTCCATCACGGCATAGCGCCTTCTGGCACCGGATACGTCTATATTAAACGAGAATCGGGATCTTATTGGACGGATCCTGTTTCCATCAAATCGTGATATATTCAGGCAAACCAGTAAGGTAGGTACCCGGTAGGTACAGGCCCTATGCGAACCAATACTTCTACTCGACCTGAATCAGCTAGTACGCTCCCACTTCCGCCAGTCCTCATCACCATCTTCATCACCGTCATCCTCACCGTCGTCCCCACCATCCTCCTCCTCATCATCCGGATACCCATCCAGCCCATTCTCTTCTAAAAAGTCCTCCAACAGCCCAGCCACCTTATGATTATCCATATCCGCAAACGCGCTATGCGTGCTCCCCTTCAAGCCCCCATCCTTCGCTAAGAAGAACACCTGCGCGTTTCCTCCATACAAGTTGATGAGCCTGGCCGCCTCCCGCGTCTGCCTCAGGAGCGGGTAGCTCTCGCTGCGGTGGTCGCCCCACACGAACTGGACCGCCTTCAGCCTCGCCAGCTTCTTGAAGTCCTCGAGCGGCACGACCATGGGGCCGAAGGGCTCGCCCGCCGTGATGTTCGCGGTGTCCGGGAACACGCACCCGTACCCCTCGTACGCGACGATCGCCTTGATGTTCGTCGTGTTGCTCTTCACAACCGTCATCTGCGCGCGCAGCCCGCTGGCCGAGTTCGCCAGGTACACGATGCTGTCGCCGAGCTTTCCCGAGTCGGCCGCGACGGCGGCGGCCTCCGTCTCGAGGTGCACGTTCTTGTTCGTGTCGTACTCGACGTAGCGCGCGCTCGTCGCCAGCTGCCACGCCTCCTTGTCGTCCGTCGGGAACTGCACCCCCGGCCAGAAGTCCGGGTACGCCGGGCCGAAGTTCCACGCGACGAAGTTCATCTGGTCCTGGTAGAAGGGCGTGTAGCGCGTCGGCTCGCAGGCCCAGTTGGCGCGCCCGATGCGGGGCCCGTCCCAGAGGTAGACGGGGTACCGCCGCCGCAGGAACTTGTCCTTGAAGCCCTCGCCGCCGTCCCACCGGTTCTGCCACACCTGCGTGCTCGAGCTGTGCCACATCACGATGCTCGTCTGGCGCGGCCGCCACGGGATGAAGTACTCCATGTACCCGTGGTCGCACGAGAGGGTGCTTTTGGGCAGTGTGAAGTTGGGGAATGTAAAGTTGGGGAAGCTGGGGCTGTTGATGATCTTGCCGCCCACGGTGAAGCCGCCCGATTTGTCTAGCAGGATGGGCCGTCTCTGCGATTCGTGCTCTGAGGGCGCCCTGGCGGCTGCTAGTGGTAGAAGCGATAAAATGAAGGAAGTGATCAGCATGTTGTCTGATATGTTTGAACTTACAATTTACGGATAGGAGGTACCTACTAGGTAGATATTCTTCAAAGTGAAGTTTTCCGACAATATGATTGCGGGTTGCTCTCGTTATTTAAACGCCCTCGAACTGTAGGTTCTCGACAATTGCCGGCATTCGTAACGCATTCATGCGGGACGCAGGTTGGAGTTTGCATTCTGTCTGGATAATAGGAGTAGTACGTAAGAGAATCATATTCTTCATATTCTTTTCGTCAGATCAGATCTGCACTCATTTAGCCGCCTATATGTAATTCGTTCTCATTTTCATCATGGTATTGCATTTCGATTGTAAGACGATCTAAAGAATGATTAAATTCACGTACCTACTTAGGTACATAGGTTAGGTACTTAGACTATTAGGTAGGCTGGTATGCGATTGCCCTTGCATTATCATATATCATATTCTGCGTTTCTTGCCAAGGACTGGCTCTCCTGGTAGATTCTCTACAAGTATGCAGATTCTAGCCCAAGCGCCGGGGAAGTATCCGATAACTTTTGCTTCTTGTTCTACGTGATTCTGACGTTGCGGCTGATGCCTAGGACTTTCCGATTGGATTGTGAGATGTGAAGAGGTGTGCGTGAGTGGGGTAATAGTTTTCGATGGTACCTACTTTTGATTTAACTCCCTCTAGTACTTCTAGATATATGGCTAGTCCACTTAAAAGGGAGTACCTCTCCGAGTCGACGACAACATTCGTGAACGGCCGTTTTCACTCCCTGAAATAATGCTGCCTGGAGCCTTACACCCTCATTGAGGTTGTGCTATATACTTCGGTACATACGTATGGCACTTGAAATAGTATATATAGGCGTTTCTCTCTCTCTCTTTTATATTATTGAACTTAACTTCCTATACATCAATTTTTCAAAATCACTAGCTTACTTATCGGTTAATCATCTGGTTATATCACCACAAGGTTCGGACCAAACCAACTACATATCCAACCCCCTCTGGTATATTACACTTACCAAAATTACTAATATACACTAAAAATAAGTCTCGCAAACCTCGTCGGCACCCTTACCCATACTACAGGTTGATGCTATTCCTAACCTCGCCGTCGCTCTCACCAGGACACACTCCACCGTCGGTCTCCCACTTCTAAGCTGCTATTACCTCAATCTAATATCTCACAAATTAAGCCCTCGTGTACCTTTCCGCACTCATCACGTTCATGTGACACCATTTCCGACATCATGATGGCCTTGACAATTTATTTCATCAAATGGACTTGGAGGCGGCTGTATTGAGCACAATTCAAAAACAAGAAGATCGCATAGCCGGAGATAATCAGAATAAGGACATCCTTATCCTCCTGATCTGGGATCATGGTATCCTCATCCTGATTATCCCCGGCCATGTGATCCCCCTGCTTCCGAACTGTGCCCAACACAGCCTCCCCCAAGTCCATCTGATGAGATAAGTCGTCAAGGCCATCATAATATTGGAAATGGTGCCTCAGGAACATAATCAGTGCGAAGAAACACACGAGGGTCTAACCCGTGAGATATTAGGTTGAGGTAATAGCAGCTTAGAAGTGGGAGACCGACGGTGGCGTCTGTCCCGGTGAGAGCGACGGCGAGGTTGGGAATAGCATCAACCTGTAGTATGGGTAAGGGCGCCGACGAGGCTTGCGAGACCCACTTTTGGTGTACACCAGCAATTTTGGTAAGTGTAATACACCAGCGGGAGTCATGTATACACTACACCAAAGGGGGTCGGAGATATAGTTGGGTTGGTCCGAACCCTGAAACCCTGTATCACCAACCATGCCATCACTTACTATTCGCACTACTAAACCTACTGCTCGCCAGGCAACTGGTGTGCATTCTAATCGCCATGTCCGGGCCGACGCCACCGCGACCGTCGCTGCCAACAGAAAGCTCCCGCAAGACCTCATTGTCGCTGAAACATTTCGCAAACGATTGAACCATATGATGATCCTCACTGAAGGAGCTCTCAGACAGATGGAAGAAGTCTCCATCATGCTCGATAACATCATCAAGGAATTAAAGTCAACACAAAAGAGTAAATGATACTACGTCATGGTAAGCTTAATATGTTTCTACATTTTGAGTTCTGCAATAGGACTTTGATCCTTTCCCTCCGCGAAATTTTACATCTAACAATACATAGGCCCTGCAAAGCTTGCATTTTGGTTGCTGGCTCATGACATAAGTCACTCACAAGTCACTCTCTTCTTGTGAGTTTCTTTTTCGGAGATGCAAGGACCCGCCCGGATCCGGGCGGGGCCGAAGGCGGGTCTATGGGTTTCTCCAAATCTTCGGGAAGGAACAACAACGATCTATCGTAGTGCAACCATTGGCTAAGACGGATAATCGTGGGGAAAGAAGTGCAGATATCCAGAACCTAGGTACCTTCTACCATATGTATCTACATCAATGATGTCTGCATTGCTCATGTTACCTATACCTAGATATTAACTAGCTTGCACTTGCCTACCTAGTAGTTATCATTATGACTGATTGATTTTTATTCTTTATGATTTTACGGAGTAACTATGCAGATGCTACATAATGTGACTTTTATGCCCCGTAATTATGCAGATAACAACTTGGTATCTTGGTATTAATAGTTATCCGTACATGCATAAGCTAATCAGCACGTGATCTTATGCTCAATGTTGTCTGTACCTACATAGTTATGTACCTAACTGGTAGTTACCTACCTAGTAATTTAGACTTACACTTTCTCATGTCACGTGCTACGATAAATATCAACAACATTCCTTCTCGCCATTCTCCTTTACTCTTCTCTGAACAATTGTGCTTCTCTCATATTTCACCCAACTCACTCCAGCTGACGATGATAACCTTGTAAACCCAATTATGCCTCCCTTACCAACTAGTGAGGATATTACGGGCGAGAATAGTGCTGCTTTTGATATTATTCAACATGGACACAAGGATTTAGTTCAAGCAATCGCTTTCAATGCGTACGGCGATAGATGTGCAACAGGCAGTGTCGATGGCAAGATTCGTGTTTTCAATCGACACCAAGATGGCATTTGGCGGTTATGCGATAACTGGAAAGCCCATGCTGGCGAAATATTAGAGGTTAGTTGGAGTGCCTTTTGTGCCATCGACATATGTGGATGGCTGGCCTGGAATCGCTTCTGACAAGATACCACCAGCTTCAATGGTTCCCACCCACCATTTACCCCAACCTACTGTCTTCGCTAGGCATAGAAGGCCGCTTTAGATTGTGGGCTGAAGACCCTTCTGCCGCTCCGGGGAGACGATTTAGTGCGAGAGATGGGAATGGCAAGACAGTTTCTGAGCTAAGGTCCGCACGGTATCCTTATAGGTCTTTTTCTGTCAAGCATGACGAGGTAACCCGATGCACGTACGTCGCTCTCCTCGCTTCAGACGGTCATCTCACTGTGTACGAGGGCGAGGAGCCAGAGACTTTGACAGACTACGCCAAGTTGGATGACTTCCAGGCCTGTACTAAGCCCAGTCGTGGAGAGGAAACCTGCTTCAAAGTCCGCTTCGATCCAAATCCTGAACCATGTTATACTGCTCTGAGGGCCGGCGTGCCAACAGATGCACTTAGTCTATTAGTGTCCGGATTGACATCGGTAAAGATTTTTAGGACCCGTGACACTGTCACTAGCTCTTTTGGTGCTGCTACTAGAGGTAGGGAATTCTACTTGGCTATCGAGATAAAGGAACACAGTAACTTGATTCGAGATGTTGCTTGGGCTCCTGGAAACTATAGAGGCTACGACATGATCGCGACAGCTTGCCAAGATGGCTTTGTGAGGGTCTTCCGAATTGATACCCCTTTCTCTAAAGATGACGGCAAGACTTGGTCTCTGTCTGATATTGTAAATCATCGATCTGATGACAACCCTATCTCCCGAACTAGCAACCCTCGCCGACAATCACAAGTTCCTTCTGGCATAAGAGCCGAGATCGACAAGTCTGGGATGCATGGGGAAAGAACCTCAGCAGACCTACCAGGACAGATACACCACACCGTTAAAGTACTCTCTAAGCTTAGCACACATCGATCACCTGTTTGGAGAGTTGACTTTGACGACGATGGCCAGATATTGGGGAGCGTCGGAGACGAGGGCAAGTTGATGTGCTACCGACAATTACCTGACGGGTCCTGGGCGAAGAGCTCAGAGTTAGGCATGATGAAAGCCAGGATGGCAGCACCCCCCACCAACTCCACTTGAATTATTCCCACTGGCGCAGCCACTTGCTCGTTTTTAATACTATGATACCCGATAATGGCGAGCACAGTGAAAATGGATATTTGGCATCAGCGTGGACGGTACTGTTCATTCGCCTTCGACCTCCTGGGTACTAAACCAATGTATAATAGTACTAGGTACCGCATAGCATTTGTACCTGCTGCTTGTACTGCAGTCTCAAATTACCATAGACATCGCTAGAATTCTTTTTTTTAATTGACAAAATGGATTGTACTTTTTAGAGCTGTAGCCCCAATCCTCAAGATACAACCGCAAGATACCTACTAGGTACCTAGATATTGCAAATGTTCATGACAACTTGTCTTGTTAATGATTAAGAGTCATGCTAGGTATAAACTGATTTCTAGATTGTTTTCACAGATTGTTTTGCAGATTGTTTTCTAACAGGTGGTACCTGGGTATACTTAAACCCTCTTACAATTAATTCATCTAACATTTCCTCCTCCTCATCGCTACCCTTTACCTTATATAAATTCCAATATAAAAGGCAAGCTTATTATTGAAACTTATACTGGATTAATACGTTACTAGGTAGCGTTTAATGATATTAATTACCCTTAGGATTTGCCTTATCACCAAGCTCCTTACTTACTTAATTGGTAGTTACATGCAATTCTTGTATTGAAATTGTCCGGCATGAAGTTATCATGCTATGGAGAATTTGTTTAGCAGATTATTACCTACGCAACTACCCCCCAAGCTGTTTAGGTACAAAAGGAAGGAAGGTCGTATCATAAATCCAGCCATCACACCTCGGCAAGTCCGTAGTTGCCCTGCTTAGTTCCCCTTTTCAGCCGGACCAAGGTATGCACTCACTTGAAGCTTGAGCACTTTCAAGATCAATATTCGAGTATATGGCGTCCAAGAGCCCCAAGTGTTCATATTCCTATAATACTTCTAGAGGTTCCTTCCGTTTAACAGTCGAATTCATAAAGTGTTGCAGGTGCCTGAGGCACCATAGGCTCCACTAGGGCCATATAGTCATATATTGGCACTCCGCCAGAGTAGTCAGGAATAAACCAAGCTTCCTTCCTTCCATCTTCCTTCTTCTTAGATAAAGATTATCTTATTATGTAGCAAACTCAGGTTTACCTTACCAAGTTCCTACCTTCGTATCATTTCATATTTTATCTTCGCAGTCTCAGCCTTGCATCATTTCGTCCCGTACACACCACATATTTACCTCGCAATCCCACAGTGTACATTGAGCATATTAATTACATAACAGCTCACTCGAAAGAGATAATATCGTACTGGTGAAAGTCAACCTTGGCCTTGGCTAGGTCGGCAGCTCGGCCCACCAAATTTATCGACAAACACCATATTTTCAGACATGTACCAGTTACAATCCTAGAAGAGGATACTCAAATAGTGTAAGCAATAGGCGTCTGAGGCAATTAAGCTAGCCCCACTAGATTAATGCCTGCAATCACTACATAAACCCACAGAAGTAGATTTCCCATAGATGAATCCTAACTCAACCTTCTCCATAATTTATAACTGGCTACATGGTAGCACCTCGACACTCATTTTGCACTTTAATTAACTGCGACAACTACTACCTGAATGACTTCTCTTGAAGACAAATAGAGAACAGTAATCGCCAACTTGCAAAATCAGATTGACAATTTGAAAGGCTAGTTACATCGGTTCACGGAGGACCAAATACGTAATCACCTCACTGCCGACCGCATCGCCAAATCACTCGACGAAGCCATCAGGATAGAAAAGCTAAAGGAAGAGCTCGATAAGATTCGAACGGACCATGATAAACAAATCGAAGCATTGAAGTCTATCATAGCCCGCAACCTTGCCGACGCTGAAGAACAACGCAAGGCTAACGACAGCCAAATCGAGAAATTGATGAAAATGGTCACCCTTCAAATGGCTACTTCCCAACGGCAACCCGCCTCATCAAGCGGAAACACTCCGGATCAACCTGAAGGAGGGAACGATTCCCTCCATAATAAGGAATCCGTCGGCAACGATGGACCTCTCAATGATGACCGTCACAATTCTCATAGTGAGAACGGCAAGTCCAAACGAAAACTGTTCAGCAGTAAAAACCCGGAATCCAAAGATAATTTGCTTGGGCCATTTGAGAGCTCAAAGTCCAAGGACGATCAAAAGACTCTGCCAGAACACACTGTACTCCCGACCCACCAAATCCATTGCCTCAGGCGCCTATTGCTTACACGCCCTCTCGCCTTTGCGATGGCTTCATCCGTAAAACTCCAAATTCAATAGCTTGACGAACTCAGCATGGTCCGGTCCTCCAAGTGCCTTTGTAAAACCGTCTGCCGGGTTCTCCTTTGACTTCACGTATTTCATCTTGATGTGGCCTGCAGCCACCTCCTGTCTAACGTAGTGAAAATCCTTGCGTATGTGTCTTTTCTGCTTATTCACAAATAGTTATTTATACCGAAACGCTTTTAGCATCGGCTTTCCACAATTGGTTGCCGACATTATGGCCTGTAGCGAATTCCCCGGCGCGTATGGAACCTACAAGGCCAATACTAACATATTCGTTACATGGCTTAACCAAGCAGCCGAAGACTGTGGCTGGAAACCCAGTGCGCGAGGAGCCGAAATAGCAGAGGAGTCTAGAAGAGCCAATTCCCAGAGTCAAATCGGCCACCACCCCTCCCCAGGTGATTGCTACACCGTGAGAACGAGAGACATCCTGAATCAAATAGACCTGGTCGCAGAGTCGAAGAGAGATGTTAAAGTCATGCCGGTGAACGTATGTGATGCCCTAAAAACTTCAATCGAACTTCGGGAGCGATTTGTTGCCTGGTATGAAAGATCAGACCCCAAGTCTGAAGAATCAACGAGCCGGCATCGTTACTTCGTACAAGTACTTCGAAGAGCTATCAACAGGCTATCAGCCTTAGGCGAGGATACCGAGCAGGAAGCTGGCCAATCGAACACGGACATCACTGCGATTAACGAGGAGGACTTCAAGATTTCAAGGTACGAGAATTTCTGGTGTCATTCTACACCCATCTTTGTAGTTCTCAAGGCTAACTTTGCACCCATGCTTAGCAACATCTACGACGCGCTTCAGCTAGAAGACGTTACGGAAGGCGACACACCAGGCGAGGTGTCTTCGAAGTCAGCCCCACAGATTTTCCAAGCCGATCGTCACTCTCAGCTACAGAACGACTGCCGCATGGAGATGGCATTCATCGTCTTCTCCTTCTTTGAGGACCTCGCGAGGCTAAGGACCAAGCTGATGGACATATGGAGTCGGGTTCGCCGAGGCGAGCTTCACTTAGTCCAGGCCACAGTTCAGACAGCCATGTGCTTAGAGTTCGCCCGCCAGGGAGAGCGTAAGGCCTACGAGGCCTACACCTCGGTCAACCCAGCCACCGAGCATACCTACAGAGATCTCTGTACTGTGATCTCTGCGAAATTCAGCCCTGACCAAGACGAAGAAGAGCCTAATACTCAAGCTTCGTCGAGTACCTCAGAAAAGTCGCCGATTACCAGCGAGTTTATCTTTCGACAAACCGGGGTCGTACTAAGTCGGCTAGGCAAAATGCTGGAAAAGGGCACTGTGGCCGTGGAGGCGTGTTGTCCTGATTGGGAAACGTTCTCCACCGACTCTAGCGTGGAGGAATCCGAAAAGAAGGACACGTTCATTATTCACATGTTCTTGGACATGTTGACTGAGAGGCGGATACGGAATACGCTGTCGTGTGTGGTAGATTACTCCCGATACTCTCTGCGAGGGATGGTGTTACCGTACGAGGAGCCACTTCTAGCTACACTACACCCGGTTTGGACGGAAGGCAATATCACCACGACAATGGTTTTCGCTTTCCAGATTATGTGGGATATTCACACTATCTGTGGCAAAGGGTTATCAACTATTGATATACTAAACTCCGCCGCACAGAAGTACGAAGACAGCTTCAAGTTCTCCAATGTCGCTACCGGCCGGCTTACTCTAGAGGGCTTCAATTCAGTGGGGAAGCCCGGTCTCGTTCTAAAGCTCCTCAGGTGTGTCCGATACCACCTACGGAACTACTATTTCCCACATATTAAAAGCTTCATGTATCTGAATTCTATCGGTGTACCGGATGAAGTAGTATGTGAAGTGGTGAATCTACCTGTCAAGGCTCTTTGTTCTCCCAACCCCTTACCCCCTATCAAACAGCCACCTCCACATCCAAAACCGGACACAGACACCGAAGGGTTAAGTGGAGATACAAAAGGAGATGGTCATACCCCAATGAGCATTGGTGATGCCTTCCTAGTGAAGTTTAACCCCCTACACACAGGAACACTTCTCATGGACGCAGCGTCAATGGCAGAAGAAGTCGGTATCACCTTGGCAAACTGCGAACCAACTATTTTCATGGTTGCGCATATCTACAATGCCTTGAGGAAACTTGAAGTATGCCAGAAAGAGTGGCCAGAAATGGAGCGAATTATAAACCTCCAAAACGGACCAATCTTCGCCAACAATATTCCCACGACCCCCAAGGATATGTGGGCGCGGTTTAAATACCGAATGGGTATGTCAGACAATCCCAAGAACCGACTACGGATCAAGGATATGACCTGGCGCTTTACCGCTCATCGAGCCACCCAACCGTTCCTCCAGTTCTTCACGGGCAAGGAAACCTTGCCGGGGCTCTTGGCCACTCTAGCAGCCCAAGCAGAAGAGGCGATACCCAACGAGAAGATTTCCCGCGGATCGCCTCAAGGGAAGGGCAAGAGACACGGCCCGAAGCGGCATACACCAGAGAATACTCTGTCGAAGCTTGAGGAATACACGGGAGCGGTCTTCGCAGCCATCAAGACCGACTACGTCGGTATGACCAGGAAGTGCACTCGACTCTTGCGACGGATCAACGCCACGCTGTTGGCGGAGCTGAAGAATCCCTACTTGGGTGTGACCTCCGTGAGCGATGAGATCGAGGAGCTGTTTCCCGTCGTCCTAGTGATGCTGAAAGAAGCCAGGATCCATGAGGACGTCGCTGTTGCCCGGAACAAGGGCAAGAACGAGCCCGTCGACATACCCAGTGTGATGAAGGGCGCCGAAAGATTGAACATTGCAAAACGTTGTTTCGAGGAGGAGATTTTTGCGAATCTTTGATCAGCTAAAGCTACTTGGATAGGAGAGAGGATATGGTGTCAGGATCAGGAGATCTAGACATGGGGGGGGCTTGGCTAAGCTGTGTGTTTTACGGGAAGAACGATGTGATGCTATTTACGAAACGGAATTTGCGCTATGTGCCTGTGCTGCATCTATTGGATGAGTTTTCAGACTCGTTCAACTGAGATATCGAGGAGGATTTGGGTACCCCTAGTACTTTGGGTGTGCAGGTAGATAGCACCTAATACGAATCGAAGCTATTCACACCGATAATAATTCGAAACTAAGGACATTTCGTAGCCGAAGATATTGATGCCTCAACTAATTAAGGACATTGTTTTACATTGAGAATTTATTTACAAGCCCTTCCTGTTGTAATCAACATCGATTTACCTGTTGAAATCCCATAAGATAGGGGTTCCCCTATTACCCCACTACCCCTTTTTTTCTACGGTGACTAGTCAATGCCTGGGTAGGTAGGTATTCCGATCAAGGCGCCAGCGCAGGTACATAGGTTTTATTGCGACAGTTTTATCTAAAATTCCCAAATAGTCCTATCCTGCAGGTGCCAAAAGCATGCTCGGCATATTCGTGACCATCAAATCCCCCAATTGACTGACCAGAGTCACACACCATGCTCAACGCATAACCAATCCCGGCATGCTGCCCATGTCGTAAGCATCCCTTTCTCTGCACCCCTTCTCGCTGACTCCGCCCTCGTGAGACATCATCGTCCCATTACTGCTAGAGCTACCGAGTGACTTTGGCGTAGTGACCTCCGTACTTTGCGTCTCCTTGGCCCGACTCCCATTATCTGTTGCCTCGCTCCTTGCCGAGGACGAGCTAAAGTACTTGCTCATCACACTCTTGCCCCAGCGGCCGCTAGACGCCCAGGGCAGGTCCCAGATCAATGGGCGCAGGACGGGAATCGATGCTGCGACTATGGTGGTGGCGACTTCGGCTATGCTGCGGGTGACCAGCTCGACGCCGACGACTGTAACTCAGCGTTAGTACATGGTCTAGGTAACTATTTTTTGTTCACGCGATGCTCTGTCCTATTATTTTATTTATGGGATAGTACAAAGTGCCGTAGGTGTATGGAAGAAGGAAATACTCACAGTTGAAGTCGCCCTTGTTCAGGACCATCAATTCAGCCCCTTTAACCATGGCTGTAGCACAAGCACTATGATTTTCCATTGTAAGTATACAGAAGTTATCGAGATCGTAGGCAGTAGGTCGGTACTCACAATAAGCCCATGCTCATCGCGACAGCGATGCCTAATTTGTCGCTGCGCTTGATCTTCAGTTTGAGTAGGATTATCCACGCCAGAATAACGAGGACCAGATCCATGAAGCCCGAGTAGACTGAAGTAAATAGTTAGATATCGCCTAGGATAAAGGAAAGTGGGGACTTGCCAGTGCAGAATATACCCACCGGCAGCATCACCGACGATGGCCAGCAATCTCCCTTCACCATCGGATCCCACAGCTTCCGCGTCGGGCGGCACGTCAACCAAGTCGCCGTGATGCCCGCATGCATTAGTACATTCATCGAGATCATAAGGACCCAAATAGCCACCCGGAGCTTTCCCGTCGCGATCCGAAGAAGCGAGACCGCGAAGGACGTCTTGCTCCACGCGGAGCCGAGGGCGAGCAGAAAGCCGATGATGACATTTCGGAGGCCGATGCCGTAAAGCTCGGCAGGGTTGACGTCGACGTCGTGCTTTCCGAGTCCCGCGGCGATGTTTACGCTGATGAGGATGCAAGACGTGACGAGAAGGATCTGTATCACAGTGCCATTTGTAAGTTTTCGTGGGGAGGGAGAGAGGGATTGCGCGGGTTTATTCTGGGTTCGATTTGAACTTACCCACGCTGCTGCGAGGAACCAGTCATCGCACCAAAGCGCACTGCGCTTTCTGTATTTGCACGTAACGCGGAGGCCGAGGAAGAGGGTCGCGAGGGTGGCCCAGACCCAGATGACGATGTTGGTTTGCCGACCGTTGGGATTCGAGGTATCTCGTTTAGCGAGCCACTGTGCAGATGGCACGTCCATGGTTGTTGATAGAATGGCAAGTCCAGACTGAAGAGTAGATATGGACAAGAGAACAAATATAGACTAGAGAAAAGAAAAAGGTAGGTGCGCATGTGTTTATATCGATGGCAACGATAATATTTGAGTTGATGGATTAAAGGATTGATGTCGCGGCAGTATCTTTATGGAGTGAGAGGGTGGGTTAAGGTCAACTTCCAGATTTAAGTCTGCAGCAAGTTGCAGGAAGCTGATTAGAAGCCAACAATGGTCCGAATCTAGATCAGTGATTGATTTAACATAAACCATTTGCCTAAAGAGTCGGGCGTTGCTAGGGAATACACCGAAGTTGAAAGCCCTTCACCAACACGGTGTAGGTATTTAGTTCGAGCGGCGAAGATATCCATACTTTCCATTCATACCACCCACCCATTTTAAGTACTTAGTAACTTAGCTAATTAACAGATGACATCCCCGGGTATGACATCTGGCTCCGTGTAGCCAACAGTCCCAATGGTAGTCGAAATCACCATTCATGAAAACATGAGTGACGAATTCCAACTCCCGCAAATCCCTCGCAGGGACGGAAAGGGGAGAGGGAGGTTACCAGGTCCGCCCATGTTGGGACATAAGTTGGCCAGGGAAAGAGATCCATGATATATACCTACACACATGTTGTATGCTGCAGTAGCTGTATAAACTGACGCATTACACATAACTACCTACCTACGTATCTACGCAAACAAGTAGGCAGAGGAAGCACGGACATCGAACATCTTGACCACCACGCCGGGAGAAAAGGGCTAAGCCCACATCCGAGATTGAAACGCCCGACCAGATAGAGCCAGAGGATTGGAAAATATCATGTTGGCGGCATTGCTAGTGTTACCGCGAAGCGATGAGCCCCTTACAGACAAGTTGGGACCTACGCACCTAGTAGGCTAGTCTACCACGGGAGACCCCAGGTTTGGGTCTTTCCTCACCAGTCACCAGTCAGGTTTGTTCGGTCTGGCAAGGCATGATCTGTGTGACCTACGCTGTCGTCCGATAGATGCCCCTTCGGAGCCGATTTGTAGATGTTGGCTTGAGCGCCGAGGTCCATAGTTTTATCTACCTAGGTAAGTAATTTCAATGTTGAAGCCAAGGTTGACTTTCCGAGTAGAAATAATAAGGCAAACGGTGATGTTCTATAACACCAACACTTTTCGTATCGTGAGCTTTTTGACTGTATGGGAATAGCTACAATATCGACTTGAATATCTTATACAAGCCATTGAAGTTATATTCGGTACCCGGTACCGTTACAATTAGTAGCTCTAGGTACATGCATGGTACATTCAGGGGTTACATTAAGCGCTGTAATCCACGTGGAGCCCCTGACGTAAAGCCCTTTAGTGGGTACCTACCCTGTAGTGCTCCACTGCTGGGGGTACATAATATCGTAGCATGCTGCATCCCATGTCTTCGCTTTTCTTCTTCATTATTCTAGAATACCTCCACCGAATATCTTCGATGAAACCCACCACGTTGGTAGAAAAACTGCTTCCCATGGAGAAGCTAACACTTCAAGAGGGTCGTGAATTTAGACCTCCTGAGTTAGAAAGGAAGCAGTTATAGAAATTGTAGCACAATACAATAAGCTGCATCTACATGTCTCTAGTCCAGCACGTCACTGCAAATGAAGGCATCGACCGCGTGCCTCCTGAACGCGAGGAAAATAACCCAGACGACAACTTATGGCGGACCATAAGCTACGATGCTTTCCGGCCCGGCGAACATGCCCCCCTTATCAATTCTCATGAAGCCACCGTTAGTACCGCAGCTTACAAGGTCTCGGCCATTAAGAGAATTGGTAAGATCCACGACGTATCACATAAACCCCCATTGTAGTGCCTATCTCACGCCCTTCGGAACATGTAGCTAACTAGTCTCTAGCTCAGGTCGGGTTCGCCATCGTCGCGTGCTGGTTCGCGGCAGGGATCGTGTATGGCTTCGCATCGCTAAAGCCCGTGCTAATCGAGGAAGGCGTGTATCACGATCTGTGCCCTCCCACAGATGATACCCCCACAAATAACAGTAGTGACAAGCTTCCCTGCGCCGCCCAAGACATGCGTCTAAATCTCTTCTTCATCGCCGCCTCCATCACCACCAACGCCTCGTCGCTAGCCGCCGGCTGGGCCCTCGACCGCTTCGGGCGGCGCCTCTGCTACACCATCTCGGGATTTTTCATGATCACTGGGTGTCTGCTCATGGGTCTCGCCTTCCAGATCCCCGAGTTCGACGGCTACCTAGTCGCCAACATCCTGCTCAGCCTCGGCGGAACCTTCGTGTTCGTGCCTAGCTTTCAGCTCGCCAACGCCTTCCCCAAGCACTCCGGCATCATCGTGGCCCTCGTCACCGGCGCCTTCGACGGCTCCGCGGCTATCTTCCTGCTCTACCGGCTTGCGTGGGAGGCGTCGGGCCGCACCTTCACTCCTGCCCGCTTCTTCTTCGGATACACTATCGTCGGCGTGCTGCTGCTGGTCGGGGAGTACACTCTAATGCCGCCACGCGGGTACCACTCCACGCCCGAGCTAGAGCGAAAATTGGAGAAGGCACAAGACGTCACACGCGATGCGCACGACTCAGACTCGGAGCAAACGAATCCCCAAGATCTAGTACAGATCCGCAACGAGCGAGCATCACGGCGCCTCGCAAAGCTAGAGCAGATCGAGGACGTGGCAGGCGACTCAGCGCAGCGCTCCGACCGCGCGCAAGCCCTGGAGGACCGACAAGCGACAAGCGGCGTCTGGGGCGTGCTTCACGGGTTACCAGCACACCAGCAGATGGCGACGCCGTGGTTCCTGCTGATCCTTCTACTCACAGTGCTCCAAATGCTGCGGATGAACTACTTCATCGCCACCATCCGCGCGCAGTACCTCTACCTCCTGCAGTCCGAGCGTCTCGCCGCAGCCATAAACCACTTCTTCGACGCCGCGCTACCCGTCGGCGGCGTCCTCGCAACGCCCTTCATCGGCCTCCTCCTCAACCACCTCAGCGTCGCTCGCGCCTCCGGGATCCTAACCCTCTTCATCGTCGCGATCGGCGTGCTGAACTGCGTGCCCACGCTATGGGCGGGCTACGCCACGGTGGTCGCGTTCGTGCTGTTCAGGCCGCTGTACTACAGCGCGATCAGCGACTTCGCGACCAAGATCTTCGGGTTCACGACGTTCGGCCGCATCTACGGCGCCGTGATCGCGGTCTCGGGCGTCGTCAACTTCGCGCAGTCTGCGCTCGACGCGCTGACGCATGGGCCGCTGCACGGGGATCCGACGCCTATAAACGCCGTCATGGCTGTAGCCGGCGCTGTTCTAGGGGTCGCGCTGACGGCGTATGTTGTTGTTCAGGGAAGGAATTTCCGCGTCAAGATCCAAAGGGCGGAGGGTTCCGCTGGTGGGAACCAGGAACGGCTTGGTTTGATACGAGAGGAGAGGGAGGCGGAGACGGGATACGGGACAGTTTGATGGACCAACAATGTCTACCGTAGGTACTATAAGGATGATTGTTGTCATCAAACCCTAAACCCCCTATATGTATGAGAAAACTATATCTAGGTACCTAGAAGAACCACAATCTACTAGAGACAAATAGATGAAGAATACCTACAACTTGAGACCAAGATCACGGAGCCTTTTTGTTCCCGGGGAACTACTTTATAAGTCATGGTAGTAGTAAAATAGTATACTAACCTAGGTTCCTACCTAAATACCCTTTAACCTTTTCTCCTCTGCCAACATTATCTACTACCCCTTTACTCTACACACCTGACTAGCATACCATCGCTAAGCCAGCGCCATAGAGAAAGAAAAATATCTAGTTATACCTATTCTCACACCAGATATATAGCACCTGCATATACATCCATTATAACCTAAATAAATCCTGTGCGTCTAGCCATACGCAATCCTACCGATCCAAGACCCCTATCCAGTTACTCACCCCACTACATATACCAAGGTACCAAACATCCATTTGTTCAAAAACAAATGGGAGAACCTCGACCCGAGCCCCTCACAGCCTAAGCGGATACCTCTCCCTCAGCCTCGCGCCAAACTTATAGATAAAGATTGGGACCGGGATCATCGCGACGCCAATAAACCCGAGCACCGAGTTCCCCCACGCCGTGCCCAGCGTCTTGAACAGCACCGGACCACAGAGCGGCAAGAAAGCTGCAATGATACTGCGCAGGACCGTGAAAGCGGCAATGCCAGAGGCGGCGTAGGAGGGATACGCGTCGATTATGTAGGCCTGGGTAGGCATGAAGACGCCGATGACGCCGAAGCCGAGGGGGAAGAGGCCCACAATGGGCACGATCCAGTGGGTGCGCATGTGGGCGGCCCAGCCGTACCAGAAGAAGGCGAGGGGGCAAAGGAAGGAGTACCAGATCATGATGGTGAGGCGGAACTCGGGGCGGAACGCGCCGCCGTGGGCCTTGGTCAGGCGCACGACGGTGCGGTCCGAGAGCATCGAGAACACCCACAGGCCGGCCATGTAGCCGACGCCGATGGAGATGAAGACGAGCCCGCTCATGCCGGTGCCCCAGCCGTAGATGGTCTCGAAGGTCGGCGGGATCGAGTTGTACATCAGGTAGACGGAGCCGTAGATGAAGGACACGTACAGCGACTGGATGAAGATCATGGGCGCGAAGAGGAGCATCTTCAGCGGCCGCAGCATGCCAATCCGGAGGATGGTGAGCTGCGAGACCTTGCGGGATTGTTGCGCCTCGTAGCATGACCTGAGGTCAGTCCGCTTCAGCTCCTTCGCTAGGCTTTTGGTCTTGCGCTGAATGAGGACCTGATGATTCGTCTCGGGGAGGAAGATGGCCAAAATAATGGTGATCAGGGCAGATGGCATCAGCACGACCCAGAAAGCCCACCGCCAGCCGATAGAACCGGCGATAAAAGCCCCTATAAGAGGGCCAACCGTGGGTCCGATGAGAGGCCCTAGTGCCCAGATCGAAAGAGCCACGCCACGCTTCTCTATCGGGAACAAGTCACCGATGATGGCGCCTCCCAGAGTCATACATCCGCTACCTCCTACCCCGGCAGCGAATCGAAACGCGATGAGGAATCCGAGGCTCGGCGATAGGGCGCAGCCAATGTGCCACAGGCAGAAGAACACATTGGAAGAAGTGAGGACCCCAGCGCGGCCAAATATCTCGGAAAGGGGAGCCAGAAATAGCGGTCCCGTGGCATAACCGAGGAGGTAAATGCTGACTGGGAACGGACCGACGGTGGGATTCGTGTTGTGAAAGTCCTTGTTGATGTACCCGATCGCGGGTGCCAAAACGGACGAGGAGAATGGGGACATGAAAGTGATGGCGGCTAAGGACCAGACGATCACCCACTTGCGCGCCTGTGAGAAATTCAGTGGCATCTTCGGGTCATCGTGGCTTTCCCACCCGACTATAGAATCGCCGAGGTTCGAGAGCGGGAGAGTCTTAGTCGAAACCCCATCTTCCTCTTCTTTCTCAGATGACGGACTCTCGTCATTGGTGGCCTGTGTGCCTTGGCTTGTGGTTTCCCTTGCTAAGCCGCTGGTAGAGCGGACCTGCTGGATCTGCTCTCGGTCCAGGACGAGCTTCCCCGTCGTGTAAACCGATCGTATCTGGTCTCGATCCAAGATGAACGAGAAACGGATTGCGTCCAGCGATGGACGCACTGAAGTTTTTAGTGGTGTTATATCGAGCAATGGCGTATCGCCATTCCCATCTTCTTGTTTCGTGGTATGGCTACTGCCGTCGGTGCCATTTCCAGACCTTTCAAGGTCCCCTTGTGTCTCTTCCAGCTTCGACGTACTGCCACTGCCGTTCTCTACTTCATTCGCAGGCTTCTGCAGATTACCTAGCCTTTCCTCAGGTTTAGAGGCCTTCTCGTCTGCTTTAGGGGGGTCAACTTTCTCGCCGGCGCTTTTGTTTTGTTCTTCTGAAGGTGGTAGACAACCGTTCTTATTCTCTGTTTCAGCGCCTGTATTTTCCGCCATGGCAACGATCCTCAGCCTGGTATTATTAATAGCTATGAGGATGGGAACCGAGACCAGCCAATTCAACCAGAACATCACTTATTGAGGTGTAGGTGTGAATTCCTACTTAAAGATTGGATTCGTTCTTGGTTGAAACAATGGCATGAAGGATCGAGATTTAGAGCATGTGAACAGACTCGGTGACATAACTAGGTAACCTTCTTCAGCATCTGGTATATGTGAAAAGCTTTTCGGAACCCCCAAGCTCTTGTCCTGGAGAGGGGACGGAGGTGTAGGCGGAAAGCATCTCCGACATCCATTCCACAAGAGCCCCAGGATTCGTCAGTCCATTGGGAGTATAGTACTGTGTACACGAAGAGGTGCTCACTTGCTTTCGCCGATCGAGGCAATGTTGTCGAGTTTAAGGGGTTAATGCAGCACTCGGAGGTTTCATGCATTAGATTAAAGTTCGCAAATGTAGACCCAAGATCTTGCAAACTTGGGTACTTTAGGTGCGTACCCCTTTTCAGCTCGGCAGAAGTTGGTTGGCAGCAGTGGAACCGATATTATAAGGCATCTTGAATGAGGTTTTTCTCAGTATAATAAGGTCAATCGAAAATTACATGATAAAAGTTGTATAAGATGATTAGCTCGAGGAGTTACTACGAGATAAGTATGATAATATGTTAGGTGTAAGCAAGATGATCAAAAAGATGAGGACGGTCAAACTTATCTAGTAGGTTTCATCGTGCATTGGGAAAGTAGTTAGATCGCTGGAACGTTTTGGATTCGTCCGCTTAACTTTACCGGATTGTCGGATACGTCAAAGGTAGATGTGAAAAAGCGTAGCTGTCGTCACAACACCTGGCACTTACAGATGGCGTAGACTAAGCCCGTCTAAAAGCACCACAAAATCGGGAAGATATCTCGAACCCCTATCTTCGGGAATAGGGTTAGGGTAGTAAGTTGACCCAAATTCACACCACCACTTATTAAAGCTCCTGAAGTAAGTATCCCAAATAGCTACTAGGTAACTAGGTGAATCTGCTTGACGACTTGAAAGAAATGAGAACCCCCTTGTTCATTCGTGATTTCCTTAAGACCACTAGCATACATACAGTCAACATCTATCTATGCATAGAACAAAACACCGATTTGCCGATTTACGATTTAACTTCATGAATTGCACGTTCCATACACATATGTAACTGTCAGGCTAGGTTAGCCACCGTTAGTGACATAACCCACAATTGAAGCTTTTCTAAAACAAAAGCCATGGGGCTACGTAATGCGACCGAACGCTGATTGGCTAATAAATGGAACTTTTCGTACTATGTAGCACTACAATACGGTACTTCATCTGAAGCCGTTGAAGTACTTACTACTTACTACTTAGTTAACTGTTAACTACCACGTTAGTTAATTTTGTACCTGACGAACCAATCGATGTGGCTTCTTTTCTTCTTCCAACACCAAGCTCCCCATAAATGATCTTTAAATTCTAAAGTTTTATTCGACAACAACACCACCTTCATTTGAGGCCACGACACACACTCTAATGTGATGGCCTTCGGCGCGTGAAGAGCCTTTTCGCCGATCTCCTCGCCTAACAGAGAAAAAGAAGAAAAAAAGCAATGCAATGCCTAAGCTGTGAAGATGCCGACCACCGTACCATCATCCACCCTCTCGCGCACTGAGACATTGTACCTCACTGGCCTTGCCCTGGTCTGCGTCGCCGTCCTCATCCGAACCTTCGAGGGCGAGGGTGAACCCCTAATCGCATCAGCAGCCCTGAGCGGTCTTGCCTTCGCCTCGAGCTATGCTATGATACGATGGCTTGGTCCGACTTTCATGAAGGCTGGCTTGAAGGGTCGCGACATGTCCAAAGTGAACAATAGCCACTATATACCAGAATGCATGGGAGGAATATGCGCTGTGGTCTACCTCTTGATCATCATCGTATTCATACCCTTCCCCTTCTATAAGGACATCGTGGTCGCTACTAGTGGTGGTGGAAACCGTGATGTAGTCATGAACGTTGAGTTCGTTCAGAAGGGAAGGCTGCTTCACAAATTCCCCCATAGCAAGGTACGAAGACCCCTCCATGCCAATATCCAAGTACTATATTTGGATCCAAGCTAATATGGATGCTCAACTCCATAGCTAGCCTCCTACCTCTCTGCCATCATATCACTCCAATCGATCACTTTACTTGGCATTGGCGACGACCTTTTCGATATTCGATGGCGCCACAAGTTCTTTATCCCCGCATTCGCATCCATCCCCCTTCTCGTCATCTACTTCATCGACTTCGGCGTTACCTCTATTGTGTTGCCAACCTTCCTCCAGCCCTATGTTGGTCGCGAACTGGTCGACCTAGGCTTCCTCTACTATGGATACATGTCAGCCTTTTCCATCTTTAGTCCCAATAGCATCAACATTCTTGCTGGGATTAATGGAATGGAAGTCAGCCAGAGCATTGTCATTGCCCTGCTTCTCGCCTTCAACGATGCCCTCTACCTGCTCACCCCCTATCCTCACCCGGCTACGGACTCCCACCTCTTCTCCCTCTATTTCCTCCTTCCCTTTCTCGGAGTGAGCTTCGCGCTGCTGATACATAATTGGTATCCCGCCCGCGTCTTCGTTGGTGACACATACTGTTATTTTGCTGGCATGGTATTTGTCGTGGTTAGTGTCCTCGGTCATTTCTCTAAAACCCTCATCTTGCTGCTAGTGCCTCAGATCTTCAATTTCGTCTACAGCACACCCCAGTTGTTCGGGCTCATCCCATGCCCGCGTCATCGCTTGCCACACTTTAATGCGCGAACAGGCTTGCTGGAGCCGAGTGTGACCAAGTGGGAGGCAGACAAGCAGCCCCGGCCTATTATCGCAAAGGTATTGCGACTATTAGCGCAGATGAAGCTGTTGCGCTTGAAGGAGGACGAACAAGGCCTAATCCAGGAGACAAGCAACTTCACGATTCTGAACCTTTGGCTGGTTTGGCGGGGGCCTATGCGCGAGGACAGACTCGCCCAGGAGATAATAGTCATGCAGACCCTATTAGGTCTCTTAGGTCTCTTTATCAGACATAAACTAGCACTCCTCATCTTCAGGGAGGATAATCTGAACATGCGAAGCCCCGTCTAAGGTAGCTATCATTAGCTAAAGTAGGCGGTTATATTATATGATAGACGATACCCATTGCTGTTTAATGTAAAAAGGTCCGAGTGCTAGTTAGATCACGTCACTGGTATATAGAAGAACACCATTGCTCTTTAATTGGGTGCGAAGACTGTTAATATCTAGTTAGTCATAAATGCTGATTTCCAAATGCTTTCCCATTGATAAGCAAACGAATTCCCCTGGTTAATGAGAAATACATATAGTACTTACAACCAACCTGTCGACGAAATAATTCACAATTCCTTTTCCCAGAAAACCTCACGGTAAAAGAAGGGGACGAAACAGTGTTTCTCGCACTACTTACCATATATATTTACTTACAGTAGGTACCGAATAAGAGGCCTCGTGGATGATCCATTGTGCATGTACTGTAGGTAGCTACACACATACATAGTGCCGAGCCGTCTGCTTATTAACTATAGGTTCCCTATAGTTAACCAATCAAAGCACCAATATTGCCGCCAACGTCCATCACGCCTGGGAGGGGGTGTATGTTCTATCTACACATGTGCATGTACATACACTACATTAAATACCAGGTACATATAACTATGTATGTATGTATATACGTGGCTCACACTACGGCACATAACACTACTCTACCACAAAAAAAAACCCCCAGCTCAATCTCCAGGGCTCGATTTACAATATGACTCACCATCATCAAGACAACTACGACGACTGCCTACCTACCACCGCCGCTATCACCAAAAATAACCCTCAAATTTACCTACCTATCTAGGTGGCTACCAAAGTCCACACAGCGCCGCACATACACAGCATCTACTTACCTGTCCATACGTTCATACGTACAATGCCTACCTGCCTACGACCTGTCTAGGGGCACATATCGTGTCTTGACTCGCCTACTCACTTAAGTCTAGGGATTCGATTCAGATCATACGATAGTCACATCACCCTACACCAGTCACTAGGATCTCCCGAGCTCAAAAGAAAAAAAAAGTTCAGTCAACTTTGGGGACATATTTGATAATTTTTTCGTTAGGTACCTATCAGAGCAAGTCCACAACGAAGTGGCATGAACCACCATATGTAAGATAAGGTATAATTATTTTAGCATGACTTGTTCAGATAATGATACTTCGTTTTGACTGGGTCTCCGCAAAAGGTGAAGACGGCAGTCTTACTCATCTAGTCATGCAGTTGTAGACTTCGTCAATCCCCCCTTTTCCCTGACAGGACGAAGCCGAACTATTCGGCTTCAAGTTAGTAGTACATATACGATATACGAGTCTCTACAATCCTTTTTAGCCTTCCTTTTTTTTGCTTCAGTACTTGCCACTACCAGGCTCGTCAAATCTGTGCACTGCCACCATTACCAGTTCAACTCTGGTAGCCATGATGGCCCAGTCGTCAACATTTCAATCCAGCCCGAGTCGAGCAAGCCAAGCCAAGCCAAGCCGAGGTAAACCTCCATGCGTTCGAGCACGTACAACGAATATGATTCCATAAGAACCTTGGAATACTGCGAAATAAACCGATATCATCCGGAATAAACCTCATGACATTGCCCGCCGGCACACACCATTTCCCCATTGAATGCATGCCTTAACGCCTGACTTAGAAAACGACACTGCCCGTGCAGCATGTTCCATTGTCTCCAAACACAAACAGAACCCTTGGAAGGGGAGTTTAGCTCGCGAGGCCTCGAAACTGAGCGTTTGGTGAAAAGCTAGAAGCCATGAAATATTAAAGTCCAAGCCAGGCATTGCAAAGCCCTATTGCATATTGCAAGCACTTGGAATTCTGGTTCTGAAATTGTAACAAATCGTCTTTCAATCTGTACTTTTATCAACAACGGAATGTTCAAGCATCGTTGCATCCGTGCTTGTCGGTGATTTGGCTTCTTCTGCGACAGTGGCAGGCGGCTTCAGTGAAGTTCCCACTGGCTTTGCAGCCGCCGCCGCCTTGTTCATCCTGCTTTTTGTATAATCACTCAAGCTCAGCTTCTTTTTAATTGGGCTTGGTTGGACTGTGACACCGTTGACAGACGATGTAGGAAAAGTATTGGGTATGTTACTAGTCGAAAAAGGTGATTGGGATGACATCCCTGTTGCGGACAATGGAGTCGTGACGATTGGCACCGTAGAACTATTAAACGCAGGAACTGGAGGCATCTGAACGCGCAGGTCAGACGACTTAGTCTTCATCGGAGTCACGACAGCTGATAGGCACTGAGAAGGTCTGCTTTCTTTCGGCGAAATTGAACCATCCATCATAGGTATGTCTATGTCTGCAGGCGCAACCATATGTGGCGGTGATGCTGCCTTTTCCCGTTCGGGAACCTTTGGTGTGATTATGTGTCCTTGTTCTCGTATTGGAGATTCTATATCCATTTCAACCGTAGTGGAGAGGGTTTTTCGTCTCTGGTCTTCGTCGGCTCGCAATCGATGTCGACTTTCTAGCAAACGTTTTGAAAGAGACACGACTCGTCTCTTAGGTTTGGCAGTTTGCTCTACTTTGCTAAACCATTCACCGTCGACTGGATCCGTCTGAGCAGACGCGTCACAGTATTCGGAGCGGGGGTCTTGAGAAGCGCGCCAAGAAGGAATGCTACGGGCATTATTCGGCGGGTCGTGGGACGTGGGATCAATTTTCGTGGTGTTGGGTGATATTGCGCTCGACGATGAATCCGACATACTTCGTGAAGTGCCAGCATCAATGTAGCGACGCTCCGACGCTCCGTTAATACCTAAGGTCTCGTGGCTAATTGAACCTCTAGACTTCGGTTTTATGACTGAACTAGAATTTCCAGTACCGTCTGAGGTTCGCTTCTTCTTTCTTGGAGGCTGTTGCAGCTCCATACGACGAAATGAATCCTCGACCATCTGAACCTTTCGCTTGTCTCTATCGGTGAGTTCTGTTAACACGCCTAATGTATCAAAAGATCCTTGACGCGGGGCTGGAGTCATATCTCGACTAGGAGGCTTGCTACGCGACGAGCCAGAATCGTTTTCCACACCTTCATCGCCATGACCTTCACTAGGGGCACGGCTATTAGTTGCATGACCAGTGCTTGTCGGCGATAGGGCGTTTGTCTTGGCTTTTCTGGTTTTCTTTTTCGCCATCTTAGTATCCTTAGATTGCTGTTGCGGCTTGAGTATGTAAGTTCGATGGAAACGAGCAAATGCGCAGTCAGGGCCCAGACCGCAAGCGCAACCACCATACACGGACATGATAGCATGAACCCATGATGAGATACTTTGGTAGGTATCTATCTCCTTCTTGTTGTACTCTGGCTGTGTGCCCAAGTCTTCATCACCAAGACCAAGCAGCTGTGCCCACCTTCGTGCTACATCCTTCTGAAGGTTGAACACCCACGGAATCGTAATTTGCTCTGATGGCCCTATTCGTCGATCACTTACAAGCCAGAAATGATATTCAGAGCTGTCCGACAAGTAAGTATCCAGTACTGAATTTGGTTTGCAGCTTCGTCGGATGTAACGAGCGAAAGAGCCTTCCTTTCGAGTGTCGATATAAATCGGGAGCATTGGATGGAAGAAGACGAAGGGGAGTGGACAGCTCAACTCCTGCCAACGATTTCCAGGATCTTCGCAGTAGTCCTTTTGTATTCCTATTTGGCCATTCAACTCTATTAAGGGTACATCTTTGTCGACGGGTTGCGACATAGTAAGGAATTGCATATGAAGAACACCATCAGTTCCAACATTTAACTTCTTAGACTCGATATGGGGTGAGGTCTTGATTGAGTCGATGTTAGGTGGCAAGGACTGGAAGACATCGTCAAAATTCCATCCAGTCTCTGCCCTCAATTTGTCATGATCCCGTAACCACAGAGACAGGACATTCGAAATAGAGAGGCTGGCGAATGAATTAGTCCGGACAATCGATACATCACGGTCGTCTTTGTACAAGCTTGAGAGAGCAGTCGAGTACTGGGTCTCAAACTCATGTTGAACATCCGGAGGTGTCGTAGCTGGGCTAGGCGGGTGGCCATGGTGGTTTCCCGACTTTTCACCATAGGAAGGGCTACGCTTCGGAAAATGCGAGCTGGTCGATTGACTTTGTCGGTGGGTGCTTTTAGACTTTTTATGTTGGTGGATAGAACTGTGTTCGTGGGAGTGTTTCGTGTTGGTATCGGAACTGGTATGGCCGTTTATCGAGAGGTCTGTGGTTTTGGTTTTTCGTTTGTTATTCTTGGTAGGAGGTCGTTTCGGTTTTCTCTCAGACGCCTCTGTTGTACTAGGTTTACTCCGTCGTAATACCTGTCGCTCATGCGCACCTTGATGATTAAGTAGTCGAGGTTTGCAATCAACGCACGAATGGGCAAAATCCTCTCGCAGGGCTTCGTCAACCGTGTCAGGATAGTAACATTCAATATGTTGCCAGGTATCACAGGTTTCGCAATAGATAGTGTTTCCGTCATCGTCAGAGAAGGAACAAATACACTTGATAGTGTAAGGTTCTTCCTCGAGCGCCGCCTTATTTGTCGCCTTATTGGGCAAACGTACAAGCAAAGCAGGTGTCGACTTGGGACTAAGAACGGCCGCTTGACTCGGAGTCACTGATTGCGTCGGCAATGGTAGGATCTTGTCTGTCATAATCTAACATGCACCTCACGAGGTGATTGTCGGTGAGGAATACAAAGGGTGGCCGTTTTATCGAAGTAGCCTGGATGGCATGACGACGAATCTGTCTTCGACGTGACCGCGATTAGGTCCTAAAGGATTATAAATTGAGGACGCGTCTCGAAGGGTAACCATATGTCGGCCTCGAAAAGAGAGTTGGTATAATAATAAACAGCGCGTCCAGCAAAATCGGTATTGTTGCAAGATAAGCCTGACACGTCTGGGACTCGAGTTACAAGCACCAGAGAAACAAAGGACACAGGGAACAAAAGGAAATTCGAATTTTTTTAAGGAGACTAATCGAAAAGACCTGGTCGTCTGACTTCGAATACGAAGAGAAATATTCGTCACAATAACAGGTATTTAATAAGTTGGTATAATGAAACGTAAGAAGTAGTTCGCGAAGAAGACGTGTGGCGATGGGAGATAATAATTCTCGAGGGGTTTTTTTCTCTTTCGTTTTCTCGTTCGGGAGGATAATGCGCCTCAAGATAGAGTGGAATTGGAGCGGACCGGAGGTGAATGACGAGTTCGGAATCCAGTTAGGTTTATGAGTGTCTCGAAATATTTCGACGTTGGGTACCCAAGCAAATGTAATTCGTGTTTGAGGCGTCGTGGAAAATGAGGATGAGGATGAGGGATGGGAGAGGAGTGTGAGAAGGGAGAAAGTAGTAAAGTTGGCGGGTGGGAAACGGAGAATGCGCACCAAGCAAAGAAAGACTGGAAAGATGGATTTAGTTACCTGTGTACTAGGTACCTACCCAGTTGGCCTTTGGTAGGTACGTTAGGGCAGGTACTACCTATCCTTCCTTACCTTGGATGTTCCTACCTACCTACCTGTATTCGTACCTACTGGGCTGCCCTGCCAGCTAAATCTAGGGCGGATAGAGAGCAGCGCGCGAGCGCGAACGTTGCAGGGCACCTGCCGCTCCCACTGACAATTTTGAGTAGTGGTGCGTGCGTGCGTTAACACCAATTAGCGCAGTCTTGGGGTAGTGGCAGTGGGAAGGCCAGTGAGAAACTACAAAAACCGAAAGCGGGAAAAATAGTGCCTCTGAAGGCTAGTACCAAGCAGTACCAGGACGCGCTAGGCAGTGCAGCGCTAGTTAATGGTACTTGTGAAAATAATATTGTTCAATGTTCAATGTTGTGGTGCAGCAGCTGTGCCCCATTCTTTCTGGCTCCTGTGGCTGCTGTCCCTGTCCAGGTATGCGGGGCCGCTTGTAAAGTTTTTGGGTGCTGGAACCACCTAGGAAAAAAATAGGACCCCGTTAAAACTTTCAACTTTGGACCGTCCATCACACTGGTGAAAAGGTGCAGCACTGAAAAGTGGAGAAAGCTCGAAGAGGAAAAAGGAGAAGAAGCGGAAGTGGGAAAGGAAATGAATGAAAGTCGAGACACAACCAACCTGTTCTGCCGGTGTAGGTGTAGGTGTAGGTAGGTCTTGTACATTGGTAACAACCTTGGAAATATACCTACAGAAGACAGTAAGTGATAATGATAGAGAAAGGGGGGTATGGCATAAGCCAGACTGATACCAAACAATCCTTGCACTTAGGTACAAAAAGCAAAAAAGCGGATGGAGAGGAAAAGTCGAGGAGGAGGGAAAGTGGGAGCGAGCAAGTGTAGCAAAAGGTAGCAAAGGTAGCAAAGAGAGGAACATTGATGAGGGGGGAAAGAGGGAAAGCCACTCACACACAACATGGAATGCATTGCATGCTCTGGGGCATTGAGCAATCCTCGAGACACAAATAAAAAGGCTAACCAAAATGGGATTGGTCTACAACGCACGAGATCGACCAATCAAAGAGCCCACTAATGCTTGTACATCCTGCAACCAAGCATTTTTACCAACCAGGCACTCCTGGGGGCAACGAAATCATTTTCGGCTTCGATCGGCCGTAGCTGAAAATAATAGCGTAATGAAAGAGCCATTGTTTTGGGGGGGGAATTTGAGATGACCGAGTCGGATTAGGAGATTGAGGTATAAATTTTTTTAAGAACACATGAAAGAAAAGAGATGGGAAAAAAACGACCGGTTCATTTTTAGACTTATCAAAGTTTCCCTAAATTGTTCATTAAAAGGAAATCGGCTAAGGGTTATGCCGATGCTAAAACAATTAAATGTGATGTGATAATGATTATGTAGTAATAAACTTGCAAAATCTGTAGATTTATAATGTTGTTGATGTTCTTAATAGAATATCCAAGTTTGGTGATAGGTAAGTAGGTAGAATGAGAAAGGCATAGGTTAGAATAATCGTACACGCATAACAGCACTGAGTCGATGTTATCTTCTTCAGAGGTACAAGCGTAATGTGAGGGGAAAGAATTTATGTCATGACGAACGGGACAATCGGGGGTAATGTGCAGCTAGGCTGCGAGGTCATCCCTGGTACAGTGTATGATAATGTTTATAGACGATTAGCGTTGCAATTTAACTGGTTAAGCCAGGGGTTAGAAACCTGAACTTGGTCTGAAGGGCGGGGGGTGCTTAATGTTGAAGTCACAGGGATGAGACTTCTTACGCCGTACAGCCAGTAGTTATCCGCGTATGACCGTTTTTCGAAAATGTAACTAACAGTTGACAATACGGTGATTAATTTTACGTTTCATCTCGCTGCTTGTTGTCTTCAATGTTAGGAGGTCAATGATTGTAATCGGCTTTCTAAGTTTTGTATATTGACTTTGGCGTACATGAGATATGCATGTGTCGATAAGTTCATGGTCCATCCAGTTATTTCCAAAGGATCAATACAACTAGGTATTGGTATTATCTGGTATGTAGGTATGCATGTAGAATGTTCAAGATAAGCATGTAGGGCATGTAAGAACGGGAGAAATAGTCCGATACTTGCTTGGTCTAGCCTCGCCTCTCCTTTCAGTGTGGATTGCTGGGAGGACCCTGACGTGAAAACTCATGGATTTCAATGTTGGATTTTAATGTTCCGTTTGGTCGCGCTGTCCCGGACTTGCGGCATTCTTCCTGTAAGATGATCGTGTGATTGATATCGAACACTCTGTGATTCGCCAGCAGCTTGAAAAGAGCCTCGCTTTATCGCAAACATATATATGTATAGTGTTGTCTTAGAGGACGTGCTTCTTGACCGCTTCTCTAGGTGCTGTTCATCCATCTACCAATCTGCATGTGAGAGACAGGCCGTTTGGCTATGTTCTCGTCAATATGGCAGAGTGCTGCTTAAAACGTTTTGACCAAGATCCGACACTGGAATTGCAAGGTCTGGATGGGCACATCCCGGTTCGAAATGCATGAAATCGTGGCTATGCTCGCAGTCTGATCTTACATGCCCAATCATCAGTTCGCCCAGAGTATGAATAACCTACAGTCGCGCCAATAGATTCAAGCCTGTCGGATGCTTGTAGCTGTGTGTGTCGCTACATGTATTTTAGCTGAAATATATCCCGTAAGCTTCTGCCGCTAGCATTGATAATAACTACTTGATAGATGTTCCATTTACATACATAGTAGATAAATCGTTCCATTCGTTTGAGACCGAAAAGGGGTGAATGTGAACTGACATAAGGCACACGTCTTGTCCAACTACCTAACCTTGGGTATGTGTATTACATAGGTAGGTAATATGTTACATTTCCATGTGTTGGCCCTGATGCAAAATACGACTTGAATTCGTTAATCCTCTCCCCCGTGCTGATTCACACTGCTCATACATAGTAATGTAACCTTGGCTTTCCGATCTCAGAGTGGGAGATGGTGAATCGCAAACACACGAACCTCGGTAGAACACTGACGCTCGCACATTTGAAGTATTAAACAATACATTGATGTAACTACTACGTACGCTATACATGGTCGATCTAACACATTTGCGTACACATTTGCGTACACTTATGCGGATGACTGCAGGAAAAGAATATCGCGAACGAGTCCAGCGTTTCAACCAAATCTCGTCGACTGCCCAGTGAACTTTATTTACGAATTTGATAGCCCATACACGGAGACAGAAGGGCTGCTGTCCACATGTGACTCTAGCTCGTTGCTTCCTTATGACATCACTGTGAAAATGGTGATCTTCATGAATATTGAAAACGGAAGAAAGACATCAAGAGATACGGGAGATACGGGAGATACGATCCAGAAAAGATATGTAGGAGGTAAGTAGTAGTATGACCGCATATATAGAATTCTGTGATGTACAATACAACATTGTCCCCTTCAAAAACTCATATCGCTAACATTGAAGCGAGGACTCTTCTTTAGAGGTATCTGCCAGGAAGGAGTCCTAGGTTAGGACCTTCGTAAGAAAGAGGGGAATAAAGGAAAGCGGCTTTTGTGGATTCTTGATGTACGTCCATACATGTACACAGACATTAATGTATGATACAGTAATCCTAGCCACCAAAAAAACACAGTGTAATCCATACCGTTAACGCCTACTAAACTAGTTCAATCATTGATGGTGCTGTCGCACAAGAACCACTATTCCGTTACATATGCAAGTTATAATGCAACAGCCACTGGTGCTGATTAAGCTTTCGAACTAATATGCAAGTTCAAACATTCGCTGCATCGCTAGGGTATTCAAGTACATAAATGTTTCAAAGTTCTAACCGAACTTGAACGCAATAGTAGCGGCAATACATGCACGGATGTTCAATGTTATGTACGCTAGTAGGCTATACATAATCTGATACATACATAGAAGTACCGTACAGATGAAGCCGCCAAGGATCAGGGTTATCAAATGATCAATGTATCCTTGGTCCTCCAGGGATACATATTGTACATATGTAGCCTACTAAAACTAAACATAAATTGAATTCACTCCTCGTTCAAAATTCAAATCCATAAGTCTTACAACAACACCCTGATCTGTAACGGATATACAAAACCAAGACAAAGGCTACGATGTCAGCTTCAATGCCCATAACATGGAGCTAGGAAGGTCGTCAGCTTGACTTCGAACAACCCATGCCTTCGATTCTTATAGATTTCGATATCATCCGCGGAGCCCCTTTACCAAATGCTACATGTGGACGGATCATAGGTGAGGTATAATGCTTCAAATCCAAGCACTCATCGTCTGGAACATAGGAAGTATTATGGAAACTGTGTATTTACAATTGCAAGAGATCAACTTGAAACGGACTTCTCATTCGATGGCATCGATATCGGATTACGAAGACCCTTCCGTCACTGTTTTATCCCGGGGAGCATCGCTAGGCCCTTGACCTTAACAATATCCGCTATTTAGTTGTCCATTACACGCGTTTTTCTTCTCCAATTCAACGTGGATATTTTTATAAACGATGGAAACTTGTTTTCGCAGCAATCGCGTATGCTGCCGCTTGTATATGTGCTCCAAAAATCCACGGAATGATCCCCGCGTCCACAACTCTCAAAAACCTCGCACCATATACCTTAGGCGATGGGTCTACTACTCCACCGAAGTCTGACGGTGACATGGACGTTGTGTCGCTCAAGTGGAAACTGGCCATGGTATTTGCTCGCATCGCCTCGTCAAGCGCTGTTGGGTTCCGAGCATCTGCGGTGTCGAAATCTAGGTGACAACGCCATTAAGAAGGTAGTCATTGGTGGTGCTTGAGGCTATTGTTGAATTCTATCCCGGGAAGGAACAATTCGCAGTCAGCGGGTTGCGAACAGTATCGTGCGTCAATGTTAGGCGGTGAGTTCTCGAATATTGATGGAGATCTCGCATGAATCGTGAATCGTGTATCGTGAAAACGGCTGGATGCTGCACACTGCTAGTTGACCCAAGATATCAACATGGCTTCGAAAACTAATCAGTCTTTCGATACAAGCTGGAGTATCAGTTTTCTCTACTATGCCATATATCCTGCGCGACTGCGTCAAGGCTCGCATCATATGATGGTGTCAGGTTGTCTGTCACATTATCTACCTCGTCTAATATGTCTTGATAACAATCTATCGCCCAGTTCAGTTCAGGTACACCAACGGGAATCACGAAGAGAGCCGTATGGGGTCCTGCGGCATATACGTACATATGAACTTCAAGGCCTACATTTGCTGACATGAGCTGACATGAACCCGCGCGGCTATCCAAGTATTCACACCGTGCTACGTCGCATGTCTCGTGTGTATCCGGTGTGGAAAACACATAAAGTGAAGTATCTAGTGGAGGTTCAATGGGAAAAGTAAGAATGTCAGCTGAAAACACATTCACGAGCAGGCTGCAAGACAGGGTGATCTTAAAGGTCGATGCCAACACCTAGCAGATCAATAATCACTTCCACCTCGAAGCTCTTCAAAAGCTCAACTGGCCCGATTCCAGATATCTATACGCAGATGATCGACGAAAAGCACCTGCCGCAAGGATGACGTTTCTATACGCAATTGTGTTTCGAAGAGCCATCGATTATGTGACGAACTACGAGGTACACAGCTAGAGACAAGACGACAAGAAATAGCAGTCAGTAACATGCAAAGGGCGAGAGATTACTATGTAGGTTTCGGTCTGTCATTGGGTTCAGCTGACTCTTACCTCCACGCCAGTTATATCAACCCAAAAATACCGGATGAACGAGTCGAATTCGAAAAGGCCATATCCCCATTGTCATCATATAGGATATGAGTGGCAGTATACCCCGGTGATCAGGTGTAAGTCAGGACGGTGCATTATGTGGTCGAGGTACTCAGTGCACGCATCAGAGCGGGATTGGTTCTTCACCTTTATGATACTGGAATCATTGCGACTCCAATGGCATTGCCGCTATTCAAGTCTTCGCTACGGGTGGGTAGAGGACTATGTCGATTCATTACGAGCCAGCGAGGAGTACGTTTCCGGTTACATAATCTATACTATCGGCGTCTCTTTCTCGGGATATAATGCCTAGGAACAAATCCAGAGAGGCTCGGCTTCTGGGAGCAGGGGAAAAGATATGTCCATGCCCAACCGGAAACCCTCAGACGCACCTATGCGTCAAAGTCGGGCTCCGAGCCCCAAGTCCAGACAAGCTTGTTGATTAGTATACCTCGCCCAACGGCCGTGCCTTGACTGAAGCTCCGGTGTTTGCTATCGAGAAATTTCCGCGGCGCCATGTTTGGTTTTACATCGTACCGGAGCGGATCCTCGATACCGATACTGCCAAGCACTGAGATATTCTCGGCACGCTCATCCCTGGAAGAAGGGTATACTGTTGGACATCTCAATGAAAATAGGGGGCAATGGAGGTGCAAAGAGCATCCAACAGGGCTAGCCCAGGTTTAGCCCAGGTAGAGACGGAACTTACACGTCTCCAGTCTCTGTCGTGTTAGTACAAACATCATCGATGTGTGCTAGCTGCTTTGTACGAGTATGGGACAATTTCAAAGGCTCACTGGATGGGCACCTTGGCAGCCGGTTGGCAACCATAAGACCTCATGCTCCTGCACTATTTGTAGCAGGGCTGGATTGCATGGGAACTGGTCTAAGCCGTCGCCAATCCGATTCCACATTTGCCAGTTCATAGTTTGCAATCTTTCTAGGCATATGCAAGTATCGCCTGTTCTCATCACCTATCACGACATCTGAGCTTGAGCATGTAAATTCAAACTGCATGAGTTCGAGTCCTTGGCGAGTTTGACGTGCAAGGGGGTTTGAGCATTTGCATGCCGTTCATCGGAAAACTGGCAACCAATAAAGACGTTTTCCTATAGAATCTATATTTTGCACTTTATGGCCCTCGACCTAAACTAAAAAATCTCATCATTGATATATATAGGAGAATAATGCGTGTAGTAAACGTGAGAAAGAATAGCAAGCTTCATTTCATAATCTAGATGAGATGGTACCTAGAGCCATTTTCGGCTATTCTCTACTCGAAATCAGGCACGTGTATTTCCAAGTCTGGTAAAGCATAGGCATCAAAACACCAATAACTTTAGAAATGAAAACTGCTGTGGCCACATGAGCTTGGAGATAAATGCAACTATGGTTATTCGCGTTGTCAGGCTACCCGGTCAAAAGGGGGATCGCATATGCCCGACGGCTTGCCAAATCAAGATGGTAGTAGAACTTATATATCCGTCACTTGATTTCCTGGAAGATTCATGTAGAAGCAACACAGAATTGCCTTTACTGCGGTTGATAATGGTAATGGCGTTTCCCCCCTCTGGTTGGATGTGAATGAGTGACATGTCTAATGTCTAATACCTGGAATCCAAGGTGACGAAGGAAAGACCAAGAAGGGAACCCGAATGGTGTCACTTCCAGTGAAAAATTTTCAACAATTTCATATTATAGCCTGTGTAAGTGTAAGGTCTGCTGGGCTTTGTAAGGTAGTTAGTTATATGGAGGCAGAAATGGAGGCAGGTGTACATAAGAATACGGCGATCGTGGGGCACTTCAATGTTCATTTTATGCCGATAGCGGTGTTGCTAGGTACTAACTCGCCTACGCTAGTACTGTAGTAGGTAATAACTTGGCCTTAGACTTTAGTTTTCTCAAGGTTAGCGGCTTAGCGGAAGTCTTATCATTTTATTAATGAACCTGTGTTATCGTGTATGGTTATCGTGGATTGAGTCACTGGAATTTAAATGAATACATATATATGTATACTTATTATTGTACATGTACCTAGGTATACATCCATTATCTTCATATCCTACATATCCTTCACTCTTTCTCAATGATTTATTTTTGACTTACAACATTGAAATCTAGAAAAGCTCAATTCGAAGTGGTATCTAGTGAGAGAAGTTGCCAAACGTCCTACCTAATATTAGGTATTCTCCAAGATGCTCCGCGCACTATGACAATGCAACATACAGCCTGGAAGAAGGCAATTTCGAATTTGAATGTAAGTGAATGAATGAGTGGATGAGTGAGTGAGAAAAAAGACAAAAGGACAAAAAGACGACCAAAACACACCATCATCGAAGAACCAGCTTTCTCTTCTTTCACCTAAAAGATTACATAACAAGATAAGAGAATCATGTACATGTATAAATTAACTCATATTTTTCTAGACGCCATCATCCAGGGGCCCCAGTAATATCAATGGCTCAACCCCATTGTCGCTGTGGTCTGCGCGGAGCACCGCAAATAGCAGTCGGTACTCGATAGCATCGACTTCTCCGTATACTTCCATATCCAAGTCACAAAAACAAAAGAAAAGTCTCGACCGGGTATGACTTATAACCATTCTTTCTTGCTTACATCGAATCATTATGCTAATCTCTTATTAGGACTTCTTCGTCTCGGTTCTCGAGACTTCAGTCACTAAGCGAGATGCCAAGGCTTACATGAATAAGTTCGTGCCCCTTCTGGAAAAGAAAGGGGCAACATACTTCAAGCAGCGTGCTGCGCAAACTCGTCTAGGAAATAATATAAGCCCCATAGCGGTAGCCGCTTTGGCTGAGAATGCGGAGGAAAGGAAGGATGCTGTTGCCGGATTTAAACCCGAAGTTGATCTTCCCTTCCAAGTGCCCTTATATGTTGCCTTGGTCAAGTTTCGTGCTCCCCAGGAGGCCAACGATGCCACTCTAGATGGCGTGGGGAAAACACTCAGCCAACTCCGGAAACTTGGATTAATTAGTATCGTCGTGGTCGACTGCGGAAATACCGGGGGAAATGAGGCTGCTCAACGGCAGACTGCTACTATCCAAGCTAACCGCATCGCTATGGCGATAGACAACTATGATGCTCCCGGGGCGCGGGTTATTGACTCACCAATTACCATTGAAAGTACGACCGAGGGATCCGCTTCACCGTTTACCTCCCAGGGCCTCTTCATCGGCAATCCAAATGATTTGATGGCCGCCTTGCAGGAGGAGGTGGTCCCCATCATCTCTTCATTCGGGTATACTGCTGATGCTTGTACGGTCAAGCCAGTCAACGTAAATGATGCCATTTTAGCTCTTACTAGACAATTATCAGGTCTTCAGTTCCTGGGTCAGCCTATTGAAGATTCAAAGGCCATACAACCCTCGAGATCTGCCGAGGTGTATCGGCTTATCGTATTGGATCCACTGGGAGGAATTCCTGCGAAAAACCGAGCGACTGGAAGGCACTTGTTTCTGAACCTGGAGCAAGAATTCCAGGAGGTCCGAAACGACCTGTTAAAGGCGACGTCGCCGAACGCGAACGGTCCAAGTCATGCTAATTTACAGCATTTGGAAAATGCTGACTTAGCAATGAATGTACTGGCCATGCTGCCCCCTACTTCTTCTGCTGTAATCACGACCCCACAGGAAGTAGCAAACGAGCGAAGCCCAGAGGATAACGGCGTGGACTGGGCGCTTGTTGGTACCAGGCGGGGGCAGAACCCATTGATCCATAGCCTCTTGACCGACAAGCCGACCCAGTCTTCGTCCTTACCCTCCGAGCGTTTCAGGCATTTCACGTCATCGTCTGGAATGGCTCAGATAGGCTCTCTGACGACCTTGGCTAAACGTGGGATGCCCTTAACTATATTCCCGGACCCCCGAGTTACTCGGTGGAAACCACCTCAGCCGGGACAGAGCGGTCTCAATCTAACGGATCCATGCATAGACCTTCCTAGACTTGTCAATTTGATAGAAGACTCCTTCGGGAGAAAACTTGACGTTGAAGATTACTTGAAAAGAGTTCATGGGAATTTGGCAGGTATCATTATCGCGGGGGAGTACGAAGGGGGAGCCCTATTGACGTGGGAGAAACCTCCCGGCCTGGATGGCTCCGAAGCAGATGTCTCGAGCCGACTCGTGCCGTACTTGGATAAGTTCGCAGTCCTCCGTAAGAGTCAGGGTGCTGGAGGAGTGGCTGATATAATTTTTAATGCCATGGTCCGAGACTGCTTCCCAGAGGGGGTATGTTGGAGAAGTAGAAAGAACAATCCGGTCAACAAGTGGTATTTCGAACGTTCTAGAGGCTCGATGAAGTTTCAAGATATGAACTGGACGATGTTTTGGACGACACCGGGCTTGGCTCTGGACGAGCAGAGATTCCAGGATTATGAGAGCGTATGCCGGAGCATCGAGCCGTCATGGGCGGAAAAGAAACAGGAGGTTGACTAGGTACCTAGTACCCAGTAGGTAGGATCCAATCGGACATGGTATGATTTACCTCTAATAATAGAAGAGTATGTTGGAGATAGGTATGTGACTCTATTTATAAAGACCTCACACATATAGAATTATAGACAATCCTTTTTGCGACTTACTAAATCAACATAATACCTACCTAATAGGTAGTATTCTGGGTTTAAGAGACCAGTATTCAACGTATCCACACCTTCTCATCCACGGTACAAAGGTGACAGATACATATACTTGACCATATCGAAACTCCTCGAAGCAACTAGTTACGTTATGAACCACTGAGGAAATAGCATGAAGGGGGAAAAGGAAGGCCAAGTTGTAACACGTTGGGTATTATTATGAATAAGACAGTTGCGCAGCTTTCCCGTTTGGTGCAAGAGATCATGCAAGCCTGACAAGTTGAGCTATAGTCTCTTCGCCGTCCACGTATCATATACTAGGTTACAAATCATCATACCTATGTAGGTATGTATGTAGGTACCTACCTACCTCGATCGAGGCCCGAAATCCAAGGCAGAGAGAAAAACTGTTGGTAGTGTAAGGTTAGTAGGAATGTTAGTTTAGTCTGGTTAAACAATTTTCAGTCGCGGGGGCGGCAAGGCGGCAAGGCGGTCATGGCGGTCAGGGCAGAAAAAAACCCCACCATCGTGGTTGGCATTAGTCGTGGTGGGGAGCGTTAAGGTGGGCGGACTTTCCATAGGTTAGGGGTGATTAGATCGATCTAGGGAGTATGCTTATCAGGTATCAGGTAACTATTCTGACATAATTTGATGTTCAACATGTGTTAGCTCCTGCCAATTATCATGACTATCATGTATTGTACATGTACTGTCATGTAGCTTATGTACATTAGCTAATGTACATAGTATCATACTAGGTACTAGTATGTAGGTAATCAAGTCGACGGTACTACCTGATAATGTGCCCAGTATGCTCTGTCTTAATAATGCTGTTGGCTAGTTAAGTACTACCTAGGTATCATATTGATGTATGTAATATTTCCATTTATTCATTGTTGTAAGAACAAAGGTGTCATCTAATACCTTCAAGTCAGCCTAGAAAAAGACCAAGTAGATTGTACATGTAACTATGTTGTATAATGCATGATGTTTTCGTATATGTTAGTTACATATGTACATATTAAGGTGAGAACTTGAAGGAGTCTCAAGGAGAAGATTAAATAATGCCTGGTACCAACTGACTGGAGACTTGATTTGATTGGTGGCTCCAAGGTCGGGTAGCACAGGTGTCTATGTAGTGATACAAGGTACTTTGCTGGTATCCCTATAGGGAAGAGCCAAGATAGCGTTACAATTGGCAAGGACGAAGGTAGAAGAAATGTCCAGAACTTTCGCGCGCCTGCACGCCACGGCGTGTCATAAATGAGGGGCATTAGATAAAGTTCGGTTTTTTTTTCTTTTTTTTTTTTTTTTTTTTTTTGCGACCTCCCACTTTGTATTTTCGGGCAGCTTTTTTCCTTACTACTAGAAGAATTCCTTTTTTTCTTTTCCAAGGCAAACACGAAATTCCAACCAAGAACAAAACCCAATTTCGTCTCTATTATCACTCCGGACTTGACTTATTTTACGATAAACTATTTCGTCTTCGCAAGACACTGTTCTATTCGTAATAGATAATCCGGCACGAGGTAACGCCTTGCGACGTTTCCCGATCACCCCGCAGTCCCAATATCGACCTTTTTTTATTTATTTACACTCTTTGAACCCCAGCAAATATGAGCGTAGTTGGTAGGTTACCTCCCAGCCTGGCGTCGACTACTTTGACTTGCATCTATTTGAGCGCATATATATATATGTGTACCTAGTATATACTAACTTCTGACAATCGCAGGCGTCGATTTCGGAACTCTGAACACTGTCATTGCAGTCGCCAGAAATCGAGGTGTCGATGTTGTACGTATTAGAAAATTTGTTTAATATTATCCTTATCTTGTCTATTTACATAATATTTGGTTCCGGGCAAGCAACACTAACCACAGATACACAGATCACCAATGAGGTTTCAAACCGAGCTACCCCGTAAGTTGAACACACCGAAGTTACTTTCCGTATTCACCTTGTACTGACAATATTTCACTCATAGTTCCCTAGTAGGGTTTGGGCCTAAGTCACGATACCTTGGTGAGGCCGCAAAGACGCAAGAGATCTCCAATCTTAAGAACACTGTCAGCTCCCTAAAGCGCTTGGCCGGCCGAAGCATCAACGACCCTGATGTTCAGATAGAGCAGCAGTTCGTCTCTTCCCTTCTCGTCGATGTCGGCGGCCAGGTTGGCGCCGAGGTGTCATACTTGGGCAAGAAGGAGAGGTTCTCGGCCACTCAGTTGACGGCCATGTTCCTGAGCAAGATCAAGCAGACCGCCCAGAATGAACTGAAATTGCCTGTTGCCGATATTGTCATAAGTGTGCCTGCGTGGTTCACCGATGGCCAACGGAGAAGTCTTCTTGATGCTGCTGACATTGCCGGCCTGAAGCCCCTACGTGTTATGAACGATACCACTGCCGCCGCTCTCGGCTACGGTATTACCAAGCTCGATCTACCTGGACCTGAGGAGAAGCCTCGCCGAGTAGCGTTCATCGATATCGGTCATGCTGACTATGCTTGCTCGATTGTGGAGTTCAAGAAGGGCGAACTCAGTGTCAAGGCTACGGCATATGACCGCCACTTTGGCGGCCGCGACTTTAACCTTGCCTTAGTGAACCACTTCCAAAAGGAGTTCAAGGGTAAATACAAGATCGACATCAACGAAAACCCCAAGGCCATGGTTCGCGTTGAGGCTGCCGCCGAGAAGCTGAAGAAGATTCTGTCTGCCAACCAACAAGCACCCATGAACATCGAGTCGCTGATGAACGATATCGACGTGACTGCCATGATTACGCGACAGGAATTCGAGGCGCTTGTAGAACCCCTGTTGGCCAGAGCTACTATACCATTAGAACAAGCTCTCGCCGAGGCCAAGCTTGACAAGGACGACATTGACGTAATCGAATTAGTCGGTGGCTGCACACGTGTCCCTTCTCTCAAGGAGCGAATCCAGTCCTTCTTCAGCAAGCAGCTATCATTCACCCTCAACCAGGACGAGGCCGTCGCCCGGGGATGTGCTTTTAGTTGCGCCATCCTCTCGCCTGCCTTCAAGGTTCGCGACTTCGCTGTCCAAGACATCGTCAACTACCCTATTGAATTCTCCTGGGAGAAGGACGTTGACATTCCAGATGAGGACACGAGTCTTACTGTATTCAACAGGGGCAATGTTCTCCCATCAACGAAAATCCTTACTTTCTACCGAAAGCAGCCATTTGACCTCGAGGCGAGATACGCTAAGCCCGAAGACTTGCCGGGTAAAATGTCGCCTTTCATTGGCCGATTCTCTGTCAAGGGCGTCAAGGCCGACCCCAAGACTGAATTCATGATCTGCAAGCTTAAGGCCCGAGTTAATATCCACGGTGTCCTGAATGTGGAGAGCGGATACTATGTGGAGGACCAGGAAGTCGAGGAAGAGGTTAAGGATGATGGAGACAAGAAAGACGCTGATGTAAGTTGAGCGCCTATTGGCTTTGAACGCCATCGCTTTTCGTTCCAGGGTTCTTCAACTACTCTTTGCGATAATGTAGTCCATACTGAACAATTTTACTAACGCGTTTGATAGGCCATGGACACCGACGATGGAAAAGGTGATAAACCCAAGACCCGAAAGGTCAAGAAGCAAGTTCGCAAGGGCGATTTGCCTATCGTCTCTGGGACAACATCCTTGGATGAGAGCTCCAAGAATTCCCTTACTGAGAAGGAAGCGGCAATGCTTATGGAGGACAAGCTTGTTGCCGACACGGAAGAGAAGAAGAATGAGCTAGAGACGTATATCTACGACATGCGAAACAAACTAGACGAGCAGTACGCCGACTTTGCCAGTGACGAAGAGAAGGATAAGCTGAGGTCAAAGTTAACAGACAGCGAGGTAAGTTCCCGATCAAGTACAATTTATTATCGTGGATACTAACGCGGTCTAGGACTGGTTATACGAGGACGGTGAAGATGCCACTAAGGCAGTCTACGTTGCTAAGATGGATGAGATCCGGGCTATGGCTGGCCCCATCGCGCAACGTTACTTCGACAAGGTAGAAGCAGACCGTCAAGCCCTTCAAGCTAAGCTTGACGCCGAAGCTGCTGCTAAGAAGGCGGCCGCGGAGGAAGCTCGAAAGTCAACTGAGACTGAGAAGCCTGACGCCAACAAGGACGAAGAAATGACGGACGCGGAGGGAACAAAACCCGAAGTGGAGGAGCCTCAATCGTAGGGAAAGATGAGAACTTTTTCGTCAAAGCGCAAACGCGCTCACCTTGGGTGATGCTGGTCTCCGGACAATCTTATGAACTGGTCATGACCGCACACACGTGCATAGGAAAAGATGAAGAGGAAAGAATTTTTAATGACTGCATGGTAAGGGGCGGCTTGGCGGCGGATATTGGACCAGGCATCACTCAGGCTTGTTATTGATCGTCATGCTTTATGCGGTGTTCACGATGAATAGACTACTTTTTGCGGACGGGGGGTAATGGTTCTAGCACGCAGACTTTAGATAGACCAGACAAATGAAGGGTTCGATGAAAACCTTAGTTTGTATCCGATTTCTATCCCTTTACGAGTAACCCAAGATCCTAACACATCTACCATTGAATGGTCCTACACCTGACTTTAAAGCAAGTACGTGACCGCTAGGTTGGAGCTATTATGAAAATAAAACCCCCTTCTCTCTCTCGTCCCTAGTCCTTAGGACACCAAGCTCCAAACCCGAGTAGATCGATGTCCAGCATGTTGTTTAGCGAGGGCATTGAAGACCCCTTGCTCGTACTCTCCTCTTTAGTCTGCCGACTCAATGGTTAAATAGAGAGTACCTTAGGTAAATATGCGGTCTCGAATTGCCTCACCTTGGATTTACTATCCTCTTTCTTTTCTCCTTTTCTGGTGGAGTTGGCATGGGCCGTGGCCTCTCTTTCTAGGAGGCTGTCGGCGCCAATGGTGCTGCGGTCGGACCGGATGGTCTCGGCGGTGGTGTTTCTGGGGTGTGGGGTTGTTGTTAGGGGAGTTGTTGTTGGTTTGTTTGTTGGGTGGGTAGGTAGGAGGGTAGGGTTTTCGACTTACTGGGAGTCCATTTCGACGTGCAAGTTGCGGGAAAGGGGAGTTAGGGATGCTGGTTGATTCACTCAAGATATTCTTTACTCCTCGAGGTTGTTGCGAGATTACTTACCTACCTACCTACCTACCTACCTACCTACCTACCTACCTACCTCATATATATATATAAGTCTAGGACAACTTATAATCGAGGCGACGATTGTATTGTGAAGTAATCGTGGCGGCGATTAGTTAAAACCATCGCGCTCACGATTATGTTCTATATTTCACGTTACACTTCTCCCTTTTACCTACCTAATAATGGATTTGTACATATATCCGCACCGGCGTCGCCAGCCTAATAATGGATTTGTACATATATCTCGTACTTGGAGGTCGTTGCCCACGACATCTACCTACTATGTATTGTACATGTGTCATATAGGCACGTGGTGGCTGTGTTTATATGTACATATGGACTATGTACCAATCAAATCTGATGTACCCTACGTACATACATATGTAGTTTCCGCTGATGTTGTTGTTCGGTACGTACATATATTTTTGGTGATACTATATTTGTCCGATGGTTTCACCATAAGCTTCAAGCGTGCTGGTTTTGTTGTATAAACTACACCAATTCCTCCTCGTCCTCCTCGTACTCTTCCCATCAACACCACACATTGACAATAGCTTGCTGGCATTACTAATAAAACCATCCACAATACCCTTGGGTTCCTGGAGTCTCTTATTTTATTCCGGTGATTGTATTGTTTTTCGCGCGTTGAATTGGTAGAACACCAGATCTAGACTGATTGGGAGCGTCATCTGTCTAAAAGACGACCGGCTCGAACCAAATATTGAAGATGATATCTTACGACGAAGTGTGGTTTTGCGTGAGTATTACAGCTCCAAGTGTTCACCAGATCGTTCTATTGATACTATTTACGTATAGTGTCACTGCGCAAATGGGTTTATGCTGGCCTGCCATAATACTTACTGCTCCAACTGTGGTAGAAGAAGATGCGGCCATTGCATCATCACCATCATCGGGCCAGAAGAAACGTCGAAACCAATACCAACAAAGTATACACCAACAAAATATTCAGTGTCTCGGATGAAGAATGATCAGACTAATCCTCAACTTTCGAACCCTCCTACTATTCTTAAAACTGTCCAAAAGGGAAACTTGGGGGAGAAATCCCTACCCCCACCCAACTCTTTGTCTCCCGATGCGCCCCTTCATCTGTCTGATTCAACATCGTTCATGATATATAAATGGCTGGGGTCACTGCAGAAAGAGAGTTACTATGAAATTATTGCCCAAGCATGCGAAAACGCTTTGCAAGATCAGATGAAGAATGCAGGGGATAAAACATCGAAAACTACTTCCACGACACCTATATCTACAAAACCTACAGAATCTCAAACTAGACAACATAAAAGAAAAATTCGAAAAATTTCTGGCGGTATCGATGAGAATTTGGGAACCCCGTCCGTTGAAACCGAAAATTCATTAAAAGAAGCCCAGAAACCACCTAAGTTCGCTTGCCACTTCTACAAAATGAACCAGTATTTGTATTCCTCCTGTGGAAATACCGGCTTCCGTCAACTATGTCATCTATCGGAGCACTTGCGGAAGAAGCACTGCCTGAAACAGCATTCTTGTGGCGTGTGTTGGCGGCCATTCGACAGTGTCGAGGGACTCCAGGCACATATCGACAATGCCAGTGACAATACCTGTCGAGCCACAGGGGGTATACCCATAAACGAGTTGATAATTCCCAGAAAGCACATGGGCGATGACGACAAATGGGACTGGATTTGGGATAATCTTTTCCGGCTGTTCCCTAGGCCTAAGTCGCGTTACTGGGAACCTCTGGATCACAATGAGCAGCTATTCATGAACTTTAGACACTTCATGTCCAAGCAGCTTGCCCAGGTGCTATCACCTACTGAACGCAGGGTCGTCATGGACAAGTTTACGCGCTTTTGTGAGAACTGGGTGGCGAACCCCCCCGAGCCTGGCCACGTCATGCAATTCGACGACGATGATGATGATCATAATAGCAATAGAAAACTCAGCCGCCGAGCTCCTCCATCACATGATAAAAGCAGCACTAACCAAGGAAGCTCGCTCTCTAACATTCCAGAAATCCGGGTTGGATATTCGATAATAGACCCCTCGCATCTACCTAACGATTTCCAAGACAATAATGTGCACCAGGAGTCACCTGGCGCAATCATGTCGCTTCCCTCGAATGTCGGCTTGGACGCAGAGAGGCTGCAGGATCACGAGGGTGATTTCTTCCCCCCGCAGTTTGTTAGCCCTGGCGAATACTCGATTCCGCGTGGGGGTCCGAGTTTGTTTGATTGATCATCACGAAATATACCCTATGTTAGGTACATGTAGGTATTAGGTGCAAGTTATGGATCTGGAAAGAGGGTAGATAGAAGTGAGGACAATGACTGTGATCAATTGCAAAGCATTTGCATCAAAATCTGCGTGGTGGGTGCCCAATAGTAAGAGGCGTTGGGAGTTGATGGATTGGATTTGGGTCAGCACGCTATCGGCACGGAACAATGATTGTGGTGTTTAGGGAACGGCTTTTATTTGGATCGAAAGCTGAAATAGGTACCTAGGTATCTATAATTATTATATTCTGGAAGTTACTGTGAATATGATAATACATGTATCATAGAGGTATTACCTATATATAACCCCCAGTCTGTGTGTTTCCGAGATCCCCACGCCAAGCCACGTTGAAAAAGGGGCTAACCTACCTCCTTACCAAACAGGCAATTTATACTAGGGATAACACGCTAGTACGAGAACTCCTAAACAAAGTGCTTCTTGCTTAGCTTTCAGTAACCTTACGGCCTCGAACAGGCTGGTTGCCCTAAGCCTCACAGTATCGGCCCAGGGGGGAGCTAAGCGGCAGCTTAGCAAGTAGGTACCTAGGTAAATACGAAGATAGGGAAACCGACCCAAGATCTCAGGGTTGAAAGCCACGTGAGTGCAAGGGAGATGTCTACGTAGGTAGAGTTACATGATGCCACTGAAGTTACGCCGGCCAATGCCGTTGCTCGTGAACCGATCAACATCGCCTAGTGCAGCATCCTAGAACTAGCATCTCCTAGGTACCTACCTACATAGGTAGTAGCTGGACTTAGACCGGTTGGGACTCAGCCTTCCGGCACAGCCTTCAAACTTGAACGGACTGCCGGGCCCTAAGTCGACGGCTGTGATATGAGGCTGGCGCTGCTTGACGAAGATGGTCGATTGCGCGGGACGTCGACGACGCCGACCATTGTTGATCTCGGTCGTCGCGCGGGCCGCGGTGGTGAGACGAAGGTCGAGACTCAAGTGTGCGGAATGCGATGCCGGAGACGGCGTCGGTGGTCTACTGTACCTTGGCCAGGTAGCGGCCGGCCGGGGTTAGCAGCACCGGGCCGGCACGCGCGATCCTGAGGACGAAGTCTGCCCCCTATTCCCCACGGAGACACCCCGGTGGCGAGTACCTACACCTTGGGGCATCATGTAGGCCCCAACTCCTACGACAGCTGGGACAGATTTATGGATGCCTCAACGTTCTCAACTGCACACGTGACCAAGTTCATACTTCGTGCTACGGCGGATAAATACTAGGTACCTAGATATACTGTTTCCGCGGACTGATATGTCACCCTCAAATGAAGAACACCTGGGCTGGTGTAGTATTATCATTGACGACAGTATCTGTTCGATTGTCCACAATGAGTTTTTAGTTTTACCACCCTGGTTTCAATGCTAAGCTCCCAACCAGAAGACTGCAGAAGTCATGGCCAACAGAATTCTAAGGGTAGATGTGGGGGAAATCGAGCATTTCCTTAAAGCTTAAGAGCTTCTTAGCGCCCCCTATTCTCCTAATACCCACGTCCACATATGCTCCTACAGTCGTACTGGCTAGGCCACCTAACCGCAAAGCTAGTAGCCTTGCTGGGTACTAGGCTGTATGCTAGTCACGTTACTCCCAATGACGATGAATAACATCGAAAATGACACTGTGGTCGTCCTGCTGTTTCAGTCCAGATACCACCACAACAGCAACGATGCCCTCAACCCCTTGGACCCGAACTGTAGCAAAGCGAATCAATAAGTATTCTGAAAAAAAGCCGCATCATGAATCCCACTTACTAGGTACGCCACCCCCGTGAATCGCATACTTCTCAGCCTGGGTCGGGCTCATCCTAAATACCTTGCTGAAAGCCTCCTCGTTGCCACCGTACTTGCACTGCTGCCACCAGGTGCTGGAGCCTAGCCTCAGCACGGTATTTCTCTTCCTCTCCACCCACAGCTCGTTGTCTGGCGGGAGACCGGAGCCAACGGCAGTCTGGAATAGCACTTGGTTGCTGTTGGGGAGCGAGATGGAGATCACCGTCGCCCTCTGCGCCGAGAAGGGCAAGAGCCTGGCATAGAGGAAATGGCCGAGCTCCCACGCGTCTTGGGCGGTGAAGGACTCCAGAAGGATGCTGTCACACGTGGCTTTTATCGTATCAGGCTGTATACATCATTTAGTTTGGTTTATATACTAGGCATTGCCCAACTAATAATAGGCGCTTTGGATTATTCATGTTCTTACATCGGTGGGCACTTCAGGTATGGCGGGCGGTGATGTGAAGTCAGCCGAAGAGACCGCAAGAACCTCCCGTAGTCCACAGCCAGCTGTTTGATCACGGCGACGGAGGGCCTTCTGTGCCATGGTGAAGAAGGGCTAGTTTGGGTGATAGTTGGTGATTAGTATTTTCACAAGCTAACCTAGGGCAGTGAGGCTGAGAGACGGGTATGTGTATTCTTGACCAAGCTGTACCAAATGAAGAAAAAAAGATCAGAGGACAGAATTGGTTTCACTTTGGGCTCGATTGAAACCACTTGTCATATATAAGTACTCGTATTTTCGATATTACGATTCCGTCCTCAAGCATAGTATACTGCAGATATATTAGTTATTGTTACGTCAGAACTCTTATACTTACCCTATCAGGGACTTAGCTGTTATGTAGGTGTGTCTATTGCAACGTTGAGTCGTTGACGAGCATGTTTTTAGTATATATATTAGGTAACGTAGTAGTACCCTAGGTAGATAGGGTACAGGGCTAGCCCAGGATAGTGGACTACCTGACTTGTTTTCTGAGCAACCACATGTGCACTAAACCAACATCAAACATTGCCAAAACGATTAAAGATAACATTCATTATCTATCGATTTACATATTGCGAAAAATCGCAACGTTACGAAACTTTCGTCCGGAGGCTGGAATAGGTTCACTTGTGGCTATACGTACGGGTAGCTGGGCTGAATATGAAGCTGATGATTATCAAAGGTGTGTGTATGCGAGATTTAAGGTGGGAGGAGTGGCGTTCGCAGTGCGCTAACTATCGCACAGACCAGTAGATCACGTGGTAGTCAGATATGGATTTCATACCCTTTGAATGCATAGATTTAATAGTGCTTATGTTAGTATTTCCTAATTTCCGAGTCGTGTGAGCAATGTATTGCATTTTAAAAGTCATATACATATAGATATCAATATAGCAAATCATTCCTCCTAAATATGTTATATTCAAGACAGCATTTGTAGAGTTATGAGCTCTTAGGTGTTACTATTTGTGTGTAAAAAGGGGCCACCTGCTACTCTGTTTGGCCCTCTACGACGTTACATGTCTACGTGCATAAGCAGATGCTATGTAGCTAAACGGGTTTGGAACCTTTCGCATAACTAATGCTTTCGGGAGCCTTGGAGCCCGCCGTGCACATATTGTACGTTCTTCCCCGCAAGTTGCTGGCATGATGTCGCGTCTAACGGCCGAGTCTCATCCATTCTCCACCGCAGCTGCACTCTAATAAACACCAAACTACTTACCTGAGTATCTACATGTACTACCCTGGGTATAGTACGGAAGATGTATTCAGTGTTTTCCATGAGCAAATCAGATGCCAGCTGTAATGTAGAAGGACAGCTGGTCGGATAGCTTGTCACCTGAGAAGAGATCAGCGCATTACGCCATCAGCTAACTACTGGCTACACCTGCTCAGCAGCAATTGACCAGTTGTTAACATATTTGACATCTGGCAAAGTCTGCTTTATCTTGGCTTTCTTTGGCTTTCACCTACCTGTAGAAAAATTTCAGGTAGCGTCCGCCATAACATTTGAACTTATGTAGGTAGTACTTAGGTACCTACTCTAGCCGAGCTGAAAGAGCTGAAAGCCGAGTCTCATCAAACCCAAGTTGATAGAGTGGCCGGTGATTGAAAAAAAAAACGCGTTGAGGCTGATATTTTTGGTAGATGAGACTTTACACGTATAGTAGCGTTCTTGTCGAGGAAACAAATACCTGATTTGAGGCACGTGTCTTTGCCAATAGCGTCACCGAGAGGACGGAGCCGGAGCTTGTTTAGGATCCCGTCTTTAAAGGTGTGTGAAATCGGTACTGTCGAATGGTTCGGGTCACGTTTCAAGATGCAGGCTTCTGATTGGCGTAGCGATGTTGCATGAAATGACCTAGAGCTTTGTCGCCAAGCCAAAGGACGAACAACCTATTGTTAGATCGCTTACACAACTTTCATGTGAATAGAGGTCTCTCGCCTATCTATCGTAGGCTGGATAGAGTTGAGGCGTGGGAAACAATTCCCTTGTAGGTTTCATTTCTCATGAGCTCATATGATATGGTTGGTATCAATAAAAGAAGAACAAAAGAGAGAAAAGAGAAGGATACCTATGAATGTGTGTTCTGTTGGTGAAGATATTGCAAGGCGCTAGATCCAACCTTATGCAATAGGCTAGTTAACCTAGTACCTACATATGTAGTACCTACATAACTACTAACTAGGTACCCTAGGTAGATACTAGCTAACGTGATGCAATACCCACCTAAACTTTAAACTACGGGTCGATCCAGCCGTCACAAGTGGACTTATGCCACGCAATGCCCCACATAGTTATCCACTCCTCCCTCCATTTCGTGCAGGCGGCGGTTGTCTCTTCAATGTCACTCCTTACATAACTTTGTAGAAGACTTACAACTTTGGAACAACCAGTTTATACATAGTAACTTAGGTATAATATCAGCCATTTTCGTCAACACGTGGGGTTATCTCGATCACTCTACAGCATACTAATGTATCCAGTGGGCCGAATTACGCTTGGCTCAGTCTAAGACAATCCACGATGAGATCTAGACGGACGAATCTTACACAACTTTCACCGACCTTGATACGAATAGTAATGACTGGCTAAAGTTACCATATCTATCTTATATTGATTGAATATTCAAATAAGCCCCCGAGCTTCACAAGGAAACATTGTTTAGATGCAACGATGGCAAGGCTACCAACAGTACGCCGCTTTTGAAGCATTGAAGCATTGAAGCAGCAGCATCCCATCTTGCATACCGGAGCATGATCTTACATATTACATCCTCGCTAGTTTTGTCCTCCCATTGAAGACCTCGTCAGCTATGTACCTAGGTTAGAGACTTACCAGGGGTGCTGAAGCTAGTTACGAATATAAACCCAATGGCGTGCCCAGTAACAAAAGCCTTTGCCTCTTACATCTCTACTCTCCAACACACCCCCTTCACATCCTTGCATCACATTGGACTGCTGCTGTCAGTGTTGTGTAGGGGTTCTCCAAGGGCCTGTTAGCCCATCCGCTAGTTTGAGACCCTTGGGAGCGTGCCGTAAATCATCCTATCCATGCCATTGGGTCGGTAGGGCAGTGTAACGCAGAGAAGAGTTTAATTACACTGATAATCCTCGCATTTCCATATTCCTTCCCAAAGCTCCCTGCCACTTCTAGCCAACTGATGATTTTTCTATTACAATTCTAGAAAACTACACTTTCTTATCAACTTCATTGGGTATAATTGTTGTTATACCTACTTTACATGTATTGATCCACCCTATTTTCCGTGGTCGAATTGCTCTCGTACGAGATTCCGCCGTATCCTCTCCACCTACGCCGACCATACTCCATGTCCTTACGCGATTTCCGAACGAACGAGAGAAATATTGCGAACGTCTCGTAATGGAATTGGACTTCGACTTTATTGCCTATTGGGTAGACGCACGTAGTCCTGCATATACATTTTACAACATACAACAATCATTCACGAGAGACGAGGTACTTGGCTTTCAACGATGACCTCACCCGAGCCGATGACACCGGTAGCCTACGAGCGCACGTATGGAGGTAACCGGGCATTTCACAACTTTTTCAATGATTTTAGTCACATCCAGGACCCAAATTTGAGGCGACGACTTGCGCTGTCAGAGATTGATAAAATCCCCTTTGGAATGTACCATGTGAGGGCCGTGTTGGTTGCAGGCATAGGCTTTTTTCTCGATTCATACGACATATTTGCAATCAACCTCATAACGACACTTCTTGGTGTTGTGTTCTGGCACGGATCTCCGGAAGATGCCAAGAACGGGTACGGAGGAAATTACGGGCACTTGCCGACGCCGGTCAATCAGACTCTGAAAGCATCGACGAGCGCAGGTATCGTGGTGGGCCAGGTGCTATTCGGATGGCTAGCAGACAGATATGGGAGGAGGAAGATGTATGGAGTCGAGTTAGGAATCATTGTCTTCTCAACTCTTTCGTCTTGTTTGGGTACGTACAAAGCCCCCTTCGCCGAGAGCCAACCTCTTTGCATCGTCTTTAGTTTGCTACTTGATTTAGAGCAACTTGTCAATTAATGAGAGTCCGAATAATAACATGAGCTAATTTTACGTAGTTGGCGCCTCCCAAGCTATCAGCTTCACCGGAATGATGACCTTTTGGAGGGTGATGATGGGGTAAGAACAGACTGTCAACCAATTCACCCAACAGTGTGCTAAATATTCAATTAGGATCGGCATCGGTGGCGACTATCCATTGAGCTCCGTGATTACCTCGGAATTTGCGCCAACACGATGGCGTGGTGCTATGATGGCAGCAGTGTTCTCAATGCAGGGGATGGGCCAGTTGCTAGCAGCAGTGGTGGCTTTAGTGGTAACAGCATCTTTCAAAAACGCCTTCGGAAATGCTCCAAGCGTCGACCAATGCGACTATACCTGCCAGATGGCCGCAGATCGCTGCTGGCGCATTATTGTAGGAGTCGGCGCCTTCCCGGCCTGTTTCGCCCTTTATTACCGCATCACAATCCCTGAAACGCCTCGATATACGTTTGAAGTCGCGAAGGATGTTGAGAAAGCGGCCGCTGATATCAAGGCATATGTGTCCAGCAAACCTGAAGGCGAAGTGGATGAAGTCATGCAAGCAAGGATGAAGCTGGTGGCGGGACCAGCACTCAACATACCTTCGGCATCTTGGCATGATCTTTACTGTTACTTCACGCAATGGAAGAATGCTAAAGTCCTGATAGGCACTACTCTATCCTGGTTTTTTCTAGTAAGTATTCTATTCTCGAATATTATTCTCTAACGTTATCTAACCTCCATAGGATCTGGCGTTCTACGGTCTGGGATTAAATAACCAGATAGTGTTACAGGCAATTGGCTATGCTAATGGAGACTCGCTATACCACATCTTATTCAATGGTGCCGTCGGTACCATCATACTTGTTGTCGCAGGCTCGCTCCCCGGATACTGGACCGCCATCCTAACAATTGACAGCATTGGCCGCAAGCCCCTTCAGATAATCGGATTCATTATTCTTACCATCACCTTTTGCATATTGGGATTCTGCTACAACAGCCTTAGTCAAGGGGCTTTGCTGGCTCTTTATGTTATCGCAAATTACTTCTTCAACATGGGACCGAACACCACAACCTTCATCGTCCCTGGCGAATGTTTTCCCACAAGATACCGAGCCACTGGCCACGGCCTCTCGGCAGCAATGGGCAAGATCGGCGCTATTATTGCGCAAGTCATCTCTCTTCCGCTGCTCACTAAGGGCGCACCCACCCCATGTTCGGGTAGAGAATGTAACCCTTGGCTCGACCGGCTGATGCAAATCTTTGCGCTATTCATGTTCTGCGGCACACTATCATCTCTACTCATCCCCGAAACCAAAGGCTATACCCTCGAGGAGCTAGCAGGAGAACCATCAACATCATACAACTCAGGCCGCAACGGCAGCATCAATGCCGTTCCCCCCAAGTCGCCGTGGTGGAACCCTTTCCCAGGTGGCCAGCCAGCTGGCTTTTTCTATCGAACTCGTTCGAGCAGCCGGGCGGGGATTATGTCGACGCCGACGCCCCCGCCAGCACGAGGAAGCACGGATGAGAAGAGGGGCTGGAAGTTTTGGCGACGTAAACCTCGACCCCGTAGCGATAGGTCGCGTTATGCGGCGAGCTCGAGCTCGACGGCGAGGTTCGCCGGGTCCGACGACACTGTGGTGGCAAGTGCGGGGGTCCTCCCTGGGTGGGGGGCCGGCTGGGGTCGGATAGACCGAGGGGGCAACCCTCTCACGATAGACAACATACGGCTGCAAGACGTGGGAAGCCTGTTAAGGTGAGAAAGATACCCGGACTTTTTTTGGGTCATGTTATACTTGGGGTAACAAGGCAACTTGTTGGCGAACCGGTGCTTGGATATATGGGTGTGGCGCAAGGACTTGATTTGGTAATGCTTCAATCGGATTTAGGGGTGTGTGGGTGGGGCTATGCGGATATGGAGATAATGACACCCCTTTCGCATGTATCATGTATGCGCCTTTTCATGACGCCTTAGAGACTGGATATACATTTCCCTCGAGACCCGTGTGTTTCTGGTAAAATCAACCTATATCCCCTACTAATGTCGTAGACGTTAAAGTTGTCTGAAAGGGCCATTCTATGCGGAGCCTGAGTTCATCATATGTCATCTTAGGACATAGGTCAGGTATGAATGCGACATGTACTTCGTATGACCATTCCGAGAACCAAATGTTGATGATTTTGCCAGGCCTTGTCGTCGAGTGTTGCCATCGGATTAGCCCCGCTAGGTTGGTAGGTAGTCGCAACACCACTCGCAAACCCCCATGGCCTGCAAACACAACCTTGGTAGCTTTTTCGAGGCAATGCTGAATCAAATTATACCAGAACCAATGCTAGCGACTTGTAGGTCAACTATGCCTCAAGCTTGGTTAAGCAAATGTCACAGCAAATAATTGCATTCGGTGTAGATACCCTTTACTGCCTCAATCTGAGGTGAATGTATGAGGTGAATCATAACTTTTTTTTTTTGGGGGGGGGGGGGGGGGGGGGGGGGAGGGTTGAAATCAAGCACAAATATGATACAGCCGACCAAGGGGATGAGCGGTTGAGTCACGTTGAAAAGGGGGTCGTCATCCATAATTATGTAATATGCAAGCCGTAGGCTAGGTTACCCGCTAAAGTATCACGTGACTTTTTCCACGTGACCACCTCATACTGCACACGACCCTCTAACAGAGGATTTCCATGGGTGGCCGAGCTATATTTCAGTTAAGGCTCTTTTTAAACATTGATATCGTGCCCCATAAGTGGTACAGCCACATATTTGACTAGGTCAGACATCATGGGCACCATAAACCAATAACGGGCTGGGCAAGGAGGTGCAGTAGTGGACGAGGGTGGAGCAACGAGAAGTACTGTACTCACCATGTAAGGAGCAGCTGGGACAAATGAAACTTAGATTTTAATCTGATATTGCTTTACAAAATGCTGCGTCTCGTGCTTGTAGTCCCGCCATGTTGTAAGTCAGCATCACGAACAAGGGGTCGTGTATAAAATTGTTCGAGGCATGAATATTCGCGAAGGAGATAGAGTACCTGAGTTCTTTTCGAATTTCGCACCAGAGAAATGCCTATGTGTTGGGGATATAAGCAGTTAATTAGATGGGGGTTTGGAATTGAACTGTAAGGGTGAGCGTTCTCGAAGTTGGCAGTTTTTCAAAATAGGGGTCTGTTTTTTATTATTTGGTTCAATACTCCTTGGTTGAAGTTACTCTGTATGGTTACGCGTGGCATGGGCACGAATATATTGATGTATTGCGGCAGAGTAGCTGGTAGCACGTGATGATGTGTTCTTGTGTATTGGAAGTATACCTGGGGTTTCCAGAGGGGGGGTGGTGTGTAAGGGGAATCGAGAGAAGAGTTGGGGACGAATGCTCGGTTGGAAAAAGGGAAAAAAAGGAAAAAGGCGAAAAGAATGTTCGAAAGCGGATTCGAACAGTGGGTGTACGACCCGAAATGCTCAGGCATCAAAGATTGTATTATGAGGTGGTGATTAAACTACTCGGCCAAAGGGTCAAAAGTCAGCACAGTGCTTGAATGAGCACCGTGAAAGTACCTCGTTTGGAAAAATTGGGGCCTTGCCATGTACCTCCAGGTATCCGGATACCTTCATCCAGTGTATCTCTCACCACGACGGTGACAGCAGAGGAAGATATACTGGTTGAATAAAATTGAAAAAATTGCAAAAAGAATTGCAGGTCCCCGAGAATGTGGCGGATTCCCTTCCCTTGCATTGGGCAGTCAGACATTGGAAGACTTCTCTCACCCTTCCCAAACACCGGTGTGTTTGTCATCCCGGAAGACTTCACTGTTTAGTACTCGGTACCTACTCAGTCTTCGCTCGAGGTAGGGCCAAGCGTCCTCGGTTACCTACTCGGGGGGCTCGCTCGCCACTGTGCTATTTCCTACACTTTTTAAATCTATAAGTCATACTCGGGGATGGTATGTAAGTAGGTAGGTAGGTACCCAGGTACATTTGGTCTCTCGACAGCACTACGTACTACCTCCTATATATTGCGTACACATTACCGACCTCTTACTGTCCTTTTTCTTCCCTGAGAACACCATACAACTAAATCGTATCCATTCCTTGTAATTTATAAAGTTCCAACATCAATTCTCTACTTAATAGTACCAATACACTTAACAGTCTTCCACTCATGTTGCCATTCACGTTGCATCTATTGTCGCAGGCAACCCAAGTTATTTCCACTCCCTTCTTTATTTAATTCTAACATATTTTTCAACTTGCACAGCAAAGTAAGATGCCATGTTTTCCCTACACGAGCTACCTCCAAATTGTCAACACGCGAAACTCGAATTTGCTCTTACGCCGATTCAAAATCACCCCAAGACGCAAGCTGCCACCTCCCATTTCCAAGACCAAGATTTCCATGCATTGGAGAGTCCCTCGAGTCTAGCTAGGCCGATTAGCCGGATTGACGTAAACCATAGAGATAAAGATTTGGGCTTGACCTTCTCTGTTGAAATCTGAGGAGGCGGTTTGAGTGGAGTATCCTCGCTATCAGTTGCCGCGTTACGACCAGAGTCTGATTGGGATATAGAAGAATACATATCTGACCCGAAGCCCATCGTTCCTTTCCCACAAGTTTTAATGAGAAGACTAATTCAGGGAACTATGACAGACTTTTTCAATTTTCTGTGGCAGAAAGCAGTAATTCCTTCGCTGCCTAGAGTCTAAAGTAATATATGCTTCAACTCGGCATATTTGAATTTGATTCTCCAGCACCACTGTGACACAAGGTATTGTATCACATCATGCATATATTTATCGGTGTAGATGAGATAAGCAACTATATGTTTTGAATCTCGGTGGACTTTGGTGCTACGTGGCGTTCTTTTTGCTCCTTAATGCAGGTCTCCAATCCAGCTTGCACCACTCCAGAACGGGCACAGGAACCGACGCCACCTTTTTGGGGGCTCCATGTCTTGAGGTTTCTTGGGGGCTTTCTCTAGACGTGCTGTGGATATAGGATGGTTTCCCAACGGAACAGTGCTTGCATGTGCATCAGCTAACCTAGAACCTTGGTGGCCTGGGTTTGTCATATGCTTGTGTGAGTAGTACCATGGGTTCACAGCAAGCTGATGACACGGAAGACCTCCAGGTTTCGTGATCGGTGAGCAACAATGTTTCGGATTGGATTATCGACGTTGCAATACACGAGAGGACATCATATCAGATCATATTACTAAAAACGATAGATATTTGATGAAAGATCAATCGTTCACCTTGTGGCGTAGCAGTATGTTCTGCTACATCCTTTGAGTGCGAAAAGGGGTAAGAACGGAGTCATGTGATCTAAACACTAACGTATTGTACCTTAAGTAATTCAATACGTGGTCTGGGTAATCACGTGACGCCTCTTACCAGGTACCGCATCTACATATGTATAATGTACATAACTATTTTATATAACTTTCGGAAAGAACGTACCATGACGACGTGGACTTGTTTCCATGTGACCTTCTCATATATCACAGACCAGGACCAAATTAGCATGTCAGAATACTCAAATACGATAGCACGTGATGCATCGTATTTGATAGTAGAATTTCCTTCAAAATTGCAAACTATTTCTTATTAGTGCGGATCTTCCCAGAAGTCACACGTTATGAGAACACTAGGTACCTTTGTGCAAAAGTGCCAGACTGACTATAACGCCCCATCCTAGAGCTTGCATATTAGAGTATAGGGACATCATGTGTGCGCAGGTAGTTAAGCAGGTGTGGGACCGTGTCGTGTACCAATGAGTTTCATGAGATGAAATATTCATTGAGAACCTGTATAAATAATGAGATTCCGGGGGAGGCCATGTTAATATAGTCCAGACTATATGCTCAGCCACACTAAGGGTTATATTACGTGGCTAGATGACTATTCTATCAACTATCTACTACCTAGGTACTTATATACATCACGGCTGGATCACTCGAGCGAATGGATGAATATCGCAGTTCATGTATGTTTCTCAAGTAACATTACCCCGACCACAGGCTGGTAAGCGACGGCACAAGGGACCACTGTAATTTGACACACTCCCACTAAGAGAATGCCTCATTATTGACCATCATTGCAACGCTGCATATATGGATACTGAGTAATCAGTGCAGTGCGCTTCGCTGTATCACTTGCCAGCCTATATCCTAGTCGCTATAAAATTGCCTGGTGAGGCTCACGCCCCCAACCTACCTATCCAAGATATAAAGGTCAGCACTGTACAACTTCGTATTTTACATGTCTCCTCACCGACTGTAGGGGGCTATCGGGTAAGGCATAAACAGAGAATGCCAATATATGTCTAAACGCCTCCTCGTCGAGATGGTCGTAGGGAAGACTAAAATTAAGCATGAGGCGGAGGGTTGACGAAAGACCCCAAGTTTATAACTGTTCATTTGCTTGCCCTTGCACCATCCCTCGGCACGTATGCAAGTCTCCTCTATTTAGTCGCTAGGTAGGTACTATCCATCGTATTCGTATTCCTCAGTATATCATCAGTTCGCTATCATGACTAATACCTACACAAGGACTACCTAATAGAGAGTCCAAAGTCGTTTTAGGCACAATGTCTGAGAGCGTTCCCCCAGATGAAGGAGTTCGTCGTCTGGCGGGAGACAGTGAATATCCCCGCACTATACAAATCGAAAGAGTCAAGTCTTGGTTAAAATCCACTTGGACGCAGATATTAGTCAACTTCCTTATCCTAAGTCTCCTAGCAGTTGTAGTGGTATTCGTCCAGGCAACATACACTGCAGAAAACAATTCCGCGAGTAAGACCGCGCTAAACGCCCTCATGAAAGTCAACGCCAGCACCACTATTACAGTTCTCCGTGCCGCCCAGGGCATCCTTTCGGCCTTGACCGCGATGGCACTGACCGATACCCTAGTCAACTTGCAGTGGAGTATGATAGAGTCCCGAGGTGGACTCCCCTATCTTGATCTTCTGGCACTTTCACCCACTACTGGCCTCTCTGGCGCGTCACACCTCATCCATTCTTCTTTTACAAAGTGGCTGACGAAGATGTATGCCCTCCTAAGGTAAATCGCATTTCTTGCCATGGATTCTAGTATTATTCTAACCATTCAAAGGGTGACGTTGACTGCCCTTTTATGGGTTTCAGGGCTAATCCTGTTTTGTAAGTAAAACAACCACCACCCGCTGTAATAGTCAACTACCCACCTGGGTACTCTAGTATCTCCACTGGCTCATGAGACTAACTCATGACAGTTAACACATCGTTCATGACGGTATATGATACGATATACACTTACAATGCCACAGCGGGAGTTGGCCCCTTTAATGCCTCCCTAATTCAACCGTTCATGAATGCCCTTCACTCGTGTTCACCTACATATCCCTACGAAATACTTCCCTACACCTATTACGCGGCTGTTTATACACTCGTTTTAAATCCGCTCATCTCTACTATATCAGAGCCTGTATCGTGCCAAGGGCATAGTTGTGTTTCGTATTTGCTATCCGGCGGTCTCGAGATGGTAACCCCGTGGACTCCCGATGGCCACGAGGATTACCCCATGGTCAAGATCGACAAAGCGCCATCGCTGCAGATGGATTTCACAGCACCGGCTAGTTCTTCATTTCAAGCTACGGAATGCGACGTGTTCGGAGAATATGGGTTCACGATTGGGATCCGTCTTTGTATCTCAGTAGAGGAGTCTACCACTGAACTGCTCAGAGCAGGTCTTTTTGTATGCTTTAACGGTATCGATGGAAATAATTGCAGTGTCAGCGAGCCAGCGCCAAATATTACCGCTACATTGTCTGTCTATACTCGGGAAGCAACTATCATTGCATCACGATCCAACTAACCTACAGCATTGCTAGCGTTGAAGACCTAACGGTACGTAGCCCGATGAATAAATGCACCGCAAAGCCGAAAGGTTGGCAGCAATGAGCACGAAGAGGCCCCTATAATAAATATCAAGAAAAGAAAACCCCTCCGATAAAGAAGAAGTCTAACACAGCACAAAGCCACCCACCCCACCACCACCCTTCGACATCTCCGCCTACCGCTCAGTCCTCGCCTGGCTCTTCAACCACACCGCAGCGCACATCCCCGCGCCCTCCTCCATCGCGCAGAGCTTCTGGAGCTCGCCCGAGCAGCTGCAAGAGAGCAGCTGCGACGGGATCCTGTCGCAGCACTTCCAGAGCGTGCTCGCCTTCCCCTTCTGGCTCTTCAACAGCAACGACTGGGGCAACGTCGACCTGCGGTCCAGGGAGATCATCGCGACGCTGCCGCCGCAGTTCTACACCACCGCCTCGCTCGTCAGCCCGTACGCCAGGATGCGCTTCGACCCGGCCATGTTCGGCCTGTCCCTCGCGCTGCAGGGCGTGCTGGTGGCGTTTATCTGGGGAGTGGGCGTGCTGAGGCCGCGGGTTGCGACCAAGACGTCGGCGTTTCCGATCTTTGATGTCACGCACAAAGCGGAGTCCGAAGGAGCTGACCTTAGGCTGGAGACGAAGCTGCCGAGCCTTGAAACTTCTGGCATTATTAGCGTTGTGAGGGATGCTCAAGTCCATGTGAAGACTGATTAATCCATCATGTGTAGAGAGAGAGGGGTTTAGACAATACTTTGGCGGTCTGGATTGTTTTTTGAAACAGGTGGGCATTTGGAACGCGATTCACACCGAAACGTGGCTTTGTATAGGCTCAATTTAATCTGTCAATTTTTGGTCAATATTGCTTCTAGTATTATAATTATAGCACTAATAAATTTCACGCTCTAGCCCATCTACTATATCCCTTACAGTCTTTGAAAGCCCGTTGTGGTAGAAAATATCGAGTTTTAAAAGGTGGTGATTTAGGTGTAAACCGCGTTCCAAATCCCCGCCTGTTCCAAAAAGGGGCTAACATGGTTGGAAATTCAAAGTGCCAACGTTTTGAAAATAGGATAGGTCATTCATGTTATTTTTTATTACCATTTGTCCCGTATAATACTCGACAACTTTGACTATCCCATTACAAAGCTTTCATTCTATAAACATCCAAACCCATAGGCCTAGGTGCTTCATCACCTCCTTCTCTTCCCTCCACCCCCGGCTTCATCCTCCCCTTTCCTTTTCTTACCCTCCTTGCGCCAGTATTCCTGCTTTTCTCTACGCTCTCTAGCTTCCTTCTTTTCGCCCATTTCCTCCATCTTCTTCTTAAACTCGGTTCTCTTCTCATCCTTCTTGGCCCGACGTCGTGCCACCGCGTCCTTTCGAATCGTGGTCAGCTTCTGAAGCAAGTCTCGCGCTTTTCGTTCTTCTCCACCCAGTACCACTGCGCGCTTCTGCATATACGTCTTGCGCTTCTGTGGCTTTGTCTGTATTATCTGTGATTTGAACGGCAACTCTGCCGCTAGTGCGCGGGGCACCTTGAGAGGATTGAAGTGACGCGTTGCTCGTTCGATGGTTCTATACTTGCTATTGCGGTCTTCAGGCGTAGGGATTCCCTGATCTCGACGAACCTCACCCGTGAGCCGCATCGCCTGCCAATTTCCAAGTAGATTGGTAACGGGGTTGTAGAAGCGGTGGGGCTTGATAGGATACCATGCGCGGAGGAATACCAGATCGCTGATCAGGATCTTGTCTTCGAATGTAGCTCGGAAATGACCATCAGGTTTGGAAAGTGCACGTTTGATCTGGCCTCGAACACCGGACACGGTTTTAATGGCAGCGCCTTCGAACTTAGCTATCTCGAGTGAACTGTTGAACATGTTCTTGATGAAGGCAGTGTTTTTGAAGATCTTGTAGGGAATACCCGTGAGTTTGAGTTTCTTGACGATCTCAACAGATTCGTCGACGGAGAGAACGGTTCCCGTCGCAGCGATTCGAAAGCCTGGATTGGCGGATGAGAACGACTGGAAGCAGACGAAACCAGTATTAGGTGCGATGAGTGGACCATGGAATGTCCCAAAGCAATGCATATGCTCTGGTGTATACTTAAGCATACGGTTTCTAGTCCGCGAATCCGAAATGCTATATATTGGGAGCGACTGGAACCTCCTCCACCCGAGAGAAAAGATGAGGGGATCGTTGGTTTTGAGAATCTTCTTGTGCCATCGATGCCTCTTGATTCGGACTTGAACAAATCCAAACCTGTCTTCGGTTGGGAGCACGCCTCCGACTATAATAGGCATTCGAGCGTTGAAGCTAGTGACGAATTCTGCAGGAACTTTCTCAATCAAGATCTTGGCATACTTGCCGGCTTTAAAGCCTTCGACTGCAACTCTTTGTCGTTCATCCAGTGCTTCAAATTCGGCATTGTTGATGTCGAGCTGCTTCTGAATAAGCGCCTTTTGTGCGTCATACCATTCATCCTCACCGAACTCTTCATCATCGCCAGCTTCGCGCCTAGCATTCGCCTTGTCGTTCTTGAAACCTTCACGATCTTCTTCTTCAAACCTAAGCTTCAGTTCTTCTTTCCGTCGTGCATTCCTTTCACGCTCTGCTTCTAGGCTTTCTACAGGCTCAGGCTTTGCCTTATGCTGTTCGCCTGTTTCGAGATCTTCAAATTCACCATCTCCCTCATCGTCTTTGTTCTCTTCGTCAAACCCATCGAACCCGTCTTCTTCATCACCCCCACCTAGAGTGGTCGAAGTGAAACGCTGGCGAAGCTGTTCAAGGTTATCTTCCAGTGACCATTTAGCTGCTAGTTGATCATAGTCGTGTTGAGGAATGGGGCGGTCTTCTGAGGTAGCATCATCGTCGTGCTTTGCTTTCTTGAAGAAATCCTCGTCGTCAGAATCTTCGATGTTTTCCTCCAGGGGGTCTGCCTCAACTTCCCCTTTCCATCTTCGTAGTACTTCATCAGCCGTTAAAGCCTCGTCATACATTAGACGTGCAAGATCTGCCGTCCGGTAAGATCGTTGACTACCGTGAAGTAATTGTGCTTTCCCATCTAGATTGTCCTTCCAGCGGAGAGCAGACTCCTCTTCATCATCGTACTCATCTTCTTCGTCTTCTTCGTCTTCGGTCTCGCCATCTTCGTCGAATTCGTCACCTGAGATAGAACCTAGATCAGAGTCGCTATCGGCGAATGCAATATCGTCTTCGCCAGCATCTTTGTCTGATTCCTTGAACATCTTTCCCAGCTTTTTCTCGTTAAACTCGGGCTCTTCGTCCGAATTAGCTTCGTCTTCACCGCTGACGAAGCCTTCATCATCTGGAACTTCTTCTTCGTCCCCATCCGTTTCGGCAAATCTCACGGTCCGTTGTTTCTTTCGTCCCGTGTCTTCTTCTTCGGGAACGCTCGTTATCTTTTCGCCGCCCCGGAAGAGTTGAAGGCCGTCTTCTGTTTCACCTAACAATCGTCTTTCCCCTTGGAGTCCTATGATAAGTTCTTCACCCTCACCACGCTCCGCGTAATTGACGTCTTTGTCGAAGGTGAATCCCTTGTCTCTGGTAATCCAGATGGCGTCACCATCAATTTTTAAACCACTTCGATCAGACATGGGAGCATGAAGCTTCTTTTCCTTTTCATCTAGTCTTCGTCTACCTGTTTTCCCCGTTGCTTTCGCAATAGCTTGCTCCATGGCGGGTGTTGGGCAAGGGTCAGGTAAGGCTTCTATACTTGATACTGAGAAATCTCCGAGTCCGGGGATATGAACGCTTTGATTATGACCTGAAAAGTTGGTACCCCGGAGATATCCAGAAAGAACAATTGATCGATCGCAATTTTCGTCCTCCTCAATCTGGGTAGGGTGCGTGATATCGCGAAAACTGTCTATGACGGCGTAAGGGTGTGAGTTTCTCCAAATCAGCGGCCGAGGATTTTTCATAACGGAGAGGAAGCGAGATAGATTGTGGATTTCCCGATCCGGGTATCGCCCATTTATGACACCAGACAGGTAAAATAAGTGTGCGCCCTGGTACAGCTCCGTCCATAATCTGTGCTTTAACCTCTTCTTTGCATCTTTCAGAGCCTGTGGTTTTCGGAAAAGATCCAGGTGGGTGAGGATGCCGAACACGTTGCCAGGCATACCTGTAGCAGCCAGGACATTCAAAAACTCCATGGTCTCCATCTCAAAGCCAAAATTCCCGTCAATCATGAGGAGAACGATATCAGCCACCTTGGCTATGTCCACCATCGCTTCGAGTTCGTTCGGGCATTCGAGGAATGTCAGCCGCTGTTTCTTGGATGTGACAATGGTGATGGGACCTTGGGGGTCCGTGATGGTCTCCTTCGCATATCTGCGAATGAGTGACTTTAATAGGGTTGTCTTTCCAACACCAGGCGGTCCAACGATTGCCACAAGTCTCGGAGCAGGTTCCACCGGTAATCTGTCGACGAGGGGGACATGCAGCCGCTTTTCTTTTACCTGAACGGTGTTATATTAGTACAAATCACTACAATGGGGTTCATAAGAATCAAATATGCATACATCATGGGATCTAGCAGCGGCACGGTGAAGCTTGCCAGGCCTAGAGAAAGCAAAGGCTTTAGGATTGCGATCTAAAATTGTCAGTGAGGACTCGAGAATTATCGAATGTAAATCGGGTTTACTGACCACCGACAGGCTGCTGCTTCTTCTCTTTTGATTTGCGATGAGGTTTGTGTGCTTGTGCCTCCATATTTGCGACCTTGCGACTTCAATCGCAATGTTCACTATTTTGGCAGTTGAAATGCACAATGATGTTCAGTCTCTCTTTTTGCGATTGCGATTAACAGCAAAAAAAAATGTTTGGTAAATTTTGAATTTGATCGTTATCGATAGCGATAGAGCACCTATACTAAGTGGGTCGTAAAGGGCTACTAGGTAGGTTATGTACAATACAGTACATCCAAAGCTAAAGCTAATCAGCCTATGAGATGCGCTATTCCTCAGACCCCTGATTTCTCTTGCCGGGTAGCACTTGAGGATACTAGCGGCTTAAACAGCCCAATGGTATGCTTATGTAAAGTAGTTACAGGGTACATGGAACCGGACATGAGAACATTGAATTCAACAACTTGAAGTGGTGCTGCTTTCACATGCGGAAATCGCGCTCAATGAACAATTTGCATTCCAAACGTCAAACTTTAGTGATTTACATACCGGTAGCTAGTGATTCCGAAATGTCTATGTAGATAGTGGATATCAATAGCATTTTTGGTATTGCATCATGTAGCTATGTACGACTGTGTAGGTACTACCTAGTACATACTACATAGGAGGTGGGTTGTCTATACAACTTAGCATAGGAGGGTCCTAGTATTCGAAGCCCAAGATCTACATATATCATTGATAGGTATCAGAAGAATACTTCCAACTGGGCTTGTAAAACCCGGATGAGTCAAAACCCAGTTGACACGAGTTAGGCATCCTTACGGTGACACCTCCAAGACGTTAATTGGTACTTATACAGTTGAAGCGTAAAGCTTGAAGCTTGCTTCATAGGTCAGACGGTGATGACGTATTTAACCTTGAACCAGTCCAAAGCCTCCTACGCGTTCCTGCCAAAGGTGATAGCACTTTAGTAAAGGCTGTGCCCTGTGATAGGTACGTAACTCGGACGCTACGCGCACTCTAGCCAAGTCTAACTCTTAATAAATTGGCATGCCTTTCTTCACTTCTACCTTCCAAGCCCAACTTTGTCTCGTCCTGCATCAACATAAACTACTACAACAACTCCTGTACCCTTCCTCCTTGTGTTACTCTGCAAACAGCAAGCACTTCAAAAGACCATCTAATAGACGTTTATTCCACATCACCACATCCATCAGAATGCCTACCTACATTGTAAAGATACACTTGCCTACAGCATCATAGATGCCGAATTCGATGAATCACTTTTGCTTACATGCCCAATAGGTCACCTGCAAGTCGGACGCGACCCCTGAGCAAGTAGCTGCAGCGAAGAAGCACGCTCAAGACCAGGGCGGCAAGATCGGCCATGAATACAATCTCATCAAGGGCTTCTCGTAGGTCATTTCTTGTTATATATGTCCAGTCACTATTGCCACATTGTTTCGCTAAATGCTGCTGTTGGACAGGGTCACATTCCCCAATGATGCCATTTCTACGTTAGAGTCTAGTGAGCATGTTCAAGCTGTCGAGTTGGACCAAGAGGTGAAGGCTTTTTGAATACCTAGCTAGGGTAGATTCGACCTGGGTCAATATCATTTCGTGATGACGAGTGAGGGGCAATCAGGCAATGGGGGATCATGGCACGAGCGACTTTCAGCAAGCGGGAGCGAGCACTCGATGCGGGGTTCTGAGGTTAGTGTCTTTTGTGATACTTACATAGGTACCTACCTCAATTACGTACAAAGCTTGACTTGACTTGACTGGGCTTGGCTACATACTATGCATATCTAGCGTATATGTAGAACTTGAAGCTGCATCGATATGTAGTGCTTGCCAAGGAACAAGCTGAGAAATGCCTAACCGTTTTAAACTTATTTATCCTTCATATGACTGGCTTAAGTGTAAAATGGATTAATTGAGGTGTTCACTGTAATGAATTGTATTCTACTAAACTTGAAACAGGTCAGGATTGGAGAGAGTTGCGAACATTAAAGAAAGAGCAACAAGAAGCAAATGTATGTAAGTTAGAGAAGGAATGATCGGCAAATCAATTGACTAAAGTGAAAGATAACTACACTGATACAGTGCTTATCAATTTAATTACATTGGTATTTTTCTGCACTGATGTGACGTCGTTGTAATATCCGGGGGTCATTCTTGGCTCGTGACTCCTTCACAATATCCAAAAATATTATATTCTTTTCTTTGTAACTTTTTTTTTAATTCTTCCCTTGCCCTTTATGACTCTTACGACTCCAACTTACCCCATCACCACCCAACTTCCTCTTCGTCTTCCCGTAAACACCACACAATGCCGCCATGAGTAGTAGGATATTTAGGCCGTTGCGGTGTTTCCACACACCCAATGCCTCGATCATATCAAGGCGCAACGTCCTCAGACCATTAGCTTGTTACTATTCTTCACATGCTGCAGACACCACTCCAGTATCTTCTGACCAAAAATGGTCCCATCCTCCCAGTACTGCGACAGTAACGGACGACGAGATTGCCGACCTCACCAACAAGCACCAACACCCGCTAAGTCTCGCTGATCTGGTCAAGTAGGTTTGCCCTCCTTGTGCTGTAAAATACACACATATTCGCAGTTCCTTTCACCGCCTCTAGTGGTAAGGGGTAATGGGTATATACGAGATGCATATTCTTACATATGTGGACTTCACCTGAAACGAAAATAATGGATCTACCTACGCGAGCTTTTTAGGTCCCTAGTTAGCTGACAGACCATAACCACTCGTAATAGACACGGCCGTCCTCCCCTATCGGCCGAAGCCCTCTACTCTTCAGCCAACTTCACGCTATCTCTCTTGCCAATTCGGCTGGCGCACCGCATTCAGGCATTACGAAACTTGCCTTACATCGTGGTCTCTAATCCCAACATCAGCAAGATCTACCAGAACTACCTGCATTCGCTGTCGACCTTGCTTCCCTGGAGGCACCGTACTATTGCGAATCTCGATGCTGGGATACGCTTTACTTCGGTTCTTGCCGAGCTTGTCCAAACACACCAAGACACCATTCCTATCCTAGCAAAAGGCTTCCTCGAATGCCGCCGCTACATATCTCCTCGCGAGGTTACCCGCTTCCTCGACACTCACCTGCGGACTCGTATCGGTACCCGTCTCATAGCCGAGCAGCACATTGCTCTTCACTATAGCAGTCTGCCACACTTTGACCCTTCCGCTTCACCCACCCCCTGCCCCGAGCATCCCTCTTATATCGGTGTTATCGACACAGCCCTGTCCCCGTCGGCTGTTGTCGACTCGTGCGCAGGCTTTGTTGCCGATATCTGCGAGCTAAAGTATGGTGTCCGCCCACACTGGGTTATCGACGGCGAGCCCGACACGACCTTTGCGTTCGTCCCTATGCACCTAGAGTATATTGTGACGGAGCTTCTTAAGAATGCCTTCCGCGCAACTGTCGAAAGCGGCCGTAGCCGCGAGCCCGTCGTCATTACCATCGCCCCCGAACCTCCCGACACGGCGGGTCCCGCCAGCGTGACTCTTGATCGCCCCACCGCAGACAAGGGCGCCTTTAAGATTGACGCCATCAAACCCCTTGACGACAACGCTCCTGGTGTCACTATCCGCATCCGCGATCGCGGCGGCGGCATTGCTCCGGAGGTCCTGCCCAACATCTGGAGCTACAGCTTCACTACGTTCAGTGAAGATGAAGCCGACGAAATTCCCACTGGGGGCGGTCATACCAGCGCCGGGGACATGGCCAATGATGCGCTAGGAATTATATCAGGGGCCAGCAGCGGTGGGAGCTCCATCGCGGGCTTGGGCTATGGATTGCCGCTAAGCCGAGCCTACGCCGAGTACTTCGGTGGTGGTATTGCCCTGCAAAGTCTCTACGGCTGGGGAACCGACGTATATCTACGGCTCAAGGGCGTAGGAAAGATTGACGATGCGATAGCTCGATCATAGTGGTGCCGATGAAGATCATCTTATGTCAGATGTTACTATCACGCACATGTATGTAGGTACCTAGTACCTATGTATGCCTAGTATGGGACTGAGTATGTGCATCTGGGTAATTTAAATTTCAGTAAGCCCATAAGATCATACATTAGTATGTAATTTGCAAATATGGATGTATCTACTTAGCACCTACCTACGTGCCTGTCTTGGTAAGGAGAATATATCTATGTATCTAGGTACCTAGACCTTGAAGAGAAACAAAATACATCATAGCAGTTGAGCGATTATGTTCACGACACCTAATCTGTATTTCGACCTTATGTCAAACCACGAAACAACAGCCTCCCTCCCTCCCTCTCATCAACACTTGTCGAGGAGAAACGTACAATCTGTTTTTTGCCGTGCTGTACCTCGCTTACCAACCAACCCAATGCTCACAACAAGATGTCTGTCTATAACTATAGGTAATATTGAATAAACAACAACTTCAGATGAGTTACTACCTAGTACCTACGTAGTACCTACCTGATGAGATAGAATAGACCTATGATTCAGGGGTTTGTTAGTATGGAGTAAGTACATAGGCAGATAGTAGGTAGGTAGGTAGGTAGGTAGGTAGGTACCCATCAATCAAATGTCACTCAGCAATATTTTCAGTTTTAATATGTAGTAAGTAGGTAGGTTCTATTATATCCTATCCCAGAAAGCTTTTGTTGAGACGACGATTGGGGGGGATGAGAGAAATTGAGCATGAATCGATGTAGCATTATATAAAACCGGAACCAGAGCGTGTAGGTAATCTTAAAAACATCAGTTACTATTACCGCCACGACGAATACATGACTTTCTTGTGCAGGTGAGCTAGATAAGTAGGTACCCAGTAATTTGTGACTTGTTTGTAAGAAACGCCAACTAGGTCAAGTAAAGATTCTTTGGATCGTCCAGATCCTCCCTTAAGCCTGCCAGTATCATAATCAAACATGATCAACTTGAGTTGCTTGTTGTATGTACATCCAAATTAGTCCCGTAGGTAACTTTTATATCTCCAAAACGATAATAAACAAATAGGGAAAGACGAGACGGCTACATGTTAGCCAATTCATTATCAATCTGGCGGTCCAGGAATGCCCTCCGCTCGCCCGCCAACTCCGTCTGCAGTCGTTGCTCAACAAGAGCACGCACCTGCTTCTTGGTTACAGTGTCGAGGTCGACTTCTCTCAGCACTGCTTGAATTGCATCCACAATCATGTTATCGTCAGGTCCCATATGTCCCCGTTGGAAATCAAAGGACGTAGTGGACTGATGACCTTGACCTAACTGTGGACGGAAACCGCCAAGGCCAAGCGTGGCATTAGAAGCGCGATGCATCTCAAGTTGTGGGGAGTTAGATACAGTGCGCAGGTTGCTCATGCTAGGTCTGTGCCCGGGGGCATCCTGGTAAGGGGTTTGCATGTGGTGTATATCGCCATAGGAAGCAGTAGACTGTCGGTTCATTGGATTGTCAGTGTACGGACCGTAGTTAGACTGGCGGGACATGTGTTGAAAGGGGGCCGGCGATTGGGGTGGCATATATCCACCGCGACCCTGAAGACCGGTGAGAACCGAAGGTTGTCGGACTGACGAGTACACGGATTTCATGTCGTCCATCTCATATGTGTCATCATATATATCTTGCCCCTTCTCACTATGGAGACCACGGCGGCCAGGGAGGTTGTTCATCATGGCATAATCATCCCAGCGCTGCAACGGAATTGACCGTGGGTCAAAACCTTCGTCGTCTACTGCGACGAGCTGTTTATTGCCCTTTTCACCAATGACAATACGAGTATTACCCCAGGAGAAGTTGTCTTGGTTCCAGAACGAGTAGAGCGGGAGGATGAGTGAATAAACAGGGAACGCCAAAAGGTAGATGATCATCCATCCGATATGTTGCCACTGCCGCTTTAGGATGAAAATCAAAGCTTGGAGACCATAGACAGCGGCAATCATGATGAGGGAAATGGTCGGGATCGGTCCAGTGTGAGTGGCAAGAAGGTATATGAGATAACCCATGTAGAAGCAGGTGGCTGGGAGAATGATTGTTCCAGTGAGATCAATGAAGACAACAAAGCGCATGGAGAAGCAGCAGAAACCGCACATGTCTTTGAGCAGCATCAACTCAACGAGGTTGTGGATAGTCGAGTTAATCCATCTACGTCGTTGGGATAACAGGACGCTCCACTTCTCGGGGGCCGCAGTTTGGCAGTATGCGTCGGAAATGAACTTGTACGACATGTATGGGAAATGCTTCGTCATCAGAGTAGTGAGGTATCGATCTTCGCCAAGAGACAGCAGGTTCTTCTTGTGTAGTGTGTCGACATTGCAGATACTGTAATCCTTGATAACGCCATCGGAAATGATTAAGGGCTTGCCTCGGTCAGCGGTGCGCAAACGGTACATAGTAAAGCTATACCAAGTTAGCTGTATGATCATAAAAGTAGCATTAATGTGGGTATACATACCATCCAGGAAGACAGGTAACACTGCCGAAGAGGGACTCAAAGGCCTTTGCTAAGTGATGAGAGATGTAGTACTCGTAAACTTGAATCATACTCCACCATGATCTTTCCTCATTTTGCAAAGCTGTCTCGCCACAAATTCCAGCAATCTTCTTGTTATTGGCGCAAGCAGCAACCAGCCGGTTCAAGGAGTCTTCCCGAACGCAAGTATCGGCATCAACCATGAGAAGATATTCGTATAGTTCAGGGTCGACGCCGATGATATTATTGACTTGATGGAACATTTCAAGCTCGAGAGGGTTCATCGGTGCTCGGTGGTGAACGCGGTTTAGGAAGCTCATGAGCAGAATTTGGGAGTCACGTTTGCCGCGGTTACCAGGCTTTGCCTTGGATTGTTCCGATTCTTTGCCAACCTTGACCACGACAAGGTAAGGGACCACGTTGCCTTCGTATTCATAAAGCCCAGAATACACTTTGCCATAGTTCAGTTGTTCGCTACCGGTACCGACAGACTTGAACGGCAAGGCTGGCGGGTCGACCTTAGGGTCCACCCCGAGGATATCCAAGACTATCTTCGGTGTAGGGCGATCGTTACCCTCACCTACAATAACACCATCACAAATGACACAGATCAGTTTCCTCTTGTTGTCATATTGCAGAGCCGTGAGTGAATCCAGAGCCTTTCTTAGGGAGTCTTCTCCTTCTGTGTACGCTGGGACCTGACAGATAACAAACTTGTCTTGTGGAGCAGGGCGTCGTTTAGAGCCAAACTGCAGAGCCGCAAGGAACTTGGTTACAATGACAGCGCAGATAATAACGGCGAATGCAAGAAGGATGTAGTTGTTGGCTTGGCACTTGGCGGATTGGCGGAAATCGGGTATACCAACGTAGAACGTCTGTTTAATGCAGTTGATGCTGTTCATTTTAGCACTCAGGGCTGTTCGGTTCGATCTGCTGTTGGCTATTTGAGTGTTCCATAAGGTTGTAACATCTTGGCCTGGATTCTCCCTAACTGTCTCGATCAGATTGGAATCAAGAAAGTTGTACTGAGCTTGGGTCTTGTAATAATCAATGGTGACGAAATAGTTGGTTAGATCGTAGATGCTATCTTCGTAGATAATCCACATATGGTTATTGTTCTTCCCATCATCGTGGACTTCATTGATATCCCAGACCAGTTGGCCATGGTAATACTCCTTGATCCTGGGTTGGAAGTCGTCACGATACCAAGTAGCAGATCTCAACTTAGTTGTCTGATCGGGTTGGAAATAGCCAGATGTATGCACACCCTGGGGTAGTTCGGGGGTGTTATTCCTCGTAAGCTGAAGAGTTTCACTGATGTCCAGGCCTGGGCAGGAGAGTTGGAGGGGAGCTACAAAGTAATCATCCAGGTTCAATCCAGCGAATGGTTGCATTTGATCGTTCGTGGTTTCGATGTTGCTATCACTATGTTGCAGTCGCCAGAAATTTGAGATGTCGTAAACATTGCCGTGAATACTGACCCAGAAGTCATCCTCACCTCCGTGAGTAGCGACTTCTTTCTGAAGCCATGCTTTGTCGTAGTTAGGACAGATAAGTCTACCCAGCACAATAATCCAGAATACGATGAAAGTGTTGATCAGGGCGATGAAGAATACCAATACGAATTTTTCTCGCCAGGCCATTCGAACGTCTGGCCGCTTCATTCGACCAATGTGCCGGAGCGCGAAGGAGGGAATCCAGAAAGTCAAAGACCAGACTATACCGACCCAGAGACGACGTCTGAATGTCGTATCCACGGTCTCAACATGCTTGCCTCGTGCGTCGTCGGGATCAAGGTGGTTGATAAAGTCGCCTTCAGGGGTATAAAACAGTTGGTCTCTGTTTGCATCACCCTTATTTCCCAAGCCATAATCCCCAGTGGCGGCGTTGCGCATAGCGGAGGGGACTGCGGATGGTGCCCTCATCTGACTCTGTGCGAATGTAAGTTGGCTCTGGTTGCGTTGATGATTCAGAAGTTGATCTCGGCTGCTGTTGGAGTTGTGATCAGGGATATGCGCAGGGAAAAAGCCACTGCCATTATGAGAATAGCCCGTCTCAAGCCCAGGAGTGTTGAAGACGTTGCCCATGCCACCCTGCGACGGCTTCAAGTCGAGCATACTTTCAGCTTCCCACCAGGCAGTCTCGCGCATCCAAACTCGCTCTTTACCTATGACCACTTCGCCATTACTCCATCCTCTTTCAAGTATCCAGGTCTCGATACCATCTTTGCCTTCCCCACAACCCAAGGGACCAAATCGTTGTGCGAACTCATCCAAGTCGAAATCTGCAGTGAAATCCAGATTCTTGTTCCGACGGTTGGCCCATTCCGGTAGCCTCCATGCGCGCAGTTGGCGGGAGACCGTTCCAGCAGACCAGGCAGACGTGACGGAAGGTAAGGCTGCTAGACTGGCTGGGGTTTCGTCCGTGGGGTGGAGCGATAGATGATACCACACACGGCTGGCAGTTAGAACAGCTGGGAGATCGAACCGCGCGTTTCGACCTAGGTTTATGCCCTGACCAGAAACAGGGAAAAGTAACTTCTTGATGAAGCCGTCGTTGTCACTGGCAAATCCAACCTTTTCAAGAATTTCTTCTCGTTTCTCAAGTTCGTGCTGCCTCGTCCGTGCAACTGGGCCATTCATGATGCCCAGATCAGGCGCCACCTCAGCAACACTGGCCTGCATTTCTCGGACTACAGTGCTGCTGGCAGAAACCACATCTACCCCATCCTCCTTCATTTCGGCATTGATCCCTAAGCTATCGTCGAAAATGCCACGCATTGCAATAGCCTTGCCGAAATTAGGATCCGGAATCTCGACTACGGTAATAGAGACGGTGTCCCCATTATCATCAACAGGGGTCCTACGTCCGTCGAGGGACTCTTCGCCATCTCGAATACGAGACATTTGAAGCGCAATGGTCTCGTTGGCTTTAGTGACTACCCAGTCAACGAGGGCCTCATATAATCCTCCGACTAAAGTCCGTCTATCATCCGTCGTGCACTGCCTGGCCAAAACTTCAGGGTCGAGACCGAGCAATCCACCAACATCTTCACATACGTCATCGAGGACTTCATCGTCGACGTTGTAATCCAGGGTATCACCAAGCTTTAGAAGCCCAGCGAGAGTTGAAATGAAATCCCGGTGCGTGGAGCCCTTGACGCCAATTTCTTTTAAGGCGGCGCGGAAGTCATCTGCTGCAGCACCATCGTCGGCTGTTGGAAGATATGAAGGAGGGTCGTAAGTGCCAGACTTGGCGAGTAGCGAGTAGCTGGAGGCTGACTTGAGACCCAGGAATTCTCGTTCAGCTGGTGTGGAAGCTGAAGTCAAGAGGTAATAGAAGACATCAAAAGCTCGGTAGCCAGCTTCAGCGGGGATATCAAGCAAGCCTTTTACGGTATCAATGCCACCTTGTGATAACGCTATACTAGCTGCAGTCAAGTTGCCGGTAAGATTCAATGTCAAGGTTACAGCAAGGGCGGATTGTCGTGGAGTAGAGGGGTTATAGGGTGTAACGCAGCGGATGAAGGGATTGATTACTTCAAATGCAGCGAAGAGAGATGAAGGGAGAGATAGTGGCAGGGACGAAAGGAAAGGGCTCAGCAGTGAGGGTGTTGATTGATGTAGGGACCTGTATCATGAATAAGCAACAAGAACGTTGAGTGAATAACAATTCGACGGCACATACCCTAGAACAATGCAGCCATCCTCGGCTCGGCGCCTAGCATGTTCCCAAGCTCTAGCTGCCAAAGCACCATCCACAGTCCCCCCAGTTCTACCATCTGGACCCGTTTGTGTCGCGGTAAGCCATGTGTTGACGACAAGACTAGTTCCGGCATCCAGCCGATAGGGCTGCGAAGACAGGTAGATATTATGAATGCCGTTTAAGAGAGTGGTCGTCGACACTTGAGAGGCTTGTTGTCCAGCACTTCGTGACCCCCCCATAGCATCGGAGGCCACCGAGTACATGGACATGCGGGCTTGTGGGTTAGCCATGTTGGACTCGGTTGAATCGTGTCGTCCCAAAGGACTACCACGACAAGGTTACGCCCCGAGTCTAATACAGATATATATACGGCTGATCAAAATAGCAACGAGTAGATTTCAGATATGATGTATGATGCTCCCCAGGAAGTAAGAATAGCTTCAATCGTATATTTGAGGGGTAGTTAGCGAACGTATGCCGAATAGATGCAGGACAGAGGAATCGTTTCGAACGGCCAAAGACGGAATGGATTCGCTGGTTTAGGAGTCGGACAGCGAATGGCACGAAGATGCACCTATTCTAAATCGTATAAGACAAATTACAAGTGCTAACAATTATTAGAAGCGATAGACTGTCGCATCAGCCAAACGAATGAGGTTGACTTGACAAGAAGGTTGGAAATGGAGAAAAAACGACAATATGATGGATGATGCTCACAAAGACAGTAAAATCAAGGTAAGTTCAGGGAGGTTAACCGTGGGATAGTCAAGTTAGAGAATGGCATCGATTAGGTAGACCAGACTACGGATTAGGTACAATACCTTTCTCATCCCTCCCCCCATGATGTGAAAAAGCAGGCTACCAGGACAGGGTATGGAGTGACATGGTTGAGATCGGTACGAACGCAGTCAAAAAGAGTACATGGGAAGCACAGTGCGACGGGGTATCCTAGCTAGGTATACTATTAACGGTTTAGCGTGTATCTAATTTTTACTCCTTGGAGAGGCTCTGGTGTCTTGGAAACCGCCCAACGGACTAGGCCCTAGGGTTACTGTACCGTACCTGGACTAATAAGTAGAATACGATAGGCTCGTGATTTAGCCCATTTTAGTTGATCAATTACTACTAGTAGTAAATTCATGGATGTGTTTGGCATCGAGGCGTGTTGATCCTTCTTCGTTTGCTAAATATTTACCTACATATGTAGCACTAAATAATACTATGTACTCCAGAGTCCAGTCTCCAGCTACATAGGTCCTTACATACCTAACATAGTTACTAAGGTCTAGTGTACCTACCAGCTGGGAGAGCCCCCTAGGGTATTGGGTATTGAACCTTCAGAGTCCAGCTAACGTTACTAGGTACCTAACAATACATATGATTATGTACCTTAGTAAAGTACCCTACCTAGCAAGGGTCTTGGAGACTTGGGCTCCTTTTTTATTATTTTTTCGTATGGAATTCTGTCTTCTATTTTTTCCAGAAGCGCTTTGTCCTTGCACTTATTTCATCACTACTGGCAATCACCAACAGACTAGTGGGATAATTATGGTGATGATTGACAAGATCGATCAAGAATTGATCATGAGTAGCGCACGCAACAGGCAAGGGCCCCTAGAGAACTATTGCATAGTAGAACTGTTATGCCCGCTACCTACCTGTTCAGTATGTATTATTCAGTATGCAAGTTCGGAATGGAATTGACGTGGCAGCGGTGGACGAATGGTATCACAGATATTTTGGCTGGTTGTTTATCGCATGACAAATTGGCATGGAATGATTGTGGTTTTACACTATTAGCCCTGTGAGAGTGAGCGGGGACAATACGAAGCGGCCAAATGGGATGACAGGCGAGACAGGTCAACAAGCCTTTTCTCCAACCTGCTTGTGCCACTTTGGTTTATTTTTGTCTTTTTCTTTAATCATTCCCTACTAATAGTTACCATACATCACGAAACCTGCCTACCAGCCTACTTGGGAGGTACACAGCCACACACACATTCACGCTCACACACAACATTGAGAAAAAAAAAACAAATAGTTACCAGCAATACGAGCCCACCCGTCCTGACTCCTGACTCCTTACATTTATTGACAATACAATACACCAGGTTAGGTACATACTAACTAACCTAGTAAGGTCACTAAGGTGCATACATAGGCTATTCAATGCTACATATTACAATGGTTGATATACATATGTAATTCTTCAATGATGTTATAGTACAATACAGTTATACACACTACAGCTAAGTATACTACCCACTCACTGACTCCCTTTACTCACTAACGGTTAGCCTACTCCATACCACAGTCTACTAACTACTCCATACTGGTAGTTAGGTTACATGGAGATACTAAAAGTTAGGTAACCATCTAAACGTTATTGTAGGTAGATGGCGGGTGTAACGGTGGGACAGCCTTAAAGAACATTAAAAAATTGAATTGAATTATGCAGGTAGGTACCTAGAGATGGTTGACGGATGCTTAATTCAGTTCAAGTCGTGAATAACCTTATTCTGCCCCAGGTATATCACCAAAAAGGAAGATTGAAAGGAAGAAGATAAAGCTTCTTGGCGGCTGTGATCGTTTTGCAACTCTATTTCTTGCATATATTACCACTGGTTGCAGCATGTCAGTCGCCGACAAGCTCAGGAAAGGAAACTATACCATCATTATTCTTATATGTTCACCCCAAATAACTACTCATGCCATCCATACCATCAATACAGTTCACTGCATCTCTCGGTCTACATATATCATGTGTAGTTTCCCCTCTCTGTCTACGTAGGTAGGTCATTGAACATGGGATATTGTAAACATTAAAGACCAACTCATTTTGAATTACTCCGTGTTCGATATGCTCTCGTCAGCATCTAATACACACATACCCAGACATATTAAGAATCATTGTCTTCAAACATCCATCAAGCCCAGCCGCATGGATACGATCACGGCGTTTCTTACTTGCTTCAGGAGAAGCCCTATGTATGTAGTGTGTAATCGCCAAGTACAGCCGTTGCACGGAGTATCAAAATACAAGAAGAAAAAAATCGAGGTAGGATGTTACGCAGCTAGCCAGCCATTCCTCTGCTTAAACGATCTTATGTCACTCTGCATGGCGCTCTCAGTTAAGTAGTTGTCTCGTCTGCCCGATCATTAATGGCCTATCAGACCGGTTTTCTATCCAATCCACATACCAGCGGCGTCAGATATCTAACTCGGATCGGTTAAGGCAAATTGGACCCTTCAATGGTTTTCTGAGACATACATGTTAGCATTACGAAGCCATGTTTGTTGATATCTGATCTAGACTACGAATGTAAACAGATGGCATTCCTATGCTCAAGCAACCCCTCCCTACCCACATAACCTCTGATAGAATCTCAAGTTTCAATGTCTACATATGTATAATCAGTTGACACTGTTATCCAAAATCTCTAATGATCTCTTGTAATGCCTTCCCACATTGTCGGGTAGCGTAGCTAGGCTGTTAGGATTAAAGAATACTACAAAATATTCTGGCAACGTTCCGCGAGTTTATAGCTCCTGAAGGCATGTTGTCATTATTCCCGGGGTTCCAAGGTGATCATCGGCGCCTAGGCTCTTATTAATTGGGAATAAGCCCTATACTTCACTAACTCCGTATAAGTGCCAGGTATGGACCAGATTTCCAGATCTTGTAGCACACACGACCTAGACTTGACCTGACAATGGCTTTTGGGGATTTTACACATACTACAGATAACTATACATACCTACATATGTAAGTATCCATATATGGGTGACATATATGTATGTGTGTATGTACGTTATTACTGCAGCGCATTATTCACTTTGGAGTTTGTCATTTTGCGGGGGAAAGCAAAACGATACAATCAAAATAAAACAAAAATCAGTGTGAAGCAAAATCCATGATGCTACGAGAAGACCCAGCGGAAGAATCATCCTCGTCTCGCATTTACATAAGCAATGCATCCAATGCCATCCATGATGTCTCCAAGAAAATTCCGTTCGGTTCGATCTCCCACGTTAGTGAGACCGTGCTACTGCTTGACCGTGCTCCGTACGGAGTACACTAACCTACGCCTACCTACCTACCTAGCCTTTAACTAAACAGTGAACTAAGCCTATACTACTGCTATAGTGTGAATATATGTATGTTTATATGTATGTATAACTTTCTGCATAAGATGGCATACATAGGTTAGATGTATGTGAAGAAAAGAAGAATCGGTAGGTACAGTAGTATGTAGAAGAGAGTCAACATCTAAAGAGTTCAATGTTGGTAGCGTCGGCAGGTTACAGCGTACCCTTTTTCAAATGTTCGTATTTTTTCATCCAATCCCTGAATGCATGGTTGCATCCAATGCATCCGAAGCATCTCGGGAACCCCTGTAGGCTACATGCCTGCTGGGTACTTCTGCCAAGGTAAGCGGCGGATAGCTTTTGCACTGTACAGATGTATCGTGCCCAATGTATCTGAAGTATCTCATGTATCTCATGTATGCCATGCACCTAGTCAGTGTACAAAAATAAACCGTTCCAAGGTTCCAAGTTCAAGGCAAGGGAGGGCAAACCCGTTGCCGTTCTGAATCCACGTCCCCTTTCAACTGAACCGAACAACCCAAGAGAAAGTGATCTTCGAGAGAGCCTCAGTTTTTTTTTTGGCTTTTCTTTTGCTCCGTTTGTTTCCCTTCGCTCTTCATTTTATCAATACACTCGTTATTGTATGGTAATATACACTCACTCACTTACGCGTAATTCCTGCTCGATCGTAGAGATAATTCACACAATCCCATTCCAGCATTGTGGCCCACCAACTTACCAACTAAGCACACGAGAGAGTACGGGGATAGTTTACCTTCGCTTTTCTGCAAAAGTTTGCCAATCATCCCCGACTCCAATCCGCCTCCACCGAGCAGAAAGGCAGCATTGAGCACACATATTCTGAGTGTTCAACCTGCTGGTAGGCGCCAGCCTCTGGCCTTTTGATCCAACATGGCTCACAACCTCCCTTCGATGGGCAGCGGCGGAGGTGCTCATACGCAGCCCTCGCTGCCGTCCCTGCCTCAACATCTGCAATCCGATACTCATTTGACAGCACATCTCGCTAGTCGTTTCCATGTTAACATCCCAACTGCTCGTCTATCCTCTCATGCCCTCATCTCTCTCAACACTTACACCTCGTCCACCAAAGGTGCAGATGGGGGCAAAGAAGGAAGCGCCATGGCCGGCGCCGAAGATATGGCCGAGAGGGCATATCTGAGGTTAGGACATCGCACAGAAAACCAGGCAATAATATTTCTGTAAGTGTATAGCCAATTGTAATGTTCACAGCTGTAGGTTGAACAGTAATTAATATGAAACCAGAGGTGAATCCGGCTCTGGAAAAACCACTATACGATCCCACCTCTTAACCTCCCTCCTGAATAAATCCTCGACTCCACTATCCACTAAAGTCTCCCTCGCTGCCTATGTTTTCGATACTCTCACGACCACGAAGACTGCGACGACGCCGACTGCCTCCAGAGCCGGCCTCTTCTATGAACTACAATACGACACCGCCTCCACCACGAATCCCATACTCATCGGTGGTAAGCTTCTGGATCATCGACTGGAGAGAAGTAGGATTACCGATGTGCCAACTGGAGAACGCAACTTCCATGTCCTCTACTACCTTCTCGCGGGCACCAGCGAAGCCGAGAAGACCCATCTTGGCATTGACACCCCTCGAGATGCGGCCGGCCACCGGCGATGGAAGTACCTTGGCCATCCCACCCAACTCAAGGTCGGCATCAACGACGCAGAAGGGTTCCAGCTCTTCAAGACGGCCCTACGCAAGCTTGAGTTTCCGAGGGGCGAGATTGCGGAAGTCTGTCAAATCCTGGCCTGTATCTTGCACATTGGGCAACTTGAGTTCGAGACCACAGCAAACACAACCGCGACGGGAGACGACAGCGGTGGGTTCTCTCACGAGGGCGGCCAGAATGTCACGGCTGCACGAAATAAGGACGTTTTAGGGATCATCGCCGCCTTCCTGGGTGTCAGCTCCCAAGACCTCCAGACCACTATGGGATACAAGACGAAGATGATCCATCGTGAACGCGTGACCGTGATGCTGGATCCCAAAGGTGCCCGTGAGAATGCCGACGAGCTAGCCAGGACATTGTACTCTCTCATGGTTGCCTACGTCATCGAGAACATCAACCAGAAGATATGTGCTGCGGAGGAGGCGATCGCCAACACCATCAACATCATTGATTTCCCCGGCTTCTCTCAGCAATCCTCAACAGGATCTGCTCTGGATCAGCTTCTCAACAACGCTGCGGTTGAGTCCCTGTACAACCTTACCCTCCAAAACTTCTTCGATAGAAAAGCAGACATGCTCGACACCGAAGAAGTCACAGTGCCTGCCACGAGCTACTTCGACAACTCGGATGCCGTCAAGGGGCTCCTGAAGCCTGGAAACGGTCTGCTCAGCATATTAGACGACCAGACCCGACGGCATCGCACCGACATGCAGCTTCTGGAGAGTTTAAGGAAGCGGTTCGAGGGCAAGAACCCAGCGATCAACGTCGGCTCTGCCACGGCCAGACTACCGGGAAGTAACTTCATGTCGGAGAACACGGCCGCCACCTTCACCGTGAAGCACTTTGCCGGCGAGGTAGACTACCCCATCAAGGGCTTGGTGGAAGAGAACGGCGAGGTTATTTCCAGCGACGTGATGAACCTGATCAAGTCAAGCAAGAGCGAATTCGTCACCCGCCTCTTCGGCCAAGAAGCTCTGCAGACGGTCATGCATCCCCAAGAACGCACAACCGTCATGCAAGCCTCCGTCAGCTCCAAGCCCATGCGAGCGCCCAGCGTCATGTCGAGAAAGACAACGCGGACCATGAGATCCCGACAGCCGCAGCGACAACCATCCGTAGACGACTTCGCCAGCGAAGCCGGTGACCACCGAGGCGAGAGCAAGTCCCGCGGCGACGGCGGGAAGTCAAATCCACACGTCTCGGAACAAGGCGCATCCGGCCAGTTCCTCGCGTCCCTGGAGAACGTGAAGCAGGCCATCACGGCGCCCAACACAAACGCGTACTTCGTGTTCTGCCTCAAGCCCAACGACAGGCGGATCGCGAACCAGTTCGACAGCAAGTGCGTGCGCACCCAAGTCCAAACCTTCGGCATCGCCGAGATCAGCCAGCGTCTGCGGTCGGCCGACTTCAGCTTGTTCCTGCCCTTTGGCGAGTTCCTGGGGCTCACCGACGCCGAGACCATCCTGGTCGGCAGCGAGCGGGAGAAGGTCCAGGCCGTCGTGCAGAACAAGCAGTGGCCGAACAACGAGGTCCAGGTCGGCTCCACCGGCGTCTTCCTGAGCGAGCGCTGCTGGATGGAGATCTCGCAGCTGGGCGACGGCTCGTCGGCTACCAACCGGTACCTTGCGTCCGACCCCGGCGACGGGTCCACACCCGGCGACCTCCCCTTCGGTGCTTCTAAGGAGCGGCTGATGTCCGTCGGCAACACGCCACAGTACACTGATAAGACCCGGACGGGATACTTCGGGGCCGGAGACATGGATGCTCGGTCTGACGCCGGTGCCTCCGCCTTCGGGGCCGGTGATATGTTCAAGAACCTCGACACCAGAGAGCAGATGGCTGAGCGTGGCAACGAAAAGTCGCTGGTAGAAGTCGAGGAGTACAAAGACAGTCCCAGTCGACGGCGCTGGATCTTCATGGTCTACGTCATGACGTGGTTCATCCCCGACTTTCTCATCCGCTGGATGGGACGGATGCCCCGCAAGGACGTGCGCATGGCCTGGCGAGAGAAGGTGGCTATCAACATGCTTATTTGGCTTTGTTGCGGCATTGCTGCTTTCTTCATCGTCGGCTTCCCCATGCTCATCTGTCCTACTCAACACGTCTACAGCTCCGAGGAACTGTCCAGCCACAATGGCAAGGATGGAGCTGATGCGTATGCAGCTATCCGCGGCCAGGTCTTCGACATCGGCACTTATGCACCCAGTCATTATCCTAAATATCTACCCACCAAGCAGATCACGCAATACGGTGGGCTAGATATCACTGCCCTCTTCCCCGTTCAAGTCTCAGCTCTCTGCCGAGGCAAGGATGGATCTGTCAACCCTGCCGTCACCCTCGACTACAAGTCCACCAACGTCACCGGCTCCGCCAACGTCGTGAACAGCCAGGACCTCAATGCCCACTACCACGATTTCCGCTCCTTTACATCTTTGCCCCAACCTTTCTGGTTCTACGAAAAGATGCAGGAAATGAAGACCTGGAAGAAGGGCACCATCGGGTACTCGGCCGAGTACGTCGCCACCCTCGGAACCAAGCAAAACTCGATTGCCATCCTCAACGGCCGCGTGTACGACCTCACCAAGTACCTCATGGGTGGTCGGCATGTCGTGGTCCGAGAAGGCGAAGACCTCCCCACCGACCCTACCGTCATCGACTTCATGGACGACCAGGTCGTCGACCTCTTCCAGAAGATGGCCGGCAGCGACATCACCAAGCAATGGACCGGACTCGACATCGACTCGGGCATGCGTGAGCGCATGCAACTGTGTCTCGACAACCTCTTCTACGTCGGCGACGTCGACACGCGGAACTCCATCAAGTGCCAGTTCGCGCAGTACCTGATCCTCGCCATCTCCATCCTGCTCTGCACCATCATCGGCTTCAAGTTCCTGGCCGCGCTCCAGTTCGGCGGCAAGAACATGCCCGAGAACATCGACAAGTTCATCATGTGCCAGATCCCGGCCTACACCGAAGACGAGGACTCCCTGCGCCGCGCCATCGACTCCGCCGCCCGCATGCGCTACGACGACAAGCGCAAACTCCTCGTCATCGTCTGCGACGGCATGATTATCGGCCAGGGCAACGACCGACCCACCCCCCGCATCGTTCTCGACATTCTTGGCGTCTCCGAGACCGTGGACCCGGAGCCGCTCAGCTTCGAGTCGCTCGGCGAGGGTCTCAAGCAGCACAACATGGGCAAGGTCTACTCCGGCCTGTACGAGGTGCAGGGCCACATCGTGCCGTTCCTGATCATCGTGAAGGTGGGCAAGCCGTCCGAGGTGTCCCGCCCGGGTAACCGTGGCAAGCGAGACTCGCAGATGGTCATGATGCGCTTCCTCAACCGCGTGCACTACAACCTCGCGATGAGCCCGCTGGAGCTCGAGATGTACCACCAGATCCGCAACATCATCGGCGTCAACCCCACGTTCTACGAGTACATGCTGCAGATCGACGCCGACACCGTGGTCGCGCCCGACTCTGCCACCCGCATGGTTTCTTCCTTCTTAGACGACACGCGCCTGATCGCCGTGTGCGGTGAGACCGCCTTGACGAACGCCAAGGGCTCCTTCATCACCATGATCCAGGTCTACGAGTACTACATCTCGCACAACTTGGTCAAGGCCTTCGAGAGTCTGTTCGGCAGCGTGACCTGCTTGCCCGGTTGTTTCTCCATGTACCGCATCCGCGCCGCCGAGTCCGGCAAGCCGCTCTTCGTCAGCCGCGAGGTCGTCGACAGCTACTCCACCATCCGCGTCGATACCCTGCACATGAAGAACCTGCTGCATCTGGGTGAGGATCGCTACCTGACGACTCTGCTCCTGAAATATCACTCTGCCTACAAGACCAAGTACATCTTCAGTGCGCACGCGTGGACCATCGCGCCCGACTCCTGGCAGGTGTTCCTCTCGCAGCGTCGTCGCTGGATCAACTCTACCGTGCACAACTTGGTCGAGCTCATCCCTCTCGCCCAGCTCTGCGGTTTCTGCTGCTTCAGTATGCGATTCGTCGTGTTCGTCGATCTGCTGTCCACCATTGTCCAGCCTGTGGTGATCGCGTACATCATCTACCTCATCGTCCTCGTGTCCACCACCAGCTCCTTCGTGCCCATCACGGCCTTCGTCATGCTGGGCGCCATCTACGGTCTGCAGGCCATCATCTTCATCCTGCGCCGCAAGTGGGAGATGATCGGATGGATGCTGATGTACATCGTGGCCGTGCCCGTCTTCTCTTTCGGCCTGCCGCTCTACGCCTTCTGGCACATGGACGACTTCAACTGGGGTAACACCCGTGTGGTTGCCGGAGAGAAGGGCAAGAAGGTCATCGTCACGGACGAAGGCAAATTCGACCCCGCCTCGATCCCCCGCAAGAAGTGGGAGGAGTACCAGGCCGAGCTATGGGACGCGCAGACCAGCCGCGGCGGAGACGACACTCACTCCGAGGTCAGCGGCTTCAGTTACGCCACCAAGCCGGGCATGAACCACGGCATGGACTACTACACGCCGTCGCGGGCCGGCTCCACCACCGGCATGCTTCCGCCGTACGACGCGAAGAACCCCGGACAGTTCAGCCGCATGTCCTTTGCCCCGACCGAGAACCGGCTGAGCCAGTTTGGCGGCTCGCAGTTCTTCGGCAACAACCAAGCGCATGATGTAGAAATGGCCAACCTCGCAGGTATGCCCAGCGATGATGCCCTGCTAGCCGAGATCCGCGAGATCTTGCGGACGGCGGATCTCATGACCGTCACCAAGAAGGGTATCAAGCAGGAGTTGGAGAGACGATTCGGTGTTCCCCTGGATGCCAAGCGGTTATACATCAATAGTGGTACGTATTTCTTTGCCTTGTCATCGTTGTAGTCCTGCAGTTACTAACAAATCGATTTAGCAACCGAAGCCTTGTTATCGGGCCAGTTATAAACACCCTAATGGACATATGGATGTAACACCGGTACAGTTTCCTATTTAAAAAAAACAAAAATCGTCTCTGCATATACTTGGAAGGCCATGTTCTGGTTTATCTACCTACCTATATAATAAATACTACATCTAAACACTTAGACGACGACCAGCAAAGTCATCGTCATCAGAGGCCTCAGCTAGGTTAGGGCTCAAGGAAATTATTTAAGGGGGAGGGGGGAGGGGAAGTAGGAATTCAAAATAAAGCAGCAGCAGGATATATGACCAGAATTTTTTTAAAGCGATGACAAGAAACGCGCTTTTTTCTGTGACGCAATGCGAAAAACACAATTAGTAATGGGAAATTTTATTCAAACGGGTTGGATTATACGCTGTGTACCTATCTATCTAACCTTGGTCCGATATGTGTGAAAGCGAAAAAGAATTTAGGTGTCTGGGGACTTGCTGAATATTATTATCATTTTTGGGTTTTTTGGCAAAGGGGAGTTGTGTAGTTTTGCATCACTGTGTGTCGTGTCATGTCGATTTGCTTGCTTTCCCTTTTGCTCTGCCTGTAGGTGCCTAGTAGGTACTTAACCCAGTAAACAGTCATTTTCGATATTCATTTACATTGTTGTTTTTTATATTTTGTAGGGCATTCAACCATCCTATGTAGTTGTCTTTAGTGAGCCTAGGTGCCTAATGCGAGAATGTCGTCTTGACAGTCCATGCCTTAGTAAAATAGGGGTATGTACCTAGGTACCTACGTGCTTATTCCTAGCCAATACCCCTTATTCATTTTTCACTACAAGATTTTAGCCCAACGTCAACCGATCACTGTAATATAGTTGGCTTTGGAGTTTTTCATCTTTATGAAATCAGGTTCCCTCGCTCTTCCTAATAATTAGCTTTGTATATGAAATATTCTTCGGTATAGGTAGCCCAATAGGCAGGTATCCATAATAGCCAGAGGCACCTATTTTTCCCTCCAGTACTTTGAACTTATCAATGTACCAGGAAGCATGTTCCTTAGAGAACTATTGGTGTATTATGGAGGTTTCTCACGTGATATATACTATGTAAAATACATACAACGTCCAACCCCTTTTCACCAGTGGGCTATTAGTGACAATTGTAGAGTTAATATTAAAATGGTTTCTATTAAGCACATAGAAATACAGATTCATCTTACCCTCATTGCTTTGTAAATTACAAAGATGGTCTCTATACTACCAAATTAGTGTTCATGTTCCTGTGAGGTTTCATATGCTAGCCATTCCCAGGATGTAATCAGTGATCTGAACTCTTCAAAAGAAGCCAGGAGCTCGATTCACGATACTCTCTGTATAATAGTCATAGTGGTGAATCCTAGGTACACAGAGCTATGTGGCTGAAGAGTTCCACGGAAGGGTTTGTATGCCTTTCTAAGGCCAGCTCAGGGAGTCGAAAAGAACATGGACAAGCATTGGCCTTGGGTGGCTGTCGACGAACACGATAGGGGCACAAACACTTCCTCCATAGCAACTGCCCCCGTTCAACCTACCTCACTCAATCTCTCGACTACTCGTCCTACAATGAAGCTCTCGGCATGGTAACTATCGACCTAATACCCACACTGGCGACCTGGGGCACTCTTTCCTTCTCTTTCCCACATTGTAATTGTTTTGATCCCACATTGTTTTATTATTTGCAACACCTTCCTTCTTCCTCCTCCCCGTTGTGAACATCCTCTTTCCCACACCCTTTACCGCGAAGGATCGAGTTCAATTGATCGCGATCCCAAACAATCACCCCGTTCACTCATTCATCGAGTTTCCAAAAGGGGACTCTTTGAACTCCCTTCTTTCTTTTTTTTTCATCGTCTAGCATACCATGAACCATAGCCAATCCATACGCCTCGTCAAATCAATTCCAACAATGGCTTCTACACCAAGACCCAGTTTGTCGTTCCCCGCCGCGCCCGTCCGAGACCGCGGCATCGTCTCGTCAGCCTCCGCTGCGATGAGTTACGAGTTCGACTCCCCCGCCGAGGGCTCGTCGACCCCCCAGCGACAGCCACGCGCCTCTCTCCAGCAGCAGCGCTCGCAACAGACACAGAAGTCCGAGCGCTCGCAGCAGGAGGAGCCGCAGATGGGCAACACCGCCGTCGCCGTGCGCGACGAGCAGAACCCGTACGGCTACCTCGTCGAGGAAGACGAGGCCGCCAACGCCTCGACCGCCGCGAACGCCTCCGGCAGCGTCCACAGCAGCCTGAACTCGCACACCGGGCCCGCCGCCAAGACGGCGAAGAAGAAGCGCAGCATCCTCGCGCGCCTCCGCCAACTCGCCTCCAAGGCTAAGCCCTCAGCTTCCGCCAAGGACCGCAAGAAGGAGCCGCCGCCTCGCGTCTTCGTCACCCGCGAGGTCGCCGTCGCCAGCGAGCCTGCCCCTGCCCCGCAGCCTGCCCCGCTGACCACCACCACCACCACCACCACCAACTCCAACGTTGTCGCGCCGTGGGATGAGCCCGCGCCCGAGGTGGTCGCTCAGATGAGCCGTGCCGGAGCCGCCGCCCCCGCCGCCTCTTCTGCTGCCACCGAGGACAAGAAGGGGAAGAAGTCGATCTTCAAGCCGGGAACCTGGTCGCGATTCCATCGCCAGTAGGTCGTCCGAACTACCTAAGTTGGTCAAGAGGGTGCTTCGTGGATGGGACGATCGAGTGGGAAGATCGTTCTCGCGATGGAAGTTCGACGCCTGGCAGTTTAAGAAGTTTCCGTTTTTTACTTACGCTACCACGGACAAAGACGACACCAGGTTTGAGAACGAACGATGTCTTTTGCCCCTGGAGATTTGATTTCGCGTGGAAGGAATGGGTGGAAAAAGAAAATTACAAAAAAAAAAAAAAAACAATCAATCAACCAACAAGGAAAGGAGTAAGGGACGGAAAAATAAGGCTGGATTTCGCTTTGCAAGGACGACCAGTACCTACGATGATACAATAATGAAGGTCTCGTTCCGTGGAGGATATACCCCCCTTTGATTAGTTGAGTTGCGCCGTTAGGCTACTACCTAACAGCTTGCTAGTTTAGTAGCCAACGAACGTGTCTCTCATGGCTGGAGGACGGGCTGCATTTATGCTCTCTGTTTTCATGTTTTCCTATTGTGTTTTTCCCGCTCGAGATACCCTTCAACGTTGCCTATTCTATGGACTATGGAAAAGGGAGGAGGAGTTTTCGGTTACTTGCTTACGGGACTTTAATTCGATGTTTCTAGTTGAGCAATTCTAGTTGAGCAATCAACTATTCTGCTCCATTCTGTACTATTCCGTTTCACTTGATAAGGGAAATGGTCTGGCTGGCATGTGTGTGCCATTATGTGCGTAGTATGATGAGATTAGGTACTTACATAGTACCTACCTGCGTACTGCTCGCGAGTCGCAACCGTCTAATGATGACATCGGTTCATTAACTTCGTGGATTTCACATTATACCGCTTTTCCAAAACGTGATTGATTGATCCTTCGTAATTCTTCCAAGTTCTCTTGAGTTTATGTCAGTATGTCTGACCGTAGTTCACTAATCCTCCCCCCTTTCGCTTAACATCATCTTTAACCAGGTACCTACCTAAACAATAGCTCATCATTTTCATAGCCCAAAGAATTATTCTTCTATCTGCAATAGCACCATAGATGTTTAGAAGCTATTACCTGCGATTCCCTAGGAGATGGCTCTTTTATATGCGCTGAAGGTGGGCAGTTAGGCACCTAGGTTAGGTAGGTGCCTAGGTACCTAGTACGCATCCTGCGCAACTCAGTACCTAAGGATGCAACCCCCCACTAGAAGATCACTTACGCGTCGTTTACCTACCTAGGTACTCTACATCATCACACACGTATGTCGCGACATCATACACATGAATAAATTGCTTAGATTTGATTCATGTCCTAGCAAGGTAAACTACCGCCCCCCTATCACCAACCTCATACCCAACTTTTATCCCATCCTCATCCTCACCCCCCACCAAACCCATCCCCTCACGACCTCCCCTTCGCCTTCGCAACCGCCGCCCCCACAGCAGCGACCTCCTCATCCAGCGGCAGCACATCCGGCACCGGCCCCAGCGGTGTGATAGCATACGGGTTGATGTTGCCGTGGCTGCGGGTGTAGTGGTTCTTGATGTGCAGGAAATTGTTTGTCTCGCGGAAGGCGGGGTGGCGCCAGTACAGGTTGCGGGTGTAGTCGTGGATGCGCGGGTAGCCCGAGCGGATGTCGCGCAGGTTGCACTTGAAGTGCTGCACGTAGACCGGGTCGAAGCGGATTAGGGTTGGGAATCTGTCGCCTCTTGTTAGTGAAGTGTGGTAGATACTTACTGACTAACTGGCTCGTGTAGGGAGGTGTATATCCTAAATAAGTACCCTTCTAGGAACATTCCAACACCCTATAACTTGAATCTGGAAAAGGAGGAAAGAGATAGAGAGAGAAACAGAGGAATAGGGGAACTCACAACCTAACATCAACCTCCGTCATCGCCTCGCCAAAGAAAAACGGGCCCCCAGATTCCTCGAGCTGCCTCTCGACCTTATCCATCGCCGCAAAAAGCACCTTTACATTCTTCTCGTACGCGCTCTGGGTACTCGCGAACCCGCTCTTATACACGCCATTATTAACATCGCTATAGATCCACTCATGCGCCTCCTCGATCTTCTCACGCAAGTGCTCCGGGTACAGATCTATGCTTGCCTGCGCGGGCGGCAGCTGGTCGTCGAAGACGGAGCCGAGCATGCGCAGGATCTCGCTGCTCTCGTTGTTGACGATGGTATCGGTCTGCTTGTCGAACAGCACCGGCACCGTGAAGCGCCCGTCGAAGTCGGGGTCCGCCGCGAAGTACAGGTCCCGCAGGTGTGTGTACTTCTCGTGGCCCGGCAGCGGGTCGGGGATCACGTTTTCGCCCTCCGCATCTGTGTCTTCTGGGGTAGGGAAGCGCCATCCTTTTGAATGTTAGCTCCATCTTTTTATTTTTATATAGGGACTAAGCAATCCTCTGGGTACTATGGGTGCCTGCCAAGAACATCTCCAGAGAGGGGAGAGGTGCCAAAAACGTACCCTTGCCCCCCATGTGCCAGTGCACACAAGAGAACGAGATAAAGTCCTCGAGCCCCTTAAGCTTCCTCGCGATAAGGGTCCGCGTCGCCTACACGCACAGGGGTAACAAACAAATAATCAGCACACAAGCTCCTCGCAAAACGTGAGAGCAGTAAATAAACCTACATACCCACGGACAAGCGTAACTGATGTACAGGTGGTACCGGCCCTTCTCGGGCGGGAACCTTGCGCCGGGCTCCTTGGAGATCCACTCGCGGAACGAGCTGCTGGGCCGTTTGAACTCGCCGTTCTCGTCGTTGCGCTTAGACCAATCAATGCCCTTAGAAGCGGAAGCCTGTGCATTCCGAAGTTAGTAAGTTGTATTAAATTAGGTATATATAAAAGATGCGAATTGACGCGCGACGGCATTATGTTTCTCACCATCTTTATATTCTGCTGTTTGTTCGTGAGAGCTGATGATTCTACTTCTCTGTCGAGACGTGGCAGGCGTCCTGGGTATTCCCTATACGATGACCAGGAAACTAGTCTACTTGAAGTAACGATATTGGGAGGTGAGAGCTTTGGGCGTAATGAAGACAATGATTTCGCGACACAAGATAGCGCAAAGAGATGAGATCTATTATTCATGAGTGCTAAATATCAATCGCAGAGACATCGAATCACATGTTATATAAATGTTGCGAGCGGTTAGTAGGGACATATGCCGGGCTTTGTCATGATTTCCTATACTTACTAACTGCTAGCTAGTAGCTACCCTGCTATGTACCTAGGTATGATTACATATCCTGACGTAGAAATGAAAACCCGAGTTGATAAATTCAGGGTTGTCATCATTTAGCTGTTTTAGGTGTAGTCACTGTAGTGTGACGGCGCTTAAAGCCACCAACTTATAAAGTTTACTACAAACTACATAGGTGCCCAGTTCTATTGTGCTGTTTTTTTTTTTTTTTTTTTTTTATATTTTAATATTTTTGCTTATTCTTTAACGGCATTACTTTCTTGTACCTTGTGACTTGTGACTTGTACCAGACCTCCAGTAATGTCAAACTTGGAAAGCAAAGCGATGCATGCTAATACCATTCATACAAGACATCTATGCCGTTACCCTCAAGTCGCAATGAAATGGATATGTAAGCATGAGCAGTGAAAACTACTTGGTACCCAGGTACCTACTCGGAGCAATCCTTTGAAAAGCCCTGCTCTGCGAGGCAACAACCGGTACTACCTTCTTTCAACGGATCTTAACCTTGATGTACGGTACCTCCACGTCCTCGTCTTCCAAGTCCTCAGCCACCATCTCAAATATCAGTTCTGTCTGGTGTTTGGGGATGGGCTTTTTGGACACAGTTTCCACCAACTGGCTCAGCTTCATCGCGTATCTGTCCTTTAACTTCGCAGGCGGGAAGAAGCCGGCGTACAGCAGACTCACTCCCGAGCTCAGCATACTGATAGTAAGGCCGCGCTTCGCAAAGTGATCCAGGAGCTGCCTCAACGTGACATCCTCCAGCTCAAAACGATCCCAGATCTTGTCCAACGTGACCTTTCCTTCCGGTCCCATGTATTCTATCTTTGGGCTGGCAATCGGCTCGCTGAAGCCGAAGAAAGGTAGCGCAAGGTTGACAAATCCGTTCTTGTACTGCTCCATGTCCTTCTTCTCGTCGAGCACCTTGTACAACTCCAAGACCACAAGACCCGTGACCAGCGCCGTTGTGGTGGCGATAGCCGGAATGATCTTGCCAGCGATGAATTTGGTCTTGTGTCGATCAGCTTGCTCGATCTTGTAGTTGTCAGCTCGCAGATTGCTTGCAGCTGTGATAAAGTCGATATGGTGGTTTGTGTCATCGTCTTTCTCGAACTCCACCGGCGTTAACTTGAATCCAGCTACAGACTTGGGAGACGGAAGGCTGGAAATAATCTTCTCCAACTCGTTTTCGTCGTCGAAAGCAGAACCCTTGTCGGCGTTGGGATCCTGACAAAAATGTTAGCTGGCATGGATGATGGACTCTTCAAAAGAGGCAAACTTACAGGGTCATTGTCGCTCGCCTGTATTTTTACACTAGCATTAGGTGAAAAATCCGGAACTATCATGTTATCCAAGACCTGCAAATACAAATCTCTATTTGTACCCTTAGTGTTAATGTTGTAGTTGAACGCATGGAGATTGGCAGCTGCAACGATGAAGGTGAAGTGCGTAGGGTTCTTAGGGTCGAATTTCAACGGATCGGGAGCACGCTTGGGGCCGGACCAGAAGGGAGTACCGCTGGATGACGTGGAATCTTTGGGGAAGTTGTATAGTAACTGCTGGATAGCGTTGTTATACTGCTTCTCAAACAGCATCCGCGCCCAAACAATGCAGTCCTCGAAGCTTAGAGGCTTGTCGGTCACGAGATAGTCGCGGATTGTCTCAAGTGTTGGCTTCTCGTTACCACCCTGCTTTAGTGTTGTGTCTAGATAGTTAGTCTGGGACAGGTAGAGGTTGACAGTCTCGGCAGACTTCACAAAGGAGGTCTCGAAAAGCTCGCGGGCCCACGCAATGGTGTGCTCAATCTTGTTCGGGAAACTTCGGAGAGTACACATGGGGAATGAGACCTCAGGCGGATCTTGCGAGGATGAGTAGGATTCTGTCATCATAGGGAGTACAACTTGGGTGTTGCCCTTGGTTCCAAGAGTACCGCTTTCTAGTAGAGGTTTACGGAAGAAGACGCATCGTCTGTCAACATAAGTTCTGGCCTCTACATTGTCAAGTGCATTGGTAACACCATCTAGGGACTCCCAGAACTGCTTGTTGAAGATGTTCTCCGTCTCGGGACTGACCCGGTCTTTCAAGCATTCGATGTGACCGACGAGCTCGGGGTTCATACTTTGCACGGCCTTGGCAGCGCAATCACTCTTCATCTGACCAACATCTTTAGGTCGGAACAAGAACTGACGGTTCAAGTTACTTTTCTCGATCGAGTCCATATCGGTAACGATGATTTTACCATTGGGTCCAACGCCTAGGCCAATCATAGCCCAGTTCTTCAACATTTCACAGCCGATAGCGCCGGCACCAACAAGGAACTGCTTGATGTTTCCAATCTTGTCCTGGAATTCCTTTCCGAAGACAGCAATTTGGCCATCATATCGCGATCCAATCGGTCGGCAAAGCTCCTCGTTACGTGCAACGCTAGAGGGGAGCGACTCCAGCGAGTCGAAGTAAAACCATTGCTTTATCGGGTGAAACTTGCCCGAGACAGCCTTCAAAACTTCCTGAGCGGCAAGGCCGCCAAATAATGCGGCCATGGGATTAAGGTCGCCCTGAGCTTGATAACTCAGTTCCTTGATAAGCTTCTCGTCGATCTCAAGATCTAGCTTCTCCTTCTCAACAAATGCTTTGACTGACGCTACAAGCACGGCAGCATCTTCATCGTTCATTGGCCGAGGTAAACGATTCTGTGATTGTACGAAAGCGTGTAACGCCTCAAATCCAACATGGAGCTGATGAGGTCGATCGAACTTTGCGAAATCGGAAACCACGAATTCAGGATCGCGGATGGCCGTGGAGATCGTCCTGAAGTCAAGAAACTTCGGCATCTTGACCTGCTGATACAGACCCCCGCTTTCGTACTGGCCAAGCCCGGAGACGTCCCCAATGGAGAACGTGTAAGGGCCCTTAACCGTAATTTTCTTTGGGGCACTGCCATTCAAGCCCTCCATACCCTTTACTTCGGAAAACGTGACATAGTCGCCATCCTCAAGGCCATGGCGCGTCTCATCCAGTGCAGAGACGAGTCCTTCCTCGTCAATGCCGGCTACAATGCCGCTGACTGGGTTCTCGCCCGTGGCGTCGAGACATGTGAACTTTTCGCCGAAGTCACAGAAAACGGAGCCAAAAAGGCCAAAGGTATCAGCAACCACGAGATATATGCCCTTCGAGTGGCAGTAGTCGCCGATGGCAAGTTGTAGATGGAGGGGAGTGTTGGTTAGAACCACAACTTGGTATTTGTCGAATTGGGAGAAGTTATCGGCAAGACTGTTCATTTAATTAGATACAATTAGTTAGTTCGCAAGTCTGGCGTTTACATACCTCGCTGATTCATGAACACCAACGGGAGTGTATGCATTCAACTCGGCCACGCGAGGGGCGGTGACAGCATCACGCGGTTTGCCAACATCTTCTTCGTGTAGGAAAAATTGAGAGGAAAGATCGGCGATGGCGACAGGCGCAGGATCGTATAAGGTCAGGCTCTTTACGCCAGCAAGAGCAATATTCTTGGAGATTTCAACACCTAGACCTTTCAAGCCGACAATAAGGACATTGGATGCGCTCATGCGCTTCATAGCCTCGTGGCCAAGAACATAGAGCTGTCGGCTGTATAGGGATTCATCGATCTCGCTTTGGCCGACAACAGAGTTGTCAACCTGGACTCGGGTGACCAGGTCGACCTCGGGAATGCCCGAAGCCATTTTGGTGTCCTGTATACGATAAGCAAACCAAGGTTAGTAAGTAGCTAGGTAGGTGGGTAGACTGTAATACATGGGCCTGTGCACGAGGGCAAGTGGAGTAAGTTGTGAGTGAGAGACTGAGAAAGTGAGAGTACATGTAGATGGTGCTAAGAAGCAAGCAAGTCGTCGGTTTGTATTACTTACGGTCATGGTCCGCTTCGGGGAGAAAGGCAAGTCTCCGTTCTCTGACTTGCGCTTCCCCAGCTTGGCGACTTTAGCTCTACTGGAGCTCTAATTCTTGGTAGTAATGGGAGTGAAGAAGAGATGAGACAGCAGAAAGTAGTATGAGAATGCGACGAGGGAGGTGAGGATACGACAACAATGAAAGGATGTATGTAAAGAGGAAGAGACGAAAAGATGCCCAAGTTCAAGTTGACAACCCCACTACTAAATACTGGAAAAAACGAGGCTAACAGATGAATCAAATCAATCACTCACTACGATGTGACGTAAGGTGGTTAATAGTTGGCCCCAAAAAACGAATATGATTGTTTCGTAATGGATGGTAAAAGACCAGCTTTAAGAAATGTGTTTCGAGTTCGGAAAGGCGACTGAAGTGACTGCGATGTAGCTGAATACTGTGTTATGCCCGGTGTAGTTGAACAGTTGAATAGTTGAAAAGGTTTATGTAGGTGTGTGTACCTGGTAGGCAAGTGGGATGTTGGTCGAAAGCCAGGTAGGTACATATGTAGGTGTGAAGCTTACAGTGCAATACAGGGCTGTATTGTACCTATTGTATTGTACCTGCCTGTAAGTACCTACCTACCTACACATGTCACATGGGTGAGCTAAACCACGCCTGGTGCCTGATTTCTCAGCAACCTTACTAGACATACATCATTATAGTGGGGTAAAGTATAAAGTATCATATCAATTACTTACTGCCCAGGTGGTACGTGCATGTCTTTATAATGTGGGATGCGAGGGGTGGCTTAGGTAATGGTATTGTACCTAGGTAGTTACCTACATATGTATCATTGATCTGATTCTTCTTGATTCCATCTCCTATCGATAAAGCGATCTATTATTGGATCCATCTGATGTCTTCTACAGTGCCCAGCACATCATATCATGATATACATAGATTAAAACGACCAAGGTTCAATATATCATCATTGATTGATGGCAAAGTGTTTGAGACCAGCACTGAGTGAGTCCAAATAAGTCTCTAGGTATTCCAAGACACATAAACCATCACATCACCGACAGTTTATCAAAGACTTGTCTTGAGTTCAAACCTCAGTTTATATCAGCATAATTAATGTCTTTCTTTCTCTCCTTTTCCTCCCTACTAATTAAGAATTGCCATCTCATCACGCCAAAGACAGCCAGGCCCTCTACCTACTACCTATTCACCTACCGACTTATGTAGTATCTAACCTAGATACATGTGTAGGTATATATGGAATAATAGTAGGCAGACTGATAGACCGACAGGCAGGCTTGAATGTAAAACCCACCCCCTTTTAATTAGTATACACATCGAAGTGTATATATAAAACACGACCACGCACATCGCTCATCCCATCCCATCCCATTTCCCCATCTCTATTCTCCCTCTCATCATGTGCTTCGTATCAAAACTCGAACCTCATTCATTACACTCCACGGGGCAACAAACAAAGCCTGTGTGCGCTGCTGGCCTTTGTTTTCCCTCTCATCCATGATTTTCGTTTCGTTTCATCATCCATACATAAGTACTAGGTGCCTATCTAACTATGCATGCTTGCCCGCCGCATTAAAATCCAGGTCAAAGGGGGGGAGGGAGGGAGGGAAGGGAAAAGGTGAAGATAGATGAGAATTAAGTATACGTAACAGCATACTAGGTATGGATATATATGTGCCTAATCTTGCCCCTTCCAATTAAAGAAAAAAAAAACCCCCCAGCTCAAATCCAAACCCGCAAAAAATGGTTAGTTTTCTTCCCCTGACCGCGTCAGATGAAGAATAGAAGAGGGAGGAGTGCAAAGATGGAGCCTGCGCCAAACCCGCTGCTTGACAGCATGGCAGGTGCGCCAGCTGTAGGGATCGTGGTCGGCGCTGTCGTCGCGGTGCTGCTCGAGCCGGGGCCAGGGACGGGCACTGGGGCTGGCACCGTGGGGGACGCAGTGCTGCTGCTGCTGCTGCTAGATAGTTCTGTCGACGACGATGATGTAGCGGATGCTGGTGTCGAGGATGAAGTACCGCTGCTGCCACTACTGCCGCCACCGGAAGTCGCTGTAGACTCCGTGGTAGATCCCGCAGTGGACCCCGTAGATGTCCCCGTCTCCCCTGACGATGTAGACGCGCCACCGGTCGAGCTTCCTGCACTCCTCGACGAGCTAGACGATGGTGTGCCCGCCGAGCTAGAGGTCTCCGAAGCCCCCGTAGAACTAGAGGTTTCTGATGCCTGGGAAGAGCTTGAACTCTCCGGGGCTGCCGTGGAGCTGCTGCTCCCGGAAGCGGACTCAGATGCCGTGGTCGAGAACGTCGGCACGACCGTTGCGACGCCGGTCGAGGAGGCCGCCGGCGCTCCCGTGCCTGTCGAGCCACCGGCGGTTGTGGTTACGTCGGGCGCGGAGCCGGGCGTCGTGACGATGGAGCCAGGGTCTTGCGCATGGCAGTAATCGATGTACTGCTGGAGGGATGGGGTCACCGAGTCCCGGAGTGCGTCAACCCAGTTTGCCGCTTGAGAAGCACAGTTATAACAGCTTTGAAGATAGTTTTGAAAAGCGGAATTAGCTCGGCAAAGCAAATCACTTTTGCCAACTCTGGTACCCTGTATATAAGCAGTGTTGCATACTGCATAGCAACCTGATAATACTGGGGGAGAGCGCTTGCTTATATGGGAGTGTTTCTTGGCCTTGGCCGTCGGATATCCGGCATACGATGATGACGACGACGACGTCGAAGAGTACGGGAACGCTGTGATGCTTGTTTGCGATTCATAGTTTCCGGTGGTAATGTAGGTTACATAAGTCCGGTCTGGCTCCGTCACCGTCACCTTCTCCTCTTGCGGTGCCTCGAATATCTCGTAGCTTAGACCGAAGGCCGGCGGCGGAAGATTGAAGTAGCCTTGTGAAGGCGGGTAGTATCCAGTCTCATTTTCCGGCCACTCCACTAATAAATAGGCGGGGGCCGGGATACATAACTCCTGACTCTCGCAGAGGTATTCGTTATCTGGTGGCCCCGGCCAGACATTGCAACCATCCGGCATCCGGGGAGAGCAAACGGTCCCGGGGAGACACCCCCAAGTTAAGTTGGAAGCGGGGTCGTATGGCGCTTGTGCAGCAATGCTTGATTGAGTGGGCTGCGGGCAAAGGCTCACGGAGGTTATGACAGACGACACCGTTTGCGTAACTGTAGTGGAGGGTGGAGGGCCAATACTGACAGTAATTGCTACTATATTAGTGACGGCCTGTGTTGTCGTAAACGTTGTGGTGCTCACTACCGAGTCCGTGATGGAGATCTCGGAAACAGTAACGTACGTGGTCGTAGAAATGACAGTCACGAACGACGTAGCGGTATCCGTTGTCGGCGAGGCTGAGACCGATACAGCTGTTGTAGTTATAGTATCCGTCAGTGTGGAAGTATCAGTCAGTGTAGACAAGACGCTTGTCGTATATGTCTCGAGACTTGTATAAACTGACGTGCTATACTCAGTTGTGCCAGATATGACCGTGGTGGGGATCTCGGTTGTGAACGTAAGAGTTGCTGTTGTGGTCGTAGGAACCAGTGATGTGTAAGTAGCCGTGGTAGTTGTGGTCTCTTCGTCCGTGATAGTAAACGAGTTGGTAATAGTCTCGTTTTTGGTTTTAGTAGCAGTTTCTTTGTTGGTCTTGGTCTTGGTCTTGGTAACCGTAATCGGTTTGGTGACAGTCTTTTCCTTCGTGACTGTGTATCCATGGCTAATTGTAGCGAACACAGTTGTGGTAGCACTACCAAATGTGTCAGTTTAACCATCTCAAATATGTTTTATCTGTCACTTACTGGTCCGTTACAGTTTCGTAACATGTCTCAGTGAGAGTTATCGGTTTACAGGAGGGATAGTAGTCCCATTCCTTCAGGGTTAGATTTACTTCTACCCCAACCGCGGAGGCCAGAGCGAAGGCCGAAAGGACCCCAAAATATCTTCCAAGAACCATCACGACTCAACTATTGGGTTCAGTAACAGCTAGTTCAATGCCCCTGGATCGAATTGCTCTGTCTAAGCCTCTCTGTCTTAACGAGTGCCTTCTTGTAGCGAATGTCCGTCCGTCTGTTCGTAACGAGCGACTCTTACATCAATTTCGCGCCGGAAAGTTTGAGTGTAAGACGACCGACAAAGTAAATCACCAACGCTTATGTATTAGCAAATCGAATGTTAGCCAGGTAGGCGAGGCTTCGAGCGTTCTTCAGCTAGACACTCCGTGGGGCCAACGGGACTGTAGTTTCGTCAACTAGTACATAAATGGGAGTGTTGCCTATAGGAGTTCCACGCGATGTTACTTGAATGGGCAGCTATCAACCCAGCAACAGTGGTACGCTCTTCTCAGCTGAAGATCAAGCCGTGTTCCAATTGCACCTTAGAGAGCTGGTGGAAACCCACTTGTATGGGAAATGGGGGCGGGAGGAAACGTGGATGTATGAGAAGAGAGGAGAGCTACAGGAGTAGCTTGGGAAGAGGGAATAGCAGCACGAATAAGGCTGAGGGGGAAAGTTGACAGACGCAGGCAACATCGATAGCAAGCCACCGGAATCGACAGGTACCAAGCATGGTCCCGATCAAGTACTACCTATAAAACATGTCTAGTTTGCATGAGCTAGATTTGCACAGAGACAAGCGTACCCAGACATCCCTGCCACGAAGAAGTCTGTCAGCCCGCTTTGCCTCCCGGGTTGGGATTGCATGGTGGAGGGTGACAACAAGACATGGGACATTTACATTCGGCTTCGGGCCCGCCATTCTTGCTGGCGTTGTTCGTAAACCCTCATACCACATATTAAAAGTCCGAAACCAAACGTAGAAATGAAAGAAGTTTCACGTCAGAGATTACAGGGTTCGATGAATGACACAAAGGGAGAAAACCAGTATAAAGGAAACTATCAGGTCACATATTGACTTACACGGACACCTCATGGGTGCTATGTGAGCTATGTGAGCTACTAAGACGATGGGAATTCTTCATGTGAGCGCTCACTAGGCCCGCAGTAAGCGAAGTGAGTGCCGGGATTAAGTAAATAGTCCTATTCGGTCAGAACATGGTGCCTACCTACTTAGGTAGGTACTTATGTACCAGGGTAGCAAGAGACTCGAACGACATCTGGAGGCTCTTCGGCAAGTAACGAGGGTAATAACCGCACAGCCACCCCTGGCCGGAGGGCTTGGAGGAAAACAAAACAAGTTGATATTGGCGTTGAGGATTTTATACTCTCGTATACAACGGTAGGTGTGCATACCATCGTGCATGCGTACATTATGTACTGTAGTTATACAAGAGTTCCAAGATGCTACGTAGCAATTCCTCCCGTTGGAACTACATGTACAGGTATGTACATGTATAAGAGAACGTGTGCGAAGCGGGTCTTTTGGGAAGTGTTGGTGAAAATGAGTGGTTAAACTCGAGTGTTCCCGCCGTCGGGATGGCACCTAGTCACATCTTGCGCAGGTATTACCGTTGCTCGTATCTACTAAGGTACTGGGTAGGATCGCCACTTGTTGACGCCTAACATGAGAGAGAACCGGAAGGAGGCCGGCGTGCGCGATGAGCCAATGAAGAAGCACATGTAACCTTGTTATTGCTCTGTGCGAATGAAGATAGATTATTATAAGATAAACATCATGCTGTTACACCATCGATTCTCTTGTTTAAGTTGCCGAGTGTATCCAAATGAGTCAACTTGTCATTAAGAGGAGAGTGCTTTAATTGTAATAGTCCCAATTATCAAGCAGTCAAGTAGGTAAGTATTAGCCCAAGAACGCAAGCGAAGAACGACGAGATGTATATCGCTTACCAGTAAATACTTCAAATGGCAAGGATCTCAATATTTAGAATGTTGTAGTACATATGTAAGTAACTATCTATCTACTATGTGGGTAGGTAAGCACATAGTTCGTTGGAGATCTATGTATGTAGCCTGGGAGACGGCCAAGGAGGATGAGGACGAAGACAAGCGGGGTAGGTAGCTTCGAAGGCTCATTAGTTACACGTACTATGTAAAGACGACGAGGTGGTCCGGCCAAGTGGAGTACTTAGATCGAGAGTAGATAGATGTATATATGTAGGTAAGCTTACTTACAAAGTGGCGGCTTGAACAGAATCGATGGAAATCAATATATCAAAATTTGACTTGAAGGGGATGCCATGTAATTACCTGAAGTTGATTTCTTGTTCAGGCACATTACCTCCTTTTGTAAAGTGCATACCTATTCAGTATCGGTAGTCATACAATAATCTCGGCTGTACCTACATGTTTTAGTATACCTAGGTATGCAGCTTTCGAACGGAGTTGGAAATAGTATGTGAAGACTCAAGACAACGTTGAACAACGCAGTGGATTAAGGCTTTAAGCATCGTAGCACGACATACCTCTCTCTCCAGTCAGCCCTAGGTCCCATTAGTATAAACAGGAACAAAAATTTGCGCCCTCTTGTTGATTGGATAAATGTGAATAGGGAAAGGTCCACAACGGGTGCTACGAGGGAGCCCACGAGCTTACATAGTACAAGGGGTAGAATTCGAAAAGAAACCCGGCATAAGTCTTTGCCTCTCGACCAAGAACTGGGAATGAATTTTTACCTGCATGTAGGTATGTGAATAAATAATAACTACCATCGAGTGCTCGGTGAAGCGATACCTCCCTACTCAGCAATATATGGAACTCCAATGTGAGAAATTTGGTAGCAATCATTGGAAATATATCTAGTTTGAACCCCCCTTGTCTCGATTTCAGCTAAAGAACCACCCAAAGGATGCCATGACCATTGACAATATTTAAACCGTTACCCAGCTACCTAATGATGCTATACTTCAAGGGAGTAAGCATCCCTTGTCATTGGACTCTGAAGTTGGTAATAGTGCACATTACCTATTCCGTACACAAATGCTCACCATCCCCGCGATGTGGCTTGACCTGTTATCCCTCTCCGTCTCTCTCCGTCTCTCTTCGTCTATCTCCCCCTCTTCGCTTCCTTTCATTGCCTACCTAAGTAAGTATATGATATATATGATAATGCCACCACCCAAACTCATCACTATAACTGATGGGCCAGATGAATCGAGTGGCTTTCACCTTTCACCTAAAAGCGACCAGGGCTTCATCCATCTGATCACTTCTACGCCTGTTGTGTCACTTCCAATTCCAATTTTATTGCCTCTAGAGTTGCATCGACAGCTCACAATATCGCTGAACTTACACCAACATAGCCAACATGGTCCTACCCACCATCAGCTTTTCCCGCAACAAGGGTGCCGTTTGTCCAATGAAGATGACGCATAATTATTTCTCACGCTTGTTATGTTCCTTGAAGAAGTCCAGTTGTACTGCGTACTACCAGGATCATTTATTATCATGTGTATGTCCCAATTTGTATACATGCCCCCCATTGGAAGATGGTCTATCTTGTCTGTTATTGGAACCAACCGACTTCTCACTACTTGGCCTGCAGAATATTTATTTACTAGCCTCTTAGCCGATCAATTAGCTTATTGTCTTTACATCGCCGTATATTGGTAGGTATAATATTCCCTGAGACTCGACATGCCTGTCGTGTACTTTGGATAGCACCTAACCAGGTAGGTACCTATTCTATGCCCCGGAATCAGATGCCATGATACTACGTAGCTTGTTGCATGTTAGACTCAGTTGGTAACGAACACTATATCGTATCGGGTCTGGCTAGGTATCTAGGATAGAGCGTGAGGCTGACCCCATCATCTCAACTATGAGCTGACCTGCTTTAGTGCTCTAAGAATGCCTACCCTCCATCAGCAACCATGTATGTAGGTATGGATGTATGTATGTATGAGTGGAAGAGTCTCACCCGGGCCTTGCCCGAGCAGTCTCGGTCTGCGAGTAAGAGGCAAAAAGCTTGCCCCTTTGTACTAATATGCAATCTTTCGTGCGTAGGCATTACCGTGACAAGACTCCCCGCATGTTTGTATGTATCATTTAACCCCACGAGCCCTTTGCGAACTGAAGTGGCTTTGAGAGTTCTTTGTATCCCTGGCTTTGCATCCCGGCTCTTCCATTCGGCCCTGCCGTGTAAGCCTCTTTTATCGACTACACTAGACAAAGAAGTATTGCCTCTAGGCTTCCAGATTCGTCTTGCTCCCTTCTTTCATACGCCGTAGGCCTGACCAAACGAGATCCTTGCCGAGATTTACTCGACAAATCAAAAGCAGAGCGATCGTTGACGCCAGTCCAATGGCTTCTTTGTTGTAACTCTGGGTTTGCCTCGAACCAACCCAGCCCAGCGGGAGCGAACTCCTGTGTGAAGTTGATCCTTGCCCTGATATGAGCCTCATCCACGTACTTACTCAACTAATCCATCACCTATTAATCTTATTGCCGCCTTTTTCATTCGGCATACACAATTGATTAGAGACACGAGATGTATCGATATAGGATAGCTTGGCTAGCATTTACCACTGAGTGGCTAGCCTCACAAGTCTACGGACAGGCTGTATGGCAGGCGAATCAGGTAAATTCGACTATGTGTTGGTGGGAGAATCTTCGAGGTGAGACAAGCCGTTGCGGTTCATCATCTCCTGCATGATCGATTAACAAGTCTATAGTTGCTGTACTCCGAGATACTGTCTATCTAGATGGCGGTAGCTTAGGATGGGCACCGGGCCTGGCTGACGGGTCATATGGGAGCCCCGTAGACGATGGTGAGTTGACCAGTGAAACAGCAACAACCTCCTTTTTATTTTCAATCGAGTTAAGACGTCCTCTAACATTCTATCGTAGACAATCCTCTTGGTTTAATTTACACATACAATTTTAGCATACCCTTCAATGCAAGCACGAATGTCAGTACTATATTTAACACGATATCGAAGGGACTGAATGGTGGTGCTGCAAATAACATCGCTCCAAACTACTTTGATGGGGCATTGCTCGCTAACGACGACGAATTCTTTCTGTACGGCGGCTTGGTGATCCAGAATGGACCATACTCTGCATTGGCTGCACCAGATGCCGACGCAGTGCTCGCATATATTGCGTCACAGTATGGGACAAGTACGAGCTCGTTTCGTCCAGGTTTCTTCAACTACAAGCTGCCTGATGGACTGACTCGGTATGTTACTTACGGAGGCACCGCGAACGCTCCATCTGAGAAAAAGGCGTGGTATTTTGGTGGCTATCGCTCGGCCTCCTGGGGTCCGATATACCAGCCGGGTGCCAACACTTCCACTGATCCATCAACCGTGTCCGACACTCTGATCACGCTAGATATGGCGACCCAGAACCAAGAAGTCTGGGAAAACGTTACCCTTCCGAGAGGCATCCCAAGCCGTGCGAACCCGTCCATGGTTTGGGTTCCTGTTGGCGAGCAAGGCATTCTAGTAGTGTTAGGCGGCGTCACCTATCCTGAATATGACAACTCCAACAGGACTTCCCTAAACCCGGCCCAAAGTGTATGTTTTCCTGCCCCGAGACGAAAAATGAAAAAAACGAGAAAATGCATACTAACCCAGTATTAGGAGAGAGATAGCCCAGGCTTCATGCAGAACATTGACATCTACGACGTAGCAAGCAGTACATGGTACCAGCAACCAACCGTTGGCGGCCCCCCTGCGCTTGCGATGGGATGTGCGGTAGTTGCCACAGCCTCAGACCAGTCCAGCTACAACATCTACTTCTACGGAGGCTACGACGGTATCCACCAATATTCGGACTACAACGACGACGTGTGGATCCTGTCGCTGCCGTCGTTCATGTGGATGAAGGTTACCTCGGGCACCGCGCAGCACGGCCGGGCTGGCCACCACTGCGTCATGCCGTATCCGGACCAGATGCTAACCATTGGGGGCCGCACAAACCCGTCCAGTGGTGCGACCGAGCCCCCCTGCCTCGAGGGTGACCCTCCCGGGATCCTCCAGGTTTACAACCTCACCGCCGCCCAGTGGATGGACTCGTACAACCCCGAGAACTGGGATCAGTACGGAGTGCCCGAGATGATCCACGTCATGATCGGGGGTGATTACTCTGGCGGCGCAACCATGACCGCCCCCAATCCCTCGGGCTGGGTTACGTCTGATCTAGCCAGTGTATTCGCGACTCCGTACCCCACGAGCAAGTTGACCTCCTACTACCCCTATAGTTCTGTCGGGCCAGGCGGCTCCACTCGAGGCGACACCCAAGTCAGCGCCAAGGGCACGCCTTCCTGGATCGGACCCGTGCTGGGTGTAGTTCTCGGGCTCGTATTCATCACAGCCATAGTCGTCGGCGTCCTCTTGTACAGGAGGCGAAAGTTGCTGAAGAAGAACACCCAGGCCGACCCTTCCGGAAACGAAAATGGCAGCAGGATCCTGTCCTGGATGCGCGAGACAAACGACGGCAAGGCCCCGACCGTTACCACGGACGACACTCGCACGCAGTTCGACGAGATGGAGAGCCGGGGCGTCACGCCGATGCGCTCGCCCGGGCATCCCGAAATGGCCATGGTTCCTCTGACCGAGATGCCAGACACGCAGCTAGTAGAGCTATGGGGTAAGTAAACAAACAACGCTCAGCAACCTAGCCACTCATCTCATCTCAAAGTCCACCATACTAATCATTTCTATTCTCTATATAACAGACACCTCACCCAAAGTCGAGCTCGGCGACACCAACGTCAGCCGGCCCTTCACCTCGCACCCGCAAACGCCGCGATCCATCTCGACGCCCATCGCCAGCACGCAGGCGTACTTCCCCATCGTAGGCAGCTCATCGCAAGACCACGCCTTCTCCCACGCCCCCGCCGCTGCATCCTCATCCTCATCCTCGTCTTCAAATACCGCCCAACAGCAACCCCCCATCATATCCCACGCGGAGCGCCCGGACTCCCCACCCCTCGGCACTAACGCCGCCAACACCGCGCACTCGAGCATCAACTCACGGATGAACACCCCGGTCCCCTCCAACCCCACTCACAACCCCAGCACAAGCGCGAATGCGCACGGGGGCATCGTAAGCGGGATAAGCGGGATAAGCGACCGGGACAGAGCGCACCTGCGGCAGATTAGCGACGCGACGGTGAGCTCCGAGGCCGAGAGCCAGACGACGGTCGGGGTGGCGCGGTCGTTCACGCCTCCTCCGCCCGCGTCACAGTCACAAGCAGCAACGACAACGGGGTCGCATTATATCGTGCACCCACAAGATGAGTCGGGACAGCGAGGGACGGGCGTGAATAGCCCGCTAAGGCGGAGCGTGTTTCGGGAGAATGAGGGTGATATGGGGGGTGAGGAACAGCAGTGAGGGTGAGGTGAAAGAATGACATAGAGACAGAATGAAAAAGGGGAAGAGGGGAAAGGGGGGGCGGAGGTTAATGATTTCGAAATACTGGGTACTTGCGAATTGATACCATGGACATGGAGTTTATTACAACGGCACGGAACAGCACAGAACAGAGCAAGACAAGGAGAGCTGAAGATGAATAGGAGATATGGGGTGTGGAATAACTAAGGGGCAAAGCTTTTTTCGTAAATACAAATCATCATACTCGGACGATGCCGGGTCGCACCTATAAAGGGGCAGATATGAATGGCTGGATAAGAAACAGCAAGGCTGGAAATCATGGGACGACGAGATGACGTATAAGCAAAAACCGGTCAATAGATGGATCAATCGTTCAAACATGAATATCTACTCTTTAATAAAAACAATCCACTTACGGGCATATCCATATGTTCATATGTTTCATGGGAGCTTTGTGTACTAGCCATGACAATTAGTACGCAAAGTAACAATAGAGGTTTTCTGGGAAAGACGAATAACTCCTAACGGTGCTGATATGTTATCATTGCTGGAAAGCTATAAGCTCGATCATACAAGTGTGATCTAGATCTAGGAGTAGACATTTATTCCAATGAGAAGGATATGCCAGCAACAGCTCTGACTTATTTCATACCCCTGACTCGCCTTTCATGAACATACCTAAGATTATAAATCCATGTTGTCTAGGTTATGAGGGTTTCTGGGAACTTTTGAAATTGCCTTGAGACTTGGTCAGCACGAGAGGCCTATTACGTGTAACGGATGTAAAACCATACCTTGAAACCCCCTTACAATGACTTATTGGGCCTAATACTAGCCAAAACTATAATGGAATCACGCTCCCTAACTTGGGTGTCTATCGTGCTTTACGCGGGTAGATGTACTGGCCTTACTGTGAGTATTGCCCCTGCATTTTGCAGACGAGTCCGGCTGCTCTACGTTGAAAAAGGAGGTTGTTATCATCAACCATGGTTGAGTATTCGTTCAACCCTTCTTCCGACCCGCCTTCCCTCGACCTCGACCACGGGTACCTCGTCCTCTGGTGCCACTTCCTCGGCCAGATCGAGTGGTTGGAGTAGTACTGGCCTCTTCCCTTTCGCTCTCTTCTTCGTCTTCCTCTTCATCATTGTCATCATCTTCGGCTTCCTCGCCATCATCACCGACGTCTTCTTCAGCATCTGGCTCTACACTCTCCGCCTTCGCCTTCGCAGCAGCACGTTTTTGGCTCCTAGTACCTCGCGCGCTCGTTCGTGCTGCAGGACTACTGGGAAATGGAGTTTCCTGGTCGGTATCATCGACGGTGCTAGCTCTTGTCTTGGTTGTGGTACTACCAGCAACACTTACTGCATCAGCCGTGCCTCGCTTGCGCTTCTTCACTCCCGTTGTCGGTTTCTCCGGTATATCAATATCCATATCCGAATGGGCTGACTCCTCACCGGGGCCAGCCGCCGCGCGCGTCCACATCAAGTCGTGAAAATCATCGGGTGGTAGATCGAAATCGTTGTACTTTTGTTCGGGTGGCTCGTCTTGACCGTCGCCTTCACCCTTAACGTAGTCGAATGAATTATCGCGCTCATCGATAGCATCCATATTGTAGAAGAGGCGGAGTTTCTTCCAGATATTGGGGATGCGCGTGTGGGTTTCAACATCTGGGTCGAACCCGTGGTTGCGCAGGTGTTCTGAGATGGCGATCATGCGGAAGTGCTTATGTATACCTAAGTAGATAAGCACACATATGAGCATCAACTATATATACTCACCTATGTACAGTTACAGTAAGAGTTGTGCACATACCTGAAGGTTTCCAGCGAATAACTGCCTTGAATAGTGAAGATTCCTGATCATCGGTCCAGAGGTTACTGAGGATCTCAGATGCTGGTGGGAGGTTATTAGGTTTGGATGTTGTGGGAGTGTCTGCAGCACGGGGGGTATCTGCTGCTTGGGGAGTGTCAACATCCATAGTATCGTCATCGCGAGCTGGAGTTGACAATGATTTCGGGGTGGACACCTCTGCCAAGGTATTGGCCTTGGACTTCCTTTTTGGGGGCATATTGATTCTATATAAGGGGAATTATATGATGGGTATTGTGATGATGTATTCCTATCCAAGCTATCCGAATATACTAGCGAACAATTGGTATTTGAGGGTGTGGTAAGATGAATGGATTAAATTATTAAAGTTGTTGATGGATGGAAACAGTCGAAGAAACATTGAACTTTGAAGTTGCTGAATCGGAAAGAGCTTGAGCTCCAGCTTGTACTATGTACAGTTGCATTGTACCTTAGTACCTAAATAACCTAGTGTCCAGTGGCTCAGCAGATCGCGGGGCAACCGACCTGTGCTCATTACACTGACCTACATACATAACTATGTAGCTCAAAAGTTAATCCATGTGGCGTATGTATCATACAAACTCGTGGCTGTACACGGCCCGTGTCAAATACATTGATACCTCACATATATCGTCGCCGACGCGTTTCCCTGCTACATGCAACTCCCAGTTGAAATATAATCCGAGGCTAGACCCAAATGACTCTTTGCTATGCACAAAAAGTCTGATTCGAAAACATGGCAGACGAAGATCTTGCCAACGTCTTTGCCTTTCCGGATTTCAACCTGTCTTCCAAATGGCTGACGCTGTCTTCCGGATTGGATAGTCAATTCTTTGATGCGAATCTTGATGATTCCGGTAAACCAAATGAAGGACATATCGGTGCCAAGCCCCCCACCGCAGACCTTGATGGATTCTTCAAGCTACCAGATTCTTTGGTACCCATAAACCTCGCTGAAGCAGATGAGATCGGCCACCAAGATACTTCTACCCTCGAAACAATCCACGACGTGGACTTGCATGATTTAGATGTATTTGATGATTCGTGGCTCCATGAAGAACTCCCAGTAGCTCCAAAAGTCGAATATAAGACATGGGATGCTTTCTTGATACCGGATGGTACCCAAGCACAGCCCTTGTTCATTACCGAAGCCGGCCCAGGAGCGTACGATGCCGCAATAAAAAATGAAGCCGATGTTTTTGACATGCAGAATGCAGAAAACCCTACTGTCCAAACTGCCCCGTATCTTGCAGCACTCTTGGCACTTGTCCTCGGGAGAGGATCGGTCTTCTTTACCTGGGATGAGGAAAAAGTGAGCTTCGTCCCTGACGTGGACGGAATGAGGATTTCGGGTTACTCGTCAGAGGTCCTCAAGGGAATCCAGCGACGTTGTATGGAATGCGGGAACACGACTCGTTCGCTATCGGCTTATGTACAAATCACATATAAGCAGCATCCAAGCGCAATCAGCATCGCTATTGCGAAAGCCATAGACCTGACTCTGGCAACTATCCAAAGGATACTTGGGTCCAGAGCGAGGAATGCGCGCTCTATCTTACAACTTCAGACCCTCATCCAACCTGTTCGTTCGGTATTGGCATATTTCAAATCTCTTATTGTAAAGGTTTCCAAGTTGAGGTCTGATGAACAGATATTGTCTCTGATTTTCAAAGAAGCTCAAGCTCTAGAGCATGGTGAAGCACTTCTAGGTGGAGTGATACGCGAGATATTATCGCGTGTTTCACAACCTTGGACCCAGTTCGCGGAGAGATGGATAGGAGTCAAAGCTGAAGGGGGCGTCCCATTGACCAAAGAGGACCCCGGCAACAGCTTTGTGAAAGTTGACAACATTTCTTTGATGGATGATTCTGGTGTCGAGAGCGCAGAGCTTGACTACGTCCTTGATGAAAACCGTATGCCTGATTTTGTCCCCAGCGAAACAGCTCTGGTCATGTTTGAAACAGGGAAAACATTGCGTCTTCTGCGTACTCACCACCCGGATCATCCGCTCTGCCACATGGACCTCATCATGTCCAGCGAACCCCCCACTCTTCAGTGGCATTTTGACTGGAAATCCATCGGATGCCTACAAAATGATGTAAAAAACTACGAAGAACGTCTCACCAAGAACTTACAAGAATGGCCCAGAAGAAGAGGGTTGGTAACTCAAATAACGAGCCCAGTCGAAAAGTCATGCGATGAAAATTACGGCTTGCATTTTTTTGGGCATGAGGGAGTCCATCTCGAGGATCGCTTGGTAGCATCAATCGAGGCACTAAACAAGCCGCCCTTTCTTACTTCTGAAGAAGACAGTTTATCGAAATTATTATACGCTCGATTATCCGGGGACACGGCTCATACAGAGGAAGCACACTCTAATTTCTCGCCACATTGGTCGTTGATACCATACCACTCCTTCGGGCCACTTGTTGCTGCCCAGGCACGGGTAATCAACCGGGAGTACATGAAACTGTTATTCACTACTCATCATTTGCGTGAACATCTCTCCCTACAAAAACAATTCCATTTGCTTGGAAATGGTGTATTCTGCAGTCGATTTTCTCATGCATTATTCGATCCAAACCTGGACACTGCTGAACGACAAGCAGGTGTAGCTTTAAGTGGTGGTGTAATGGGACTTCGATTAAGTGGAAGGGACAATTGGCCACCCGCAAGCTCAGAGCTCCGATTAGCTTTGATGGGCGTTCTGGCTGAAAGTTACCTACCTCCATCGTCCGAGGCGAATCTTCCAGCAAACAAAGAGCGCAAGCATGATCTGCCCGGCGACATTAGCTTCGGCGTACGAGATCTCTCGGCTGAGGAAATTGATAAATGCTTGGATGCAAATTCGTTGGAAGCCCTTGATTTCCTTCGCCTTTCTTACAAGCCCCCTGCGCCTCTTTCCCCGGTGTTTACGCCAGTGGTTTTACTAAAGTATGATAAGATATTCAAGTTACTACTTCGTGTGCTACGAATGCTTTACGTCAGTGAGCAGCTCTTTCAAGACAGTATTGGAAGGTCATCAAATTGGCATGATATTGACAACGCTTCGTTGCGATTCCGTTTTGAGGCACAGCATTTTATTTCTAGCATAAGTGCCTACTTTTTTGATACGGGTATCGAGGTACCATGGAGGCGGTTTGAAACTTGGCTTGGGGGCGTGCAAGATAGTCTCACGACATCTGAGCACGGCTCGGAGGGGGCGCGAATTTTAAGTCCAGACGAATTGCGTGAAGAGCACGAGCGTGTGCTAGATCATATGATGCATACATTGCTGCTGCGAAAACGACAGCAACCCATTTTAAAGCTACTGGAGGATATATTTGCGGTAATTCTAAAGTTTTCCAAGGTCAGCCGCGTGGAAGCTTTAGGCAGAGGAAAAGGCAAGACTCAGACATCATCATCGAGGACTCTATATACTGCCTTCAAGAAGAAGGTGGATGTTTTTATAACAGTATGTCGTGCTCTTTTGGAGAAAAGCGGACATACAGGGAAGCCGATGCGTGACGATGGGGGAGAAGGACGTGGTGAAGGCGTCAAGGAAGGAAGCTCTATTGATAAGCTTTTAATCAAGCTGGAGATGTCGGGTTACTATGGTTACATGAAGACTTGATTAATGAACTCAAGAGATATGATACCCCAAAATACAATGAATATTCTATCGAAGTGTAATAATATCAGTGATATCAGTGATATCAGTGGCCCAACTTTGGTAGTATACCCCTTTTCCCCCCTTTTATCCCTGACTTGGCCGGCAGTGCAGGCACAGTACAGGTACTAGGTAGTAGGTACAGTACCTGGGTACCAGATACCTAATAAATCCCCCGGGACCCCGCATCGCGTGCCTGACGCGAATACTAGGTACCTACCTAGGTTAGTAGAGTAGTTAGAGGTGTTTTTTCAAGTTCCAAGCTTTAGCAGCCACACAACCCCACCACCCGCTAAAGTGCCCTACCTATCAATTACATAGTGGAGTCAACAGTTTATCGGCTTCTTTCTTTCTTTCAACTCTGAATTCTTATTCGATTCAGCTTGTAATGCGACAACATGTCTCGATCCGGACAGTCTTTGGGGAGGAGCTTGACCTTGACAGAGGAATTAGAGAGACTTGAGCAGTCAATTACTCTTACCCTACAAGAAATTGACCACAATTTCAGCAAAGCGCACCGCATCGTCACCACTAGCATTCTCCCTCTAGTTGAGCAATATGGTGAACAATCCAAAGCTGTTTGGGAAGCTTCCAAGGTATGCGCAATATTGCTACACATAGGTACTTATAACACCTATAATACAGATAACTAATCTGCTTTGTCTTCTTTCTAGTTCTGGAAACAATTCTTCGAAGCTTCCGCAAATGTGTCTCTTTCAGGTTATGAGGAACTAGCGGAAGAAAATGAAGAGACCACGACAGCCGAGGAAACGACACTGGACGAGACCACATCGGATTACAACAATACTACCAATGCTGAGGAAACGGCTGAGCAGTCGGGCTACCAGGATGAGCATCAAGAACAGCGAAATATGCCCGACGACTCCCTACTCGACGAAGCTGAGATGACGGGCAGTACGCCACGTGTACCTACTAGCAAATCGCTACACGTGAAGCCACAGTTCGCCGAATTCGAGTCCCCCTACGAGAAACTGAGGCGCGAGCTCAAAGGCGATACCACCATCTTTAAGGACGATGAGCGATTTGCCGAAGGCGATGACGACGAAACAATGGAGCTACCTGGTGAGCTACTTGGCCATCCCAACCGCACATTCACCAAAACGAGACTTCCGGATATGTCCATGACACCGCGCTCTTCGTCCCTGCTCGAAGAACCCGGGCCGCAGTCCACGGCTCGTAAAAATAAAGACCCGCTACTGCATCGCCTTCTCGATAAGAACTACCGGGTGCAAGCGACACCACACAAGAACGTCGTACCGATACTACGTGCACGCGGCAGATCGCCTGTCAAGGTCGGCGAAGGGGAAGAGGACCGCACGCGTCGGGCGCTGTGGCAGGACAGCCCGATGAGCTCGCCCGAGATGGCGGTACCGAAACTACGAAGTGATTTATACATGTCTCCCGTGCGGTTACGTCAAAATCGTGCTGGTGCCGCCAGCGGAGCGCCGAGGACGCCGGGGGTCAGCGTGCAGACGCCAACGACCTTGAGGAAGACGAGGGATATATTCGCCGAGGCCAAGGGCAAGGGCCTGAGCACAAATAAGAAGCCTAAAGATGAGATCACGTGGGACAGCGACGACGACGATGATTTCGGCGCTATGAGCCCGCCGAAAACGATTCAGTTTGTGTTGCCACCGAGTAAACTGATGCAGACGCCTGGTAAGTAACTATTTGATATCTCATACAATGCACTAGTGATGTAGGCTAACTAGATTGGCAAAAGCACGAGAAGCAAGCAGGCGAATCGTGGACGATATTCTGATCACGGCCGGTGCAGCACCAGAGGACTCATCAGAGTATAGTCCGACTATGGTGAAGATGAACCAGGACATCCTGGACGACACGTTCTAAGAAGATGCTTGCCTAAGTATCTATGTAAGATGATGAATGTGGTCATGACGTTACTATAACCAAGACGCGGCGAGACTGCCAAGGGAGCATGACATTATATTTGTACCTAGGTGGTCATGATAGCCGTAAGTAGATAAAGCACAACACAAGAGATACCCCCATCCTTATTATATTCGTGTTCTTCGTACTCGTACGTAGTTCTTTTGATCAGAAAAACCCTCCCATGAGAATGATTACCTCTGCCGCGGCTTCACATTAAAGATTATGTTCTGTAGGTAGATGTACGTGTGCTGCGGCTTAGTACATAGGTATCCTTGCTTCACCCCTTACACGAGATGACGCTTCATCGCATTCATCCAGCCCGACATCCGCAATGCTTTTTTTTTGAAGGAGAAAACTCGACGCAAAGGAATCCCATCTCGTGCTATGTAGGTATGTACCTATTGTTGCCTGGCTTGGAATTATTCCGATGGGTTGGTAAACTGAACTGGCGTTCTTTTTGCTGTCTGCCTGCCGGTAGGTAGGTAGGCAGGCAGGCAGGCAGGTGGAAGGTAGGTAGTTTCCGCCGCCATTCAGTCGTGCCGCGGCTTCGGTACTCAACTCAACTCAACCCAACCCGGCGAGCCTAGCGGAGCAAGGACGAAAGATTATGCGGTTCGTTGTTTAGTCGGTTGGGTCTCCTAGTTCATCCGCAACTGGTTCTTCAGCGCGGCCCGCATCATTCTGGTTTCGAGGTCGCTTACTTTGCTGCTGCTGCTGCTGCTGCTGCTGCTGCTATTTCCACCACTACAAGACTTGTCGCTGTCCTTCTCTTTATGGTTGCTGCTTTTGCTGGGCTGGAGAAGAGGCTTGGTGCTTCCGGTTGTGCTTGTGGAGATGATGGAGGCGGAGTCGGAGTCTGAAGACTTTGAGGTTGAGGGGGGTGGCTGGGGTTGCTGCTGCAGGGCCTTCTCGCCGGAGAGGATGGCGCTTAGCAGGGCCGAGGAGTGCGCTTTGTCTTGTGTGTAGCTCATGGTTGTGGGGTTTATAAGGGGGTGGTGTATGGCAGGTGGTATAGTAGGTATCTAGCTAGGCATAGCTTGGTTGGCTCAGTTACTAGATAGTGTAGTGTGGCGAGGTGAGGCGAGAGTTGCTTGATGATGGAGGGCGTGGTCTGGGCAGGGGTTTATATCTGTTCGGTATGCTATGGCAACTCGAAAATTTTGCTGCCTAGAGGGACATGTAATGTATCAAAGAAAACAAGGCATTATTACCTACCCCAAGTTACGTAGGTACTTGATCTTTAATCTTTCAAAAAGATTATCAGATCTCTAGCCCCTGGTTTTCTCAGTTGGGATTACCAACTCGGGGGCCATGACGCGACGTTACTACAACCTAGAATGCAGATTGCCGATGACTCAGAAGGTGTGTTATAGGTATATATCAAGATTATAGTACATCCGGATGTTTTTCTGTTGGTCTGTATCTCAAGACAGTCAACACGAGCACGCAACACATGCAAGGGGCCTCGTCAGGAATATGCCTATAGATGAGTATACGTAGGCTGATTCTTACCTGCAGGTAGGGTATCTAGCCCATTTGGGCACATATCTAGCTTCCCGGTTTTCCAGAAGACTGCAAAGCCCTCGGCTCTTCCAGGTTAACTAGTGTCGTGGATACTATCTAAAGTAGAGCCTCATCAATGATTACTAGGTATAATTTTCACGTAGGCAAGTCATCAGCAAAAGACGTATATCTATAATTATTCCAAGTGCGACGTCAACCCCGGGCATGACTCATACTGACTCACTTGCTGGCGCTAACTTAATAGGAGGTAGGTAGCATCTATCATCCCATATCATTTTTCTTTCTTTCTTTTCTTTCTTTTACCTGGCGCTATTTTTCTCGAGCTGAATTGCCTGGACGGCTCTAATCGATCGCCAAGATATGCAAGTAATATGCAAGCAACGTAAGTATAACTGGTGATGGTACGCAAAACCCCCCTCTCGTGACGACTTCACTTCGTGTCTCCTTATCAACTGCGAAAAGAACAGGAGAAGAAAGGATGGTGTAATTAATATCTGTGCATATTCATCTCACCGCCAAATTTGATTACAAAGGATATGGTATCAATTGATCTAACCTTGGGGAATGCTTCCGCCGTAGGCGATATCAGTTTTATGGTTGCCATCGTTAGTGACAACTTCAAGATGCTGTAGACGTCTAGCTGTCTACTAGGTAGGTTAGGTAACTGAGTGGTTTGCCACCTCCTTTCGCTTCTCCTCGAAGATGAAAAATAGTACACGGTTATAATCCCCATTGTGTATGTTCGAGTATTGCTAACTGATGAGGCTGTAACAAGAGACAATGAATTCTATGGGGCCTGTTGCAGAACTCACTCGTCTTGAGACCTTAGCCCTGGCCTAACTAGGTACTGTTATGGAATAGCTGCTGAGGTAGGTGAATCCTCATACTACAAGATCGAGAAGCGTTTTATTCTAATATACTATGATATATACCTCCTTATGGAAACTACTTATATACATATGATAGTGCTGCATCGAGTAGCGTCAGGTACTAGGTATGCATCGCAGACATCACAGGTTGGTTCAGTATCACTTACAGAGCTCCTATAATAATTTCCCTAATATTCCAGTCTATGCCACCATGCAATAATATGAATAGATTTGCAGTGTCTGCTTCTTAGGTGTAAGGACATAGTTAAGTGAGTACCTACCTAGGAATCAAACATCTCTTCAAGATCTGGGGATGCAAAGGTCTGCGGTCAGCTAATCTCATATGATGCAGTATAATCCGACGCCATTTCCCCCTCGAGGTGGAGCATAAAAATGCCCTCTAAGAGATATGATACTGTTATATTGTGGCTGACATAATCGCCAACCCGAATACGAGCACGACCAAATAGAGCTGACCCCCTGCAAGCTCAAGCCGGGAGCCACCCGAACGGAGATCGTCTCTTCGATATAGATCTTCGACCTTGGTATCATCACCAGTAGCTTATAGCTCCGTAATAGGTATGAAATTTACAAACCGAAGAAAGTAATTGGCTATCAATGCCCACGAAGCAAGGTTCTGTAGGTAGATAGTAGAAATGGATCTCGTCAGGGGCTACCGTCTTCTACTTTTGCGAGTTGCTAGGCGTATTCGTTTTCTAAATAATTGTGATTTCTTTCAAATCCAAGAAATTTACCTATGTAGCTATATAAAAGGTAGTCTTACCTTCTCTAACTTGCAGTATACTCCAGACCCTAAGCCTGCCTTACATCTATCTTCTTCAAAACGACTCGACTTGCAAGCTGAAAGGGGGGGAAATCCGCCACCATGGAACTCCTACCAGACCTCAAGGGGGACTTGTTCCGACAGTATCTTCAAGAGCAAGGTCTTATATCGCGACTCTCCCTAACCGTTGCATCGATTATCGTCGTAGGAATCCTCGTCAATATTCTGAAGCAACTCCTGTTCAAATCCCCGAATGAGCCACCCTTAATATTTCACTGGCTTCCCTTCATTGGAAGCACTGTCACCTATGGCATGGATCCGCCTCGATTCTTCAAGGAGAACAGAGCAAAGGTACCTTACCGACCTACCTAAGAACCGCATTGCCCTTCTCGTGGTGGCATCAAGGCAGCTAACAAATCTTGTGACAACAGTACGGTGATATATTCACGTTCGTCCTACTCGGAAGAAAGACGACCGTGTATCTAGGCAGCCAAGGGAACAACTTCATTCTAAACGGGAAACATCGAGAAATCAGCCCCGAGGAGATTTATGCCGTCCTGACCACTCCGGTGTTCGGGAAGGACGTTATTTACGACTGCCCCAATGCAAAGCTCGTAGAGCAGAAAAAGGTCCGTTTCCCAGAGTTCTTCTTTCATGAGGTGCCTTCGTAGTTACCTATCGAGTTCTTAGTGTTACTCACAAGCCGATTTTTATAGTTCATCAAGTTTGCCCTGACGAGCGAGGCCTTCCGATCCTACGTCCCCATCATCTCCAACGAGGTGCAAGCCTATTTCCAAAAGAGAGCCGACTTCAGGGGGAAGTCCGGCATCGTCAACATCCCGTCCAAGATGGCCGAGATCACCATCTTCACGGCCTCGCACGCGCTCCAGGGCAGCGACATCCGCGCCAAGTTCGACGAGTCGCTCGCGCCGCTGTACCACGACCTCGACATGGGCTTCTCCGCCATGAACTTCTCGCTGCACTGGGCGCCGCTGCCGTGGAACCGCAAGCGCGACATTGCGCAGCAGCGCATGTCGAAGCTGTACACGGACACGATCCAGGAACGGCGGAGCCGTGGCGATACCCAGGGCCTCGACATCCTCACGCATCTGATGGGCTGCACGTACAAAGACGGCACCGCCGTTCCGGACCACGAGGTCGCGCACATGATGATCGCGCTGCTTATGGCGGGACAGCATACGTCGTCCTCGGCTAGCTCGTGGATCATGCTGTGGCTCGCAGCCACGCCCAGTATCATGGAGGATTTGCTTCAGGAGGTACGTGTTTTTGCCCCTGCTCTTTCCCTTTCCCCCCTTTTCCCTAACGTGCCTTGCTTAACACCATCCACTAACCCACCCACCCCCCCTCCTCCAGCAAAAAACCAACCTCGGCCCCAACCTCCCCCCCCTAACCTACGAATCCCTCGCCAACCTGCCCCTGCACGAAGCCGTCGTGAAGGAGACCCTGCGCCTGCACGCCTCGATCCACTCGATGATGCGGGCCGTGAAGCAGCCGCTGCACGTGCCGGGGACCAAGTACGTGATCCCGCCTCACCACGTGCTGCTCGCGGCGCCGGGCATCTCCGGCTCGGACCCGGCCTACTTCCCGGACCCGGAGGTCTGGGACCCGCGGCGCTGGCTGCGGGGGTCCGCGCGCGCGCCGACGTTCGCGCTGCTGCTCGACGACGCCGACTGGGAGGACAAGGCGGACTACGCCGTGGGCAAGGGCGCCAGCTCGCCGTACCTCCCGTTCGGGGCGGGGCGCCACCGGTGCATTGGCGAGAAGTTCGCGTACGTCCAGCTGCAGACGATCGTGGCGAACGTGGTGAGGCTGTTCAGGTTTGCCGCGGTGGATGGGACGGAGGGCAAGGTGGGAGGCACGGATTATGCGTCCTTGTTCTCGAGGCCGTTGGAGCCGGCGAATATACGCTGGGAGAGGCGGCGAGGGTAGATGGGTAGGTAGCAGGTATTTAGTTAGGAAGATTGTAATAGATGCCTACTCGGGTTCATGGAGGTTCGTTGTGTTGAATTTCTCTCGGTGAGGGTGCTTCTGGCAAGCGAAATGGTGAAAAGGGGTAATGAAGCTACTAGGTTAAGTACCTAAGCAGGCTACCACCGCCATAAGCATTCTACCCAATAGCCACCTCCTTAGGTATGTAGGTTAGTAGCTAGCCGGGTAGATGGCCGTCTTCTAGACAAGCTTAGAAGGAGGCATGTGGCTAGTCGACGCGCAAATCATGTAGGTTAGAGAATCCTGTACAATACCTACCTTTTCCATTGTCGAAAACCATGTCTCAACCAGGTAGTCTTCGCCCGTTTTTCTTCACGGCGCCTGGCACACTCCCAAGTGCTGGGAGCCCCTCATCACCGTCCTGGATACCTAGGCAATCAGGTTTGTGCTTCCAAGGGACTCAGGGGGGGTGGCGTTGTGAGACTCGTTTACATTGCCGCCTTGCTGATACCCAATACCCAAAGGCTTCCACGATCCGCGTACGGCGCGCGCGCACCCCGATGTCCCGCTGGAGTTCGCCTAGTTCTTCCACCTGCCTGATGATGCTGGTTCGCAGATCACGCACATGACCGAGTTCACCACCGACCCAACGCACAGGCTTTGGTGTTCGAGGCGGCAAAAAAACGAATGCTCTCACTTCTGATAAGCGTAGTCTTGCCTTAACTCACGGCTACCATATAAGCCGGCAGTATAAGGAGTACGCATACAAGATAGCAACTATCTAGCGTATAGCTAAAGAACTTGACGACTTGCTAGTTCATCCTACCTACATAGGTTAGGTAGGTGGCATGACCAGTGGTTGTGAGTGTGTGTAGAAAAGAAGTGCCTACTAACTACCTACGTAGGTGAGTAGGTAAATTTCCACCCACCATCATAATCATACTACGCCCTACTAGGTAGGCACTTAGACATATGACTTTTCGGGTTTATTGGGTGAAGTTACCTGAGCTGGATAGGATCAATTTATGGTATTAACCACCTGACGCATCCCAATAGCGAGAGATATCAAAGTCTTAGGCAAACTGTCTTGAAATCAGAGTATTGAAGACGTTGAATGAAGTAAGCTGAGATCGAACAAGAGACCAAAAAAAAAAAAAAAAAAGCATGGGATTCTCTCACTCCTCTGACATTAACCTACGTAGATCAAGATAGGAGGTTATACTGGGCCTATGAATTTCTAGCGATTCGGCATCCGGAAAGCAAGCGACCCGATAATGTTTCTACCCTAGTATCCAATTCTCTTCTTTATGTAGTACGCGTAGTTATTAGTTTCTTTACACTAAGCTACTGTAAGCCCACCGGTAACTCGTGAGCCCGGCAGGGGGGGCGTAGCGTACATAAGTTCGCAATTGGGCTTAGGATACCGAGAAAGTGGCGTGCCTTCGGCCCGGAATACCTGCATAGGTGCTAGGTGAAGCCTATTCCATAGCAGATCCATTATGGATGATAATTGTCATGAAATATTGAAAGACTGGCAGACTAGCAGACTAGCAGTTTAATCTTATCCCTATATTTTTTTTTTCTCTTTGACCCCTTGATCAGCCTTGAAGTCTTTTGTGGAAAGTTATTCGTTCTTAGTACTTCTTACCTAGCAGCCCAAGGTAGGCAATTTCAACATGGTATTCGTATAGAGGGTATCTTATTTCTATCAAATCATAGCCAATCAATCACAAATAACGCCGCATTATATAGCCTTGATTAGGAAGGGAATTAGATCGTGGAAAAGCGTATCGGAGGATCTCCTTTATTTTTACGCTTAAAATTTAAAATCTTAAAAAGTATGTATGTATTTATATAACCGAGGTCATATGTAGAGTCATATGTATGTATATATGCATATTCGCGATAACTTTTAACCCCTATTCCCATTTCCTATTTCCTGAATTTCAAAACAGACAAAAAAACCAAGACCCCCCCCTTGTCAATTAGGTACTTATGCCACATTAGAAAGTATTAGCGCAGGCTTTCTTGCTCAAACCCGGACTTAAGCCGTCGTATTCGTATTTGGCTTTCTTTGCCCCGCGGATCCAGAAGCGGTGAATGGCGGGAAAGGGAAAAGGGAAAAGGGAATTTGAGAAGGCATGCAGGGCTCTCGATTGGCCAATTGGTAAGCAACGGCACCCAATTTGGTCATAACATTGAACAACCTTCGACCGCGGTTGACATGCATTGCATCATTCTCAAACTGGGGTGCTTTTTTTTTTTTTTTTTTTTTGTTCCTTTTTCCTTTTCCTTCTTCTTTCAACAATGCCTTGTGTGGAATGGACTGATCTGATATCGCACCAACCTGGTCTGGAAAAGTTCGTACGTAAATGACCTGATATAGGAAATCATCGTTCCTTTTTCTTTTCTTTTTCTGTCTCTCCAATTTGCCAATCGAAAGATAGCTCCCGCTGGGCCGCTGACACGCTGTATCTCCCGCTGTACCTACAAATGTTTGTGTACCTAGTAATTACATACATGTACTACATCACTGGGCACGATAGAAGGATGTATACCTAGTATTACCCTACATTGTAGGCATGTAGCGCAGTTCCCGTTATCGACATCGGAGACATCTTCCAGTTGGAGTTGACTAATACATAGTTAGCCAAATACCCCAGCGACACTAGATTCTAGACGCATATGTATGTAATACGGCGTAGAGTTTTGAGTAAGAACTCCCAAGACTCCCAAGAGTCAATTGAAACCGCCAGACCTACATAGGATGTAACAATGCTGAACATTTAACCATTACGGAAAAGTAGACATGTACATGCATAGTACCCCAAGTACCATGATGATGTATCTGTGTAAGCGGTGCATGGTAACTTGCTTAATTAGGTATGTTATGGCAAGTTCTTTTGCATCAGCAGGAACAGCTTGCAGATCTCCCGGGCTCGTCTGTGGGCAGTGTGGCCTATGAGAGGTGAAAGATAGGCTGGTTATGTAGAATTTATGGATATAGAAATATTCGTGACTAGGTTATTATCGGTAAGATACTACGGCTAGAGCTTAGACTCCTTAGAGGTACATACATGTAGTTAAAAGGTACAAAGTAGATAATGTACCTGACTGGTTTAGTCCAAGTCATAGCGTGCCTGCATTTTTTAAACAGCCATGCAGGGGTTAGTACAATTAAGAGGGTTCTCTGATAATCAAATAATCAAATAATCAAATAATCTCAATCAACAAAATTTAGTGGATTCCCTGCGATATATCCACTTCTTCGCACTTACTCTTGCTTGCTTCTCTTCGCCTTCTTTTATCCTCTTCACCCTCCCTTCACGTCAACTTCCTCTCCATCTTGAAGGGTCGTCCTCCTTCTCTTATCTCCTAATATCCTCTACCACCTAACTCTCTCTTAGAGGTGGTTTTTGAGGCTTCTTACACAATATTCTTTATCCTACAAACAAATATCTGCAAATCAGTAATAGTTTGCGACGCGAACCCTTGATCAGCTGGCTTGTCTCCTTTTTAAGACCAAGTCAAGTCGACTCGACGAGTAACTGCGGTCATCATGGCTGCAAACGCCACGAGTTTTACCTCGCCCCTGGCGGACTTCAAGCTCGCGGCTGGTAACCTGCCTCCTCAGGTTGACCAAGTGTTCGAGACCATCGCCAATGCTACTTTCATGACATGGGTGTGGACTATCGTCGCCTTAGCCATCGCATATGACCAAAGTATGTTGAATTATCTTTTTCTCGATAGCTCATATGAGCTAGACGGAATTGAATACGCTGACCAAGTTCTTTTCAAAAAATTATAGTCAGCTATTTTATGCACAAGGGTAATATCGTCGGCCCGTGGTTCAAACTCCCCTTTATGGGACCCTTCCTAGAGTCAATGAACCCCAAGTTTGAAGGGTATTTGCAGAAGTGGCAGAGTGGACCTTTGAGCTGCGTTTCGATCTTTCACAAGTACGTTCCCAACCTGAATATCCACTGTTCTGTTCGCGTTATTAATCTCGGATTTCTCAGATTTGTTGTCATTGCTTCCACTCGCGACCTGGCCCGAAAAGTCTTCAACTCCCCAACATATGTCAAGCCATGTGTTGTTGACATCGCTACTAAAATTCTCGGAGAGGATAGCTGGGTGTTCCTGGATGGAAAGGCCCACGTTGACTACCGCAAGGGTCTAAATGGCCTCTTCACCCGTAAGGCCCTCGAGTGCTACTTGCCTGGACAGGAGGCTGTCTACAAGACGTATTTCGCTAGGTTCCTCAGCATCACCAAGGAGGCCGAAGGCAAGCCTCTCCCTTTTATGCACGAATTCCGCGAGCTCATGTGCACCGTCTCCCTTCGAACCTTCGCTGGGTACTATATGCCGGATTCCGCATTGAAAAAGATTGCCGATGACTATTACTTGGTAACTGCTGCTCTTGATCTTGTCAACTTCCCCGTCATCATTCCCTACACCAGAACCTGGTACGGCAAGAAGGCCGCGGAAATGGTAATGGATGAGCTTGCCAAGTGCGCTGCCAAGTCCAAGGTTCGTATGGCGGCTGGCGGTGAGATCACTTGCATCATGGACGCCTGGATTAAGGACATGATCGCCTCGAAGAAGTGGAGGGAAGCAACCGAAAAGGGCCTTTCCACTGAAGACCTTGTGAAGCCATCTCCTCTGTTGCGCGACTTTAGCGATATGGAGATCTCGCGAACCCTCTTTACGTTCCTCTTCGCCTCGCAGGATGCTACGTCGAGCGCTGCCACCAATTTGTTCCAGATTTTGGCCAACCGACCCGACGTTCTAGACAGAGTCCGAGAGGAGAACTACCGTGTGCGCAACGGCGATATCTATGCACCCGTGAACCTGGATCAGCTCGAGTCGATGACCTATACCCGTGCAGTTGTCAGAGAGCTTCTGCGATGGCGCCCACCAGTTATCATGGTCCCTTACAAGACCAAGAAAGCCTTCCCCGTCACTCCCACCTATACTGTCCCCAAGGGTGCCATGGTCATCCCGACTACGTATATGGCGCTGCGCGACCCTGAAGTCTATGAGAACCCCGACGAGTTTGACCCTGAACGATACTACACTGGCGACGCGGAAGAGAAGGGTGCCAAGAACTATCTTGTATTTGGCACTGGACCTCACTACTGCCTTGGTCAGCAGTATGCTCAGCTCAACTTGGCGCTCATGATCGGAAAGGCTTCGATTCAGCTCGACTGGGAGCATCACGCCACTCCTGAGTCGGACGAAATCAAGGTCTTTGCTACCATATTCCCTAAGGTATGTGTCTCGTATTATTTGATATGGTGATTACTGTTGAAACTAACGAGGTTATCAGGACGACTGCCCCCTAACGTTTAAAGAGAGAAAGTGGTAAAAAATGAAGCCAGACGTAGGCTTGAGGTTACGAAAGACATGAATCGTAGAATAACAATATTAATAGTAATGATGGTCTTGCATATGGGTTATTGCTGAGGATATGTCGACGCCACCGACAACAAGGATATCCATAGTAACAGCTGAATCAGACCGAAGTTTTTTGAAGAATGAGTGAAGACTACCGTTGCCTAAACCAAGGTACCTTATGGGTGGTATGGGCGGGTATTGGTGGAGAGTCTCACGATGTCAGATATGGTCGATGTTGAAATAGATGTAATATAAACGGCGACTATATGTACCGAATGATATCGCTAAGACGATGATAACATTAAGGGTTTTTGAAGAAAAAATGTGTAATGATATTGAAAGGGAAAGAGTTGAATTTTCGAAGTTGAGATGTAAGGCTCAGAAGTTATGTAGGAAGTGAGAATTACCTACTACTAAGGTTAGTATGCTTGGTACATATAGGCAACCATCAATGATGGATGTTAGTCGTATGGATGTATTGATGTGTTTTACACTGCATATACAATACATGTCTAGCGCTTAATTGTGACATCACAAGCTACGATTCACCAACCAAACAGCCAACCAATCCCAAAGCTCAATAACTATTAGTTCTTTCTACCCGCCGAAGTTCTAGAAGTTCTGGTATTATGTAATACATACGTACTATATGTATGTAGGTACGAATAGTTGACTACATAACTTGCATATGTATTCCGAGGTTTCAACTTGAACTTTCACCTTCACACAAAAGAGCCGTATCTACAGTACCTACCCAAGGTACATACATACCTTTTACAACAGACCCCGTTTATTAGCGCAATCCTTACTCGTCCGTCTCGCTTCTTACTTTTTTTTTTTTTTTTTTCCCCTTTTTGTTGTTTCGTCTTGTCTTGTCCTTGGGGAAAATAATAATAAACATCAACCGAGACAAATAAATGGCGACGAGACGACTCGCTCTAAGCGCTCCGTTGCGCGGCAGCACAAGCACCACGGTTCGAGTAGCGGCGGCGGCTGTGGCCCCTCGCGCCGCTGCGCTTAGCACCGCCTCCGCCTCCGCATCCCGAGGGCCAGCGACGGTGTTGTTGTTGCGGCAGCAGCGCAACATCCTCGCCGCACCGAGACACACCACTAGCGGTACCGGTAGCAGGGCGGGACAACAGCTGCGGTGGTCGTCGGGCTCGGCAGTGGGGGGGAGTGGAAGCGGTAATCGGATATGGAGTTTCGAGGAGGTGCGTATGACTACTCTACCCATCATCCACCTGCCTACCCACCTGCCCACCAAACCTTAGCTAGCTAGCCTGGGTACAACTAACCACCACCACCACCACCACCAGATCAACGCCGCCATCTCCCCCCCCTCCGACAGCGACAGCGACAGCGACCCCAGCCCCCCCAAAGTCCTCCTCATCGACACCCGCGAGCCCTCCGAGCTGGCGCAGACCGGGCGGATCCCAGGGGCCGTGAACATTCCCATCGTCAGCGCGCCCGACAGCCTGCACCTGCCGGCGGACGAGTTCCTGGACCGGTACGGGTTCGAGCAGCCCGCCAAGACCAACGCCGAGGAGCGGAACGACGGCCGGAACGATAGTCGGCGGGACGACGACGGTCTGCCGCAGCTGGTGTTCTACTGCAAGGCGGGGGTGCGCAGTCGGGCGGCGGCGCAGATCGCGCGCGAGGCGGGCTTTGTCAATGTGGGCGAGTACCCCGGGAGCTGGTTGGACTGGGTGGAGAGGGGGGGCAAGGTTGAGAGGTGATTAGGGGGGGGTAGGGTGCGTCCCTAGGTGTAGGTGTAGTTTGAGGTTCCCTACCTACCTACCTATCTCTACTACTATATGCCTGTGTATAGAGTATCGAAGAAAAGAATAAAAAGAATAAAAAGAATTTTAAGTCCCGAAATCATAACAGAAAAGCAAAAGTAAAGAATGTCTAGAAGTTTACTTCATGATACATTAAAAATAGAAAGATATGTCAGCTACCTAGTTAGTGTACAACACAGCACCATCGCTTAAGATCCTCCACTCCCACCCCAAAACGCCAGGAAAGCCATGATATTGCGCTCCCTCACTTCCCCTTTTCTCAGCCTGCAATGTGGACTAACTCCCGTAATATTGTTGTCTCGGACAACACTCCTTCCTTTTCGATAACCATACCTGCCTGCCTAGGTGCATGTTCTTCCCATTAGAAGAATCTAGGGGGGCTGTCACCAGCAGGTGGCTGATCGCCTCCTGCAGCGGGCGGAGTATCGCCCACCGGGCTCCCAGCGACGGGGCTTCCGGTGGCGAAGAACAGGACCTTGATCGCGATGGCGAGGCCCGCGTGGAGGGCAACAACGAGGATGAGCAGGATCTTGCTGGTTTGGCGGTCGGTGGCGCTGAGCACGGGGTATAGGTTGCGCAGAAGGAAGGCAACGCTGAGGCCGAATCCGACGCCGACGAAGACCCAGTTGAGGATGGTGATGGGCGACCAGCTGATAAGAGCGACGGGAATCCAGATCAGGTTGGAGTAGCCGTAGAGCGCCCAGCATTCGAGAAGGTTGGCCGACTCGGAGCCGAAGTAGCGCAGCGCGCCGAAGAGGACGACGGGGATGACGATGGTGTAGCCGTAGATTAGACCGGCGGCGCCTAATATGTTTTTCATTATATTAGTACATTATACATATATAGATATTTCCCGTATAAGTTGTGTGTCATAATCCAGACCGGTACGTACCGCTTAACAGCTTAAAGTCGTATGCAAACGGGCCCTGTCCCGTGCTGGACAAATACTGACTAATGGTGCCGCCGAGGAATAGGATGAGAACAACAGTAGTAGCGATCCAGAAAGGACCGTATAGATCGGGGTTCCCTTCGAGCACGTCGAGAAAGTTGGCTCGTGGGTACAGCGCAGCCCAGCAGCGGGACAGCACGGAGGAGGTGTCGACGTCGAAGTACTGGGCGTAAAAGGACAGGGTCCAGAGGTAGCGCTTCGAGGAGCCGGAGGAGGAGGCGGCGGTCGCGGGGGGTGGCAGGCCAGGGCCGGTATGGCCGGCAGACGGCGCACCTTTTCGTGTTTGCGGCTCGGTGAAGTTGAAGTTGGAGTTGTGGAATTCGAGGTCTTCTTGCAAGTCGGTGTGGCCGAGGTCGCCCTTTAGAGGATGTGTTGTTAGCTGTCTGTGCTGAACAAAAACGAAAGTCGGGAATAGCTAGCAACAGGAAAAAGCAAACCTCGTCATCAACGTCTACAACGGCATCGTAGCCTGCGTTCGCCATTTTTGTTTTTTGTCTTTGCCTTTATTTCGTTTTCTATCGTCTTCAAGTAATTATTATACACCTGGATACCTCGGGTAGGTATAGGTATGGTGAATGTTATCTTGAATGTACTATCAATACATACATATCATTGATGCATGTAGGTATGTAGATGTTAGGTGCATGTGTCCTAATAACTTCAACATTGAATAGCAATTGATTATGTATGTTCCAAGGTTCAAGGTTACATCAAATGTACCTAGTACTATGTATGTAACATGATCCCTGTCTTCCCAGATTAGTACTATGGACCCCGGTTAATACATGTCACGCTGGTATATAACTTGAAGCAACGAATTAGGATGGTCACATGACATGTATAATTACTATGTATTTGAATTCAATCATTGATGTTGATCCTCGATATAACCTCATCTATGTGTCCTCTTTTAGGTAACTGTGTTTAATATCTCTTTCAGGAGCTCTCCTTAACATGTCTAGTCTTTGATACTTTATAACCCTGGCCTTGTGAGCTACCTAACGAGCAGCTGAACACACAACGCCGGCGTGTACAGGGGCTACCAGTGGTTAGAGCGGCAACCAATAGGCCACTGCTACCATCAGGGCCAGCGGCCGGTGGTTGGGAAAGGAGACTCAGGTGGCTGCAGTAAGGTTGATGATAGCTTCAGGTGTGGCCTCATATGGCCTAACAAACATATTTATATATATAGTTATATATAATTTTTCAAACTTTAGATAAAACACCATAGATTAAACGACCACATTGCTACCTATACCACATATGCCGTGACTGAGCAACCAGAGGGATTAACCTATAGTCCCACACCCCCTTGGTAGTTGCAACATACTAACCTAGGGAGAGAGCATCGTTAAGACGACGCCCCGAAAATAAAAAAACAGTATAGGCAGTAAAGCAATGGGACGAGAGCCCCTTGCCTAGGCACCTAGACACCTACCGAGCACCCCTACAAGCGGACTGCTGCAATGGGAGCGACGTACCTAGCCACCTAGGTTAGCCACATGTAACGCCTCCAGTGATGTTACCCTTAGTCCAGACACACAACTCGTGCTTCGTACATACACACATACATACCTACCTAACCCAGGTTAGGTAGCTGACCTCGCTCAGAAGTAAGTAGCCAGGCGCTGCAAGAAGTGTTTCCCGATTGATCTTGATAAACGGCAAAGCTACCCAAGTACCTTGGGTTAAGCTACTTACCTACCTAGTACCTACCTAATATATCCCATTAACTCATCCAGGACCCAAGAGAAAGAGAAGAGGCCTTGAGCAAATGTGGATGGAGAAGGGGCTTACTTTCATTACACCCGAACTTCTCCTATACGAACCTGGGCTTCGATTTGATATCCCTATCTTCCCTACCCAGGCACCTTGGCACCTATCTACTACGTTAAAGCTTGTCAGCAAGTTTCCAGAGTTTCTTTCGGTATGTCCTGGTATTGACATAGTAGGCATCCAGCGGATGTGGGCTTAGGGAAAGACAATAGATACCTAAAAATAGACTGAAGTGAGGCTCTTGTTGAAATGTAGAAATGGCTCAGTGAATTGGAAACAGTCATGGAGGCCAGGTTGATATGAAGTGCTTCGCCACTACATACATCCATGGATGTGCTGTAGATATACGTAATGCATGTGGTAAGTCTGCTCACGGGCAAGATAGACCACAATTTCGTTACGCTCATCATCCACTAGGAACTGATACTTAAGTACCCATCTAATTCCTATATCACATTCCCATATCATGTTCCCGCGACACACTTCAAGACATTCACGAACCTGCCTAAGTAGGGATAAGTTTTTCATTTGCATCGCAACTCAATTGCCACTAAACTAGAGTATGCTATTTCCGTAGGAGAAAAAGGGACATGAAAGTGGCCAATAATCTATCCTCCACCCGTTCGTAGCGTGCTCATGATAGTGATAGACCCCAAACCGAAGACGCCGTAGAGATGGAACATGTAGTTGACGAATCGTTTACTTCAGCTTCTTCTTGGGTCGTAGCTGGTTGGTGTGTCCACACTTGCGCTTTCGGCAGTTAGTGGCACGGGGGGGGAGGCGGGCCTTTTGGAAAATGTTAGCTAGAATCGCCTGATGAGAAGGCACCGAAGAGTAACTCACGTAGCACTTGCGGCAGATCATCTTGTCGCAGTTGAACTTGGAGGCAAGAGCCTTTAGCGAGGGCTCGATGATACCACCACGTAGACGGAGGACGAGATGGAGAGTGGACTCCTTCTGGATGTTGTAGTCGGAGAGGGTTCGGCCGTCCTCGAGTTGCTTGCCAGCAAAGATTAGACGCTGTTGATCCGGGGGGATGCCCTCCTTGTCTTGGATCTTAGACTTGACATTGTCGATTGTGTCGGAAGACTCCACCTCGAGGGTGATGGTCTTGCCCGTCAGGGTCTTCACGAAGCTATAATATTTTTCCTCATTAGTCGCTATTCGTTTTGATCGGAAATCTTTGGTCGCGCGCAAGGCGATGAAGGCGGGAAAGGCATGAGGCTTACATCTGCACTGTAGAGACATTCTAGTTAGCATTACGGTCAAAATGGCGTATACAATATGGGGATTGACCTACTTTTTGCTGTCCGTCGTGAAGGTTGATGTTGGATGAGAAGTCAAAGATTGAAGTCGTCTTTGTAAATTTGGTGGGGGTTTGAAATTCCACCATAAACGAACCCTAGTGGATTGAAAGTCACCTGATTTGAGCTGATTTGAGAGTGGGCACCAAATTTTTAACATTCAAGAGCATTGAACTTCAATGTTGAATGCGGGTTTTATGGTTTACGCTAAGTACCCTAGGCACTGTAGTAGGCAGTATGTGACCCATATTTATTAGCGCAGTACAGTGAGTACACTACTACTTACGTACTGTATCATTATCTGGATAGTCAGGCTAATTGACTGAATATCTAACTATCCATACTCCGTACTTCTCTAACCGTCATATTGACTATCTGAATCATCATCATCATCTAATAACAATCTCCTTCCCCTTCCCCTTATCCTGCGTATGCCTTGCCTGTTGAATACACCATAACTCTAATCGTCTTTCGACCTGCGTAGCACCTCTCATCAATGTACTCAACGGTATAGCCGCAAGGGCTGCCGCTTTACTATAGAATGCCTTGGCAGCATCCGGCAGGTCTTCCTCGGTCCGCCAGACTAGACAACAGTCTCGAGTTGGTTTCTTGTCCTCCTTGTCCTCCTTATCCTCCCTGTCCTCCTCATCTACATCTTCGGGATTGGACACAGGCTCGATGACCTTCATCGAACTGTTCAACGCCGCATATCTATGCCGGACCATATCCCTGCTTCCGTCCTCGTTTGATTGTTCCCTTTGATTACTTCGTTCGGAAGATCGTTGTTGATTCTCGAATGGCTCTCGGATTCGCTCAGCTGCTAGAATGGGGGTCAGTATCACTAGGTAAGGTGGATAGCATAAAATCTAGCGTGAGGTAAAATACTTTTTGGGTCATGATCGTCTATCCACATCTTCTCGAACCAGTCCATGAAATCATCCAGCTTCGCCCCGTCCATGGTGAGCACATCGTCGGAGGTGACCTTGTATTCTTCTCCGTTCAGTAGATTGGCCGATGACTCGTTCGTATCTTTTTGCATAATTTCTTGCCATCTTGTCCAGTCAACCTTCATGCTTCGCGGATCTTCGCGGCTTCGCGGCGCCCTCTCTACGCCGTCAAGTGGATAGAGTAGTTTTGTAGACACGACCACAAGAGCAATCAAGAGAATCTCTGGGTTCTCCATTGTCCTAATCTTTCTGCCCTCTGTGGGATATGCATAATCCGTTTGTAGGATCTCGGCAATGCACTTTACTGCAACGTAGAGTTCGACTAACAAAATGGGTTAGCTACCATAACGTCCGTTGTGCGGCAACTCGTGGATAGGTGTTTACTAGGCAGAGTCAAGTCGGTTATGAACCGGATCAGTATAGGCACATAATTCAGAGGCGGAAACACCGTGTCAAAATTGGCCTTGAAGGATATAACGAGCTCTTGCACAGCTGTCTGCAGTCGACCCGGAGGGATGTGATCCCTAACCTGCAAGGCCCTGTGATAATCCGCCGGAAGACGGTCTCGAACATTACGAGGGATGCTGTTGAGCTACAATAGACATAATTAGCACACTTAGACTCTTACTTCTTACGAACAAGGCTATAGCCATACCGCCGCAAGATAATCCAACTCTCCTTTCTGTGCCCAGCCGCAAAAGTCGGCCATCGTAGCCGGTAACCGTCGTACCAAACAGCCCAAATAGCACAACGCCAACGTATCCACCAGCTTCGGCAGACGCCAGCGTCTACCCGCCCTCGGGGCCCAAGGCGCCGTCGTCGCATCCGAGAGGTCGAAATCAGACGAACTCCCGAAGCCCCCCTCGCTCTGGGAACTTAGCGCCGCGCTCGAAGCATATCCATCGGACCCCCCCTTCTTCCTCGGACCCCCGCTCTCCCTAAGCGGCAAGTTCCGCACTCTTAGAGCCCAGAGCGCGCGGACGATCTCCTCGAAATCCTCAGGAAACTGCTTCTCCCGCACGAGGCGCTGGACCAGGCGGAGCAAGATCAGCTGCAGGGCCTCGAGGTACAGCTCCCTGCCCTCGTCGCCGGTGAGCTTGACGGCCACCTTTTTGCGCGGCTCCTTCTTGCGTCGCGAGACTTTTCCCTGAGTCCCGAAGGCGTCCTCGTCCGCCTCGTGCTCCGCGAACCCTTCAAGTCGGTGCCCGTTACGGCAGTATCGGATCGCGTCCTGCGCGTACCACTGCCGCGCCCCGCACTCGTCGCAACGCTGACCGTCGCGGAACCGGTGATATTTGGTTGGTGCCATCTTTCCCCCTTACCCCCCCTTTTTGGTTTACCGTTCCTATAATTCGTAATTACCAAGGTATCTTTTATCCAATGAACATATTAGTAGGCTCACGTGAGATGCGGAAGAAAAACATTAAAATATCGAAGAGGAAAGAACCGGGGGTCTAGCGATAAGATATAATTTTTATCTCATATATCATATCTTCGTAGATCTCCTTTTCTTTTTCTTACTTTTTTTTGTATACCCAACTTTTAAACACGCAACTGTTAAATCGGGCAAACATCCATTAAAATTAACCTTAGGAGGAATAGATTACTTGGACAATAACGTCTTGATTTCTAAGGTTTCCTCTATACCTAGGATACCCTAGGTATTCAACCTTCTAACAAGATTCACTAGCATATAGTATTTACTCATATCAAAGTAAGGGAAGTCAAAATCATGTCTGTGATTAAAATTTGACCACAAGCTGTCATCACGAAACAGTGCTTTATGCCATTCTATCAAAAATAGTTCTTCTGTCAAGTTCTGTGTATTGCATCATCAAATCACATATAACTTGGAACAATGACCAAGAATACCATGTCACATATCATGTTGCGTAATATAAATAGAGAACTTCATAGATTCCACACAAGACAAGTCAAGTGCCAATAAAACAGAAAGTCTGTCTTGATTCACGAAATCCCCACAGACACACATCGTTTTGTTCATCGAAAGGGATGGGGGTAGATGCGATATCCGTAGGATTGCCGTAGTAACTGCTCGATCCCCCACCGTGGATAACACATCCATACAGAAACCCCATGACAATAAGCCATGGATAAGCGTCCGGTACGAACCTAACTAGTAGTTTCCTAGTTCAGATAATCTCCCCTCTGGGTGATGTCCAAGTTGGTAGAGGCTTGATGGCGCAGTTCGATCCACTGACATCCTCCATTTGGGCCCCAAGTCTCCTATCAGGAGACTTAGTCCTTCTGGCTGGGCTCATCGGCCTTGATAGCAGCCTCCTCGCCCATAGCCGACTGAATCGTAATGACTGAAAAGAGTTAATTATGAAATACCCAGTAATAATGAACTAATCGAAGACCTACTAAGAGCGGTTCCATTCTCGTCAGCGGACTCAATCTTGTTACCAATGTCGCCCTCAGGTAGCTTGATGTCACTTCGCTCCTCGCTGGTGTTTATATCGTGGAGGACAATGAAGCCATCCTCAATGTGGGACTAGACACCAGGTAGGTTAGATTACCGCCATGACTGGCAAGACTGACCGAAATCAGTCATGGATGTGTATACTGACGAAGTTGTACTGCTTGGTCTTGACAACAGGAACCTCCATGTTGTGGGTGGAAGGGCACAGTTCTTCGAGCTTCTTTCCAGTGAAGATGTCGATACCAACAAGATGGACCTTGGCGTGACCGTGCTTGCCAGTCTTGGAGGTAGACATGTCCACAATCTTGCAGGGTCGGCCCTTGATGACAACGGCACCGTTCTTTCGGAGGGCCGAGCATTGCATAGGGAAGGTCTGGGACGCACCGGCATCGCCCTGGTTGTCGATCTCGAACTGCGAAGAAAAACTTGGTCAGCAAACATATTTATGACGAGTAACAAATAAGCAATTAATCGAGACAAGAGTGCGGTTTTGGGAAATGATAAAATAACGCCATCAAAATAAGATATATGTGAAGTCAATATAATTATTAGCATTAGCATCGCGGGGTTCATTGGCGATGCGTGTACCCTGCTTGATGCGGTGATGCGGTGATGCGGGGTGGTGTAAGTACGAGCCCGCCATTGCGATCGCCCAGGAATTTACAAATAAAAAAAAATAAAATAAATAAAAAAAGAGGGACACAAATGCTGCCTGATAAATACAGAGACTTACCTCGTCCGCCATGTTGAAGGATTGACCGAAGTGAAAGATGTGGTGTGGAAAATGAAGAGAAAGGAAGATGCGCAGATGGCTTAGTTAATTGTCCAAGACCAAACTTTTTGAAAGTTGGTGGACTTGATTTGTAGAAGGAGGGGGAGGGTTTTTGAGAAGAATGAAGAAGATCCAAGAGGAGGGGGTGTAGGGTGTAGAAAAAAAAGTAGAGGTAAGGAGGGACGGACGTCAAAGGCAAAAATCCACGGGTTTTTTTTTCTTCCAAGATCAACTGGGCACACAGTTTACGCGATACCTGATAGGTTGATTGGTTCAAGGTCCGCGATTTAACCCCAGCAGTCTTTCCAAAAAATCATTTTTTTTTTCTTTTCATTTCTTCAATTTTTTTAATAATTTTTTTATGTAGGTGTTTGGCGGGGTGGATGTTTTGTGGGCTCTAGTTGAGTCTAGCATTTCATTTTTTTAGGTGATCTTATGCTAATCTAGGGTACCTAGTAGCTTACCGAACACTAAATTCTTTACCCACAGCGTACCTAGTACCCTAACCTAGGTATCCGTGATTTAACTACTACACTATGTAGTTTTACTACTAGTAGTAGTCACAGCTGAAGTACTCTTACCAGACGTGTAAAGCATCTGACGGATTCTGACCTTTATAGCGTCTTGTATGCACCTACCAGCTAGGCCCTACACAGTACTACTAGTAGTATATACATATAATTATGCAGGCGCATCATACAGAGTATTCAACAGTATACTGTGTAGAATGAGATATTCAGAGATTCCCCTGCTTGTCCAAAAAGAAGCAGAAAACCAAGAAAACCAAGAAAACCAAAGAACAAACATTTCATGTTTAAACTTTATATCAAAATGCATAGGTACATGTAGTTATGTATACGGTACTTATTAAGGTCAATGCTTGTTCAACATTTCAACATCAATGATTGATTATGCTGCTCCTTTCAACCTTAGGCATGAATACTAATCTAACCCGATGTGGTAACGTCGTGTTTCCAATGACATGTGTCTATAGCTTAGCTTTGGCCAATCACCGTCTTTTTCTGTGCGACTCGGGAGAGGCTGTGACACGGCCTTGCCTGCTTTCTACATGTACATACCTAGGGTAGAAGGGAGGCTCGACAACTACCTACTTGCACCTAATAGAACAAACGAATAACCTTATTGACTCAGAACCCTGTTAATATCGTGAAAGGGAACCAACCTTGGAAGAGAATCGCTTTCAATTTTCTAAAAAAAAAAAAGGCAACTAATCTATATAACCTCGATTAGATAGACCATTGATAATCGAACCGCGTTTACACCATACACCATCCAGTCATTGGTTTACCGATCCGGGCCATATCTACCTAATTAATCAAGTCATGACGCCGTACAACTCGTAGCCCGACCTTACTCTCCTTTACATTTAGAACATGTGGCTCGATCGGCTTGCCGGTCAGTCATCTTCACCATCCTCCTCCCAACCGGGCAGCCGCTCCTACTCCCCTGCCCCCCGGAAAACCCCCAGCGGCTTGGGCCCATACATCACATCACAACAGCGACCGGGCATTACTCCGAGATCCTCCTCGCTTTCGTTAGCATCCACCGAATCTTCGGTTTCCTCATTCTTAACATCTTCCCGGAGGGCTAATGGCTCGGCCTTGAAGGAATCAAAAACCATATACACCGGTCCCGACCCCGAAGACATTCTCAGTAAACTTTTGGGAAATTATGGACAATCTACGGCAACGGCCACAAAGCCCGTAAACAGCCCTGTCAGCTCGATATCCGCCGAAGATCTCGAGCTTGATTTTGATTTTGGCGGTTTATCTATTCGAGAGTTGGCATTATCGGAAGAGGCGGCAGTAGACGATGTCGGTGTATATAGACCGCAGGCAGCTGAAGAATGTATGCACCCTTTGAATCCAGAATACAGTCCTTATTATGCCTATAATGCTCATCATGCTCATATCTCCCCTTGTTAGACGAACGAGACAAGACCAAGTTTGAGGATTTACACCGATCAATACGAGCTTGCGACGAGGTATTAGGCTCGGTGGAAGTCAACCTAACGAGTTTCCGAAATGACCTGGCTACAGTGTCCGCAGATATTGAGACTTTGCAAGCACGATCGACCGCCCTGAATGTGAGGCTAGGAAATCGAAAGGCGGTGGAGAAAGGCCTCGGGCCCGTGGTCGAGGAGATTAGTGTATCCCCAACGGTAGTCTCCAAGATCGCCGACGGTCATATCGATGAGAGTTGGGTCAGGGTTGTTGCCGAGATCGATAGGAGAGCCACTGCGCATAAGAAAAGCATATCGAGCGCACAAGGCAGTAAAGGGTTACAAGACCTAGGCCCATTGCTAGAGAAACTGGTGCTGAAGGCTATCGAACGAATACGAGACTTTCTCGTTGCTCAGATAAAAGCCCTTCGTTCACCGCATATCAACGCGCAAATAATTCAACAACAGAATTTTCTTAAATTCAAAGATCTCTATACTTTCCTCCATAAGCACCACGCAGCCTTGGCTGATGAGATATGTCTGGCATATATGAATACCATGAGATGGTATTATGCGAACCAGTTCGCACGATACGAGAACGCCCTCAAAAAGATCAAACTACACTCCCTAGATAAGGCAGATGTGTTGGGCAATGAGGACACCTCTCGGAAAGGCACTGTCCTCTCCAGTTCAAAGATTACTGGCCCACCTCACGATGCCTTCAACTTGGGTCGGCGGATCGACCTTCTTCGCACCCATAACCAAAGCGCTCTCTCTTCATACCTGGCCGAAGAAGACCAGTCTACTCACTACCTCGAAGTCCCTTTCCGGAACTTCAACCTCGCCCTCATCGATAACGCGACGGCCGAATACACCTTCCTCGCCTCGTTTTTCTCGCCCGCCCTGAACTATTCTACCATATCGCGCCATTTTACCTACATTTTCGATCCAACATTCCAGCTAGGCCATACCCTAACGAAGACCCTAATAACCGACACGTACGACGTCATCGGGGTCCTCATGGCCGTGCGCCTCAACCAGCACTTTCAGTTCGAGCTCCAGCGGCGCAAAGTCCCAGCCGCAGACGGCTACATCAACGGCACGGCGATGCTGCTGTGGCCGCGGCTGCAGTACGTCATGAACGCGCACTGCGAGTCGGTGCGCTCGCTAACCTCGGCCCTGCCCAGCCGCCCCCCCACCTCCAAGTCAGAGCAGAGCAAGCTCTCGGCCGCCCCCCACGTCTGCACCCAGCGCTTCGGCCAGCTGCTCCACGGCATCCTGGCCCTCAGCACCGAGGCCGGCGACGACGAGCCCGTCGTCACCAGCCTAAGACGTCTGCGTACCGAGGTCGAGGCTTTCTTGACCAAGTACAGCTCTGCGTTCGGCACCGACACGCGCAAGCGCGAGCGCTTTCTTTATAATAACTATAGTCTGATTCTTACGATCATTAGCGACACGCATGGCAAGCTGGCTGTGGAGGAGCAGGAGCATTTTGAGGGGCTGAAGGCGGCTTTTCAAGAGGTTGTGTGAGGTTTGTTGTGGTTTGTTTGGGACTTGGGCCTTGTGGTTTTTTGCTTCTTCTTGGTCAGTGAACCTACCTAGGTTAGGTACCCTACCCAGTCCACATATATATATATATAGAGGTTGAGGTTGGGGAGGAGAGGGGTTGTGGGTGAGGGTGAGGGTGAGGGTGAATGGATGGATACCTACCTATGTACATACCGATATATTTATATATGTAGGTAGATAGGGGGATGGGATGGGATGGATGGGTGGGTGGGTAAGTGAGAGATCACTTCGCCTTCACGCTTGAATTACTGACTACCTATTTACTTGCCTACCTGCCTCCCTAGATACTTCCTTACTTACCTAGGTACTGAGGCTGAGGCTCAAGATAGTAGCCTGAAAGGAGAATGCGGGTACAAGAATTTGACCTGTCAGAATCGTACATGGGCTGATCTGGACACTTTTTCTTTTCTCCCTTTTTTGTGTCCTGTGTCTTGTGTCTTGTATTAGGTAGGTATGCACGTGTGTTCATAGTATTGTTTAATGCTACAGTACATACATACATACATGTGATGTGTTTCCTGCCATGTGGTTTATGACCAGGCTGGAGCTCCCAATCCTCCTCTCCTTGTCTAATGTTTGTAATAACCTAACAATACATAAAAGTTTAGGTAGGTACATGTTAAGAGAAGAACAAAACAAAGCTCCAATACATAAAAAAAAACCCCCCCCAAAGCCTTCCCTCAGAAAAAACAACAAAAAGAAAAGGGGACCAAAGGCTCCCCGTGTGCTAATCTATGAGTGAGTTGGCTGTCTGTGTGATGATATGATGATACAAGCCTGGGATGTGATGTGTATGTATATCTCACTCAGCCAAACACCAACTACCCAGCTAACTAACTACCTGTCACAATACTAACCTGACAGATAGGTTAGGTAGGCAGTGGTAGTAGTACTTAGTAGTTCATACGCCCCTTCTATACCCCTATCCGGATAAGCCTCTAATATTCCACATCCCGTTCCGTTCCGTCTCTCTGTCTAGTAGCAGTACCTGCATGTGGTAGTCATCCCAACCACGGGCCGATCCTAGAAGTACCCGTTTGGAACCAACCACGTGGCGAGCTTCGACCAGACGGGTGCGTCGCGGAAGTATATGGCGCCGAGGCCGATGACGACGGCCATGATGACGGTGCGGTTGGCCCACACGATCTTGAGGGTCTTCTCCTTCGTCTCGGCCCACCGGAGCTCCCTGTGCTGCTTCTGGAAGTACGCGTGTCCATCTGCGAGGTCCTGGACGGCGGATACGCGGACGTCACGAGCGGTTTTGAGGGTGCTGGCGCTCGAGATGGAGCACCGCCAGCTGCGCAGGGTCTCGGGCGGGTGGGCGGTGAAGAGGCTGGCGGCGTCGGTTATGACGGATTCGATGTCGAGATCCGCAGGCAGCTTCGAGAGGGTGAAGTGAAGCATGTCGGGCTCATCGTGCTCGAAGAGCTCGTCGCGGCGGCGCAGGACGATCTGTGCGAATACATAGAGGCTGAAGACCTGCTCGCGTGCCAGCAGCACGTCAAAGAGACGGGCGATGTCGCTGTAGTGCTGCACGTTGTGCGCAAACATGGTCAGGGTGTCGGACAGCGCGAAGTACGGCTCAATCCGAGACAGGTGCGCGCACAGCGCGGGGTCTACTGCGTGTAGGATGTCTGGGATTAGTCTGAGCTGTGCGACGGCAGGCGCCAGATTAGGGAGCATGAAGTCGCGGATGCGCAGTGCGGATAGGCGCGCCATGGCGGTGGCGCGTAGGGGTGGCGGTAAGACCAGGAGGAATACCTGACAGATGTCATGGTAACCTTGAAAGTAGCACAGATATGGCTGTCGCCTGAGGACCTCTGTGATGAGATCCGAGAGCTCGGACTTCTTCCGGCCAAGTTGCTCCGGAGTATCATCTAGCCAGTAAGATCAGTTCTCTGTGTATATACCTAGGTAGGTAGGTAGGTAGGAAAGTTTAAGGGAAGGATGAGATATGCTGTACCGTTTGGGTAGTATACGAAGCTTCGGTCAACGTCGAGCTTGACTTGGTCCTCGTCCCGATGTCGCGGAAGCGTCTTCCACGAATCGGATCCCACCTTTTCTCCCGCATGGTCGTCCACATTGACGCCGAGGAGCACCGGCCCTGTTAAAGAACCTTGAGCCTCATAATCTCCATTTGAAACCGGGAAATTGGTAATGTTCCGCAGGAAACTTACATGCTTGGCGACGTATGGCGTCGGAGAGGAATCCACCTCTTGATACGGCTAGGAATTGGAGAACGTGGATATTCTTGCGTGAGCATGCATCTAGGATGCGGGTTTGCTTGTAATCTCTCGTGGATGCATTCTCATCTACATCCGAGTAGTCGCTCTTCTCCTCTTTGACTTCAATATCCTCACATTCCCAGGCCATGAAGAACTACTCCGACCCGACAGGCCTTACCCTTCCCTTTCTGCCTTTCTGCTGCAGGTCAGGTTGCCTCACTTGCTACCTTGTGCGACTGTACGGACAAATCGCATGCTGGTTTTCTGATAAAGTTGTAGTTGTGGCATCTGATACCAAGAAACGAGGTATGGCCCCCCCTTTCTTTTCTTTTCTTTCTTTCTCTTTTTCTTTCTTTCTTTCTTTCTTTCTTTCTTTCTGTCTGTCTGTCGTTCTGTCTTTCTGTCTTTTTATATATGTGGTATCTTCACACAAGAACAACAACCCGTATGGATAAAGTGGTGCGTAATGAGTTGAGAGTTTAGATGGTTCCAATTCACACAATACCTTGGCAAGTGAGATTCGAAACTCCCTAACTAGTTATCAGGTATTTTGACCAGGAAAGTCTGTCCCCAAAATGATCCGTATGAAAAGGCAAAATAATGAAAAAATAATGGTTGGAAGGGAAGGTATGTAATATGAGTACTAGGTTAGGTATGTAACAATTGTAGTACATAGGTAGGTGGCCCTACCGCCCTAGAGGTGTAGGTGGGTACATGTGGTGGTTTTAATCTGGGGTTCGACTCTCGAGCCAGCTACGTGGGAACAAGTAACGGGACAAAAAAGATCTCCAGGGCTGGCAGTGGCGGCTGCCCGGCGAGCTAGGCAACTGGGCAGCTAGGATTAGGTACCTGGTACCTAACTAGTAGTTAAAAGTTAGTGAAGTAACACTTGCGCCGCTACGTGCAGGTGCCTGGGTGCGGCCCGTGGAGCTACAAGCCTGCAACGCTAAAAATGATGCATATGATGATAGCACATCGAGTTCGTTCAACAATTTAATTGTCCCATCCACTTTCTTTGTCTCGACAACTTTGACAACACTGAAACTTTCAACGTTTTGGTTAGAATATAGACAACAGCACATCATTCAATGTTAATATTTCCAAGGTACATGCACGAATGCGTGTGAATCTCGATAAGCAATGCTACATGCTAAATCCCTAGGTTAATACTCTTAGGTTAATGCCTAACTATGCTTATGTGCATACGTACCTAGGTAAGCTATGAGTAGATCATATTTGGCCTTTAGATCGCGACATCTTGAGCAAATACATGCATGTAACTATACCTAATACTATGTATGCACATTCCATTCATACGACTGTCTACTACATATGTATATGTGATCTCGTACGGATCTGATAACTTATACAATAGTGACAGTTACATTGCTATCTATCTGTTTGTATTGTTGCCACTATTCCGATATTATCTCTTTTAAGACAATATTGACATTGAATTGTACAATACATACATGCATGAGGGGTATCTACCTCATATGTAATAATAACAATTATATGTAATATGTAATAATTAGGGAAACTTGAACCCCTCCACGCCGCCCATATACATATAGACTTCAGCAACTAGACGGTTCTTGCACGGCAGAATTCAACTTTATAAATATCTCCAGCTGGGGCTCATATCTTACTTAGACTTTACACACTTCATAATGTCAAGTAGACAAGGACGAAGAAAAAGAAGAGCATTGAAGGAGAGAAATCAATCAAACGACATTCAATATTTGCTAGGTACCTACTAACTACTATGTAGTAGTATGTACGAAGTATTTCTTCCCCGCATAGCTTATTGATGATGCCGCAACCTGCCAACCTCAAACATTGAACCCACTAAAATACCTACTAGGTACCCTAGGACCTAGGTACAATTGTACCTAAGTGAATACACCTACTACGCCGTACCCGTGGGGACATCAGCTCAAGGCTCCAGATTAGCTACTCCAGATCTAGACCCCTTCAATTTGATCTCAAAATACATTAACCTAACCTAGGTACTTGTTCTGATAACTTGAGCCTACTAGGTTAGGTACATCCCTAGTGCTAAAGTTAGGCCAACCTTCAATCCCAAGCCGTTTCCATAGTGATGTCTACACGTGTATGTACTCTTACCTTAGGTACAAGATAGGAGGAACATCGAAGCTCTCATACATCTGACAATGCTGGCTTAGGGATTTACCAGACTGCGTCGTAGTGGCCACTATCATTACCATTGATATTACCATTGATATTACCACTACCTTGGTACCAACGCCGAATTCAACACCTCACTTCTCTTCTATGGCATATACTTTTATTTCACCTACGATTTCAACACCCTAAGGATTACATTCAAGCATTACCTACTAGGTACTTTTAACTAGAAGAAAGAGAAAGAAAAAAAGAAAACGAACCGGTGGCGTAACATCAAACCTCTCAAGCCGTTGAAGATGTCGCTTGAAGGTTACGTTTTTGAAAACGACGAGTGGGTGTCACGGACAATCTCTGCTGATGAGCTTCTGAGAGCTAGTAACCCATCTAAGCAGAGGACGGAACGTACGCCACTTACAAAACCACCAACATGTGGCCTGCTTGCGAGAACCATAGTCGATAGTCCTATCATTAGATGGGTGTTACCAGTACAGCTTCGATCTGCACGTTATAACGATGTTGCCTTGATTGGTGTATGTCTATCCTCCCCCTTCTCTCTTTCTCTTCTTTGCCTTTTCTCCCTTCTTTATCTTGGCTATGGAGGCCGGCACTACTCAACTTATCATGGCGTATGTGAACGACTTCGTATGCTGACGTTCAGCTAGGATCACTCTGTCCAAATATGCGAGCTTGCAGGTGGCCGTGATAGACAGCTTCATGATATAGTCAGAAAGCAAGACTTTGGGTCTAGAATACGAAATGCTGTCGTCATGGGCTCCCCTCAATATCCCCGACGGGCTAGTCAGACTACCGGATATTACTCTTCAGTCAAATCTGAAGATAGTGATGCGGAAATGATTGACTTGGGTACCACGGCCCCTGGCTCCCAGAAGGTAAACTCACTACTCCCTCCCCAATTGTTGGTTTTGGTCCTTGAGCGAGGTGACTTGGTGTTTTTATTTCTGCAGCAAGGGCCGGGTCGCACTTGGGAATTTGTTTCTTCGATCCACCAGCTGTCTGAACAACAACTTGTTCGCCCTGGGTTCCATATGGCGATCGACCCGTCCTCTCAGTTTCTAGCTCTAGCATGCTCTGAACACATCTTCATCGTGCTCCAACTTCAGTCGATGGAAACGTTACGAACTCTATACTCCAAAGGCCATCCTCTGAACCCAATCAAAGATAAATTCACTCAAGCTGCAATGGGTATCATTCACAAAATCGAGTTTCTCCATCCTACCCATGGAAACGAGATACAAGTGATCTTAATGATCATTATTGTCCACCCTAAAATCTCCAGGATGGCGATATATGAATGGGACAGCAGGTTCGGTATAGAAGATACATTCACCGAAGAGAAACTAGGCTACAAGCTCAAAGATGAGTATCGTATGCCTTTATTAGTCGTCCCTCTTAAGGTCAAGAACGCCTTCCTAGTAATCACTGAGCGAATTACGGCGATATGCTCAGATATACTAGGCGGTGGCCCTTCATTTGTCGAATTTGAGTTGGTGAACAGGGGCGACACTGAATTGCACCATGGCACTCGTGAGCCGCTTTGGACAGCTTGGACCAGACCTATAAGACACCCTCCATACCATGATCGGAAAGATGTTATCTATTTGGCAAGAGAAGATGGCCTCATTAATTTTCTCGAGTACGGCGATGAATCCGAGATCGAAACGAGTGTCAGTATGGGCTCCGTGGACTGCAATATCGATACAGCCTTTACATGTCTTTTCCATCTTTTTGGCGACGTTTTAGTCACTGGCGGAGATTCTGGCCCTGGTGCTGTTTGGAATGTTAGTGATTTCGTTCTACCCCTTGTTGGATTGTTACCTGCAACTAACATTATCATCTACAGGTTGAAGCAAGACAGTCTCCCCAGAGAATTGGCTCCATCCCCAACTGGTCTCCAACAGTGGATTTCGCTGTGACTAATGACTTGGCTAATGGAATCGTTGAAGGGCACGGTGATAGCTCTGGCACCGCACATCAAGTAAGCAACGGGAATATCATTCCCTTGCGACAAGACAAGATATTCGCATGCAGCGGTAGAGGAATAACCGGAGCAATTACGGAATTTAGATATGGAATCCAGGCTAGAATTGGCCTAGATCTTACATATTCCTCTTATATCAAGCAGTGCTGGTCCATCCCCGACTTCAATAATATTGCGCAAGATGGCTTCTTGCTGCTGCTCGCTCTACCTAACGAATCCACTGTCCTACATCTATCTCTGGATCTATCCGAGGCATCAGAGAAGGACCAAAATACTACTCCATATGATCTCTCCTCAAGGACATTAGCGGTTCAGAAGGCTAATGGTTTGGTGGTGCAAATCACCACGAATTCTATTACAGTCGTGAACTTGAATAGCTAGTAAGTTCTTCCAGGCCAGGATCATCTTCGCACATTTATTAATGAGCTTTACAGTTCTCGAAATTCAACAAGCGAATTTATGCCACACTCTGACTCTGCCGTAGCAGATGCAGCCATTGGGAACGATACAATCGCCTTAGCAGTTTATACCGGGCCCAAGTTTAGTATCGTACTACTCAGCATTGTCGGTCTTGAGCTTTCTGTGAAGCACACCTTTGATGTTGAAGGCGAAGTAACTTGTCTAGCGGTAGAGACGGTCGCTAACAGTCTGGTTATTCTGGCCGGCCTCTGGCAAGGGGGAGACCCAGCCCTGATGATACATCCCACTGAGCAAGGACAGAATTCTGTGGCGCCCATGCAATTCATGCTACAATCAGGTAGGCCACCCTCAGAAATATCATGCTCGAATGGTACTAACGACTATGTCAATGAGATAGATACGGGCCATAGCACCGAAAATACCGCTGCTAATGACACCGCTCGTGCATTAACTAGTATTGTCTATCTCGGAGAGAGATCTGGAAAGGCGACCATCGTAGGAGGGACCAGAGACGGCGACATAATCACCCTTGAACTCGATCAATCGCAGCCCGGAAGCCATAGAATATACCGGGATAGGTTTGGCATGTCGCCATCTTATGTTTATTCTGGAAATGTCATTGGAGACTCCAACTCAGTCTTTGTCTGCAGTGATGCCGAACTTGCGATAATGTCTACCTATGTGACAACCAATCACGGTAACCATTTCGAGGAAACATACCGCGTTTGGCCGACTGAAGGGGATAGACCTAGCATGTCCTCTCCGTCGATCAATGCTATAGCGACATTGTCTGAACAAATCCCCGAGTGTGGAGAACCGACATTGATAATGATTTCGGGACCACGAATCATGGTCACCGAGTTGCAACGCCGGCCAAAGCCGGTCCCGCGGTATTTCCCCATAGGAGGATCTCCTGTCAAAATCCTCTACCATTCAAAACTAGATGCTCTGGTTACCATTGTTTCGAAAAATGAGATACCATCTCTGCATTTCATTGATCCCGCTACGGGATGTGATTTATCTCAGCCGCTAGAGAGAAAAAAGCTTCCGAGCGGTTATAGTTACTCCGATGTTGACTATATTACAGGCCTAGGTAATGAAGACTTCAGAGCTGTATCTCTTACTACATGGGCATACAAATCCGGTGGCATTCACGGTGATTGGATTGTTCTTGCGCTACGCAAGGGAGCTCGTGCGAGTCTCCTCTTAATCATTTCAGCCGAGACCAAGACCATAACAACCGAAACTGGCATGTCTCGGCGAGTACGCTTCTGGACTAAATTCGAGCGAAAGTTCCGAGAGGGCGCCATATCGTCGGTCGCAACGAACGAACAGGGTGTGTTCATATGTGCCGGAAACAACGTCCAGTATCACGTCATTGAGAATGGTAAATTCACAGTTGTGAAGCGCCACAATTTACCATCCCCGGCATCTTGGATGCAGGTGATAGATGGACGGCTCAACGTGCTTACCACCAAGCACTCACTTGTGGTTCTTGATTATGCAAGCGAGTCACTTTCTGACGGAAAGCAGATGGTTCGATTACACACGGATGACACTTGTCGGAGTAGCTTACATTCCATCGAAATTAGCACACCGTCAACCTCTATGACCATGCTATCTGACCCGATGTGTGGGATTCATGGCTTATGGACCCCCTCCGAATTTGAAAGACCACTGGCCCTCGTATTCCAAGCGGAACTTCAAGCTTCCGTGAGGAAATTTGCCCAGGGATATACTAGAACTTCATGGGGATTGTTTAAGAACCGCCCACGATATGGCTGTTTTCAAAGTGGATTTCCCGGATCTGATATTCTAGGACTTACTATTGATGGATCATTACAACACTTCTCGTTGCTGAGCGAGGATGCTTGGCGATTCCTGAGATTCATACAGAATCTTGCGCTAACGTCGACCGATATATGTCCGCATGCTTCTTCCGATCTGCAAATCGACGAATCTAGTTTAGAGCCGAATATGAACCCGAAGATAAACCTACAGGTCGACGGGAATATACTGCAGCGCTGTCTTGACAGACATGCGTTAGAAGGGTTAGCTTCGAATCCAGAGCATCTGCAGCGGATTCGGGAACTTCTCAAACCCTTAGACGAGGACAAATGCTTATCCTCTTCGGATGATGATAAGACATACTTTGAATTGGCTTACAAGATTCTCAAATACTATCTATTGCCAGTTCTTTGATGGCGCCGGCTGTTGAAAACAAGGAATAGAAGGGTTGGGATAGAGCAAATATCTAATACAACTAACTCTTTGACGATGAGATGAACTAAGAAAGAAGGGCAGGCATTATGACGTTTGATTACTAGAAGCAAGGTGTTTTCCGTGGGTTAAGTGCTTTAGGATAGACATGAAAAAAAAACTATTCTACGTTTGTATCTGGGTTTTGGGGGTAAGCTGTGTGATGAATCTGTACGCTGAGGGTAAGTAAGATTCCAACGATGTTCACCGGTACATATGAACAATGAGGGTTGACTTGTACACTACACTAAATGCAATTACGTTGAAGCCTCTGGATGGTGACAGTTTTGATTTTGATGAAAAGAAAATAGGGGTTAGGGGTTAATGTACTTGTACCTAGGGCAGGCAGTGCCACGGCTCACTGTGCCAGCCTGCCAGGCACTTCAGTGTTAGTACCTATCTTATCGATAAACAGTCAAGTGTCTTCGCTTAATCTGACCTGTTAGCCATCAATGGTAGCACCCACCGTCATCATCATCTAAAAAACCGCGATTACCCCACCACTTATTAGTACCCGTGACTAAGGAATTAACGGCCCTAACCCTTCATTGTGAGAAACAACCCTTGTAAGTTCAATTTTCAAGAAGTTGTTTTTTTTTTCTTTTTCTTTTTCTAACGTTCCCATGAGATCACCGCTAACAATAACATTGAACGACTCTCTCGACTATATAGGTTCCTAGGTACCCTAGATTGGTCCATGGTCCATACTTATGACTTACATAAGTGCATGATCGTAGTAACTTACCCTGGTATTTTGCCGCTTTTCCCGTTCCAGGTTCCACGTTGAAATACTGTACCTACCCTGTAAGGCTCCCAGGTAGCACTTTGCCCCTCGCCTTCTTGCTGGTCACTCACTTTGCAGGGCATTTCACCCCACCGTCCTTCATAGTTATCTCAATCTCAGCACTATAATTATACTGCAGCAGAGAGTAACTCCACACAAATCCATACACATATTCCATATTCACATTCTCGCTCTTTTATAAAATCCTGTTACTCTTAATCAATTCACAAGATAACAAGATCACGAGATCTTTAATTGTGCATTGGTATAATCTTATTTCTTGCCGTGTACACTACCTCTCTTCACGCTTCCGTCACTACAACCGTCAAAATGCCGCCTAAGAAGAAGGGAAACAAGAAGGCGGATGATGATTGGGAGGCAGAATTGGGCGAGTCGATTGTACCTTCAAACGGAGATGCCACCACTGCCACCGCTGCTGAACCAGAGGAGGATAAAGAGGAGGAAGATGCACCCGTTGGTGGTCTCATGGCCATGATGAAGAAGAACCGAGAGAAGCGCAAGAAGAAGGGTTTATCCGAGGATTTTCACGATGGTGAACGTACTCCTGCTGCGGACCCTGTACCTGACAAGGCACCTGTAGAGGCGACAATGGATGATGAATTTGCACTGCCTGAGAAGAAGGGTAAGGGTGGAAAACAGAACAAACAAGCCGCAAAGCCCGCGGCGGCCGCCGCTGCCGGCGACGATGAGTTTGGCGAGGGTGGAAGGATGTTGACTAAGGCCGAGAAAGAAAAGCTCAAGCGAGAACGAGAGAAGCAGAGAAAGAAGGAGCAGGTGAGTCCAACTTCAAAGTGTGTTTTACTTCTATTCACCAACTGACTTCCAAATTACTAGGCTGCCAAAAAGAAGACTACAACACCTGCCCCTCCTACGAAAGCTGCCGAGGCTGCGAAGCCCGTCGTCGAGGACAAGAAAGATGCAGCTGCGGCCGATGCCGCTGGGAAGAAGGGAAAGAAGCTCCCCGCACACTTATTAGCTATTCAAAAGCAACAAGAAGAATTGCGACGACAACGAGAAGAAGCAGAACGCATTGCCGCCGAGGAGAAAGCTCGTCTAGCAAAATTGGAGCAAGAGGAAACCGAAGAGAGCAAACGAAAGGAGGAAGAGAGAGCTCGCAAGAAGCAGAAGGAGAAGGAGAAGATTGAGCAACTCAAGAAGGAAGGCAAGTTTTTGACCAAGGCGCAAAAAGAAGAGAAAGCCCGCAATGAGAGGAAGCTCCAACAAATGATCGCTGCTGGCATTAAGGTCGGTCCGTCCGAAGAAGGCGGGGAGGATAAAAAGAAGAAGGTCGTCTACGACAGCAAGAAGCGTGGCAAGAAGGCAGATCAGAAGGTATTTGGATTAGTTTGTCTTCCCTCCCTTCATGAACTATTACTGATCTTATAAAACTAGGTTGATGAAGAGAAAGTGTTAGCCGAAGCCGCTGAACGAGCAAGACAACAAGCCGAAGCTGCAGCCAAGGAAGCTGAAGAGAAAGCTGCCAAAGAGGCTGCGGCGGCCGAGGAGGCTGCTAAAGCTGCCAAGGAAAAGAAGGCTGCGGAGAGTGATATTGACGACGACTGGGAAGCCGCCGCGGCTTCTGGGGATGATGTCAAAGACAGCTGGGATGCCGAATCGGGCGACGAGGCCAAGACTTTACCTTCTCGACCTAAGCGTGGATCTGACGAATCCGAATCCGAATCGGAAGAAGACTCCTCTGAAGATGAAGCACAGACAGCAGCACAGGCTGCAGAAGCTCAGCGGAAAAAGGAGGCCGCCGAACGACGAGAGAAGGCTCATCAAGCCGCCCTAGCTGCTCGATCCAAGGACAACCTTCGTTCACCTATCTGCTGTATCTTGGGGCATGTCGACACAGGTAAGACGAAGCTTCTAGACAAGATCAGACAAACAAATGTACAGGAAGGTGAAGCCGGTGGTATTACGCAACAGATTGGTGCCACATACTTCCCCGTTGATGCTATCAAGCAGAAGACTATGGTCATCAACCCCGATGGCAAATTCGAATTCAAGGTTCCAGGTCTTTTGATCATCGATACACCTGGTCACGAGTCTTTCTCAAACTTGAGATCCAGAGGTTCATCTCTTTGCAACATCGCCATCCTAGTTGTCGATATTATGCACGGACTCGAACCTCAGACGCTTGAATCGATGAAAATGCTTCGGGACCGAAAGACGCCTTTTATCGTCGCACTCAACAAGATTGATCGTCTTTACGGTTGGAAGAAGGTTGATAACAACGGCTTCCAAGAGAGTTTGGCTCTTCAGAGCAAGGGCGTCCAGAACGAATTCCGAAATCGGCTCGAGGAGACCAAGCTCGCCTTTTCTGAGCAAGGTTTCAACGCCGAGCTCTATTATGAGAACAAGTCCATGGCCCGAAATGTGTCTCTAGTGCCCACTTCGGCCCACACTGGCGAAGGTATTCCAGACATGTTGAAGCTGATTATTCAGCTGACTCAAGAGAGAATGGCTGGCTCCTTGATGTATCTCTCGGAAGTGCAAGCCACAGTTTTGGAAGTCAAGGCAATCGAAGGCTTCGGAATGACCATTGACGTTATTCTATCCAACGGTATCCTCCGAGAAGGTGACCGTATAGTGGTGTGTGGTGTGGAGGGTGCTATCACAACAAATATTCGTGCGCTCTTGACACCTGCCGTTATGAAAGAACTCCGGGTCAAATCCCAATATGTACACAACAAAGAAGTCAAGGCCGCCATGGGTGTCAAGATTAGTGCCCCCGGTCTTGAGGGCGCCATTGCTGGATCGCGACTTCTTGTGGTTGGCCCTGATGATGACGAAGAGGATCTCGAGGAAGAGATCGAAGCTGATCTTAACAAGCTTTTCAGCCGTGTTGCTACTACCGGACGTGGTGTCAGTGTCCAAGCCTCGACTTTAGGATCTCTCGAAGCCTTGCTAGACTTCCTGAAGGATTGCAAGATCCCAGTGGCAAATGTTGGTATCGGCCCAGTATTCAAGCGAGATGTTGTCCAATGCGCCACCATGCTTGAAAAGAGCCCTGACCTTGCGGTCATGCTTTGTTTCGATGTCAAGATTGACAAGGAGGCGCAGGCATACGCGGAAGATAACGGTATCAAAATTTTCACTGCCGATATCATCTACCATCTCTTTGACGCCTTCACGAAACATATGGATGAGCAGTTGGAGAAGAAGAAGGAAGAATCCAAGATGTTGGCTGTTTTCCCTTGCGTTCTCCACACTGTCGCTGTCTTCAACAAGACAGGCCCCATCGTCATTGGTGTTGACGTGGTAGAGGGTAACCTTCGAGTCAATACGCCTATCGCTGCGGTGAAGTCGAACCCCACAACGGGTGCCAAGGAGGTTGTCAGTCTCGGCAGAGTGTAAGTCAAAATAATTATTGTGAGACATTTTGTTCTGTAACTAATAGCTGTGTAGGACTTCCATCGAGAGAGATCACAAGCAGATTCCAGTCTGTAAGAAGGGTCAACCGTCGGTGGCCATCAAGGTTGAGATGGGCGGTCACCAACCTACCTACGGCCGACAACTTGAAGAAAAGGATGCTCTGTATAGCTTGATATCTCGTGCCAGTATCGACACACTCAAGGAATTTTACCGAAAAGAGGTGACAAATGACGAGTGGCAACTCATCATCAAGCTCAAGCCGTTGTTCGATATTAATTAACCCACCTAGTACCTTAGGCAGGTATCTAGGCTGGTTGGTAGATAGGTTGCAACCGAGCTACATGGTCGGGAGTATCCACCGACCATGTTTTGTACAAAATGGAAACGTTCATCTGATGATGGTTGCATGGCTTTTTCTTGTATTTATGCGAGGCTGATACTGGAGGGGGGGGGCTACAACAAAATGGTTTTGCATGAATGGAGATTTCACGCATTCTGATACGACAAAAAGATGATAGCATCAATCAATGCCTACCTACATATACCGATAGGCTCAAGTAAGTACGAAGGTACCTAGTCTCTATCTAGGAGGTAGGTATTGTCCCTCGGCCTGTGCCAGGCGGGCCAGTGACGTCTGGATTAAGAAAAATTGACTTTACTGTTTACTATGTCTCTATCTTTGCCCTGCTTCGCTTTTGAATAGATCGTTAATGTGACGTAGCTCATTTGAAATGTGTCGTCGCTGTCGTTCTTGTGTCTTAGGTACTAGATCTCTTACCTAGTCTTGAAGCTAATCTACCAAGAGTAGGTTCCAACAAGTTTATTTGGTTCGAACGCTGCACCTCCGGGGCTGAGTATCCTAGTTTGGTTGAAGATACTACTCTGTGATAGGCTCTAGATGGTGCGCGCTCCGGAGGAGGGGGCAAGAAGGTGAGAGGCGTTGCTTACATGAATCTAGCATCGGGGGCTGCAACTTAACCCCCGCCTCAGCTGTATCTCTTCTCGTCTTAAATATTTGGTCACTAATGTAGGCTGCCTCCAACCAAAGCAAAACCGCCACCTAGATATCCAACTACGTAGTAAATAAATACCTAGGTACCTAGGTAGGTTAGATAAGTAAAAAGTTGAAAGCCTTTAATATTCATTAATTATTCCAGGTTTCCAAACTCCAGACGTAGTGTACCTGTCCAAACCATTCATTATAGCAAGATGGGGCGAAAGATGACACTTCACAAGTTGGTGATCCTGGGTGATGGTGGTGTAGGGAAAACGGCTATGGTGAGACAGGTAGGTTCGTACAAGACATGAAGCCTCACATTCACTACGCTCACATGCTAGCAGGTATCCCTCGAACAATTTATCGAAACGTACGACCCGACAATCGAAGACTCTTACATGAAGCGAGTCGTCATTGACAACCAACCATGTCTACTCGATATACTCGATACCGCCGGCCAAGAAGAATACACAGCACTACGCGAGCAATGGATCCGGGATGGCGAAGGCTTTGTCCTTGTGTACAGCATCAATTCTAGATCAAGTTTCATCCGAATAAAGAAATTCCACCAACAAATCCTGAGAGTTAAAGAGTCTGCGCATTCGGTACCAGCATATCCTAACTCTCATCCCATTAAACCCCCCAATGCAGCAGAAGTGCCAATTGTGTTGGTGGGAAATAAGGCTGATCGCGTCACGGAGAGGGAGGTTGCAACTAAGGAGGGTGTCCAGCTCGCTCACGAACTAGGTGTCCAGTTTATGGAAGCCTCGGCGAAGGATTGCTATAATGTTGAGAAGGCCTTTTACGACGTGGTGCGCCTTCTGAGGCACCAACAACAACATGAGAAGGCGCAGAGCCCTGATGCCAGGCCATTGTCCGGCGAGGCCGCGTATCAGATTATTAGGACTTTCTGGGGATCACGAAGGATAATTATCCCACCATTAGAAACGTCGACAGAGTCGGGTCGAAGCAGGCTTACGGCAGCTTTCATTTCTGCCACTAAATCCAATGATGAGAGACTTGTTCTAGCATATCTTGAAGCTGGCGTAGATGTGAATACGCACTCCGGAACGGACGGCAGCGCGCTCCATGCAGCAGCTGCCACTGGCCACGCCAATATCGTGAATATCCTCCTAAAAAAGGGGGCGGCGGTCAATGCACGCGGACCAACAGGAGCCCCCCCACTACAACTGGCTGCAGCCGAGGGGCATCTTGCTATTGTGCGACTCTTGGTCCACAAGGGTGCGATGGTCAACCAGACAGGATCCTTGCACGGAACAGCTCTAAGCGCAGCGGCATCTCGAGGACGGGCAGACGTTGTACGATTCCTTCTCAAGAACGGCGCCAACGTTGGCCTTGCTGGTGGTCCTTACGGGAATTCACTTCAAGCCGCATCATGGAACGGGAATCCGCTGGTAATTAGACACCTTCTTAACGCGGGGGCCGATATTAGAGCCAGAGGTGATGGCGACTGCACTGCGCTCCAAATAGCCGCATTCGTGGGTAATAGCAATGCCATTCAAGTGCTCCTGGAGCGCGGGGCAAAGGTTGACATTGACGCTCCGGGAGGGAAATACGGAAGTGCTTTGAAAGCTGCGACTGAGGGTAACCATTACAGAGCAGTGAATCTACTCTTAGAGGCTGGGGCTACTCCTTTACAGCTTCCTACTTACGACATGGGGGATGATGAGAAGGAAAGTAGGAAAAGCGACGATGGATACTCAAAAGAAGGAGAGAGTGCTATACAAGGAGAGAGTGCTACGAGCATCGCTTCACCGGATGCCACTACGCCGTCGGTAGTGTTCCTGCCTAACTTCTCACCCGTGTCCAATGAACTGAGTCGGTTATCGGGATATTCTACAACATCAAGTTCTCCAGCAATTTCGAGCCCTACGGATAGTACCCCTCCATCTTCTCCGCTTGCTAACCGCAGGTTCTCGTTACTTCGGAATGCTTTTAACAACAGCAGTCTTAATGATCGCCCGGTAATCAATCCTCTTGGTTTCTCAACAATACACGACTCTCCCAAGGCTGCTGTCGAGTGAGTGTACCTACCTATTTATTCCAACCACGACTCAATTTCTCCTAAATTCGTCCAAAGGGATAGTCTAACTTTTTGGTCATCCTTAGCATCGTGTTCATCCACGGACTACAAGGCCACCCCGAGAAGACCTGGACGTATGTAAGAAACCCTCCCAAGCGGAAAATAAGCCTGCGGCAGAAGTTGTACCGCTCGCTATCCGCCTCGGTGGTTGAGAAGCCTTCGAGCGTGTACTGGCCCCGGGACTTGCTCGCGCAAAACGAGGATTTCGCCGATACGAGAATTATGACTTGGGGATACGACACGTTCGTGGTGAAGGAGTTCTTCGGGGCCGGTGACCAGCAGAACATCTCGCAGCATGGCCACAATTTCATGGTCCACTTGCAGCAGGAAAGGAAATCAAATGTATGAATGTCTCACATCGGTGTATTTATTGAGAAACAAGTATTGACAGACAGCACATAGCCACACAGACCGTTGATCTTTATCGCGCATAGCCTTGGCGGCATTGTCCTCAAAGTAGTAAGTCCTTCCCTAGTGTATTCACCTTTCCACTCCATTGACCTATAGCTGATGCTTGAATCTCATCTAACCTACCTTACCTACTACCTAGGCCCTCGACAACTCCAAGCGATCGACCCACCAGCCCCAGTACCTCAGCATCTACACCTCGACCAAGGGCATCATCTTCCTCGGGACGCCCCACGGCGGATCGATAGGCGCCGACTGGGGCCTCCTCGTGAGCCGGATCGTCAAGTGCGCGCTCCAGAGCCCCTCGGAGCGCATCCTGCGCGGCCTCGTGCCCAACAGCGAGCTCCTGGAGAACCTGCGGAGGGCGTTCTTGCAGATGCTCGAGGACGGCCACTTCAACATCCACTCCTTCTACGAGACCGGGCCGATACTTGCCTATGGTCTCAGCAGCCTTGTAAGTGCCACCTTACCTACCTATCTATCTACCCATCCAGTTGTGAGAATCAGCAAAAGGAAAGAAAAACAGAATTGGTGGATAACGCACATTTCGTTTTCTGGTTCAAAGATGAGAATGAGAATGAGAATGAGCGTAAAAGCTACCTACCTAGCTAACCTTCTTCTGTGCGCAAAAAAACAGGTCGTCCCCTACGAATCCTCGCTCGTCGGCCACGCGCGCAAAGAGATCGCCGTCGGTCTGCCGGGGAACCACTCCAAGATATGCAAGTTCTCCGGCCCCGACGACCCCGCGTACAGGTCCGTCCTTGGCGCGCTGCAGGATTATGTCCAGGACGCGGTGCTTTCCTCTGGGTAGACGCGGGCGGAGAAGAAGCAGCAGCAGCAGCAGCAGCAGTCGGTGCTCGATAGTACGACGACGACTTACCGTACCCTGTGGTGGTGGCGCCGCCGGGGCCGGGGCTTGCTGTCGGGCTTGCTGCTGGGTAGAAGGGGGGGTGGGGGGGCCGCCGTCGCCAGCGCTGGGAAGGGGGTTTGGTGTTCCTTTCGAGACTATTTCGGAAGGGATCTGTGCACGAGAGAGAAAGAATATATAAGTCGGTGGGGTTGATTGAAATGGAGTACTGCTCAGCGTTTTTGTTTTTGTTTTTTTGTTTTTTTTTTTCCACTTCTATTGTACATAAGTTGGATGGAATACCCAGGGGTGATCGTCATGGAGTTACTCGGACTTTACGGGGCGGACTTACATCCCCAGGGATCTAGGTACATAGAATGTGAGTGAGGGGGTAAGCACTGTCTATAGATATTCAAAGAAATGGAGTCTGTAATGATATATATATATATATCCCGTTAATACCAATGTGGAGGTTCTATGAACCTGTTTTTCTACCACCTAGTCTTGGAGGATTTACCAGGTGCTTAGCTAAGTACACAGCAGCTCCGACACCTTGTACTTAGCGAGTATACCTACACAGTATACAGTAGATGAAAGAGTTCCCTTTGATCAAGCACTCAGCCCGTATATAAGAGAATTTAGAGAAGCCTCCCACATGAAGTCATCCCTCAGTGAATCAGCTGACTAACTTGCTTGATTCCAAGTCCATGGTATGCGGCTCTGCGTACCTAGGTAGCTTATTAACTCTTGTGTTTTCATATTACCGTAACATTATTAGAAACTATGACATACGATCGATCGCATGCCACTATATGCCCCCCTCCCCCCTTTTTATCCCTTTTATAGGTACCTGCTAGGTAGGTGAGATTGAATTCAGGGGATAGAACGGACTCGGGGCAGCATACACCCGCCCCTCCTCAATGGATGACAAATGTATAGAGAATGCCAATAACCACTAGTACCTACTTAGCATTATAAACGATACTCGTATGTTGCAGCTTTGCTTGATTCCTAATTGCAGTGGCGGAGTGCCAACATATGGCCATATGGGCCATATGGCTCTGGTGGAGCCTATGATGCCTGAGGCACCTGCAACATCTTATAAATCAATAAGTACCTAGGTCAAAGACTCAGTGGAAAAATCCGGCCTAGCCTCCGTAAAAGCCGGATCTTGCATGGCATGGCATGGCGATTACTAATGCCGATCGATCGTTCGTTCTGGCGGACCACACGGATTAGGTATCTCCATGCTTAGGTATACAGCCCGTATATATACTGTACCTTCCCATATAGTACATAGCCAGCTCTTTTCGGAACAGGTATCATTGATCCGGGCTCGTAATCGTGTTAAATAAGTCCTAGTTACCACAATGGGGGGCTCTGGGGAGAGGAAGAAAAAAAAAAAAAAGGGGGGGGGGGGGTGTAGAGGTAGTATATAAACTCATGTCTGTTTCGAATCCGTAGAACCTACTCTTGACTTGCTCTGTAGCATCGAACTACTTTTCAAACCTTACACATCTCCATACCTACCTACCTACCTACCTAGCTACCAAACACCACTCCCCCACCATCGACCAAAAGCCATGGCACCCCGTCCATCCCCCTCCATCCTCCTCACAGGCGCGACCGGCTTCATCGGCGGCACCGTCCTGCACTCCCTCCTCACCTCACCCACCCTCAAGTCCCTAAACCCCACCATAACCTGCCTGCTCCGCGGGAGCGACCGCGCCGCCAAACTCACCACCACCTACGGCGACCGCGTGAAGACGATCCTGTACGATGGGCTCGACGACACCGAGGCGGCCACCGCAGCCGCCGCCGAGCACGATGTCGTGGTCAACACGACGCTGGGCTACCACCTGCCGTCGGCGCAGGCCTTGATCCGGGGGCTGGCTTTGCGGAAGGCGTCTCTGCAGGGAAATCAGGAGCAGGATGGTGTGTGGTACGTCCAGACCTCCGGCACCTCCAACGTAGCCGACCGGCCCATCTCCGGAAAATGGGTCGAGTCCAAGTCTAAGTCCGAGGGCGGACACGAGCTCGACGACCTCGCCTCCGACGTCTACACCTACGAACACGACCGCGAAGTCCGCGAAGGCCCCTACTTCCAGCGCACAACCGAGCTAGGCGTCGTGGACCTCGGCCTATCCCTCGGGGTAAAGACCGTCGTGATAATGAGCCCGACGATCTACGGCGTGGGCACTGGGCTCTTCAACCGGCTCAGCTACCAGGTTCCCAGCAACGTGCGCGCGGCGCTGCACCACGGGCGGCCCATCGTTGCGGGGAACGGCAGCGGGGTGTGGGACCACGTGCACGTCGAGGACCTAGCAGATCTATACATACTACTAGTGCAACTCATGCTAGAGAAGCGCGGCGAGGGGATCCCGACGGGTAAAAGGGGGATCTTGTTCAGCGGCAACGGACGGCACTCGTGGCGGGAGGTGGCGCAGGGGGTGGCGGACGTGCTGTACGAGGAAGGGAAGATTGCGAATCGAGAGGTGCAGGAAGCTAGCTTGGCAGAGGTTGCGAGGGTGCTGACGGAGAGTACGGGACAGCCGCTGACGGAGGAGTTGGTCGAGAGGGGGTTCTCGAGTAACTCGCTGACTGTGGCGAGTGTGGCTAGGAAGTTGGGGTGGAAGCCTACAAGGGGGGAGGATGCGTGGAAGAAAGGGTTTAGGGATGATGTTCAAGCTGTTTTGGAGGCTGCGAAGTAGGTACAATGGGGGTTTTTACGTGCTAAGTGATCAAAAAGGGGGGGTTAGCAATCTGTATAATGTTCAATAAGGGTCAATTATAAGATAATGACATATCTAGGTACTAGGTGGGTAGCTATACAAAGAAAATCAAAAAGCTTTCCAGAATAAGAGAGAGTTTAAGTCCTGACTGGAGGATACGAGGCCATCCATTATACAAAGCCCCCCAATTTCCCTGATTTTCCTTATGATTATGTTTTCACTTCCTTAAATAGATACCTTCCTGCTCGGTCTGGTTGGTCCCACGATCACTCTCAGCTGGCATCTTTCTCTGGCTATGGGAGAGGCCCTGTTTACTCGAATGAGACCTGCTTGGGAGCTTCTCCAGCCGGAAGCCTCACCTGCTCTTGGTGAGCGTTTGACTTCGTGTGAGCGCGAGGTGTTGGGAGGCAGCTCCTTGGAACACACAGGCGATCAGCAAGGCCGACTGTCCCTTCAGGATTCCGCATCTTGAGTGACTCAAATCATGAGACGAAGACGCATCACTAGATTACCAAGGCCTGCTAGATCTCTTACGCGATAATATAGAGAGTATACCACGGAGGCGCGTGTTCGCTGCTGGCGGAACTTAAGCCATAGAGTTATCCTCGGTCTTCTGCGTGGGCAAATCTCGTTGCGGGTCCGCTGGTGAATTCTCTTTGGATATGCGGATCCGAAGCGGGCGAAATGTTTGATATTGTCGATGTGAACCTTCCGGATGTTCCTCTTGGTCGAGGGATCACAAATGCGAACGGATACCTCGGAAACGATTTCCGCGATCTCGTACGGTCCTTTCCATCTTGGTTGAGGCTTGACCATTCGGGGCTTGTCTTTGGACGCTTGAAGATGAGCTGTCATCAGCTCACTGTTGCCGCCATCGAGGGGAGGGGGACGCTTCTTCAATGTATTCGTCGGGATCCTCGCCGGGACGTCCCTCGAATACTGGATGTTCTTCAAGCACCATTTTGAACTTGCCTTCGTTTTGCGATTGGTATTTCGGTCACAATGGTGTGCTCGACCAAATCCGTAGCCTCCAGGTCAATCAAGGAGACGATGAACCTATCCTTCCACGTATACGCCAGTCTCGTCGCAAGATTCAGCTCCTCCTCACTCCGACACCCATTCCCAGGGTCTATTTTAACTCACCGGAACCAACTCCTCGCCACGTCAATATTCTCCCCGGTCAGTTCACGCTGTACAAGTCTCCGAGTTACATCGGGACGGCCATGTTGAATCTGAGACAACGGTAACGCTGCCAAGATCTGATGTCGGGGCATGTTCCCCAACACCTTCCGCCTCTTCTTTTCTGCCCTGGAAAAGGGCGTGTATTCGTCTAAATATGATGCGTAGCTGTCACATCTCTAGCTGGGCTCTTTGAGGAAAACGAAGCGGCAGCCATGGCTAGGGAGAAGAGGAGGAGGGTCGAGTGCGACGACGTCGATGTTGATGATAAGAGGAGGGGGGAGTGCACTACCGGCCTGGGACATCCAGACTCCAGAGTGCGAACCCTGACGCCTCATCCGTATCCTGGCGAGAGGCGCCGAGACTTGGTGACTATGCGAGAAGAATTGGAGAGCTTGGAGCTAGATGAACGTATGCGAGCAAGAAAGGAGCGACAGAAGGAAAACCCCCCGATTGGGATGAGTCCTTATTGCTTATCGTCAAATTAAACTTCCTTCAGTCCGATCTTCAATTGACCGAAATCTTTACGTTTCTCGGCACTGAGGTCCAAGTACCAATCTTTCGCTTCTCCTTTCAGTCTTTTCCGGAATACCATTCGTCTTCTGGAAACAACAAGTTTCTCATGCGGATGCTGCAGTAGGAGGATGTGATTGTGTAGGTTGTTGTCATCTGCACGCTCCAGGCAAGGACGGGGGGTACTAGGCGTCGCTCTACGACCATGGTGACGCCGTCTTCGGTTTCTGTCGTGGTGATTCTGGAGAAGTGGTTTCGGGTCTAGTGGAACCTCTTCTGGATCCACTCGTTGTCGTGGGGACCGCCTCGGTCGTTGTCCGTGAGGCTTTTCTATGATCTCGCACGAGACTTTGACGGATTCGGGCGAGACGCGATTACTGCTGCGCTGTTCAACGTGTCTCGGTGCCTTGCCCCCGACCCAGCCCCTGGTTAATTGAAACTGATCGTCTAGCTTTTGTACGGCAGGGCATGGTCGCCCAGGGCTGAATCCGACGGATGGTCTCGGACGGCATGGTATCTTTTGGCGGGTACAGCGAACTAACAAACTACTAGTAGACCTCACTATATAACCCAGGTACCTAAGGTTAGGTAAGATAATATAAGACTGGATGCTTTCATGAGTTACTTCACTCGGCGGTCAATCATCGTCTCATCGCGGATCACACAACTCACTATAGTCCCCTTATACTGTTAGTCTTGGTTGGGGACTCAGTGTGTGATTCAAGAAGCTTGATTGCCGCTAGAAATATCCTCTTCTTTTAGGCGAGGGACCCAATTGATGTGGTCATTTTCGTTCATGAATGTGGCAACCCAGCAGAGGTTTTGAAGATGGTAGGAAATCATCATGAATGCATAGGTACCTAGGTAGAAAAGAGGCAAAAAGACAAAAACGATAGTGGGGAAATGTCAGAAATTCGGACGTGGACGGCTTTAACAGGAACTGGTAACCCTCTCTAAAGGGATCAAGAGAATTGGTGGCAGGCCGACTAGGGTTATGGGAATAGATGGTGTATTAGACGAGATAAGTGTGTGAGACTCACAGAAACCTAGGGACGCCACGACAAGAACGGCCACCCACTGGGAGTCTGGGTGGACTCGCCATTGGTAGAAGAATACGACTGTGCTGAAGATGGCGGCAAAAGTGGGCTATGATGGGATCGAGCACCTTCTACCTAGGTGAACGGGGTTTCTTCATATTCATAGACTACCTTGGGTAGGTGATTTAAAAATGTAGCTGATGAGGAGTGAGTGAAAGGGGATGAGTTGAGATATTTTGAAGTTGAAGTTGTAAGAAAGAAGAAAAGAGACAGCAGTGTTGGGGGATGCTGTTAGGTATTTATACCTACCTAGTACTTATTCTTTTTGAAACCCTATTCATAACGTTAGAAGGAAGCAACAACTCTAGAGCTGAGAATGGAACTTCCAAGATTCTATGTGGGCATGTACAGAGTTGCTATGTAACTTACCTAAAGTTAGTGATGAAACCAACCTTGGAACATTGAAGGTATAACCAGTAAAGCATATTAGATGTATCAGTAGTAGCATTACGCAATTCCCGCTTGACAGTTACTGGCTGCCTACCCTAGGTACTAGGTAGGTACAATGAATCTAACCTTAGGTATTTATCTCTAACACAAAGAAAAGAGATAAGGGAGAAGGGAGAAGGGAGAAAAGTGCCATAGTTGATCTAGTCAATCTAATAAAGGTTAGATTGAGTATCTAGTACCAAGACTAGGCCCTAACATACTAACACAATAGTACTAAAGGGTTGTCGTTGGGGGCATGCTCACGTGCAGTGGCCGGAAATGATTCCGGCCACGGCCGGCAAAGGCCGGTCTTGGGTGGGAATGGAGCTCCGCTTTTGCTCATCCCTTGCCGGACAAGACACTAACCTAATCCCATTTCTCGCTGGCAAGGTAGAACCTCATTTACGTAATTTTGGTCAGCAAAATGGTATCCTGTTAGATCATAGATGACGCGATACGTAATTCCCTTGACCGAGGGTTGATCAATATCATCCAAGACATTAGTAATGCGAAGGTTGAACCTCATCAGAGGGTAAAGAGACCCCCTTTATTTTTTCCTTGGAGCCACCGCGAAAAAAATCACGGTGACTAATTTCTTGGGCCAAATCACCAACACACGTGATCGGTTTCGCATGGGGATTCTCGTCATTCGCGTCAGCTGCTATGGCCCAGTACTATCAAGGAAGGGCGGTGTTTACCTACTCGCTCTTATCTCACAAACTTAATTTCCTTCTTGGCGTCGAGGCCAAAGCAGCGCCGTCACGAGGTAACTATGTGCGACAGTCAGAGATAAGCGGTATGAATGATATGAGTCCGGTGTCGCTGGAGGCCGGAATCTTTCCGGCCAAGAAAACGTGTCAACAAGATTCCGGGGTGTTTAGATTTGCTCGAGCGCTGACTCCGCATTTTGGTGATGAGGCCGGAACTTTTCCGGCCACGGTGTATATTAGCGAGCTAAGTTCGCTTCTTAGGCTTCGTTCAACTTTCACCTTAGTATAAACCCCAAGACACACATTCCTACATACCTGCACTTTGAGAACCCCTCGCCCCCCCCCTTTTTTTTTTCCTCTTCAAGCTTACCTGGTAACGTATCAACTTCTCCTTGTCAAGCTTTCACAATGTTCATTCCAAAGTCTACCTTCGAGGTCCTCGAAGACACCAAGCCAGAGGATACCTCGCTCCCGGCTTTCATGGTCTCGACAACCCGAGGCTTCTTGGCCCGTATGGATCCCATCATCACCCTGCCCGCCGAGTTCCAAGCTGTCGAGACCCTACTTCAAGCGATGCCTGTCCTGACGCTGTCAGGCAAGCCAGGGCTCCTCGCCACGGGTCAGCTTGGCGATGCCGTACTGAACGACCTTCCAGACCTAACTGATGCGGTTGAGAAGTACCATGAGGACCTCCCCATGATGAATGCTCTTTACCGCGACTACTCTTTCCTAGCTTCAGCATTCTTACTGGAGCCTTGCCATATGCGGTTCCTCAAGGGTGAGCCGTACGGACTAGGGAGGTCATTCCTCCCGGCTCAGATATCCCGCCCTATTGCTCGTTGTGCTGAACTGTAAGTCTTGAAGAGCCTCTTCGTCTTTCTCTTACCTATGACATATAATAACACTTCAACAGTGCCGGTTTCAAACCATTTATGGAATATGCGGGTTCATACGCTCTTTTCAACTACCGTCTCCAGGATCCAAGTGCAGGCCTAGAGTACTCCAACTTGCGTCTTATCCGAGCCTTTGAGCATGGACTTGACCCTACGTCGTCGGAAGCTGGATTCGTGCTTGTGCATGTCGACAGTATGTAAATCTTCCGTTCAGTCTCCTCCTCTTTCCCTTTCCCTTATTCTTATTCAGGGGTGGCTACCTACCCTTGAGACTTGCTCAACCCTTCATGGTTTATACTTAAAAGAGTATCATAATTAATTCCTATTTGATTAGTGGTGAGGAATTCCGGCCCCTTGGTAGACGGAACAACATCATGTCTCAAGGCCCTCGACAACGCCGCCGGGCTCTCGGCCTTGCAACAACGGCACGCCTTCAACGCCGGCCTGCGCACCGTCGTCGGCGCCATGCAAAAGGTGAACAACGTGATGGAGACGATGTGGATGAAGTCGAAGCCGCGGTCGTACACGAGCTTCCGGACCTTCATCTTCGGCATTACGTCGCAGTCCATGTTCCCGGACGGCGTCGTGTACGAGGGCATCAACGACAACAAGCCGATGAACTTCCGCGGCGAGAGCGGCGCCAACGACACCATGATCCCCCTCATGGACAACCTGCTGCAGATCCAGATGCCCGCCACCCCGCTCACCGAGATCCTCAAGGACTTCCGCGACTACCGCCCCAGCAACCACCGCCAGTTCCTCGTCGAGGTCAAGCGGTGCTCCGAGGAGCTCAGCGCGAAGGACTACGCCCTCGCCGTCGGCATCGAGCGCAGCGCTGCAGGGAAAGAGGAGGAGCTGCTAGAGGCGGTCAGGGTGTCCCGGCAGCTCTGGCTGCAGGCGCTGAACCAGGTGCGGGACTTCCGGTGGCGCCACTGGTGCTTCGCGCGCGAGTACATCCTCAAGCAGACGTCGCACCCCACGGCGACGGGCGGCAGCCCGATCGTGACGTGGCTCCCGAACCAGCTGCAGGCGGTGATGGAGGAGATGACGGAGGTGTGGAACAGCGTCGGGGGCGCGCAGTCGGGTCCCATGCGGCTGGGGCCCGAGAGCCAGGATATCGCGGACCTCGTCGAGCGCCAGAGCCAGAGCCTGCGGAAAGAGGTCGAGAAGTATTGTCAGGAGCGCGGGGTCAGCGCGACTCATTAGAGCGGGATCGGGAATTATGTGTGTACGTTGAAGTAGTTAAATGTATGGAAATGAGTTTTACGATCTAGAGACCTTCGCTGCTGTACTATGCAGTAAGCCGATGATTTATGTGGATGCCCATCCCCGGCCTATCACCTATCACCATTGAAACCCCATGCATAACCTATCTTAGAACCCCGTCACCCTTTACAGGCCCCCCTTTGTTGTACAGGTCCCCTTACTGTGGGCGGGCCACCCGTCACTTACTTTTTTAAAGAAGCAATTCATCCTAGACATATCGTATGTATTGTTTGTACATGCAATGGCGTTTGTTTACCCCTACTAGCAAACGACTCGTAGGTAAAATAGTAGATGATAGGTAGGTAGCTACCCGTATACTAAAGCCGTGCCAACTACCGAATTGGATTACGTTGATCTTTGATGAGGCAATGGGGGGTAATCAAACGGATCGATTATACTGAAGATAGTGCTGCAATCTGCAATAAACCCGCTCTAGTAGGGCTGTATCTCATTGCTAGCTTGACGATAGCATCACAGATAGATCCTGGGTAACTTACATATGTTGCTCGGGATATTGCATATACATACTATGTAGCATGAAGGTATGTACATGTGCATAGGCAGAGCTGAGGCCAGTTCGCACATCGCCAGTTTCCATAGGAACCCAGCACCTTGCCGGAAGACCACCCGGCCACGTTAGCATGATACTCATATAAGCCTGGAAATTGGAACAATGTTACAAGCTGTCAACCTTGGATTTCCCAGACTTTTCTACTTACACAGCAGATATATTCGAAGGTCAGCCCTTCTTCTTCTTTTCCTTTTTCCTTCTCCAAAACGTTGAACCACAGGGGGACAAGAAAGGGGAGAATAGGTACTACCCGCACTACGAAGGATGGAGTTGGGACTTGTTTTTCCGCCGCAAGTCTCTCACGGATTTGATTGAGGAGTTTCGAGAGGATGGTAGAGCCGATGAGGACGACCTCGTCCGCGATTTCTTTGATGGGGGGGAGACGGTGATCTGGAAGGTGAGTTTTGCGAATGAATCCCTCCGGAAACCATGAGAGAACCTGAAAACTGGCTAGAATTAAGAGGCTGATGATGAATTGATGAATGTTTATCTAGGTATACAATGAACAAGGTCGTGAGCGAGTCTTTAATGGCTTCGATTGGCAATTTCATGGAAAAAAGATGAAAAGGGCTATCGGTGACGTGTAAAGGGGTTCTCTCTTCTCTTGATTGGCTACCATTCTATGAAAATTACCGGATTTGGTGCTGACATAGTTATAGGCACCTATACGGACCTACCTACCTACATGCCTAGTTAGTGCCTCGGTATAGTGGCGGATTTACGGTATATTTGCGCTGACGAGGTCGGTGTTGTCAAAAGGATGGCGATTCAGTTCGGAGTTTACACATTACTACCTAGTTAGGTACCTCTAATATTTGCAATACCTAGGGATTTCTAATAAAATAAGTTTCAAAAGCCAAGGCATACGATGCGGACTTAAGACTTAGTTACATGGGTCGACACAATATACAGCTTGTAGACTATTGGTCCTCGGTCCCAAGCGCTCTAACGATTCAGCATTTCCGCTTACATCCGAAAAGAGCGAATATTCACGGACCTGAGCTGAGCTCTCAATCAAGAAATCATCGTCATGGAGCCACCACTCCGCCGCCGCCGCCGACCAGCCTTATCATGCCTTGAGTGTCGGCGCCGCAAGATCAAGTGCGATCGAAGCAACCCCTGTACCCCTTGTGTATCTGCAAAAGCCCGGTGCGCTTATAAGCTCTATACCCATAAGCCACCTGCCATTCCGCAGCCCCTTCGCGATACCAGCTCCCGGGGCGAGACGTCAAGCCCGCAATCCTGCGCACCCTCGGCTTTAGCGGCGCAAGCGCAACAGATAAGTACCAACGGATTCGCCGCAGAGCCTGTTCACTACCCACCCGTGGCGGATGCTTTGAACCAAAGCCATGTCCCACCGTCGGAGTGTGTCCAGGTGGTAGCAGTAGAGCCTAATCTCCGGGGCCCCTTGCAACGGGCACAGAAGCTAGAAGAGTCCGCAAGGTCCCGTGACAACAACAATGGCAACCCTGCTTCCTCTGCGGCTGTTCAGGACATACTCGCCCATCCGTCGTCGCAGAACTCGCAGATCATCCTGAACAAAACGAGGGTGTTGGGATGGAGTCTCCGGATAGGTATTACTCAAGAGGTACGTCTTACATTCGCTCGTATTCGTATAACTAGACTACATACTATGTTACCTACCTACCTACCTATCCCTTTCGAGCTACTAACTACATCGCAAGTTCCGGCCCATCATGACCTGCTACACCACGGCCCTAAACAGTACCAAGGACGCCGCAAACCAAGACACCACCGAGCTCGGGGCTCTATTCAACCAAATCGGCGCCCTGCTTCAAAAATGCAAGAACATCGCCCGAGCGATCAAGGTAGTCCGGCCTAGCAGGTGTCTCCTATATCCCGAGTTCGACCTCGCGCCGCCTCCCCGTGCGGTGGCCGACGCGATGGTGAACCTGTACTTCCAATTCTTCGAGTCGGCGTACCGGATCCTTCACGTGCCGACGTTTTGGTCCGAGTATCGCCGGTACTGGGATAACCCCGAGAGCGCTACGACGAGTCTACGTCTGCAGATCCTGCTGGTTATCGGCATAGGGTCGAGTTTGTCCGAGCAGGGTCATGCAGATACAGCTGCTGCTGGGTTCCGAAATAGCGTTCATCGGTGGATATACGCGGCCCAGGCGTGGGTGGGCGGGCCGATGGAAAAGGACCGCCTGACCATCAGCGGGCTGCAGATCCACTGCTTGACCGTTCTCGCCCGGCAGATCTTCTCGGTCGGCGGCGATCTGGTGTGGATGTCCATCGGGTCGCTGATCCACTGCGCGATGCAAATGGGGCTGCACCGCGACCCGAAGCACCTGCCCTCCATGTCCGTGGTGCAAGCGGAGCTTCGGCGGAGGCTGTGGGCGACCATCCTCGAGATGGTGGTCCAGTCGTCCCTGGACACGGCCATGCCGCCCCGGATATCCTTTGAAGAGTTCGACACCGCCGCGCCGGCGAACAACAACGACGACGAGCTAGACGATGCAACCACGACGCCGCCTCCGCCGCACCCCAAGAATATCTACACAGCAGCTTCAATGCAACTGCTTCTGCTAGAATCTCTGCCAACCCGCATCCGCGTCCTGCACCTCCTCAACGGCCTCCGCTCCTCGCTCTCATACACGGACGTCCTCGCCCTCAGCGCCGAGATCACCGAGGCCTGTCGCACAGGCACCCGCTTCGTGCTCACGAGCACGCAGCAGTCCGGTGGCGGCGCGGCGCCCTTCCACAGGCGCATGCTTGAGTACCTGGTGCGGCGGTTCCTGATCCCGCTGCACAGCCCCTTCGCGACCAAGGCGCGCGAGAACCCGCTGTTCTACTACTCGCACAAGGCGAGCCTCGACGCTGCTATGGCTATGATCTCCTCTTCCTCCTTGGTGCCCAACGCCGACAACGACAAGGAGGACGCCTTCTCGCGCCTCATCTTCGCCGGCGGCGGCATGTTCCGCGAAGTCTTCCGGTACGCATCGACCGTCGTCGCCGCCGAGCTCGTCGCGCAGGTCGAGGAGCGGCGGCAAGACGGCGGAGGGGCGACCGATGATCATGCGTCGCGGCACATCGCGTTCCTGAAGCAGACGGTCGGCGAGCTGCTCGCGGTGTCGGCGGAGCGGATCCGGCGCGGCGAGACGAACGTCAAGAGCCACATGTTCCTTGCCATGGTGCTGGCGCAGGTGGAGGCTACGGAGGCGGGGTGCGAGATGGAGAGGGCGGTTACGCGCAGCGCGAGGGAGAGCTTGGAGTTTTGCCACGGGTTGCTCCGTGAGCAGCTTGGTGGTGATGCTGAGATGGGTGTGCCTGATGCGGGTGGTGGACTCACGCCGTTGACGGTGGGGTTTGATGAGGAGGCGCAGGGCTTTGGGTGGGAGTTGGACTTGGATCTGTTTTGGCCGGATGGAGGATTCGAGTAGTGTGGGTGCTAAAATAGCCGATTATATATGCGTATGTGCTACTGGGGATGATGGTGGTGGCTCTCGGTATGATCTCGATTAGATAGGGGTGGTTCTGTCTCTGCCAGATACAGTGTAGGTAGGGTAGAAAGAGAGAATGCCTAGATCGACTCTCGGGCTTCAGGGGTAAAAAATACACTTCCATGCGTCAAGCCCGGAGTAAGCCTAGAACCCACATCAACCCGTTATAACCCAAGTGTGTGTGTGTGTGTGTGTGTGTGTGTATAACCCGCAGCGTGTAATGCTGTATTTATATACATCTATCTGTCGTAGACAAGTTAACGGGTGAGTTCCCGCCATGAGTCCACGGACTGGGGTGAGTCATGCTAGGTACGGTGATAAGGGAGAAAGCATGACCAACGAATTTGCCGAGAGCTGAAGTCTCTCGGCCGAGACGAACGACAGGCACGATTTCAACTGTATCCGGACATAAGGTGTTGTATATCAGGTTACACTCACCTACCCACCCCTTTTTCGAGAAAGTTTTCAAGTATTATGTTGCGTGTGGTCAAATAGTTCGACTATCTCTAGCCCTTTCATATTATTCATCCAGGCTGAAGTAAAGTGTTTCCGCATTCTTATTTTATGTTTCATTTCCAATACTCAAACAACATCCATACCCCCCTTCTCATAAAACCATGGCACGACTAAAGGTCCTCATAAGCGGCGGCGGCATCGCCGGCAACGCCCTCGCCTTCTGGCTCTCCAAGCTCGGCCACAAAGTCACCGTCGTCGAGTGGTTCCCCACCCTGCGAGCCAAGGGGCTGCAGATCGATCTCCGGGGCCACGGGATCGAGGTGATGAAGCGGATGGGTCTGGAGTCGGCGTTCCGCGCCAAGGCGGCGCCCGAGAACGGGATACAGGTCGTCGACGGCTCGGGCCGGCGGCGCGGCTTCTTCGCGGCGAACACGTCCGGCAAGGGGCTGCAGAACTTCACCAGCGAGTTCGAGATCATGCGCGGCGATATGTGCCGTATCCTGTACGAAGCGGCGAGGGCCAACAAAGCCGAGTACGTCTTTGGGACGTCAATAGAAGGTTTCGAGGAGGACAAGGCTTCCGGCGGTGGTGTTCAGGTCCGGCTCGCGAACGGAAGCGTGGATAGGTACGATCTCGTGGTTGGTGCCGACGGCCAAGGCTCGCGCACTCGCAGGATGATGCTCGGGACGGCGGACGGCGCGGATGCCGCGGACGGATTCTGCCCGCTCAAGGGCGTGTACACGAGTTATTTCACGATCGACCGGCAGATACAAGAAGGCGAGGATTACATCGCCACCGCGTACATAGCCCCCGGTCGGCGAAGCATGATGACGCGGCGCCACAGCCCTGAGCAGATGCAGGTGTACATGGGCTTCACGACGGACTCGGAAAAGCTGAAGAACGCACGGGGAGACGTGCAGAAGGAGAAGGAGGCCCTGGCGGAGATCATGAAGGGCGCCGGGTGGCGGACCGAGGAGTTCCTGAGGGATCTGGTGGGCTCCGATAACTTCTACCTCGAGAGCATGGGCTTCGTTAGGTTGGAGTCTTGGACCCGCGGCCGCGTGGTGTTGCTGGGCGACGCGGCATATTGCCCGTCGGCTACCACGGGGATGGGAACAACTGCCGCTATGGTCGGCGCCTACGTCCTGGCTGGCGAGATCGAAAGGCATTGTGGGAGCGTTCAGAAAGAGCATGTTGGCGATGGCATTGCAGCCGCGCTTACGGCGTACGAGCAGACGTTCCGACCCTTCATAGATCAGGTCACCAAGGCGTTGGTTGATGGCGATAAGAATATATTTGACGCCATCATGCTGACAACAAAATTCGGCGTCGGGGTTCTGAACTTCATTGTTGGAATTGTTTCCCTCTTGAAGTTCGACGTCGTAGCTGCCTGGTTCCTGCAGGAGAAGGTTAAATGGGACTTGCCTGAGTATAAGGAGCTTCTATGAGGAACCGAGGAATAAGGGAGTGAATGAGGTTTGGCAATATGAGTTGAACTATAATAGATATTAGGTGCCAAATGTACAATACTAAGATGACCACTCATTTCGAAATTTCCATAGAGTTCTTACCTCCTTATATTGGTTATTATACGCTCCGCGTGGCTGGAAGGTGCCGTTGTGTTCGCTTGTTACCACATTTACTGTAGTCTAAATGCACACGCCTAAGATCGTGTTATTTTCAGCAATCGTTCCAAGGTAACGCAAGTATATTCATTATACTCCTCGGAAGTTGACTGAAAGTCAAACCACGCGTATCTACCACGCAGTGATATCGTCTACTTCCGCCTCCCCGAAAGTACTCGACTTAGTCAATTCACCAACACTAGCTATTCCCACGTCCTCTCCTTCTCTGGCCATAATGTCCGGCAAAAATTCGTTTAGAAACTCAAGAATGTACTTGTTGACTTGTTCAAACTGCAATAAGAAGGCGTCGTGGCCTTCCTGGCTATCTATCTTTTCGAGCCTGGCGTTCTTGATATGTTCGGCTAACTCCTGCTGCTCGGCGAAGGTAAACAATCCATCACTTTCAATGCCTAAGACTAAGGTAGGTTGCTCGATGAGAGCGAGAGCCTCGGCAATGCTATCTGCGCGGTAGCGTGAAATATCATGGGTGTCCAGTTTTCTCGTAATGGCGATATAGCAGTTGCTGTCAAAACGCTTGACAAATTTCTCCCCTTGGTACCGAAGGTATGATTGAGCAGAGAAATAAGTTGTTGTTGGCATCGTCTCCGCCTTGGTAGAAATGTCCGTCTTGGGGCCAGTGAACTGAGGATCAAGTGACTGGCCATCGGCATCATTAGAATTAGTTGCGTCAGCCCTGCTAGCAATAGGCGTTTGCTGCTCTGAGTGGCTGTTATTTCTCGATAGCCGTGTGGTTTTGTGTCCGTCATTATGAATATGAAAATGGGCCTCAGATGGGGTGCTCGGGCGTGGTGATTCACGGATGGTCTGGCGCCTAGCCGGGTCTGGGATATTACGCCCAAATCGAGCCTCGAAGGAGTTCCTACTACGATAGGTCAAGAGCGCCGACATACGGGCAGCTCCAAGACCGGTAGAAGGCGGGTCGGAGAAGGAATAGTATCCATCGTCATACTTGGGATCCGCATAGATGCTTTGCCGTTGGGCCTCGCCCCAACTAATTCCCCAGGCACTATGACGGCTCGAGGTTGCAATTGGTACGATACATCTAACGTAATCCTTGCCGAAATATGCCCATTCCAGCACGAGCATTCCCCCCATAGAGCCGCCAATGACAGCGGCTACCTGGCGTACTCCTAGATCATCTAGAAGCATTTTGTGCAAGCTGTCTCACGTCAGAAATATCCATGTGGTTTTTGGGGGAAGAAAATACGACCTACTTGACGTCATCTCTGATGGTAGTAAGAGGAAACTCAGGTCCATATCGCTCGTTGTTCAGGTCGCCATCTTTGGCTGTTACCGGGCTTACAGTTCCATAAGGACTACCTAAGCTGTTCATACAGATGATGAAAAATCTTGAAGTATCAAAGGCTCGGCCAGGACCTCCCAGTAGAGGTCCCCACCAGTCGCTGACATCGGCAGAGCCTGTTAATGCGTGGCATATAACCATAGCATTATCTGCCTTGGGGGAGAGTTTTCCCCTGACTGTGTATGCCAACGGCAAGTTTTTCAAGGTGACGCCAGATTCAAGGGTGAAGCTTGGAATTATGGCGATATTCTGATCTGGAATCAGACTGGCAAACGGGTTCTCGGGTTGCTGCCGAGTTCTTTCTTGGAAGTATTCAGCCACCATTCTTATAAATTTTAAACAGCCCGAAGGCCAAACTTATAGAAATACTGATATCAAAAATAGGAATACGATGAAATATAAAAGAACCACTAAGTACTGACCATATTTAGGCTGCTTACTAGCAGAATTACCTTCCGAAGTCATCTTGCCGCTAAATGGGCCAATATAAAATAGATGGTGATGCTGCTTAATACTTGGATAGATTATATTATTGGGTAAAGGATATAACAAACTGCTGAGATCAGACAAGACAGATACAATGAGAATTCTTAAAGGCTAAAACAATATTTTGTAGAACTTATCTCTCAAGTATTTGAGTCAGACGTCATAATATAGTGATAAAAGCAAAAGGTTGTCCAATGATGAAATGTCATTTTATGACTCTTAAATAACTTGAAATCTTCAATAGTTGGGGAAATCTGAGTTATAAAGTACCTAAGTACTTTTTCGAGTTTTTTTTTTTGGATTATGTAAGTAGTTACTACTAGAGTTAGGCCCCGATTTATCTTAGCGAGCTTAGCCTTGAAATTTTTTACGCCACCACAGCCACCACAGACATAGACCATGCCAATGTATCTGTGGGGCTATGCATGTCGTGTCAAAATTTCAAGTCTAAGACACGAAGGTGAATTTTTAGCTGTGCCCCTTATAACCACCATATAAAAAAAATCGACCTTTTAATAAAACACTTTATAACTAAATAAATAAAATAAATATTCTTAATTTATAAAATGTCGGAAATAAATATATCATATTATAAACTTTGTATTAACTTTTTTTATGTTATAATAAAAGTGTAAGTAAATTATACGTAATTAATAAATTAGTAAGCGTTTTTATATTAATTTAATAATTTACCTTATTAAGCGATAATAAAATAACGAAAAACCTTATTTATTTTAAATAAACTTTTAAAGCTAATAATAAATATTTTAAAGCTTGTTAACATTTTTTTTAATTTTTTTAAAATAATATTAATGTATTATTTAATTTAAAAAGTGTTTTTACTATTATATAATATTAACATTTAACGATAATATAATTAATAATATTTTAATTAATTTTAAACTTTATTAATAGCTTAAAAGTTACTTTTTTTAACTTTAAATAAACTTATATTATTATTTAAAAACGTGGTTTTTTAAATAACTTAATTAAATTAATAATACGATATATTATTTTAAAAAGGTTTAACGCGTTATATTTTGTCTTAACGCGTTATATTTTGTTATAATAATAATAATATTATTTTTATAACTTAAATAAGTTATAAAAATAATTATTTATTTATTATTATAATAGAAAATTATTTAACGTATTACGTAAGTTTAATATAATAATTAATAAAAATAATAATATTTAATTTTATGGAATATATTAATAATTAAACGCCGTAAAAATATTAAAAAAATTATATTAAATTTATAATAACTTAATTATTTAATTTAAAGTAAATTTAAATGCTTATTTTTTAATTATAATAATTATTTTAATAATTTTAATTTTTATTATTAAAGATATTTAATATAAATAATTACCTTTATACCTTAAATTAAAAAACGGTTTTACGTAAAAAAGGTGGTTTTAAGGTTTAATTAATTAAAAAATGGTGTGGCGTAAAAGGTATAAAGTAAAACCGTTCTTTTAATTTAAGCTTATTAAGATAAACCTTAATTAAAATTTTTTTTAAACTACCTCTTAAAAAGTGAAAAGGTACATTTAAATGCATAAAAAATATATAAGTTTAAAATATATTTTTTTATTTTTTACGATTCTTTTTTAAAATTAAACCTTTAAAGTTAAAATTTAACTTTTAAGGTTATTAATCGTAATATTTAAATTTAAATAATTTAAATAAATTTAAATAAAATTTAATTTAATAACCACCCTTATAACGAAATACTTATTAAAACTTTATAAAATTAAATAATAATTAATTTCTTTTTTAAGAATTTTATTTATTTAAATGGATTTTATATATTTAAAAAAGTGTTTATTTTTAAAAATGAAATATATATTTAACCTATTTTCTAAGGTCGAGTTTAACGTAAGACCTTACCTTTTAACCGCCTTTTAAAAAAGGCCTTATTTTTAAGAAAAATGGAGACGCTTTACTTATTATAATTTAATTTTTAACTTAATTTAAAAGATACCTATTAAAAGGCTCTTAAAATCGTTATAAGGATTTTATAAAATTTATGCAAATAACTTTTTAACTATTTTAAGTAAGGTATTATTTTTATGTTATGGCTGATGACTTTTATGACTAAAAACCCACTTTATAGTAGGGATATTTAAGTAAGAGGTAGTTTAAGAAGAATTCCGATCGGGGCCTTAGTTACTACCTACCTAGGTAGTTAGTACTAGGTAGGTCCTAACCTAGGTACCTAGTAGTTATCCATGTACCAGACTAGGTACATACTTACATGATGTAGATAAGTGCAGATGTGGTGGATGGCGACTCCACCAATCTAGTGGATTGCACAGATAATAAGTACTCAGTACTTACATTACTAGGACAAAGTCCACTAAAACAATAGGGTTGACTAAGTGACTTCTACACTTTATCCTTCCTGCATGCAGCCAGCCTTACCTCTTTTTTGCAAGCTTTTGAGGCTGCATCGCTAAATCCACCACGCGCGACTCCAAAAGTTACTTCGTCGTCTCCTCTCAAACCAACGCGATTATTGTTCTGACCATTCTGACCATTCTGCCCACCCTGCCCACCAGAATCAGAACCAGAATACCGTTCACTTTCCCTCTCTCTACCTCCTCATCTTCCATCTTTCAATCTTAGATGCATGGTTGACCATTTGAGGGAAGGGTGTTCGTTGTACCAACATCAGCTAGTTCACTTTCTTTGTTCTCTCCATACAACGTATTTTACCTTCCTTTCTACTACAATACCTTTCTACCTTTCATCTCACCTCTCTACAACTATTAACCATTACATCGCCATTTTTTGATTTCTTCACTTTTTCAATTTCTCTTTCTGGTAAATGCTACACCGCTTCTCCGTTCATTATCCAGAAGTTGTTATTACTTAAATCCCTCGAGATCTACGTCACCGTCAAACGAATACTAGGTCTATCCTAAAGGATGCTTGTTTGAGGGCCATTTCTAATTATTCTTGAACTCACTTCCTGTCTTTTCATCATCTTCACTCACCTCACTCATCAAGTACCATCTGATTTTTATCTTACATTCCATGGTATTTCGTCACACAGAATTCGTCGCGCACCGTCAAGATGCCTCCGAAAAGAAAGAGAAACGAGAGACCATCTGATGCTGGGGCGAATCGTCCAGCTCCTCATCGTCCTTCTGACACAACACTCGGCCAACACGAAAGAGATTTTCAAGATGGTCTTTCCCCGCAGACTCGCCGCGCATCTGGAGGCAGAAACACAAGAAGAAACCCCGATCGTCGCGATTCATCGAACAATCAGTTAGCCACTACATCAACTCATCGAGTGCCTATCTCCCCATCTGCTGGTCGTCCCTCCAGCTCGTCTTCGCAGGCTCCCTCTGCCCCGATTCCTTCTACGCCATCCGCCCCCCAAAATAGCCAGCCTCGGCCATCTATACCATCTAACTACAACTACGCCATCTTAACCGAATCGCGACTTTCAGTCTGGCAACAAATAGGTCGCCAAGAGGTTATTGACCATGGCATCAAGTCTAGGGTCGATGAAGATGTTGAAGAAATTTCGACCATCTCTCAAGAATTTACGCGTGCTATTTTTGAGGGTCGCCTTAACCCAGTAGATGCTGGAAACTGCATCAAACATATACTGGGGCCATCGGTAGAGAATGATGACGACTCCGGATTTAAATTCGATGCGCAGACACTCTTCCTCGATACTGTATCTATCTTCGTTGACTCCGAAGACGGTGCCTCGCAACTACGAAATTTCCTCGCCGCTACAGACATATCCCCAAAGCTTCTCCGCGAGGTCCTCGACGCTCCAGCCTTACAGCAACTTGGCTTAATCCGCGATACCTTTGTCAAGTTAGGCATTCGTTTTGCCACGAACCAATTGTACCGACAGGCGAACTACAATTTGCTACGAGAGGAGTCCGAGGGTTACTCTAAGCTTGCTGCTGAGCTGTACCGTACACCGTATTATGCTCGAGACCATCATGATTTTGCACTCGTGCAAGCGTGTTGGGAGCGCGTGAAAGGATTGATCGGCACTTTCGACCTCGATGTCGGTAGGGTTCTGGATGTGGTTATCGACGTCTTCTCTGCGACGATGTTGAGAAACATCATGTTCTTTTCCAGATTTTTGCGGATCAGTTCCTGGTGGCCTCGCACTCAGATTGAGCACTCCGAAAAGATATTCACCGGCGGCTTACCAAAATGGGCTTTACCTCAAAATGAAGGTGTCAGCGCTGATGACCTCAGAGCAGGGCTTGCCGAGCAATGCCATCAGCGTGATCTAACATTCTGGGATAGAGCTCGAGAAGTTCATCTTGACGCATTCTTCGAGCTTGGAGGGCGGCAAGTCGAAGATGTCAGCCAACATGATCCTATGGGTACCGCGACCAGTTCGAACCTGAAGGGCGACTTCAATCTCGATTGGATTCGAATCACAAAGACAGTCCCGCCATGTGGTAATAAGATTGCCGCACAATTGTTAGGGTTCAAGTTTCGTTTCTATGCCTCCGATGCCCGCGATCGAAGTGAAACGCTACCTGCAAATCTATACTATCTCGCGGCCTTCTTTATCAAAATTGGTTTCATCTCCCTCCCTGATCTTTATCCTCATTTATGGCCCGATGATGACCGAATGGAACTCTTGAGGCAACGACGAATGCAAGAACTGGACGAAAAAGACCGTGCTAGGAGACAGGGCGCCGAACCAAACGCCCTCCTTACGGCCGGAGCTCTTTCCGATGATACCCTGCCTTCTTCCTCAAAACCACGAGAATCAGCAACAACGAACGCCGACAGCAATCAACCAGAAGCGAATGCAGCGAAAGAAGATGGGCAAAGCCTCCCAGAACCAAAAGAAGCCCACAAGGCAGATTTAGTGACACACCTGCTAGTTGTAGGAGCGATCCCTGAAGCCCTCTTCATACTTGGGCGCTTTCCCTGGCTTCCCGAGGCGTATCCTGATGAGATTTACCCGGCTGTCAATCGTATCCTACTACACTCCATTAGCAAAGTCTTCGAAGATTCCCGCCCTAAGGATATTCGACCCTTGACTAGTTTTTCAGTCAAACCAGAGATAGCTCAGGGGCAAGCTGGAATGGGAAAGGGTAATTTGAAGCTTGTTGATGGTTCCCCTGTCAAAATATTGAAGTGGCCGCATGCCGATGGGATTAACAAAGGCACCCTCTATCGATTCTATCTCGACGAATGGGCAGATAATGTCCCAATATGCCAGACAGTCTCCGACGTTTTTACCCTTTGCAGCACGTTCCTCAACATCTCGGGTGTCAATATTGGCAGAGAACCTTCGCTAGTCAAGAAACTAGCTGTCATTGGAGTGAAAAGCTTTCACCAAGACAAGTCCCCAGAAAATATTGCGCGCTGGCAAGATCTTCTTCGCCGCACCCTTGTGCCATCCTTATGCCTCAGCGACTCTAACGTCGACGCCGTAGATTCGGTTTGGGGTCTGCTCAAGTACTATCCTACGCAAGTTCGTTACAATATATATGCAGAGTGTTATGAGGGACAGATATCCCGGATACCCGCCATGGCAAAGGCTTTCAAGAACGCTAGACTAGACACACTGGCGACGTTGAAACGACTGTCCTTGCAAAACATATCCAGCTCTGCGAAGAAGCTTGCCAAGGTGGCTCTATCATCACCCGGTATTGTGTGCAAGGTTGCACTTGATCAAATCGAAGCGTACACCAATCTTATCGAGGCCTTCGTCGAATGCACCAAATATTTCACGGAAATGGGTCACGACGTTCTCGTTTGGTCTCTCCTGAGTTCACTGGGCGGCAAGCAGAGGAGCAGAACCCAAGAAACGTCTGTTCTTCTCACCAGTCGATGGCTACAGGCCCTTTCTAAATTCTCTGGACGAGTCTTCCGACGATACAGCAATATGGATCCCACCCCTGTCATTTACTACGTGAATGACCAAATCGCCCACGGTAACTCTACGGACATGATCATATTGCGAGAACTTGTTACTTCCATGGGTGGAATTGTTTCGGATGCTGATTTCACAGATGCTCAGTTGTTTGCTCTGAGCGGTGGCGAGCTTTTACGACGCCAGACGCTGGTTAACTTGGGAGATAAGCGCTACGAGTCCGCCAAGAGTGCTACACGCCTTATGAAGGCTCTAGTCCAGACGGATCTTGCTTGCCAGCTCTTAACGAACATGGCTCAGTATCGCCAGTCTGCCATCTACCAGCTACCGGAGAACGAAACTCATATCAAATACTTAGCCTCCGTCATAGACGACTCCCAGCAAGCTCTTGTCCAGTATATAGAGCTGCTTCGAAATAACTTGACGCCCGAGCAGTTTGACGCACTCATACCTAGTATTCCACGGTTGATGACCGACTTTGGCCTTGATGCTAATATTGCCTTCATGATCGGTCGTGCCAGTCTCCAGTATTTCATGATGGGCCCAGGAGAAAAGCTCGCAATTGCGACTCCAGAACCAATAACGGATGCCGATGGTGATTTGGTCATCGAGTCGAAAGATAGCCATAATGCCACGGCAACTACCATCGTCCAAGATGCGGAAGATTCTATGGTAGTAGATGTACCAGATACGGATAAGGCAGATTCGCGACAACCACCTACAACAAATGGTCACAAGCCAGACCGCTTCATGGATGTGCTCGGGCCTATCATGAACACCGTACGTAGCCTGCTACCTTCGGACGTATGGACCAAAATCAGTCCTGAACTATTTGTGCTCTTCTGGTCACTTCAAACAGGAGACCTTGTTGTTCCAATGAGCAGTTACGAGGCAGAGACTTCGCGAGTAGAGAAGCAATATGCTGAATTGAAAAGGGAGCGCGGCGACATGAGTAATAAGAAGAAATCACTCGACGCACTTGTGCAGTTGAATAAGGATCTCGCTGCCGAGGCTAGCGCCTGCAGTGAGCGAGTCAGCAAGACCAAGATTTTACTAATCAAGCAAAGTGCGCGATGGTTCAACTCTTCAGCGAAGCCAGAATCTATTGCCGACACATTCATCGAAGAGTGCCTTATTCCACGCCTTCTCCTTTCCCCTACCGATGCAGACTTTTGCCACCGAATGATCAAGTTCATGCATTCCAGTCGCGTTCCAAACTTCAAGCTTGCCGACTTATACGACCGATTCTTTGGCGTGAATAGGTTGCGATTGATGATATTTGGATGCACTGTTCGAGAAGCTGAGTTCCTCGGTCGTTTCATCAAGCTCACGTTGGGAGACCTTGCGAAGTGGCACAAAGATAAGGACGTATACACCAAAGAAGCTGTTCAGAATGGAAGACTTGGATTTGCTACCGCCTTTGATGACAACGGCAAGCCAACTTCGTTCATGGAGCATGATCAATTCCGCGATCTGCTCTGGACTTGGCATCGGAATCTATCTATGGCGTTACGATCATGTCTCACAGGGACGGAGTGGATGCATATAAGGAATGCCATTACCATATTAAAAGGAGGTCTTGAGAATTTCCCTGCCGTAGATTTCATGGGACGACAATTTCTACAGATACTCGGGAAGATTGCAGAGCGCGAAGGTGCTACGAAGAATGAGAGTGAGGATGGACAAAGCCACAGAGTCGATCTCTCGGTTACAGCGAATACTGCAACTTCTGCTTTAAGGAAGTACTCGACTAAATGGGTTATGGTTCAAGCCTTCCGGTCCAATACTGTACGTTTGAATCACATGCTAGAGACTTCACAGATACTAACCAGGTCACAGAGTGGCGATTCGGCTGAAGACAAGAAGTTGGCAGAGCCTGCCAAAGTCCCGCAACTCCGACCAAACGCACCAGAATTCAAGCCAACCCCAGGAGCGTAAGTCAGATTTCTCGAAAAGCGCTGGTATACATAGGTACCTATCTAATACGCTCATAGCGCCTCCACACGGCCCAAGACAACTATCGAGGAAGAGGACGGGGAGGTAAAAGATGTGAAAACATCAGCCGGTATTGAACCTACCAAAAAGGACACAGAAGCCTCACGATTGTCGCTTCCAACTAGGGATAACAGCCAGAAGTCGGCCACCCCAGCTCCAAAGCCAGACCCAAAACTAATCCCGAGTCGATCCTCGACTCCAAGGTCTGTGCCTTCTGCGCCAGTACCAGCAACTGGTCCAAGGGCTGAGTTGTCCCGCCAGTCAACTTTGGCCCCCGCACCAGGGTTGCCCAGCCGACCAGAGGTTCCATTCCCTGCACACTTTACTCATGACAAATTTGGGCAGATTACGACTTCCGTTCATGCAAGGGACCATCGAGAGACTAGGGAGCCTAGAGAAGCACGAGGTGTCAGAGATCCTCGAGAGCCTCGGGATTCTAGAGAACCGCGAGACTCGAGAGACCCAAGAAGTTTTAGAACCCCAGATGATACACGACCGGCTCGTGGACGAGAACAGCCACTCGTTGATCGCCGGGCCCCGGAGAGCATAGCCAGGGAGCCTTCGAGATCCGACAGGGACCGAGCACCACACCGAGCGGACTCCGCTCGAAAAAACGAATCAAACCCCCCTGATCGTGATAGTCGTACTCCACGCGATCGCGCTCTTCCCCCCGTGAGCACTAACCGAGGTCCTGATACCGCTAAAGTGCAACGCGATATCACAACCCCCGCAAATCCCATGCCGCCTCCCCAATCAGAGTCACAAGGACCGCCAGTAAATCCGGATAGAGCACGGCTTATCAACGCAGACCGTCCTGATGAGCGCTCGACTATTAATCCAGCTCGAGCCATGTTGATTGGCGACGGCAGGCCTGGTAGTCGCCAGTCTAGGGAAGATAGCCGAGATCGGAATGGCTCTCGGCCGCAGTCTCCGCGGCGATCTGATCGTTCTGATTCCCGGGCGGGTGATTCATCTCGCGAAGATCGATCCGGCCGACCTCATCGCATAGACCACCATCAACCTCGGGAGCATTGGAACGAATCGTTGCCATCTACTGCACCAAAAGGTGGCAGGCCAGTTGAGCACGATAATGACCGCGGTATGGTTGACAGGTCACGGGATCCCGCTACTTTTCAAGGACCACCGCGAAGTGAATCAGATCACGGTAGGCTTAACAATCAGGATCCAGAATACGGCCGCTTAAACTCGGTTCCTTCAATCAGCGACACAACAAACCCTCCCGAAGGCCCACGCGGCCGTGGTCGCACATCAGCTCGTGCCCCTACGAATAATCCACCAGGCAGACCAGATCCCAGGTTCCCCAGTGGTGACCCTCACCGACCTCCATCACCGGACAGGCATCACCCTCCCACCGGCCCTGCCTCGTCTAGGTCACGTCGGGGCCAAGGTAGTGGGCAATATGGCCACGGGAATGGCCCAGCCAATGGCCCAGCACCAGCCAACTCATCGGTAGGAATACATCCGGAGAGGTTAAGACAATTGAACCCAAACACCCCTAATGCGCCAGCACAACCTATCCAATCATCCTACCAGGCCCCTGGACCTAATCAGGTCGCTGTGCATCCTGATCGCATGAACCACATTGCGCCACAGCATTCTGGCCCTCGTCAAAGTGGCCGCCCAATTCCACCGCCTTTACAAACTCCCGATCGACCATCCATCCCGGGACCATCTGGCCATCGCCAGTCATCAGGTAATCACCCCATGGCTCATGGATCTGACAATCCCAGTATCATGTCCGCGCCCACGGGGCCTGCAGCCGCCAACGAACGCGCTAGGACTGGCGGGAAAAGGCAATTATCGGGCATTAACACTATATTACAAGGGGCAAGCCCCACTGTGCGTTCAAGAGGCTCTCGGTCCAACCTGGCTGGCTCGGATGCCCAGGTGCTTACTGGCGCGTCCCCAATTTCAACGCCAGTTAACGAACGTCCCGACCCTAATATGTTGCTGGGTGAGCGTAATGCCAACACCAGCGAGCGCTCTGGACGAAATGATCATGAACGAGGACGAAGGGATCATAACAATGCCGACCGATCTTCACGCTCTTCGCGACGAAGCAGCCGTGAACGCAGTGCGGATAGAGAGCAGAGACCGAAGGAACATCGAGATTATCGGGAACGAAAATCTAACACTGGACCTCCCGGGCATGGAAGAGAAGGAGAAATGGAACCGCCGCGGCGGTCGGGCCGAGATCCCGCAGGAATGGGTCGAGAACCGTTGCAAAGCAGTGGTAGGAGTGATTTAATGGGTAATGGTCGTGATGGCCCACGAGACACGCGTCATCGAGCGGATGGTGGGAGTGGGAGACATGAAGATTACGCACGAGGTCGAGGAGGAGGTGTAACGGGTGGTGGAGCACGTGGAGGTGATGATCGCCGGGAATCTCGCGGAGGCGACGACCGAGGCCGCAAGCGCCGAAGCGATGATTTCGGAGGACCTACCGAAAAGAGGCAGAGACGTTAATACCGTGGTCGGGAAGATCTTTACTCTGCTACATGATGTGAAAGTACCACGACGAAGCTCGTTTTTCTTTTTAATTTTTCGACCGTGTATTATGAGACCGGCTCAGGATGGGCAACAAGCAAGATACCGAAAGCATTAGCAGGATCAAGAAGGGCATTCATCAATCGTACAATACATTTCGTAGCAGCCGAATTTCAGCAGTGTACAACGCGCAGGACATGACTCTACTAGCAACTTCCAATCGACTGCAATTTGCATAATTTATTCCTTTTTTTTTTTACTTGCATGGAAGGCGATAAGGGCGTTTTGACAACACGGAAATCATTCAAGCAAAATTCAGACCACATAATTTCAACCCCCTTTTTTCATATTGTGTCTTCCGAAAGATACCAGAATCAACGACTCGTACTTGCTATTATTATTTTTGTACAACATACCCAAAATTATCTACGCATCATGATACCCCCCTTTTTCTTTCGCCTACTTCCATCATCATCATCATAATTACCTTCTGTATCATATAATTTTTGAGGCGAAGCGGCGAAGCACGCCAAGGAATACGAAACAAAAGCCTTGAAGTCATTGTAGAATATATGTACTACCACCGTCCCCAAAGAAAGAAAGAAAGAAAGAAAGAAGACGAAGAAAAGGGAAACACTAGGAAGAAAGGAATGAACATTGCCGGTCCACAGGAGATATACCCACATTTTACGAGAGGACGGACCTTGACGATTTACTACGGTTGGGATTTGGTTTTCTCTCCGCGGACGTCAAGCCGCGCAGATGAATAGATGAATGGGTGAAGGTGCCCAGATACATATATATATATGGTCGTGAATGAATGAAACGAAACAGGATGGAACGAGAAATGAGATGATACCTAGGTACCTACCTACATACATAGCACGAAGAGAAACTCGGTTCTGCTGCATACACAACACATACCTAACCTAGCTTGTAGAGCAAAAATACCATCTAAAGACCATTGATTTCACATCCATGCCCTCCTTATTACGTTCCCGATAGTCATATAGATACCCAGCAGTCCAGTCAATCCGACAAACGCACCAGATGCAGAGGTAGTAAAGTAAAATTGAGGTATCATTCATAGTACAAACACGAACGCTAAGGTATCATTGCTAATATATCTATGGCCCCCTCCTATCCAGGGCCTCTCTTGCAGGGGCATTTTTTCCTTGCCTCGCATTTTGCCTTTGCCTTTTTGCCTTATGCCTCAGCAGCCAAACCGGCATGTCTGCTATCCGAATTTGTTGGCCAAATAGTTTGTTCAACATGCAATGTTCCTCTGGCACTATGTGACATGGAAAAAAAAAAACACTCATCGCCCCTAGTCGGGCCAAGTAGAACGCCTTGCCGGTTTTCTTGTATAAAAAAAACATCCCCTTTTTCAAATCATCCAGTACGCCAAATTTCAAGGCCATCCCCGCAGACCGAATATGCATCAAAGGTAAACAAAGAAAGGGCTCTAAGCATGATAGTCCTTTCAATGGGGGTTAAAATCGATTCGGGGGGTCGCGAGGACTCCGGTCGCCCCATAGCGCGTTACCGACATGGACTTGCGTCGAAGTTCGCGCAGCCATGCGTCTAGCATGCTGCGTATGTTGTGCATGTTGTGCATGTTGTGGATTTTGCGGTTCACTCCAACCCGCCGTGCTTCCACCTTGACGGCCGTAGACTGGTTGGGGGTCATTATCGTAGCGCGTACTCGCGATCCCTATATCACCTCCGGGTTCATCATAGGGTGTGTAGCCCCTAGACGGGTTATGGACTGGAGGATGCGTTGGATCTAAGTATGGGTTAGATAACCGCCTTTGAGGGCTCCCGGGATTGGTCTGCGCATGCATGATAAGCCCGGCGCTCTCCTCGGGTAGCGGATTACCGGAAGCCTTAATTCCAAATGTGCTACGGCGGAATTCACTTGCAATAGGTAGGTGATCTGTACTCTTAGTGCCAGGTTCGGCTGCGCCGAATGGCTGCATCGGATAGCTGGTAACCACGTCAGGGTTGGTCCGGTAGCTAGGATCTTGATGGCGGCGCTTAACACCAACGAATAACCATCGCATTCCGCGGCCAAATGCTTTGACGATGTCCCAGAGATTTAAAGCATCTGCGAAGGCTTTCAAGCCCATGAAGCCACCCTTGTTTGATCCATGCTCATTCTCACGAGGTGGCACTCCCAAGGACGGATCGGGATTGGGGTAGAAGCCAGTTTTCGCGCCTTCGACATAGGGAGCGTAAGGAAAGGCCCATAGATGTAGAATAGCAAACACTGCCATCTCAAAACAAAGCATCAGACTGGGCACGCCAACTTTTATGTCGGGATAGGCAAGAATCGAATTTGGGTTCACGATATGAAGAGTAGAAGTTCCGAGGGAGATAGCGATCGTCTGCCAGAAAGACAAGAAAATGACAAGCTTAATGGCCAGAACTTTGAGAAAGGGTTTGTGTTCTGATAGTGGTTCACGTAATTGTACGTAGAATTGGATCAGGCAGTACATTGCGATCGTGACTGCTATACACTCGATGGCAATGACCTATGACAATGTAAGCGATAACTTCATCGAATTATCTTTTAACGAAGGACTAGGGCAGGTGAATCATACCCAGATGTGCGCAAAGAAGATACTGTTACTACTTTCGCAATACCGTTCGAAATATTGGGTTACAACAGCCGTAATGGTCATAGCAACTCGAATGAAGCAATAATGATAGATTCCGATCCAAACTATGTTAAACCAGGTCAAGCCACTGGCAGGTGTTCTCCAGCAACCTTTCTTGCCGCCGCAGCACTTGGCAAACCAATCCAGTGGCCACACCCACGGTTGGACAGGGCGCATATGTCGGAAGAATTCCTTCTGGTCGTGCAAGTCGGGTGCGACATAATGGCACATGAGCGCAAAGAAAGAGGCGATGGCGAAGGCCTCATAGCAGTCGCTGAGAACCTGGAAATAGACGGCATGCCAGTAATACCATATACATAAGAAGGCAGATGTAGCGTAAACGGGGATCATGAAAAGGATACGGATAATACTAGGGATAATAAGTTAGCTAACCCATTTGGGTTCATATACTAGGTAGGTTCAATATCAATAGACGTACTGTCTTTGCTCGCGAGGCTTGGTGTAGTTGGTGGCATGGCGCCACATCAAGTAAAAGCTAGTGACGTAGGCGACAATGGTAGAGGCGCCGGCGATAATAAGAGCAAGCTCATGAAAAGTAATTTTACCACCGATCTTCTCCTCGGACCCAACTGTTTAGAAGCATGTCAGCAAAACATCTTTACATCTTGGCGCCATGGTTCTGGGCATGCAGGAACGTTGAACGGCAGGATGACAAGATGCCAGGATGATGAGTCTTAGGCAGACTAAGATAGAATAGCTATTGCTTGTTTTTGGTACGTACTTCGCATATCCTCCAACGTGGAGTTACATGTTAAATTCATGGCGGTGACTGGTCATTCGTAAAGCGTTGCGAGGGAAAAGGAAGTATGGCTCGGCCGATGATCGCTCGATGTTCGCTCGATGTTCGCTCAAACGTCGACCCTTTAAAATGTTCACTCCGTCCGCCACCAGTGTTCAGTTTCCAGTTTAATATCAATGTTTTCAAAAGAGTGTCGGGAACAAGTATTAAAACGGTTGGGTGGAGTAGGTAATTGACGTGGCCCTATCGATATCGATATCAATATCATGAGACCAACATGAATTGCGATGTGATATTTAAGGCTATGTTTTTGAGGCTATGCTTTGAAGATGCGGCGGTTAAGCGGTTAAGAATATCGTGGTCGGCTTGTTTTGTTGTTGGATTGGATAATTCGACGTTTGACCGGCCGGCGGACTGCAAGCAAGGACGTTGGCGTAAAGATGTAAAGGAGGGAAAGAAGTAAGTAAGGGACTGTAGAGTTAGTAAGAGGGAGGGAGGGAGAGTTGTGATACGGTGTTGTACGTGGTTGCGCAAGAGTCGCGCAAAAAGTCAAGATTACAAGAACTATTATTTTTGGGGTTGAGCAAGAGCAAAAGCAGAAACAAAGAAGAAAAAACCGATGTAGCGGTACTCAGCCACGATATGAGTTGCACAGAAGTTGCATGGGGGCATGGGGTCACGAAAGTTACGAAAATCGTTTGAGGGTTTTGAAATTACAGGGCAAGATCGATGTAGAAAACATTGGCAGTCAGCTTTCAATGTTCCCTCGGTTGAATGCATGTGGTTCCTTCCAATGTTAATTGATGTTGGTGTGAAAAAAAGGGGGTACGTAGGTACATATCCATACTATGCCGTATGTATGTAGGTACAATACAATACAATTGATCATGATCATTGATGTTACATTATGCCATGTGTAAGGTACGTACATAGTAGGTAGTAGGGTACGTGCAGTTCAAGGTTCGACCACCAAATAAATACGCTACTAATGTTAGTATATTCATACATGCATTGTATCCATGGATACCTACCTAGTATGTAAAAATATGTATGCAAGTTATTTCGCAATGGCGGATTTGGGCGGGCTCGAATTGCCTTCGATGTTTCTTACCGGTGAGTGGTCACTTTCTAATGGCAGACGGCAACGCGGCAGAAGCTTAGCATGGCTAGAATAATCTCCGCGCCTACTACCCAAGCCACTCTACCGCGTGTACTGGATTACTTGTATAAAATGTACTAAATAGTACATATACATATGTACATTTTCATGATCGCATCTATGCACAGTTTCAGACTACATCACGAATCAGATCATGCGCATCCAATCGGAAAGTCATCACAATCGATTACAAGGATACCTAGCCGATATAGGTACATACATAGTTACGTCAATAGTATGTGCCTATTAAGGTTTGGTAGAGCAGATACCTACATATGATTTAGGTTCTTACTCGCCGTTTTTCAAGGTTGTTCCCGTTTCAATGATTCTAAAAGTCTAATTGTAAAACATCCATACCTCAATACCCAGCACTACATACCTATGTATCGGTATGTATTGTACTTACTACTAGACCTACTGGGCACGCTAGTATGTAGTTGTAAACGTCACGGGTAGAATCGATTAATTAACATTGAGGTAACTTTGAACCTTCAAATGTTTTAACCCAGGCTGTTACATTAGGTGCCTAGGGTACTATTGTACTATTATGTACTACCTAGGCTAGGGAGGGAGGGTAGTTATGTAGATTGGCTTACGTACTAGGATATCCCACTTCTCCTATTTAAATACATAGTTAGTTAGTGCATCTTCCACTCTTCCCTTTCCGTGAAGCCAAGAATCATATATTCATCAGAATCGTACGTGGTAGCAACGTCCAAGAATTCCAAGAATTCCAACCAACCCAAGAAAATTGAATGGGGTTCATTGGGTATTCTATCGGCATCTCATTCCGTCACAAGCATAGTTATATAGGCTAAACTTTCAACAACCCAACATCTCTGATCTTTCTGGTCTTTCTGGTCTTTCTATCAAACCTCATGTCAAACTGATCACAGGTCTACTCACCGATCAAAGAGCTACCTACCTACCTACCTAAGCAGGTACTACTTCAAACACTATATAGTAGTAAAGATGTAAAGATGAAAGGTCTTATTTTAGCAGTCATCTCATCTCATATCGCACAGTAGACTATTTGGGCTTCCATTACGTACAACATATCATGCCCTTGTATATTCATACGATAGCCCAGCCAGGTCGAGGGGTATCGAGAAACGAAGCTATCTAGATATTGGGTGGATACCTAGTAAGTAGTGAAATCACGGACGAAAGGGCTAGTCTCCTCCTCCAGTCCACCACCGAAGCTTGGTATCAGGTTCGATTCCTTCAGACTGATACCACAGCTCTCAATATGAGCTGCCCATATCTTCTTCAGCTTCTCGTCCTTCGTATCCTTGAGCTTCTCCGCATCCTTCTTTGACAGCCAGACGTTCTCCAAGATCCCCATTTCGTGCTGTGGGCCTGTGGCCTGCACCTTGAGATTCGTGTCCAGGTATAGCCTGTACACGCTCTTGATCTCGGTATCGACCATGTTTTTGGCTACCTTCCTTGCCAGCTTTACCACTTTGTCCTCAACAGGGGCGTAATGCTGGGCATGAGCATGCCCGAGGAAACCGGTGGCGAAAGGCCACAACTTATCCCGTATGGCCATCTGTTGTGTCTGGTGGCCCATCTCTTTCCAAAGCTCAAGATGAATCCCAGTCCCCCTCTGCTCAGGCTGAACCCTCTGCTCGTACTGCATCATCTCACTGGCCGGCATGTCCACACGAAGTATACCACGAACTTTCAGCAACCGCTGTTCCTCAAAGTCCTCCCAGAGCGTCAAGGTCTCTGCCCATCCGAAGCTGCGTCCCGCGAAGTCTACTGCGAAGGTCTCTCCGGATTTCAACGTGGCCTTGAAGATTGGATGTGATTCCACCATGCTCGCGGATATACCGCCGCTTGGATCGATAAGAACCACTGGACTTGGGGCATTCTTGACATCAACCTCGAGTAGGTCGATGTTCGTACATAATTCTACTGAGTGTTAGCGGTGTCTCGGAGTCAAAGGAGGGGGGTAGCATACCACTCCATAGCCAGTTCGTCACGCTGCTCTTGAGCAACAGCTGAAACAGGGTAGAAGTCGAGAGCTCGTTGCCGAAGGCCGCCATAGCGTGTCGCGCATCCGCGAAACTGCCGTGAGGAAAAGGATGAACTTGAGAAGCTCCACGCATAGCATCGAGTATTTGGGATCTCCATGCGAGGTAGATGGCACCGTCCTTCTCATAGCTCTTCGTAATAGTGAAAGTTGACGCTACTTCCACTATGGTATCGAGGAAGGCTTTCATGATACGGACAGTCCGCGCGAAGCTCTTGCGGTAGAAGCATATCCGCTTATGTTGCTTCCAGTCAGCTCGCTGGCAGTCACTATCGCAGTAACTGGTCTCGAGTGTAATGTGGTCGTCGTTCTTTTGTATGCAGCTCGTGCATCGGAATTGGGCTCCTTCTCGGTTGCAGTGAGCGCAAATGGAACCAGTGTTGGCGTTGACAAAGATGTATCGAAGATCTCGCTCCTGGTCGTCGTCATTATGACTACCACTGTCGCTGTCTCTATTGCTGCCATCGCCGTCTTCAGGCAGTAGGGCGCGAGGAAGGTTTTTTGTCTTTCTTCCTTGCATTACCCACTTGCAGTACTGCAGATATCGCGATCTAGCCGAACCATCTCGTACGTCGAACGTTGGCTCTTGGGAGATGAGACTCAGAACGCCGTTCATGAAGGCAGCGCGAATGCCAGATGGACCTTCCCGTTCCATGACACGAAGCACTATGTTCTTCAAAAGTACAAAGTTTCTGCTGCGTTGGCCCGAGTACTCAGGAAAATCCCAGAACATAAAGATTCCGTCGTAGCGTCCGTCGGTTTGGAGGTATTTGTTGTTCTTGTCCATGAAGTCAGAATGAGGCAAGGCACGGAATAGCTTCTCGACCAGATCGTCGCTGGTAACTCGTTCCTCTCCCATTGTGTCTTTCTTCGTGGCATGAATGTTAGCTTACGGTGAGCGATAGTGGAGGGTGGACCATGACACAAACCTGAGGGAGTTGACACCGGTTAGTTAGAATAATTTATGTGGATGTGTTGCAGTAACTTGGAAGGAGTTTTGTGCGGAACGATATCAGCTTTTGTGGTCCAGGATCGATTGAAGTAATGTCTGGAAGCTTGAGAGACTCGAAGTTGGAGAGAGGATGGAAATTATTATAAGTTGAATTTCTGTGACGCTACAATATAAAGAATTTACGGATTTGTGCCTCACAGTGAGAAAGTGACGCGTCCATAAAGTGCTCATAGCTTCTCAATGGCAGCTGTCATGGCAACTACCACGACAGGTCTACCTAATTGTCAAGGATGAATGGCCTATAAATAAGGTTGAATGGAATTCTACCCGGAGACTATTCACACATGGCAGCGCGGGTACTGTGTATATTGGGAGGATAGCCCATTGTTACCATATGAGCAGAACAAGTGACGACTGAGGTGGAAGTTCCTCGGGTGCTCACCGGCATCCCCCCGGCCCAGCTAGAAAGATGAGGACTATGAAAAGCAGATACTGCAAATCCAGCCAGACGTAACCGAAATATGAGTGAAGTCCAAACGAAGTCCTGGGAAGTTCTCCAGGTCTTGACTTTCCCTCATCTTGAAGCGCCGAAGACAAGCCCCAACATACCACACTAGACACAGTTCTTGACAACGCAAGACGTTAATGTATAAACATAAGGGGCTTCTAATTAGGTTAGGTTGTCGGTAATAAATGATATCGATAGCTCATAAAAAAGCCTGGTAGGGGTTGGCAAGGTACGGGCACAATGATGAAATCTTGAGATCCATCACAAAACATCGTGATAATATTGAATACCTACCTACTCAGGGCGCTAAAGCACGAAGCAACTATCCGGGAAGCACCGTTTAAGAACATTAATAATTACTTGGTTTATATTCATGGTTTGTTGCTTGGAAGTAGAGTTCCCCTCGGGAAGTGAATACACACAGAGCTGTTTACAGGTGAGCTAGGAGCCGTTGATGAGCCTCATATAATCGAGAATTTATAACCTTGAAGTTACCTATGCTACTGTTAGATGCCATTATCGTTGCTGCTTACTACTGGCGAGTACACTATCCAACCACCTACCAGACCTAGTACCTAGACCTATAGGGTAGCGATTCAAGTATTCCATGGTGAAAATAACGACACCCATAGTATCAGTTCCTGTAAATATGCCCCTGTCACAAATGAGCGAAACAGAAACCTAGTACCTAAATATAAAGGAGTTCATCAAAGAAAATCTTTAAAAATCGCCATCCTGTGTTGTTGATTGGGTACTAGGTAGTGACTGCGTGGCTAATAAATCGACTACTCATGTTGTACGAAAGCGGGCGTTCTCGCAGTCGTTAAAAGAAGTAGCTTCCATCCGAAGGCTTGTGGTATATAGTTTCCTATATAAAAGCGAGATGTTTTGATATCTTTTATCTATCTTACGGCAAATAAGATAGGGGTGTAAGCAAGACTCCGGTAAGGGGCTAAGGGATAAGAGAGGATACAAACAGAAGATGGGTTCTGCCTATTCTACAAGCCGTTGATGCGATTCTTGGAACTCAGGTTTGACTAGAAACAGAGACTCTTTCCTAGATCGCTGGCTCTGGCCAAGAGAAGTGGTCATGCTTAGCAGTAGGGGGAGTAGAGTTAGGCACAGTTATAAGAGATAAATACCTACGAGTCCTGTTCCCGAACCTCACTTATCTGAGTGGTTATAGGTAGCTTCATAGTATCACAAGATGCTTTGGCATCTGCCTACCTACCTACCTACCGATTGGCTATGCCTTCCTAGGATTTCCCTTTAAACCTAATCAACAACCAGGCAATAAGACCACATGCTTGTCTTATTCAACTACAGTCATACAGTATCCTGTCCGACCTCGGATAGTAGGAGAGCTAGTTAGACATCCTAACTGAAAATGAATAATACGCGAGACTCGTTCCCATTTCTATACAAATAATATAATTAACCTCCAAGTAATAAGTATGAAGGCTTTGGTTGTTTACCTAGATACCTAATTACAATTCCCAAGTTGCGATTCATGGGAAAATGTAAGTCAACGGACTCATTGTCTCTATTCCAAGTAACTGGACGTTAATGAGCTAAACACGAGTTCATGATCTCTAAAGCATAAACTTTGATAGAGACAAGTGTCTATGAACATATTACTTCATTTCTCATAGAGTCTCGAGGAAGGACAACTGAGAACACCTTGACTAAGACCGGCAACGATGTGGAACTCACATAATAAACATTGTGGCACGTGTGTAACTAATGGACAAGATATGCATTTTCCCCTTTTTAGGCACGAAGGTACTTTACGGTAGCTCACGGGCGACGACATCTGGATTCTGGAGTCTCGTTGTTGTCAATCAGTTACATAAGATCTAGGCAAAGGTAACTTATCCACAAGAGATAACTAGTTAAACAAGATGGAAAAAAAAAACTTGCCGTCAGCGCCGTGACCAATATCCGATTTCTCCGCCCACATTCACCTTGGACCCAGCAAGCCGCGAAACGCCCACGCAACCGCGTCAACACTTTGATCGTGATCAATCATCAATGAGAGGCCTGCTAGCCCAGGAGCGGTTAGGCTAATCGAGGAAGAAGAAAAAAAAAACACAGAATCAAATCGTTCGTGCCACTTAACTTTTAGGGGCCGGCCCGCTTCTAATTTCCGTAAGTCGGCCGGTTGAACTTGTCTAACCGTTAGAACGTGGATACTGACACATGTCAAGCTACTAAGAAAGGGGGGGGACGTTTTTTTTTTTTCTGACCTTCTTACATGCCAAAGCGCAGATGAACGAACCCCTCCTCCATTCCAGCAACGCTCCCCGTTTAATATACGTACGCACAATAGTACGCTATCCCGCTTACAGTAGAAGTAGTTTTCACATATGGATTTCTTAGAGCTATACTTCGCTATTAATTGAAGCCAGTCGCGTTGTGCCTGAAGCTGGCGGAGTCTGTGGGGTTAAGGGGCCTCTGGACCTAGAATGCGTTGGTAGGTACATACACCAGTACCACAGCGAAGCTCGTAGAGTGCTGATTGTGCAGGGCATGATATCTGTTTATATTGCCGAAGTTACGAGTCTAAGGATATCAAGTCAAAATGTACAACTTATCCTTAATGTGTGCACAATTTTGTGACTACGTTTTCCCTCATGTCTAATACTAGCCGGTTCGGCAACAGCGGTTTCAAATGGAGGGCTTCAACGTACGGCAAATATCTGCCCAAGCCGGTGACTCTTTATCGGCGCTCGTTGCAAAAGCCCTCCAAGCCTCCTGCAATGCTGTGCAGCCGCTGGGGCTGTGAACCGGGCCCGCCAAATTCAGGCGCAGAACCTTCAGAGCGGTACTCTTGGAGGCGATGAGACGTGCTCGACGGGGCTCTGAGCTGGGTTCCTTCTATCCTTCAATCAATAAACCACGCGCTTTTTTCTGGTGTAACGAGGACCATATCGTAGACACATTGCTGGATCTGGGCTCGGACAATAGTCGACCTGATATTGGCACCTCGGAGTACCGAAACGTAAGATACGATCAAGCAAAGACAGAGTCGCGACTCGAGTAGGCTTCTTCAGCATCTCAGTCTGAGCCCCCCAAAACTCGGACAACCAAAAAAGGGGGAGGACTGCGCACTATCTCTTAGTTCTCCTGGCCTTGGTTTGAGGCCTCTTCTTTGAAGACTTGCTTAGTTGGATGTGAATTAGCCGATGAACAAAAGACAGACAGACAGACAGACAGACGGACAGACGGACACACAGACAGACAAGACTCGCGAAAGAGCTCGGGAGCAACGATTACGATTATTTTCGGGCTTTCTTTTCAACGGCCGTCGTCACCAGGAGTTTTGACCTAGCCTCCCAACGTCCATGTTGGTAAGATAACACAGAAAACTCATTCTGAAGGATTGCTCGCCCAATTTACTTTACGAGACACGGAACCGCCACTGTCTAACTGGACGAAAACCAATACCCAGAACACTGTGCCTCAACGGTTTTTTCGATGACAAATTCTTCGGCAAACAGAAAGCTTCGTAGGTACCTAACCTAACCTAACCTATTGCACAGGATGCCTTCCGCGACTTTTGGGGCTACGGGACGACGCGAGCGCCGAAGCTTCGATTGGTTTAAAGGAAAAGTAAAAAAAAAGAAAAAAAAAAGAAAAAAAAAGAAAAAAAAAAGAAAGAAAAAAGTCGCGTTGCTTTTTGTTTAGTTCCGTTTCGTATTTAATCTAGGTTAGGCAATTTAATCCAACGGTAAATAGATGCAAGGCGTCAAGCCACCAAAAAACGCACAGGAAAAAGGAGAAGAGAACCCCTTTCCCATTCCAGCAGCCATTAATAGTTGACTACATATTTCCGAATTTTTTTTCGCGTCGTCATTCCGACGGGGTCTCCTATTTAACACGTTCATAATAATATAATATAAACCTCAATACGCTAAGCTGCATATAGAACTATTAAAAAACTCCTGCTTTATTTCGCGTCCTGTGTGCCTGAAGCTGACAGGTTCGCCACCCGCGTCTCGTTCCTGGACTAGAAAAAAAAAAAGGGGGGGGCTTGCTTACGCCGGCCTACCGGCTTCAGGTACTGTGTCACTAATTAAATTAGGTCTACTCTTATTCTGGCGGCGCGCGTTGAAGAAGCGAGCCGCTTCTTCATTGCTTGCTTTCATACGTATGTACTTACGTGCATGAATCATCTACAACAACAGCTATATGGATTACACTGCATCGTGTAAACAACGTGTACAGTACCTTACAGATAGCGGGAACTGTAGTATCTAGGTACGTATGTAGGTGGGTTGAAACATTACCTAGTAAGGCATCTCTACTCCGTTCACTTGAAGGTTAGAGTTCTTCCAAGTCAATACGAATATAAAATAGGTAGTACATAGGATAATAACAATAATTTCTCACTAAGCCAGAGGTGAGACTATTTGTTTTGATCTGATTACTGACATACATATTAACCTAGGTAGGTACCTGAGTAGAAAGGGCAATGTGATGACTTAAGTGGCTTGTCACTAGAGTACCTACATACATAATATCTTCGGCTTCGACTTTCAGTGTTCAAGTTGACAACTACATGTACATATAGATGTCGCATTCTTATATGTATTTACATACACAATTTCATTCGTATTGTACCTAGACACCTATTGCTACCGTAAATCACCCCTAATTAGGTACAACGTGGTAGGTTAGGTCCTGTCAAATATCATCCATCAAATCCTGGCGGCTCATCACACAACGTGACGAAATCACCTCAGAACCGTGTGCCAATTATATAGGTTAGAGGAATGCCTCTTTTTTTTTCTTTATTAACTCCCAAATACGCCTAGGTACCCTTCGCCGAGCGAATTTCGCTCATATAGCGCTCAGACTACTTGATAGATACCCACTAATGATTCTCTGATGGCCCAAGTTATTCCTCTATGTACTGGCGATGCCTGTTCGAGCATCCTGGCATGTCATCTTCCCGTTACCAATATTGTGCCCGGACCCCATATCTACTACCATCAAATCAAAATTCAAGAAATCCAAGAGATCCATCTAGACACCTCTGCTTTTCGTACATATTGGTCTAAAAACCAAAAAAAAGAACCCCCACCATAAAACTAAACCCCCTTGCGGTGGATGTTCGTATATCAAAGCCAGAACATGAATCCGATTTTGAGAATTGAATATGCCATCGCTCAGCAACGATGCCATTGTATGTGTGCGCGTGAAGGTCCCTCTTGGCTCTGTCCTGGAATCTCATTCTCCTGAAAACGCCATCCTGGTATCTTGAAAATGCAATGCAATAACCCAATAGTAAATCCTACCGAGGAAAGTCGTGTACGTCGTTATTAGCCCTTTCCTACGCAGTTCCCCATCCGCCCAGAAAATTAAACACTTCAGCCTCATTCGCGGTCGGCTGGGTCTGGGTTCGTCGTTCGAAGTACCTTGCGCGAGTAATCGTGATTGTCCTGAAGGGTGTTGATACTCTCGTGGCTCTTGTTCTCGAAGCGACTGTAAATATTGGTTGCGTATGGGTCCATGCGAGGATCGTGCGGCATATATCGACTGTTCCTCCGACCTGACGTATTATCGCCATCCCAGACGGATGCCATTCCTGTTGTTGGAGTGCTCATCATACCCGCCGAGCTTCCTCGATGACTTCCAGGGCCCTCTCCAATAACATCTCCTTGCCGCCTCCTACGACGTAGACAGATGAGCACACCAATGGCTATGGCTATAGCCATGGCACCTAATACACCTATTGCCACGCCAACTGCCTGGGCGGTCGAGAGTCCCTCGTGACTGGATGTCATTCCCGATGAGTTGGCATCCGAGGACGCTTCGTTCGCATTCGTAGGGGTTGCATATACTGTTTGGAGGCTGACGGTACCTCCCACTGTGACCGTAGCGACAGAAGCGGTTAGAGATGTAGTTCTTCCCGATGAGCTACCGGTTGTCTCCTAATACAAACGTAAGTATATTCTCTTTCCGATTAAAGTAGTTTTGTAGAATAAGATGAAAGAAAAATCCAGGATTTAGCGCATACAGGAACAGGAACAGGAACAGCTGTGGTCGTAGGGACGGTCGGAACAACAGTAACTGTGTTCTGGACAGTCTTTGTAGTAGGGTCCTGACAGCGGACACGGTTAAAAACGAAATATTCCTCCCAAGCGCGGCGATCATAGCTGTACCAGGATGCGGCAAAGAAAGAGAGACCCAGACGACATAAGTCGAAGAGGTAACAATTTCTTCAAAAAGAAAAGGTGACAACAAAAACTGGGGCACTTACAGGAGTTGAGGTTTGAGTAGTGCCACTGCTGCCCTTGGTGCCAGCAGGGTCCTTAGCTTGGGCCATGTATCCCCATAGTCCATTACCTCCACACGTATCGTCTGGATAGCCAGGACACTGAGTATTACACTCGGAGGTGTCTACTTGGGTGGATTCGTCGGGCACATAGTCAGAGCACCAACAGTCATCGCCCTTGACAACAGAAAAGGCGAAGCCATCTGAACAGAAATCGTGGCAGAGTCCATCAGACTGCCATGTACTGGAGTCTAGAGGAGAGTTAGTGTATGATGCCTGGTAATTGTTACTTTGTATACTCACTGCTAGCGGTTGAAGCTGTATTGATGCTTGCACAATATGCCATATCGAGTGATAGAACTAGGCCTATGTAGTTCATGAAAAATATCGAAGCCGCGAGGGCTGCGATGCGGTTGGTGAAAGCCATGGCTTGCTGATAATTGTGATTCAGTGAATCTGAATACAAATTGATGTTAGCCAATCCAAGAAAGTGAAGATAGACTCGATGTATCATCCAACTACGTCCAACCCGACTAACCCGACCGACTACCCGCCCACCTGCTGTATGTAGGTACTGTATGTGTAGAAGGAATAAGAAACCTACTGATGTATAGCGAGTGAATATGGTGTGATCCCGGCTCAACAATCCGATGAAAAAAATGACAGCATCAACGTCACAGACAAGTCTGAATGTTGCTTCCGATTATTGCCATGACAAGAAACAGTTTCTGATTGAGGCGAGTGTCTTCTGGGCAAAATGCCCAGTCGCACGATTAAGTCTGTAACGGACTACAAACAATATCGTAGCGGTTGCGAAACCTTCGAAGGAGAGGGAAAAGCAGAAGAAGGCACGGTTCACGATGTGCAAGCCAAGTCCCAAGTCTCAAAAAAAGAGAGAATAAAAAAAATAAAAATACGAGCGAACGAGCGAACGGTTGGAAGAAAAAGAGAAGGAAAGGATAGACAGGCTTAAAGGTGGTGTAAGGTGGTGAAAGTATGGTGGTGGGCGGTAGGCTAGCAGGGTACGAAAGCAGGGCAGGTAGAACAGATGGAGCAGGGATTGTGGGGCGGGAGGATACGGATTGGATAGGTAGTTGCAGATAGCGGTCGGGAGAGCTGAATGTGTGGGCAGGAGCACTGCAGGATGCAGATGCCAAGACCACGGTCGATCGGTGGTGATTGGGGGTTGAAGGTACTATGTATAATATGTACCTAGGTATGTGTGTGTGTGTATGATATGTATGTATATATATGTACGTCTAACCCAAAGGGCCCTTTTCTTCAATGTTTGTGAGGTGATGTCTGTCAGGATGAAATAACTCGCGAGGATATCATGTATGGTAGATGTAAGTATGTATGTATGTATTTACTACCCTGGTACTAGGTACCCAAGTAGATTTGACAGATTGTGGATTGACAGGGATATATGGTTCAAGTTGAATATAAAGTTTTAAAGTGAGTAAATGTCGTTTCTCTTTTAGAAACAAAGGATAAAAGACCGGCTGATACACGGGATGGAAGATCCGAATGCAAGTAGTACAAGTGATTTTGTTTGCAGGTATGTACGAAATGTAGATAGATATGGGAACTTAAGGAATTCTCTACCTACATGGAGTTAGGTAGGTTAGATTGTAGGTAGGATAGGACAGGACAGGGGGGTTGTGAACAACCACAACCAGGAATGAATGAATGAATGAATGTATGACAGCCCGAGGGTCGAGGTGAAACGAGTGAAGGGAACGACCGGAAGCTGCCGTGCTGGCAAATTTTTAAGTCATATACGAATAAATTGGAATAAATCAAGCAATGTAAAACGGGAATAGGTTCATTACTGACAAGAGATAACCAAGGGGAGAAAAGAATAGGAAAGTTAAAAGTTGAAGGACGAAGGAATACGTTTGAACTTGGAATAAGAAAATTTAATACGTAGCAAAGGAACTTTGAGGAAGAACTTGAATTGTACAGTAACAGTAACAGACAGTGAAGTAACAAGTGCCTCTTCAGGCTTAGATGATTGACACAACTAGTTGTCAATTTCAAAATTGATGTTTAGTTATCCATCAGTCAAAATACATATGTACATGTAGTATGTGACTTGAGGTCAACAATTTGGGTTAAGGACTTACTGGGTACTTATCTGTCTAGACTGTATGTGGTAGTAATTTAGCTACTATCCATGTATGTTCGAAGTACATCGTCGTAAAGGCACACACATGCACTACAAATATGACAGGTCTAATTCATTACATACCTCAAGTGCTAGGTACAGTTAGTAGGTAGAGTAAGTACGAAGTATGTACCTTTATTAGGCCCTTTGACAGTTTCGAACACCTTGATCCATCATATCTATTGGAAGCAGCCGAGGGCTACACTGGGAAGGTGGATTAGGACAGGGATCCTAGAAATTCATGGACAAGGGCCACAAGGCTTGTCGTCACTATCTATCACTCGTAAACGCTCGCCTATTTTACTGGCTCCAAGCTATCGTGTCCGTGAAATCCGACCAACCTTCTCACTCTTAGGTGGATCCATGATCCACGATCCACGCTCCGCGCTCCAGTTGCGCGCTCTAGCGTTGTGCTGCCAATGCCTGCCACATGCATGATTCTACTTATCGTAGTGATTCCTTCACTTTCGTTTGTTCTCGTACTGTATTATTTTTTGTCTCTTTTTTATTGCAACTAACTACTTATTTAAGAGGAAGCTCAGTTATGTACCTTAATTTGTAAGGTGTTCCTCTTCAATGTGGCTAATATCAACCAAGATTCCGAATCAGACATGTATCAATCAACGCGACACCATTAGTTAATATCTATGGTACAGTACATGTACATCACGATTGCTTCCTACAATGAGGGGCTTCGATGAACTACATCATAGTAGGTAGGTAGGTTTAAATACCTGCCCTCATACCCTTAGTTTAACCCCTGCCCGTCTACCTTCTCCCTCCAATGGGCCTCCATACATCCATACGTACCTACAGTACACTGTACGACGGCATACGTTCATACTGGTAAGAGGTATGTATTTACGAGCACAGAAATACATGTTTCAAAAACCTCCAGTGTTATCTTAAACTCGGACTTTCGGACAAGGCTTTTACAGCCCGGGCAGCCGAGATTCAATGTTGTCTCTTTTACGCATTGCTACATAACTACATGTATGTATATACTGTAGGTATGTAGGTATGTGTGTATGGAAGACGGAAGATGGAAGAGATTTTACGAAATTTCTCATACACGTAATGTGGTCAAAGCCAAGGTCGCCCTTGTCAATTGAACGTCTGCGCGACACAGAAGAAATCCACGTAAGCCCAGCATACGGTGCCAGCGCGGAGAGCAGAACAGACCACCAAGCAACTCGTGAAAGCGGGCTGTTGATCATGAACAGGCCAAGGAGAGCTTTCGTATGGTTCGGTGCTGACGAATTCAGACTCTCCAAGGTCACCAAGCCACACGCAAGGACCACAAGGACCACAAAGACCTGAAAGACCCAAACATTTCGTGAGACTTTCGAGTTGCGTCAACCACCCCACACTTCCAGACACCCGAATCTCAAGTCGGATGATCTCCAGGATTGCCTTGTAGGCTTGTAGTTACATATAACTAATAATTACAGTACATATACCTACAGCACCCCGTTACTGTGTGTACAGTTGTATGTATTCACAAATGTATTTTATTTACATCAGAATCCTCTATGATTGCCCAATTGCTCGTATCACTCGACTTTGGTGTGGCACACCACACCTGCAAACCCCCCATAGAGCCAGCGATACGGGTTGGCTGTGTATAACCGATCATCACATCCAGTCTGCAGAGTAGGCCAGAATCTCGCGTTGGTCTGCCGAGCCTTTAAACTTTTTGGACTACATGCTCTAGTAGGTATGCGGCATCGTGAGCAAGCCTCCTTCCACCAATCGGTAAGAGACGGTGAAGGGGCCTTTTTTGTCCCTCTTCTGTCCTGTTATCGTGAATCTTGACTAAATATCCGCCCGACACCACCGGCTTGCCCGCTGCGGATATCGCAGTTCGTTGTTTCTTATAGCACTCCGAGTGGAAGACAGCAATACATGCACAACGTACATACATACCTACCTACCTACCTACCTACCTAACCTTCCTACTTTTCTATTAGGTACCTACCTAAACACTCGAGTGGGCATGCGTTAGGAGAGGAAAAAGAAAAAGGTGAAAAATAGGGAGGCTGGTTTTTTCTGTCGGCTACCTAAGTAGGTACATACATAATAATTCCTCTCCGGCATCACCGTACGCGGGAATATGAATACGACGACATACATATAAGAAACCGTGCCCTCTCGGTATGCACCTACCTTCTTATCATGCGCCTCAGAAGCATGGACCTACCTAGCGCAAGGCGCAATCAACACCGGAGCTTTCGGTCTTCACATGTTCGACGAAGTATTGATTATGGTAAACAATTCAGTCCAGTCCAGTATCCATAATCGCGGTTCTCTAGGTTAGGGCTCATTGCGAGTTTTCGAGCTGTGGATCTCTCACACCTCGAGTCATAACGCTAAACGGCCAATATCAATAACTATGTAGAAATGGTGCCAGCGTTTGCAGATTTTTTACCCAGCTGGGCGTGCCATGTGAGGATAGATCCAGGTAGCAGATCGACATCCAGCATCCTGATAATGCAAGGCCTATAGCGCTTAGCATTGCGGGGTTGAAGAGGTTGGCCGAGTCACGGCGCCGAGGACGTGATAGCCTCGACGGAGAAGGTATTCCAGTCGTGTTACGGTTGAATGCCTACCTACCTAGGTGGTCGATTTGAACTACACTAACCTATACCTGTCTGTTTGTTTGTTTTATTCCTACGGCACTGCAACGGCGCATAGGCAGGCAATGAGGTCTTTACCCAGAACCCCTCCCTCCGATTTTCCATCTACAAGGCCTCAGTTACTTCGTATATCGGTTGAAACGTCCTTCCGTTTGCAGATACAGGCCCCCTCCCCACCGATCACAACATAAGATCAAGATGCATATGTCGGTTCGAATTTAGGCCAAGCCCATATGCGCAAATACCTACATATCTTACTACTATAGTATGTAACGGTGATGCACATCATGGGAATCTATTTGGCCTCTAAAGGTCACTATCGGCAACTACATGTGCACGTCAAGAGGACGGTTCTTCCCCTCCCAACTTAACGACCCCTTCCTAGCCTGCTTATTGCTTACCTTAGGTACATAGGTAGGCATGTTTATCGATCCAACCGTTGGAGTTGCTACATATGTAGATGCCTCTTTTAAACCAAGATAACCTAGTAAGTATTCGGAGGGTTTCCATCTATTTATTGTCTATCTATCTCTATCTATCGACGACAACCCCTCCTCTATTTACTTCCATTTGGAGCTACCAGGCTTGGCATGTACAATACATTAATGCCCACGAACTGCAGGCATTCTATATTTTTTTCCAACCCCACAAGCCGAAGTTGAAGCGGGCCGATGATGATGAATCGTTGCAGACCTAGTACATATTAATATGATATTATACTGTACCATGTATGTAGTATAAAAAAACGAAAGGAGCCCACTCAACTATCTTAGGGTGCCTTACCTACGGACCAGGTTTGAAAAATGTTACCATTCCCTTGGGTTTTTCTCAACTTGCGCAGTTTACTCAGTCCCATAGTTACGTGCTTACTACTCACATACCTATTTAGTATGTTTCTTACATCTACAAAGGTGGCCAGTGTTGATTGACTGGTTTTCATTTAACTATTGACAAGCAGCTGGTAATATTAGGGTTGCAATATCAATACATCTTGATATCATTGATTAATATTATTAGGTAGGTATTTAGGTACCTACCTACCTAGCTACCTACCCTCGTCAGGGTTGGGCTCAAAAAAAGAAGAAAAAGAAAAAAGAAGTTTCTTCTCTCGGGAAGTCGTGGCGTTCCCAGATCCAGGGGTTATTTCTTGGCTGTCGACGTCATTCACCCTCTCCTGAAACAAGTTGGAACGGCCGGGTAGCTACCTACCTAAAATTCAGCTCTAAACATTTCATACTAATTTGCCTCCAGGGCTTAGGTATGTACGTAGTTAGTTAGTTAATACTAGGTATTGTACCTAGGTTAGGGCCGTTAGGGCTGCTAAGTATGTACCTAGTATGTAGTTAGAATCGACCCGCCTGGCCAACTTAAACTTGCCTCATCACAGTTACCACTAGTTACCATCCACCAGCCCGAGCTAGTGACGAACTTAGCTGAGGTTCCAAGGCCATTAGTGTCGAAAGAAATCAAGGATGCTGCTCTTCTACTTTTCTACTCTCTCTCTCGGAGTCTCTCCCTCTCTCCACAAACTACTGTTCTGCCCTCCCATGCTGTTTATTAGCCTAACCTAGGGCAAACAAACCATCAGGCACAGATGAGGCATAATTGGCCAATTGCTCGACCGTATTCTCCGCAAATTTGTATGTAAGTGTGTGTGTAGTTCAACTCACTATGTATGTGTGCGATCGATGAGATGGAAGCATGCAGGAGATGAAGGCTTCCCCGAGATGACGATCGACTACCACCTCATCAGCCGCTCATAATACTCATTGTACTGGCCTCGCCGGCCTTGCTGATCACTTGTTTAGTAAGGTACTATGTAGGGTAGCTCAACTGCGTGGTGATATTATTCAAATTTCATACACACACTTTTTTCAACTTGCCAACTTCCACCAAAAACCGGGTGCCTGACGATCCCGACGCCCCCAGGAGTCAGTCAGAATGCTTTTACATACTACAGTATGTAAACTAGCAGCAACATGGAAGGCCCACCACATACATACATGCCGTGGCCGTCGCACTGTCATGCTCATGCATTCTGCTAAGGTTAGGTAGGTAAAATTGCTAGATTGGATGACTGCTATGTACTATACCCAGCTACCTAGCACCGAGCAGCTAATACCTTTAATCTTATATTAACTCGCCACAGCGGCTTAAGGCCCGGACGATGTTCGACGCGGACTTTTTGTTTCTCCCCCGTACAAGCCGTTTATCGATGATCCTAACCTAAGTCCAACTCATGTATGTATGTGCGGACCAAGTTCGAGAGACAGAAATGGGAGGAAAAACAAATTTAAATACCCAAAAAGATTTTCTTTGGCTTGCTTGACTAGTGTAGTCGAACGCCTCCATATGTATTCTCCCCTATGAGCCTCCCCAAGGCACTTATATGCATGATAACGACCCTGTGCGGACCTAGCAACGCACATATGTATGAAATGCTATAATTCCCACCCGCGAACGCCAACCAGCCAGCCACGTTTTCCGCCTCCTAAGCAAATTTCCCGTCGCCGTAGTAAACAGCCATCATCATCCTAGCCGGTATGTAAAGCCCATAGTAAAGTACACAATGTTGTCCCCCTTTTCGTATCTCCTCGACGGCATATAGGCTGGTTTGACTATCTCCTTCACGTCTCGGAACCCCTTGGACAGCAGCGCTAAGAAGGATTGGTCCGGCCGGGAGGTAGCGGGATGCTGGTTCTGGTGCTGTTGTTGATGGTGTTGTTGTTGTTTATGTGGAACTCTTGTCATGTCGTCTAGGTCGTAGTTCTCTAGCTTGCTGTACCCTCTCGAGGATGGTAGTATCCGGGCACTGCGTATAGACCGTATTTTCGTCGATGCGTAGCGGAATATTGTGCTCTTGAAGGCCGACATTGTGTCTTGAGGAAAGGGGGGAGAGAGAATGGAAGCTGGTGTTCGTGTTGTGATATAAAACCTAAGGGGGTAGCAGCCGTTGTATGAGATAGGTTCTTGGTATCTTAGATGACGACGAGGCTCGTAACCTAGGTAGGTACCTAGTAATCACTGGTAAGGTAAGAAGAGGAAGATGATGGTGAGATGTGAGATTTGGACTACCATCCACAAGGACGTCCTACTATACTACATAAATAAAAAAAAGATCTCTAGAATGGATCGAAGACACGACTCGACTAGGGACAGGCCACTATGCATCAAACTTCTCGAACTGAACGATCACAATTACTCGACAGCTCTTCCTCGTCCCCAATTGGCAATAGAAGTCTCATATATTGGTTCTCACAGGGCAATAGACGCATCGATATCTACCCACCTATGTATACACATCACCTACGGAGGGGTATAGGAAAGTCCGCGGATCAAATATGTGCACCTAGGAAGCTTTCACTATTGAAGTTGTTCCAGCTAATAGGTTATAGGTGAGGCTTGTCTCAAGGCTCTTTTCCGGGACAAGCTTGCCGAGGCTATCTAGAATCCTTTTGGGGTTATAGAAATCGACTTTACCTACCACAAAGAAAGCACGGCACACACGTGCTCGAAAAAAAAGCCTTGAAGCTAGCGACAGCAAGGGATGATGACACCTGCAGCTGCAGGTCTCAAGCCCCCCCTTTTTTTTTCGAACCCCAAATGGCCGAGTTGCCGACAATAGAAGAGATCATGTTGGCTGCCGGAAGCAACACAAACACAACAACAAAAGAAAAAGAAGAAAAAATTGTTGCCTTCTGGTGGTCATTCATGGCCCTATCACAGTGCTTGGCCAACTATAATTTTCTCCGTCCCGCGTGAAGCGATTCTATATTCTTTTCTAAGACAAAAACATTGAAAAGGGTAACTGTGAAGCTACTTGGTGGTTCTACTACGATAATTCGAGTAAATCGATGTTTGTTGATTAGTATGATGACCACATAACTACTACACCGGCAGCTTACCTAGGTAACCCAGGTAGGTACCCAGGTGAGCAGATTCTATATCTCCATCTTGAACAGTTATACTCCCTTGACGTGTATATATTAACTATCATGTGAGGGCTTGGCAGGCACCAATGTCAATAAGGCTATGACTTGCGTGAGACAGTCATATGAGCAATGGCACTAGCAAAGTGAGGGAGGAATAAGATGAGGGGATGAGCAAAGATGTTGCCCTTTCTCTAGTCAGCCTTAGCCGTGTTATTAGGTACGCAGGGCCGTTCATTAGACAAGATATTTCTGTGTATCTCAAGTTCTAGCCCTATAGACAGCCGTGAGAGAATCACAATATACCTAGAATGTCTATCCTCGTAAGAAACAACTAGACCAAGACTTCATTAACTCAACTAGTACTGTCTTATTCATGTAGTCCCATAAGGTCCATAGCGACATGCCAGTTATGTAGATATATAATTCCCTGCCTTAACCCCCACAAACCGAAGGAGATGCAGTGAGTTCTGTGATACCTTACACAACACATAAGTAGCGTCCACTCAATCCCAACATTGAATCAACAAACGCCATGCCTAAACTCCGTCCTTATATCCATCCCCCCCTTTTCCACAAGTAGGTTAGGTAGCCAAGCCCGTAAGCACTAGGCAAGGCAGGTCAACGTCACCGCGTAGGCGAGTTCGCCGGGCTTCCCTCACGGCTCAGACTCTCAAAACTCTGGACCATGGCCAGGACCCGGGTCCGCGGTTTCTCGAGCCTGACCGCTTGCGCCGAGTACAGTTCGTCCTCTAGATCCTGCACCGGCGATCGCGACGGCTTCCTCTTGCGAGACTCGCTGCTCGGCGTGTCCACCATCAGCAGCCGGGCGCCCTCGGCTAGCCGCGACGGGGTGCCTCTCGGGGTTTGGGGCTGTTGCCTCCCTCTATCCCTATGCTCATTCCCATCTCCGTTTTCGTTTTCATCTTCGTCTCTGTTCATGCCCATATCCCGGTACCATCCCGCCTCCTCTTCCACCTCCACCTCCACCTCCTCCAGTGCATCATCATATAGCGCCGCACCCCCATCCTCACTCGCCTCGCTGAACTGGCTAACAAACGACCTCGGTTTTAGAAGCGGCGGCGGGGAAGCCCTCTCCCTTACCTCAGGCAGCTTCTCCGCCGCCCTCGGCGTCAGCACCCTTACCTCCGGCCCCTTCTCCCCACCACTACCACTACCACTAGTAGCAGGCTCCGCAACCGCAACATCGACCGCGCTCTCCGCATCGGGCTCGGCATTGACCACGCGCAGGCGCTCCTTAGGCACCGTGAACAGGACCTGCACAAGCCTCCTCTCGACCGCCTTCTCGATGTCCCACTCCTCGTCCTCGTCCTCGTACTCGTCCCCATATCCCCCTCCTCCTCCTCCTCCTTCTCCTCCCTTTTCCCCTTCGCTCCACCCCTGCGACCCCCCTATCGCCCCGTACTCCTGCCCCCTCCTCATCGCGGTAGAGTTCGAGCCCGAAGCCGGCCCAAGCGCCGCCTCCTCCCAATCCCCCCTCCCGCTCTTCCGCCTCAGCAGCCCCGCGCCCGCCGCTATCCCGCTCAATCCACTTAATCTCTTCGCCTCGTAGTCGTAGTCGCTGGCCGCGCCCCCTCCACGCTCATCCTCCACCTTCTCCGTCTCGCGTTCCGCTATCGTGGCGTTGCTGCCGCTGGGGTCGTGGTCCGGTAGGTTCAGCACGCGCCGCAGACTGCCGAGCCAGGAGCGGCGCTGGGGCTTGCTTTTGCTGGGGCTGCCTGGGGGGGAGGGGTTTTCTTGGTCTGCGGGCTCGTTGGTGTTGGCGTTGGTGTTGGCGTTGGTGTTGGTGGTGGGGTTGTTGTCGTAGTGGTTGATGAAGTTGTAGTAGTTTTGGAAGTTTTGGTAGGCCTCGTCTTCGACCTCTGGAGGTCTGGTAGCTCGGTTGGTGGTATTGTTATTGTTGTTGTTATTATTATTGTTACTGCCGTTGTTGCTATTGTTGTTGTTGTGAGCAGTGCTGTTGTTATTGTTACTGCCACCAAGCAACAGCGACGGCCCCTCCGCCTGCAAGGCATGGAAGCTGCTCTTCGCCGTGTTGTAGCTCGGCGCCGTGCTCGAGCTACTGCTACCCCCTCTATTATTATTGTTGTCATCGTCGGCAGCACCAGCTCTACCGGTATTCGCGTTGGCGGTAGTCGGAGATGGTAAGGCAGAAGAAGAGGACCCGAGCCCGAGCCCGAGCCCAAGCCCGAAACTCAGACGCAGGTGCGAGCGCACGGAGCCCGAGCGGCTGAGGCTGCCGAGGATGCTGCCACGGTTGCCTCCCCCTCCTTCTGACGCGTTGCTGTTGCTGTTGTTCACCTTCGGACCACCGCTGCGCCGCGTGGGCGAGACGTGTCCCGACGCTCCTGCTCCTCTGCGACTATTCAACAGCGCGTCCATAGCCTCGACGTCGGACATCCAGTCCTGCACCTCCGGGTCCGTCGTCCCGCCGCCCCTGCGTTCCTCGGGACTCGGCGTCAGGGATGCGCGGCTGGGCTGCGGGAACGAGATGCTGCTGTTGCTGTTCTCGTACGTCGGCGTCAGGAACGGGTCGGAGTCGTTTCTCCCGTCGCCGGCGTTGGCGTCGCGCACGGGGCTGACGGGCTCGCTCGCCATGTTATCCCCGTCGTGAAGGGAGCCGTCCTCGTCGGCTTCGATGATCGGGTGGATGGCGTTGGGCCCCCGCGAGTTGGACGGCGGGTCGTAGGTGTTCCGGCGGGGTGGGGCTTTCTTCGCGCCTTGCGTGGGCATGCCGCCGTACCACGTCTGGTGACCGTTGTTGTCTGCTGAGCCGGGGCTGCCTATCTGTAAGCTCTGGTAGCCCAGCGAGCGGTGCCCGCGCAGGTAGGGATCAGGGCCGCCCATGTACCAACTTCCGCCGGGCTCCATCATCTCGTCGTCATGTGGTAGGAATCGAGATGTATCCTGGACGAGGGCACCAATTACAGAGTCTCGGATCGTACGTTTGGTGCGCTTGCGACGGCGGTACCAGGGCCATGCCACGATTGCTGCGATGATGGCTGCAAATCCAAGACCCAGTCCTAGTCCCAGTCCTAACCGCTTCTTTCCATCATCGCTAGTAGTAGTTGAGTCACCATCCTGGCCTGACTCGGTGAACTCCGGGTTTGTGTATCGATCAGACCAGCTCATTGAAGTTAGGTTGAGAAACATGGGCAGATTGCTGTCACCGGAACTTTGCCTCCTAACCTTGGTTCCGGTGGATGATATGCTGTACCCTCCATAGACCATCATAACGTTGCCCGGGAGTAATGCAGCACCATGACCGTAGATACCCGACCCTTCTGGCTGCACCTCAGGCACCAGCCATTGCCAGTCTCCCTCGCCGCCGTAGCTAGCCCCGATACTGAGAATAGCTAGCTGCGGTGTAGCGGCTTGAGATACGTCCCCAACCCAGCCGCCCAATATAACTAGTGAAGACCCGTCTTCGCTAAGCACGGCTGTGTGGCCTGATCGCGGGCTTACGCTCTCGGCAGTGCTCTTGATCGCAAGTTCGGTACTCCCAGTTCCTGCGGCGGCGGTATCGATGTTATAGATAAAACTCCAACTTTCTTCTGGCAAGCTCCAGATGGCGGCAGTGCTCATGTTGATAAAGGCGTATTGTGTGTGACCACCCAAAAGCACATAGTTGACTTGCTGAGTGATGACGCCTGTCCGGTTAGACACGGACGGAGAGAGACTGGTGAAGGTGAACCCGGCCTCGGGGATAGGAGGCCCTTTGCTAGGAACCGTATCAACTGCGTACTGGCCCGCGGCAGTTTTTGACGGGGAGATCGTGATCATCTGGTTTGAATATGTGGCGTTGGACTGCGGCGTATTGGCACCAGCATCGGTAGCCGTGTCAGGACACATTCCTCCGTAGACATAAGTCGTTGCCTGCGATAGCACAGGCTCCAGAGTGGTCGAAAAACTAAAGCTGCCACCTAGGAAGCCAGGTCCTCCTTGAATAGAATCTGCTTCCGAGGCAAGTGCGACATTCGCTTTGATCCATGATGCCGATGCACCGTCGTTGGCAGAGGGGTTGAATGTCCAGATCTCGGAGCCAGACGAAGAAGAGCAGTCGCCAGCGTAGACGATGAGCGATCCATTGTCAGCCAATGACGGGGTAAACGCCGTGGTGTTCGTATATAGGAAAGGTACATTCGACGTCAGAGTTTGAAGAGATAACGACGAGGCGTGTAGATTGCTGGAGAAGTTAAGTGCCAGTAGATCAACCCCGTTATCCTGTGGCGAAAATAGATATGCAATGTGAGACGTCACATTCTCTAAAGCTGGCGCAGGCCTCGACTCTGGAATGAAGATGCTGGTGGGGGTATATGGCAAGGTCTGGCCTGCACTAACGGTTGCGAATTGAGCCCAAGCCGTAATCAATATGAGACCACGGATAGCTGCCGTTGTCCGCGACACCTTTAATATAGGTTGATGGCCAACGAACATCGACGCCGACCTGAAGCAAGACTCCATCGCTCTAGCTCTAGCTCTAGCTCAGCCCTGCAAAAAGCATCGTCTCTCACGCGTCCCCCCCCTTTTTTTACCGGTCGACTGACTATGTATGTACGTATGCCGAAACCCACGAGTCCGGGAAATGACGAATTGGAAAGAAAGAATTTAACAAGTCGATGGAGTACCTAGGTATGTAGGTAGGTACATGTAGGTAAGTAAATAGGTAGGTTGGTAGGTGCCTATATCGCGAACCCCACAGGCAGGACTTCGCTTCTCAGCTCATTGCCTATGGACGAGACAAGGTTTCACGATAGGGTGGCCAAGGCCGGGGCCGATGGGTGAGTGATGAGTTGTCTTAAGCGGGAGGGCACGGGGCAACTGTAGGTCTGTTTTTTTTTCAATGTTGTTTGGTCTTGGGGAATAAACGGGATGTACGAGATGCTGACGAGTAACCGAATAGGTGGAGATTTCCCCAGTATAAGCCGCTCAGTTCGCGATACAAACAAACCACTGACGATATTTGGGGTAATTACAATACCGCGTAAACCTGCATGTGCCTCTTCATATGTATGTAGGTATTAGGTAAGTAAGATGATGTATATAAATATGAAAATTCAATGATAGGTATGCAAATAATAGTTATACTGTGTGTGTATCTAGTTTAAGCATCTACTTTAGATAATAAAATCCATCACTTAAACTTGATAGTTAATAACCAACCTTTTCTCTTTTCTAAAACTCTTCTTCCTTGATATTGTTCCCTCTCAACTTCCCTTCTCATCATGGGCCAATGATGTTGGTTAGTGTCACGCTGGGCAGCTTATTTTGGAGGGGCACATGAGCCGTTGTCTGGGCAACACGTCTCCATTAGCTATCAATATATCGAAGTCGTGGTCGGCATGATCCGATAACCTAACTGTACATGGCATCTACTATGCCGTAGTGTCTACCTTAGGTAGTTAGTACTCTTAAGTTTCTCAACGTTGCTACTACACCTATGTATCTCTCACAACTTCGGTATATTAACTAAATCGTAATATAAAACACCTATCACACACATGTGCACGCCTTTACACAAGTATCACCACGCTAGAATTATTGATGCTACCTACATACATAGTAAACTCGAAACATAACTACACATCTCATCTCTTACTTATCAACGATGCCAAAGTCAAATACATGTAGACATACAGAGACTAAACATCGACTTCCAACTCCCAACCCCCAACCCCCAACAATCCATTCTTCTTCATCCCCCCTGTACAATACATCTATCCAAATTAGTCGCAGTTGGCAATAGTCTCCAGCCAGCCGAAGTCAGCTCGGTCGATATGTCCCTGCGAGGCTAGCGACTCGAGTTGATTTCTGACCCTCTCAATCTGCACTTTGGCAGCATCGACCGCCAAGGACCGATTCTCGTACTTGTCAAACAAAGCTCCCGGCATGGTATAATTACCATTATCCTGCTTGACTTCTGGAGGAGGTCTGGCCTGATTTGTTTGATTCTGCCTCTTGAATACTTCCAGTTCCCGACGTAGCTTGTTGCGCTCCGCCGCGCAAGTTTCGTACTGCCGATCCGCAGTCTTCTTGTCCTGCTCCGCCTTAGCTATCCTCTGTGCAATCTGTGCCGCGTCGCTGCCCTGGTTAGCTTCATATACAGCGTTGAGATGTCGTAACCTTTCTAGCTCGCGCTGGTTAAACTCGCTTGAGTTTCGGAGGTTGAAGAGGTCGCTCTTGAGTTTCCCATTCTCGATCGACTGATGCAAAACCGTGTCATCTAGATCTTTACCCTTTTGATCCCAAGCCGTGGTGTGGGTTCCGAGTCTGGGTGTTGGCAAGGAGATAACTGTCGGTCGCTCCTCCATCGCTTTAGTGTACGCCGTATCAGGACGGTCCGAGAATGCTGGGAGGACGAAGATAGGGCCATGACCACTATTTTTGATCCGGTAAAACCGAGTGTTCAGATCGACGTGCGCGATACCTCGAAGATTGCCCTTTTCGTATTCTCTGTCAAAGTCTCGCAGTGTATCCCCGACTACCTGTTGCTTCAAAAACGCACTGTCGGTATTGTTGAGCCACGCTTCTTTCTTGTCGAGCATTTGGTGAATGAAGGAGAAGACATCTTCGCCGGCATTGGCTAATATCCAGCGATCTTGCGGGAACACAATTTCCCTTCCAGACCGCCCGTCAGGTCCATGTGCGCTCGTATGTTGCGCTGGAACGATAGCCTCGTTGGCCAGGAGGTCCAAGCAGTTGCCGTACGCGATCTCAAGTTCATGCATGCGACTCACAAGATGCTGCGTGTATAGAAGCCACTGCCCAACCAATGTCTTTTTTGCCTTCTCCAGTTCTGGGTGCTCAACCGTAAACTCTTCATCGGTGGGAATAATGGAAAGCAGCCCACCCATAGCAGAGCATTCATGGTCGAGCCTCTCCAGGCACTCGTTAGCGTGCATGAGCATCGTGAAGTGGTTCTGATACGGGCGCATTCGCATGTCCAGATTATCCTTCACCAGGTGTAAGGGGAACTCCGTCATAGGGCAATGGAATTCCACACCAGCCTCATCGCTGTTCGATTTTATTAGATTCACCAGACTGTTGAGTGGTCTTCTGTGGCCCTTGTCAATGTTGTCATAAGGAACTTGTAGGTTGTTTAACCAATCGAAGGCCTCGTCTTGGTTAAATTCCCTTGCCCAGCCGGATTCCTGGGCAGATTGGTTATTTTCGTTATCAATTTCGCCCGAACTTGTACTTGGTGCAAGAGTTGATATCAAGTAAGTCAGAGACTGGGCGTGCTGCTTCAGGGCCTCCAGAGTTGGTGGACGACCAGGGGTTGACAGGTAGCCACAGTTGAGGTGTCCAAGCATTTTGGTATTCGTCTCGGGATTTTCATGAAGGTGGTTAGAAAAATAAGGCTTGGACCATTCTGTAGGCCCGATGTAGCCCTCCATGTTGTCGTAAGCATCTGGTACTCCCTCGGTAGCCATCTTAACAATGATATTCGTCGGCGTGTCTTCGTCGGCGTGTCCTATGATAATTCAAGAAGCAACAGCACTACACTGAGAGTGATGATTACCTTTTGAAAATAATTTTCCAAAATAAAACGGATGAGGGTTGAATAGTAATGGGAGCCATTCTTGATGAGGCTTAAGAAAGGATAAAGAAACTAGCCATATCGCCGGATTCTTAGAACAATACATTGAAGGTCCAGCATTCCAGTGCAAGAACATGATACCGGAAACCTACCAGACAATGAAAACAGCAATGAAAAGGCAGCTTGCCATAACATAGTTCTTTGAGAGTAAGTGCTTTGAATTCCCTTTGCCAGAAGGGAAGTATCACTTTGACAGCTATCGATTTGTATAGAAATCCATTGTGGTGAGAAAGACTTCTGGACCTAATCAATGCATGTGTTCGCACCTCCCTCTTCCAACTCACTTGTGTCTCTGAAGCAGAATAAAACCCCTGTTGCATGATTGTTGGAGTGCTCAATTTGATGCTTTGACAGCCTTTGAGTGGTGGTAGACATGATACGAACAATGTCTTCGTACTTAGCTTCAGCTTTATCCGGATTCGGCTGCCTCAGATACGGGTTGAGATTCTTGGGGTTAGGTTAGTAGTTTATGCATTGCGAATTACTATTATACGTGGCTTGGCTGTCTCATCGCAAGGGGACAAAGGATGCTTTCAGCCGATGTAGGTTCATTGTGTTTTCAGAACCCAATGACAATGCTGCGCTGGAATGAGACAAGCTCGCTGTAGAACCCCCCAGCAAGCGTGTCAAAGCCACGTAGGAACTGCATAGTTGCTAGGTAGGGTAGGTTGAAGCATTGGGTGTAAATCGTCAACCCCTTCTTTCACCCTGCTTGGCATTTCCGAGGGATTCTAGAATTAAGCGTATCGCGAATATTTGATAGTGAATCCATTGGGGGGTTTTCCGTATTACAACAGGTCGTAATAACCAATGTTTCTACGCCGAGGAACGCCATATCTGACCGATTAAGAGCCTCGGCAGGTCATAGTCAAGAGGATCTACCTACGCCAATGGGCTGTGGCGGCCCGACGCAACACATAATATCCAGATCTCGTAGGGTATGCACCTACAGTAGGTAACTAGTCGACGTGTGGTTTATGTCGAGACGTCGCGGCATATTTCACCATGAGACAACAACAATGGCGAGAACCACAATACGCATCGGAGGCCTGGTGTCTAACTACATACATAATTGTAGGTAATGTAGGTTAGCTTAGAATCAGATGCGTAAGTGGGCTTGCTATACATAAATGGTTAGCTCCAAGTTCCACACGCACCCGCAATCCATGCTGTGAGATTATGAGATTATGAGATTGCGAGATTGTGAGATCTCATTGCTCGGAGCGGTACATACACGTGTTGACGGTGTTGTAGAACGGCTTTCAAGACTTATGTAGCTGTACAGTACTATGTGAAGATGCCATTAGTAGATTAGTTAGACGAACGGGGTAGGGACTATACCAAACTATCGCGAGCCTTCAGGTTGTATTGTACTAGGTATGTAAATGGTGCAGATGGTGTAAATAGTGCAAACGATGAAAACGGACCTCTAATAGTTCAATGATCTTGAATGTACCCACCAATAATCTGATGTCACTGATGACTGATCAACTTAAGTGCGCTAATCAATATTATACCGAGAAGATCGAAATTGTAAAAGTAGATGAAGGGTCGGCTTGGGAACATCAGCTGTTTTCGTATCTCCCACATACCCAGGGCCGTTATGTACATTACATATGTACATGTGTGTGAAACTACGATGTAACCAAGAGTTCTTCCTAATAAGTTCCTATCGTATTTTGTGTTGTACTACGTAGTACTACGTAGTACTACAGGTACATGTATGACAGAAAGTGAGGTCATAGATGCATGCTCTGCTACATGTATGTATTATGTATATGCAGTATATCATCCTTTCAGGTAGGAGCTCTCTCTATGTACCTAGGGCAGGGTATTTACATACATATGTACTTTCAAGACTTCATTCAAATGTCTCATGTTCAAATCATCAATTACGTCTAGTATCAACCGATCTACGGCACCTATCATTGAGCTTATTTAATAATTCGTACTTACATAGTACCTGAGTTTATAGTCGAAAGAACCAAATAAAAAGAAACCCCAGCGCACTACTGCATAGTAATAAGTTAAACTCAAAAAGAGATTGGAAAGTAAAGGTAGCGCCAGACGTGCATCAACTAGACAGGGGCATGTGCAAATCGCCGTCACTCCCTCGAGTCCCTCCAACTATAGCGGCTATTCGATCCCTGTCGGGATCCAGAAGCTTGTGAAGATCGTGGGTCGTGCCAGGGGTCCACCCAGAAATCCTGAAATTCTTGGAAACCTCAGACAACAACCTATGAGGTCTAGACGTGTGTTTGTGGAAGTTTATATCTAAATACTACCAGGCCTGCCCGCCTGTCGCCTGCCAGGTTTAACGAACCGTTACACGCGTTCAAACCCCCACTTCTAAGGTATTTTTTCTTCTCTCCTTCAACCTACCTATTGAATCTATTGATGCATTAGTGGGAAACAACTGACGTTTTTCCTGGGGGGTCGATAATAGTTTATTTTCTTTGGGCCCAGCTACATCTACCGTTGACCTACCTATCTATACTTCTATACTACTATAGCCACAGCCACCTGCGTTCCGTATAATAATTGGTTTCTTCTTTTTTTGCTTCTTTTTTACTACAAGTCATTGGAGTTGCCAAAATAGCTTTCAATGCTATCAATTGGAACTTGAGCTCCCTTCTCTCTTCTCATCCCGAGCTATATGACCTGCGAATTATTCGTTCCACACGCCCAATATAGTTCTCGCAAATAGTCAACATGAGCGAGCAAGGGTCAGCGCAAGACGCTGAGCCAGTCTCAGCTGCAAGTATGATACCAGCATAATCATTTTGGCGTGAATGACCTGCTAACTGGCATGAATAGCCCTCTACCTAACATTAGGACCTGTTGCTTTAACAGCAGCTGCCTACTTGAGCGTTTTCTTGGTTCTACGAAAGAGTCAAAGACGCTTTTATGCTCCACGAACATACCTAGGAAGTGTTCGGCCGAGGTAAGCAAACTACCATGATTCAAATCGTGTGTATCTTTCACGGACGAACTGGCTTGCTCACTCTATGTAATTCTCTAGTGAGCGAACGCCAGCTCTTCCCAATGGACTATTTAATTGGATTGGTCCGTTTTGGAGGATGCCCGATGTCCATTCACTACAGCATCAGTCCCTAGACGCCTATCTCTTCCTCCGATTTTTGCGCAATTTGGTCGTAATTTGCTTCGTGGGCTGCTGCATCATGTGGCCGGTGCTCTTCCCCGTAAATGCTACAGGGCATGGCAGCGCTCAGCAGGTGGATATACTCTCTTACTCACATATCAACCAAGCTACAGAATCCAACCGATACTATGCCCATGCTTTTATGGCATGGATTTTCTATGGGTTTGTCATGTATATGATTCTACGCGAGAATATCTTCTACATCAATCTGAGACAAGCATTCTTGCTCTCGCCTTTTTACGCCAACCGTATCTCATCTCGAACCGTACTTTTCATCTCCGTCCCCAACGAGTATCTCGACACAGCACGAATACGCAAAGTCTTCGGCGACTCGGTGAAGAATGTTTGGATCAATGGCGACACGGAAAAGCTTGATGATCTTGTCAAGGAACGGGATGATGTTGCCATGAAGTTAGAGAAGGCTGAGGTGAAACTAATCAAGCTCGCCAACGCCGAACGCGTCAAGTTAAGCAAGAAGAACAAGGATGAACCTGTAGACAGAGCTGAGGTGCCAGCGGATGCAGAATCAGGCAGTTTAGCGTCACGATGGGTTCCCGACAAGAAGAGACCAACTCACCGACTTGGTGCTCTTGGCCTTGTTGGTAAGAAGGTCGATACTATCAATTGGTGCCGAACAGAGCTCGAACGCCTTATTCCCGCCGTTGAAGCCGCCCAGGTTGAATATCGCGCTGGAAATTTCAAGAAAATCCCTAGTGTCTTCATCGAGTTCCATCGTCAAGCAGATGCTGAATCGGCCTACCAAGTTCTAGCGCACCACCAAGCCTTACGGATGACACCCAAGTATATCGGCATTACCCCTGGCGAGGTCGTCTGGACCGCATTAAAAGTATCGTGGTGGCAGAGAGTCATTCGCCGATTTGCTGTTCTTGGTTTCATCACCGCACTCATCATATTTTGGGCCGTTCCAGTTGCTGTTGTTGGTGCGATCTCGAACGTCAAATACCTTTCTAGTATTTCTTTCCTCACTTGGATTAATTTGATTCCTGCCCCAGTTCTGGGACTTATATCGGGACTACTACCTTCGGTTGCCTTATCGATTCTCATGTCGCTCGTTCCTATCATTATGAGACGTAGGTTCTTCAAGACAATTCAAGCAATTTGTAAAAACTCTACTAATCAAAAATATAGTGTGCGCAAAACTCTCAGGAGAGCCTTCTCTGTCGCGAGTTGAGCTATTCACCCAGAACGCATATTTTGCATTCCAGCTCATTCAAGTATTTTTGATTACGACTGTCAGTTCGTCAGCATCATCAGTCGGAGCGCAAATCGCCGCGAACCCTGGTTCAGTCACAACCGTTTTGGCAGAAAACCTTCCCAAGTCATCAAACTTCTATATTTCGTACTTCATTGTACAGGGTCTAGGTTTTGCTTCAAGCGCGCTCTCTCAGATCGTTGGTTTTGTCATCTTCACAATCATGTATAAGTTCCTGGCTGGCACTCCTCGTGCCCTATATAAGAAATGGGCAAACCTCAGCGCCATATCCTGGGGCAGCGTGCTACCAGTTTACACCAACATTGCTGTAATCAGTGAGTACCCGCTAATGCCCTATATGAGACCTATTTAATTTGCTAACTTTTCTGATAGGCATTACGTATGCTGCCATTGCCCCGTTAATGCTTGGATTTGCTACGATCGGTCTCTCACTGTTCTATCTTGCTTGGCGGTACAATGTGTTCTTCGTCACGGACACCCACGTGGATACCAGAGGTCTGATCTACCCTCGCGCTTTGAAGCAACTGTTTTCTGGAATCTACATTGCAGAACTCTGCATGATTGGGCTATTTGCTGCTTCCGTGGCGATTGGACCGTTGATCCTCATGATCATTTTCCTCATCTTCACTATTCTTTTCCATAGCACCATCAACAGTGCTATCGACCCTCTGCTCTACAACCTCCCCAGAACCCTAGGGGCGGAGGCAGAGTGGAGATCCATTGACGTCGAGAGTCCTGGTGCTCAAAATGGAGAGAAGGATGGTAGCCCCGTGGCTAAAAAAGTGTCTTCTGGTGAGACTGCTGTTGTAGGGAAGAAGCCAGGATTCTTCTCCAAGTTCTTGAAACCGTGGCAATACTGTGACTATGAGACGATGCGCAAACTCGTACCTCACGACCATATTGATGTAAACAATCTATATACAGAGGAGATCGAACGCAATGCCTATTTCCCGCCTTCGGTCGGTAGCGCTACACCACTTCTCTGGATTCCCGAGGACTCTATGGGTATATCGAAACAAGAGGTCCGAGACACTAGTAAAGTGATTCCAATCACTGACGAAGGATGCACATTGAACGATAAAAACAAACTAGAATGGGACACAGAAACGGTGCGCCCACCTGTTTGGGAAGAGAAAATCTACTATTAGAACCAGCATTGAATATGCCAGCCCCGTGGAATGGTATGTTGGATACAATTCGACAAACAATACACTTGGAATATCATATGCCAGGTTGTATTTAATATTCGTAGCTATTGTACTTAGCTTCGGTTGCGGATGGGATTCATTCCGTCCTTCTTTTCTTCTCTCCTTTTTTTTTTTTTTTGCCCTGGTACTTGTTGAGGGTTGTTGGAACTTGATGAATGATTAAGGATATTACTGGTGGGAGTACTGATGTCTATTATACCCGTCTGAGAAAAGGTTGTTGGCCGTATTATGTCCAAATTAATTAGTCAATGCTAATAATAAAATCCATGACGATTATTATTTGTTAGCTTATGCCATGTGGTTTAGATATCGTGGATATTCGTAGTGATATGATACTGATACCTACCAGTCAAAAAAAAGGGGAGGCTGTGAGACTGGAAGTATAATACCCGATAGGTTGATTTGCCCTGGTTACATAATCATAGGAACCCATGGACCTCTTTCACAGGCTCTTTGAAAGTTTGAGCTATGCTAGGTACCTACATACCCTAGGTACATATATGTAGTATGCTGCAAAAGACCAAGGTTGGAGAGGTCAGCCAATCAAAATAAGATTTGACCGTCTCATGACGTCCCGCCCCCCCAACCTTGCGTAGTAAAGTAATTAGTAGCGTCTCTTCAGATCAATCGCTCCACATTTGCCTCTCTTCCTCCCATATCTTATTACTATCATCACCTTCACCTTCACCTTTATCATCCACTTTATTCTTGTTGACCAGCTCAACTTTACCACAAGGTCAACATCCAAAAGAAAAAAGAAAAAAGAAAAGAATATTTATCGTCTGTTCTTTGTCAGCTGTGACAAGTCCAGATTCAATCCTCATTGCATTCATATTCGAACGAGTTCTTATTACTCTCATTAACAATGAGATTCTCTACCGCCTGCGTGGCTGCTCTGTCCGCTAGTGTAGCCTCGGCAGGCAGTTGGTTTGGTGGCTCAGAGGAGGTCGTCGTCAAGGATGTACAGAAGGTTCCTGGTGACTCTCCTCTCGAATTCTGCGATTCGGACCACAGCAAGGACATCGTCCACATTGAGAACGTCGATTTATCACCAAACCCTCCTGAGTCGTATGTTGAATCATTCTATACTATAATATCAATGTCTTGGTATCGACCATGAGAGAATGGACGCTATACCTGATAAAATAGATATCCAATTATGTATCACTAACGAATAATCGTGTATAGCGGCGCGGAGCTGGTTATCCAAGCTACAGGAACCGTCTTTGAACCAATCACGGAAGGAGCCTACGTCAACCTTGTCGTCAAGTATGGTTTGATTCGACTCATCAGCACCAAAGCCGATTTGTGCGAACAAATCCAGAATGTCGACCTGAAGTGCCCCATCGAGAAGGGCGATCTGTCTATCACCAAGTCTGTCGAGATACCTAAGGAGGTTCCTCCGGTACGTTATCATGCAACTAAGCTATTTGATGAATCATTTGGCAGAATTACTCAGTGCGAATGTATTAACAAATGGCTGCTTTTAGGGAACATACACCGTTTTCGCCGAGGTCATCAGCGCTGATGAGAGACCCATCACCTGTCTTCAAGCTACTGTGAAATTCGGTGGCAGCAAGGCTACGCTGAGTGACGACCTGTAGAGGATTTTTGGGTGAACAGGCGAAACAAGACTAGCATAGCAGCATCACAACAATGTCACCATCATCACTCCTGAGAGCAGTTCGGTATTGCAATTTGGGTTTGATGATTACTACGATCGCATAGCACTTTTTTGACGGACGCAAGGGCACTCTTATTTTTTTCCAACGTCTGTATTTGTAAGGACTTGTGGTTATTGCAGTTTGATTTGTATTCGCGCGAGTTGGTTTCGACAATCTCGATACCGCATAGTGGCGAAAGGATGTAATCCCATGATTTTTAGCATTAGTCGCGCGTATACAATGATATCCCTAGAGGGCTAGTTTCGAGTTGTTTGAATCCCATCCTATACCCTGGTTGGATGCCTCTGTTTCTGCTTGGACGCCATGAATGCTTGGTGTTTGAGACTTGACACATATTTATAACCCAATCCGTCTTCGTTCCCACATTAGAAGAGTGGTTGCCACGATAAATGATAAGATACACTCGCACAAGTTGGTGGTATTAACGTATTTACTCTCCAAATAAACGCTTCACTCGTCTCAATACGCTATCCTTCTCAGGGTCGTACGGGTGCTCTTTGCTAGGGATTTCGAGTACGGCGGGGAAGGCAGCTGTGTAGGTGTCGATCCGATACCTGATCTTGTCGGCAACATGCTGATTGATTAATACGATGCCAATGTCCTTGCGCTGGGTGGTGAAAGAGTCGAAGGCGGCTTCGATGGCGGAGGTGTCTGTCTTGTTGTCGACAACGAGGAAGTTCTTTTGCGAGTCAGGCGGGTTTGTGACGTGCTATTTATGTCCCCATTGTCATTAATACCAGATATTTTTATAGATATAGAGGTAGTAAAGCTTACGCCGATTCCTGCCAGTAGCAAGCCCGTTACCGAGTCCTAATTGTTATATCTTGTGGTTAATCTCCAAAGAGCAAAGCTATACATAGTTGCGAATAAAACGGGCTATGCGCACCTCGTCCCCGATGACGGCTAGGAACTGCCTGTCCTTGTAATCTGCCTGAGAGGCCATTGTTGTGAGTCAATCGATCGGTCAATCAGAATAGGCAGCGTTGGACGTGATTTGGACCAAGTGCGTCAGGGCTTTGTATGTAGTTGATGAGGTCAAGATATTGTACTAGGTACTTATCTTTGGATTGGTTGAGATTGATAGTTGGCATTACACCTGGTGACAGGCAGGATAAGAAGTGACGACCTATGAAGAGAGAGAGCTCTCTGACCGCCTACCTACCCTAGGTAGTTATTTTCTAGGTATTTTCTAGGTAGTTACAGGCTTACAGCTCAGGGTTGCCAGGGCACTGCATCCAATGGCTCAGGCAGTTAAAGTTGCACCTACCCCGCCATTCTTTAGGGTACGTGCAGGCCTAATCAAAGAATCCAGGCAGGCAGCAGGCCGCTATTACATCCATGGTCCCAAGCTCCAGGGCTAGCTGTTAGGTAAGGCGGCAGCGCACCCTAGCTACTAGGTACCTCCAATAGCAATCAAACGCCCTAAAATTTCCAACGATCTTTTTTTTTTTGTTCTTTTAACAACTTCGTTGTTTTCTTTCAAGTCAGCAATTACCTAGGCTACCTGCCCCCGAGCAACACACTTCCCTCTCTCCATCGCGCCAGGGAAGCTCGTCATAGCTTCACTCACCATATATCCCATGTGAACTTAGCCGATTCTTTTGCTACAACCCATTGTTCCGTTACACGTACCCTACCTACCGGCCTGCCTCGTAGGTACACATCGTAACAAGATGCCACCGCGGCGCGTGCGTCAGAGACCGCTCTTGGAGCGCGTCAAGGCTATGCTGAACCCCATGGACTTCTTACTATGGCTATCCGAGGAGATCGAGACGCGCGACTGGGACTCCAAGGTCGTTGGCACGCAGATGGGCGTGGCCATGAACTTTGCTTTCCTGCTCGCCAGGGCTAATAGTAGTAGTTCTCGAACGGTTGATCCCGTCTTCGACGATGGATCCGGTCCCGGGTGGTACACATTCTTTGTAAGTAACATTCTACTTGGCCTCATACATGAGTATATTCTATTTTATGACCACTGCGAGTCATGTTGATTCTAACTGCGGTTGCATTCTAGGCTGGCACCTTAGTGTGGACCCTTATTGGCTTCTCGGCTTGCAATGCGACCTACACAATGTATCGGTCGCGTCATTATCGATTATTCGAAGCCGATGTCGAGAAGACACCCGAAACTCCTTCAGCGCATCGCGTTCGCGTACAGTCCTCACCCGTTTCGTCGTCGCCCCTACGGCTTTTAACGGGTATGATGGGCACTGAGAGCGCAGAATCGAGAGCGCATCCCGATAGAAATCGAGATGTATGGGAGATAGCTGTTTGGGATCCATTACCGATATGTCTACAAATGTTCTGCTTATTTAGTCCGGGCCATGTGCTTGTCTATACGATGTTCCTACCATTAGCACCCCTGGACGCGAGACCGAGTGTTACCGTATTCAACTGCATCGTACTCCAGCTCATCCTTTCGGCACAGCTGCTGTTATTCCAATCCAGATTCACCCAGCAGAACAAAGACACAGCCATCATTCAGAAAGAAGTCATGCACGAATACGATAAGAAGTTTGTTCGCCCCGCCTTATACCCTACTGTCAGGGATGCTGCAACACAAATATCGCAGAACGAGACTGGAGATGACCTCGACGAATCTATCGAAGTTGGCACGCCCACTGTACAGCTTAAGCGAGGCTTCCGGACGCGACCTAATCCCAACTATATCAAGCACATCGATCCTGACCGCGGTATGTCGGGCTTCTCGAACATTAACACTAGTAGCCCTGGCCTGTTCACTCCACCAGTGTCCACAAGGCACACCGATGCCATTGGCAGCGAGATGAGAGGCCGCACTCCTTTGACCGCTAACAGGAATCAACGGAGAGGCGCGTCAGGACTCTCCACATCCTTTAGCGCGAATTCGCCTCGACCAGTAACTAATAGTGTTGCTACCTCCAATCCTAACTTCTCTACCTCTACCGCCCCCGTAAGTCAAGGGGGCGGCGACGGAGGTTACATGGGTGTATATACCCATCCCAAATCACCCCTGAAGAAAGCGCCTAGTCTGGGTGAACTTCAGTTTCGATCACCGCGGAATAACAGCGAGATGGCTCAACTCGAGCAATACCAATCAACAAGGGACCGTAGCACCAGCCCTTTAAAGCCCACTACTAATAGGAGAAGCACCGGAACTATGAGTTCCCACGCACCGGCTCCATCATGGGGTCGCCCTCAACCGTCGTCCTATGCTCAGCCGTCTTATGCTCAGCCGTCCTATGCTCAGCCGTCATCTTATGAGAGGTATCCCTCGATGCGGCGGTAAAAAAAAAATTAAGGACAAAATCGAGGTTACATAGCTAGCCGATGTGTGTAGGGAAAATAAAGTTGATGAAAAAATTAATGCTGGGGAGCAACTACATCTGGGTGTTCAGGCTTTGGGGCTACTACTACTGCATTGCATACACATACACATACACATATTACAATGGGTTACTACTATCATCCCGAAACTTTTTTTCTTGCTGCACTGCATTCACCGGCGTTTTTTTTTCTTTTTGTTGTTGTATTTGTATGAATACGAGATGCATGTACATACATTCACACACACAGAGGATAAAGGAGAAACTGAATAGATAGGTAAATTGAGGGTATAGGCTAGGTAGTAGGGGCGTTCAGACGCCATTGGCATTTGACATGGCCTCTTACTCCTCTATTAAAAAAAAAGAAGAAAGGAACAAATTGAGGTTCGATACCTGGTCGATTCCTACCCCCCCCTTTGTTGGAATCTGTTTCTCTGCGTACATGGATGCTTCGGTGAATGATCAGTAGTAATGTTATAATGAATTTGAGAAAAAAAAAAAGATCAAAGAAAAGCTTCAGATATACAGCCGTTACGTACATAGTATACCGTAACCCTCTTCGATGTTCTTGCCTGCCTCAATAGCATTTGCACTTACATACATACCTAGGGCAGGTTAGGTAGACAGATAGCTACATACAACCTAAATGCTTTGCTGGTACATATGTGTCTGGTCATCAACTCTTCAATGTTATTTTTTTTTTAAAAAAAAGAAAAGAGAGAAAGGAAAGGAAAACAAAAGGGGGGGCATAGGATTTAACTTCGGACGAGTCCTCGATGTCGGCCGTTTATGAAACCTAAATCTAGATAGGAACGGCCCTCAACGGTGTCTTTCCCAACTTTGCTTGGGGTAAGTCGAGTAGGTAGGCAGGCAGGCAGGCAGTGGCCGCGTACATACGTAGGTGTACTGCTTAGGTACTTACTACCCGTAATGTCTGATCTCGCGAGGGAAAGATGGGCGGGGGAAAGGTTGGGTTGGGTTGATCCGGTGTCCCTCTGAATTCAGTCCTTGTTTCATGTTGGGTTTTGTAGGAAAGCAAAGCAAGGTCTTCTCCTATCACCGGGTAACCACCATCCATCCATCTCCGTTGCCCAAGACCACCTAAGTTAGTAGAGAGCAAGAAGGGGGGAACGGAATAAGACAAGAAAGAAAAAAGAAAGAAAAAGGGGAAAGAGATGGCGCCATCGGGACAACGTGGGAGGTCCTCATCTTTATTCCCACTCTCATCACCTCGTAGCCTAAGTTCGGATCTCCTCGTATCATCGCCTACTGTTGCCGAAGGCCAAAGCCAACGACCGCCTCCGACGCGGCAACGCACGTCGAGAAGGATGAGCCCGACAAGATCATCGGCACCCCATGGCAACGGTGAGAAAACGACGTCCCAGAAGCGGGCGTCCTCGCTCGCCAGCTTCTTTAGCAAAATCCTGCCGAGCAACCGCCCGGAGCAAGGAGGCACGCAGCGTACCGATGCCCATGACTGGACGGCCGATGAAGATGTCGACGCGGCGATGGGCCCCAACGAGCTGACCGCATGGAACCTGGCCAAGGAGAGGAACCCCGCATATCCTACAGACATCGTCTCCGAAGACTTCATTCACAGCCGAGGCTGGAGTTGGAGCCCGCAGAGGGGGGATTCTAGGCAGAGGGGGGATTCTAGGTTTGTTGAAAACTTGCCAAGAGAGCCACCCCGTGTGCGTGAACAGATAGAAGCCGGACAGGATCCCGAGCCGCTTCCACCTCGAAAGTCAGAGACGCTGATGAGAACCGAGATACACAACGTCTTCAAGTCCAAAGAAGAAACCAGAAAGAGTCGGCGAAGTTTGAAGGAGAGCGGGGATTGGCTGGGCGTACAAGGAGCCGATCCGTACTCGGGACAGTTCCCGGTTCTAACGCCAACGGATACGCCCAGCTCAGAAACGACAAGCACTTCTACCCGGCATAGAATAGTGAGCTTAACACGAAAGAAAAAGGCTGCAAAACTCGAGTATGAGCAAGTTAGACTATTAGAAGAGCAAGAGAAGGACAAGGCTAGGTTGGACAAGGAACAGGCCAAGCTCAACAAGATCGAACGTGTAAAGGAAGAGCTTAGGCGCCAACACCAATTCACCAGATGGAGCCAACATAAACGTCAATGGTCATCCGCTGCCGAACCTAACCTAAGTCCCATTGCTCAGTCCTTGGATAGTGTGGCTCTAGGAAGCAGTGAGACCTCTAGTCTGCCGTTCTCGGAGATACCAACTAACCTTTTCTCTTATTAGATCCTGATGAGACCACATCAACCGTTCCAAACTTCTCTCGCCCTACTCGTCCACCAGTTTCGGGCAAGTCTACTCTACCAGGACGACACAGTTCTGATAGTACACGACCTCAGGGGCATAGGCAGCTCGACCAATCGACCGACACGGTCATTCATAATGAACCCGATATCGATAATAAGCCAGGGTCTATTCCAAGGCCGGCTACTCAGCCGTCTGGAACACATCTTGACGTTGAGCAACCAGAAATTGTGAGAGTAAAGAGCGAGAGACATTTTTTATGGAGACGCCGACGGGAAACCGACCCGGGGAAATCCACCGCAAACATAGTTGGAGAGCGCTTAATGTCTCTGGCATCGCAAGGCCGGAGGTCCAACTCGATCGAACGCGCGCGAAAGGACCACTTCGCCGACCTGGCAATTCCGGATTATCGTCTCCACCTCCTGTCTCCAGAGACAGTAGATACAACCGACAGCCAGTCGACTATCTCGGACGACTCCCCACTAATGACACCCAATCACAGCTTCCTGGGGATCATAGGCGGAAACAGGATAGCTCTATCCTCGACCACAAACCTAGTTCACCTACAAGAGGCCAACAGGTCCAGCAAAGACTTAAGCACAACAATCACAGTGACCTCATCTCAGCCGAAGCTAAAGGGAATCATGAAGCATCCATCCGGAGGCGGAAGCCTAGTCCCAAGCCTCTCAGTTACGGCCCAACCCGAGATCATAGAGAGGCAGCAGGCATCACCTCTAAGTTTCGACGTGATCCAGGACCATGCCGTCGAGAGCTTTTCGAGGCATGCCACAAAGATCCAGCACGAACTCCCACAGATGCATTCGCACATAGATCTACAGGAGAAGACCAGCTTCGAGCGAGCAGACAGCACACTTCATCGCACAGACAGCCACATCAAGCCAGTCCGGAGGGAATCTGTGTCCATACCCATCACCACCACTACTGGCTACGCTCCCGGTCAGCAGAGCCTACCCTCCTCGCCACGGTCAAGACGGGAAATCGGGTCCCACCAGAACAACGGAAGTTTTGCGACCCCGACGTCCTCATGTCAACAGGAACACATTGCCAAGACATCCCCGGTATTGAAGAGCGACAGGACATCTTCCCCTCCCATAACACCACGGAGAGGCTCGCTGAATCTCGTGCTCGGCCCAGAGACACCCGAGATCGGTACCATATCATCAACTCACCATGTGGAGCTCGAGAAGAAACCACCGACCAGAGTTTCGACCCCGACAACCCCAAGGCTGTCCCGAATCCTCCAGCTGAATGCCGAGAAGAGGGAGGCAGAGGAGCAGAAGGAGCAGAAGGAAAACGCCACAATCGAAAAGGCAGAGCCCATCAGGATTCATGTTCCAAAACTCGTAGAAAGCAAGGGGATCCTCAGGCAGAATTCACGATCCCAGAGATTAGATCAGGAACAGCACAGCACGAGCCCGATACCAATCCCGGCGGTGACCATGCAGGACTACCATCCGCGTTCACGACCCGAGGAACGAAGGGGAAGCATAGTAGAAGAGAATGCCAAAAAGCCCGCGTTGCGTTCCAAGTCGAGGGAGAAAGTGCGAAGCAAGTCGATCGATCGCAAGGCGAGCCGAACGCCCAGCCCGGGCAAAAGCAAGCCAGCAGGGAGCAACAGGATGACGGCGGAGTCAAAGCACTCGCTTCCACTCAAGCGTGTAAAGAAGAAGAGGGCCAACGAAGACGGCGGAGGCATTGGGGTTCCTTCCAAACCTGAACACGTCAGCAGGAACACGAACCTAACGCAGTACAACAAGGGCAATCCAGTCGAGTACGCCGAGAAACCTATTGCAGGGATATCAGCGGTGCACATCTGCAAGATGGTCTACATTGTGTTCCTCGGGCTGGCCTGCACCTGGTGGATGATGGTTCAGCCCGCTTTCGATCAGCAAAGTGAGCTGTGGAAACGGAGGCACAGGAAGGAGAGTACGTGGAACGATGTGGGCATATTCGCGTCAGCGGGAATGTCCTGCCTTGCCGGCGCTTTAGGCGGGTGGCTTGCGTTGAGAATGGTCTGCTGGATTTTCTAGGTTTACTCATTGTTGAGTTCTTTTTTTCGGTATTCACGTGAACGAATACAAGGACAGGCGAATAGAATTATTCTCGTACGGTTTGAATGGTTACCTTATGCAGCTTGGAGTCTTCGACACTACTAGGCACGGTCTAGATCCTGGAGCCCCATGGCACTAGGTTACTATAAGACGTAGCATATGTACAAAGTAAGGACAAGGAAGTTAGGAACTCGAAGGAACTTCTCTAGACCGGCAACTCAAATTAGAACGGCAGCGGAAATCGGAAAGGGATCGATATGGCTGTATGGATACCGCCTTAACTGAAGGGGGGTCTCAAGACGCCCGGTTGGAGGTCCGAGTGGAACCCATAGCCCCGATGGTCAACCAAAATTGGAGCTTTAGACGGGGAAGCATCGGAGGCATACCGGATCTGTCAAGGTCGATGGAAGTAGTTTTGTCGGTAGTTCATGGTTTAAGGGTTATTGAGATCATCCATAGGGGGGTTTTCTTTTGTAACTGCGAAGTAGTAGATACCTAATATATGTAACTTGAAGAAAATGTGCTCATTCCTTCCGTGAGGTTTTTTCTTTTTTTTTTCTTACAATGTACTACTAATGGTAAGAGGAAATAGAATCGATGTTGTTGGCTGCGGTGTAAGAAAATTTGATTGGGCCTAACCATTACACCGAAAGAGTGGAGCGGAGATCTTGGTAGTACCACATCCTTGTGTCTTCAGATTGCCAGGTGCATGAGGTACCACCTGACAGCGATGGTACTTACGATACTAAGGTACGGTACATGGGTACAATGAATGGGCATGCTTAATTCGGAGTACGGCAGGTACACCTAGCCAAGCCCTGGGGTAGTACAGGAGTCAGGGTGACATCATCACGCAACACTTTTTTACTTGGGGAAGTATCGATATCGGATATGTAACAATTGACAACTATGAACTTTACCGCTCTTTTCTATGCACTATCAATTATATCGGATCCTAGGCATAGTACCGTAATATGCACTCCATGAGACATGATACGTGAGTTGTGAGTTGTGAGTTGTAGACGAGGTGAGAAATTAGTGATTGGTGAAAAGAACAAAACAAAAAGAAGAAGAAAAGAAAACAATCTATCCGGCGAAAATAGACTCCGATCCATGAATAGCTCTGCATCAGTGCATACAATCACCAGCGTACTATATGCATCAAGCAGTTGACTCGCACCAAACGCCCCTCACGTGGGGTAGCCTACATAGGTACTATTTTGTAGTACATACCAGCACTGGTCCAGCAGGCAAGCAAAATTCCCAATTGTCCCCAATTGCGCCGGGCAACCCGGGTCAAATCTGGCCAATTAGAATTACCCAGATTCAAATCTCAACCCTAAAAAGCATGCACCCCGCTACCGGAGAGCAGGGACCACCGTCCGATATTCGGCGGTCTGCTATAAGGCGGAAAAAAGTGGTAGGAAGTAGCTAGGTTACTACTTACAACGAAACGAGAGAGCATTTAAATAGAGCATTTAAATAGGTAGTTTAAGTCAGTAGGTGCTAGGAAGGGGCGACAAAGAAAGGGATAGTCACGGTACAACACATACTCTATCATTAGGTATTCTCGTACTAGAGTAACTAGACTCTTAATTGCTTCCTACAAATATAAAACCCCTCCCCGCATTTATGAGACTTTTCCCCATCGGCGGTTATTGCTGGTACTTGAACTTGTGATTCTTACAGCATCATCCCTCTCTTTCCCGACATTTTATATCCCTACTTTCTCCCTTTCTCCCTTACGCCCGTACCCCCTTTCACCCTTCTCTCGTTTAAGAACCTGGATTATTTATCACTGCTGTATGTAGTAGCAGATCCAACTTCACCTTGAAAATTTGCGACACAGAAACACAAGTAAAACAAAATCGATATTCGTATTCGCAAAGACAGAAAAAGAAAAGAAACCAAAATCTTTAGCCCAAGATGCCCGCTGCCGAAAGTGTTCCGCAGACTTTGTACGACAAGATTCTAGCTGCCCATATAGTGGATGAGAAGCTTGATGGCACTGTTCTGCTATATATTGGTATGTGAAATTCAATTGACCTGTTAAGACGATCAGTTATACTAATTCGTTTGGTGCAATAGACAGGCATCTTGTTCATGAAGTCACTTCACCAGTATGCCATATTGCAATTATGATGCTCCATATAGTAACCCAGAGACTAATAAGAGATGTAGCAAGCCTTTGAAGGCCTAAAAAACGCAGGGCGCCAAGTACGAAGACCCGACTGCACTCTCGCCACTACCGATCACGTAAGTTGCATTATTAGCCATGATACTATGAAATAGACAATACTAATATCATTACTAGAATGTCCCGACCAAGTCTAGAAAAGGCATCAAGGACATAGCTACCTTCATCGAACAAGACGACTCGCGATTACAATGTATAACCCTCGAGGAGAATGTGAGAGACTTCGGCATCACCTACTTCGGACTGGGTGACAAGCGACAAGGCATCGTCCATGTTATCGGCCCTGAGCAGGGCTTCACTCTTCCCGGTACCACTCTGGTGTGTGGTGACAGCCACACTTCTACACATGGCGCTTTCGGCTGCTTTGCCATCGGCATTGGTACCAGTGAGGTCGAGCACGTGTTGGCTACTCAATGCCTCATCACCAAGAGAAGCAAGAACATGCGGATACAAGTTGAGGGCGAGCTAGCCCCTGGTGTCAGTTCCAAAGATGTCGTGCTTCATGCCATCGGTATTATCGGAACCGCTGGCGGCACTGGTTGCGTTATCGAATTCTGTGGCTCCGTCATCCGCTCTTTGAGTATGGAAGCTCGCATGTCCATCTGCAATATGTCCATTGAAGCCGGTGCTAGGGCTGGTATGGTGGCCCCTGACGATATTACCTTCGAATATCTCAAGGGCAAGCCTCTTGCTCCCACATACGGTACACCAGAGTGGGACCGCGCTGTAAAATACTGGAGAAGTCTTCAATCGGACCCTGATGCCAAGTATGATATCACCGTCGATATTGATGCCAAGGACATCATCCCAACTGTGACTTGGGGCACGAGCCCTGAGGACGTGGTTCCGATTACCGGAGTGGTGCCCGACCCCGAGACCTTCAAGACCGAGTCGAAGAAGGCTGCCGGACGAAGGATGCTCGAATATATGGGGCTTACCGCCGGCACTCCCATGCAAGAAATTGTCGTCGACAAGGTCTTCATCGGTTCCTGCACAAACTCTCGAATTGAAGACCTCCGCGCTGCGGCACGAGTTGTCAAGGGCAAGAAGAAGGCAGACAATGTCACGCGCGCTATGATTGTACCTGGCTCCGGTATAATCAAGGATCAAGCCGAAGCCGAAGGTCTGGATAAGATTTTCTTGGACGCCGGATTTGAGTGGAGAGAAGCAGGGTGCAGCATGTGCCTCGGCATGAACCCCGATATTCTATCACCCAAGGAACGATGCGCAAGCACGAGCAACCGAAATTTTGAGGGACGACAAGGTGCTCAAGGTCGAACACATCTTATGTCGCCAGTCATGGCGGCCGCTGCCGCTATTGCTGGTACCCTTACCGATGTCCGGAATTGGACCGAGTACACTGACAGCCCGCATATTGATGCCTACAAACTAAACTCCGCTCCAACAGGCAAGGCGCATGTCGATGAGAGTGTTGAGGAAGACGATGCCGCCAGGGAAAGGATTACCGACCAACCAGAGGATTCCTCGCCGCACGTGAACTCCATTGCCATGGAAGCGGCTGGCTCCCAAGGTCTTCCAAAATTCATTGTCCACAGGGGAATCGCTGCTCCCTTGGACAGAGGCAATGTTGATACGGATGCCATCATCCCCAAGCAATTCCTCAAGACCATCAAGCGCACAGGCCTTGGTACCGCTCTCTTCTACGACTCAAGATTCAAAGAGGATGGATCTCCCAACCCCGACTTCGTCCTTAACCAAGAGCCATGGACAGGTGCCAAGATTCTAGTCTGCACAGGCCCTAATTTCGGATGCGGAAGTTCAAGAGAGCACGCGCCGTGGGCCCTGCTAGACTTCGGCATCCGGTGTATCATTGCACCATCCTTTGCCGACATCTTCTTCAACAACACTTTCAAGAACGGCATGCTGCCCATCACCATCAAGGACCAAGCGAACCTTGACAAGATCGCAGCAGAGGCACGCGCAGGACGGGAGATTGAGGTTGACCTACCAAACCAAGTCATCCGCGATGCCGACGGCAACGAGATATGCGGCTTCGATGTCGAAGAGTTCCGCAAGCACTGCCTGATTAATGGTCTTGACGACATCGGCCTTACCTTACAACTTGAGGACAAGATTGTCAGCTACGAGAAGAAAGCGTCGACCAGAACTCCCTGGGTTGACGGATCAGCATACCTTCGGAGAGGTAAGGACGGGCGGCTTGCAGCTAAGGCTGTTCCTGTGCCGACTACGAATCGCGGCCAAGCGATCAAAGATCCCATTGATTGGTGAGGGGAAGAAGCAGGCAGTCAAATTAGTAAAATAAGTAAAAAGAACTAAAAAAAAAAAAATAAGATACCTAACAAAGAGGATTAGCTATAGGGGGGGTGCTTTTCGTCATGTTGCGCGGTTTGGCGTTTGCTGGGGAACTTACCTAGTACCCAAGCAGTTACAGTATTATAGTAGTTACTTCGCTTTTTATGCGACATTTATTTACATATAACGATATGTCGTTTACCTACGTGTACCTCCCTACCTCCATGTCTGTATATCACGTTCCTAATTACTATCGGTGAAGACTGGTGGGTGAGTGAATAGGGGTAAAAGGGGGCAGTATGACCCTGGCTGCCTGCCTACCTAAAGCTAGTTAGCATCAAATACAACTTACCATGCCTCGGCCCTCGAGGCTTAATATGGACAGAATACTGATGATTGCCTAATTTAGGTACGTAAGTACTACGTATGATCGCAATGATCGACGCGATGAGGCCTACGGAAGAGTTCAAAGTATTTGCCAAAGTAAACGTTGTGTATTCAGTTCATCAAACTACCTATGCCATCCATTGACACCGAGGAAGTGAGTCCATTCCATGCCATTGTGTGTTGTATGTTGTCTTGCGTGTGGTTGTGGTTGTGTAAGTGTTGTGGTTCATGTAGAACCAACCTGCTTACATGGTACGATACAAAATAGAAGAAAACATTAAGGGGGGGGGGGGGGGGGGGTATCAAGTTGAAAAGTGAAAGAAAACGAAAAGAAATGAAAAGGGGGAAAAGAAACAGAAATCTTAATCATGCAACCACATCCATAACAACAGTAGCAGCAGCAGCAGCAGCAATAACAACTCCTGACTGCGCAGGTATCTTTCTCGTATGTGTTGGTGTTGCAGCGATCTGAAAAAGAAAAGGGGAGAGTGGCTTGCAGGAAAGTATCCACAGGTTACGTATTATCTCTCCCCAAAATTATTTTTTTCCTTCTCAGCTGCCGAAACCCCGTTGCCTCTCCTCCTTGCTTCATCCCTCACTTCCTCCTCGCGTACTTTAGTACACATCCACGGATCGAGATGCTCAGTACTCATTCCCGACAATAGAGGTACGGGCGCCACCGTATTCCTTCCAATAAGCGCGCAGGCCAAGTGCGTGTGTTGGTGCATAGGTACAACGTGGACATACAGATGTGTCTGTCTGCACACTACCTACCTCCCCCTTACTCCCACTACCAGTCAAAAAGCACACAACCATGACTCTCCAACCACTCCCTCTCGGGGCCCTCCGCGCCCTCGCGGAGCCCAAAGCCCTCGTACCACCGCGGCATGCGGACCAGATAGCTCGGGATGTACGCGAGGCGGCTCAGACGCGGCGCGGTGGCGCCCAGCAGCGCGGCGTGCGCCAGCATCTCGTCGGCGGGGAGCCCGTGGCCGCGGCGTATGCGCGCGAACAGGAAGGCCAGCTCGCGCAGCTCGCGCGGCAGGAGCCCCGCCATGTCGCGCGTGCCGGGGAGGAAGGCGCGCGAGACGGCCAGGGCGCGCAGCGTGGCCCCGTGGTTCGCGCGCAGCGCGCCGAGGAAGGCGGTCGCCTCGGCCCCCGCCAGCACGCCCTCGCCGGGGCACTCGGTCGTGTCGAGGATGATGCTGCGCAGGCCGCGCCCGTGCGCGGCGAAGGTGCGCGTGTAGTCCGGCGCGTCCGCGTCGATCAGCCCGGTCACGTGCACGTACAGGGTGCGCGGCTGCTCGCAGGCGGCGAGGATGAGGGAGAGCCCGTGCGGGGTGATCCACGAGCCGTGGAAGTGCAGCGATATGGGGTTGCGCGCGGGCGCGTACTTGTTGAAGTCGGGCTCCGAGGTGTCCGGCAGGTAGGTGCGGAACCAGTGGGGCACGGGGCGGGTGGGGGAGGGGTGCGGCGTCAGGGCTTGCTCTTCCTCTTCGCTGCTGTTGCTCTGATCATCTTCGTCGTCGTCGTCATCTTCGAAGCCGTTATCGTAGTAGTCGATTAGCCCGTCGACCTCGAGGTGCTGGAGGCGCGGCAGCGAGAGGAAGGTCAGCACGTCGTTGATGGTGACGCACTCGAACTTGTCCCCGATCTTGAGGCGCGTCAGCTTGCTCAGCAGCATGTCCTTGTTGGGGGGCAGTGCGCCGGGTAGGCCCGCCGCGGTGGCGTTGGTGTTGGCGTTGGCGGCGAGGTGGAATATTCCGCGGAGGCTGGGGCCGAAGTGGAAGTAGCGCTGCTCGATCTCGAGCACCTCGATGTCGCGGCACAGGAGCAGGACGAAGGCGACGAGGCCGGAGTCCACATCACTCGTGAGGTCGCGGATAATCTGCAACTTTAGCTCGAGCGGGAGGAACTTGAGACCGTTGAGGATCTCCCACTGTTGGCGGTTGCGGTTCATGAGGGCGAGCGGGATGCGGGTGCGCACGCGGTTCTCGATGCGCAGCGGGAACATGTGGAGCTCTTTGATGATGCAGGCCAGGTCAGGCCGGACGGCGAGCTTGTCGTTGAGGCGCGTGAGCACGCCGAGGTCGTGCTTGCGGTGGCTGTCACAGGGCCAGTACGGGTCCTGCGCGATGACGTAGATGAAGGGGGTCGCGACCTGGAGCCATTTCTTGCTCACGAGGCGGAGGTTCAGGATCGTGCAGAGATCCGTCACTTTGTCGAGCTGCTCCACGATGGAGAGGACGATTTCCTGTGGAGCGGAGTCCATGATGAATGAATTGTTTTTTTTTTTTTAATAATTGCAAATTGCAAATCAGTTTGAAGTTCAAAGGGATTTCTGTTCTATGAAGCGAGATAGTTCATATGACACTTTCAAGTGACTTGGTCAACAAACTTGGGTCACTTGGTATTAGAAGATGAGTTGTATGAGAAGGCACGTGGGTAGAGGGTAGTAAAGTAGAAGGTTGGGAGAGGTTGAAGGAACAGCTTATGAGAGGAAAGGTAAATAAACAAAAGGCATGGGACCAGAAGGTAAAAGACAAGAGGCAAGAAGGTTGTTATCACGCTCCAAGCATCATTTCGCCCCTAGGGATCAGGATCAAGTATGTTATACGATGTAATGGCATACTGTATCTCCACGATGGCCTCCTTATGTTGAGGATATGGGGGGCTAGCCAGGTCGAAAGGGGATCGAAAGGGGGTCGAAAGGGGTCGAAAGGGGTCGATTGTGTTGCTATAGCCTCAAATTTGAGCACTCCACCTCGTCTCGAAAACACAACCATAACCCAGCTGTCTACAGCTATTCCTTAGGTACCTAGATATCTTGAAGAAGACCATTAAATATGCCAGCTTGGTGGCTTGCAATGAGAGAACGGGGACGTGTGGCAGACAGATCTTTATGAAAACGTGTAATTATAAAGTACCTACTCAACACTCCAGGAGCAATAAATCAAAGAGACTATTACATAAAAACGATGAATGAGTGCTGGGAGGAGACAGATACTGTTAATAATCTAGTACTTTTACCCCTATTTTAATTCTGTGTATATCCAATAACATTTAATGACGAACCCCCATGAACCACCTCCACGAACTCATGTTTGAAAAAAATAAAAAATAAAAAAAATTGAAAGGTAGTCTATCGCAAGTCCAAAGTATTACTAGAACTTCTAATCTAAGATAAAAAATCCGCAACAAAAATCTGATCTTTGTGTTGTGATGCTCATTATCAACTACCTACAAGTGATTTCCCACAGAACACCGAAGTACAATCACTCATCCCCCATGACAACAGTGTGAGATCCTGAAAGGTTGGCCATACCATAAGACTCACAGTTCCCGTCACTAAGGGTAGGAACAAAAGAATCAACTAGTTAATGACCTAGAAGTTATATGAAGCGGCTGGGTAAAGAACCCCTGAACTGGGGTGATAATAATTCTGAATAACGAACCCCCATCTTACAGACAGTATAGCTAAAATATACAGCAAACACCACAAGCACAACAAATAATATTCAGTACAATGGTGCTTTGTTTCACGAGAAGGCAAGGTGGTGCGAGTCAAGAGCTCTGAAGAACTGAACGATTTATCGACATTAACTAGAAGTACATACTTGAATAGGAGGTAGGTATAAGCATGTAAAAACTTGCCATTACTTAATATACCCCCTTATTGGCCATCGACTCCTCCTTGTCCATCCTTCTATGCTAAAACAAATCTATCTTGCCTTCGCCCCATGCTGATACTCGCCACCTTTGATACATCCCTCGGTGCTGTTCCATTTCACATCTCTTCGGCATTTCGTATTTCATCATATCGTACGTATCCTTCTTGAGCTTCCGCAATCTGCTAGACCGGGCCTAGTGCTAGCTGAGATCTATTAAAAAATAGAGTCTAGTGATCCCATACGATTCATATGCTTCTTCCCTCCCTAAAGAAACGGGTTTAGGGCCCGTATCGAAAGAGACGTCTCTTCGGTGCATCTGGCTTAGCGAGCATGGCGGAACTCCATAGAAACACCTATCCGTATTCATCAACGCCATGCACCTACTCTTGTGAGCGGCCCCAGAATCCCCAAGAACAAGTATCATGCCGAGATTGCACAAGAGACTGAAAGTCGAACTCGAAAAAAACCAACCAACAATCAAACTTGCTACAAGCAGGCGAGGGGTGTTGATTGTCAACCGTATACGAGAAAATTCATATTGGGATCGTAAGACGTGTTGCCCCTTTCGTTGCTGTATATGTTCCTCCTCATTTTATATCAACATCATCTATGATGCAAGACGCAAAATGCAAGACGCAAGATGCAAGACGCTTCTGATACAAGGCTCGATGGCCTATTTCAGATTGTCTTCATACCCTTCATTCCAAGTGAGGAATATTGCAAATCAATGATGGAATGGCAATTTTCCATCTTTCAAAAAGCCATGTGCATTCTGAAGCCTATCCGCAGTCAGGCCAAATAATCTTCAATGCCTTATGGTGCCTGTACAAATCCAATTGGATTTTACCAATACATTGCCCGATCAGGGCGCGTCTGTGGCTTTGAATCTCCGAAATCGTAGAACGTTGTAGTTCCGCTAGAGCCCCGAGCATTTGTATAAGGATCGGGAGCAACAGGAGAAACAGGGGCAGCAGGCTCTACTCCATAGTTGTAGGGATGGCGATTAGGCAAGCGATGCCCATACGATGTGCCTAATGCAACGGGTGGAGCATTTCTATACGCTGTAGTACCGTGGGATCTGTCGTGATGATTATCATGGCCAAACTCACCAGAGTGGTTTACATGGCCAGTCTGAAGTATATCAACCGGGCTTTCCTATTTGACCTGATCTCTGAACTTCATGAATTCGCAGATTTTAGTCTGATGATCTGCGTAGGCATTAAGCCACTGTTGGCGGATGGCCTGATCTTGTCCCAGCTCTATAAGATACTCATATGCCATGTCATTGCCTGCTTGACGCGTGTCGAGCCAGGCACTTCCCTGTTGTTGACGGCGGGCCTTGAAGTTTTGCTGACGGGTGGTGAAATGCAGCATGATCTTGGCGTTGAACGCTTCCCACTTATCCATATACTGGTAGAAATCCTGGGCATACTTGCGGAACTGAACTTGATTGGGCCGAATACCTGCCACAGCCACCGTCGGAGGAAGTCGCGGAGCGACTGGCGGAGTTGGAAATTCGAGTGGAACCACCTTGGGCGGATATTCCTTTTCCAGCGGGATCTGACCCGAAGGCTGACTCTCAAAAGGCAGCGTAGACTTCAGGTCGCCAAAGTTCCCAAGGCCTTTAGGGGCTGGATCATTAAATGGCTCCACATTCTTGAAATCGGAGAACATAGTATTGAACTCTGTAGTATCCTCCGAACCGACATGCTGTGCAGTAAAGGGGTTTGTGGCAGGAACAGAAGCTGGCTGGGGAACAGCGGGCTGAGTGAACGGCTCCTTTGTAGAACTCGCCTCTTGAACTGGGCTCGTGGACTTGGTGCGCACACCATTTACATCTCCGGCTCTCCATTCCTCTCGGTAAGGCTCAACAGGAATCTTACGGGCACCGCCGGTCTGGGGCATCTTCAAAGCCTCATCAACATCTGCTAGTGGAGGTGAATCAATGTCCATGGCAGTAGCAGTATCAGCATTGGCCGGTGCGGGAGCGAAGGAAGTCGGAGGGATTTCTTGCCATCCTTCGCAATCATCGTCCTCGACCATTCCAGCTGAACCTGCGGTCATCTTGACCGGCTTTGACTTCTTTCCGTTGGTGCGGCGAGTCGGGGAGGTCGAAGTGCTTCGCGTAGTCCGAGGTTCAAAGTGTTGAGATCCAATCTTGTCACTCCATTCACCAGCCGAAAACTTTTGTGTGGCAGCATTACCCAAACCTTCGTGTACCGATGGCATGCGGCTCGTTTGAGGGGATCTCGGTTTCGGCACGTATCGACGAGTAGAGCGGCTACGGGATGGGGTTCGTGGTTTCGCAGTCGACTGCGATTCGCCTGCCGATACGGATCCTGCGCTAAACTTCCAGTCTTCCGGCACTTCATCTTGAACAAACCTAGTGTTAATATTGTCGGAGCTGTGTCTGGCAAGCCCTTCCGTGTTAGCACGTTTGCCATGTACATCGTGAATCCCCGAGAAGTTGAAGCTAGAATATATATCATCAGTACTGATCTTGGGATTCTTGATTGTTGAAGGATTCGTGCTATGCGAGGTTTGACTCTTCTTCCACCGAATATTATCCCGAGATCGACTGCTGATAAGACGGTCGAGATCACTTCTCTGAACCTCTTCAAAGTGTGATAGCCCGTTGTAACTTGGCTTGACTCCTCCACTGGGAGGGTGATGGGTGGTGGAATAAGGAGAGCCAAAAACCCAATCATGGGCTCGTTTCACGGCGTGCTTCGTGTGGTCAGATGCAACGCCGCTAACGTGCTGCTGCTGGGTTTTGGTAGATTTGACAGAAGTCTGAGATGATATAGCATACACTGAGGGGCCGTTACTGGCCTGTGCTGTAAATCCATCTGTTGTAGCTATATTCAAGTCACAATTAGTAAGTCATATGGTTAAGAATTGGGTTCAAGGTGCATACAATTGGCAGCATTTCCAGACGCATTCGATGGGTTTGCAGTATTCGTCGGTTGAGGTTCCGGAGTGTTGTCGTTCTGTTCGGACTTTGGCTTATATCGTTCCTTAACTCGAGACTGGTAGGCAGTACTGTTAGCTTTTGGGACGGTAGTCTTATCAACCTTGGTTGAATCTTCGGATTCCGCATCGTTGCTTGAGCTTTTAGGTGTACTGGAGCTTCGAGGTCTTGTACCTGGAAACGATCCGGGCACCTCTGGTGTTCGCGCCGCTCGTGTGCTAGTAGTACGACCAATACTTGGGCCGTCATCAAACAAGCTTGTCTTTTCGCCGCCAGGAGTATGGTATGGGGTACTCTGACGTTTGTCCCAGACTTTCTCCCTAAACTGGGCAAGCGGGTCCGGAGGAATCGACGACGTGGGAACATCTGGAGTTACTTCATTGTATAGGGTCGAGTGTGTTCGGGTAGTGAAGTAATTCTTGTTCGTAACAGGAGGCTCGTCGGCCATTCCTGGTGAGTGGGGGGTATATCCATTTCGTCTGTTACTATTGCCGAAGGAGGCTTCGGCCTTCTGTTGCTGGAAAGCTGATCTACGAGATGAGGCATCCGGATCAGCCGTCTTCGTATCCCGAGCTGCAGAAGTTGGCGCTCGTCCAGGGACAGGTCGTCGGGCTGTACTGGGTCTCATGTTTTCGAAAGCATCCGCATAAGCTTTTCGTGTTTGGGGATCCTCTCTAGGAGGAGGCTTAGGCGGCCGACCCATGCTGCTAGCAAAGCTAGCAAAGCTAGCATAACGCTGGGCACCCGAAGCAGGCTTGCTTGGGGATGTTTGAGGGTGTCGTGTAGGTGGCGGTGCCCACTGCTTGCCAACATCTTGCCACGGATTGCCTCGGACACCGGACGCTTTGGGAAAGCGCGAATTGAAAGCCTTGCGAGCATCATCATATTGGCGTCTTAATGTGTCATCTGTCAAGATCTCATGGGCAGACTGGATGACTTGGAATTTCGAGTTCACTTCGGATTCTTTGCCTGGGTTTCGGTCTGGGTGATACTTTAAAGCTACACGAAGACAAGATTGGTTAGCTGTGAGGATAGGACGGGATAAATCAGGGAAAGTTACCTAGTTTTCTGAACTGCTTTTTTATCTCCTCTGTGGAAGCATTTGCAGGTAAACTAAGGTCCGCGTAATAATCGCGGTTCTTGTCCCACTTCGGCATGATGATAGCTGGGTGAGGAAGGATAACCGAGTAGGAGAGGAATGCGAAACAAACAACTGGTCAATACTCTATCTTCGCTTATTATTCCAGTATGTGTGTTTATTGAGGTGGTGTGAATTGTGTCAGAAAACAGATTGATCTGTGGTCGGCTGAAATTAATGAATAGAGGTTGTGAGGATATAATTTTTAGTGGGGAGGGTCTTTGCCTCGTGGGCTCGTGAATTCATGGGCTTGTGGGCTCGTGTGCTCGTGGGCTCGTAGGTTCTTCGCGGCTCGATAGGCAGCCGGGGGAGATCACAACCAAAGTTGTTTTCTTGTCGCAGTTACGACTCGAGGAAACTACCAAGGAAATATTTAAGATCATCTATACCCAATGGGCTCTCAATCTAATAGAGATAGATGTCTCAAGAAGGAACAATTAAAAAGAAAAGTAAATGAATAATGTAGGATGTGAAAGTGAGGGGAATACCAAAGAGGTATTCAATGTTGTTTGAAGGGAAGTTGTTCGCGTTTAGACGTATTTGGGATGTATTTGTTTCCCATGTAGAGAGACAGGCTGACGGGGTGACGGGCCTTGGTGGGTTGGTACCTAGTAGGGTGGGACGCGCACAATCATAAAAGTTAGCGTAGATGTTCGGATGTACTTGATGGTCTGCAGGTCAAGTGGGCCCGTGGATGGTGGGGGAATTATAGGTACTTCGTACATACCTGTGTACCTAGGTAGGGCCTATGTAGTACTAGGTAGGCACTTGAACCTCGATTTTTGGTGAGAGTTCCAGTACCTACAATGCCTAACGTAGCACTACGCGTATGCTCCAGGGCTATGTAGACTCTAGTAGGTACTGTATGTATGTACAATACCTTGAAATTACCAGATGCGCCGTTGTAGATGCGTATTATGTATCGCGTGTCGGAGCAAATAACACTGAAGTTGAAATAACGAAAGTGCTAAGAACTTCAGAGGATACCGCAGGAGATCAGAGAATAAAGGATCTCGTTTGTAAATGGAACAAGTGTAAGAAAAAGTGGAAAAGCAGAAAGGTCGAAAGTTGAAGTTGATATGGTGAAGGTGAAGGTGAAGAAGATGGGTAGCTTCTTTTTTGCGCGCAGAGACAAAATGGACCCTGTGATGCAAGCATATGCATGTCATTCAGTAAGCGCCTAGGTTAGCAGGTTTTTACTAACGTTAAAAGTTGACTCTGTTGTGCACTTTCTAGCGCGTACCTCATACCTTAGTAACCTAACTTTACAGTTTGTACTGTGTGTATTACCTGTGTACTATCCCTGGAAAATTCAACGTTCACTGGGCAGTTTTTAAATCTTAAGGCATCTATATACGGTACATAGTTACATGGTATCGTATTGATTGTAGCACCAACCCCAGACATCTACATAGGGTTGATCGATCTGTAAATAATAAATATTACCTAGATGCCTCCAATATGCAGCATGTAGGTATATGCAACTTGTAATGACGTCAGGGTCTGGCGGCACTTTAGCATCTACATATACCTACTCGTGTACAAACTTGTATGTAATCACTCATTACATACGGTATACAACATGCGTGTAATAACATCCTTCATATACCTACATATGTACCTAACCTAGGTAGTATAATGTATATGTGTAATAACATTGAAGCTCCCTAACCTAGATACATCATTCCATCCAACACTCGAGGACCTTACCTACATGTATGTATGTATGTACATACCTAACATATCTGGAATTACCAGGATATGCGTAGGTTAGTTTAATGTTATTCAGAACAAACTCGAAAAGGGGCTTAGCAACACTTACATTACATATACATAAGCTTACGACTTTTACTCGTTAAGTACGGAAAATAAGTCATATATCTACGGAACCTAACATTAGTAATAATCCCGAATGATCGGTTCCGTGTTGCATATGCCCATATGTAGTCACTCTCAACTAATCATCCTTCTCCAATCGAATGAATGGTCTACCCCGAAACAGAAAAGCCCCTTATGCCGCATCATTCGTCATGATGCATAAAACCTACACCTGGTACAATAGCGGTCACATTACCATAATTTCCACGGGCACTACAGCTTCGTGCAAGGCTTCAACCGAAGTTTGGCTTGTCTTTTGCCTAACTACTTAGCCTATAACCTAAGCTAAGCCACGCTGGCATACCTACTACCTAGTAGTATACCTATATGAATATGCACATTTTTTGAGTCTCCTATCCATGGATGTGCTTAAGTAACAATGATGGAATGCCGTATACCTATAAACGCCCCTAATCCCTCATTAGCTGGACCATACAATATCATGATCCAACCTGAACCGTGAACACCTGTCTGATGCAACAATTGACGGAATTGCAACTGGACTCTCCAATCCATGTCCAGGAAGCCTTTCCGTAACTACCTAGGTAAGTACCTAGTTTAGTCCATGCTAGACCATATCCCGACTCATTTCGTAACTCCAACCACCATCCCGTCTCATCTTGTCCCTTGCTGCAAGGTCTTTCCGGATATCCTCCTCCGTCAACCTATCCGATCCACTCCAGTTAGCGCTAGATGTTCGGGCACGGAATTTGTGAAACCGGTCCTTGCTCTTCGCGAACACTTCCTCCATGTTGAGGGGCGCGGGTGCCCCAAAGACCTGGAATGGATCTTTGGTTTCTTGTTCGACGAGAGCCTTGCGAAGATTAGGTGAGTCAGCCCAAGCCGCAATCAAGTCCTTTCCGCCATCCTCATATTCATCGTCATCCTCATCGTCCGTATTAATCTCTGGAAGTTCAATCGACTCGCCGTTCTGGAATCGTGGGGAAGACCGTGTCGCCGACTTAGCAACTGACTTGGAAATCGTGCCTCCCTGAGGTCGTGCGGGCGTCTTGAAAGATGGTCCAGCAGGATTCGGGTTAGGTGCAAAGGGGATGTGACCCTTGGAGACTTGAGCCATATCTAACGGGTGCGCAGTCTTGACTTGGCTGTTGAGCTGACTCGTTACAGTAGCCTTGAATAGATCCCTGTTGTTCTGCGATGCACTTGCATAGCCAGAAGGGAATAACGACTTGGCCGACACATCCTGGCGGTCTGTTAGTAATATATTCACAGTATTCACACGGAGCTTCGACTAGAAACCTACCTTCTTCAAGCCACCTGATGGGCGCACAGGCGCGCCCTTCAGGCTCGGTTGCTTCTCCATCTCAACATCGTCATCAAACTCGTCTGTCATGCGCAGTCGCTTCGATTCTTTTGACTGATAGCTAGTGCCACCGCGGGCAGGTGGTTGCCGAGAGGTACCATCGTTGTGATCTTGATGCAGAGTTCGCTTGGTAGGTGCCTTGGACGCATTCGACAACGTTGTATTGATCGGACGACCAAGATCCTCCTGGGAGCGTTGGGCAGTTGAGGTCATGCGAGAAAGTGGTCGGGGACCACCGCCTTCAGCTCGACTATAGTCAGGGGGGCCATTTGGCTGACTCCGAGCCGCGGGCGGGGGGGCTCTTGTTTGCTTCGCCTTCTCAAGCATCGCTTGTCTTTGTGCATTCTTCTTTGCCTCAGCCTGCTTACGCTCTTCCTCTTTTTGTCGTTCGGCCTCGGCTTTTCGCTGTTGCTCTTGGCGTTTCTCCTCTTCCTGCATAGCAGCTCTCCTTCGTTCTAATTCGGCCTTGGCTTCACGCCGGCGTTGTGCCTCACGCTCTTCCTGTTCTTTCCGTCGCGCTGCAGCCTCAAGCGCTTTAGGCCGTCCCGTTGAAGAGGTCGAACTCTTAAGACTTTGCAGCGATTGCTTATTCTGCAGAGAAGATTGATTCGGTTTGTTCTTGGCTTGGGGCTGACCAAGTGTTTCTTGAAGATTTGCAGCAAGCGTGCTGTTAGAAGGGTGGTACTGCGAATGCTGTGAACCCATATTGACACGAATTACTGTGGGCGCCTGTTTGAGTTTGCTCACTGGCTCCTTTCCAGGTCTCATAGGCCGCTTGATCTCCCTGGCTTTGGTGGCTGAGGGAGGTGGTGCAGCATAACGAGGTACCGACGGTGGTGGCATTGTATTAGGTGCATCGATCATGTCGATGTCATCTGCTTGCTTGTCGTCTGAGGAGAGCGCTGGTGGTGCCCTTTCTTCAACGCTAGGCTGCGTCTTCAGCTTGCGCGGACTTAGCTGAGCGGACTTAGAGGGATTGGCAGGCGTTTGCAAGGCCTTCTTATCTAGTTCCTTTTGCGCGGCAAGTTGTTTCTCCATCGCAGCAATTTTTTCTTGCTCTTTACTAAAGACTCGGGCCTTTTCGCGCTCCTTTTCACGTATCTTCTCGAGCTTCTCCATTTGTTCGGCCATTCGTCGGGCTTCTTTTGCCTCCTTCTCTTTACGTTTCTCCTCCGCCTTCTCGCGCTCTATCGAGGCCCTCGTTCTTCGCCCTTCCGGTCGTACAGGGCTCGCCGGGCCTGTGAGAGCTCGAGTATCTGGAGCATGGCGAGATAAATCTGGATACAGAGGTTGTGTCTCCTTGCCTTGGGGAGATGCAAGTGAATCACTAGAGGCGATTGTGTGTAATCCCAATCTTGTAGTAGAAGGGGACAAGAGTGAGGTTTTGCCTTCAGCGCTGATAGCAGCACTACTGACCAGCAAGCCTTTCGAGCTCTTAAGTATTGATGACAACTTGTTCTTGACTTGTTTTAATGGGCTATCCTTAAAACCACGAGTTGGTGACTTCGTAGGAGTAGCTGGTCTCTCTGTCTCAGAAACCGCGGCAAGCGATTGGTTGGATATCGAGATGGCTTTCTGCAAACCAGCTCCTTCAGCACCTGTAGCTTCCTCGAGAGGCAACATAGGGACGGATGCAGACTTATGATGGCCTAGAGCATTAGGAGTTCGCTCTTGAACTGTCTGTTGTAGAGGAGACTTCGATTGACTTTGGCGTGGGCGAGTCTTAGGCCCCGCAAATTCGCCGCCACCGACGGTTTCCTTGCCAGAGACCCCTTCCATCACATCTGCAGTGTAACTCTTGGACAACCCTGGTCGTGGACTGCGGCGGTCTGAAGCATCCTCAGGTGAACCAAGTGGCTGAATCCAATCATCCTCATCATCAGGGAAAGCACCTGGGGTTGTTGGCTTCTTTGGTGAAGACTGAAGTTTAGACCGGAACGGAGACCGCGCGGCCGTGACCGGAGCTGCCTGGGCAGCAGATGGATCCAGAATGGGCTTCGAAGGCTTTGAATTATGCTGCTGTACCTGGCCCAGTCTGCTAATTTGGTCCTGAAGGCGCTGAGTATAAGTCTTGTTGTGGGTAGCTGCCTGCTCTGGCGCCTGCTGCTTAGGCTTGCCAGTAAATGGATCTTCATCAATATCCATATCATCATCGTTCCCTTCATCGGAGAGATCATGCCTTGCATTACCTAGGCTCTTCCCGCCGGTATGTCGATTGTAGTAACTGGTTCTGTTCTGCTCTAGATGGCTAGTTCTTGAAGTCCGATTACCGATACTCTTATGAGTAATAGGCTCCCTTGCAGGCAAGGATGCGAAATTCAGACTGCTCTTCCGTACAACGGGTCGGATAGGGCTTGAGCCTTCGGAGCCGGATCCTAAAGCCTCCTCAGGCACAGTTTCCATACCTTCCGGTTCAGATAGATGGCCCTCTGAGCTTGGGTGTGCATTTTCAATGGCAGAAGGCTTCGCAAGAGACATATCAGGCGAAGACTGGGGTGATCTTAAAGGTGAGCCTGCTGGAGTAGTACTCTCGTGAGATACCATCTTTTTGGTAGGGGCCTCGCTTGCTCCCACATGGGCAGTAAAGTACTGAGTGTCATGATCACCAACGTTCATCTCAAACGTAGGATTTGGTGAGTGCTGGATTGGACTACCCTGCTCCTGGGGGTCAGAGGAGGTGTGAAAAGGGATGTAGTCACCCTGTGAGTTTGCCTGCATATCGAAAGCTTCTGTCGCTTCATCCTCGAACGTGCGGTCGATATCCATCGGTTCCTGAGACTGGCTACCATGATATCCAGAGTCTATCATGGAAGCTGGGGGTTTGGGGACGGTGGATACTGGTGGGGCTGCGCGTCTCGAAGGACTTGGGGGAGGAGCTAGTCTTGCGGGTGATGGTGATGGTTGGGGGTCTGCTGGAATTTCAATCCTAGGTGTGTTATTTCGATTGATGTTGGGTATAGAAAATGGATTTTGAGCCCCCTTTGGTGTAGCAGCAGAGAAGATATTAGATAGCGGCTACGAGTTGTTAGTGGCGCTGATACAGTGAAGAATTAGTAGTAGAGGTGGACTCACAACACGAGCTTCCGTCGCGTTTACTTTCCGAAGAGTTCGCGGAGTCTTACCCCGTAACTTTCCCGGTGTTTTGAAAATCTCGGCAACATTGCTACATCAATTGTTAGTTTAATGTGTATCCCGGACAAGTTTAGGTGTTTCACGCACATCTGGTTCTCACTAAATATCTCGGCCATATGCTCATTCAGCCAATCCAAGTCATTTCGGGCAGAGAAGGTGAATTCTTCAACTTCTGACTGCGCAATTTGTAAGGCAGATGATCTCTCCTCCGAGATCCAAGGCGCGGAGCCAACTGGCAAACGCGCCCCTCGTGGTCCTGCCATCGCAACTGTGGTGAAAAAGACGCGTCGGCCGTGCGTCGGGTCGCGTATAATCGCGCGGCAAAGGTTGAAGAAAAAGCTTTATTAAACGCGGCGTTTCAAATAAACATGGCTCGAATGTTGATTGACAGGATAGATTGGGTATGATAGAAAGCGAGAGCTTGAGCAATGGGTTTCACTGGTCGAGGAAAAGGTGTAATTAGGTAGGTAGGCAGGCTGGTTGAATAATTTTTTGGGTGTTTGGGGTTTGGCGAAGTTGTAAAGTGGAAGAAGGAATCAGTCAAAGACCTAAGGTAGGGATTCGAGGTTGTGGGCAGCGGTATCGATTGCCGAAAAATGATTGGTCAGTTACAAACCGGGTGTAAACAGAGGAGCTTGGACCATCGACTTACATTACTATTAATGTCATTAGTGCACTCGGTTATTAGAATTTCAACGGTGCTAGGCATTAGAATAATGCTGTATGTGCACATTCTTTATTTTATACAAAACACTAACAACCTTCAATTTCCAATTTCCCAAGATTATTTCATAAATAGGATTAAGCCCCTCCTTGTTCGTCATCTGTGTCTTAATTTAGACATAACCAATATTCAATACATACCGTTATTACCGTATATTGGTTATGTACCATTACATTGGGGCAAACATATGAGCTTAAGATTGCCCTTATCACATTATCCATGTCTCTCATATCCATTTTATCATCCATAGATCGTCATCTATCTATCTCATCGTGTTTTAATTATGTACAGTAAGTAGGTATGGCGAATACCTACATGTATTCCAAGGCTGTTGGATATTAACTACATTGGTAATTATGCAACTTGTATTATGCTACACTGCTCTCCCCTTGAATCATCAACAGATCCAGACCTAAATCCCCATCATCCTCCTCCTGCCCATCCCCATTATCATCATCATTATTCTTCCTAGGATCAGGTATTCTGTTCCACTCTTCCGTCTGTGCCATCTTCGGACCATACCACATCTTCTGTATGGTATATTCATCCGGGGGCAGCTCACCGTCCGCACCAGCAGCATCCATCTCTTCCGCAACCTTGACCCAGCTCCAGAAATCCAAGTTCGACTTGTCCTTGATCTCCTCGCCCCGGAGCGCCTGGTAATCGCCATACTCCTCGTCATCCTCGTCGACCTCGCCAATCTCCTCCACCACGAACCTGCCTCCGGTGGCGGGTCCGTAGCCATACGGAAAGTACTTGGCTGCTCTGGCCAAGGAGGCCGCCTTCTCGCGCTGGACATCCCCGGGCCAGCGGACCTCTTCCACCAGCCTGTGGTGCGTTTTCTGCGTTTCAGGGACGAATTCTGTCGGGTCCCTCGGGATATTCTTGAAATGCAGTAAGTTGTCCTGGCCCCAGTCGATGTGGATCACGTAGACTGGGAGGACCTGTGCGCTGTCGAAGACTATGTACTCGAGGTTGCGGTTGGCGACGTGAGACTCGGACCCGGGGTACGGTTCCGTCTGGTCGCGCCAGTTGTCTTCTCGGGACACTTGCGCGGTGCGTCCCATAAGCGTGGCGCAGACGATTAGCTTGATGCCGAAGTACTCGTTGGGATTAGTAGCATGGCACCTGTAGCCCGTGTAATTGAGCGAAAAGTCCGGATTTGGCGAAGTGTAGATGCCCTGACCATATGTCGAGCCACAGCGGATCTGGTGTGCCTCGCCCGTTCCAGGAATCGGTTTTCCGGGCTTGAGAAACCCGTGACGCACTATGGACGGTACGAACTGTCTAGCAGTCCCGTGGAAAGTAACGTGGGGCTTTGTGAGATATTCCACAAAGGCTTCCTTCCGCTTGCCATGATGTGCAGGCGGGACGCACTTACGGAGTGAATAATACGACTGTTTCTCCAACTTTTCCGCCATTGCTTCTTGCTTCTTATGGAATCTACGAACCAGGTCCTTTCTCAGGATTTCCTCCACGTGAAGAATTCGATATTCCGGCGGGATCTGAGAGCAAATCTGCTGTGGCGTCTTTCGTAGATAGTGGAAGGCAATGTCGCTAGACGTTATTATCGCATTCGCCGGCTTCTCCTTGAAAGGGAGGGCCTTTCGGGGATCCGGAGGCTTAACTTTTTCCCTGCTCGCCAATATCTCGCGCCACATCTTAACATGAGCAACCGTCTCCCTAGCGAGCTCCAGGACAACCATGACAGGTTCGAAAACCCCCATTGTGCTGCTGTCTTCATCTCGCCTCTTCCATCTCGAGATATTATTCGTAGCTGAGGACGTCTGCACGATCTGTCTCAGTTTCATACGAAGTTCGTCAACAACCTTCCTGGACATCGACCGGTTTTCTATCCTCCACTCAACCGATCTAGCTGGGTATGCTGAATCTGCTGTGACATGGAGATCCAACTCATCGTGTTTGAAGACAACTTCACGGTCAAGAGGTGCTGCTAACCGCTGATCCTCACTCAGCAGCCCAGCCTTGATTAGTTCATCTGTCTCGAAGCCGCGTAAAAGCGACAGTTCGACAAGGTCGTCTTCGCTTAATTCTGTACTGTCAGTCATTGTAAGTACCAAAGGTACGTAACCTAATCAGCTGCAAATAGCTTCTCCGCGAACGTGAAAAGGAGGGTAAGTAGGTAAATAGGCATAAATCCTTTGCACTAGAGCTTGGAAAGAAGGGGTTTAGCCAGTCCTTTGCTTGAGTCTTTCCCTAAAATAAACTACTCCAGGAAGAAATAAAGGAAGACTTTACCAAGAAATTTATATGCCTGCCTAGGTAAAATAGCAATGTCATTCAACTGTAGTGGATAGCGAAACACACATGCTTGTCAGCTCTTTGAGTCATGCCGGCACATACCTATAGAAACTATCTATCGCCAGCACAAACTGCCCTCTTGGGGAAAGCAAAGCTGACATGGTGGAGTGATGGATCGGCACATAGCTGCCTATACCTGATGTTATAGCTAGATGTTAGCTGCAAGAGTTCAGCTTAGAGAATACTAGTTAGGGGGTTCCTTCGTCCAGTCATATCTATTACGCAACCATACATACATGATTGAATTGTCGGTCTGTGTGTCTACCAACTCAAAACATATACCTAAATATTACGATGGTGATGATGATCAATCTTGAATATCCACACAAAGCAAAGACCAAACAACAATGCATGAGTTACAAAGCGACAATAAGTTGGTCGCATGATACGGTCAGTATAAGCCAACTTGAATCTACGGCTTACCTTTGAAATGAAAAACATACTAGGTACCTAGCCAGAGAGGAACTACAGCATAGGATGGATTTAGAAATCCTGTATTGATGATTTGATACCTGGAAAGTCTGTACGAACGCCTATCTGCCGACTTGGGTACTATGCCATGACTACCGGTGCACAAAAGCCATCAGTAACCGCAATTAACCATGTCCCCAGGGTTTCGTATTCCACAAATCAACGCCAGCTAACACTCCAACGCCCTCACTCGTCACGATAGAGCCGCATTGCTAGTCTCCAAATCTGCATAGTGGAGAGTGAGAGTACGCTATAAACGGTGTTAATACATATTTTCATGATCGTAACTCCGCAACGAACAAAAAACGTGGCAAGGTGCCATGACTTACTCGTTCTTTACGCCAATCTGTAGTGTTCCAGATGATGTAATAGCCTTCCTCATGTTGCGTACTGAGTATTCGTGGCTGCATGATCTCGTCCTTGGTCAACCAAATCTTTAACTTTTTATGCCATCGCCACGCACGATTATACCTAATATATGTTAGTATTGGGACATGGGGAGGATAGACAAGATGTTCATACAATTCATGCGCAGCCAGGTGCTGTTTGAGATCCCCAGGACAGCTGTAGAAGATCCACATCAGCGTCTCTTCGTTAAAGTTGCTGATCTTGTTTTCCAGAGGCTGAACGTTGTTTACGTTGTAACATTCGGGTAACCGGAACTCGGGGATAGCTGGTCGCGGGGCAGCATCATTAAAAAGCGAGAAAATCTGGGTTGACAAAGGTTGGGGAGAGGTGAGGTCTACACCCAGAGTTGTGGGATCTAATCCAGTGATGGCCGCGTTGAAGTCCGGGTAGTTATTCATTAGCGTGCGAAGGCCCTTGATTCCCCATTTATCAATAGGTGCCATGCCTGACAAGGGATCATGCACGGATGTCTGGTCGTCCTTCTCGTCGGTGCTCTTTCCGGGTGTATCATTGCTTCCGATGGCACCAAGCGGGTTCCTGCCATCTACCAACGTCGTTGGATCTTGGGCAGATGACTGAGAGGCTAAACTGTCTTCTCGGAAGCCTGGTGGTTTGGATCGACCCTCATCGTTAGCTCCAGACCCAGCACTTCTAATCTCCTGCGGCCGCGAAGCACCTTTAGATGTATTAGCACATAACAGCGACACTACCTATATACCAGTCACGTACCCGGCGCGTTGGACCCATCCGGAGAACGGATTTCCGTCGTTCGTGTGTTGGCGGACAACGCGTTTAGCAGCCCGTTGCCAGGTCTAGGGCCTTGTAAGGAGCCTTGTAAGGAGCCCTGCAAAGAGCCCTGTAAAGGCCCCGGGGCTGCACCTCCTTGAGCACCAAATCCGAGTGTTGACATCAAATTCGATGCGCGCTCCTGGCCAATCTCTCCATTGCCGTTTCTAATGTTGTTGTTATTTAAGGGCGGGAAATCATCAATGCTGTTAGGTTGGGGTTGTGACGACTGAGCCACATCTCTTTGGCTGCCAAAGCGGTATTGACCTTGATTGGAACCCATCCGAGAAGAAGAGAAAAAGTCGTCCTGTTGCGTATGTTGAGAGGAAAGTGGGGTGGGTTGCTGATTCCTCTGTATCGTTCCACTCATGCCCCTTGATCCTGCAGTTGACCATAACGAGGAGGAGCTTGCGCTTGGTAGTTGCGAGTTGTTGGATAGAGACGGAAATTCGCTACTAGAAAAGTTAGCTTTAGTATTATGGATCATCTTATGTAGATACACAGTAGACGAGAGAAAGAGGAAAGCTTGGGGATAAGTGCGTGTTGAGTTCCAGTGGTGCAGGCACAAAATATTTTGGGCAATGTGTAGTAGTAAGTGTTTACCGCATAGCGGAAGTGCCTCGCCTATGCGTAGGATGGCTGGCAACCTCCTCTTCATCTGACTCGGGGCCGAGTTTAACAACAGAAGCATATGATGAACCTTCCACAGCTCCTGGAGTCAAGGGGCGACTAGCAAATGGGACATTTGCTGAACGATTCTTGTGCACCAGTCTAGGCTTTTTTGCGTTGGACATGGTAGAGCCCCATGGGCCTCGAGGACCCGTAATCATGATGTAGTGCTGTTCAAAATACCGATAGTGTGTAGAAGTGAATAGAGGGATCGATGCAAATTGAAGGTGGTGCGGAAGTGGGTAGGTAGGAAAATAATGCAGCTAAAATCGTGATTGTCCATGCCGCATTGTGTGAGCCTGAATCTGCAGGCGCAAAGCCAGTTGCAAGGAAATCAAACAGAAAGAAAATAAACATAAAAAGATAAATAAAAATTACCTACGATAAGTCAAGTGGTGTTGCCGGCTGGGAACCACTCAGGCTTTGTGCAAAACTAAGGTTGCCGCCCAGTTGTCGTGACGACGTCTGAAGACTTGCACCCCCCATAGGAACACCACCAAAGGCCCATCCAGCTCCGTTGTTCGCTTATTTTATAGAACAAGACATCAGCTTCGGATCTAGTAGTAACTAGTGCCCAGAACGCATTACCATACCTAGTTTTCCGTTTGGTAATCGATTTGATACTGCTCTACCTGGTTGTTGGGGCTGTTGCTGGCCACCGAATCCAGTCGGTATCCCTCGAAGGGTTTGTGGCACGGCACCTGAGGATGTCCAGCATTAGCTAAATTCACGATATTTCTCCATAAGTACAATGAGCTTAGATGTGATATTTCAAAAGGTCCCTTTGCAGCCATAGATATTGAAGGTTATATTCCAACGCGCAGCGCGCAATAAAAATGCTCGACAGGTTTCATAGGTTTGATAGGTCATACTGAGGCCAGATGAAGCCAGCCGAGGCCGACTCTACGAGAAGGCTGTGGAGGCCAGACTGAGGAACAGTAAGACAAGAGGACCTCTTTCCAGGGTCTTACTCGGTGCCATCTTGTATGTAGCCAGGTATAGTTTGTTAAAGTCGTAGCGGGGTATTTAAAGTCGGTTCATAGAGATCGGACGATATATAGGTAGGCAGGGGCGACAGCGACAGCGACGTAGTCGGCAAGGCAGTTCAAGGCAAACAGGCGGGGCACGAGAGGCAGAGGGGGAGATAGGGTGAGCACTACCTGGTCGATTCATGACTACGATGCCACAACTAAAGGATTCTTGGTGAACTCTCTTAAAGGGGAAAGGATTTGGATTGATTTAAGGATCGTATCGTATTCGGGAAGAGCGATATGGTGGGTAGTTATCCGGGTGTGGGAAGTTCGAGATATGTAGTTGAAGTTGGTGTTTCTTCATTAAGATTTAAGATTCTACTTGCGAAATGGTCAGGGAAGCTTTGCGATCGCAGGTTAGGAAGTTTTACTGGGGTTTACCAGTTCTTATGTATAAGCTAGTCCTAAGCCCGTTAGCCGCTCCACTCTTACCTCTCTCTAACTGGACATGAGCACGCTTGAGCACGGCACTACGTAGCACTAGGCTTATGCGTCTTTTCCCCGGCCCAGCCCAGCATCAGCCTCGCGGCTTCCAACCTTTTTTTCTCTTTTTTTTAAGTGTCCTTATCCAATGGTTGGGGATCCCCACACTGCAACTTCCCGAGAGTCATTTCAATGCTCCCCATGTGCATACCTGTACCTGGTACTGTGTATTGAACTGTTGGTTATTATTGGTTCAATCATTGATGTTTGCATTTATCAGAGATGATATCATCAACAACATTGAACTTTACATCCATATGTACCCATGTACGTCCAAAGTATTCAATTACTTACCTTCAATGTTGCAGCATTGCTTACTACCTAAAGTAATACGGTCTATGTTTAGGTATCACTAACCTGGCTACTTACCTAAGGTTACATATTTAGGCACACATGCAAAGGCAACACTCAAACGCCCGTAGTATCTAGCAGTCACCTAAACAAACAGGAAACAGAAATGCATGGCAATTTCCAATCCTTTACACAATTCTACCAGTGACCCTCATATATCTACATACATTCTCATCATAATGGCCAGGCATGAATACTCATCTACTGGTCAGTTGCTGCTGCTGCTTCACCGGCAAGATAGTCCCATCATCCAGTGCTTCCCATACATCCTAACCTAGCTGGCTTTCATGTCATACTTCAGATCATATATGCTTAAACCAATATCATCTTAAGGCTCTATATTGAGTTACGTGACAACTTTAGGTAGGCAGCGAAAGACTCGCTGTCGGCACCGTAGTATCCAGAAGGCAGGATCTCACGTTCTGTACTTGTCGATTCAGTTGTCACATTTGCATTACCATATTGTGTACCAGAGTGAGTTTCTATGTGTCTGGAAGGATCAAAGTTTGGCCTTATGTCGTCCTGGTTTGAAATATCAAGTGGCGATATATTGGATGTCATACCTGTGGACCGGTTCTTTGGGGATACTGGTGCACCTAGACCACCTATCCGGCCCTTGGGCTTTTCCCAAACCCTACCATGAATAACCTTATGGATAATGGGGCTAGATTTGTGACTCATACGCTTATACTCGTCTATCGTTAAATGGTGGTCTTCCCGAGTGGATGAGATATCGATGCCCCTGTTATTGATCTCTTTATACTCGGCATAGTTCTCAACGACTTTCGTCTGATTCTCATACCAGGCCGGGCTATCACTAATATCTCGAGCTATAATATTTCCGCAAAGCGGACAAATTTGTCCAAGCATCTTATTCTATCAGCACTAAATGATTTATTTGAATTCAAGATGTATGGCTCATGAAAGAAAGTGAGTAATTCGAGACGATTCCGGAGTAGAGTCTTGGGAGATTCAGATTGAAGCCAACTTGTAGAGACGAATGGGTGTTCATCACTGTTATGACTCAAGAGGTCAAAATTTGAAGTGCTGCATTGAATTAATTATCAGTCTCATTTCATGGCTGCCGCTGTGTATCGTGGGCTCGTTATATATCAGGACAGCACATATAGTCTTTGAACTATGAGACATTGGATGAGACTCAAACTTATTATGCAACATGAGAGTCATCAGAAAGTCTTATGACGGTGACCTGGTGCTATATATTCTGGAGTGTATGTAGCAGGCTTGTCTCAAAATCGATGCCCTTCAGACCCCTTCCAATAAGGACAAGTTTTCCCAGCTGGGGAATGCCGTCACAGGAATCAGATACTTGCTCCCCATCAAGAATCACAAATACCTCTCTAACACCTTGAACCATCTTCACATCACCATCTTTAAAGACTAAGCGGGCTTTTAAACGATGGATTTCGATTGGTTCTGTTAGATTAGTCGTCTCCCCGGGCACCTGGCAATCCCAAAGCAAAGACCTAAGCCACCTGTCGACTAGCTCGAGTTGTTCGGAAGTCAGGAGTGGTACGTTGATAGAGACCGTAGAAATTGTCTATGAGAGCATTAGCTTCGGTTTCTACCCCTAAGGTATATGTTTGACGAACAGGGTCAAGATGACTGTGCCCCTTTCCTGTAGTATCTAATGCCTCAACTTGATCATATGCGTGTAAGTCAAGCAGAACACCCTCTAGCTGAGGCACGACACTTTGATTGGTCACGTGGATCTTTGCAAGGCCATTGATAGCCTGTATTCGTGCTTTGACGTTCTCAAGCTCTGCCGGTTCTACCAAGTCGGACTTATTTATGACGATGATATCAGCGTGAGATATTTGAACATGAGCGGTAGTCATGAGAGGTCCATGACCATCGTAGTCTTCGTGGCCTTCAACTTTCCCTGATGGGTCGTCTAAGCTGCGTAATATGTTTTTCGCATCTACTAACGTGACGATGCCATCTAAGTAGATGGTACTTCCTAGCCCGTCGTCAACCCAGAATAAAGGGGCTATATTGCCAGGATCGGCAAGGCCTGTGGTTTCTAGCAAGATGTAGTCGAATGTGCCTTTCTTCTCCATCAACGACTCGATTGCATTGACTCCGGTATCCCTATGCCCCCATTAGAATGGCTGCCTATTTATTAACAAGGAGTGAGTGTGAGTAGTACTTGACGGAGCAGCAAATACAACCATTACCGACGTCGAGCCATTCTTCTACTTGCTCACCACCCTTATTTACTGTGAGAGACTTTTCAATATCAAGTGCTGGGTTGAAGTAAGCCTATGAATGAGCCAATATTATAAATAAAAATAATGAGAATGAGAATAAAAGTTGAGCTCTGATTACTGACAGTCGCCAAACTCGTTCATTATGATAGCAATCTTCTTGCCATGGCGCGCAGTCAGAATGTAATTGAGAAGAGTAGTCTTTCCAGCTCCAAGGTAGCCTACTTGATGTATGAGTATTTGTTCAGATGTCTTATGATATATGATTACTGCATTATCTGTAGGTATAAACTTGCCTGTGACAATGGTTATGGGCACCTTAACAGGCTTCTCCTCTGGTGGGGGCGTCTTGGCCTCAACATCGACAAGCTCGGGGGGAACATCTTCGTCAAAGTTCATGGTTATGATTTTGGGTAGAAAGGATTCGGTTATTGTAACCCAGTGACTCTTTGGTCTTTCTACTATGTAATCCTTATGGATAGAATAGATGATGACCCAAGGTGTATGTATGCACCTAGGTTATAATATTTACTTATGTAAGTAGTACCTAATGTATGCAATTATCAAGCTGTTGGTATCGATAAGAATATAAGAATAATGTTAATGACCCACATCCAGTGGACCGTGGCCCTTACTACGCCGTATGTCCTACCACATGCAGTTGGTCCAGTTCCAGGTACATGCCTAGCAGGTACCCCTTCAATATTCACAATCAATTTAGTTAACCAAATCAAACAACAAATAATTATGGGCGACTTCGCGGAGCAACTCAACACCAACACCAACACCACAACTCCACCCATTAGCACCCATTAGCTACTTTCCCCGAACCCGATTCGAGGCTATAGCCTCAACAATATTCTTGCAACATGTCTTTGGCGCAAGGCTCGCCCAGACTACCTAGTCCACCACCTCCAGCTGAGATTCAACTTGGTCCTAAATCTCCAGCACTAGGTAGCACTGCTAGTCGCCAGGCACAACAAATGGAGCAAACTATCGCCGACGCAAATTCGAAACGGCGCATACATCCCGGTACCAAATCCGAGGATATGGCTGCCGGTCCGCCGCTTGTTCCACTCAGTGAGGTGTGTTAACTACTCCAGTCCTACTCCAGTCTCCTTGCGCCGCGACAGACAGAGCGACAAAAGTAGAACTAGGAATATTAGAAATAGTAGAAATAGTACTGACTTGAAATACTTTGCAGCTCGATTCAGCCTTTCAGCTTCAGGAGCATCTTTCCGCATTACATTACCACCATACAGCTTCCAATAAAGCACCTATCACGCGAGAGATCGCTCTTCAACTAGCCACTCCGCCTCCAGGCATCGATCGTATACTATGGCTTTACGAACTATGTCGAGTTCTTATTGCGCAATGCAACAGCTTGATAGTCGGCTTCCTTTTTGACACGCCGCCATGTTCGTCCGAAACCTGTCCCGAGATGCGCGCTTCTGAATGGCAGTTTCTATGCGCTGTTCATGACCAACCAAAGAGCTGCTGTGCCATTGACTATTGCTGCCACACACTTGACTGGGCAGCCAATGTCGTCACCAATCCCAAGATTTTCCCCAGCAGATTTGTGGTCATGTCAGATGGTCAGGATAGGAGCACAGGACAGAAGAACCTCATTAATGTCTTCCGTCGCTTGCACAGAATTCTTGCACATGCCTGGTTCCAGCATCGAGGCGTATTCTGGTCTATCGAAGCTCAGACGGGATTGTATGTTTTCTTCAAGACAGTTTGCGACGTATACGACCTCCTACCAGCCGAGAACTACAAACTTCCACCGGAAGCCGAAGGTTTAGAGCCGACACCACTTGACTTAGAAGATAAGAAACTTATAGTGACAGCTATCGCCAAGCCACCATCGCAGCAACACGAGAGCACCGACAATGATAGTCTGCATGCCCGTAGAAGCAATACGGCCAGACATTCCAGCAGACCGTCTACCGGTAGTGCCGTGACGACTGTTATCGAAGAACGAGAAGACGAGCAAGATGTTGCAAACAAGCTTAAGGCTTTACACATCTCCGCCCCCGAGACGGTAGAGGAAGAGTCTGAAGTAGAAGTGCCTGTCATTGTCGAAGGCGACCTAATGGGCAACTCTCCAAGTGCTCCCGAAGCCCCCGAAGCCCCTGCCGCTCCTGTTCTTGCCCCTGAATTCCAATTCCCCAAGCCACAAGTGGATGAGGAGCCACAAGACCCACACGAGAATCCGGAAGGCCAGGAGTCTCATGAGCCACACGTGCTCCAGGAGCAGGAGCAGGAGCAACAAGGTGATGCGCAACCGACATGCAAGATTACTATAGAGGAAGACGTGTCCGTGCCACCCGAGGCTGCCGCCGAGACCAAGACTGAGCCAGCTGAAGACAACAAAGAAGCCTCTCCCCCTGAGCAAGAACAGGTAACCGAAGAGAAGAGCGATGAACCTACTTCGAGCACAGAGGAGCAGGTGGAAACGACAGAAGAGGTCGCCAAGCAACCCGATTCCAGTGCTCCTGAAGATGAAGACATATTCGATACACAGTCTGCCAAGGAAGCTTACAAAGGATTTGAGACCGAAGAGGGGGCAGCATCAAGTTCGAGCAATCTGGACGCGGATTAGGACTTCGTCGCTTCCCTGGAAAGATTCGAACAAGCCGATCCGGTTGAGGTAACGGCGGTCATCGACCGCGCGCGAAGAAGCATTGAGCAGCTCCGCAGCCGATGGGAGGAGACCCTGTATTCAGACGACGTAGACCTTAACAGAGAAACCGATTGGGCCATGGACCGGGCGGCGGCGATCACTGAGAGATTGATGCAGATCCGAACGTCACACAATGAACAAGATGACGAGGATAGGGAACCCGATCCTGGTACTTTTTGATATGGGAACCTAGACTGTAGACCATAAACCTTTATTGTTTTTCTTTGTTATCAAGCCTACTCTATAGGGGCATTAGGGGGGGGGGCTTGATGGGGGGTGATACATGTGTATAAACACTCATCTGGTCTGTATATATAAGGGGGGCGAAGGGGGAACAACGGTTCCGGGTACATAACTAGGGTACATAACTAGGGTACGTGGACCAGGACGGCAAGTAGGCGGATGAGTCTTGTACGTGGTATTATGAGGTCACGAAGGGCAGGTAATTGGCTCACTGCTCTGATTAATAACATCGATGTCTTATACTTTACATCTCCCCCTTTTTCTTTCTTCGGGGTATTGTGTTAAGGGTACCCAACACTTACCTCGTTTACCCGTTTCATGGCTTCGTCCTACGTAGATGGATGTGTGCTGGGAGCGTTTAGTATTCTTCCCCTTACATTCATATGCCTAGGTATCTAGGGTATCTTATCTACATATTTTGACGTTTACACGTAGCAACTCTATATAAAGCATAAAAAAACATAGGTCATCAGCTCCTATCTCCCCTCTCTCTCTACGTAGGTCGTCGGTGGTGGTGAGGCCAGTCAGACGACTGAACATCCCTCAAGCTATGATATAGGTAAATTCCACAAACTCTTTTATTGCCTAGCACATACATGTAGATATTCCGACTCTGGCACTCGGGCATATATCAAGGTGTTTCTCCTACCCCCTTTTTTTTCGATCTGCTTCTACCTATGGTTCGAGGAATAGATAGGCAGTTCGCTATTTTTTATCTGCCTACTAGGCACCTACTTACTTACCTACCTAGGCTAGATGGTAGGGTAGATAGCCCTCTTCTTCGCTCGCTAATATTCTCCTTTCCCGGTGAGCTGGATTTGGATTACCTTAGGTACCTAGTCTGTATAATACGATGTCAACTACCTAGTATCTACTGACTTAGGTACTAGGCAGGTAGCTAGCTATTCTATCTATATCTTTCAAAGTATGTATACCTACCTAGGTACTTGACCCAGTTACCTTACCCTCGTAAAAAAAAAAAAAATCCTACAAAGAGTCTACGATCGCAGGAGAGGGGGGTGAGGGGGCTGAACGTCAAAGCGGGAAGTCTAGGCATGTACCTTGGTTAGTCAGTTGCTGTCATCTCGTTATCAACCCAATGCCCACTCAAGCTAAGGAATGGATTCCATACACATGTCTCTCTAATACCTCGGCACTTGGACGAGGTGTATCCAGGTAGGTGGCGCCATGTTGTCGTCACGGTCCCAGTAAACAGAAGCCGAGCCTAAAGTAGGGCGGCAAGGACCTGGGTAGGCATCCACCCAGGTATTCCCTACATTAGGAATTTTCTTCTAGCTAGCCGTAAGTAATGGAGATACTATCTACGTACTTATTAGGGTATCTGCCACGGCAAGAAACAAGCTGGTATGCGCCTTTTCTCATCTGCTCCTTGCTGGTTGCTTAGGTAGTTGCTTGGTTTCTTGGTATGTATAAGTACGGTTTTTGGTTTAGAGTACTGCCTATCAAGATTGCCCCCCCTCGTCTGTAGGTATGTATATATCATATTGCCATTATGATCGTCTCTCACACAGGCAATGCATAGGTGCGGACGAAACGGCTGTCATATTTGTCCCTCACCCCCCTCTGTCTCCGATCCTGCCTCAACCTAAGGACTGCTTTTACAGCAGGGCCGCTTAGGCAACTATATACATACACACGTGTAGGTGGGTAGGTGTCAAGCCCTATCCGATCTATTGAAAGTAGCAGCATTCCGTTGTTCCTTGGCAGCAAAAAGCTCTAGGTCAAGGGGGAACGGGGAAAAGGGGGAAATAAACCAGGGTAGGTAGAAAATCTTTCTTTTAGTTGCTAATTCCCGAAGCTAGACCTGGGATGGCTCATGGTGAAGGTGGGAAGTAGAAGGTATAGTAGATAGGTAGGTAGGTAGGTAGAGTCAGGCCCTGGTAGACAGGTACATGCAGGTGTGCAACTTGAAATGAGGTTGTTGGTGCGGTGCGTTAGGAGGTGAGAGGGGCTGCATATTTGCCACCGCGGCGGCGGGTGGATGCCAAGAATGTTGTACATGTTAGAGGGCGCTAGCCCGAGCTGCATGTTGGAATTACATTTTAATGTATTGTGTTGTATTTAGTACCTGCCTGCCAACCTGCCTGGTAGATTAGCTGGCTTGGTTTGCTAGGCAGGAATGCTGTATATGTAGGTGATTTCCGGAGCCCGGACCGTTGGTACGCTGCGGGATAGAAAGTCGAGGAACCCAGCCCGTCGGGAGAAACTAAGGGGCTAGTCGTGATAAGTAGATCGCCCTAAGCCGCATACTCGTACGATTTCTTCCCAGATCTGCTTTCCCCCGAGTCCCACTCTCGAAAAAAAAAATTGCTCCTTACCGCGGCATCTAAATCTTTCACTCGGGTTATCTAGAATTTGTAGGTTGATCTTTTCGTCTGATGTATGTACCTAGGTAAGTAGATAGGGAGGGCCTCGGACTAAGATTCTATCGAGCAATACGAAGGGATCCGCAAGAAAACAAGAGAGAGACGGAAGAAGGGAGAAAGAGATAGGCTTGGATGACTGTTTTGAGGCTGGCAGGTAAAGCTTCTCTATCTCAGGTGCTTTGCATGAACATCTCTCCGGTAAGATCCCCCCCAACCAAATTTCATAAGGAGTTTAACGTTGTAATATCTGGCCGCATAGTCGGTCGGTCTCATTAAACTTTTTGCTGGTTCCCAAAGTTCCCCTGGTCCTGCAGTGCAGAGTCGCATTATCCTCCGGCTGCATTTTCGCCGCATCGACATCATGATTTCACACCGTAGCCTGCTTCGGCCTCCTGACCGTAATATGACTTCTGTGGGTACCTATCAGAAGCTGGCTTGTCATCGATGATGTGTAGGTAGAGCCTCATCAACCTAGACTCTTGTGATTTATTGGAGTGTTCTTAACCGGTAACCTACTAGACTTACTAGGTAGTAGGTAGATACCTCGTAAGCATGCGGCAAGCCGCACAAGTGATTATCTCACTTCTTCAGGTAAAATATCTGTACAATCATGGCCCTAACCCGGCCATCGCGTAGTTCTGGAGTTCAACCTCTGTTTCCTTTCACACATACACATACACAAAACACACATCTCAGAACGTTGAAGCGCCGCTATTCGATCCACCGGGTGAGAGCACTTCTTCGGGCTCGTGGTTGAGGCGCATCTTGGCGAAAATGGCACTGATTTCGCGGAGGGATTCCGTCTGTTGCGAGACGGGGTTCGCATTGCGCTCGTCCGCGAACGTGCGGATACTTCGTAGGACGGGGCTCAGACCTTCGTCGTTCGGGAGCCACCACTGTATGCAAGAAGGATCCCGGAATATCTCTGCCATCCGGGCTCGTATGGTAAGGGGGAAAACGTATCTAGATTATAAGAGAAGAATTAGTGAATAGCCAGTGCCATCTTGCAGCAGACACTGTTACATGGTTTTTTTTCGAGATGGTGGTGTTGGGAATACCAAAGAAAAGAAGAAAAAAAAGGAGGCAGTAAATAAACAGGCTGTAAACTCACCCAAGTGATTCCAGCATCGCATATTTCCGTCTTAACCACATGTGATGCCTATCATCCCTTGGGAGGAACAAAGCCGCTATAGCAAGGCAAGCCTGGATGGGTATAAGCGCACCGCTCGGCGCCGGGGGCCACAACTCCACCATCTCGAAGATCTCGCATATCGCGTACGCCAAGCCCCTCAGCTCATCCGACGGTTTCTGCTGCAGCGCAAACGCTTCCTGGCTCTTGTGCATAACCAGGATCGAGTGCCACTCCGCCACCACCACCGTCGTCCAGAATAGCGGAAAGTCGTACAGATGGCCCGGCTTGTACGGGTCTATGATGTCCTTCTCGCCCAACGGGACCCGGTACTTGAAATCGGTTACGAGGTACTTCGGATCGGTCAGCGCGGGGTCCAGCTTCAGTTTATTCCTCCACTCGTAGAGGCGGTTCGTGATCTGATCGTGCTCGACCACAAAATCCTCGCCCGTAAGCTCGCCGCGGCCGCCCCGCGCGTACAGGATCGACATGTCCCTCGAGATCAGCCGCAGCGCCGAAGCGTGGAGCTCCTGCTTCATCCGCAGGTTGCGCGGGTCCTGCTCGATCTGCCCCTGGCAGAAGTGCACGGCGGTCGAGAACCACTCGCGCGGCAGGCTCGTCTCGAACCCGCCCATCATCCCCACGAAGACGTCGAAGCGGATGTACCAGGTCAGCAGGATGCGGGACGTGGGCGAGTCCATGATGGTCTGCGGCGTGAACAGTCGCGTCAGGATCTCGAACGCCGCCCGCTGGTGCCCCATCAGGTTCACCCAGTCGCCTAGGTATTCCTTTTGTGAAATCAAATCATCATCAGTTTACAGCTTTCCTCGAGGGATGGGAGGGAGGGGGAACCTAGGTGTTTACCTCAATAGTTGCCAGCTGCAAGATCGTCAGCAGCGTCGCGATGCTCTGCTTCTCTCGCCTCTTGAGACAGTTTAGAAGCAATGTGACGCTTTTGTTGTAGTAGCGCAGGAAATCTTGAATCTTGCCATTGGGATCCCGAACCGTTCGATGGTATGCCGAGAACCCCACCACCGCGTGCAAAAGCGCATCGTTACCGGGCTGTACCGCTAGGATGGGTAGTATCGAGTGGAAGAAATCGTCCATATCGTTAACCATGCCATAGTTGAAATGGGTGATGTGATCACAAAAGCACGCCAAGTGGTGCTGCAGCTCTGTGGGGAGGTGAGACCAATCCGGTCGAGAAGCTGTCAGCTGGAGTGCAGGGTCAGGAACTTGAAAGGATATCGTGAAGCTGGAAGGGGTGCCTGCTGATACGGTTGGCGAAGTGTCCACCGAAGGCGCTTCGGAGCTCTGCCGTGTCAGGGTCTTGGTAGCACTCGAGAATGACGCCGTACTGGTTCTTCGTAACTCTGACACGGAATGCGACGCTGGCGATAAAGATTCCGCGGCTTCGTCCTCGTCAACTATCGTCTCGAGTTTTATCCCTCTTTCCGTTTCCTCGTCTGCTTCATCTTGCGAAGACGTCGGGCTGTGTTCTGGACCGTACTCCGCCGCGTCTTTCGATGAACCTGATCCGGAGGCCTGTCCCTTTGCCGAAGGAGGCTCAGGGTAAACACATTCCCTCTTGCCTTTACGACAGCCTGCGACCGTCAGCTGTTGGTCTGGATATGACTGGGACGGTGGGGTTACTATGTTAGGTACTTACGCTCACAGATGGGGTGGGTTTCATCACACTAAGGCCAATATCAGTACTACTATACCAACACAACGCAACCCATTGCTTACTTTGACTCGTCTGGTTCGACAGGTATAACACCCCGATCGAGTTCGGCGGTGTTTTACATGGTCCGTTCCCGGCGTAGATTTCTTGCGACTTCGATTACTTTGGGCTTTGGGGGGTTGGAACATGATGGGACCAGGAAAGCCGGTGAAGTAGCCTAAGCTTTGATACGGAGTTGCTACGGGCGGGCTGGCATTTCCCATCTGTGCAGACTGTTGCGGAGGCTGATATTGGGCATCTTGGGGGCTAGGATTTGGTGCCTCCCCAGTCCCCGCCATGGAGGATAGGTAGTGTTGGTAGTAGTCACTCATTGAAGGTTTTCGTTGGGCGGAGCATTCGATGAGCGTTAGTAGTTAGCTGAAGCGACTCAAGTCGGTAAGGATCAAAATCCCTCCGTAAGAAAAGGCCTGTGGCAAAGCTTTCGGCACAGATGGGGTTCAGAGAAAAAAAAATGTCGTAATCGATAAATCGCAAAAATTCGGTGTTTTCTTCGAGATAGTAAAACACAAAGGATGATGAATTCTTGGAAAGAATGGTCTTCCTAAGGGGGAAAAGGCCTCTCCTATCCACCACACAATTGGCCTTGGAGTCTCTAAAAAATATTTAGGCGCAGTCGACGATTCGTGCTTGATAGGCGTAAGATTTTGTTAGAAGCGGATGACTACTGGATCCCAAGGGACCGATATAGAAAGAATGGGTTTGTTCCAACACACTCATCGAGCAGAGAAGTTCCTCTAGCCAATGAGTGGGCATCAAAGTGAGCTCGAAGAGGGCTTTCTACACCTAAAGCGCTCCCCCCCCCTTCGTCCCTGTGGATTCTTTCAGCCTGGCTCAACCCCTCCCTCTCAACACGAGATGACTTGACAAATACTCGATAGTGCCGTTTTTTAGTCCGTAGTTGTAGGAATGATGTTATTTTAAGTCTGGGGAAGTCTCTGGTAGTTACTGCTGGCGTGCTTGGCTTAACTGTGTCAGGCCGCGCTGCCTAAAGTAGTTTACAATCAATCCAGAAGCTTTATGGCAATGGTTACCAGTAGCTGGGAAGCATTGAAGATGGAATACTTGTGGGGCTCTGTGTGGTATACCTTGCAGAAGTCCCCCCCCCTTTAGTGCTGCTGAGTCTGTACTCTGTAGTGTACTATGTATTGTATTGTATTGTACAAGTACCTACCCAGGTGTGTATAAGAAGCAGGGTATCGAGGATCTGCTGACAGGATGATAGCTACAGCGGGGCTTCTTCATGCAGCGGATAACCAAGGAGTCGAGGACAAGGTACCATGGGATAGAAGCCGATCCTGGGTTTCGGCAGGTTGTCCCTCGGGCTGTTGGAACTGCCCACAATTCCCCAAGACAGGACCTAAGAAAAGGCCCGGCGTAGAGTACCTAAAGCAATCGACTGCCTATCAATACTGGTAGCTGGTCTCCTTTGCGCTGGTCTGGTTGGCTCCAAGAAGACTAGTGATGTAAGACTAAAGGTACCTACCCAATACGTAGGGTATGAGTGCTGCTTTTTCAAGGCTGAAATAGTACCTTGCTATTACCTATCATCGAGAAATCCTCCTAGGGCGAAAAGGAGACGGCGCGGGCCCGGTATCGAAGGAACGAGGTCATGGCGAAAACGCAAGAAAGAATTGGATTTAGAAGGAACTTATTCAGGGGTGGAGTTTTTGAGTGAGCCGGGATGTAGTGCTAAAGGAGCGACAAAATCGCGTGCGCGCGTGGGAGAGGGTGAGAGTGAGAGTGAGAGAGAGAGACTTGCTCAGTTTGACGTCGTTATTTCAGGACCCAGGGTTAACAGTATTGTTTTAGGACTGCTTGAGCTAGATTCACTAGGTTGGGAAGGTTTTGCCGCTCGTGGGGGATGACAGTATGATGAATTCCCCCTTTTGTAATAAGAAGTTGGGTAAAGTCGAGCAGAGCAGCCATAACCCGTTACTCTGGCACATAAATAGGTATTGATTACATTGTCCCTGTTACTTACCTACTAATTAGGTATACAATACAATAGAATACAAGTGTCAAGCACATACCTAGGTACCTACTGCCCGGTACAGTACGCAATAAGGGTTGTTCCCGAGTCCATAACTAGTATCTAGTATCTACTATGTGGTAGTTGGCGCTACTTGCAACAGGGGCATCCCTGAAGTGGAAAGATGCAGCTACTAGCATAAGTGGGAGTTAGGATGTTAGGGAGAGGAACCGATGATACGCACCCATTTGATATTTGCCCATATCTTTCTTGCCAAGCTAATCCAGTGCCATAACTCTCACGGATGTGTTTGGTGATCTTTCTTACCTTGACAGTTGATCCAGTAAGAAGCCGTGGAGGCTCAAAACGTCATTTCCAAACAGTAAGGATACGTAAGGGGGTAGGTTTGGGGGGGTTAGGGGGGGTTAGGGGGGGAGGGGGTTTAGGGGTAATGAGAAAAAAAAAAGGATACAGTATCGTTCCCAGAAAAAGATAAGACGACGATACGGCGGATGTGACAAGGGTCTTTCATCCAGGGCCATGGGGTCATGTACCCAGTCAGCCAGTGAGCCAGGCAGCGGGGAACTGGGGCGCACACACCGGGCTAAGATCCTACCACGCGGTTTGATCAACGGCGGCTAGTGAGATGTATTCGATCTGTTGATCTCATAAAGCCATATGAGACGGATGAACGAAATCTGAAGCTTAAGTGGCCCATCCGCCCATATTTTACTCTAACAAAGTATGTATGAGACATATCAAGGTAGATTACTGGGAATTATGTATAATTTGTAAGTAGGCACTATGTAAGCACTGTATTTATATATCTACAAGTTGTATACTTGTATTAATAGTATTGTACATAACTGTAACCAAGGTCTGTTACGTACCCAACTACCATAGGTAAGTATAACTAGCTTGAATATGACATACTAGCCTAGATGTGCCGTGAGAGCCGTATACACGTATTTGATATTTAACACATGTGGCTAGTAGCTACTATCGATCGACGAAGAAGAAGAGAGGGAAACCTAAAATAAATAAAGAATCTAACCTAGCGGCATGTGTAGCCCGTGGAGCGATGAGAAGTGGACTAGGTAGGTAGGTTAGCCGGTACTAGGTATCCCGTATCCCGTCGAGGGTGTAGGCCCGGCCCTTTTAGCCCGACAAAACCCATTTTGGCCTATGTCGTTGATACTACGTTAGCTACTGTACTAAATACCTACTATGTAGGTTGCAAGCCACGAAATATCGCTGATTGGATCCGTCATAACAGGGACCCCTAGAGCTCTGGGATTATTTACTCTAATAGCAGGGACTGAATAGAACAGGGACAAGGTAGTCGGGGAGGGTGTGCTCGAGCACAGATCAGAGTGTCCGAGCAACCAATCCAGGATTATGTACCTATACTATCTAGTTTACTATATTAATTAGCAGAAGTATTAGTCCTTAGCAGCTAACTATTATGAGAAGAAAAAAGATGGAAGACAATGAATTCGCGAATGAGATAAGAAAGTTGAGGCTGATGATGAATTGACTACATTGACTACATGTATAAGCCAAAAAGGGTTGTGGAGTCTACAGCATTAGTTGGCCTTGAGGCGCGATGATGACGATAGAAATATTTTCATATGCTTGACTACCTACCCAGACAGCTTACCAAGTAAGTAGTTAGCTCCTTAAAGGTAACAGCAAGGAAGCAAACTGATGTCGTAGGTGGCTGGGATGGTTTGGAGCAACGAAATTCGGCCGACTTGAGTGGATTCGGGCGAAATGATACTATGTAACCGGTATCCTGTGCAGAAATATCATGGTCATGGCGCATGGAGAATTAATCACAACACTCTGATAATTGTCCTTTTACCTAAGTTAACAAGTGTTACCTACCTACACAGTACCAAGTAAGTAATCATGCGTACGCCGTAATACTATGGTAGTTGATCACGATCGACAGGGACCGAAGCATGTTTAGATAGTGTATGTTAGAGGTATGTAGGAACATACATTGCGTGAGGCTTCATCAACGAGGATGATGATTCGCTTTTAATGGCATCGTTCACTATTGACAAGGTCAACTCTTAGCACAACCCTAGATGATAAGTCAGTGATTATACATATGGAACTAGGGATTAGAGGATTAATTAGTATACGGAGTACTATGTAACTACCCTCGGAATGTTCCATTTGTCTTTTGTGATGTGAGAGTGTGAGAGTGTGAGAGTGAGAGTATGTAGGTACTTACCACTACCTCCTATTCGGTGGATCGTCCCATCGTTACATCCGCGCATCTCAACTTATGCCTGTCCTGGATTTCCGGCATGTACATATAATAGCATGCCGGAAATCAGGGGTAGCACTTGTCAGGAACAATCTCATAGATCCCGCCATCAAGGATTCAAGGTATGTGGTTTTCAGGAATTCTTGGCTGGATCCTTTGAACCCATAGAAGCATCCTCTCGAAACATCATCATCATCATGAACCCTACCATAGATTGTGGGTGTTTGTGGGTGTTCAAGTCCATAATGACACAGCTTATGTGCGTAATCTGATCACAGTGCACATTGTTTATATATACCGTGATCATTATAACCACGATAGCCCCAGCCCTAACCCTTAGGGACCCTTACAATGAATGACAAAAATGTGGATGACGGACGAATTGGTTACTTATTTTGCTGTATTCCAGGTTGGCTAACAGGCAATTGATTATATTAGAATTTTCTATTTCTATGTACCCAGAGTATATACATAGTAATAGTAATTATATCTTTCGTATACTCGTATTATCATTGTAACATCGTATCATCGTATTCGTCACCCTTATTAGAGGTTCTAAGAATTTAGGCAGTCATCCAGATTCTTCTGCAGGTAAGGTACTGTAGGTAGTATGTATGTAGCTACTTGTCTGTCACTTAATTTGGGACTTTTTATATATCGGACTCCTCCTAATGGCCGGGAACTGCATGATAAGCCTCATCTTATTAGCTATCTGCACTTCACCGCTTGAGCCTCCTAAAAATTCTCCACTTCTGAAGGATTACCTTAGTATTATAAATGCAGTGCTAATGCAATAGTTCTTGCATCGATGTACTGTAATGTAGGTGCCTTGAACTCCGCATTTTTTTTTCAGCTGAAATAGCCGCGGCACGTTACGACCTGCGTTACCGCAGCGGTAAATTACCGTCATGTGAAATTGACATGTTATCCTACTCATCCTAGACAGAGTGATTGGATTATAAGATCTATCTCATGTCAACGCAGCGGAGTTACAAAACCTTCTTTGCTGGGCAAGAGTACTGCGTAGTAGGCCGGGAGCAGTCACTCAGACTGTTGATTTGTCCATACGAAGGATTCCAGGTTCGCAGGGTTTGGAAGAGCAGGCCGTCTGGAATCTGGATATACCTATCTACTGGTACGATAGGGCTATACATTTGGTAGGTACCGGCCGAACAATGGGAGCAAAATCCTGGTTGAAGTTCTTTTTGTGGTTGCAGTTACAGCTGCTGAAATGACGGTAGCAAATTATCATCCCTAGGAGATGGAACCTAGGATATGGATGGAGCTAAACCTATCTGAACACGCTGCTTGAGGGTGGCGGCTACGTAGATCCGAAAGTGCGAAGTTCCCGACTGTACGGAACCATTGCTTCTTTTATAACGGAACTTTGCAGAAATCTTACGATATTTCATGCAGAGAAGCTTAAGGGCTGCCGCAGAAATCGACATCCCCACGACCCTTTAGTTCCATTCCAAGCATAGAATCCCTTAGCTCTGATTCTTACCTACATATGTTGGTCATATAGTCCCTTCTATAGGTACCTGGGCAAGCTTTAGGTAGGTACAAAACACACTGTTGGTTCAAGGCTGACGCTGTTATTAATAACCACTAATTACCAACCACATATACTGCACTATACTAACCTAACCTAGGTATATACAAGGCTGCCCACCAACAACTTGAAGCATAACTTACGCATTCTTTGATTCGAACATGGTGCGTTGAGTTATGGATCACTAGAAATGGTCTATTGAAATAAACGAATCGAGTGATGAGTGTGCACGACTGTACTTCCCACGAGTATTTTTCGCAGACACCAAGTAACGGAGTAACGGCGACTACAAACCCTGAAAAAAGACTAATACATAATACCGCGACCTTGACAGCCAAGTACGCTTCCAAGTAGCGTCGGGAAAATAACGGCCTTACGTTCTTTCACCTCGTCACCTTGCTGCTCCGTCTCGATCCCCGAGTACTATACGATATGGAACGTCCGTCGCCGTTGTCTGCTCTCGGACTCGCTATCTAGACGGGTCAGGTGGATCCTCGGATGCGCTCCCCCTACATAGCAGATCAGCACTCTCCAAGGACCAGGAAGAGTAGCGCAAGGCCTATGTATGTGTCACGTCAACCGCTACGGCGGACCCACGGGGATCAGACACTTATGATCGTCAGAACTTACCTTTATCGTGGCCCGCTTCGGCTGAAGTTTCCCAAGTTTTGCTGCATCTGGACTTTTTCGACGATGGATCCCATCGCAACGTACTAGGTAGTTCACGCCTCGACTTGCCAGTACCAATCGCACGCAAGATGTGGGAGAACGTAGCTTGGGACTAGCGTTCAAGATGATTATCAAAAGTCGGCAAAACTTCCCATGTCTGTGGTTATGGGAGATTTGTGGTAGCTAGGTAAGCTTGAATGGCTCCGAGCTGCAAGGAAAGAGTGTGGCAGAAGATGAGTTTGTGTAGGTACACGACCAAGATGGTTGGATTTGACTTATCCAATTTCTCTGCGCGGCATGACCGAGCCCTAGCTTGTTCTGGAGCTTCTTGACGAGCGAGGTGCCGACGTCAAGATGCGAGCGGGTTTTCTCAACAAAGAGCTCAGTCATTGTGGGGGAGGCTTTGGATGTTGGCCTTAAAGACCAAAGTCTATGGATTTGATATCATTCTTTTGATATCGCACATCGTCGACCGCCACAGCCGACAGACCATCGCACCAGCTTTAACCATGGAAGAGAGAACCGCCGTGCTAAGGTGTGAAATTGACGAGACCAAGGATCTACATGTACTAGAGGAGGACTCTAACACCAAGCGGATTTACCCGGGCCTCTTGGAGTGCTTACTTGCCTTAGAATGGCTAGGACAACATGTAGAACGTGATGATCCTGGGGCTGATAGTTCAAAGACCTGGCAGGCAAAGTTACGAGCCCTCGATCATATGCGTACTGGTAAGAGTAACGATTTGGAGAGAGATATAAGGGATGTATAGGTAGGTAGTTTTGCAAATGGCAACATTTGTGGCTTGCTTATCCAGATTCATGTAGTATTATCATAAATATAAATGTAAAAATAGTTCCCTTAATCAAATCTACTATAAATCAGACTTGAAATGTGACACGATCGTTCAACGTCTACAAAAAACGCCATAATCGTTTTCGAATTCCCTGTGACAAGCATCAGGGAACAGCGGGAAATGCCGCAACATACCTAGACCTAGGTACAATACAATAACTACCTGTCGTCCCGTCACGGCGGAATCGTCTTTCCGGGGGCGTTCTTTTTTCAGTACGGTAGGTAGCACAACACAAAGCACGAAAAAAAGCATGATCAACCTGCCCAAAACGGACCAATGCATCTGGATTTGAGGTTTCCCGTCACCATGGGATCCTCACCCGTCCTACCACAACGGTAGAATAGTAAGCCTCATATGCAGAAGAAACGCCCGTTCACGCATTGGTGTTGAGATCTTGGCAGCAGCAGCAGCAGCAGCAGAAGACAAACAAAAACAAAATGGGATCGATCCCTTGCGATCACCCAGCTTTGGGTACAATACATGGTGGCGCTAAAGGGAGGATCCGTCCGAGCGTATCGACGACATCAGTTCACTAGCGGTGAGGCTTTTTTTCTTTTCCTTTTTTCTTTCCTTCTTCAGGCAGTGTACTATGTAGGTATTGTACATAATTAAATGAAGACCGGTTCTTCCGACCAACACCTTGCCCCTATTGCCCGGGTTCAAGGTGCCTGGTGCCTGCATTAGTTGGGGTAAGCTGTTATACCGATATCTCCGGATCAGGGGCCGCGAAAGAACAAAAATTTGAAGTTACAGTCGCCCCTGAAGACGGCATTTTATCCCCCTCGGAGCGGTCTTTGGCCGGGGTTTGCACAATTCGTGTAAAGCCCCTAAAGAAGCACCTTGCCCGATACTCGGCGGTGGATGTGGTATAGACAGCCTCATCAACGTGTATAACCGTTGGGGAAAAAAAAGGAAAAAAAAGGAGAAAGTCAACCCCTTTCTCGATGACAATTCGGGTTCCATGAAGATCTGTCAATGTCGAATTCGGACTTGATAATTTCCACCAACCTTGCTTGATGGATACGTCAGTTTGGGGGTCGTCGATATCATCCATGCTACGTTCACATCATTGTCGCAATGGGGGGCGTCTGCCCTAGGTATGTACGAAATTGTATGATAGTATCCCTATATGCATGTATCCGCTCTCTATTATGTGTATAATCAATTTATTCATCTAAGAATGTTGATTAAATCCATTGAACAATGAATTGAACTCGGCGCCGTTAAAGGTCCACTTTATGGGCCGAATTAAGCTTAATAGGAGCCACTACTAGTAGTAGTCACGTGGTCATGTCAGTCGATTTTTGTACTCTTTGACCCTTCGAAGGATTTGAAGTTTGAAGTTTGAACCCCTTTGACGTCTCGTCTCACATTTCACCATACAACAACTTTATTGTTTGACATCTTGTTTTCTTTTTCTTCCTTTTCTTTTTCGACTCTTTTTTCTTTCAAAGAGGTAAGAAAGAAAAAACTGTATTTGTATTATAACTATACATTTGTAAAGGTAGAAGATGCTCCTTGCTGGACAAGTAGTACCATAGAACCTTGGAATTCCCAGGTCAATTACTGTGTAATACCTTACTATCTACCCTACCTACCAAGGGCAAATCTGGTACCTAGTAACTACTTAGGTACTGACACGTCATCATGGATTTATCCTTCTTAAACAGCCTCGATAAGCTCGAATTAGATGCCAGCTCCATTTTTCTGCTATCGGTAACCATCTTGGCTTTCTTAATACCGGTGCTTGTCATCTTGCCTCCCGTCGGCATTCAGAAGAGCGATGCCTTGATCCAGACTCACACCAAAGCCGGCGTCGAGGGGGAAAAGAGCAATCTGAAGAACCAATCCTCGCCCGAACACGCCGCACAGGATGGCACCTCCCCAAGAATACAGAGCTTGGTCATCTTCCCGGTCAAGTCATGCAAGGGCATCGAACTGACCCGGAGCAAAGTACTTCCATCCGGACTTCAGTTCGATCGCCTCTTCACATTCGCTCAACTCAAGAGCCCCTTCCCCGTCGCTGTGGACTCGACGGATGAGGAGAAGTCAAAACACAAATGGGAGTTTATTACTCAGCGGCAGTTCTCTAGGCTCGCCAACATCACCGTCGACCTCTGGCTACCGGATGAGATGAAGCTGCGCAAGCAATCCATGAGGTCGACGGAAGCCTTCCTAATCCTGCGATTTCCTTGGAAGGAAGACGGCTGGCGCGGCCTGTGGTCGATGCTCACCGCTAAGCTTGCGAGGGGCCGGTCCGCCGAGCCCGAGATCGAGGTCCTGCTCCCGGTGGACTTCCCATCGGCGGACGAGGTCAAGGAGCGCGGCTACACGTTCGAGGACGTCAAAATCTGGAAAGATACCGTCCACGCTCTCAACATGGAAAGAGACCTCCCCGATGAACTCCGGCGGTATCTAGGCGTCAGCAACAAGCTCGCCCTCTTCCGCGTCGACCCGACCGAGCTGCGCGAGATCTACCGATGTGCCCCGCGTAAAGAGGAAGCCGGCTACCAACCCGTGACCGGATTTCAGGATGCTGTATGTGCTCCCCTCCCTGCACCCGAACTTCCTTCATCTCATCCAAGCTAACGCAATATCTAGTATCCGCTTCACCTGATGAGCCTAAGCAGTTTACAAGAATTCAGCAAAGAGGTGCCTAAGGATGATGCTCTGCGAGAATTGGATGTACTCAGATTCAGACCTAACATCATTCGTAAGTTTGCAACTGCGGAAACCCCCCTCCCTTTCTTATCTCTAACATCCCCTAGTCTCCGGCGCCCCGGCCTACGAGGAGGAAACGTGGAAGCAGATCCGGCTGAAGCCAGGAACCTCGGGTTTATACAACGACGCAGTATTCCATGTATCATGCCGAACCGTCAGGTGAGCCTTTTTTTCTTTTTACCTCCCGCCAGTCCCCCTTCTCCCCAACACATACACACACATTTATATATACCCAACACTTTGAATTTGAACCACCAAAGCATAAATCACTAATACACACGCTAACCATACAGCGACCCCAGATGCAAGCTCCCCAACGTCGACCCAAACACGGGGATCCGCCACCCGAGCGAGCCGGACAAGTCGCTCCGCACGAAGCGGAACGTGGACGAGGGGGCCCCGCTCCTGGGCTGCCTCGGCATGCAGCTCACTCCGCTGTTCGACCCCAGCCTCGGCGAAGACCGCGAGGGCTGGGTGGCCGTTGGCATGACCGTCGAGGTCGAGCAGCTGGGCAACCACGTGTATACCAAACAGTGAAAGAAAAGAAATTCTCTCCTCTTCTCTTTTACTTCTGTACCATCACGCCAGGGAAAGACAGACAGATAGATAGACATATATGTATATACGTGTGTGTATGTTCATGGTACAAGATGGGCCACACAACACTTAAATAATACCTAACTAGGGGTTTTCACAAGAAAAATTCAAACAAGGGGGGAACGAAGGAGGAGGACGACGCCAGATTTAGATCAATGTTACTCTGATGAGCACCTTAGATATAGAGGATGTAGCTGGAAAAACCTACTCAAATACCTAAGCATCACATCATCACAACTGGAATAATAGATAGTAATTAGAGGTTAGCAAGGTCGTTATCATATCGTGCTTCTCAAAAAGGTTGTCTTGTCTTCAAACGAGCAGCATACTCCTGCCTGCCTTGTCGTCTATAGCATGGTAATACGCCTATGTACTAGGTAGGTATAATAGGTATTCACCAGACACACAAACACGCACACGTACATACATACAAGAGGCGTTCATGAATGGATGTCAGTCAGTCAGTCAGTCATCAATCCGTTCCTACCCCTACCACTATCCCTATCCCTATTTCCTATACCAACCCTCCCTCCCTCTCAAGAGTTCACCAACCAATCATGCAATCGTCATCCATCGAGCCTCAAAAATTCCTTAATAGCCCCTTTCATCTCATTGATCTCATTGATCTCATGTCTACGGGCCATGCAAGTCCTTTTTTTCTTCTTCTTTAGAACGCTCCTCATAAACCAGAACTCCTCCCACGCCAACCCTCGCGTAACATAAACGCGAATGAAGAAGGAAGGAAGGGGATGCGCTTTTTTTTATTTTATATATAGGATTACTTGAAGTCTGCTGGGGTGAGAGCCTGGACCATGCTGGTGCCCTCGCTGAAGCGGGTCCTGAAAATGCGGTTGGCGTTCTGGAACATGCCGTCCTTGAGGGAGACGACAATGAATTGGGAGCCCTTGAATCGCGTCTTGATGAGGCGGCCAATGTTTTGCGTGTGCGATAAATCTAATGCCGCGTCGACCTCGTCTAGAATGTACATGGGTGCTGGTTTGAACTGGAGGAGCGCCATGATGAGCGAGAGCGCCACGAGTGACCTGTTTGTGGCTTGAGTTAGTATTGTGACACATATATATAAGATCGAGAGGGTATCGTACCGCTGGCCACCACTCAACTCTGTCAAGCTTTGCTTCCACACTTTGCCTAGGCAGACCTTGACCTCTAGTCCTTCGTTGATGGTCTTGTTCTCGGGTGGATCCAACTTGGCGAAGCTGCCACCAGGCAACAATTCGGAGAATATCTGACCAAAGTCACCGTTGACCTTCTCCCAAGTCTGCAAAAGGGCCTTTTTCTTGTAATCGTCGAGACTAACAATGGTCTCCTCGATCTTGCGCTTGTCGCGGATGACAGTCTTCATCATGTGTTTGAGCGACACCTCCTTCTTCTCGACACTATCGATCATGTTCATGACCTTGGGGTTGATCTTTTTCTTCATGCCCTGGAACCGATCGGTGAGCGTCTTGAGCGTCGCCTTACACTCTGTGATGTTCTGGCCCTTGAAATCGTATGGCGTTCCAGTGCGGCCGAAATTTTCCTTTTCGTCAGCAATCCAATCATATTCCTTCTCCATATTCGCGACGCTCTGTACAGCGTGTTGTTGCTCTTTGTGGAATTTGTCGACCGTATGACCAAGCTTCTGCTTTTCGAGGCTTTCTTCGGTAATCCGAGCATTCTTTGACCGAATAGCGTCTTCCAGAGCGCGAAGCTCATCATCGAAGCCTGTTAATTTAGCCCTTTCATCGTCAAGCTCAGCTTGCGCAAGATCGTGGGTTTCCTGTAGCTCTGATTGTTTCTTGATAACCTCTTCGATCTCCTGTTGCTGTGATTTGATGGCTAATTCGACCTCCTGTAGCTGTTCTCTTGCGGAAGCAAGATCACCGGAGACCTGTTCCGAATCTAGCTGAGCACTCTGGAGTTCCTTCTGTAAGGACTTGACGGCACTCGAGTTCTTCGCTAACGTATCTCGCAATTTATCCAAGGAAGCCTGGAGCTCCACAAGCTTTGAGTCCTTGTTATTTTCGAAATCCTTCATGTCCTTTTCTATCCTCTTGACATCCGCAGTAGCTTCAGCTTGTCTTCTCTTTGCCTCAGCACTATTATTCTTGAGCTGTACGATAGTCTCCTTCATATTCTCAACCTCCTGAATAATCGATGAGGAAGAATTGCCACTGATCTGCTCCTCGGCAAGCTTGATTTCATGCACCTTGAGATCAAGGTCCTGCTTAATCTTACGAGCCTGGTCGAGTTTAGATTTCTCTCGCGAGATTTTAGACTGAAGGTCCTTTTGGGAACCCTCAGCCTCCCTGAGCTGGCGGTTGATCTCGTTTAGCTTCTGCAACGTAACTAGCACGCCGCTGGATTTTGGCGCGCTTCCACCTGATAGCGTACCCGATGGATCATAGGTATCCCCTTCGAGAGTGATGCTTCGCATTCGCACATTCGGGTCGAAGGCCATCTTCTTCGCAGTGTCGATATCCTGGCATATTAAAGTATTACCGAAGATGAACTCCATAGCTGCAGATACCTCATCGTCATACCCTACGAGCGACAAAGCTAGGTCAGCCTTACCTGGGGCGAATGCTTGCGCCGGGGGTTTAGATGTTACAATTTTGTTCAACGGAATAAAGGTGACTCTTTTGCGTAGCTTGCCACCCTGTAATAATTGCGTGCCCGTCGTTTGGTTATCCACAACAACATTGTAGAGGCGGCCACCAGCACATATCTCCAAAGCAGTACCGGCTCTGGTATGCTCCTTGTCAAGAGTAAAGAGTTGCGCAACCAGGCCTTTAACTTTTGAGTGATCGAAATCAGGGGTTGGATCAGCGTAGTAGAAGTCGATATTGGCAACCTTGCGCTTTAAGACATCTGCCTCTTGGCGCAAGTTCCTGATAGTCTGCTGTAGAGTCGATTCCTGCTTATATAATTCCTCTTCTTGCCCCGGCTCAAAACCAAGCTTCCCGAGCTGAGCTTCTAGCTTTTGCGATTGAGCTTTAAGGCCCTCCAATTCTTTCAAAAGTCCTGCGTTCTGCTCCTTGGCTTTCTTGGCTCGGGGCTCTTCCTCCTTGATTCGCTTCTCAAGATGGGCAATCTTGATCTTCGCCTGTTCTTGTTCAGTGGCAGCAGCGGCTACGCGGTTCCTCGCGTCTTGCAACTGACCCTGATAACCGCTCTCTTGCCCTTCCTTGGATGCGACACCGGTTTGTAATGTCTGAAGCAACTCCTCCTTTGACTCGGCCTCTTGACTCTGCTTCTCATTCGCCTCCTTTGCTGCATCGTATTTAGCCTTGGTTTTTTCATAGGCTTTCGTCTTCTCTTTTAATGTCGCCTCCAATTCAGCAACATTCTTCTGTACCGCCGTCTTTCTCTCCTCTTCCTCAGCTTTACTCGACTTCTTCAAGTCCATCACGGTGGCTAGACGAACAAGCTCGTTGGAATGCTTCTTGACGTCGTCCTCCAAGGCCTGGGCTTTCCCCCCCTTTCTGAGTTCTTTATCCCTCTGCGCTTTTACTCTCTTGAGATCTTCCTCGAGATGGGATATCTCACTCTTCAGTCTAGCAGCAGATTCTTCGAGGGCTGCTTGTCGCTGTTGCTTGTTTTCGAGGTCTGTCGCAGACTGTTCTAGGTTTTTTTGGAATCTTACGTAGTCATGCGCAACTACCACTCTCGTTAAGCGCTCTAGGTCATTCTGTGTCTGCTGGAAATCGAGGAAGGCCCTTTTCTCCGTTCGTAACTTCTCGAGCTTGGGCTCAATTTCGTCACGCAGAAGCTCAGTAATCTCTTGCAACTTCATTTCCTTCTTAGCCATCGTTTTCAGGGCCTTGTCCCTCCGGTCCTCGAACATCCTTGTGCCAGCTGCTTCTTCAATCATGGCTAATATTTCGACCGCCTTCATATTCAAGACCTTGGTGATTCGACCCTGCATAATTAGAAAGTTGGGGTTGTTGATATTAAGCTGTACAGATTGGAAGAGGTTCTGGACAGTTTGTTGTTGGGCTCGGTGTCCATTAATCAGATACTTGGAGGTTCCTCCCAGGACGATCTGTCTGGTAACGCTAATTGTCGCATACTCTTCAAATCCTATCGGGGACTTCTGCTTGTCTCTGTTGTCGAATACGATGGTGACACTCGCTTTTGTGACACCTGCTTGGCCGCGCTTGTAGATGAGATCCTAATAGGCGATGGTTAGGCATCGCATATGTATATATCTGTAATGTTTCTGTTTTTTATACCTGCAAGTTCTGGGCTCGGACCGTCGACATGTTCGTGATACCTAAAACGAAGCAAATGGCATCTAGAATGTTGGACTTGCCACTACCGTTCAAGCCGGTAATAGAGTTGAAGCTCTCGTCCCTATGCGACATTACGACATTAGAGATTGTTATGCGCTGTAGGAAAACACCAGTATTTACTTACCATCCTGAGATGACCGTTCGGGATTGGTAGGATTTGAAGCCCTTCCAGACAAGTTAGCAAAGGTAGCGGTGGGCATAGTAGGGGCATACACACATCTATAATCACCTCCGTAACCCTCATGTTGGCGAATACGGTCGGGGCCACATATAAGTTATCAGTGTTGTGTAGATTCTCTTAGGTTGTAGACATGGATGATGAGCTTCAGTGTTTTGGCATTTGGTACATTTGAATAAGCCGTCAAACATTTAAGGCATAAAATGGAAATTCGTTGCCGACGCGATTGACATCAACAAAAACAAACTAAACTTGTGGCTTTTCACTGGCTGCTAACGATTTAAAATGGGGCTCTACCACTTTCTATTACCCAGTGATGGCTTGCCGACGTGGGCAGCGTGGGGTTATTCAATGCACAGACCACTGAGGGCAGCAATCATGGATTCTATCAAGTACCCAAGTAGTTATGTATCTACCTACCTACCTGTACATAACGTGTTAGACCCCCCACCGGACCAGCCAGGGCAGTGGTCCACCCCTTTTTACACCAAAAACAGCGATATTCCAACCATATTTAAAAATTCATAACTACACCAAAAGTTTCTAAACTTAAATAAGATTTGACATATATGTTTATTATACTGATATATACGAATATAAAAATAGAGAAAAAGTTTACGGCTTATATCCATTGAGATATGGGGTATTATACCGGCTAAATGCATAAATATTATAGGGTATACAATCATAATCTCAGATACAACGCCGCACAAGTAATGCATCTCATTTTAAAAGTTATATTCATATAGATATTAATATAATAAATCATAGGTTTGAATTATATTATATTTGAGAAAGGTTTTGTAGAGTTATAAGCTGTTGAATATTGTTGTTTTTGGTGGTGGACCACTGCTTGGTCTGGTCCGGTGGGGGGTTTAACACGTTACTAGGTATGTAGTATTACGTTGAACTTCAAGAACATTGAGAAGTGGCCCGTGGGCTTGCCCTATTACTACCGTAGTACATACATAGTAGACTATTAGTAGTATTTCGCTCATGAGAAACATGAACCTACATAGTAGTAGACGGTTGATAGTCATTGGATATTCTCTCAATTTGAGCAAACAGTTTCTATTCCTAGGAATAATAAGTTATCCGTACGTCATGATTCACGATGATTGTACTACGTATATGTACTGACAATGCAATTGTTTCACCAAGACAAGATCATTGATACATACATGTATGTAGAAATAAATTGAGAGGCGATGTATCTACATGTATACATGTAGTTACATGTATTGATGTGAGAATAGTACTCCGGTACATCGCCGGTTGCAAGGATCTCTTCGGTAGGATACGTGTGTCAAAGCCGATAAGCTCCAAATTTAGTTACCCGATTGTTCCAGGAGCCTTCTAATACTTGAACATAGCACATGTATATGCTGACACTACGGCCAGCACGCGACTCTCCCCCATAACTTTGAACTTCCCTTCACTGTAAAAGTAATTCACAAAGGCTACTGTTTGTTCCTCGCCATCTTCTAATCCTTAACCTACCTAACTAGTATATTTCCCTCTTCGGATGACCTCATTGAGGTCCTGGTATCTACTTTCCCAAACTATTCAGAAGCCAGAAAAAGAGAAGGAAAGGGTATCAATTAAGTGGCAAGCCGTTACATGCGGACATCGACACGAACGTCTGCGAAGTACAACAATATAGTGAAAGAAGGCTAGAAAGATGGCGGACGAACAGGTCTCTGTCACTTCGCTTATCCTGATAGTCGTCGTCGGCGGTCTCATCATTCGCTACCTTTTCTTCTCGCCGTCGCCCCAAGCACCGCGCCCGCCACGAGATGCCCAAGCAGCGTTGCGCGCCAGAGAGGCCGCGGTAGAGATGATACAACAGGTCTTCCCTCAGGCCGACCGAAGGGCTATTCTGTGGGATCTACAACGCAACGGTGGCAATATTCCCGCAACCTCCGAAAGAATATTGTCGGGACGCATAGAGACCGTAAGACTTCCATGAGCGCTATTTTCTTGTCCCTGTTCTTTTTTTGCCCTTTTTGTTTTGCCTCATGAATTGTGCTAATCTATAATCTCCTCTTTAGCCCCCTATCACATTCCAACCACCGCCTCCCCCGACATCCGCGAATCCGGCCTCCACGGCGCAGTCACATCCATTCAAGTCGCCTTTCAGACCCGCCGAACCAGATTTGATTACTCGATACAAACTACAGGACAAAATTAGCGCTAGCGATGAGGCCGAGAGTGCGTCAAAACCGAAGGCGTGGAGTTCAAATCGGAATGAAAGACAAGCAGCTCTACAACGAAGACGAGACGAGATGATTTTAGCTGCGAGGCGGAAGATGGAGGCTAGGATGGCGGCAGAGAATGGCACTGATAATAAGCAGCAATGACGAATGAGTATTTATAGGATTAGGGGTGGTGAGAGTATGTTCGGATCGAAAGTAAATCATACGTATCGGAGTTCCATCCTTATACCCCAATGTACTTGGCATGTCAGGATTCAAGTAGGCTCAGGTATACTGTACGTTGGTCTGAGACATGTCACAAAGATTCGGAATTGAGCCGCCGATAAAAGACGCTTTAAATATGTAGTACCCAGTAGCTCCGGATTAGATACGTAAGATATCATTGAGCAATAAATCCGTAAATCCCCTCATAAATCGTCTTCCAATAGCCCAATTCCACTCTCAGAATTTCAATGCGCCTATGTAAATGCGATGATGTAACCCTATTGTTTTTCTATACCTTCTATCCCTCCGCCCGTATTAAGTTAGCAGTGAATGTAGGAGATCATTGTATCATCCCTCATTTATTCTGCCTTTGCTGAATCAAAAGTAGACCCTGTCCAATGCCATCCTGAACTCCTCGGCTAACGTTCTCTACAGTCCAAGCAGTGAGTTCAACAAGAGTTTTGCCGAGCTTCCCTTCACTTATAGTATGAACTAGAGAATATAATGTCAGTCATTGCCGACTATTGTGTTTCTCCTGGAGGACCAGATGTATACTATAAGAAACAACGCCGTTGCTGGAGAACAGGGACAAGGAAGACATTCATAGTGTAATGAACTCAGAGGGTTGATACTCACTCTTTTCACCCAGTGCGCCGCTGTGTTTCCCGACAGTTGTAGCAAAAAGGTAGCTATTTGAGATAAGATGCTCCGAGATGTTATATTGCCGCTCGAAGTACGCTCCGGTACGGATGACAACCGCCAGGAAGGAAAGAAAGATGTAGGCAAAGAATACAAGGCTCGCGACGCAACCTTGAACGGTGCTATGCACAAACGTCTTCGCTCTATCGGACGGCTGCCATCCGAGTCCACCGGAGCCAGCCGCAATCCGACCATCTCCGTCTACCTGCACGCAGGGCATCGGCAACGCTCGCCGAATCACGCTAGCCTCGTAATCGTCCATGTCGTCCGGGAGGGCCTTGAGCATGTATGCTACACCGTCAATAAATGACTTTCTCGCGAAGGCCAAATCTGTTGTTTCCTGGGAGGCAGATTGTTGCAGATATGACCCTGTTGCTCACGAATCAATACCCCACCCCATATTAATATCAACGAGACTCGTACCTTGCGCAGCGTATCTCCACTTGACGCCGGCGTCTGCATTCCCACCGGGGACAACTGGCTTTAAGCGAACGTTTTCATTATGAGTGCTCGGGGCGTCTGTTGCTACTGGCACTTCCGAGCCTGTCTGCAAACTGACGACGGAATCTTCATCTGTTCTTGAAATCATTACCTGTTCTGCTGGCCCCTTTTGTGGTGAGACGGAGCGACGGCGAGACAAGATGGAAAGACGGGTGGATCGACGAAGTGACTGGAAGGCCGGTAATCGGGACTGGACTGACGACGGTAGAAGATTGAATACGACTATAGACATATCTTGCTCCAACATGATGTCTATTATGTTTCCTTTCATCATTTCGTTGGTAATTCTTGTTATTTCATCGGCATGTTTATTTTTCAAGGAAGTCGAATAATACAAATCTGTACGAGCCTCAGTGCTGTAAGGATTTCAACGTTGTTACATATATGAAAACATTGAATTCATAAGGAGTCGTACTACATAGTACACATTAAATGTATGTAGGGGGGGAGTTGCCTCGTCAAATAGGACGTAAGGAACGAGTTTGAGCTTAGCTTGGAAGAAAGTTTGAATCTTCCCAAGCTTGAACCTTCACAAGACCCATTTATACACCCACTTGCTTGCCTATCAACACGGCGTCTTGCGGGTGATAAGAGACTTTCACATGCAACCCGACCAACCGGAGAATACATGTACATACCCGCCGCCCGGAATATACTAACTTACGTACAATACCTACGGTAAGCACTTTCGGTACAAAGGAATGGCGGCGCACTTATGTGTCTAAAACCGACAGGAAATCTTGAAGCATGTGGAATTGTACGCAGTATGTACTACATGTAGGTATGTAGGCACTGGGCAGATTGAGGTTAGGGGAGCACGAGCGCATCGGATCTGCCAGTAGTTACTACGAGTAGTAGGTTTTGGGTATTATGTATGGCCCAATGAAATTCTTTTACACATGCATGGAGGGGGCTCCAGGTGTTGGGAAGCGTTAAAACCTCAAATGCTGAACTGTATGAACTGTATGAACTGTATAAATAGATAGGTACACAGTAGCTAGCTTCTGAATGCAAGGTTTGCATAGTAAAACGACTTTACTACTAGTAGTAGTTGCGTACTATATCAGTTCAACTTCTAGAACATCAATGGAGTACATTGGCCTACGTGCTCTAGGGCTGATAAAGAAAGCAATCTGCATTGAATATTTTATACTGTGGTGAATCTGGTGATGATTCGGCCTGTCGTACCGTACGTAATTCATGGTTCAGGGGTCTAAAGGTATGTAAGTACAGTAAACCAAGGATACATACTGTGTCTTGGATAGCTTCGAGTTCAAGTTCAACGTTATCAATGGTGTTACTCTACAGTCTCTTTACCTGTTGTACAATGTACATAGTCTTATCTACAGACTAAGTGGAGATAAGTGGTTCGGAGAGATATTATACCTTTCCGAGGCGTGGACCCATTGCGGGTCCGGCACCTAGAACTTTTTCTAGTGGTCATTATTAGTGCGAATCCAAAAAAAAAAAAAAAAAATTTCGGCGGGCAAGTAATATCTATTAATTCAAAGTCCCAATTCACCACGCGCCAAAAATTTCTTTTTGACAAGGCCGTGTTCATATATTACCTCTTCACCTCTACAACTTTTCAATTCAGGTGAAGCAGTCAATTACTTACTTCACATCTGCAATGTTCAAGTTCTCCTTACAGCGGCATGCCCGCTTGGGTAGTTTTGCTCGGCAGCATGTCTCAACCCTCGCTGCGCGACAGATCTGCTCTCGACCCCTCCTAGCAAAATCTTACAATTGGCCTCAGACCGAATTATATGTTCGGCCTCTCAGACAAATTGGAGTGCGCTTCTATTCACAAGAATATGCCGTAGCTGAATCACAATCCGACGATTCGCCAGCTTCTCTCTACGATGTTACTCGTTTTGAGGACCTGGCCAAACTCGGCGTCGATGAACGTATTATACGAGCCATCACTGTCGACATGAAGTACGACACAATGACCTCTGTCCAGTCATTAACCATCAACCCAGCTCTCAAGGGAGTCGATCTGTGAGTAAACTATCATGCCCTGCTTATCATTATCAATCAGTCGCTAATTACCTATTATAGAGTTGCGCAAGCCAAGACTGGAACAGGAAAGACTTTGGGCTTTCTCGTCCCTACTTTTCAACGTATCATAGCAGCCGACCCCAGTCTTGCTGCTCGTAATCCTATCAAGCGGGCCACCCCCCGGGATGTCCGCGCTATCATCCTGTCTCCAACTCGTGAACTTGCGGAGCAAATTGCCGTTGAAGCGAGAACACTTTCCCGGCACACTGGAATCGTCATCCAAACAGCTGTTGGCGGCACAAGAAAGAGAGAGGCTCTCTGGAAAATGCAGAATGAGGGCTGCCACGTCCTCGTTGCCACCCCAGGTAGACTAAAGGATCTCTTGTCCGACCCCGATAGTGGAGTTGAAGCACAGGGCCTACACGTCCTAGTGATGGACGAGGCTGATCGTATGCTTGATGTTGGTTTCTCGGATGAAATTCGCGACATTCTCGGTCTCCTCCCAAACATCCGCGAGGTTGACCGACAAACTCTCTTGTATTCCGCAACTATTCCTCGGGACGTCGTCCATCTAGCCAAAAGTATGGTTAAGACGGATAATTTCGAATTTGTTCAAACTATCAGCCCTGACGAGACACCTACCCACGAAAGAGTTCCGCAGCATCTTGCATCCGTCGCTAGCTACGAGAACTGGTTCCCCACTATTATGGAGCTTGCCGAGCTTGCCATGAAGAGATCTCAGGAAGACCCTGAGGCTCTTCCTTTCAAAGCCATCATCTTCTTTTCCAACACGGCTACTGTAGAATTTGCCAACAATATCTTCAGACGTACTTACCTCGGACATAGAGCAAGAGGCATTCCCATATTCGACATTCACTCTAAACTGTCTCAGCCACAGCGTACGAGGAATGCCGATGCCTTCCGCCGCTCTCGAACTGGTATCCTTATCTCTTCAGATGTCACAGCCAGAGGAATGGATTTCCCCAACGTATCACACGTAATTCAAGTTGGTCTTCCACCTGACAGAGATCAGTATATCCACCGAGTCGGACGAACTGGTCGTGCTGGAAAGAATGGAGAAGGTTGGTTGATTCTGACTGATAGCGAAATATCGGAAGCTCGAAGACGTCTTCCTGATCTACCTATCAAGCCCAACCATTCCCTTAAGACTGCCAAATACGTACCAGGACAAGAGCCGACCGATCCAGATGCGGAGCGTATCTTCACTGAGTTTGCTCAAGCGTACAAGACCTCCCCCAAGAGCCTGTTCGCGGGCGTTTACAATGCCTTACTTGGCCAGAAGTTCGGGAGAGGCTTCCAAGTCGAAGATGTCGTTGCTCTCCTCAACTCTTGGGCTCTGACTGGCCTCGGCTGGACTGAACCACCCGCTATTTCGCCCAAGTCAGCTGCAAACCGTGGATTAACTAGGGTACCAGGTATCAGAATTGGACACGACAATTTTGAAGGTGAATTCCCAGAACGATCCAGCTTTGGTGGTGGTTTTGGTTCCAGGGGCGGAGGAGGCTATAGCTCTGGTGGCTTTGGCTCCAGGGGTGGGGGAGGCTATAGTTCCGGAGGCTCATCTGGAGGCTATGGCTCTAGAGGCGGAGGGGGCTATGGTTCTGGTGGCTCGTCTGGTGGCTATGGCTCTGGTGGCTCGTCTGGTGGCTATGGCTCTGGTGGCTCATCAGGAGGCTACGGCTCTAGCTCTAGAGGTTCTGGAGGTTATGGCTCAAGCTCTGGTGGCTCCAGAGGGTCTTATGGATCTGGTGGCTCTGGTGGCTCTGGCGGCTCTAGGTTTGGTAGCCGTGATAGCAACTCCTTTGAGAGTCGTTTCAGCTCAGGGGGTGATCGCCGAGGTGGTGGAAGCAGCCGGGGCGGCGGAGGCTATGGAGGTGGCCGGGGCGGCGGAGGTGGAGGCTATGGAGGCGGCCGAAGTAGCGGCGGCAGCGGCGGTGGCTATCGCTCCTCGCGTGGCGGATCCTTCTAGGTATCAAAACCCCGTCCCCAATGAGGCGAAGATGGAGTGGATTCCTCCATATTCGGCACATTGTGTCACCTCCAATTGTACTATCTCACTTCCGAAGCACACCACCACCTTCTAGTCGGCGTGTCATATACCAAGTTATAGGCTATGCGCAGTTGCCAGCACCTAGGCTGGCGGAAACAAGGTGAATTGCGCAATGATATCACAGAAGGCTGGTTATTGGACGTTACGAGCAGGATGCAACAAATCACAGCATTCGCGGGAAGAATATTTCACGGGAGTCAAGGTTTTGTCTTGCTTTTTAGTTAGTCCTAATGAAACGGCAATCGGGGAAGGGGAAGGGGAAGGGGAAGGGAGAAGGGAGAAAGGGACGCCGGTGGTCCCTCGTCAGAAAGGAAAATAGGCTAGGCTGGACTAATCAGCACGGAAATCTCGACTACTTGTACTATAGTGTAAGAGGGCACGTTAACGAAGAATCCGAAGAGAAAAAACGTTGAAAATCAAAACTTGGTGTGCATGTGTATGTATGAATTGTGATCCTTTTGAAATGCTCTGTGTTTATGTATCCAGTATACAAAGGCGAAGCTTAGCAAACCCGATAAGAGAGCATGCGGTACCCAAAACTTCGAGTTTCCGTCTATTGAACCCACATGCAAACCAATATACATTGGATATGTCTAAAACACGGTAGGTTATCACTAGTCACTAGTAACACAATCCCTCGGAACCTTCCTGAACGCCCCCAATGCAATATTTTCATATACGGCGCACATGAGTCTTATCCTTTCTACCTTGACTTTCCAACAGCTATGGTTATGCCTGTCCCCGCAACATCGCGTTTGCATCCCACAAGAGTACCCTCTCATCCCAACCAACGGTAGCCACCCAACCCCCAACACCGAACAGACACCAGTCAACGCCGGTGGCGAATTCGGTATGCCTGTTCATGATACCAAGTTGAATCCCGGCCTTGACCGGAGAAGCCTGTTGGGCTGGCATCGTGGACCCATCCGTCCACAGACGTACTGTCATGTCGTAGCTTGCACTGACGAGTATATCGCTGGCGTGCGGGCTCCACGCTAGCCTTCGGACCGCATACTCGTGGCCCATCATCACGGAAGCGGGCCCGCCAGAAGGGTTCCGTATGTCAAACGTCCGTATCACTCTATCCACGCCTCCGGTTGCGATCACTGTGTGGTTGTATTTGTTCCAGTCATGCGTCAAGATCTCACCCGGCACGGCAGGAGGGGAGGGTCCTTGTGGGAGTGGGGCAGGAGACGGGACGTGAACTGGAATCTTGGCTGTCAAGTGGTATTGGGCACTGGCCGGCGTTCGAAGGTCGAATAGGCGCAAATGCGAGTCGGTGGAGACAGCGGAGATGAGAGATGGATTGGAAGGGCAATAAGCTGTGCTATAGGTACAGTTCCCGACGGGAAGAGTTTGGATGGAATCCTTTCTCGCTGGCGACCACTGCGAAGAAAAAGCTTGTTAGAATTCTTGGTACTTGCTTCGACTGCGATGACTGTGGGGGGGTAATTATACATACGATTTTGACAGTGCCGTCCCAAGAACTAGACGCAAATGTGTCTTTAGTGACAGGACTCCACGCTACCGAGAAGGCCTCTCGCTTGTGCTCATGAAAATTCATTATGGGGAAGTCGTTCACATTCATGTCATAGAGCTTTATGGAGCCATCGCCGCATGCGACCAGTAGCTGGTTCTCGTTAATCTCGGACCAAGCGAGGTCATACTGAGCATCGTTCGTGTCGAAGCTAGGTAGTAGATATAAATGATTAGGTTTGTGATCCAAATAGTGAGTGAATGGCTCGCATTCATACAGAAAGAAAGAAATCTCACGTTTTCTCAACCTGGATACCTTGGGGTCCCAAGCCTAGGCAAAAGACACGGCCATTGCCTACGATGCCGTAGTTTGCGGCGGTTGCGACAGCGATGCGCGAGTCGTAGTAGGGCGAGTACTTGACGGCATAAGGATTCCAGCCGGGTGTGCGGAACTCCAGCATTGAAGCCATCCTGCTTATGGATAGCAAGTATGTAGATTACTGGCCCATAGACCGCAAACTTCGAGACTTGGCTATCGCATTCGACCTTTTACTATATACTACATTGGTATGCATATGTAGGTGCTATAGGTGCTATAGGTATGTAATAAAGGAATGACGATGAATGGAAAGCCAAGACGTGGGGCCTCGGCTTTGGGGTTATAGACGAAATACAGTATAGGTACATAATACCTAGTATATGCATAAACCTAGTATGGGTGGAGTGGGATGTTTCACATGCAACTTGGAAGTATCTTATATGCAAGTATGTCATACTCAGATCGGATTACATACTTTGTAATTACCTCGAAGGCTAAAACACATCGATGCTTTCTTTCCTTTTTGTTAATCAATATTTATCCCAAAATTCACTTTACCGCTTGAATATATCATGGATACGTTCTCGAGGACGAAACGAAAGCTACCCGCCCCGGAAGAATCCATTTATGACGATGAGAATGAGTCAACAGAAGTAAAACTCGCAGTCCTCTCATCTTTGCATCCCACAATGAGCCAAGGGTCCTTACTCGAAGCACTTTTGGCACACGAGGGTTCCGTCGAAGCAGCTTCTACTTCTATATTAGAAGACCTGTTAAGATCACCCAGCAAAAAACGCATAAAACCATCGGTTGGGCATCAAACTTCCCTGAGATTATTCGCTTCCAAGACCTCAACCGAAGAACGTTCAGTGTCCCCCAAAAGAGCAAGGCCGCTGTCTAAGAAAGGGACAACCCTTCATTTATATGACCCAGAGGACGTGGCTGAAAACACGCCCTGCAGCATCATACACAACTTCCTCCCGCCAGAGGAAGCCAATGATCTTCTCAAAGAGATGTTAGATGAATCCAACTCATTCGAGAAGGTCTCTTTTAAATTATTTGACAATGTCGTCCAGAGCCCTCATACATCCAGTTTCTATGTGGCGTCCGAAGCCGAAATTAATACTCAGAAAGAAGATTACTTCTACAACGGGGCCCGCATATCAGACGTTCGGCGCATCACACCCCAGCTTTTGCGTGCTAGACCAAGAGTTCAGGAAGCGGTAAACAAAGAGATTCAAAATCGAATCAAAACTCGGTATCCCAGAGGACAGAAGCTCAAGCACCAGTCTCCAAACCCTTGGTCGCCTAATTGTGCCTTTGTTAATTGCTATAACGGACCTCAGGAGAGTGCTCAGTGTTGGTTATCACAGCGACCAATTGACTTACCTGGGTCCGCGAGCTGTGATAGGCTCCATCTCCCTAGGCGTAGCGAGAGAGTTCCGCGTTAGACGAATAATACCAAAAGACTCTGACAATAATCGTTTAGATGATATGGACGCCCAAGGACAGATCTCTATACATCTTCCTCACAACTCACTCTTGGTTATGCATGCCGAGATGCAGGAACAATGGAAACATAGTATTGCCCCGGTCCAGGCAATCGATCCCCATCCTATTGCAGGTAGCCGGAGGATCAATATCACCTACCGTGACTACAAGCAAAACTTCCACCCCAGAAACACCCCCAAATGCAGATGTGGAATTCCGGCGGTATTGAGGGTCGTTCAGAGGAAGACAGAGAATCTAGGAAAGTACTTCTGGATGTGTCATGGTGGAAATGTGCCTGGCAAGGAGCATTGTTCATTCTTCCATTGGGCTGAATTCGACGACGACGGGAATCCTATCTGGAACAAGACCTGATATGAAAAAGTCGCCTGGGAAAGACACTCTACATGAAGTATACCTTGATATACGGAGACCTCGATATCTCCCGTGTTTCACGTCACTTTTATGAAGCATGGGTGGGGGCTGAAACGTACGAGTCGTACATCTTAATCGGTAAGAATATTTGAAGACAGCCACCAATATCTAAATCCTCGCAATCTGAATTGAGTGGAGAAATGGCTTAGGTTCTAATGAGTGTAACAGATCATCCTTTACAAACAAGCCCAGGTCTAAACCCCTCCGTTCTCGGTGGCTTGGTCTTCAAGATTTATGGCTCGACATAGCGTGGTTCACGATCGTACCCATCGCACACCTCCAAGCCCAGGTCATTGACATTTAGGTCATTAATAACCCTCAGGTTGATCGGTATCCGGTCCAACCAAACCCTAACGAAGCCTTGCCGATCTTCTGGCATTGCATTGATCTGGTCTTCGGTGATCGGTTGTAGCTTGTTATACGCTGATACCCCACATATCTTGCAAAAGACCTTTCCAAATAGCTTGTTGTTGAACAGGTAGACCTCAAGGTTGTCTTCGCCTTCGATTTCGACCTGCTCCTTTGGAGGGTAACACCACGCGTATGCATGCTATGGGCAGGTTAGATACCATTCATCAATGAGGTGTGTTCAACCAGAGATGCTTACCCTAGAACAAATGCTACAGTTGCATTGTATAGGCTTCCAACGGCCGGTGATTTGATCAAACGGTTTGGATTTGACTGCTATTCTCACTGCGCCGCAATGGCAGCCACCCGTATACAGCTTACCTCCGTCTACTACGGCCTTTGGTTCAGGTCCCGTGAATTTTGGTGGTTCATATGGTTTCCCAAATGATTGACCGTCAATGCTAGAGATGAAAGGAAGAATGGTTATTGATGTACACTCTTTGAAATTACAACAGTACCTAGAAGGATATCACTTACAAGTCCCTTTCTACAGCCCAGGCGTCCATACCTTGGCCATGTTGGAAAGCTCGAACCTAGAGTTTGGTTAACCCTTCGCCTGTCATTGAAGCTGATAACGGTCACCTGCATTGACTCCGATTACTGGCTCCTTTTGTTCCCCTGGCTGCGGGGGTGTAATATGTCCCACGACCATGAGTTCAACTCCACATTTGGAACAGAACTATTTCCCTCTCACGTCAGCAAAAGAAGCCTTGCACATCAACAGGTTCTTTACAGTTAACACAATAGACACAATGAGCACATACCTTGTGGTTCCAGGTTTTCCCTCCGAATGTATAATTCGCCAGGGTACTGGGGTCACCTTTGACAAAGTGCAAGTTCTCGCTTTTAGGCGAGAGCCAAAGAGCACCCCTCTTATAGCACAAGCTACAATTGCACTCTTTTGGCTTGGAACTCTCAGGCACTTGAACTTCAAAGACGTATTCAGCGCAGTGGCAGTTGCCCCGGTAAGTCTTCAGTTGCTCCGACATTTCGACAAAAGGCGAGTCCAAGAAGACGATTCTCACAAGTGTAGGTATATGATGCTTATATTTCTGCTTGCGGCTTTGTAGGAAAATGGGTATGATGGCAAAAGTAAGTTTCACCTACGGAGTTGTTCAACTTATATAACGGACACTACTGCAACAGCTTTCGATCCTGCCTGGGATCGGGGAATCTGAGCTGTCGAACGCATGAGACGAGCTGAATTTTCATGATGCATATGCCTAAACAGAGTTAGAATACTACCGCCGCATGCATAGGTATCTACCCTTGAACGCGGACATTCCGTTGCATCCGCTGCCTATCGACGGATTACCCGATCCTATAGTCGGCACCCGCATATCAGGTACTAATACCCAATCACAAGATTGAATCTCACATAAGAGCACAACGTCGTGTCTAGATCGCGACGTCGTGCTTAAACCGCGATCCTGGCTATGTCACGCTATCAGGTGACTGACTCAGTCTGGCGATTCGTACCTAGGGATATTGAGCAATAGATAGGCACGCTAAGTACTAAAGCATCATGAGTTGTTTAAAGCCTCATGACTACATACTACCCATGCCTAGGTTAGTTAGGTATATATATAGTAAAACTCTCCCTATTTCAAAATAATCCTACACATCAATCTTCTCTCGAGGGGACGAGCGAATGTGAAAAGAACGCGTCAATCACTTGGGCGGGTTTGCATCACAAGTTGTGCCTTACTAGTGGAGGCTCCAGGGTTGATTCGTGACAACGAAGAATTTTGCAGCGTTGATAGGATAACTTGGAGTAGGGATCATCACCAGCCAGGCAAATTGAAAACAAGCATAGTGTTCTGACACTTGCGATGCGAGCTATTTTATTTGAGCTGTCCGTTACCAATCAACACCTACAAATGGGACTGAATAGTAACAGGCTTCTTTTCAAGAATTTAGCGAACAGTTCGTTTAGCAAAGTAGGTGCTTACATGGAGGTAGGTATGTATGTATGTATGAGATGTGATAGTGGACATCATGTGTGATCCAAAGGATGAAAGTGACAGGACGTGCATGTAGGTATGTACTTAAGGACCGGTAAGGTAAGTATATGTAAGCGACAGTTTATTTACAGTATGTCTAACACAGTCCATTACAATATGTACACAGTACAGTCCAGATAAGATACCAGCCCTGCATTGGTGTAGTTACATGGATAGCGGCAGGTACGACATTCAACTTGAAGGAAACCTTGTTACCTTGGAACTTTGAACTAACGGTCTGTAGGTACTAGGTACATAGTTACTAGATGTACCTACCTAAGCCTAAGGTTAGGATACATAGTTGTACAACTTGCAACGCGATGCTGGCGCTCTATTGACTATTCCCTTTACAACTCAAACATCATCGTATCTCGCTTGGCTTTGTGAGTTGTACAGTACTGGGAGGACGAACACTTGGTTCATTTCATTATTTGATTATTTGATGAAGTGAGCTTTTGCATACTTTACCCATTTACAACTACGTTTGGATTTACTGTACGATGGCAATGATTTGTTAAGCGGTGTTGAGACTTTTTTTTCCCGCCATCATTGCGCGTTTCTTTCCATTAATCTCTCTCCGCTCCGGTTGGCAGAGTAGGCACACACCACCACCACCACCACCACCACCACAACCACGGAGCCCGACGAGGCGGAGGCCAACTCCCCAACCTTAAACCGGACGGCCTCTAATTGAATTACTGCTTCTGATTAGCAACATTTATTACAACATACCTACCTACCTAGGTACCTAACCCGAATCCCCCCATGCCGCCAACCAGACTTCCGCGCGGTTTCGCGCACGATGTTCTTCTTTCCGAACTCTCACCCCGATCGCAACCCTCCACAACGTCAGTGACGACATCGGCGACCCTCGTACGAAAATTGCACAACTTCGCGTCCCGCAGGCTCCTCCCCCGACTTGCAACCGGCGTAAGCACGGTCCCAGAAGGATACGGCCGGACCCCTAGCGGGCCGTCTCCCGGTGCCGTTGTAGGCATAGTGCTGGGGTCGGTTGCAGGGTTTGTGCTGCTGCTGCTGCTGATATACTGGTGCGTGAACCTCGGGACATCGGCCCCACAGACGGTGATCGAGGGCTCGGTGGGCACGGGTCCGTCGTCATCGGTGGTCTCGTACCGGTCACGGCCCCGGGTCCACCGCCACACCCACCGTTCGTCGCGGCAGTACTCGCCGCACCGCCGGAAGGAGACGGTCGAGATCGTCCGCCGCGAGCGCGACATGCGACGCTCGCTGTCCCGGGCCTCCACGCCCCCGCGCGCCCCCGACCTTGATCAGATCGTGGTAGTGGAGGAACATGACCGGTCTACGATCCCTAGGTCGCGGTCGAGAAGCAGAAGTGCGAGTCGTCCCCGCCCGCCGCGGGCCCCGCCGGCTCCCCCGATCGACGACGAGATCATCGTGCTCGAGGAACATTCACCGCCGCGCCGCCGCGAGAGTCGGAGCTACAGACGTAGAAGCAGCGAGAGGAGGAGCGAAAGGAGGAGTAGCGGTGGGCAGTACAGAGACGTGGACCCGCATCGGTACGCGGGTGGGGATGGGCCGTCCCGGGATGTTAGTCGGAGGAGTAGTTCGCGGAGATGATTACGAAGAAGATGATGGAGATGACAGTAATGATGAGGATGATTAATGGTCTGGTACATATTTATGTGGCTGGTGGGATGAGTTGCCTAACTAGTCTGAAGCAAAGCAAAGCATGATGTCTTGGGGGGGGGGGTGAGGTTGTGTTTTGGAATATACCTACATATACCTATGAACTGATACATATTACATAGGTATGTTGGCCCTTAAGTTGAGTGTGTGTTTTGGGACTCTTGTACATAGCATTCAAGTTTAATGGTCTTTTCTATTGATACCTACTTTTAGATACGTAGTATGTACGTGGACAGGATTATTGCTTGACGGGTTTGAATATTACTCTACTTTCACATAGTAGTATAAGAAGGAGTGAAGGCATAACCTGCATATAACATCCAGTACCTGCATTAATGTATCCACTATAAAGTCAAGCATTGTTATTTCCTCCAGATTCACTGGATGGTTTCACATGTCAAGCGGGACCTGCAATTCAGACTGGATGACATCATGACATCATGACGTCTACCTAGGGTAGGCAATACTGCTTTCAGCTTCAAATGTTTTGAACTGCACCTTCTTCATTCCATATTCATTTTCTATTTACATACCCTATTCATAGATGTATTCTACATAGCTACATCAATGATCTCAATTTATAACGTTGTCTTTTCACAATCCATAATCCACCCCCCTACTCTCATTATTTCCGCAAAACCATACCAAATAAAACGAGAGAACATTGAAGTCAAGTAAAAGTTTCAACAAACCAAAAAAAAAAAAAAAAAAGAAAAAGAAAAAAAAAAGAATATAATAAAAATGGACTTTCCCGAACACCAGGTCCCTCACATTATACGTGCCTTGACCCAATTCTCGCGCGACTCGCAACAAGAAGCACTGGAGGACTATTTCTTGCCCAATGCCTATTTTATCCACCCTTTCTGCCGCGTGCCCTCTTTCAGCGATATCAGAATCCCCTTTACCAACCGAATCATTAATTCTCGCTGTTTCCTCGCCTTCATCTACCAATGGTATCGCATCCTAAGCCCTGAGATCAAGCTTGAGATCGACTCGACCAGTAAGTTTTGTCTCTTTTTACCTCTTCTTCTCCTTTATGTGTATGTAGCTTTCACCTATACTTCTACTACGATAAAATAGTATGCTGATCGATGAACCACCTAAAGGCTTCGATAAGCACGCTAACCTCCTATACGTCTCGCTCCGCCAGACCTTTACCCTGTGGTTTGTGCCGCTGTCCCTCTGGCAAGCTAACGTAAAGCTCGTCACTGTGCTACATCTGGAGCGTGTGCCCGTCGATAGTCGGAACAAACCACTTCTCAACGACAAGGGCGAGGTGCCAAAAACTTCAGACAATGACATACTCAATGACCAAGAAGAAGAAGAATTAATCCTCTCAGAGCAGCCGCCTAAGCTGTACTTCATTAAGGGCCAAGAGGACCACTACCATGTCGAGGATTTCCTCAAGTTCATCGCGCCCTGGGGTGCTTCGCTGCTGTGGGCCATGTGGCAACTGCTCGCGACCATCGTCTGCGCCATCGGCGTCGTGCTATTGCGTAGGCCCATCATTTTTCTGCAGGAGCGCGTATTGGGGTTGGATAGTTTGGCCATCCGGAAGAAGCCGTAGAATGGTGCTTCGAAAGGCTGGCAGAATTCAACCCCGGAGAATATTGGGTTGGCGATAATACGTACTATAGAAGACTGCGCGCTATGCAATTTGGGACGCTTCATTATTGATCTCATCTTGCCGTCGCGCCAGAATCGTGGCGTAAAGGGGCACGAAAAAGAATATGATATGGCCAATCTTAATCATTTAACGTTCACGCCCCTTGAACGGCCCGGGCCTCGGTGTTGTCACAAGAATGTACCGAGATCGACGGACTCTGATGTAGACGAGGCGATCCCAGTGCCCATGATAGGGACAAGAGAGGGTGCCCGCGCCAAGAAATCTGTCGCGTTCCATGTCACCCCCCCGAGCCCGAACCAAAGTTCAGAAGGGCAAGTCGTGAGCCCACGCATGGCCCATGCAAAGCTCGTAAGTTACCTAGAGAATAGGACTGAACACAGGCTTGAAAGCATGGGGGGAAAAATTCCAGAGATAAACGAGAGCTTTTTTTCATCCGACACCACTAATACATCTGACTCCACTACCGATGATGAGGACGACAGGAAATCCCAGAACATCAAAAACTTGGAGCCAATCGAAAGGCCTCGCGTCAACGACAATAACGACGGTTCAAAGAGACCGCTAAGGACTGGATTCGTCAGTAAGGCCCTGCCTAAAGGCAGCGGATATGAAATGGGGATGGACAAGGAAGTCACGTTCAGTGATCCGGAGACGTATACAATTCAAAGTACGCCTACTATCATCATCACGAAGACCGACACGTGACGCGGTTTCGATTGGGGTCATATTCAAGGAAAGCGTATGTGGGTGGTAGACGAAGCTCTTCATTTCCCGTTTTCATATCATACTACGAGCAGGTGTGTACGTATTGATGGGCTAGAGCAGAGCAACTGGTATATGGATATTGGTGCTGCGGTTGGACATGCATATCTTATACTCTAGTTTCTCTTACAACCAAGAAGGGCGGTCTTGTTCTGATACCTCTATTCTGTTCCGGTATGGATGAGCTTACTGGTCGGACGACAAACCTACCAGGTAGGCTGGCTGTAAGATAATAATATATTCATATAGCGTTACGGCCTGTGGCATTGGCTTTACTCTAGTATGACTTAGGGTGACTTGATACACCCCCTTTTTTGGTGTACTTAGATATATATGTAGTACGCGTAATTATAAACTGACCACCCCCCTAACTCCCATTAATACCGGTCTATGGTAGGAGACTCACGGCTGTAGTATGAGCGGATAGCATATGTATTTGATCCTAAAACCAGACCGCCCTGCTTAGGTAATAATCATTCATCACAACTCTTTTAGGAAACGAAAGGAAAAAGGGGGGGTGGGGGGAGAGAGCGGCGGAAACATTCCTACATATGTATGTACGTGTGAGTAGGAGAGAAGGATACCTAACTACCTACCTAGGTACCTAGACAGGCAGACACATGCCCAGAGACTAGAGTAGGTATTGTACCTAGGTTAGTAGACTAACCTAAGCTACACGATTCCACAGGGGTAGGCAGGGGTACCTACCTACTACCTAGGTTACGTATGTAATTTAGCTAAGCTACCTACCTAGGTTAGGTTAGTCAGGTAGGTAGGTAGGTTTACAAGGGGCTAGTTACCTAGGTTTAGTCTCATAAGCATTTCTTTTCTCCCCTTTATTCACTTGTGTACCTATATGATATATATATAGGTATCCAGGAATTCAGGATAGAAGGGAATGTATGTATAAGTAGGTACTAGGTTAGAAGGAGGTCTCGAGATAGGTGCCTAGTTGAGTAGGTTACCTAAATGTGAAAATCTTCGGATCCACGAAGAGGAGGGTATTAGAAGTTTATCGTACAAGAAATTTAGGACAATGGGAAACAAACCGCCGAAGCTCCAGAGCAATAGCGGCTCTGGGGGAAACTCCATCCATCAGGAATAGAAAAATAGAACAAAAACATAAATCAGGGTAGAGATGAATGCACGGTCATTATTAATCCATTCCTCATATCTCGTTCAAGCTGTAGTCTAGTATAGCACGAGAGAACCATGGTAGATAAAAACATCCCATGTCCCGGTTCGAGCACTGGTCGAAGCCATATCAAATCCACGCAATTCCTTTCCCTCTTCTGAATCGCGAATAGATAGTTGGATTTTTGATTCTCAGCCGCCGCCTTGCTGCCCCCCAAAGAAAAACCCATCGAAAAGATCAACTTGCTGTCCATCACTGAAATCATGATGCAATCCTTCCCAGCCTAAGCCGAAGCCCATGTCCATCTGCATGTCTGTATTGGCTATCCCGTCCGAGTTCGGGGTGCCTTGGATATTTTGGAGGAAGTCCATGCCTTGTAAGTCCGAATAATTCATCGTAGCGCCAGGAGTAAAGTTGCTAGCCGGCGATCTAAGTATATTGAAATTGGAACCTCCACCGGCATTTGGAGGATATGGCTGACCGTGACTTGATTGTGGGGTCAGGCTATTAACGGATACTGGAGAATTGCTGTGAGCACCGGGAGAAGGAAGAAGGACGGGGTCTATAGCAGAATTGTCAGGAAGCGAGGCCGCATCAGATATGCTACCCGCACTAAGCATGGACTGCGGCATGGAGCGCAACATGGAGTATCCATCCTGTTCTGCTTTGACGCTAGGGATGGACATACGGAATCCACCGCTCTGTGATGGTGCCTGCATAGAACCCATCTGTGACGTTTCACGTGAGCTGTAGCTTTCCTGTCCAGGTGTGTTGTAAGATGAAGTAGCCCGAGACGTTGAATGATCAAAAGAAGGGCGGTGATGAGCTCTTTGGCGGTTGGCTGTTGCCTCTTTAGTGTTCATATAATCGACTCTTTCATTACCGTTCCTGGGCGTACGCTTGCTTCGATGCAATACTTGCCCAAATCCACCAGTAGAATTCGCCATTTTAATAGTTGCCTTGACTGTCCGGTCAAAAGCATCCCGGCAAGCTTCTGCGGGTGGACATTTTTCAATGAGGTCTGTGAAGACCGAAGTGGCCGCTAGTATCGTAAAGTCTACCTCATCCATCGTCTATAGCCCATGTTAGTTGAACAACGCATTTACTCACCCCTTAGTATAGATTATCACTTACCAGTCGACTTCGAACGACATGCGAGTGCCAAATGGCATACAGATAAGAGATTCCTGCCATGAAGAGGTGATGCGTAGCCAGATACGTGTAGTTGACCAAGCCCATCAGATGTAGCTGTCTGTATAAACGGAGGATCTTCTGGCCTGCTTCCGCTACCTTGACATATACCCTCTCTTCGTCTTCCTGCAGCTCGGTCGTATAAATGGACGGACTATTAACCTCTTTCGATGTGTTGTATTCGCCCTCAAACATGGCTGGCACGCTCAGACTTTGTCGATAGAGCATGATAATAGTTTGCCAGTAATTCAACTCTAGGAATTCGGGGTGAAATGCGACTCCAGAATCCTGTTGCGTTGGTGCTGAATTTTTCCATTCATATAATCGCCCATCAATATTTCTTCGCCAATTCCTGAAGGAGTCAAACCTTTGCAGGAAAGGAGACGGCAGCTGAGTGTGCATATACTCATTTCTGTTATTCTGCCCCTTGTATCTTGCCATCTGTGTTTGTTGATATTGTAGAACTTGAAGAATCTCCGATTGGAGCAGCCGAAGCCGAAAATAGTGCTTGGCCACGATTTTATACGTGACATCGCCCTCGGACGGGCGCTGAGTGAAACCAGCAGTAGTGATGTAGCGGTCATCTAACAGAGAAGGGAACTCGGTTGTGATCACTTGATCTGACACGCCGAAAGGTCGTCCAACGCAAGTGCTAACAAGCCTGTCAAATGAATACGTACACCACCAGAGTCGTCTTCTAAGATCGCGTGTATACTCTCGCCTTCCTCTCTCACGTTGGTAGGCTTCTCGCGATTTGTCATTTGTGTCGTCAACTTTGAGTTTAGCTGAGGAAAGGTCAAACTCGAGATCTTTCCCATCTTCATAGTGAAGTCCTAAGTCGACTGCTAATCTTACGGCGACACCAACAATATACCTAACAGCTCGGTCAATAAATGTACTCTCACCGTGTATGTTCATGGAATTTGTGAATCCTACCATAATCCAGGCGGAACCGGGCGAAGCAGAGCAAAGTTTGCCAGCAGAAGCACAGCCTGAAGCTCTTCCAACCCTCCGCCACTGTTGCTTAGGCAAGCCTCCAGATGGACAACGGCACTTGCGTGATACTCCTCGGGCTGAGCCTGTTTTTTCTCTTCGCCGGATGGCTTGGTGGCAGTTGTCTGCGCATCCATAATGATGCCACCTCCTATTGCATATACCATGTTTAAGACGTAGAGCTCTTTTGGGCCTCGTACTCTACCTTCTTCAGCATATGCACGGTCAAACATCTTCATAAAATCATCTCGATGAAGAACGGGAATCTGGGGGTTCGCGTGTTGAAAATACAATTCCACCAGCTTCAAGGCTAGATCCTTGGGGGGAAACTCGGCTGGCTTGATGGTTGGCCGAGTATGCAGACCAAAGAATGAATCACGCATCGACGTGCCTGATGCGACGGCTCCATTGCTAGAGAGCGGTTTATAAGGTCGCACCCCAGTTTTGTCAGAAGTGGACTTTTGATCACCGACAGACGACTGAACAGCAGCGAAGACTACGCGTGCAAACGAGATTCCGGTGGCAGACCCGAGATGTCTCTGTCCGCCACTTCCACTGGGTTTCGCAACCTTGGGCTGCTTTTCCACTTCGTCATTATTCTTTTGCGGTTTCACAACGGCCGGAGCTTCTGCATTACCAGGGACAGCAGAGGGCAAACCATCTGTGGGTGAGCGTCCTAGGCCGCCATCGGTTCCGGGTCGCGAACAATATTCTAGATTGTTAGCAGGGGGAAACCTTATATTGTTGCGACGAAGCAGAGATTCTAATTGGTCGACGCGCGTTTCCAGGTAGTATACATAGCTAAGGGGAGGATTAATTCAACGAGTCGTAGTACACTCGATAGGCAAGGAACTAACCTCCGAGGTATCTCTCTTTTGGTTATAGGGTCATAGCCGACACAGGCAACCCTAGCCTTCTCGCAGCTGGCGCAGCTGGGCAACTTTTGGTCGCATCTATTTTTGCGCAACCTACAACGGTTACACGCGCTGACGTTGCGGAAGCTGCTAGACTGACCAGTCTTGGAGCTCTGGCCAACACCATCATGCAAATGTTCGGTGGGGGAGGTAGGACCTCCATTTCCCGAAGACGGGGAGTCTTTATCGGGGGACGAAGCGCGTTGACGTTTCGAGGGATGCGGATCTGGCGAGGGCGGCGAATGAGGTGGCATGGCTTCCGAGTCCAAATTCAATTCCATTTATGAACAACAACCTTAAGATATCGCTCGTTATCCGTTTGTCGCGAAAGCGGTCAGAAAAGTATTGCTTATTGCCTTTTCCCTCTTTCTCTCTTTCCTTCCTTCCTCCTTTTTTATATATATATCTTATCTTATATCAATACTACGTCTGTATACAAAGTGTATGTATACGAGATGTAGAATTGAATGATGCGCACGCAACTCGTTGTCGGTATTCGGTATTGGTTGTTTGACCGTTCACTAGGCATTCACTGTTCACTATTGAGCTGCTGAGCTTTGGGGGCTACTCGAAGGAATCAAATATCCCCCGCTCCATCTCTTAAGCTTAAGACTGCGTGAAATATTCGAGAAGGCAAGGTTGCAAAGAATGAAGCCAAGTTCGGGATTGGTCGGATCGAAAGTTGGAATTGAGAGATGTATCACTAGAGTTAAAACAATTTACGGTGAAGTGGTACCTGAAGGTAGGTATCTCTAGATGAGCAAGTGAGTGACCTTGAGCTTGAAAAAGGCTGAAGTTGAAAAAAAGAGCATTGGACCTGGAAGGATAAAAAAAAGATAAAACTGGTATGTAACCTGTAGCTTCCAAGGCTCCTTCCAATCTTGAGCGGGTTACTACTAGGTAAGTAGCAGGTAAGTGCAAGTACATACATACATACAGCGGGAAGGACGGCGGAGGCAGGCACAGGCAGACAAGACAGGGCTTGTTCCTCCCCTCCCACATTACAAGAGTGGTAAGCTGTATTGCGGATCTCTATACAAATTAACAAATTAACGACCTTGATTAACAAATTAGCCTCCAAAACATCAATCTCATCTGACCAAGCACTTAAACACTTTGCATCCAACCACGTTACTACATATAACTTAAGTTTGTAGTTGTATTTTTATAGATAGTATAGATAGTATAGATAGAATTGAGAATACATGTAGTATATATAAATAAATAGGAATTTTGGAGCAATCGGAGCTTTGTTGGAGAGTATGCATGTACTACACACGAAGTATATATCCGTTGATTCTCTTATCGTCAGCTACTGCACGTGTTTCTGCTTTTATCAATTAGTTAACTAGTTAGTTATGTAACATTAGATACTAGGTACATGTACATACCGTGGACAATGGACATGAACAAAAGTTCGCACTAGTAGATTTGCCATGTTACGAAAAAAGCCCATGTAATTGATAAGGAAGAATGATGGGATTTCGAGAAGACTAGCAAAAGAACCGGTCACATTTTAGCTCAAATTTTAGCTCGGCCCAAATAGTCCAGGGTGTCTTCAACAAGCCCCCACCTTAAAACCCCACATCTGTTCCACCTGTCCGCCCAATACAGAAACGAACTAGAAATATGAACATACCAGGTAATATCCTTCTAACAGTAACTATGCTGACAAGATGCTAATGCTGCACGTGGTTTCTCCGCACATGATGTACTAGGTATTCTGTATGTGCTTTCAATACCTAGGGTACATACCTTATGTACATCTTGATGTACAATACCTAGTACATCTTGATGTACATGCACAGTGATGCACTACAAGGTATCAGACTGCATAGCACATTTATGCATGTGCAGCTGAAGGTCACCGATACTGATCATCTCAACGATCGGTGTAGAAGAGTATATCTGCTTCCAGATGTCCCTACTACTAGTAGTACTGCGCAGTACATGCCCTACATACCTAGTACTATCTATCAACCTTGACCTGTCTAGTATCTAGCTATCTCTACTTCAAGATTACATACCTAGATACATACAGTAACCTACCTTTCCACCTATTCGATCCACGACATGAACATAGACAAGTCTGGAACCACAGCTTGTCAGGTTATCCATCATACTACATCATTGATGCCTTCTGTAAAAACAGCACTTGAGTATAAACAACATGATGATATCAAATCACTACCTAGTACCTAGGCAAAGTACCCAACTCCACGATAAAAGATCATCGTAGCCATCTCTCGCCTTGCCTTGCCTTGCCTTGCCAACAAACCGCATGAAGATCTCCTCAAAATATGGGACACCAACCACGATCAATATGCAGGCTCTAAACAAGGTATATACGTTGGCAAGGCCTGCCAATAGCCATCCTCGCAGCACGCACTTCGTTTGTTGGCTATGACTTCCACGTCAGTTCCGCAATGGTAACCTTGCATACGAACTCAAAACTAACTACTATCTATGCACCTAGGTATGTAGGTAGGTACATACATACGTTTTTGCCTATCTAGATACATCCATAGTATGTACTGTAGAAAGTGGCTCTCTTCTTTTCTTCTTGGGCACTCTTGCTTCTTACATGGGGAGTCAAATACCGGCATATGCGGATGAGCTAGATAAGCTGAACAAACCTCAAAAACTCCATACTTGGGTATCCATGGACCGTGGACCATGGATTGTATTTGCATCTTTCCTTCCCCACAGGCCTTTACCTACCTGGGTACTGGACCTATGCATGTACGTATGTATGTACGAAAAGCCCCCCACCCCCTGTCTTCCCCAGATATAGATCGACCCAACAACACTACACACCTTCTTCCAACCCCATCATCAATCATCACCGCCCTCATGCATAACAAACAGTCTTTTACATACATACATACATACATACATACATACATACATACATACATGTAGAGCTATCACAGCACAGCCCGCACCGAAACCCCCCATGCCACCACCACTAGTCACAAGCGAAGAGTAACGTAACCCTGGCGCTCCACCACCATGCTATTTGATATTATCCATGACCGCGATATCCAGCCTATACTACTAGACCCTACAACAATAACAGCAACAACAACAACATCACGAATACGCGGCCACTAGCCACCACCATGCCACCACCACCACCACCCACCAAACTCTACCGCCGCGTCCCCTCCACCTCCCGCACGAGCCCCCCTCCCCCTCCCCCTCCCCCGCCCCTCCTCCGCTCCAACCGCCTGCAGTCCTGCGGGCACACGACCCGGCGGAAGCGGCGGGCGCGGCGGGCCCTAACCGACGAGCAGAAGCAGTACCTAGCGTCGTCGTAGCTCGACGTCGTGGACGCGACGCCGGACGCCGCCGCCGATGCCGCCGCCGTGCGCGCCTGGCTGGCGATGCTGCTGCACCGGCGCTCGCACCCGGCGCCCGCGCGCGTCATGGACACGCTGGCCCCCTGGTCCGGCCGCGACCTGCACCGCGCCTCGTACCTGCTCACGCGGCACCGCCTGCGCGCCGAGGCTGACGGCTGCCTTATCGCCCGCGATATCGTGGATGCTGCCAAGGTGTGCTTATCTCTCTTCCCCCTCTTCCCCCCCCCCCCTTCCTTTTCCCTGAAGTAGTAGTCTCTTGCCCCCCTTATGCATATCCCGAACCTCGGTTACCTACCTATACCTAGGTGTCTGTCAAAAACCAAAGGTCTTCTTAGCTGACCAGAGGCTTTCGTCCCCCCCTCCTTCTTTAGCAATCACGCCGGAAAGCGAGACTGCAGCAGCAAGGCTTGAAACCCCGAAGACTGCGTTAAGGGGGTGGGTGGTGGGGGAGGGTACAAAGCCTCAACCTGGTAGCTAGGAGAGACGGAGACGCCTAACGTGGTATGATTTAAGTGGTAAAGGGGTTAAGGGGGGGGGGGGGAGGTTTGAGATTGGCCCCTACATCCCTAGATACCTACTTAGGAAGCTCGAATACCTATGTAATGAACTCACATCCCCTGGTATTTGCTGTACCTGTGATCCTCCATTTTAATGGTAGGTATCTACCTAGGCACTTAACTACCCACCTGTATGCCGTAGTTCGCATCTGATGGATGCATCTAGATTGGTGACGTACTGTACAGTACTAGCCAACATAGCATCTAGTGGACTGGGGCATTTCATCTGAATAGGTATTGAAAACCAGAAAAATAAGTTCGTTAACCCTCGGGGATAGAAATTTCAATGCTACCGAGATACCCAAGTTAGGTACCTATGAATGTAAATACAACGACCGTGCTTTCGTCTGTCAGTGCAGACGCCCTTTCTCCCCAACCCCCCCCATCTACCTAGTACCATATCCCGTAATACACCCATTTGTATTTTGGATTCCTAGAGTAAAAAAAGAGAGGGAAGAACCCAAAAACCAACCCATCTATGACCCCGCTAGAACGATGAAAAAGAGGCTGTTATAAAGATGAAATTCCTTCTTGCTTGCAACGCCTTGAAACCCCCTCTTTGGACGATGCAGAAACGAAAATAAAAACAATAACCGATCGGTATCTTCCTTGTAGCCCCTCCCCGCCCATGCCCAAGTTCACCTTGTCTTCCCAATAAACGACTCTGTCCGTTTTCTAAACGGCAACTCCTTTACCCAGTGTAGCTCCCGAAACCAGATATCGATCAGTATACAGAGGTATCGCAGTAGTTCCTTTCCGAGGAACAGAGAAAATCTAGTCGCCCAACCAGTCTATGTGATTAATAGAATACCCTTTTCCCAACCATAGATATGAATGACAAGGCCGTGATGATCCGATACAGAAAGATCCGGCGCCGAAAGGAATAAGTCATTAAATGTCGTAACCCGAATGTAGTAAGCCCTGTTGTATTCTACCTGGAATCCCGCTAAATGAAACAAAGACTCCGAATGAAACCACTTACGCTCCCGACTGCAAGGGAGCTGCTTGACCGGCGGCCGGGGCTGTGTCTGGTCGAATGAGTTCTGCGTTATTCGCGGGGACTGTTGTGGTGTCTGCGTGAGTCTGCGGCTCTTCGATTTGAAACCCGACGATCGCACCACTGATGGCCACCAGAGCACTGCACCACCACGCAAGGCCTGAGTAACCGGACTGCAGGCCGACGGCGTAAAGAATTCCAGAGATGGTTGGTCCGAATGCTCGGCAAAGACTCGCTGTGGAGGCTGCTACACCATTGATAGTGCCGAGGGCTAGGTGACTCGGTGCTGAGTCGGCGGTTAGAATGGCATTACTCGGGTACGCCATGCTCGCAAATGTGCACTTCCAGACAAGAACCATCCCAACGCCCATCATGCGGTACTGCTCGGGAAGTAGCACCAGATACGGCGTCACCAAGTAAAGTGCGAAATAAATGACGACCAAAAATCGGAATAGGCGGCGTGCGCCGAATCGTTTCAGAACGGGAGGAATTAGGAACATGTTGATCAGCAGCTGGTAGGCCCCCTGGGCACTTAGGATGATCCCAATTGTTTTGCTGTCGAGTCCAAACCCATCAACAAACTTGAAAGGTAGTGATGTTGGCACCTTGTTCTCTGGCGGTGCCGTGCTTAGGAACACGGGGAAAAGTTGATCGAAGGTCATTGTGTGGCTTCACGGGCTACATTAGCTGAAAGCAATACCATAGCCCAAAGGTGCGGAACTTACAAAGCCAAAATACCGAATGACACGATATTTAATACTACTGGTCGGGTGAAGATCTTTGAAATTCCAAGGCTTGACTCCTCACGGCTACTTTCCAGGTCAAGCGTTTCCCATGAAATCGAAGGTACGGAAGCCGATCGGATGCGTGGGGAATTCTCCGGGGTAGCCTCGTTCGTTCGGTATCCAGGCAACTGCTCCTCGTGGTCGATGAGTGGCTGCGTCTCCATCTCAGAAAATTTGGCTTTTTCGTCTCGTGATTCTGCGCATTTCCCGAAAATCGGCAAGCAGGAAAGGATCCAGTTTCCCAACTCCAGCCCGCGGTCTGGCTTTTGCTTCTTCTCAGAATGAGTCTCTTCAAGGAATAGAATGCCGTTGATAACCCCGATAAGAACAACGAAGGCGCTAAATAGGTTAGGAAGGAGGTAGGGATATCTATCCCAGATAGTACCAGGTGCAAACAGGCTGGGATAACTGATACACGGGCGAGCAAGCGCACCGCCTATCATGGGCCCGATGATTGACCTGTGTAATTGTTAGACGGAATGGCTCTGATAATGTGACTATTTGCAAACAAAACTACTGACCCTAGACACCATACAACCGGCATAATGGTATAAGCTCGAGCTATGTCACTATTTAGTAACCCGTTCTAGATTTCAGGGGGTTTGAGCAACTTACGTTGATGCTCCTTGGCAGTCACTAACTCAGCAACGGTCGTCTGAAGAACTCCCATGTTTCTAATTTAGTGTTAGTGAATGACTTGAAACTGGCCACAATGCTGCTATCTTACCCATTCAGAAGACCTCCCACGGCGCGGGCAAGGAGAGCAACGGTCAAATTAGGAGCAAAACCAAAGATTAAAACACTGAGCGCAGTGCCAATAAGACCTGTGAGTAGCACGGGTTTCCTTCCAATTTTGTCGCTCAGTCGCCCCCACATTAGGCCGGTTGAGAATTCAGCGAAGGTGAATGCAGATGTGACCATGCCAGCATAAAAAGAGATCTTGCTCTTATCCTCGGTGATGTTGAAATCTTCAATCATGAAGTAGATATATGGGAAAATACCCATAAATGCGATTGGTTCACATATCCGGCAGATTGCTAGTTAACATATCAGCCTGAGGCCCACATCAGGTAGTCTTTCACCAAACCATAAAGCTTAGCGTTTGCTCAATCATACCTAGAACCAACATTTGTCGTCTGGGAAATGGTGGTATGGCACCACTCGTCGTGGGACGAGTGGGCTTCAAAAATGAGTTATTCCTCATGGTAGCTGTGATTTCTCGTTATAGACTCTGCTGCGCTACATGAAAGGCTCAAGGAGCAGAAGAACAGGAATGGTGATGATGACGATGACGATGACGGTGGTGGTGGTGGTGGTGGCGGCAGCAATGATAGTCAAGGTTCGACAGACTCGGGCTTATATGTAAGGCTGATGATGTTGATGCTGGGTATAAAACGGGAAAGCAAGTTGAGGTCAGCTTAAAAGTGAGGTTAAGAATGACGAGCAAGGATGACTTGTCAAGCTCGCAATACCACACTTCAGTTGCTACGGTAGATAAAAGGGCTTTCAGGTAAGCAGCAGGATGGATGAAGAGATATATGGTTATATAATCAGCTTGACCCGAACAGGAGAATAAAGGAAGAAGAGCTGAAAGAAGTAGTTTGGAAACAACGATCTCACTAGCGTAAGTGTCCATGGCGAGAGACGGGATATTAAGTCATTTAATATTTTAGAAGCAGCGGTGACAGATGTTAGGGCGAAAAGCAAAGTGCAAGTGTAAGTACAGTAGATGATCCTTCCAGCGGTGCCAGGTGTAACGCGGCGATGGTCTCACAAGGTATGGAGTCCCAACTTCTCGTAGGATAGAGCTCTGTGATGACCAGAAGTGGGCTGCCCTTGTGGGGACCGTAGTCCCATGTTCGAGGCGGTACGGGGTATATACGATGACATGTACCTGGGCAGGTTACTGGGTTCATTGTTCTTTGAAGTTGCTGGGTTGCTGGGTTGCTAGGTTTGCTGGGTATGCTGGGTATGCTGGGTATGCTGGGTATGCTGGGTAATGCTGGGTTTGCTGGGTATGAGGAAAAGTCGGGACTTGGCTTCCCTGGAGCCTTACAAGTTGCATAGGGAAAAGCAGGTGCAGCCCGACTCGAATGACTGACTACAAGTACGCGGGTCGCGGAAACACTTGACCGGGATGAGGGAAGGTGGAAAGCAACATTGGAAGGGTTCAAGGTTGATGAGATGTATGTACTAGGTAGGTACGATGTACAATGTACACACACACACTCATCCCTGCTAAGCTAGCTCCAGCTACCCTCCTCCGGCATTGGGTGCATGGCATGGGCATGTTCTGACAGGACGACAGGGGTAGGGGGTGAAAGGCCATCCAGGGCTGCCGGTGCTTCACCAAGCATCAAGCTAGAAGCAAAGAATAAGAGGGTTTGTGAACCTTTCCCTGTTAGGTTTAGCCCCTTCAATAATATTAAGCTGGCCGGTGTTGAGGATCGAGCTCATTGGCAATTTCACCACGCACCAAAAGCTGAACGGTGGAGCCGCCGAGGATCTGAGCGACTGGACCTGACACGTTGGGAAAGAGGGCAGCAAGTTGACAACCTCGTGGTTGAGCGGTGAAGGATTATCCACAGCCTTCTTAATACTTTTTCAATGACTGCGATGACTACAATCACTGCAATGACGACTCACGAGGCTCAAGAATAAGGAAATCGGAAAGAAAGTCCAATGATGGGTGGCTTTATGTGGGATTGGGTTACGGAAATAGCACAGCAGACTGGGGTATAATGAGATGAACCGAGTGGCCGGTACGGTAGTAACTGAGTAAAGTCTCGTCTAACCATGACGCGGTTGTGCAGATACATCAGCGCCATTTGCCAAGCCGCCTTATTTTCCTTCTCAAGCGCTCTTCTTTCAAACACCTGACTAGGGTACATATGAATATGTATGAACATGTATGAACATGTATGAACATACTGCGTAGTATATGAATATGTATGTATCATACTAGGTAGTGTGTAGGTTAGGTTAGGCATAGGTGGTAGTTATGTGTAGGTACTTACTTGCCTACCGACATCTTACCTACATCAATACATACACCAATGATACATATATTCAAGATGGCAGTACATACCTACACAGGTACCAACCTAGTAAGTACATAGGATATATGGAGGTTATCAGCCTACCAACATTGATCTCCTAACCTACCTGGGTAACTTACCTGATATGATATGTAGTACATGCTACATACATGTATCAACATGTAGGTTGTTGGTATTAATGTAACTGTAAGATGTGTAAGATATAGATGTATGTATGGTTGGCATGTAAGGCAAGGTGTTTTCACAGCCCGACAATAACCCGTTGTTGCATACTCGTGAGATTATTACTACTTAGATTACCTATCCTTAAGGGCGGACGTGTGACGTGCGGATGCAACGAGCTGCACCCACAAAGTCGGAATACGGTCCCCGTCTTCTTCACATTTTATGCGCAATGCTGTGTTACGCCCGGTAGTCCAGCGGAATTGCCGCGCTTGGTATGTTTCGTTACTGCTGGTTAGGTGGTTTTGAAACTTCGCTTCCGTGAGTGAGCATCACGTCGGTTTGCATATCAGGCCATCGGCCATCGGCCATCATGTCGCTGTCAGCAACCTCGTCACCTGAAGAGCGGAGACGAAGTGCGTTACCTGCCTGCGATATGCAATCACTTCGCAGATCATGGAAACAAACCCGTTTCATCCGCGCTGGAGCTCTTCAAGATATGAGTCTCTTCAATCTGGGGTGAAAACGAGGCGAGTATTGAGTAGTCAAGACGGGTTTAGGGTGACGATGTCGTTATCTGACGATGGGCACCCTTAAGCAATGCAACATTCATGGGTAGTTCCCCACAGTGTACGAGGCCTTGTCCTTATATAATAGGTACGTGCTCAAAGGATATCGTTTTTTCAAAATCTAATATCGACGATCCATATTGTTCTCGCCCAACCAGCCAACCAGCCAACTAGAAACTAGGCTGTTTGGTGATCAGCCTAACATACCGGTATACCTACCTGCCTACTAAGTAGATGCTTTCGTCCTCACCGGTCGTGGTGAGGATAACGAATGGAGGGGGGGAGGAGAAAAAAAGTAAAAAGGAAAACGTAATTGTTTTTTCTTTTTTTAATTTTTTTTTAAAAAAATTATTCCTCCAAAAAAACACCTAGGGCTATACTGGGTAGTTGATCCTCTTCCTAAAAGATTGGATTGCTATACATTTAGAAATCGACATTAAGGGTATCAAGGGTATCATAAGGTGAAAGCCTAACCACTACACGTAAACAAATCACAGAAGTATAATGCTGATGTCTAGAGGTGCTGTGCAACAAAGCGGTGGGGATTGTTGTCTTGTCAGCTGAGTGCATCGTACACGTAGCTCGACGATCAGAAAAAGGAAGCCGTTTGTGTGAATACTTCGTGCTATCCCACTTCCATGTGGCCAAGACCCCACAGGTTTTTGAAGGGGGGAATTTTGATTTTTGATTTTTGATTTATTTTTGATTTTGGAATTTTTTAGTTTTTTTAGGTTTCTGGTTCACTGGGCTGGGCCAAGTTTTTTTCTCCTCCCAGGGTTCCTTAGTTTACCTGCTAGCTTACTGCCTAGTACGTTCTAATGTTCTAATGTACCTCATGGAACAAATCCGTAATGCTTCTAGAAGAACGCTAGTTGAAAGTTCACCCCTCCCCTGTGCTACCATGTGGCAAATGAAATTCGATAACAGCCAGTGGTGAGAAGGGGAGTTGTTTCCGGTGGAAACGTATGAAGGAGCGGGACGGAAAACGAAATGAGGTGCCTCTTCCTTTTTCCCTTTTTTTTTTCTTCCTTCCTTCCTTTTCCTTTCCCTTTCTTCCTCTCTTTTTTTTTTCTTCTTAAGAGTCCCCCTTATCTAAAGTGTTAAGCTTAGGACATCTCGTCTAATGTCCCGCGGCGCGTCGGATAAGATCCGGTGAGCCACCTCGAAACACGCGCGGTTGCGGAGAAATCGGAGAGGCCGTCAACTCATCAATTTGTTTCTAGTCCAGGGTCATTGGTTCTAGAAGGAATTGGTTTGTGTAAGAAGAAAGCAATGGCACAATGCGCTTTTATCGGGTATTGGGATATATGTGATTTATATGGTAGCGAGATGTACATATTTTCCTAGTGTAAAAACAGGGATCATTATCACCGCTCCACGAAAGGGAGAGAGAGAAACATGGAAACATTCAAGAAGAAAAGAAGGACGTTGATTGTTGACATCGGAGCTATGTACTGTACAATGTACATCACTGGTATGTAAATGTGTACTCTATTCCATGTGTGTAGGTAGATAACATTCAACATTGAATCTCTTCGCCTTGCATTTGGCAGGCTGTACTAGGCTGTACAGCTTGTGATGATCCAAATTCAGGGATGAATGTACATATGTATAATGTACTGGATTGCTTGTGGTACTTTGTACCGGACCTATGGTCAAGTTTCAAATGCAAGGATATTCCCCGGTTGACCAGCCTGACCCAACCATTTGGCGCCTTTATTCACTACTACCGGAAGCTTGCCGTTTGGGAAATGTCTTTGCTCGCCTTGAACGCCAAGCCGCAAAGTACTCAAAGTACTCTGTTAGTCCCTTTTCTTTTCGTCTCTCCTTATCCCAGGTCGCAAGGTAATAGAGCTTAGATCTAATATCTGATTTTTTTTCTATCGTTCCAGGATTTACTCTCCTTTGGGAAGGAAGATAAAGGACACGCATGCAGATGTGATCATATGATCTATGCCCTACACTAGAGCTCGATCGATATTATGATATTGTTAGGATCGTCAACCTCAGTGTGTTCTTATTGGTAAAATACTAAGGAGATAAAAAAGATTTTGAGGCTCAAGTTCCCAACTTCGAAAAGATCGCGAGTTGCGAAATTATGCATGAATCAGCAGACACCCGTGTCAGGCCTAGTAACGGAAAAGGCTAGATTTAGATACTCTGCATACGTATGTGCATGTGGGACATGCAATGTCGTGCAGCATGTGGTCCACGTTTGAATGAGGCGCGTCGACATCGTGCACGACCTGTTGTTCCGGTCATTTGGGTATGTGTAAAAATGAAAATGATCGAATTTTCCCTCTTTCCCATGAGAGCCGAGCCATGGCAGAGCTGCTGCGTTGTCTCCAGTGATGGGAGACTGGCCGGGTTTTAGGGGACCCTATTACGTCAATAGCTCACCGCCCCTTTTGGCCGACGTTGGACTTGAAGACGGAATTTCTGCGGCGATGCCCGACCGAAAGGCTTTGCACGTATCAGCTGCTCAAGTCAGAAGACATCAAGCGCCAATAAAATCTGCTGATCCTTGCGGACAAGTTCAGGTTGGAGTTTTTACTTTTCATTCGTGGGTATTTGTTGATTTCCATATCCTCTCCCTTGGTATGAACTGACCGTTTATCGGTCCCTTTTAGACGGCGCCTAACGAGGTTAGAAGAAAA